AGTTATGGCGGTTGATCCTATCAAAGGAGACTCCCTCTCTCCGAGATATGAAGGACCGTTTACTGTTGTTCGTAAAAACAAGGGCGGTGCATACATCCTCAAAGATGGCACTGGCTCTATGCTTGGTCGTAACTATGCGCCCTCGCAGCTCAAACTTGTATATGAAGACCCAGACTCTTTCCTTACGTACGAAGTCGAGAAAGTTCTTGACGCTCGTTGTACAAAGGAAGGGACATGGGAGTACTTTGTCAAGTGGAGAAATTATTCTGATAACGACAACACCTGGGAACCAGAGGACAATTTTGTTGAGAGGAAATGCATCACGGACTATTGGGCCGATCACCCACCCCGTAATGAGGATCCTCGTCCGCACTCTCGTCATGATTCGCAAACGGATCAGCCAACGCTTACCACCGACGAGCAAATGAGCGAACCTCACAGTAGCAATCGCTCGAACAAAAAGAAGAACAAGTTCACACCTAAAAAAGGTGAACACAACCTTACTCGCAATAAGCTCACTCAGTCCAGTCAATCAAAAATCAATGAGTTGAGACCTAGAACTCGTTCTCGGATCGGGAAGGATTGAAGACAATCATATCCTCCGATTGACACATAAAACGCATCGACGTTTTGTTTGAACAAAAATCGCACTGACGATTTGTTCGAGGTTTTTTAATGGTGCCACAACCTTTTTCCTCACAATAATAACAAACATCCGCAGAGGTTTTCCCGCTTTCCTCTTGCAATCAAATTCACTATATTGAGGTTTTTATTTTTTCCTCACAGCTTATCAACATATCTACCGAGGTTTTTATTTTTTATCCTCACACACACATATACATATTCTACTGTAGTCATTATTGTCTTTTCTACACCAGCTCTCCAGGGCTTCGCCCTTCCAAGGTTTTTCTATTTTTCCCTTATACCCGTTCTTTCATATGAGGTTTCCTTTTTTTCCCTCAAACATCCAAACGACAACTCTTTCGTTTAGTCATAGTACTCTACTCCACGTCGTTTTGTCAGTTAGTAAGAAGCACACACAATTACTAGCATAGATACACTACTTCTAGCCCTAATCTTAAGCCCGGCTTACAGCCTCTCCCCCCGTGGAGGGTTATGTGCTATAATCACGTGTATCATTAGGACGAAGAGTACATAAGGACTCTTCGTCCCTGAATTAAACAGATCCCTCTCTTTGTTTCGTTATTCCCTTTTTCCATAACCTCATTGCTTATCACAACCCCGGTTATTATTTTCCAATCTGGTGTAGTTTGGTGTGGTGTGTGTTTTGTGTAGTGGTTTGTTAATAGAGGACACACCCTGTGAAAATCAAAAAACGCTTTAATTTTCGTCTTATTCCGACAGTCCCTGTGAGAATAAGGTCACACAACCCTGTGTGAATAGATTAATTATTATTTTTTTTTTTTTTTTTTTTTGAGCGCTGAAGTATATCAATAGAAAACAGACAAAGTTTGATCCAAGGTTCTTTAGGTGTATAACTTGGTATTGTCAAGAAAGCAGACCAAGCAATAGAATGAAGTAGATAAAGAGAACCTTGATCAAGGGCTAGGAAATGAGTATAAGGAATAGGTTAAGGCGTATGTTGTATTGGCGATACCAAGTAAAGAGCTATAGATTTACTATCTAAGGCCCTTTTATATTTGTTAGGGCGAAGTCACAAGAGCAAGCTCTTGTCTCGTGACACATGTATCGAAAGTTCGCCTTCCAGATGTCGAAGGTTGCGGGGTGGGAACGATGGCTCTGTAGGACTTGTCCTTGATGGTGAGTCCATTTTGAAGCATCTCGGTTCTTTGTATGGGATCCTTGGGTGCAACCTCGTATTTAACGTTGTGGAGGATGGCGTGTTCAATTACGGCAGCGTGACCAGGATAGGTGTCGATGAGAGTGTCCCGAACGTTGTTCTCAGATGCGACCTTGGTGGGAATGCTGAAAATGAGGGTGTCCGGAGAGATGAGGTGATATGCAGGTTCATTCCATTGGGAAGAGTGGAATCACAGTAGATGAGCTCGCATTTTTTGAGGTGTTTCGAGGGAGGTGGAGTGAAAGAAGAGGAGGATTTATTACTTTTGGTGGCATTGGCGTAGGATGCCGGCGCCGGGGCTTTTGGGGAAGTATCACCGCCCACGTTATTACCGTCGTGGGACATGGGAAAGAGTTTTCAAAAGGTACCCCTAGAACTGGAGTGACCTGGTGGCGGAGTCACGTGACGGGATAATTGCAAGACGCATTCAATGGAACTAGGAGAAAACCTATTCTCATGTTACCCGGGCAACCTGGGACCTGGCTGTCTTGGGGCAAAACGTGGCAAAGATATCACTATGTAACATTTCCCTCGTCTTTAGTGTTTCTCAAGAATATTCGATATTCGGCATTCGATTCGATTCGATTCGATTTTTTCAAATTTGAATAGTAGTCTCATCGATTCGATTCGATATTTTCGAATTCAAATAGAGCTCCGATTCGATTCGATTCGACTTTTATTCAACCAGATTCGACTTTTATTCGATTCTACCTTATTAAAATCGAATAAAAGTCGAATAAAAGTCGAATCGAATGAGGTCCATATTCGACTGTTGTCGAATTGAATGCACTCGATATTCGAATCGAAAAAATCGAATCGAATTCGAATAAGGCCCATATTCGATTCGATTCGATTCGACTGTTGAGAAACTACTCGTCTTCCTTGTCCACTCGCCTCGTTCTTCCTTTCGTCCGCCCTCGTCTTCTTACACTAGGTCGTATACAGGGACTGTGCGTGCCGTTGTGACATCGTAGATTTTCATGCACAGATGCACGGACTCACCCTTGAACGTATTGGGGCACACTTGGAACAAGCCCCTGCAAGCAGTCGAGAATGTATGACGGGGAGCCAGGACCTTCAAGCAATAACCAAGGATCACGAGGCGCGAAAATAAGAGCACCAGTGTTATGTTCTTGGCAAAAACAGTATTGGTGCCGGCCGCGTCTTCCAATGTTTTGTTGTCAATGGAATCAACTAGGCAGAAAATGTCGTCCAATCCAAAGTCCGACTTTGCCGAAGCCCCATTGAAAGCAGAGCATCTCGGTCATGGAACGAGTCTTTCCACATCCAGTGACTACAAATACGGGAAAGTCTTGTGCGTGCATTTTGTCGAGGATGTGAAGCAGGACATTGGAGCGGAGCCTCTCAGCAATAAAGGCGAACACTTGGTGGAATGTCAAGGAGATTCAAAAACTGCATCGGTTCTGAGTCCTGTGATTTGACAACGCCACTGCGCAAGACCTCGATTAAATACACAAGGAGAGTTTTATCGTAAGTTAAGAATGGGACGAAGGTGTATAGTACAATACAAAGATAGGTGACAAACGACGCGCTTACCGACAAGCGGTGTGCCTGGGCGTGATTCATCCGAGAGGTGACCAGGGCGAGGAATGGAGATACAATGGACACAGCGCATGTGACACGTGTGAATGAGAGCAACGCGTGTCTGCATTACCTGGAAGGAGGCGCTGAACGACGATGAGAATTGTTTTTTTATATATTTTTTTTGGGGGTGGTGCGATGAAGTAAACAAGACTATCTGTGGGGGATCTATTCTTGACAAATGGGCAGCAGAGCTAGGACTATATCCGTAAGGATAAGCTGGGAGAGGACCAAGGAGTTCACATATGTGAGATCGATAGAATAAACAAACTAAAATAAAAAGGGAGGGAAGGGGAATGAAGGAAAGGAATACTAACAGTGAAGTAGACCCCTGGATGTGCGCTTCTTTGTGTCTCGACTTCTCGGTCGCCCGTGCACCTCGTTTCAAGCTGTTGTCGATATATTGGCTGGGCACGGAATTGTTTCCAAGCGAGACTGCAACAGGCGAAGACTGGGACAGAGAAGTATAGAACGGGGACGAGAGTTGAAGCAGTGATGATTGATGTTATTACTATGGTACAACTAAATATATATACAAAGTCGCCAACTAGGTTTCTAGGTGTAGTGTCATAGTGAGTCAGGGATGATAGAGAGTGACAAGGAATGACTAACTAGAGAGCAATGATAAACCTAATATGTTGCAGAGACAGGTGGACCAGCGGAACTACGACTCGAGGCAGGCAATGGATCTAAGTCATATAGTCGATTGGGGTACAAAGGAGGTCGAGAATGTGTCGATGTAGTAGTGGACCCTCGCTTTCAATGACGATTATCAGAAGTCATCATCAAAAGTATGGATAAAAAAGAATAAGAGAAAAGAAGCGTCCCGAGCCAACAGCTCGGTTCCGAATTATTTTATTATCATTTTCTACACTATAAACTGGTGGTCACAAGAACGCCACCAAAATTCACTCAAAAAGAAGATCCCCATCTACATCACCACACCAGTGGTTGGTCCGAAAAGATATCAGAGAGGTCGTCCGGTCGGGTCAAGCTCGGTCGAGGAATCAATCTCGTTCAAGACGATCGGCTTGTGCTTGTTGGCCGAGACTTGGATGGAGAAGCGCCTTCGAATCGGATTCGATTCGAATGCGCACAAACCTCCTGTAAAACATAAGGATTCGAACAGAATTCGATTAGATGCCCTAGCCAAAAGGCGAGCTTGTCTGCAGCAAAGTCGCCGTTGACAGAGAAAGCCCGAGATAATTCCTCTCCATCAACAAGACGGAAAAGGATCAGACAATTGTTGATTATGGTGTTGCAAAGCATGAAAAGAATAGAGGAAATAAAGAAAAGAGATAAAAAAAGGCGAAGGTTAAAAGAGGAGGGAAGATGTGGGGGGAAAGCGGAACATCTGGAGCCAGCCAGATCTTTGGAGTGCGTGCTGCAGTTCATAAATGTCGAGAATGTTGTTTATTAAAGAGGCAAACATGGCGCTTCTGCGTAAGCTAATCCGCATCATTGGTCCGTAGAGCCTGTTGGCATCGTCTAGTCGCTGGAGTCGTTGAGCTCATCAATGCCTCCGCCACTACACATTGCCTTGCAACGAAAGTATAATGATCCTAGGATCCATCCCATGGTGCTACATGACCTCAAGTATTCCAAAGGCGGCGCGATTTATGCACTTCGGTGGCGTAATTCTCGCGCCCATTGTCCTGTTTCATGCCCACGCCCTTTAGCACTTTCCACGCTTTCGTCATCGCCTTTACAATCACTTGCTTCCTTTCTCTGTCACTCCCACACTCAGCTAATTACTGGACCACCTTCCCTGCATCGTTTTTATCGTCTCTTCCCCACTTTTTTCTACTGTTCGAATTTACTCTCCATTTGTTTCTCAACGCCCATTTCCACACCTTCACTGCATTTGCCACCGTTCCCACTCCCTTTTAATCCCTTGTCTTTCTTTCGTTTCCATCAACCACACACTTTCTTTCATCCTTTCACCTCTTTTTTTCTTTCACCCCTTGGCTTCACTCTTCTTTTCATTTGATTCTTCGCAATACCATGGCCGACAATAGCCAGAGTCTGTAGTGTATTGTTGACGGTGACCCCATGTTGAGAGCTTTCGAACTGGTCATACCATCGAGAGAGACTACTTTTGGTCAACTCAGAAGCTACATTCATCTCAGCAAGCCTATCTGGTTTAAGGATCTGGAAGCAGAGGATCTCATCCTTGGGAGCGTCTCGATCCCAATCACAAAAGACAATGAGGACACTCCCATCCTACTCGAAGATGTCCCCCCCAGCGACAAGTACAGGCTTGGCCCGGCCACGCATCTCTCAAAGGCGTTCCCTGAGGAGCTGCCTGAAGAGACAGTCCACATCATCGTCCAGCGACCCCCGCCAGGTAATCAAACGCGCTTCGCTCTTATTCATACCTTGCGCATGAGCTTGTTCCTCTTGCTAACCTTAATTCTCGTGTCCTGTTGCACTAACATAGTCCCTGTGCCTGTGCCTGTTCGTGTGTCCACTGCTCCGTCGGATATTATTCGTTCTGGCTCGCCCGCCAATGGTAACCGATTTTTACATTTACCATTCGTCTGTATTCTACTAAGGAGGCCTTTCACGTCCAAGTTATCATATGGTGTTTGTTACATCTCTGTAGATCTCGACAATATCCATAGCGACTATGGGATGAGAATGTATATATGATACCAAGCATATAAGACAACCATTGTAACATTTTTTGTTCAACTATCCTACTAAACACCAACCTATTCTCCTAACAACAAAGTCTTCTTATTTTTTGCACACCACACTCTTGAATGTGTCCATCTACTATTAACCTGTAACCCTCACTGCAAGATTCGCCAGAGTAGTTCTTGTATGTGATCATCTAAAGCACTTGTACTCTCAACTGTATCTTTGGGGCGAAATACAGGGGAGAGATTACATTTTAAAAATTCTTGTGCTGTCTATTGCTATTTTATTCTGTGTTCTATTGCCCACTATGAAGAGATATGCCAGTTATGGAAGTCAACACTCCGTTCCTTCGACTTTGGATATTTTTTATATGCCTTTTTATATCCTCTGCACATGAAGGGGCCGCTAAAAGTAAATTCAAGTCTCTAACACTCTGCTCTTTTTGTCACCGTTATCCACTCAAAGGCATTATGGACGTCATCAAGCAAATACAGAGTACCCTCATTCTTCGCGGCCGAAGATCAGATCCACGACCTCTGTTATCCAGAACCATGCCCTTGCAGGAACGTTCAATGGATAAGGCTCTCGATACAGTCCTGAAAAATGTCCAAACATGCATGTCTTGGCGAGAAGACAATCAAGTCCCAAAGGCAAATAGCTCATTCCTTGTGTGCAGCGGAACAGCCGGCATTGGTAAGGATGCTCATTTCTTTAGAGTTGCCTGACAGTCTTTGGTATCAAACGTGTTAATGACTCCAGATCAAATCCATAGTCCATTAGGGAAAACGCGTTACGGGCGAGAGCTGTACAGAGCCTTGCGACTTCGACTCTCAGAAAAAACCAAAGCCAACGACGTCGATTACGCTCCTCGCTTCTACTACATGCTGCTCGACTTCAGCAAGGACGTTAAATTGAATCGGACCAATGCCAGCCTTGATACAGGAACCATTCTTGCCTTGCGTTTGGCCTATTATCATTTCTTCCAAGGCAAATACTTCACATTATTTGAAGATTTCCGCCATCAAGCTGTCGAACATATTAATTTCTTTACGGTCAGCAACGTCATTCTCGCCATTTGCAAGGATTTGGAGCTAAATGAACAACGACCATTGTTCCTTTTCCTTCACATTGACGAATTTCAGCTGATTTTCGATCATCGCTGGAAGGGAACCCCTAACGGCCACCGTGCATCCCTACCTCAAGCTGGGATTCGCCTGCCTGGAGACAAAACCGAGTGTCACACACCGCAGGGCCTCTGTCTGTTCCAGGATATGATGCGCACCCTAGGAGACTTTATGAGCGGTACGTTCAGGCCTCATATGATCCAGACCTTTCTCTCGGGAAACGCTCGGCGGGAAGTGACTATGGCAGCGCAACCGACGCCTTACACCTTCGAGTTCCTCAGCTGTCCAACACTATCCCTGGGAACATGCTACGACACCATGAGCCATTTCACCACGCTCGCCAATGTCCACCACTGCGAGTGGATGCCAAAGATGGCGTTTCTTTACTTACTATCGGCCACCGACGGTCTTCCGCGAGCACTAGAGCTCTTACTGGAAGAGCTTTTCGGATATCGACTGGAGAAATGTAAGACTTTTCCAGATGCGCTGCCTCACATCGACATGAGCACAGATCAAATTTTCAGGAACGTTGCAAACAATCTCAACAACTATTACTCTATTACTGCCTTTGCCCAGGCATATGAGGAACTTGTTCCTGCGCTTGTTCATCTCAACATTTTTCAGCAACCATCACTGCGCACGCTCGCCCCATCCAAGCTCTTTCCGGAACTCACCTTGGATGTCCTAGAACGCGACATACATACCGTTCTGGAAGAGATAGATGAAGGCAAAGAACTGGTGTTGGTCCGGATCCCCTTCTTCTTCCTCCACTTCTACAACATAGCCATCGGTGAAGTCCGGAATCGCCTAGGATCCGCATTGTTGTACAACTGGGTTGCGGACCGCGAATGGAGATTCTTCGAAGGCATGATCGCCGAGTATGAGGCGCTACGCACGAACCTTCTTAGGAGGCCTTTCACGTCCAAGTTATAATATGGTGTTTGTTACATCTCTGTAGATCTCGACAATATCCATAGCGACTATGGGATGAGAATGTATATATGATACCAAGCATATAAGGCAACCATTGTAACATTTTTTGTTTAACTATCTTACTAAACACCAACCTATTCTCCAAACAACAAAGTCTTCTTATTTTTCGCACACCACACTCTTGAATGTGTCCATCTACTATTAACCTGTAACCCTCACTGCAAGATTCGCCAGAGTAGTTCTTGTATGTGACCATCTAAAGCACTTGTACTCTCAACTGTATCTTTGGGGCGAAATACAGGGGAGAGATTACATTTTAAAAATTCTTGTGCTGTCTACTGCTATTTTATTCTGTGTTCTGTTGCCCACTATGAAGAGATATGCCAGTTATGGAAGTAAACACTCCGTTCCTTGGGCTTTGGATATTTTTTATATGCCTTTTTATATCCTCTGCACATGAAGGGGCCGCTTATCGGTGATGGCCGCGAATCAGCGACACTCGGGGACATCTACCCAGGAGCCATTGGACAAGCAGAGACATTGGGCCGTATTGTCAAGCTCAAGGAGCTATCGATTGTTGAGGCGGCGCACCGATTCCCAGAGTGGGGAAGACTGACGGTTGGTGAACAAGAACAGGACTGGAGGTCTGGCATTGTGATCAAGAATGCAGATGGTGCGCAGTTCGGAGATGTATGCATTTATCGTGAGAGGGCAGACGACAACGATGACAACATCCTTTGTGCGCTACAGGCAAAGAAGCTAGAGAGTCTACTCTCAGCCGCGACCATCCAGAGCGAGCATAACAAAAACACAAGGACGATCGAGAACATACCACATGGATCGATCTTGGAGCAGGAAGGAATCAAACAAGCGCGTGCCATCACTGTCCTTATCACTACCGCGGATATGTCGGATGACGCTCTTCGAAAGCTTGAGAGTTCGTTTCCCGACGACTGTCTCTTGATCTACCGACGAACTTTCAACAAATTCTTCGGCAACGCATTCAGTGTACCTATGGCCCTCGCAGTTTCAAAGGATCTCAACTGGAATATCACGACTCAGGAGACTCTGAAAAAGAAGCATAGGCTTGGAGACAAGGAGGCGGACCAAGTCCTCAAGAACATGCCCTACCGCTCGTATGCCGATCTTGTAATAGGAGCAGAGCAAGAGAGAAGAGGCAAGGGTGAGGACAAGGAAGGAAGACAAGAGGCAAGGAGAATAGCAAGGGAAAGAGACAAGAGGGTGTAGGGACAAGAGGAAAGGGCAAGAAGGAATCGGTTTATTGTACAGGAGGGACAGGGTATTTATACGTCTATGGTATGAGGGATTATGGTGAGGTAATAATAAGCAGGGGTAGTGTGTAAGACAGACACACAAGATATTAACAAGGAAGTAAGGAACAAGGCAGCCAAAAGCAGGAGGCAATCTACAATCCTGTTACAGATCTTGTTGAAAAGGTACCTGCAATGGGCTCCAAGAAATTTGGTGAGGAGATGGGATTCTTACCGTACCAAGATTTCCAGCCTGCAAAAAGGCAGCGAGTAGAATAACCTTTGCCATGGTCTCAAACTATGCCTATTTCACCTACAATGCCTTTTCCGCCACGTACGCTAATTTCACTTCTTTTATCGCATTCGTTCGCATAAAATTTCCGAAGCGCTCCACAAAAGTGATCCATATCTTTCTAATATTATCCAACTTTTTTGAAATGCTCATCATCCATTTTGCTGTAATATGAACAGCTGGGGATAGAAGAAGCAGGGGGTCTTCAGGAATGCCTCTAGTTTGTCTGTGTATCTTTCCGCCTAGGACTTGTCCAGTCAAGATGTAGGAGGAAAATGAAAGACGAGAAAGAAGGTGGTTGTTGACTCGTTATTGAGCACATTAATTGCAAGAGGAAGAGAGAAGGTAAAGAGTTACTTATTAAAAACTAGGGCATTGCCATTTGAATTGTTCTCTTCATTTTTTATGCATTGTTTTATGTGTTTATTATTGGAGGTGTACTATACCAAGTAAACAAAGAATGGTTTGTGGTATGTTTGTTTGAATGAGTTGGTGTTGGTTAAGGTGCTGCTTTGAAAACTATGTTTCTGGTGTAATGTCCTTTGGTTGCTGTAAAGGGTGTTGTTGGCGTGTTTGAGGGTCGAAGCATTGTGGAAGCGTTAAGGATAAGGACTTTTAAGTTGTTAGGGTTTGAACATCTTGATAGTGCAATATAAAGTTGCCCATGTGAAAACACACGTTGTTGTAGATAGACACCTGTTGTTGTTAGCGTTTGTCATTGCGACTTGTTGATGGTAAGTGCAAAAGCAGGTCGGATTGGAAATTGCAAGCGCGTGAATTTAATTGGTGTGGAGCCGCCGTCTTTTGAGGAGAGTGGAATTCGTGGGATGAGAACGATGTTGCTAGTGAATGATCCTGCAATGATCTGCGCTTCTATAATGTATTCGCCGAGTTTTGTTACTTGTCATCTGTGTTTTCTCGTGTTGGCTGAAGGATCACTTCTTCTGGTATCTTAGTGTTATTGAGGTGGATCCCCTCGCTGTAGGTTCGCTCAGTGCTATCTCCTACTTTGAGCAAATAGTTTATGTACGCTTGGTGCTTTGTGTTGCTCCAATCCGCAAGGTTTTTGTTCGTTTAAATATTGTGATATGGTTCCAGATATTTGTTGAGTTTTTCATTGATGACTTGTTGATAACTTGTTGTGTGCCACGTTGAACTATTGGTAGTGTTTGTCCAAAGTCGCCACCGAAAACGATAAGTTTACCGCCAAAAGGGGTGTTTGGATTGTCCATCAGATTTCGGAAGGTACGGTCGACACATTCAAACACAGGTTGGTGTTTGTGCTGCTCACCGCAAGGTCCATGGATCATCGAGCGGGTAATGGAAGCGTACGCCAGCGGGTGTTGGTTTTAGTCGGGGATCTCGATGGGAACAATAGTGTCATAGTCTGCAAGTGTTTTAGGTTTGTGGTCAGGGTGGACAATAAGAAGAATATAACAATGCATAGTCTTCGCTTTTGAAATTCCACCATCCAGCGCCCTAAGTTTGACAGCAAAGTCCCGTGTGGTGGGATCTGGGCAATCAGTTGCTGTTTATCCTTCAATGAGATATTTGGTGATCTCTGGCCATCTGGGGTTGAAAGAAAAGGTAATAAATAAGTTGGGTTTGCCGAGTCGGTTTGCTACAGGGCTCCAATCAATTGATCAACCAAAACGCGATTTCGACGTTTTTTTCGAAATGCTAATTCATCAATGTTCTGAGCAACCCCCAGATTGTCATTCATTCTCTTGATTCGTAACCTCATTCATCACCACTTTTCTTTTTTGCATGAACCGACATCGGATCATCGCTGGAATCGAAATGCTTGATCTTGATCAATTAATTGGATCGCATGTCGTGGCGAATGATTTGCATGTAAAATTTTACATGGGTTTAGCACGGAACAAATTGTTTTTTTGAGTACTACCATGTCAATGCACTTTCTTCAGGCAAAATGAAAGCAGTTCCATACAAAAGATATGGAATGTGATCTAGGTTACGCACAAAGCGTTTATACTGTATCATTTACAGAAGGTATCGTTGAAGTATATTTTGTTACATGGATCTAGCACGATTTCACATTTTGTCATGATATTGCACTCTATTGAGAATAGCTGGCTTCGCACCTCAAAGAACTTTAGATCGCGCTTGATGTGCTCTATATGGAACTGCTTTCAGGTTGCCTGTAGAAAGTGCATTGACATAGTAGTATTCAAAAAAACAGTTTGCTCCGTGCTAAACCCATGTAAATTTTTACATGGAAATCATTGGCCACCACATGCGATCCAATTAATTGATCAACCAAGATCAAGCATCTCAATTCCGGCGATGATCCGATGTCGGTTCATGCAAAAAAAGAAAAGCGGTGATGAATGAGGTTACGAATCAAGAGAATGAAAGACAGGAATCTGGGGGTTGCTCAGAACATTGATGAATGAGCATTTCAAAAAAAAACGTCGAAATCGCGTTTTGGTTGATCAATTGATTGGAGCACTGTAGATGCTTGAGTGAACGGCCATTTAATAGGAAAAAGAAAGAAACGAGATATGGGCAGTTATAGTAGGGACCGTACTACCTAGATGGACGTAATGCTCTCAGTGTTGCACGTCACACCAAAGTGAGCTTGGTCAGCTATAGCACTGTCATAATCGCTCTCAACAGAGCAACAGTAGGATTTCTCACAGTTTGCATTTTTGGTAGGGATGAAACTACAATAAGGCTTTGTGATATCCCACTCTGAATAACAATTAACGCCCTTGCTTATTTTGCTCGAACAAGTGCTTGCGACTCTTGTAGCTTCACCGAGAAAATAACAGTAATTTTTCTTAGTGGCGGAGACATGTGTCGAAACGAAAAGACAGAAAACGAAGAAAGCCAAAAGATTGCGAGCCATTATGACAAAGGATGAGTGGTGTACGAAAAAAAGGAGTGTTAAGAAAATGGAATCCTATAGTATAAAAAGGATGATTGAGGATGAGATGAATAGATCATTTATGTTAATCGCAGTGTCACAATGCAGTTGCATAATCGCTGTTTGTAAATAACCATATTATTATGATGTTGTTACCTTGAGGCTCTTGTGAGGGCTCTTGTGACGATTCGTGTGGGGTTCCTGTTCTTTTGGCGAGTTGTATGGGGTCCTTGTTATGGAATGTATGAGATTCTTGGAATAGCTTGTTGTGTTGGTTCTTGAAAGTGGAGTGTAGTGAGTGCGGCAGTCGACGTCTTGAAAGTTGTTGGTTGATTGGGGGTGCGGGTTCCCCGAAGTCACGCTCTTTTATACAAGAAGCGGTTCCTATGGTTTTCGCCTTTCCCATCCCTTGACCTTTTCTTCATCCCTTAACCTTTTCTTCATCCCTTGGTCCTATTCATCCCTTGACTTTTGTCATGCCTTAGTTTTTCTTATCCCTTGACCTTTTCTTCATCCCTTGGTCTATTTTGACCCCTCGACTTTTTTCATGACTTAGTTTTTCTTATCCCTTGACTTTTTTTTATCTCTGGATCTTTTCACCCCTTGATTTTGTTACTCAGGGGAGAGGGTCGAAGGCCAGTGTTGTAGGACCGCTGTTAAGTCCTTAATTGGTACGGAGGGGAGGGGTTGTAGTCGGGGATAGTGATAGTAGCGTCCTAAAGAATCACACGAAACGATACACTGCAGCGCGCCAGCGAAACTCTTGTCAATACTGCTCTCGTCCAAGAAGTGATGTGTAAAAGGACAAAGAGCAGACAAGAGGGCTCGGCGCACGACTAATACTATGTCTACTAAAGAATATAACTGCTAACCTAAGGCATCGCCGCCACTGCCTAGCCACCATATCTTTTTGTAACAATTTCTCACCGTGCATAGAGGTACACCTTACCCCTTAAGTGAATCTACAGCTATCGCGTGTGGATAAAGGCATAAACAGTGCGACATTGAATTCTAATGAAGCAAGGATCGAAAGAGCCGACACCAAAGGATCAAAAAGCGACGTCGCTATGAACGTTTGGCTGCCACAAGCCAGTTGAGCTCATGTCCTTCTCAATTGCAACACGGAGAGACTGTTATCATCAGTCTCATTCCATAGGCGACGCATTCAACTTCCTGTCGTGTCTCTATGCCATGACCGCATCTCCATTCATTGTGACAACCTATTCTCTCCCTCTTTGCCCTTAATCACCCCTCTTTTTGCATCCTTCCTTTCTCACTCTGGCCCTTGGTCTTTTTGCGTCCCTCCTTTCACAATCTGCCCATAATGCGTCCCTCCTTTCCCATTGTATCCGTGATGCCCTCCTTTCCCGTCTGTGCATGGATATATTTGTATCCGGTCTGTGCATGAATTTTTTTGGTCCCTCCCCTTCATGCCTTTGTTTTTCTCATCCCTTGATTTTTTATGCCTTGGTCTTGTCCATCCCTTAGACGTTTTCATCCCTTGATCTTTTTCATCCCTTGATCTTTTTCATCCCTTAGACTTTTTCATCCCTTAGACTTTTATCCCTTAGACTTTTGTTATCCTTTTGTCTTTCTTCCTTCTATTACAGGGTGAACAATCCAATGCTTACTGAGTCCTGCTTCAGTATGGTAGGAAGAGCCGACATCAAAGGATCAAAAAGCAACGTTGCTATGAACGCTTGGCTGCCACAAGCCAGATATTATACCCTAAGATAAATTTATTGGCACCACTTCCTCAATTTCCTCAATCCACTCCCCCCTCCCCCCTCCCCCCCAAAAAAAAATTAACCGCAGCACATCTCGATCAATGTAAATATAGACAGCTAGAACATTCTTTCACAGATAGCCACAATGGGAGCCACACGCTAGCCACAATGAGAGCCGCTGTCAGCCACGAGTCCTGTGCTCCTTTGAATCCGTTTTCTTTTTCTTTTTTCTTTTTTCTTTTTTCTTTTTTCTTTCTCGTTTTCGTTTTCGTTTTCGTTTTCGTTTTCTTTTTCTTTTTCTTTTTTGTCTTTTTGTTGTCTTTTTTTATGTTTGTCTTAGTAGTAGTAGTTGTTGCTGTTGCTGTTGCTGCTGTTGTCGTTGTTTTGTTGTTGTTGCTGCTGTTGTTTGTTGTTGCAGTTGCTGTTGTTGCTGCTGTTGCTGTTGTTGTTGTTTGTTGTTTGTTGTTGTTGAGAATGTCTCTCGAGAGAGAATTCATGGCAATGGAGGTGGTGAAAGTTAAAGAAAGTCGATAGGAGTGATGTGAAGAACAATAAAGAGGGGCGGATGTGGTCGGTGAATTAAGATGTGGAGAGAAAGGAAAGAGCTTTATTTGCAAGAGATGGAATGCTTGAGGACAAGATAAAATTAACTCGGTAACACGTCATTAAGAATATAAAAGTGCATTTTTATTGAGTGTCAAGTGGGCAGAGGAAGCTGCAATAAAAGATTAGCTCCTCTGCTTTTTGGAGCGGTCCTCATCGTTGCTGTCATCGTCGTCAACAGAGCGCTTTCGAGCATTCTTGAGTCGATCAATAAACTCTACATGCTCCTGGGGGAAAATGTCGCCGAAATTGTCATCGCTGATGTTGATCACGACCTGCTGAACACCATTGGGGTCCTTTGGGAGTTCTTAAGGTGCTGGCAGCTTGTCAGTCCATTTGGTAGGGTGTGCAACAATCATGCTGATGTAGACGTTGTCAGGGCAGTACTTGCGAAAATTCTTTGCGTGGCCCTCAATCTTGGCTGCCGAGACTGTGCTGAGTGCGTCATTCCAATCCTTTTCCGAGAAGTTAGACGACCCTTGATGCAGCTTCATCTGAACGAAGACAGGGACCAACCGAGCACCGTCGATCCGAATGAAGAAAACCAAGTCTGCTCCCGACGGTTTGGATTTGGGAAGAAAAATGGCGCGACAGGTATGTTGTTGCGGGTTGACCTATGGTTGATATGAGCGTCCATGAAATGCTCCATCGACATCATCCCGTGAGTCGTGCCTTGCTCGAGTCCAGGTTCCCTCCAGCCAACAACTTCCGCCTCGCCGACGAGAGCTGGACACATATCAGAGATTGGGGGCTGATGCGGCCACTCAGATAGAGGTCGTGTGTTGAATGTCTCACTGAAGACCTTCATCATGAACCGCTCAAACACACATCCCTGTTCAATAGCCGTCGACTTTACCATACGTTTCCGCACATCCCTGGTGTTTAGTAGGATAGTTAAACAAAAATATTACAATGGTTGTCTTACATGCTTGGTATCATATAAAAAACCCTAAAAAACCCACTCAGTCTTCCACGTGTCCTTACTGGAACCATACCATACCAACGACATACAATGTCATATTTTTCCACCCCCACCGCTATTGCAAGAAGTGGTTGGGCCGATATGGAACCGAGTGGCATCCGTACACCACACATTACGCACTCTGAGGAACTACTTTGTGAGTTCCACAACCGCTTCCTCGATAAAACCGAACCCCTTCTCGCTCTCGGTGCGTGCTCGCTCCTAAGGAGGAGGATCTCCACGTTCCGCCCCAGGTTGCCAGATTTATGCAATAGTCGGTTTTGTCCTTGTTCCGTTGAACGCGCCTCGCATTTTGATTTGTCACGTTAACTTCCGCCACCAGCTAGATTCTTGCCACCTGTTCGGCACGACTCAGTTCCTAGATGTACCTCTCTGCTTGTACTTCTATCCCTTTGTATCCTTGGTCTAGACCGATACATGGAAAGCAATAGATAATAACCTAATCTGTTGCATCAAGGACGCGATTTGGAACAAAATGATCGCGACGGGAGTGGGTGATACAGGAGCACCAACGTTGTTTGGTTGGAAATGAGGAAGCTCCATCAATAGCATTGAGCAGAGGAAATTGCGTACATGTCTGAAATTTACAATCATTGAAGCACTTTTTCCAGCCTAATATGTTTTTTTTGTAGAATATTGGGCAGAATATAGTACGAACCATTCTGAAAGAATTGTTGGAATTTACACATGACGATTGCGGGCACAGTCTTGCTTCATTTTTCGGGCTTGCGGCGTGGCCAATCCGACGTAGCAAGGTGGAGGACGACTCTTACGCTCCATGGCGCCGCTCATCAAGGTCAACATATTGTCGAATGCAGATGAAAATGGAAGCCAATCGAGGGCACAATATTCAAACTCAGCAAGCAAGTTATCAAAGCAGACACAAATGGTACCGCACGACAAATCTGATAGATGGAGCAGGTTCTGTCGACCGTTTGCATAAAGAGGACGACAATATCATCAGTGCCCTCGTATTTGGTGACAAGCTGGTCCAATGCCCGTTTCGATCAGATCGCGCAGCGACAGAGGTCCCCGATGACTTTTCTGTAGCATGGCACATGTGATACTTCACCAAATCCAATGTCTTGCTCTTCTTTGTGCTTCAAGCTAAATCCGGATGTCGCGGTTCTGATCCTATGTTGTGAAAGCAGTCGAATGAACAGCGATCCGGTTGTGAGGTGGTGGAGGTGCTAAGGCAGATGTGGGAAATATAGAAATGAGCATATGAAAGCAACTACTTCAAACAATAACCTGGGCATACTCGCGATTCTTCTACTTACTATGCGACTCGCGTTTCATTTGCTTGGTCCGTGATATACGACAGCATCTTCAGCACGAATCCGGCTACTTGGTCCGCTTCCGTAAGAGAACTCCATATGGTATGCAACTTTAATCCATGCAAGTACAGTTTCCTGAGTGTGGACTCGTCTTCTTGCAGCACCCCTCCTCGTAGGTCCTTTCGAGCCTTTTCCCTGTCTTTGCTCTCTCGCTCTTCATCTCGAAAGACCTAATAAAAGGTTGAGAAGAGGTTTAGCATTACAGAGTTGAGGTATAGTAGCAAGTAAAACACCACAGCGTTTCCTCGGCGGCAGTTACAAACATCACGAGAGTCCCGGCGAAAGGTTTTCGCCTTGTTCTCCTCCTTAGTGATGACCGGTAGTAGGTGCTTCATCATCTTGTACAGAATCTCGTAGGTATCGCCAAAAAAAATCTTTTGCAGGGCCGTTGGCTGCTTATTCAGAAACAGGATTCCTGCTGTTACTTTAAGTGTCACAATAAAAAGAAAGTGAACTTTTAATTAGTATCTCGACCGCCATAGGTGCAAAACTGACATTAAGCTAGCAAAAGACTTACAAGAAGTCCGCCATATTGTTTGGATCGTAATTGATAGCAACGAAGTCCGTATAAAAGTCCTATAACATATCTGAGATATTGATATCGCCGAGTGATCCGTAGAAATCGAAGTCATTGTCTGTATCTAACACCAGTTTCAGAGGGAGATGAGACAACATCTGTGAAGTTCTTGCAGCATCCAGGTCAAGGCTCTTGTCGGCATATTAGAAAGTAAAAGAGCGGATAGTTAGTACTTGCGGTTGATGAAGAACCACCAAGATGCAGCGATTTCGCGCTAATGTCTCACACATACTTCCTTCTCTGGATCATTGAAGAGGCTTTCTTCTTTCTTGGCAAAAGGCCCATCGGCTGATTGTTGTACCTGAAAAGGCGTTGATGACAAGTCAGTAGCTCGCTTGACATAGAAGCATGTGTTGGGCATATAAGCAAAAATATTTCAGCTTATCATTTTTCTCCTCGGGCTCTCGAAGATATTTTCCCAACCACTAAAGGTTGCTAACTCTGATTTCTAAAACGTCGCCATTAATTCAATGTACATTATCCGTCGGGCCAGGACCATATATGTGTTATCTTCTTTTATTGTATAAAATGCGAAAATCCAGAAAACTAAACGAGAAAAAATGAAATAAGTTCTGCTCAGGCACCAGATCTGTCCCTTATCTTCTTTTGTTTCGCCAGGGACATTGTCCGCATCATCAGAGTTCACCCTTCTCAGCAGGTCCCCATGGAACAACCCTCTCCCTCATCGTCCTCCTCTTCCTCTTCCTCACCCCCACTCGACCACCCACTCGATCCCAAGGATGCAGAGATCCTCTTCCTCAGCCAAAGGCTGGATCGCATGGAACGCTTTATGGCAGATCGCCTTCGCCAGGGCTCCGACCCTGCGATCACAACTCAAGCTCCACTTCAACACTACCGCCCCTCAGACGTGGATGTCATGGGATGCCCCAGCATCAAACCAGCAACGCCTATCGAGTTTTTCACCAAACCAACAAAGAGCGACACCGAACGCAAGGAAGTCATTCGAGGCTTTCCCAAGAACGTTCACATGGACCAATATAAAGCACCCAAGGTCCCATACGTCGTCTCCAACAACCTCGACTTCAACAGGAAGCATGATTCACAGATCCGCGATTTTCAGGAGCGATGCGCCGAGCTCACACGCCCCGTGGATTACTTCTATCACCAATTCCGACAGCTTCAGGAGATCGACCCTGAACATCTCAAGCCAGACCAGATTCTGGACCTTTCCGTCAGTTTTGCAGTCCTTATGCGCCAACACCTGGCGGAATGGCTGTTAAGATGGACGAGACCCGCATGGCTAACGTTCGCGAAGCCGCAGGAGCACACTTCGAGGACAACGCTCTCAACATGTTCGACCCACAGTCCTTCTACGACCACACCAAGTCTATCCGCACCCTACAGTCATATTTTAAGAGCAAGCCAGGAACCGACAATCGCCGAAACAAAGGCGACAACAATAATGACAACAACAACAATAGTCACGGCAATGGCCGCGATAACTCCGATAAAAATTGTAATAACAACCAGGACCGCCGCTCACAGAGCCGCTCAGGTCGGGATTTCAATAACAGCAACCGTTCCTCCTCTTCTTTCAGAGGGACTCCGGAAACCAAAGGTGGAACAGCCAACAGCGCGGACGAAGCACCTCCTGCAGGAACGACAGATCCCAAGGTCGGAGGGCGGCTCAAAGGATTCTTAGGAGCCTGGAAGAGCATTACCCAAGAGTCCCCCATCCTCGACATTATCAAGGACGGCTACAGGATCCCCTTCGAGTCGCCACCACCAACATCGACCTCGCATCTCCCGCCACACCCAATGTCGGAGGAAGCAATGGCGAGCATCGACAAAGAAGTGTCCGATTTGCTGAGCAAGAATGCGATCGAGCCCAGCACTGGACCCGGTTTTTCAAGCCAGTTGTTCGTGATTCCAAAGAAGACAGGAGAACTACGCCCGGTGTTGAACCTGCGTTGCTTGAATCAGTATCTGCCGATCCGACCTTTCAAAATGGAGACTATCTCTCAGGTAGTTCGCCTAATAAAAAGGAACGATTTTCTTACCAGTATCGATTTAAGAGATGCATTTCTACACGTGCCCATTCACCCTTCTTCCCGGCGTTACCTATAATTTCAATGGCGAGGCAAACTGTACCAGTTCAAAGTGCTCCCGTTCGGTCTATCTCTGGCTCCGCTCATCTTTACCAAGATTCTGAAGCCGCTACTACGGTGGGCGCGATCACGCGGGATCAGGATATCGGCCTACTTGGACAATTTGATTATTGCAGCAGCGACCAAGGAGCTATCACAGATACACACCAAGATGGTGACGGACAAGCTAGCCAGCCTCGGTTTTCTGACAAAGGAATCCAAGTCGAGCCTGACGCCATCCCAGACACTACAACATCTGGGCTACGAGATCAACACAACGGCGATGACATTACCGATCCCAGGAACCAAGATCCGGGACATGAGACGCGAGGCATCCAAGTTAATCAACAAGGCGAGATGCACAGTACGACAGCTATCACCATTCATCGGCAAGGCGATCGCCATGACAGAAGCAGTTTTTCCGGCTCGACTCAAGGTGCAGCACCTACAAGCGGTCAAGATCAATGCACTGAAATCGGGAATACCATGGGAGGGCTCCATTACTCTGCCGACGACAGCAACCGAGGAACTGCTTTGGTGGCGCACACACCTTCAACTATGGAACGGTCTCTCATGGGTAGTGGCCAATCCTCAGATCGACATCTACACGGACGCTTCCACGTCCGGGTGGGGAGTAGTAATCAACAACCGATCATACAGTGGCACCTGGCCGGCAACTCACTACCCCCGACACATCAACTACAAGGAATTGTTGACGGTCTTCTACGCCCTTCAGAGACCACAGGTCAAGGGTCGCACAGTCAACATCATATCGGACAACATCACGACAATCGCCTACATCAACCACTTTGGCGGAACGAGGTCGCCGGAGCTGATGAAGCTGGCGACATCAATATGGAACTGGTGCCTCAAGACCGGAACCAGGATTCGAACAACGTACGTCCCATCTGCTTTCAACCCAGCAGATGCCCCTCCCGTCAACTGACGGGCCAACTCGAGTGGTCAATCAGTCCATCCTTTTTCGACCACATGGACCAAAAATGGGGTCCCCATACCGTCGATCTCTTCGCATCTCCCGAAAACCACCATCTACAACAGTACATGACCTGGAAACCATCATCAGGCGCAATAGGTCACGATGCTCTCCGACACCGATGGCAGCCCCTAGGCAACGTTTACCTTTGCCCACCTTGGAATCTCCTCCCTCTCGTCCTGGAGAAGATTCGCCAGGAGCAGATCTCAGCAACGATCGTAACACCCCACTGGCTCTCAGCAGTATGGTACCCAACGGTCAAGATGATGTCAGTCGCAGCCCCCTTTGCGATACCGCGACACCACGTGCTTCCAGCTCCAGGAAACGCCCTCGACATTCTGGCCAAGAATCCTCATTGGTCTTTAACAGCATGGCGCATAAGCGGCGCCGCCCCGAGGACGAAGGATGCGACGACCAGCCGACCATCAAGTACGCCACCATTGAGGACCACGAGATAGTGGTCCCACATCACAAGGACGAATCGGTCCCCCATCGACCTCTCATTTGCGACGTCCGCTTCCCCAAGACAACTGTCACCAGTCAAACGATCAGCAGTCACATCGCCGCGATCACCGACCTACTCGGCCTCCCGCCGAACAAGACTCGACCCAAAGCCCGCGCGATCGGCCCTGCAGGGGCCATCAAGAAGGGCGCCCATGTCAACGACGTGATTTTCAACAATTACTACCGCCTGACGCGAGCAACCGCGACCAATTTGACGTCGTTGGTTTCTCTCATAACTTCTGCTCTGGATCCACATATATGGTCCTGGCCCGACGGATAATATCTAGCGGAGCCGAAGATATGAAGGCTCAAGCCTATTATCCGAGGGCCAGGACCATATATGTCCCGCCCTTGGATTTTTTGTTTTCCCACCCTTTTTTGTCTCCTGGCACCTGGCTCACACCACGAAGATAAGGGACAGATCTGGTGCCTGAGCAGAACTTATTTCATTTTTTCTCTTTTCACTTTCGTTTAGTTTTCTGTATTTTGCATTTTATACAATAAAAGAAGATAATACATATATGGTCCTGGCCTTCGGATAATAGGCTTGAGCCTTCATATCTTCGGCTCCGCTAGATAAAATGATGGGAACAGAAAATGCAAAGAGTGAAAGACAGTGCATACATACCTGTCTCTTATTCATAACTCCACTCGTGTCGATTTGCGCGAGACCGCATGCTTGCTCTGCTAGCTTGGCGTGACGGATAGAGTTCATAGCTACCTTCTGAGCCGTGAATATACGCAACGTTCCAGCGTCGCCTTCCAGACTCTGTACCATGAGTTCGCAAATGCTCGAATAGCTCCCTTGGCGCTGCAAATGAAGTCGTTGATATCATTGTTCGACAGGAGAAAATCAGAGAGAATCCAGTCGCAGATTCGCTTGCACTTGAAGTATTGATGAACGACGGGCTCTTTCAACTCGGCATTTGACTTGATCATCATGAGTGTCTCTTGATCCCAAAAATACTTTGGGTTATCCAGCAGCTCAGCCATGATAGATAAGCTGTCGATAGGTGTGTCTGTGTGAGTGCGGTGAGTGTGATGAGGGTGTGTTGTGCGCCTGACTGATGCAGTCGTTGAGTCAATACTATATGGTTATCAAGAGATCACACGGCACTGTACTTCACTGATTGGATTCGGTTTGAAAAGGGAAACATCGGTCATTTCTCTTACAAGCTCAAGATGACTCTCTTGTTGAGCTTGCTCATGAAAGCTCTGCACAACGGCAGAATGAATGAAGGTATCACTGTGGACCCAGAATAGTCCTTACCGCTATCGGATTCCTGGAACTCCTAAAGCTTCTAGTATGTACCATCTGATGGCACACTCTCTGAGATATGTTCGCGTGACTTTTCTCGGCCATGTCTCTTCAGGCAGTTCCTCAGTAAACATCTTCGAGAGACGCATGACCGGACCGGGCCTTTTCTTGTCACTACTGGCGATATGGGTGAGCTCTGTGATGGAGATCGAGACGCTCGAGAAGGAGCTTGTCTGCATCGACATCGCTTAAATCGTTGGTCTCCTCGGTCTTGATGTGCTTCTTGAGGCCATTGACTGTCTTAGTGGGGTAAATCTCGGCAGAGAAGGCGTTCAATGTGGACTGCCCATCAACAAGACAGAACAGGGTCACAAGGTCGTCAGCCATGGTACTGCGAAGTATCAGTGAAAATGAGGTGAATGAAGGATATGGAGAAGTCGAGGGGTGAAAGAGAAAAAGGCGAAAAGGATGAAAGAGGGTGTGAGCGTAAAAGGGAAAGAAGGATTAAAAGGGCGTAGGAACGGTGGCAAGCGCGAGGAAGATGAGAAACAAACGGAAAGTAAAGTGGAACAGAGGGCGTGGGAGCGGGAAGAAGGAAGAAAAGAATCGAGTGATGACTTATACTATTTTTCCTATCACATTAATCACAATGTTTGAAAATTTAAAACGGGTCTTGGAAAGAGTCAGCCAGGGTTCATGCCCTTTGTTAGGACATGAAATGGTAAAAATATTATGGGTTGATGATAAACAAAAGAAAGGAAGACGGTGTGGGACGAAAAGGAGATGCTCAACCAAAAATAACGCGTTCAAGGATCTGCTGTTGGTGTGCGAGGGCTGTTGCCAGAAAGTACAACGACAACAACACCATCAGCAAATTAACTCTCTGACGAACAAGAAACACGTCTTTCAACGCACCAGGTAGCGCCCATTCGTGTTCTCTCCGAATTTTCGTTCCTGGATATCGACATTGGCCAAACAAACAAATGTAAATGAAAAGGTGGACAAAATCATTCTCTGCAGAGTATTATTACATTGAACAAAAAGGAATAAAAATGCAAGGCGCTACTAGGTCAACCTTTCATGCATGCTCCATCATCTTGGTCTCCTTACGTGTCGTGTTCGCCCTCTTCTTCTCCTCCTCCACAGTATCTTCAGTTTCGCTTCCTGAGAGTTCTACAGACTCGTCCCTGTGTGAAGCGGACTTCATAGGAATGTCGTCTTCTGGTACATGGATATCCTGAAGCTCATTCATCAAGTTTTCCTGGTTCGATGCGTCGTCCTCTATCTCATCCTCACAAGAACTCTGCTTTGATTGGCTCTTGATCTCCTGTCCCGTTGGCTCCGAAACGGTTCTTTCAGTATCCATTGGCGCGGTAGTGTGCATATCTGGTAAAGAATCCGTGGCCATGGGTTGCGCCTGCTCTGATGCCTCATGTGGAGATACCAAGCTGCTCGACATGTCGCCCGCCTGACGCCCCTCGCCTATCAATTGTGGTGGGTGGATTGTCGCCTGGCTGACCTTTCTCTGCTTGACATAGGCCTGTACGGGTATCTCGGCGACACGTTTTCCTGGGGTTGTTGGTGTAGGACCGTAGGACTGTGAAACAAAAGGGTCGGTTGGTAGTGGTGGAGTCGTTTTTTTGATTGCCAAAGGTCTCTCGGGGCTGGCGTGCTTCTTCGGAGGCGACGTTGCCTTGACAGTCGAAGGGGCGTATATAGATGTCGACTCTGCCTCTGCCATTGCTTCCAGCTCAGCCATCAGCGCATCTTCGTCGTCATCGCCAGTGTGGGTAGTCTCTATCAGCAAGCTCGCGCCATCGTTCATTGCCTGATCCACCTCCTGCTGATCTGCAAACACATCAGCCAAGCGGTCCATCGTAGCGTCCACATTGTCCCTGGTCAGCATTTCCTGACCGTTCTCATCCTTGGTCGCCATGACAGAGGCAAGAGTGTTGGCGCCCAGTTTGTAGGATTGAAGGAGCTCTGCATCCGTTTCTGACGACTGAATCCTGAAAAAGATGGACGAAATCGTGTCGATAGACTTGAGCCGTTTGTTAAGCACTTCGTCAAGATGCTTTCGTTGACGCAAGGCATATGTAGCTTGTGAACGCTGGCTCTTCTTGAGACACGCCTTTGCTTTCTCTGTTAACCTAAGGAAGAAAAAAAAATGCCAGCGTGAGTGTTGTGCAGAAACAACGCATTTCAGTCACCTCACCGGAAAAAGATGACATTCACTTACTCGGCAATACGATCCTCAATGTCCTGAACCTGCTTCTCAAGCCGCCCAATAGTCTCGCGTAGCTCAATGATGCCGCGGTCTGTTTTCGTAATCTCCTGCTTTGCCTTGTCCCGAATGGTCTCCTTGTTGGCAAACTTGATAACCTAGAATGACCAAAATGCAAATCGAGGTAAATAATTGAAAGACTGGTTTCCGCACACAGCTGCAGCAACCAAATTTGAATGCATCAAAGAAAAAGGTCCTTACCAGCTCGTGATCCTGGAGTTCGTTGGCCTGCTTGCTCTCGTCCAACTTCCCGGTAACAAGCACCTTCAGCTCATATTGCATGTAGCGAATCAATATCTCGAGATCCCTGTCCGTCAAAACAATCGTTGGTCCGGCGCCTGCGACAGCCCCATCATTTGACAATGAACTCCTGGTTCGGAGAGGCAGTAATGCCGTCCTTGAAAACTTTTGTCGAAAGTCAGCAAAGGTCATTAGGTTGTCGGAGGCGGGATAGTTGACGGACTCTTGTTGGATCTTGTGGATGCGCGCAGCGGCCTCCTGAACAAAGGAAATGATCACAAATGTGTCCCGATATCCGGTTGAGGGTGAGCTCGAGGGTGTCAACCCCAATCCCAATCCTGAATTAGCTCCCCCAGAACTAGCCCCTATTCTGCCTAGGCCTAGATTTCCATTGGATGCTACCCCTGTAGAGGCCAGTGTAGGGGATGCCGAATATCCCGGCGGCGGGGTGTTGGAATCTGACAGACTCAATTGCTTGAGACTCCAGAGCAGGGGTGCCTTGACGACCTTGTGAAATATCCACCCTGTCCAGCCCACACCAGCCCAAGGTAGAAACTCGGATCGTGGTATGATAACACCCATCCTGGTCATCTCGCTTAGGACTGTCGGAAGAGATTGAGGTCGCTTTTCATCTCTCCTGTAAAACTTTGTTGCAAGGTGGTCCAGCTCTAGCTCCAAGATTCCGATAGCGGCCCCTGTGGGCTCATACCGTGGTTTGGCTCTAGAAGTTCCACCGCCGCTGTCTGCTTGCCCGGAATTATGTGTATAAGGTGATATCGTGTAGAGGAATGAGTCGTCATGGGGAAGGTAGGCAGATAAGAGTCCGTTTCGTGCCGCTCCAAGGATGGCTGTCTGCCACCAACCAACGTTGGCCTCGTATCCGAAAGGGTTGGTCTCCTTGAGCTTGTCGAATTCCGAGTAGAGCGACTTGTAGCGAGATGGGCTGCACTTGCCCGGAAAATTTGCGAGGTATGTGGTGAGTGAAGTCGGACGGCTGGGCTTGGAGCTCTGTGGGGAGTCAGGGGGAACCATGGGTGGTGATGGTGTTGGAGGTGTGCCAGGCGAGTTAGGCGATGTGTTATTGTTGGTATTGGTGATGTGTTGTCGCCATTGGTGGTAGTCAGGGTCTGTCTTTGTTGCCATGTGGTATAATAGATTGCGATGCAGCTGCCTGGTGTGTGATTATGTTGAATGATGTGCAAATGGATTCCCTGTCTCCTGTTCTTGTGCCTTGCGCCTTCCTCGTTGTCGTTGCAGTTGTAGTTGTAGCAGGCTGTCGGAGCCCTGTCAAGGTGTCTGTGGTTGGAGATGACTTGAGTGGTTGTAGAAGCAACACAAGAATGAGAAGGACTCGCGTGATAACGCACTAGAAGAAGGTGCGGATGGTGCGTCGTCGTCCTTGTTGCAGTCGTGTTGGTGGTGTGAGTGAGCTTGAAGTGTGTCTCGAAGGTGAATCTGACAGAGAGTATGTTGGTGGTGGTGCGAGTGTGATGTGTGTGTGGTTGTGAACACAATAGAAAAAAGAAAAATGAAAGAAAATAAAACAAGAAGCAGACACGGTAATTTTTTTTTTGGCGGCAGACAGACGGCCAGTCGGATGGTTTTCATTATTTCATCATGTTCATGTTCATTGCACACGTGGTGTGGCACACATAGAAGGGAAGATTGCATGATCGCAAACACAACGTCGCGCTCCTTGTCTTCTTATCGTGTTTGTTCTTTTCTTCTTCTCCTTCCTTCTTCTTCTTCTCTCTCCCTCGCTCTCTCACATACGCAGACACACACATATCCACAACCACAATGACCTCCACTCTCACCGGCACCAGGCCTTCTGTCCCCCAAGATCCCACCCTCGCCATCACAAACTGCGACTCCTTCGAAGGCCAGACTCTTGCCCTCGCTCTCGCCGACTACCTCGAACACAAGCACAACTACAACAACTTCAAAAAGGTTGGCAAAGAGGGTGGAGGCCATGACCATAACGAACCATCGAAACCTGCTCCACCCGTCGTCTCTCAACTTGTCTGTCTCACCCGCGACAAGAACAAGTGTGGCGACCTCAGCAAGCGCGACTCCTGCAAAGTTGTCCAAATCTCTTACGAAGACCCAAACACCATTGGGATCGCTCTTCGAGGTATCCATACTGTTGTCTTTGTTCCCGAGATCGAACCCCAGCGGGTCGACTGGGCTGACCGTATTGTCGATGTCATGAAGCAAGAGAGTGTGACGCGCTGTATCGCCATCTCGAGTATTGGCACTGATGCCTCTGACAAGGACCAACTCGACCGTTTCCGTCGTGTCGAGGACCGTGTCAAGAAGGATCTTCCCCGCTGGACCATCCTCAGGTACTTTTGACATACAGGCAGTTCTTGTCTCGTCTTGGCATTGATTTCTTGATCACACGCACTTTTTGCTTTTCTCGGTGTATTTGCATCATCATCATTTTTCAATGATCGTGATCAAGGCCATCACCACCTAGTACACACTAACCTCCTTCTTCTCTCTCTTACACTTATGCATGCACCGACATATCACCTTCCCCTTTACTCCCTTTCCTTCTTTCTCTTGTTTCTGCTGTTTCCCACTCTACTCTGTTCACCCCTATCTAACTACCAACGAATGAAAAAAAAAATCCCTCCTCCTCCTCCTCCTCCTCCTCCTCCTCCTCCTCCTCCTAAATAGAGAGGGATTCCCATTCCAGGCGCTGTTCTACTGGATCCCGATGGTGCAAGACCAAGGTGTGCTGGGGATGCCGATCAAGCGGGACATTGAGTTTGCGCCCCTCGACATCACCGATCTCGGCCGGGCATTGATCTCGGTGACTTTTCCGTCTAAGCATCACCCTGGCGGAAGTGATAGTGGTAAGGTTGTGCTTGGCGAGTTCCCTTTGGATGATGATATCCGAAAGTCACTCGCTAAGCTCAACCTCACTGGCGCTCATTCTCGCGCCGCACACGAAGCCGTCTCTACCTTCCCCGTGACTCCTTCGACTGTCATCACTCCTGCTGGACCTGGAGACGGCGACGATCGACACGACGGACAGATCTACACCCTGACTGGACCAGAGACTGTCACCGGACCCAAGCTCGCCCATGCACTCACCCGCGCCTTGAAATCCGACAAGAAGCACAAAGACAAGGTGACTCTCAGCGTCTTTACTCATGTTTCTTTGCTGATAAGCTACCACTACGACTACGTTTCAATTTTTTATCACGCTTGTATGCAACTCCTTATCCATTTCTCTTTCTCGACCGAGTTAAATCTATTTTTATTGTTCACGCGTGAACCGCAAACACACATTAACCAAGGAAACACACATCTTCCTCACAACAAAACAATCCATGATAGCACCCGGAGCCGATCGTGTTCAAGGAGCTGACGCGCGAAGAGTTCCGCGACTACTTGCTCACTCTTCGAATCAAGTCTGGTGGCGCTATCCCGATGACCACCGCTGGATTCCAACCTGTGACCAGCTTCTTGCGATTCTTTCAGCACATGACCAACGCTGTCAAAGGTGTCCATCATCATCACCCCCAGTCACCCGCCAAAGAGAAGGACGAGAAGTTTTCTTCTTCTTCTCCTGCCAAGATTGCATCCCAGTTTGATGTCGCCAAGACTACTGCTGCTGAGGGCAACGATGACGACGGTGTTGCTTTGATTAATGCTCTGAGTGACGACGACAGCTGCCCTGGATGCAAGTCACCCAAGAAGGGACACGCACCCGTGTTGGAAGCACCCAACGACACGGAGATCGATTTGGTCTTGGAGCTGTTGGATTACATCAACGAAAGCCGAGCGACCTTCCAGTCGGGTGATCTGCTAAAGATCACTGGCGAGCGAGGCAACAATGCCAAGGCGTTCTTTGAGGAGCACGCCTGCAACTTTCACCAGAGTCAGTCGATTGCCGTTGACAAGAACAGTTCTCCTTCCTTTGCTCCTGAGTCGACTCTCCACAGTGAGGGACAGCAGCGAGTTGCCTGAGCGACTAGCTGCTGCTCTCGAAACCACCACCACTACCACCACCTTCACTTCCATTTGGGCAGAGGACATGATGATGTTGCACTAATCTGAATACTGTGTCGTACTCCATACTGCTCCAGGAACAACAGCATGCTTGCTTTCGTTTATACTTTGTTGCTTCCCCCTCCGCTCTGTCTTTGCTATCCTCTTCCACACCCTTTAGTCCTCTTTTCTTTTCATTCAACCCCTTTGTTTTCTACCAAAAAATAAAGTCGCGTCGAGTTGCTTTCAAATGATCGATCGGTATCACATGATTCCGGAATGCAATCATTTCGCTCTCAATTTTTTTTCTTCGCATGTTCTTGGCTGCCCACATCCTTTCTCCTCTTCCTTCCTTCTTCACTAATCCAACCTTTAGCCGACCATCCATTCACCATGAAAGTCGTCGGCCTCACTGGTGGCATTGCCTCAGGTATACTCACACCCACTCTTCTCTATTGGAGGACACTGTTGGCAACTGCCATCCGCATCCCTCATTCTGCTGCCTCGGCAACATCCATGCCCGTGCACCTTGTCTCGTTTCCTGTCGGGCTGTTGGAACGCTTCGGCTCGTCTTTTTTCTCCTTCCAAACTGCATTATTACAAATTTTTGCCACTAAAAAGACTCTGACTGACTCCATCGACATATTTTCTTTTCTCTACTCTTATCCAATCCTCACACCCAAAAGGCAAATCAACGGTCGCAAAGACGATTCAATCGCTCAACATCCCGCTCATCGACTGCGACCTCCTTGCCCGCCTGGTCGTCGAACCAACGCATGCCTGCTATCGCAAACTCGTCAAACATTTCGGCACCGTTATCCTCCAGAACCAACAAGACGGTCAACCTCTGGATCGATACAAGTTTGGAACTATTATCTTTTCGGATGCTGCTCAACGACGGATTGCGAATGGTATTATTCACCCGGCGGTCAGGGATGAGATTCTGAAGAGGTTGTTCAAGTATTGGATTAGGGGTATTTCTTTAGTCGTTGTGGATGTTCCCCTCTTGCTTGAAGGAGAGCTCTGGCGTATCGTCAGCGACGTCATCGTCGTCTACTGGTAACTTTTATGCACGTTTTGGTTTTGATTAACTTTGTCAACTATTACACTGTCTACCAAGAAAACAATGGCTCTAATGTTTCCCTTTGTAACATTCCTCGATTCAAAATAGCCCGCCAGAGGTGCAATTGGAAAGAATCAAAACACGGGACGGCTTATCAGAAGAAGACGCCCTGGCGCGCATCAACGCACAAAGACCACTCATCGAAAAAGTCGACTATGCGGACCATGTCATCTACAACACCTCCGACCTCGAATCCCTCAACACCGCAACCCTCAAAGTCTTGGAGACCATCAAACCAAGTCCCTTCTGGACCGCCCTCGCCTGGTTCCCTCCCTTTACGGTTCTCTTGGCTGGATGGGTCATTGTCAAGAGACACTTGAAGGGCGATCCTAGAAAGACTCTGGATAGCAAGAAGAAGAAGAACGATGATGATGGTCATTCTATGGCCGCTGAGCCTACTCCTACTTCATCATCTACTCTTGCACCTCCTACGCACGCGTCTTAAAATCACTAGAGAGTAATAATTAAATATATACCGTTTTTACTTATTTTCGTTCATATCTTAGTTTTGGTGAAATGGGTGGGGATAATACTAATACTAGGGGGATGGGGAGTTGGTGTTGAAGTTATGGCTATGTGCTAGGGTAAGGGGTGAAGACTGTGCAGTGGTGTAGGGGGGGGAGGAGTGAAAGGAAAGAAGGGTGGTATGGACAATAACGAGAAAAATAGATGAAAGAAAAGAAACGTTGATACAAATATTTTCAGTTTGAAAATGGTTTTTTATGCTCGCTTTCGTGGCTTGACATCGATTTCGTTCACAGAATGCAACATAATCTTGTTTTGTGTCTGAGCCGTTGCTCCCGTATGACCCTGTGGAGTACATTTATACGAGATGAGGTGAAGAATAGTCAGCAATTGGTATTAGTCTTGCCTCCTAACAGCACCATAGGTAAAAGAAAACATAAGAAATCGACGAAAATGTTACCTTGTTCCAGTCGTAGCTGACGGCATAGGCAAAGATACTGCCGTTGCGGTTGAAGCACGTTGTTGAGATGGGGCTACCGACCTTGGGGAAGGTCTTGAGCTTTTGACGAGAGTCCTTGTCCCAGAAGGCAAACGATCCATCCGCTCCTGCAGTCGAGAATGTCCCGTGGATGGGGTGCCAGTTGATACAGTTGACAGAGTACACCGTAGCCTTGTCGCGGACAGTCTGTCCACCCTCGCGATGGCACTTGAACGAAAAGTTGAGTGAGGCATCCTTGTCCTCGACATACTGAATAGCGACACGTCCTTCGATACTGCCGATTCCATATCCTGTGCCAGCAGGGAAACACGAGATGGTCCTAGTTTGCCACTTCAATGGACTGGTCATGGACTTGAAAGGAGTCGAAGGGTTGTTGAGGTTGTAGATGACCAGATGACGATCAGCAGTGGCTGCGACCAGCAGAGGGAAAACACTGTCCATGGCATAAAGTCGTTCCGGGAGGTTGACGGTAGAGATGGGTGTAGGTTGCCGTGTATCCCAGTATTTGACAGTCTTGTCCCAGCTTCCGGTAGCCAAGATCGGGCTGGCTCCGTCCACCCATCGGACCTCTTTGATTGGCGCATCGTGCTGAGCGACTTGTGTAGACTGTCCTGTGGAAATGTCGAACAACTTTGCAATTTTGTCCGCGCCACCCGACACTAGCTTTGTTCCGTCCTGTATGATATAATAGAAGGCGAAGAGGATAATAGTTTTCGGGTTAGTAATATTCGATTTTTTTTCGACCATCCATGCGCTGCGCCCAATGCAATTGAGTCCATGCAGTCAATGATTGCTCTCTATCTTTATCGTACCTTGCTCCATGCGCAGCAGAGTGCGGGTGCGGAGTGTTGGTACATGGCCTTGGCGACGCTTGTTCCGTTTGGTTGAATCTCATAGATGCGGACCTAATTTTGAAAAGAAAACGTAATTAAATTCTAAACGTCCCGTCTTTGTGTCGCTGTCCTGTTTTCCCAATAATGCTCCTGCTGTCTGCGGTCCAAATTATTTACGTTGTTGTCCCACGAAGCCGCTGCGAGCAAGTCTGCTGTAGGGGAGAACTGCATCTCCGAGATACCGTCTGTTGGGGGGTGTTGAACCTATGTGTGTGAGAGAGAGAGGCAGTAGTAACGTGTTTTGTTGTGTTAGTTTATTCCTCTGCAAGTTTTTGTTGTCAAGGAAGTAATTCCTTTTTATCAATCATCGTGCAAAAAGTGATCTTTATGAGCTGCTATTTGTTGTGTGTGTACCTCCATGTCCTGTGAGGCCTGGTTTGACTTGATCATGGCAGCAAAGAGGTGAGAGTGTGCGTGTGTTTGTTGTAAGGAAGGGGGAATCTATTTGCGAGTTGGCGTTTGCGGTTGTTGCGGAGTGGGAGTGAAGTAAGGGTGGATTGGAGTAAAGGAGGGAGGAGAGAATGAGAGTGTGGGGGTGTAGGAGTGTGGGAGTGTGGGAGTGTGGGAATGAATGGAAGAAGCACCACGTTCGGAGGGAACACTTTATGAAAGTTCGACAAAGTGCCTCGCCTTCTTAGTCCTTGCAAAAAAAAAACTTGCGCCGGTGGCTGGAAGCCTGGAACTGGTAGATGTCACGTGCACCTTTCATGACATTTGTCCTCTTTCTGCTTTGCCGCTTTTCTCTTGCAACGGGCGACAGCATGCACAGCGACAAGCATTCGACAATGGCTGCCATGGAGATGATCCCGGACCTTACTCACTACTCCAAAGGACTAGGCTCAGACACGTTTCCTCTCAAAGTCACCACACCCCAGGACAACATCCCAAGCAGGGACAACAACGGCGACGGCAACAACACCCTCACTGTCAATTTCACAGTAGTGACGCTCGAAAAAGGAACAGCAGAGATCACATTGGACGGCCAAGGCTTTCGCGTCGTCTCCCTCTCCCTCTCACCACAACTCACCAACCTCCAGCTATCAGTCCGCCAAGAAGAGGCTGTGTCAGGGCACACATACGAGACCATCGAGGCCCTCCTCATGGCATTGAGTCCAGGCTTTGAAGCATTCTTTGGTCAGGAACTCGCACAAAGACTCGAAAACGTGTCCTGGGATCAAAATCGGTTTCAACACTCCAGTGACGATGACAGTGCCGATGACTCGGGCAACGAAGATCGGTGATAACAGCGTCACTTCCTGCTTGTTATCGACGTAGCACCTTCATTCCATTTCGCGCACATCTCGCGGCAAACAAAAAAAAACAAGATATAAAAAACACGACAGCCTTCAATTATTTTCGTTCTATTCATTGCCAAGCAGCTGTGGATCCAAACTTTTTGGGCGTCGGGAGATATATGATCTCATGGCACTGTTACACGATTCGGCTGTGGTTATGATACAGTTAGGCTTTTCATTTATTACAAGCAGCAAGAACGAAGTGATAACAAAAAAAAGGGGGAGGGAATGTAAACTACACAATACTGGCAGAAGCAAAAGGCGTCGCACCTATGACCATTAAACAAACAAAAACTACGACTTCAATCGCCGACAAAAAAAAAAGCAAAGAGGAAATAAAAGAAATGAAGAATAAAGAACAATTGTATGGCGAATGTACAGACATTTCCCCTTTGACTACAGCTGTATATTGTTTTTGTTGCGGGTATGAGGGACCTCATAGTTTAGGCACGGTAAGGATTAGAAGGCAACCCATTCGGAATAACTGGTTTCCGGTAGCGAGGGTGGTTGGGATGACTGGCGCGCGGAGTCGATGTCGACGATGAGGAGGCAGCTGCATTTGAAAGCAACGGTGATGGTGGGTGGGGCGAGCCGCTCCTGTTGAGGGATGTTGGGGTCAGCATCGGTGCTGGGGTCAACATGGGAGAGCCTCGAGCAGTCATACCTCCATTGGTACTGCTCGAGTCCGAAAAGAGTCGTGCATCGTATTGTGGAGAAGGGTAGTTGCCATGCTCGTATCCGTATGAAGCAGAGGGTGGGTATGGAGGTTGGGTGTAGTTGGGATCCAGATATTGTGTCGAGGGTGGTGCTGGGATGCCCAATTGATGTCGGAATACATTGATAATCTCGTAGAGTGTTTGCTGTCTGGCATTGGGGTCCTCGGTCCATGCCTGAGTGTAAACTGCGTGGTACCATGGAGGGGTGCCATCAATCATTCGTTCACGAGCGCCTGGTCGGAATGTAGAAAAGTCCTTGAAGGGGTATCGACCGGCCATGATGAACCAGTAGATGACACCCAGCGCAAAAATGTCGCATCGGATGTCGTAGCGGGGTCGATTCTTGGCCATTCTCTCGGGAGCCATGAACTGCCAGACACCCCCAAACTGTTGACTTGAAAAGGCATTCTTGTTGTCACGGATGCGTCGAAGTCCAAAGTCGGTGAGGCGGGCAAGATAGCGGCCCTCGTGAGCCGCGCGGTTCCTGCGGAGGTCGATCAGAATGTTTTTGGGGTGGAGGTCTCCATGGTGGAACCCGCAGTTATAAAGATGCCCCAGACCTACGGCGATGTCCATGGCGAGGTAAAGTCGGTCTTCCAAGGAGGGGGCCTCGGGTGCACCTACAGGGGCTTCGAGCAACTTGACAAGATCTCCGTGCTCGTAGTACTGCATGATCATGAATCGATCTCCATTGCGTTCATCGCCACAGTTCCTGATAGCGACTCCATAGAACTGAACCAGGTTATCGTGGTGACCACACTGGTTCATCACTTCGACCTAGTACATTAGTTATTATTGAATTGGGTTGGGGAATGTGAGTTACTGCATATTTAGCCAATGCATACACAAATGCATAATAATAGAATATATGGACAGGGGCACAAGGTTGAGGTTGGGTGTACAAACCTCCTTGTCAAATAGTTTGGCGATCTTGGCTGGGGTGTGCTTGGTGTCGATTAGACTCTTGAGAATGACGACAGCCTGGCGCGAGGCCCATTGGGCACGACGAATCTCGCCGTTGCCACCCTTGGCGATCCGTTGGCGTTGGGTGAACTCTGCGAGGTAGTCGTAATGAGGCACGGGAGGAGCCACTCCCATGGGGGCGATCATGTTGAGGACCGAGGTCAAGAAATAGTCTCCATCGACCCCTTCAAGACTGTCGGCTGCTTGGGGTGAGACGGAAGGTGATGGGGAAGGGGGAACAGCGACAGCCCGGACCGTCCCCTGAGGCATCATCACCTTGGAGGAGGTCGAGTTGTTGGAGTTGTCGGAGAAGGCCAGGCTGGGCATCTCGGTCTCGACAGATCGGCCCGACGAAGGTGTCATCGAATGACATTCAGTTCCAGGGTAGCCGGATGCATGTGAGGGTGGATAAAGGTGCTGTTGCTGTTGTTGGTGTGTTGACTGTTGATAGTTGAAGGTGGGGTTGGCTTGCTGTTGTTGCTGTTGTTGCTGTTGCTGTTGTTGGTTGTGGTACTGTTGAAATTGCTGTTGATACTGCTGGAGATGGGACAAAGGTGGTTGTGGGAATGGATATTGTGGGGGGTACTGTTCTCCTTGTGCTTGCCCTTGCGCCTGTTGACCTTGCCCTTGGCCCTGCTGAATCATTTGGAACTGCTGTTGATACTGGCGCTGTTGTTCGAGACTTGAGGGAGCGTTGTAGGCATAATGCTGGATCATTGCGTTGTGTGCCTCAATGGGTCGAGAGTCGAGGTCCATTCCGTCCGAGTTTGAGTTTGCCGACATGTTGGAGGAGTGGGTGAGACTGGGGGCAATGTCGATTGTGTTGTCGGTGTTGGTGGTTGTGTTCTGGTAGTCATAGGGCGGATACATCTTGGTTTGAAGGTTGGTTGGTTGAAGTGAAGGGTGAAGAAGGGTGGAGTGGATAGGATAGAAAAGATATGACAGGAAGAGAAGAGGCGTAGTTTTTCAAAAGGTTTAGTAGAGAAGAAAGAAGAGAGTGCGGGTGGTGACGAGAGTGAGAGAGAACAGAAAGAAAAGGGTGACGAAGGGGTGTTCAGTCAGGAAAAAGGGCTGTGGATGGTTGGATTGGAAGGAAGACAACACGGATGGACGATGTGAAGGAAAATATTTTTGATGTACCGTTGTTGTAGTAGTATGTCTTTTTTTTTACTTGTAGATGTTTTAGGTGGTGAAAGAAAGGAGCGCGTGTCGTGTGAAGAAGGAGGAAAAGAAACAGAAGGAAAGAAGGAAACAAGGTTGAGTTTTGAGAGTCAGGGGTGGAAAAAAAATCCAGAGAGCGCGAGAAAGAGCAACAAACAACAAAGGAGAAACAAGGAATAAGAACTAAGAAATAAGATATAAGAAATAAGAATTACAACAAACAATAAACGATATGAAATAGAAGAGCTGAGAAGAACGAAGAACGAAGAACGAAGAACGAAGAACGAAGAACGAGCAAGAAAAAAAGTGGCCAAGGAGGAGCGATCAAGGATCAAGACTGATAACGTTGCAAGAGACAAAGAAAGTTTTTAAGGGTCAACCATAAGCGAGGGATCAGTAATAAAACTAACAGGCTGATGGTGGGTGGAGGGGGTGGGATTGGGAGGTAAAGTGGAGTGGAGTAAAGAAGGAAAGAAGGGAAAGAAGGAGAGAAGAAATGAAAACGAGTGAGCAGCAATGCTTAAATAAATGCAACAACGACATTCCTTTCTCAGAGCAGTGAGCAAACAAGATCGTACTTGTTCTAGTGCCTGTCGCTGCAATGATGATGGTGAGCGGATTACCTTCCATTGGAGCAAACAGCAAAGGTGGCGAGTAGAATGCTTGAGTGGCAGCGGTCGGTTGTTCGGATCGGGTTGGTGTCTTTCACAGCATCGTACTACTCAAGCATGTACTATTGTTACACGTTTACAATAAGGTGTCATGTGAGCACTGTTCTTCCCCAAGAAATCGAACAAGGGGACCTTAGGCCATGCACCTACCCATCGGGGTAACTCTGCTTCCATGGAAGGCAAAGGCAATAGAGCAAAAAAGGAAGAAAGGATTGTTGTTCTTTCGAATTGAACTTCTGTACGACATGTCGACTTCCATCAAAAAACCCCCCCGTAAAGTTTTGGCAACACAGGGGCAAGGGTCGATAGATCGGTAAACATTGCATCAACACAAAAAAGAAGAAAATGTCGATCGGAGAGAAAAGTGACGCTGACACGGACACTGTAGTGGGACAATGAAGAAAAAGAAAATTCTTTCGTGGCAAGTTTTTTTCCGTATTTCGTGTCGTTTGAGGTTGTTTTCTTGTCCGATCCTTGGCAACATCATCATACATCCTATATCCATTCCCATTCAAAGCTCCAACCCTTTCTACTAAGCCTCCTCTTCCCCTCCCATCATTGTTCCCATGATACAACTATTTCACGCCATTCCTCTCCATTTCCTTCCCTCCCTCCGCCGTCCTTCCTTCAAGAAAAGGATCGGGCGTGTCGATTTTCCTTTCTTGTTTAATTTTTTCTTCGCCCCGCGGAAGAATGCACCGCTGTCTACCTCGCCCCTCTGTCTATTAAACGCCGATTTGACTGTAGGAAACCTTCGCGTCAATTGGCAGGGTCATTGTTGTCCTCGCTCTTTGCTCTCCGTCGGAAAATAAAGGGAAGGATGGCTCCAGAAACGCTGCGTAAAGTTTTCGATTTTGCCACCAACATTCGATAGGTCGATCCATTGAAATATCGGTGGCTTTGAAAAATGGTGCACACAAATTCGTACAATCCCCATCAGCACTCACTCATACATGCAACATACCCACATAAACATCCAGGCAGGACACACATCCAGAGTATTCGACACATCCATCGCCCTCGTGCTCCCAGCGACATCAACATCTTCAATCAACTACCAGCAGCAATACTTGTCTCAGTCAAGACACCTATCAGTAATAAGGAAGGCTATATAAACAACCAACCAAACAGATCGAATGGCCTATAATCAACAACACGGTGCGGCAGTGCCCCAGTACACCCCAGAAGAGATTGCCTACTGGGCGTCAATGGGCTATGTCATGGACCCATCCTACGTTGCACCTGCTCCTGCTGTCCCTACTTACCCTCAATACCCACAACAACAACAACAACACCAACAACAACAACAATACCAACCATACGGAGTCACTGGGCCATCGATAGTAGGAGGAGTAGGTCGTGGGGGCTATGCAGCAGGAGGAGGGCGACACGGCGGAGGGGGCGGAGCAGGGCCAGGAGCAGGAGGCTATCATGGTCACAATGGATCAAGAGGTCCAGTGGCAGGACCTGGATTTAATAGCAGCTATAACCAACCCTACGGTATCCCAGGAGCTGTCGAAGAGCCGCCGGTCTCGGAATACGAGGATCTCAACAAGCTTTTTGTCGACCCCAAGAAGGCCCAGGAAGAGGCCGAGGCTGTTGCTGCTGCTCTTGCTGAGGAGGAAGACAAAGCTGCCAAGGCCAAGGCTGCCGCTACCGTCATCCGCAAAGCAGCCGGCAAGACCTGGGAGGACTCTACCCTTCTTGAGTTTGAAGAAAGTACGTCTTCCTGTTTCTTCTGCTTGTGGTTCAATTGTGATATTTGCCTAACGGCTTTTCTTTTCGATCTCACTTGAAGGCTTTATGCAAGAACACATATTTCGTTTTGCTGAGCACACCCAACTTGTTTGTGAATGGATTGAGATTATTTGTATACCTCTTCTATCTCTTGTCTGGACATAACCACCTAACCCATTGTCTTCTTTTGTTTATTTGCGCCTCAAATAGATGACTTTCGGTTGTTTGCTGGAGATTTAGGAAACGAGGTGACGGACGAGATACTGACAAAGACCTTTTCCAAATACCCGTCGTTTTTGATGGCCAAGGTCGTCCGGGACAAGCGCACCGACAAGAGCCGCGGCTATGGCTTTATTAGTTTCGCAGAACCCGATGGCTTTGCCCGCGCCTGGAAAGAAATGAACGGTACTTACCATGTCGTGGCTATTACGTTACTATACGATGCTTGTTTGTTGTTATCTTGTGTGCAGAGAAATATACTAACTGTTCATTGTGTTGTTTCAACTTGGTACTAATAGGAAAATATGTTGGAAACCGCCCGATCAAGTTGAGGAAAAGTCAATGGAAGGATCGCACTGTGGAGATTGTCAGGGAACCAAAGGCTCCTCGTGGTCCCTATGATCCCGAAGCCTTTACTAAGAAGGAACGTGCCAAGCCATACAAGGTCAAGAAACTGAACAATGCTGGAAAGTAATCTTACTCTCTCTTTTGCCTTTGTGCTTTTGCTGTTGCTTTTTTGTTTTATGGCCATTGCAGATAATAAAAGCATTGGACGTTCTATTTTTTGGCGCAACATTGTCTTTTGTTTGGTGTTGAGCTCAAATTATTGCTTTACTGCATGTTCATGTGTCCAAGGTACACAGATCGATTACCGTACTTTATTTAAAAAATGAGTGATAATGATACTTCAAAGCCCAAGGTCAGATCGGAACAAGGAAAACTCACGCTTGACCATGTCAGGTCGAACAATGGGCACCCAATCCTTGGCCATCTTTGCGTATCCAATAGAACTGAAATGGCGTCCGTCTTGCCAGTACAGATTTCTGCGCTTCATTTCAAAGTTGCCCGCCAGATCCACTTTCAGTCCTGGGAGCACGCCATCCGAGTTCCTAGAAAAGAGGAAAGAAATGGATCGGGTTAGTCCTGCTGTCTTTCCTAGATCTACCTCCAATCTTTTATATGTCCACTGAACCATGGGGACGTACTTGTCGCAATAGGCTTCGATGAGTTGGTTCCTGGTCAAGTTGTCGGCCATTTGCTCCTCGGACAGGTAGGTGTCATCACCGGCAGTGGGGATGGTGCAGAGGTAGATAGATTTTTTTTCTTTTCCTGTCCTCTTCATTGCCTGACAGATCAACTCCAGGTTTCGCACTGTCTCCTGTGGCGTAATCGATGGGTCCTTGCGCCTATTTTTGTTTTTGGTCCAATAAGTAAAATCGTCAGAGTAGTAGAATAACACATGGTACAAAAGTAAAAGGGCATAAACAGGAAGACATACAGGACGTCGTTGGATCCGAGCATGACGATGACGATCTCTGCTTTGAGATACTTGGGATCCTGGAAGAGTTTTGTCAACAGGGCTGGCTTTTCCATCCGTTTCTATCAGATTAATTGAGATGTGAAGAGTTAGGTTTGGTGTTTTATTTCTCGACCACCAATGCATTCGCAACGAAAAGTAATCGTGGACCAAGAACGTACTGAATCGGCAGGGTGCAGCCAATCTTCGGTAGAGGCCTTGTACTCCCCACGATTAAACAGCTGCCACGATTGGCGAATGGAGACTTCCTTGGCCAGTTCTCTTCCAAGTTTATGTGCCAATCCTACATCGATTGAAGAGAGTGATCTGTAAGTCCCGTTCCCCGTACTCATCGCGAGTCAGTGGGTGTGATCTGATTGATAGGGACAGTTTATATACCTGATCCTGCGGTGAGAGTGCTGTAGTCGCCTACTCCTAGAGCGTGATCATCGCCTATAGAGGGATTAAATGGTTCAGCAGCGTTAAGAGACGAGAAACGTACAAAAGAAGACGAAGCAATTGAATGTGCGAACAGGATCGACGTGTTGTTACCTAGCACCACGATAGTGTGGTTGTAGCTTCCCTTTGTCCTCAGTTTTGGTTCATACCACTATTTGATGCAAGTAATTGTGTCTGTGAGTCTTGACAAAGTGCCTTCTTCCTGTCTTCTTGCCACAACCCATTGCATTGCACGTCGTTTGCACAAGAAGAGATTCATGCTTACTCTTGCAAAGTAGATGAATCCGAGTTTGAAATAGAAAAGAGAGACAGTGAAGAAGACTTTGACTGTCCTGATGAGTGCATTTATGGCCTCCATGGGAATTGGGTTTCCTGTTTCCTTTGATGTTTGTGTTGATGGATGTTTGAAGAAAAAGGGGAGAATGTAGAGAGAAAAAAAAAGTAAAAAAAGCGTCGAGGGGGTGCAGGTCGTCATGAGGGATTATTTTTAATACGTCGTGTCTCCGCATATGAAAATAGCGTTGAAAAAGTCGACGCGCTGAGGTCATTCATTTGTGATGGCATTGAGAGCAGTGCACCCCAATCTTCCCCCATTTTCGTTAATTTTCTGTTCAACAACACCAACACTACCAACAACACCAACAACACAAATCGATGCAGCAGCAACAGCAATATCACCCCTCAAGCGCATGGAGCAACTAAACACTCCCTCACAGACAGGAAACAAACAACTGACTACCACAACAAGAAACTCCACCGGTAAACCGTTAACAAAATCGCCGACGAGTTTATTATCTATCACAAGGGCCGCGAGGTCAGGGTGAGGCAGCAGAAGCTGGAGCTTAAGCTCGAGGAGGCGGCACGACGCAAGGCGGTGGCAGAAAGGCGTGCGAAGGCTAAGGAGGCAGCAAAGGCAGATCAAGGCACGCAGGAAGAGATAGCAGAGGAGGCCTACCAGCTCCTACCGGACATCACAATACAGCAACAAACAACACACAGGTACAATCACGTTGTCATGGACCCAGACACACAGGAGTCCATAGAGAGCTGCAGGAAGGAGTCCAGGCCTGGCCTGAAACACGTCTACTTCGATAGTTCAATGGTGGACAAGGGGAAGGAGACGTGCGCCATGGCCTTTGCAGTCGTGGGAGAAGAGCAAACGGTGGTGAAAGGAAACACCAAGGGATTCGCATCATCAGTGAAAGTGGAAGTAATGGGATTGATCGCAGGGATCATCGCAACACCACAGGACCACGAACTCTGCATCCGACTCGATAACCAAACGGTGGTGAAACAGTTCAGGGAGGTCGTTGTCAATCGGAAGCGAGCGTCGGTGAGAGAAAAACTGAGGTGCGATTACGCTGCAGAGTGAGCGGTGATCGCACGGATAGGCGGCGAGCGCACAGGGCCAACAACAGTCGAGTGGCTCAAAGGCTACAGCGGAAACGAATGGAACGGAAAGGCGGATATGGCGGCAAAGGAGGCGCAATCACAAGGCGGAACGGCATGGGAGGTGGACAGAACCGTCCACGACGACATCAATTACTCTGCGACGATGTCCGGCGTGATCCTCGATCAGGACACGAGATAAGTGCTCAAGATGTAGACTACCAGACGCTGGCACCAGGAGTGGGGGGCGCTCAGGAGGATCAAGAGATCAATTCAAGACTACGAGGGCACAGACTGGCTTGGCACCCTTTCAAACATACGTAGCAAACAAACTAGTCAACATTTTTCAGTTCACAGCAGGATATACGCCTACGCAGCCATAGGATAAAGAAGGTCCACGGAATGTTGCCTACCATGGATGTCTTACGTGCCAGGCGTCCAGATCTGTACAAGGACGACTTTTGCCGACATTGTAGTCTAGAGACCGAGGATAATGAACACAACTGGACGTGCACCAAGAGCAGTGGGAACGAGAGGAGCTGTGGGAGGATGCCGTTGACCGAGTCGACGGATGGGAAAAGATCGTCAGACGACAGTTCAACAAACAGCGACAGAAGCAGCTCTAGCCAGGAAAACAGCCATCCCCCGAGACTGTATGGAGGATACCAAGAACCAGCAAGCTCCGCAAGGCGCTGTGTCAGACGACCAAGCGGCCAAGCTAAGGAGAGGAGGAGGAACCGGAACAACACATCCCGAGCGTGTGAACAGTCAGCCACATCTACCGAGGCCTGGTGCCGAAAGCCCTATCTACGCAGTGGAGCAAGGTGTTTAAGGAGGTAGCAAAGAGCATTACCCAGCACGTGAGCCGTCTCTTTTGCTGATATGCCGAGGAGGTCAGCGAGCAGTTATGGAAGTCACGCTGCGAGAGGACCATCAGGTGGAAGGAGGAGAACAGCATCAACAGCAGCATGAAGCGCGCACGCGCCGCTAAGGACCGGAGGGCACAGTGGACACAGACCCACTGGTGGCAACAGATCTATGGGCGGAAACTCTGAGAGGACAAGTGCCTTTGCGGATGAGCCGTAGCAGAACACAAGGAACAGTGGTGCCTAGGCTAGCAGAGCGATATTCGAGTGGCTGATCGAGCTGTCGTCGACATCCTGTTGGGCCTGAGGCGCATGGATATTATGGGAAGGAGAGGCAACATGGTCATCAAGGAGTTGGAGGAGAAGCGCACCTAGCTCTCTTGAACGCATCCCACAATGCAACGAGGTCGTCTGGGCTCGCACGCGTCGTTCCTAACCCGATGAGGACGGGTTATTCAATCTTCATGTGCGCCGCACGGTTTAGGATGCTTTACTGAGTGAGGTAGACAAAGTGCACGTACGATGAACACTTAAACAGCTCCACTTTTAATTGAATAAAATCGATGTGTCGTCACGGACAGGCATCTTTGCGTTGAAACCCCCCCCCAGTATTGTCCATTTTACTTAAAAAATGCGTAATGGCCAAGAACAACACCAAAGGTTACGGAGTAGAGTCAAGCGATCCTTGCTGATAAAGTAAAAACGCACGTCAAAACGACAATCAATAGTCTATTGCAATGCAAAGACCTACAAATCCTGCATCTGTCTGTGGGCCTCCTTGGCATGTTCAGCTGGTCGCGTGAAAGGTAAGAAGGGCGAAGTGCACGGCTCCTGTCTTCAGTGACACCCGGATGGAGCTCATCGGTGATAGCCATTGGGTCCCAGACATACTACTGCTTTTGATGCGGTGTACGCGAGTGTCAGTGGTGGAGAGAGGATGCTGGTGTAAAACGATGCGGCAGCAACACGAATTCAAGGTGCGCACGAAAGTATGCGGGAAGCAAAGAGGACGAAGCAGACCAAGAGCAAGGTTGGCCTTGGTCTTGTTGTTTTGTTGAACACACACGGTAAGGTGTAGGGAGATGGATGGGAGACAAAATAATTGGACCAAGAGAGATGCATTGTTGTGAGGGAGAAACCAAGGAACCGAGAGGAGGGCATGTGCTTCACCACACTACATTGGAAAAGGTTCACTGGACATGGCACGCAATTTTACTCGAACAGAAAGACTAAAGGAGCTATCCAGAGGAGGGATGGTGATAGAAACCAGAATGTCAAGCAAGTGTTATATCTCACTACAGCATCCAACCTACATTTTTTGACACCCGAGTATAAAGAACCAGAAAAACCACATGCTCCAAGCCCTCGTGGAGCTGTCATTGCCTATACAGCCGAGCTCATCACTCGGATAGCCAGTTTGCATTCGCGCAAGAATAGGATGTGCAAGAGGCGGAAGGTGGACAAAAGACGTTCCTGTCGCGGAACACTTTATTTTTTTTTTCCTTTTCCCGAGGCTGCATGTTCTCGTCATTCTGTAGATGCTAATATACTAATATTGGGCAAAGTGCCTGCTGTAGGGATAATGGTAAGGGGTAAGATGATGGCCAATCGATACAACACGAGGAGAGATAAAGGGGCCACAGTTTGTGCCCACACAACACAGCGGTCAAGCAAATGTCAGTCTGTGCAGGTGTTGTTTCCTGTTGTAGCTGCAGCTCCTTCTCTAGTGGTCGTGTGGGTGCTGCAATCAATCCTTTGTTGATGGACGAACAATAATGGTTCAAAGTAAGGAAGGAAGATGGCATTGGAGCAAACAAGAGCAATGAAAAAGAAAAAAAAAAAAAAAAAAAAGAGAAAGGACGCCTTCCTTATGTTCTATCCAACGATGGTTGGTTGGAGAGCTTGCCACCAAACTGGCCAACCCTGAGTTCACGATGGGATATCCCTTGATCTGATTGGCTACTGACAAAGGTGGATGTGATTTTTAGCGGTCAATGTTGGAACAGTTTAACCTATAGGCTATAGCTTAAGGTTGGATCGCATGGCTCGATTGGCCAGTATTGTCATATTATACATATACTGGTACAGTAGTCGTGTCGGAGAGAGAAGAGAGAAAAGAGACGAATACCGAGGAAAAAGGAGAAGATCGCGCCCACGCAGGTGGTCAAGGTGCACTGGTTGATGTTTGACTCAGATAGAGCTTTACAAGATGCGAGTTCGCCATGAGCCCTGAACAAAGTGGTCGGGGATATATGTTACCCTGAATCTTCTTGCTCTTCTATCGAGCTCCCTTACGATCAAGAGGCTACAATGGCCACACATGGGGCCACTTTCCTCTCGCCATTCATATGAACACTCATCTCCTGTCGCCACCTTAGTATCCTCAACCCCTTGTCATTGTTACCGAGGAAAACGACAATTTCTTTCATCCACTGGTATAAATACAATGCTCCTCGCCTCTTTGTTGGTTTGTTCATTATCCAACTATCTCCTCTCCAACGACCTCCTCTTCTTCTTCCTCTCTCCCTTCTCTCACACGATCCAGGCCCCTTTCCCTCTTCCTCCTTGATCCTCATACCTTCATACCCACATACCCATTTCCCCTTCTTCACCCCCTAATCACACACTCTTCTCAAAATGATGGAAGTCGGTGACTACACCTTTCTCTTTGGGATCGGTATCTTCTTTGCCTTCTTGGATGCCTTCGGTATCGGAGCCAACGATGTTGCCAACGCCTTTGCCACCTCTGTCGGTTCCGGTTCGATCACCCTCGCCCAGGCCTTGATCATTGCCTGTTTCTGTGAGTTTGGTGGCGCCTTCTTCCTTGGCGCCAACACCACCGAGACTATCAAGGGTGGAATCGTCGATCCCAAGATGTACGCCGATGCCCCTGAGCTTTTGATGGTGAGTTCTCTTCTACTGCCTACTTTCTTTGTCTCTTGACTTGCATTACTCTACCTATTGTCTACAAAGCATTGCATGAAACGTCCCACACGATGAAAGCGGTGTTAACAATATTTTTTTGCTTGTGCTACTCTCTTTCACTCCCAATAGTTGACAATGGTCTGTGCCTTGATCGGCTCCTCGTCTTGGGTCTTGTTTGCATCGTCTCGCGGCTGGCCTGTCTCGACAACCCATGCTATCGTCGGTGCCATCACTGGTGCTGGTATCTCTGCCTTTGGTGCCGACGGTGTCCAATGGAAGGGCATTGGCAAGATTGTCCTCTCCTGGCTCATCTCCCCTGTTGCTGCCGGTTTAGTCTGTTCGCTCTTCTTCCTGTTCACCAAACACGTCGTTCTCAAGCACGCTGACTCCTTCCGCCGCGGTCTGATTGCCATCCCTGCCTACTTTGGTGTTGCCCTCATGATCAATGTCTTCTACATCATCTTCAAGGGCGCACCCGACTCCAAGCTGAAGTCGTCTGCCATTGGTATCCCCGTCGGTATTGCTGTCGGCGTCGGCCTTATTGTTTTCATCTGGAGCCTCTTTTTCCTCAGCCCCTTCCTCCGCCGCAGGATCCAGGACGGAGAGGACCTCAAGTGGTTCCACCTCTTCTACATCCCCTTTGTCAGCAAGCGCGAGAAGCCCGCCGTCCATAACGAGGAGATTTCCCAGACCAAGGGCGAGAAGCTTGCTGGTGATTCAATCGACTCTGATGATGTCCAGGCCAACCCCTCGCTTGTTGCTCTTGAAAAAGAAGAGCACTGGATCCTCAAGAAGTTGAAGAGCACTGTCTTTGCCGGTCTCTACCAGAACATGGAGTCTAAGGAGGACGAGAGCGTCAGCGCCGTCCACGAGCATGCCACCAAGTTTGACTCTGACACCGAGCGTCTCTTCTCTTCCGTCCAGGTCATCTCCGCCTGCTTTACCTCCTTTGCGCACGGCTCGAACGATGTTGCCAACGCCATTGGTCCCCTTGCCACTATCTACTACATCTGGAAGAACGCCAACATTGACGTCGCCAAGGCTCCCGTCGATACCTGGATTCTTGTCTTTGGCGGTATTGCCATCGATATTGGTTTGATGACCTACGGTTACCACGTCATGCGCACCCTCGGTAACAAGATGACATACATGTCCCCCACCCGTGGGTTCTCGGCCGAAATGGGTACCTCGATCACCATCTTGACGTGCTCCAAGCTCGGCCTCCCCGTCTCATCGACCCACTGTATTACCGGCGCTACGACTGCGATTGGTCTCTTGTCTGGTGGTGGCTTTAAGTCTCTGAACTGGCGTCTGTTGCTCGGTGTCTTTTCTGGATGGATTGCCACCCTTCCTGCTGCCGGTCTTGTCTCTGGCATCATCTTTGCCTTTGTCTCCCGCTCTCCCCAGCTTCTCTAAGAAACCGCTTCTCTTTTTTTCCAATTGTATTATATTCCCTCTAACTTGATCTCATCTGGTCACCCATGCATTCCATTTGTTAATAAAAAACATAAAGCAAAAAACAATACTACTTCGTGGTCCCCTTGTCATTTTGCTTGCTCGGTTTCATTGTCGCGTACAATTCAATATGCACAAAGACAAAGGGAAGGATGCATGATCGTGTTTCCTTCGTGCATGTCACGTGTACTCCCACTTCCTTTATCTTTTTCCCCTGCTCCTTTTTTTTCACTTTTTCTTGTCCATCAACTCCACTCACTCTTTCCTTCAACTAACACTCATTCCTACTCATAACCAACCATGGCCGAAACCGTCACCCGCGACAACCACGTCTACCTCGCCAAGCTCGCCGAGCAGGCCGAGCGTTACGAAGGTAAATAATATATCTTTTTCTTCATTCATCCTTTCTCTCTATCAGCCAACTTCTATCAGTTCCCTTGACAGCGTGTCTGGCGTTTCTCGTCTTCACTCTCTTCTCCCCTTACATTCTTTTTCTTCACATAACCACTACAATACATATGCCACGACCATACATACATACCCAACCTCCATCATGTTATCTCCATTTTGCCTTTCAACTGGCTCGTCGACTGGTCACTCATTTTTTTTCTTCATTTTCAGCCTGCTCCTTCCCTGTTGTTTTTGCGTGCTTTGCTTGGGTAGTGTAGTGTGGGCTGACGCGTGGAGAGTGAGAAGAAGAATAAGAAGAAGGAAGTGGGGGAAGTCAGTTCAGGTTAGCTATGACACCCAGAGGCGCGTTTTTATTTTTCCACCTTTTGTGCGGATGAGAGATCCCATTGCGCAGGAGGAAGGACAGTGAGAGAGCGAGCATAATAAGGAATGTAGACAGAGATGTCTTGAACTGCGCGCTTCTATATGAAGAGAGGGTTCGTGTGAATGTTTGTCATTGAACAACGAATGGGGGGCGGTGTGTTGTTCCTCTGTCAAGAACGGAGCGAGAGTGATTGTGGTGTACGAGTTGAGGGCGTGCGTGCCTTTCGTCACTGCCTCGTTGTATGTCTGTTTGTACCCCCTTTTGTCCCGCCTTTGCCCCCTCCCCTCCCCTCCCCATCCCTTTTGCCCTCCCAGTACCGCCTTGCCATCTTACCCTCATCCCCTTCCTCGCCCTCGTTCTCCGACGACGTTGTTTGCCTGTAGTCGAATGGCATTTATGCCGCTGATATGTATACATGTTGCTTGCCTCCATGCGTACACGTATTGTTTATTTTTTTATACGTCGTTCTTCGTGTTCGTTCTTTTGCCGAAGTGTACGGTTGTCAGCTGTTTCTGCCCCTTGTTTTTTCCTTTTCCTTCCTTTCCTTTGCTGTTTTCTCTTCCTCCCGCTTGCTGTATCCCCTGTCATCTGGTTCCCCTTCAGCATGAAAAGAAGTCTACGTCACATTTTGTCTTTGTCTTATGCCCTTTGGGTTTGGGTTGAGTGGGTGGTGCACCTGCCAAAACGGATACCACGGAGAATAGAAGGAGACAAGGGCAACTGAGTAACTCGGCAATGGCAGGGAACCACAGGGCACGCATTCTGTATACTTGTACTTGTATTTGTTGGCGTGTACGGAGGTGTAGCCCGGAAGGACAAGAAAAAGATGGGGCCAGTAAAGTGATACACACACACCGCTATCGGTTCTCTCTGATAGGGAAAGTGTCATAAGGGGAAAAGGAAATCTCAAGGAGAAGAAGGGGTGAGGTGGTTGAAAGGAAGGAGGAGAAAGAGAGAAAATAACGCTGGGTTTTGTTCATGCCAATCTTGAACCGCTCCTGCAGATATCCTTGCATATCTTTCATATTTTCTCCATTCTTACGTTGACATACCTATCATGTTACTGAAAAAGAAGCGCCAGCATAATACCTTCTAATGGCAATTGGAAGAGTAGACACTGACATAGACATGGTGCTTCTTGTTTGTGATATCACTCAACAAGAAGCAGGATGGTCGGTCTAGTACACATTAAAAGCCTGGAAAACAAGTTACTATGACGCCACTGACCCTGAACCTGAAATGACTGACACATCCATATTACCTTCAACTTGAATAGAGATGGTCAACAACATGAAGGATGTCGCATTCTCCGACACTGAGCTCTCTGTCGAGGAGCGCAACCTGTTGTCGGTCGCCTACAAGAACGTCATTGGTGCCCGTCGTGCCTCGTGGCGCATTGTTTCCTCGATCGAGCAGAAGGAGGAGTCCAAGGGATCGGATGCCAACGTCGCCATGATCAAGAAGTACCGCACCAAGATCGAGGATGAGCTCGCTGATATTTGCAACGACATCCTCGACGTTCTGGAGAAGCACCTTATCCCTTCGGCCACTTTGGGCGAGTCCAAGGTCTTTTACCACAAGATGATGGGCGATTACCACCGCTACCTCGCCGAGTTTGCGACCGGTGACAAGCGCAAGGACGCTGCCGACAAGTCTCTCGAGGCCTACAAGAACGCCTCGGAAGTTGCCATCACCGAGTTGCCCCCTACTCACCCCATCCGCCTCGGACTGGCCCTCAACTTTTCCGTCTTTTACTACGAGATCCTGAACTCGCCCGACCGCGCCTGCCATTTGGCTAAGCAGGCCTTTGACGATGCCATTGCTGAGTTGGACACCCTCAGCGAGGAGAGCTACAAGGACTCGACTTTGATCATGCAGCTCCTCAGAGACAACCTCACCCTCTGGACCTCCGACATGCAGGGCTGTAAGTCACTCTTTAATGCTCTTTCTGTTGCTAATGGCGTTGTTGGTCTTTGAAGTAACATAACTAACCACGTTTTTTTCTCTCATTTTCATTCTACCATATGGCCAAAACGTTGACCCGATATCGTTGATATTATCGACACAATTGGATACCACACCAAACAGCCAACGCTGAGCAGGGTGATGCCGCAGAACCCCAGGACACTGAGGCCTAAACTGTCAGATCATGTTTTTCTCCTTTTTTTCAGTTTTCATATCTTCCTCTATGAAAGTTGGCGTACGCGCGTCTTGTTTTTTTGACATCTTTTTGTCATGCTTGGCAACGCTAATAAATCCAGCAACCCCCATTCAACCCAAGGAGTGTCTTGTCTTTGCGACGCCTTTCCCCCCTTTCATGGCTTCTTTATATATCGACACATTGAAAAGCTACGACTGCATAGTAGACTGGTAGATGTAGAACTGGTGGTGCTCGCCGCCATGGACGAGGTAGTCGCTCAGTTCTGGAATCTCCCACCGCATCGACAGAACGACTTTATGTTTTGTCACCATCGCGTCTAACAGCAAAGGGGCCAGTTTTGAGAGTGCTTCTGGGAGTAGGTAGACGAATAGGTGTGAGCTCTCGCTGATCAATGTGTCCATTGTTGCTGTTGGTGATGGTGTCGTGTTTTGGGGGGTAGGTGGTGCCATGATGGTGGTGAGAGGGTCCTGCATGGTTGTCAAGTCTCCATGGTACAACTCTAACCGTGACAAGATATCGTATTCTGATGCCGATTGTGGTTGCGTGGAAGAAGGGTGTTGTTGTTGGATGCGGTCGTGGGCGGCTTCGAGGAGGGGTCGGTCTAGATCGACGCCAATCGCGCGTGAGAGTTGTGAGCGAGGAAAAGTTTCGAGTGCTTGGACCAAGACTAAACCGTCTCCGCATCCTAGGTCTAGTATCGCGCTGCTGCCTCTGTTGGTTTCTGTGGTGGAAAAGTCGACGTGCTGGAGCATGTTGGTGAGGATGTCGCGTGGTGTTGGTCTGAAGGGGGACACGTACCCATTTGCCCTAAAATCGTATTGATGTTTGTGCACCAAGATACGAGATGTTGAGTTTTCTCTTTGCTTTGAATAGAATTGTAGTAAAAGAAAGGCAGCGAAGGTTCTGTGGTCCACAAAGTGATCAGAATGAGAAGGGTTGTTACCAGTCATAGGAGAACATGCGGGTTGCCTTGGACTTTGTCTCGCCTAACAGCTCTGGGTTGTTCTTGTACCGGTCGAATTCCTCCTCCTCTTCTTTTCCTTGCATGGTTGTCTCTAGGTATTCTTGCATCCTTTGGTGATTCAAGTCATATTCAGCGTTGCACTCCGTGTCATGACCGTCGTGCTTTCCTCCTGCTGGTGATTGAATCCCGACTTGGTCCATTGTTGACGTTGTGTGAATGAGAGATTCGTTTGCGAAGTGAAAGATCATTTCTCTTCAAAATTCAAAGCTGGAGCCAAAAGCAGTCAAGGATAAGGATGTGGGATTATTTTTTTATTTAGAAAGTCGCAGGGTGCATCAAAAGGTTACGACTTGACGCCCTGGGGCTTGTTGGGGGTAGGCTTGCGGTCTGGGAGGCCACCTCCCCGCACACCGTTGCTGTTCCCACCACCACGTCCGCCTCTGTAGGCACCCTGAGGCTGTTGCTGATGGCCATTGACATTGCTGTTGTTGTTGCCATAGTATCCCTGACGGCCATTGGCAGGTCCTCCAGGTCCATTGTTGGTAAAGTTGCTGTTGAACGCATGGTTGCCACGACGACGCTCCTCAGCCAGAACAACCTCACTGCCAACTTGGACATTCCTCTGCTTCAAGGCAGCAACAACCGATTCGGGGGTAGCAAAGTCCATAAACGCGCAATTCTTCTTCTGCGTCATGTCCAAATGCTTGATCCGACCAAACTTGGTGAATGCTTCCCGAAGCTGCTCCTCTGTGATCCTGTCATTGACGTTCTTGATAAAGATGGAGTGGTACTCCGGGTATCTCCTACCCTGTCCCTGCCCTTGTCCTTGCCCATGTCCCTGCTGAACATATCCTCCATGGTTTTGTCCTTGACCATGTCCATGGGTTGGAGCCTGTCCGTGGTTGTGAGAGGCGACAGTAGGGGTTGGAGTCTGAGGCTTGACGGGTGCAGGTACGACAGCAGGGGTTGCAGCCTTAGAAGTTGCCACCTGGGGCACCCGTTGATCTGTGTTCTTGGCAGCCAGGTTTGCCCATGACTTGACCTTAGGAGGACCAGCTGGAGTTGGAGCTTGCACAGGTGCAAATGTAGGCTCGGGTTGGATAAGTTGAGCAGCTTCGGCAGGTGTAGGTGCTACTGAGGCAGTCTGGGCCTTGACGGGTTCTACCGGCTCGGGCTTATTGGCTGGTGTGGCAGCAACGGGCTCCTTTGGCTCAGTAATAGTAACATCTGGTGCGGCAGCGGCAGTAGCAGAACGCTCCAGAGTGACGGCAGCCTTTGCTTCTACTGGGACAATCACAACGACCTCAGACCCAGGCTGAAGGGGAGTAACCTCCGCATCATCGTCGTCTTCGGCCTTCTCGGCGTACATCTCGGTCAGGTCCTCGTCATCTTCTTCCTGTTCCTGCTCCTGTTCGTTCTCATCGTCCTGTTCTTCCTCGTAGTCGTCCTTGAGGAAGCGGAAGATGTCGTTGTGGACGTAGTAGCCCTTGGGCTGTTCGGCCAGGAAGAAGGTTTGGACAAACTTTTGAGCGGGTCCCCCTCTGTTGGACATTTCGCCGAGGACCTGGACAACAATGCCTCCGTGGATTGATCCCTGGCAGTCGAGGTTGCTCACGAGAACCTTGCAGTCCTCAAAGTCTAGCTCCAAGATCTTTTCGTTGATCGCCTAGTAGAAATTGATTGATCAGTAACCAGTGAAGATGATTAGTGATCAGTGAAAGTTACTTGGTTTCATTTCCTTTTTTCAAGCAGTTCGATTTAACAAAGGTTTACCTGCTGGCCGTTAAAGACTTGGATCTGCTCGCCCTGGTAGCCGTGGCTCATGGTCGAGTGCTTGTTGTAGAAGCAGTGGAGCCGGGTGGGGTCTTTGTTGAGAAAAGTGTAAAACTCGTGCGCAAACACCACTCCGACCTCATCGGCGATCTTGGGGTCCGTGCTGTTGACATTCGGCGACTGGACCGAGGTTGTAAGGGCCGTCATGGTTCGTAGGGGAAGTGGATGCGATCCGCGCTGGGCTAAAGACAAGGGGTTGCTTGACGAAGGAAGGAAGGAGGCGGTCTATTGTTCAAAGATAGAATTGTCCGTTTTGTAGTCGGAGATTATAGTTAGTGCTCGGTGTCCGCTCTATGGCGTTGCTTAGTCATTTTTGTCATTGTTCATTCTTTGTTACTCTGGGAAGAAATTACTGATGCGAGAGAATCATGCTGGTGTGATCCCGTTGTCGTGGGTATTGATTGTTTACTTGCTTGCTGTTTGATGCATAGGTCCTTTTGCCTCGCATGCTTTTTCTCTCTGCCTGAGTTGATGCAGTTCATTCGTTCGTTTAATAACCTGCGCCCTGCTATTGTCTGCGTTGAGTTGCTCCTTGTCCGCCTGCGTCCAGTGCGTTCTCCTACTTGAAACGAAGTGTTCTTTCCTGTTGTAGGTGCGTATATTTCTGCGGTTGAAGTGCGTGCGTAGTGTTGAGTCCTCAGTGTCACAATGAATGTTCCTGGATATGTAGTAGAGACTGGTTGTGTAGTTGACTAGAGTATTACCTAGCCTGAGAGAGAAGAGTGGAGTGGAGTGAAGGAAGGGAGGGAGTAGGTGTGAAAGAGAAAAGGCAAGAAAGAGAAGGAACAAAAAACGGAAAGAAGCAAGAGAGAAAGAAAGTAAAGTATCGGATGTGATGTACAAGCAATCCGACCCAGCCCCATGTGCGAAATCAGGATCCTCTCCTTCTCACGCCCATTACACGTGACATATTTTTTTCACAGATTTGTTCCATCCGTTGACTTAGCGCTTTCTCCACACTCTCGCTCCTTCTCCCTCTACCCGACAAAAAACCACAAAAACTATTATCATAAACCATGGAACCTTCACGGTGGGAACGCGCTAAGTACGGAGCCGCAATGGGCGGCGCCGTCGGTCTCTGTATCGGACTTGTCTTTGGCGGTCTATCCGCCATGAGGTATCTATTATTCCCTTTCGTTATCATTTATTACGCTCACCTCGCTCCTTTTCTTGTCGAGAAAAGTTGTGCAGGAGATCACCCTCCTTCCGACATGCAACAAACTAACAACGCCTTTTCTTTCGACCTTCCCTTCCTCTTAGGAACGGTCCTGGTCGCAACGGATATGTCAACAACCTGGCCCAGACTATGGTGTCCTCAACGGCCATGTTTGCATTCTTCATGGCGATCGGATCTGTCATTAGGACAGAGGAGGCACTCGCGATCGACTATGCGGAGCTGGACCAGAACAAGGGCAGGAAAAATATCTGGGGTGGAGCCGTGCGGTTCAAGACCCCACCTGTTGTTATCCTCCAGCAACAGCAGCAGAGACAGGAGAACTAGGAGTACTTGGCTAGACTCACGGAACACATTGTGCTTTTATCATTGCTCAAGAGTTTTTTTTTTTTGCAGTGCAATTGAAGGAACAGTCGTCATTAAAACAATGTATCGACATTCTCAAAGAGCTTCCTCCTTCACGCTTTCAAAGGCTGTTGAGAACAAGAAAAGGACGCAAAAGGCAGTGGCGCGAATATGGCAAATGATGGCGCGTTCTTCTTTCCTCATTATTTAGTCATCAAAATGTCAGTCGTGTTCACCTCAACAATGAGTTAGACAAAGTACAAGTCGAAACGAAGAGGATGGCCCTTGATGATTGACGTGATCTACAATCGACAGTGATTTCGTTTTATTCCAATTGTACGTACAACTTCTGCTATCAACTCTGCCCATCGATGCATTGTCTTTCCTTGTTACTGGGCCGACTATCACTCTCAAAGATAAAATCCGAAAAAAAAACATTATTAGAGTCAATACTTTACAGGAGTAAAACATGAATTGTAGTGATAGGAAAGTGTCTCTCACGCTAGGCGGCTTCAACCCTTGCTAAGGCCGAGCTTGGCGCACAAATACTCTTCAGAGAACCAATCGAACACCTGCGCGAACCTCTAGCAAGAAATAACGAGTCGCGGAGCCAGGCTGATGAGAAGTGTACAAAGTACACCTCACATCTGTTCAAAAAGGAATATCGTACCAGACGCCCCAGACTTTCCAAGAAAGAGGTGGGGCCGGCAGAAGAGCACGAGCAGTGGGAAAGTGTGAGGCGGCTCTGAACCTCTGCTAAGGAACGAAGCTTGGCACTCAATACTCTTCAGAGAACCAGTCGAACGACCTGCGCGAACTCCTAGCAGTTAACAAGTCGCGGAGCCAGGCTGATGCGGTTCATCACCGGCATCTTGTTCGAAGAGGAAAATCGTACCAGACACCCAGACTTTCGAAAAAGAAGTGGGTCGGCTGAAGAGTAAGCACACTGAAACACCTGAGAAGGGTGGGGGAGGCGACGGTGAGGCTTTTGAGGGGCTATTCCTGACCTTGTCCATGGTGTCTGCATCATGTCCTGTTACTAAGTAAAAGGAAGAGAGTGATGGGAGAGAGTTAGTGAAATCAGCAAAAAAAAAATCAATGACGTATTAGTGGCCAATGCGATCGCAAAATTAACCGTCAGCCGAAAAATTAAAGTTGAACCTCCCCCTGGAAGTCTCGAAGCGCGTTCGCTCTTGCCATGGCGAAACAATACTCTCAAGACCTCTACTCATTCTCGTCGGTAACAACACTGGAAGCTAAATCGTGATGCCGAAGCAAGGTGACTTGAAAAGTAGCCCATCAACTGTCTTTTTAATTATCAATTGGACAAGCATTGGCACGTGAAAAGACCCGCGTTTTCTAAGATACTTTCATCCATATGAACGTTACCATACTCACAATTTTTTCTTGGTCGCTGATAGGGAAAAGCAGCATAGAGTATGCCATTGAAGCACTGGTCAAAGATCTTCAAAATGGAGACTACTTGCGCCAAACCAGCCCCCGAGACTTTGATGCAGAAGGCTACTTTGCAGGATTCCAGGACCAGCGAAAGGCCAGATCAATATGGTCCTCCACCGTGATCCCTCGATTAATATCAAGCAGCCATGGGGAGCTGAGAAAAGTTGGTCTGACTCTGCAGAAAAAATGGGCCAGCAAGTCTTACAGGAAGCAGTTGGACAAGACTCGGGCGCAGGCTGAAGTTGTCTTGGACTCTGTCCACAAGCATCAAGCGAAGATTCTGGATCATTCATACAAAGATCTATGTCATACCTTGCAGAGGCGCGAAGGTATGGACTTTCTTTGCCCTTGTAGATTTCATACTGGTCATCTCGGGATGGCGAATTGATTCGTTCTTGATCAATTTCTTCCACTTTGGGTAGAAACTTTTACGGAAACGAAAAGCTCGACCAGCGTTGCCAGCACATCGCGTCATGATCATGTTGAGACTGTTACATTAACCCAGGAACATAAGGAGAAAGAGCTAGTTGATAATTCCGCTCTACTCGACACGTCAACAGGCGGTGCGCCCGACAAGGATGACTCGGCCAAATCGGACAGGGGCAGGGCTAATTTGGATCTGGAGAAGGGTGTTAAAGAAAAGGCGGCCACAAAGGACGACGCATCGACAGTGGTAGAATCAGAGGAAGAGGAGACCGACGATATCGAAGACGGATTTTTTTGGGTAAGATCCATCTTGCTTGTTTCCTTGTTACTCCATTTTTCATGGTATGGACTATGGCCAAGACCTACCTTGACACACTTTTTTCGCTCGTTTTGCGCATATTCTAGGCGCCATTCACGGAGCAGGATCGAAAGTCATTTGCCAGCACTTTTCTCAAGATCCAAAACAAAGTTCTCTTGCCAAGCGGGAACCATGTCGAGGACGTGTTATTCGCCGCTGGTGCCACGAAGAAGCAACATGGGTAACGATGTAGTCTACCGATAAAGAATGTGCTCGACACACATGTGAGGGCATCTTCCAGGTCTGTTCTAACTGCTTTTATGGTTTTCAATAGTCTGCTGCACTCCTTTATTATCGATGTTGATGACGACTCTGTTCGGGAACTGTTTCAGGAGGAGGACTGGACATTCATCATGAAAGAGCAGGATATGGCTGTAGGACAGGATGATCAAGATATTGTCGGGACTCTGGACGCTCTCAAGGATGCAGGCAGCGCTGAAGCGATTATGGAGATTCTGAACCACCGACACCCTCGTCTTGGAAAAGCCTACCGGATAGATCATGACTACAACTTTAAGTGGCTCTTTGATTCAGTCTCCAAATGGTATTTAGTGACAAGGTATATGAATAAGCGCGTGATGGTCTTGCCTGTGAAGCCATAGTTATTGACTTATTCATCTCTCTTTCGGTCATTTAGGATAGACATCTACACGATGCCATTCTCAGTTTTTACATCGGATGCAACGCTGGAGTACTTTTGGAGATCCCAGGTCTGGGGAGTACTGGATACGCTGTTCTACGACATACCCAACACATTGATGATTGGCGGTGAGGGACATGGAATCGAATCCAAAGAAAGAAGGAATCAGCAACAACCAGGTCGTGCTTTGAGGAAGGCAGGAGGATCAAAATCCGATGGCTACTTGCGCTCATTTGGATCCACCAAGTCTGATTGGTTGACTATTGAGGGTGCGAGAAACTGGGACCCGTTCGCAAAGAAGTATAAGTCGGAAGCCTATTGGAAGCTGGCGCGGCAAATGCATGATATCTTCCGTGCGAGGACAGCAGATCAAGACCCAAGTACTCTGAAAAACTTTCGAACATACGGACTCATTTTCGGAGGTAAGCTGGGGAGAGGGGGGTACGCAATGTGCTTTGTTGCGCACTCTTATTCTGTAAAGCTGACGTTCTCTGTTATTCTTTCTCAATTTCTATCTACGATAGGACCAACGATACAGATTCATGTCATGTCATCCCTTGGAGGAGCATCGGCCGTATTTCGACGACGGAGACCATTGACACTGGCAGCCAGTATCGAGTCGTTTGAGGAGAATGTTGTGATGTTGGAAATATTTATGCTTCTTAAACGTGATATTGTGAGAACTCTGACACCGCAGAGAAAGAGAGTATCCGCCATGGATCTCTTCAAAGGAACAACCACTATCTTAGATTCAGAACCGATATCGTTCACGATTCCACTTGCACACCCGTCGCCAAAGAAACGGCGTACTTGAATAAAGACTATTAGTGGCAACGAAAAAAAAAAAAAAAAAAAAAAAAAAAGAATGAATGAGTGACGCGCTTTTCCTTCCACTTGAGCAAAGGTGCAACGTGACTTGAGGTTGCAGCCATGCAGCCCGAGTCTCTTTTTTTCCTTCTCACACCTCTTCTTCACTTCCTCCACCTTCCTCCACCCTCCTTCACCCTCCTTCGCCCTCCCACTCGCAACTACAAACCCCCGAACCTTTTGTTCTACTCCTGCTCTCACTCCCCTTTCTCACACCACTCTGCTGGTCCCATCACTCCCTCTCTTCACCTAAACCTGACATTCTCGGGTGAACTCAAAGTAAGCGCTCATTCAAGCAACGGGTGCGTAAGTCCTTCTCTTCTCCTCCTCCTCATTCTCCTGCTTCCCTTTTTGCTGTTTCACACTCGTTCTCTCTTCTTGCCTTTACCAGCAAAAAAGGAGCCTTTTCAGTGCATACAACCAGCCTTAACCCCTTGTTATAACATTTACAGAGTATAAAAAAATGAACTGGATGCATTACATGCAAACACTCTCTTCGTCAACAATGAAATGCAACTCTTGTACGAACACCGAAGAAGTAGAAGTAGAAGAAGCTCATATCGTTTTTTAAATTCTTTTGATGCTCATAGATTTGTCGTCATCTATCACACGCTCGAGAAAAAGACACACAAGACCTTGGCGTTTGCCTTCTTTTTCTTCCTTCCAGTGGCCGTTGATACAAGACGTCTCTCTACTTGAACAACAAACTGCACACAAAAAAGGGACACTTCGCCAACCCAACCTTTAGTCTCGTTATATCTGTGTGTGTAAGTTTCTCCTTTTCTTTCTTTTCTCTTCTGTGTACCCCTTTTGTGCACACGCAACTCTTCCCTCGACTTACGACAAAACCAACAACAAACCCCTCTCCTTAAAAACCATCTTCAACCCAACCTTCAACCCACGGTGGAATCGTCAACCCCTCTTCCAGTTACTCAGGACGACTCGGCTTTGTCACCTCAGGAGCACCAGCTTCCATCGCCTCAGCAACAACCGCCATCCTCGTCGGTAGGCCGTCCAACCTCCTCTTCGTCGTCACCGCAACAAGCACCAAGTCGAGCTCGTTTGGCTAGTCAAGTGTCCGACCTTTCCCCTCGGGCCCTATCCTCATTTCAATCTCTTGCACAAGAAGCTAAACGGATCCACCTGGACCCCTCGGCCTCTACCTCCTCGTCGATCACTTCATCCAACCCCACGTTCGATATGAAGCCAGAGTCGGAATCGCGCCACCACCACAACGGCACTCACGCTACTTCTTCAGACGACAAAAACGGACACAGTGCTGCGCCAATGTCGATGAATGTCGATGGTGTCGACGCTGACACCACACCCTCAGGATTTAGTCGTCTGGAGTTAGTACGGTTAATGGTGCAGTCTCTCCAAAGCCTTGGATACCAGTAAGTCGACGTCTTGTTGGATGTGGATATGTTCGCCATTGTGCTCAACTTTTGCTTGTTGCAATGCGCCCAGACCTGAAGAACAAAACGTGCCTGCCTTTTGTCCTTTGCTCTCTGAACCAGTCACATTTCACTCACATGCGAACACTCCTACGGTGTCGATAGGAAATCTGCCAACGAACTCGAAGCAGAGTCTGGATTCCAGCTGGAGAGCCCGGCAGTAACACGGTTCAGGAACAGTGTCCTCCAGGGTGATTGGAATACGGTCGAAACGCTGATCGGAGACCTCAACCTTGACACGACACATGAACTCTCGGTAATTGACCGTTCAATTATCCATCGCATTGCATTCGAAAGAAAAGGGCTAAAAGCAAATGTGCGGCCATTGCATAATATGCATGCTGCTCCAAAAGTTACATGACAAACCATATACTTGTTTACTAATCATGTTGTTTTTTTTTGTTCTTCAACTTTCTATTCTATCCAGGTCAAGTTTTTGATTCGGGAACAAAAGTTTCTGGAGCTGCTGGAGAGACGCGATATTAAGAACGCTTTGATTGTGTTACGATCCGAGTTGACCCCTCTGAATCAGAACATGGACCGTGTCCACTCCCTCACAAGGTACTTTGGACTTTCTTGATTCTATGGTTATCTGATACTCGGGAATGATATGGCACCATGCCGTACAACAAACAATCGCCTAACACGCATACCTCCCTTCACGTAACTTAGCTATATGATGAGCAGCAGTCAGGAAGATCTTCGTCAGCGTGCCAACTGGGATGGTGTCAATGGATCATCGCGTCAGAATTTGCTCTCTTCATTGCAAAGTACGTATCATTGCAGGTCCTTGAGTATATACTTAAAGCTCACAATATATCTTTCATCAAATTGCTAACAGGTTACTTCTTTGTGTGTTGTAGAGTTCATTTCGCCAGCAGTGATGGTGCCTGAGAACCGTTTGGAGACCATGTTAAAGCAGGCAGTGGACCATCAGATCAAGAACTGCTTCTACCACGACAATCGCAATACCTCCAAGAGCCTCTATAGTGACCATATTTGCGACAAGTATGCTTCTTTTTCACTCGCGCCATGTGATTGTTGTTGTTTCCTGTTTCGACTGCCTGCTCACATTCTTTGTAATTAATTGGGGTGTGGATCAAATCTAGGACAGGCATTCCGACAGTGACAAGACAGGTCCTAGAGAGGCACACAAACGAGGTGTGGTACATTTCTTTTTCACACGACGGAAAGTACCTCGCCTCGGCGTCTGCTGACAGCAAGATCATTATCTGGGATCTGGAGGTATGCAATTAGCGACTCGGTGTCTATATCTCTCTGCGGAACATATATTCACCTCATCTCAGTCATTAACCCTCTACCTCGCGCATTGTCGGGAACACGTAGACATTCCAACCGATGCACACGCTCCAGGGTCACAGCAACAAGGTGTCCTGCTGCGCCTGGTCTCCAAATGACACGCAACTCCTAACAGCAGGCTACGACAGGACTGTCAAACTTTGGGACATTCAGGTGCGCCAATGGCGATATTATTATAGCTTACTTGAACATGAGCTCTGGGACCATTGTGCACAAATTCACTCACATTGAGGATTTTACCACTTCATTCTCACTTTTTTCTAGACTGCTACTTTAAAGTCGACCTTTCCTCACCACAGCGACGTTGTTACATGCCTGGGATGGCTTCCCGACGGAGAAAGGTTTGTCTCTGGCAGTGAAAAGAACTTGTTCCTGATGGTAAGCAGCGTGAACGTTGTGCTCTCCTGGATGAGTTGCTTTGTTTCATGATGGACTAGGGAACTGACATGTATCTCGCTCCATGTGTTCTTTAGGCAACGGCAGGAAACTTGCTCCGACAGTGGCCATTCCCGGTCAGAGACTTGGCCATCTCTGCAGACGGACAGACATTGGTGGCAATGGGCGGCACCATCATCCGGATGATCAGCCTTGTCGATTTTACCGAAGTCAGGTAATTGAGTCATGGCAGGTCAATGTCTACGATGAAAGGAAACACAACGAATTGAGGCTAACATATGCACCATGAAAAATGTATGTGTATATAGCAAACTGGAAGAGACGGATGGTATTACCGCGATCAGCTTGTCCAAGGACGGACAATTCCTTCTTGTCAACACCACCGTCAAGGTTAGCCTTAGACCATTGACCTCTTTCATTATGTCTTGTTTGGACTCTTGATTGAATGAACCATTTACTTACAGGTCGTGCTTTATTCTTTTATATGTAATAATAGCCTGCACAATTGCCGATGCATAGAGAAATTCACTTGTGGAATCTCCCTGAGGGACGAATTGTACGAAAGTACTCAGGATACAAGCAGGGTCTGTTTGTTATTAGGTCGTGCTTTGGAGGGTGGGATGAGCGGTTCGTGATCAGTGGAAGCGAAGACTCAAAGGTGTATATCTGGCACCGTGAGAATGGCAATTTGATCCAGACGCTAGATGGACATGATCGTTCAGTGACCATGGTTGCGTGGAACCCTACCAACCCGACCATGTTTGCCTCTGCAAGCGACGATAACACTGTCCGGATGTAAGTTCTTTGGATCCTTGGATCCTGCGTGTATTAGTTGACTGGAAAAGTCTCGGAAGTGAGGTGTTTCCTGTTGGTATCTAACACCTTTGCCTTTTATTGTATTGCATGTAAAATAGATGGGGCACCCCCGAGGATATTGAGGTGGACTCTGCCCAAATTCTGAACGGGGACAGTGGCTCGGAATAGACGGAGTAGGCGAGTGGCATGTAGGCCAGGCTTTTCGTTTTTTGTTTGTCAAAAAGACAACCAAGGACGACCAAGAACGACCAAAAGGAGCAAAGAGGAGCAAAGTGAGTAAGCCAACATGGCTTGCAACAGCAAACACACACAGACAGATGGACAGGTGGCGATGAGAGCATAAACAACAACTACAGCAAACAATAGGGCGAACTAGCCAGGCAGACAGATATGTTGTGGAGGTGACAAGTGGTGATTGAGAGAACAGAGCGACGACACAGTGTAGCTTTTTTTTTTTGCTTTCAACCTTGCACATGAATAAACCATGGTTTGTTTGCCACCAAAATCGCGAATGGAGAGGTACAAATGTTGCCTTGAGGGATTGATGTTCACGTTCTCTTTCTTTCTCTCCCGTTTGATCCTGTAAAATCACCACGTCTTTGCTCCCACACTCATCTCAGTCCAACAAACACACACACTCACTCTTCAAACATACAAACACCTTTCCCCTGTTACACTTACTCCTACTATTACAACCCACGACCACAGTAACACCATGACGACAAACACAGAGCCCGGCCCTGAACAGGGCTTTACTGGCCCCTCCTCAACCCCCGAGAAACTAATCCCTTCACAACCATCACTTGGTGACTCAAAGACCCTTCGTGCTTCAGACACCCCTTTCGCTCCTTCCATCACTGCGGAAGCAACTGCAACACTTGCACCAACAACAACAGAACTGGAACAAGCCTCCATCTCCTCCACACTTGCGAGTCGTGCTTCCTCAGCTCGGGACCTCCAAAACAACGACGACGGTGACAGCCAGCAAGGAAACTCTGCCTCTGACGAAAAACCCGATTCTGAGAACAACGATGCTGATGCTAGCAATGATGACAACGATATGTACGGGGACGATGTGATCGTCCCCGTGGAGTTGACAGTGCTTCCCGACAGCATCCTCGAGGCAATTCCGGACGAGGTCTGGTGTCTCTTGCTCTCGTTCGTCCCGCCTGCCAAGTTGATCACATTGACTCGAGTCTGTCGACGATGGAAACTGATGATCGAACGAGACCTGGTCGCGAGTTATTGGAAGGTACTTACCGTCCAGGCCGAACTTCTGGACCACTCCTTGTCACCGGATCTGGATGTGGACTCTAAGCATGCCGAGATGCCGATTGGGTTTATCAAGACGTTCCCGGAACTTGTGCTTGGTCACACGCTAGTTATTTGTGAGCTATGTCTGATGCGGTCCAAGCGTGGGTGTGGGTCTGCGATTCCCTTACCGGTCGATCGACAGGACACTCTGGGACGTGTCTGGATGTGTCGCCCCTGTCGACGAGACTATTATGACCGCTACCCAGAACCCGAGAGAGTGTACAAGGCTGAGGACCAGGTCTCGTTGTATGGCCTCCCGGGACACCCGCCCAAAGTGGCTCGCTCTACGGGTCCACCTGCTCCCCGTCGTCCGTATTACTATCCACGTGAGCACTGGGGTGGTGGGGGTCGTTATTATGGGGGCTCTGATTCGTCTGATGAGTTTAATGAGTTTGATGAGTTTGATGAGTTTGATTCGACGGATGATGAGTATTGGGATTCGGATGGGGATCTTTACTTTGCGACGGAGGCGGATTTGGAAGAGGATGAGCTGTGGTCGAGGGAGGCGGATGCTCGTGAGGCTGCCGCTGAGGAGGCTGCTCAGGTTCTGATGGGTGTCATTCAGGGTGATACTAAAGATGACGGACAAAGGGTTCAGGACTCTGGAGCCACTGAGGGCGGTCAAGTCGGTCAGGGAGACGAGTCGTCTAGTGCAACCATCGACGGCAAGCCTGCATGGGATGAACAGCCAGAGATCCAGGAGGCTACTGCTACCGAGGGCAGCTTGGTCGGCCAAAGCAGCGATATCCGATGCACCTCAGTGGATGGCGGATATGATGCTGATGGAGAGCCAGTGATCAAGTCGGCCACTACTGGTTTTGAGGCTGAGCTTGAGGACGAACAGGGTATGGACGATGAGGATGAAGGAGAAGGCGATGAGGTGGAGGAGGAAGACGAGGTCGGCGAGGAGGATGGGGAGATGTCCTATGATGAGAGCGATCGGTCTGGCGACGGCGAGGAAGAGGAAGAGGAGGAGGTGGAGACAAAGGAGACCCAGACGCCAGCAAACCAATCGATCGTCCAAGAAGCTCGCCGCCACCACGGCGGTGACATCGGAATCCAAGCCCACAGCAGCAGCAACATCCAACTTCGAGAGAGACTCCAACCCCTGCGCAACCGCCTCATGCAGACCCGCCTACGCCTACTCGGCCTCCAACTCCGCAACGACTCGAAGCTCTGCCAGGACTACCTCAACGGCCTCAGGGACGACCCCTTCAAGATCGCCGACGTTATGAAACAGATGCAGTGGTACTTTTCCGGGACCGCGTACTCTTCTTACATCGAGGACAGCGACTCGTCGACGGCGAAATCGGCGGCCATGGAGGAGTGGATTGAAGATTCGATTGCGAAACATGGCGAGAATGCCAAGAAGGCGTATCGTGGGCTTGGGGAGGATCAGGACCTGGAGGATGCAGTTGTGAATGTCATGGATCCTAAGCAGCCGCCCAAGAGCCTTTGGGGAGTGTTGGATTTGTGGATTGACCATCGGTTGAAGGGCGATCAGGGCTATTCGCCGGCCTTGGAGACCTTTGCCGTTGTCGTCGCTACCGACGATCTCCAGGACTAATTCGTCCTCCTTCTCTCTCTGCGCATTGACCGCAGTTCAAGTTACTTACCAACAAATGCAATGGCGACATGGCAGAATGCAACCATGCACAACCAGGACAGCCTTAAAAAAAAAAAAAAAAAAAAAAAACCACCACCGCCACCACCAACAACTACAAACAGGCAGACTCCGACCACAAACAGCCGGACTGGATTACAGGAACCAGGAGACAACGGGCAAACCTGGCAAACTCCGCTTGTTTTTTTTTCGGCACGTCAAATAAAAAATTCAATATGCAAAACCCAGTTTCTTCAACCCCCCATGGATCCCTCAAAAGAACAGTCCCATTGCCTGGAGACTATAAATAAAAACGGCGCATTGCAGCCCTAGTGGTTTTCCTCATAATGTCTCACAACATTTTATACAGGATTTCAAATTGCATGAATCTCTTTACCTTGGCCATAGCCTGAAAAACTATGGTTCTGAGGCGTGGGTGAGTGCCCAGACACTTCCTAAGACCGAATTTGATGTACACAAATAAAACATTTGACATTGCCGTTTTTCAATGACATGTTGAACACCACGGTGTACAGACATCTTATTTACAATCAAAATCCCACAATTTTCATAAAAAATAATATTGGAATTGGACGGACGTGCGCTGTTCAATTGCATACATTCGTTGGTTGAACACGATTGAGAAAAAAGAAAAAGGGAGGGACCACGGTGAAAGAGAAAAAGAACAACGGTTTATTTGACCACTGGTGAAATGAAAAAAAGGGATCTAGGCAGGGACAGTCTCGACTTCGGTGAGGAGGATCTTGCGGCGGACATCAGCACGACGCCTACCCGCCTTGCGTAGACGCCCATTCCGACGGAACTTCATGTACAAAAAGATACCCACCAGCACCAAAATAATCACTCCTCCTGCAACATTGATAGCAATGAAAAGAAAAAAAAAGTGTTAGTAGGGGGAGCCAAAGAAACGATGACCAAACAACATAGAACAGCAATTGAGAAATGGCAGAGAGAGTTACCGATGGTGGAGACTTTGATGATATCTTGGAGGGCAACGGTGTTGTCTGGTTCCTGGTAAGGGCAGATACCATCCGAGCCTCCGGGGACCCAACATCCAGCAGTTTGCCAGCTCGAAATATCGATCCAGATCACACCTCCTCCAGACTGATCATTGGCTCCAGCCATAGCTGTAGGTTCCGCCTTGACTTCTTTGATTCTGGTCGCCGTGCTGCCTCCAGAGTGTTGCTGTTGTTGTTGATGTTCATCCGACACAGATTGGGCCTTGCGACCGTTGTTACTCCTGGCATCATCCTCATCGTCGTCGTGACTCTTGCTCTTATCATGGGGTGGCTGCAACTTTCCTGTCCTTTCCTCCCGCTTCTTGAGGTTCTTGAATACATCACTGACAGCATCCGTGAACCGATTGAAAGCAGGCTTGAGCGAAGACGCAGACTTTTCCAGTTGACCAAGGGTGAGTGGCTGGGATGAAGGTAAGGACGAATAGGCTGTCGTATTCCTGAATGCCTGAATAGTCGAATACAACATCTGGTTCTCGCGTGCTGTCCGTGGTACATCAAACTTGTACCCCTCTGGACATGTCACATCCCGATAGTTTCCTGCGCCCTTTTCATTTATTATCCACTATTATTCGTAGAAAAAGGAGTAAGAAGTGGTTAGTGTTTACAACTCTCCATTAAAGAGAAAATATGCAACAAAGAAAAAGAAAAGAAAAAGAAAAAGAAAAAGAAAAAGAAAAAGAAAAAGAAAAAGAAAAAGAAAAAGAAAAAGAAAAAGAAAAAGAAAAAGGTAAAATAAAGTACCTGATAGGAGGTGCCGACTTTGCGGCAGGCGACAGGGAGTTTGTCGTTGCAGTCCTGTACGACCCATCGACCGTTTCTCTTCATAGCGCCACAGCGACGGCTTTGATCCCGCATGATTTCATCCGGCGGTTGGTCCAAGTCCCACGACCAGATCGTCATCGCCGTCTGCTCCGAGTATGTAAGCGATTGAGATCTACCCTCTACCAGCGATGAGAACCCGCAATTCGTCTATTTTTTGTTTGTATCAACGTGGATTAATATAATCGTTAGTATTGAAGATACATGATCCGTATATAAACAGCGATGAGGGACAAAGACTTACGACAACGCGCCCGGAGAGAAAGGTCCAGGGCGACATATCGTTGTCAGACATGCTTGCGAAGGACCAGGTCACGTCGTCGGTGATGGTTTCGCCTCTCCTCCTCAACGCTGTTATCTCCGCAAAGCTCTCCTCGGAGCCCGTCGGGCTCATCGACACACCTGGAACAGGCAGAGAACAAGTGTCCTGGTTCAAAGTGGGTAAGACCCGCAGGAGACTGCTGTTGGTCATCGACGGGCCCATCGCTGCCTGTTGGTGAAATGTCTGATAGTCGTCCGTGATGTTGTAGGTGGTGTTGGCGGCCAGGTTGTTGGACCCGATCCCGATCACAATCCGTCGATTGGCCTCCTTCCGCAGGTACAAACTAGTTGGCCATCCTGTTGGCGCTTCCAGCTTGTTTGTTGTAGGGTTTCTGGTAGTGTTGTAGTAGTCCAACCCGACAGGACCACCCTTCCACCAGGTTGCTTCCACATCTGCACGGTCGAGCTCCAGTAGGTTGGGGGTGTATATCGATTGAGGGAACGCATCGATAAAGAGTTGGCGGAGTGAGACCATCTTGGTCGCAGCCAACTCGTTGATGGTCCTGTTGGTGTTAGGTGAGTTGATGTGTTCAAAGAACTCTGCGTTGCTGATGGGTGGAGTGGTAGTTGGAGTTGCCCCAGGCGGCGCAGGAGTTGCTGAAGTAGGCGTGGGCGGAGTAGTGGGCGGAGTATTGGGTCGAGTGCCCAGGCTGTTGTTGTTGAGTTCATTGAGGTTGAGGATGATAAGGATGATATCCTCCAGTTCTGGGGATCTCGAACGTTCGATCCAAGCCTCAAGTGCCTGCAACAGCAGTACGATATCCTCGCCAGTCGAACAAGTGATCCCGTCCATTGTTTGGTCGGCTGCTCCAGCTGCAAGTGGGTTGTAGGATGCGACGACGCCCTTACTCATAGCCAGACGATTGGGCGCTACTCTGTGTGGATGGTGTGAGGCCGCGTACCGAGAGACCCCTTTGACGGACGATCCTGTAGCGTCAGAGGCTATGGGTTCCTTGTGATGGTGGTCAGTTCCAAAAGCATTAGGTTTGATCGGAGGGCGCACCGGTCGTTTCTTTTTCCTGAACCATTCCCGTCCACGACTACCCTTACTCTTGCCCTTGGATTCAGCTCCCTTTACCCCTGTTACCGGTGCCGCCTTTGTGTTGTTGTGGATGTTTTTGATGTGGTTGTTGTGATTGGGCTTTGTGTTACTGCTCGTGGGCGAATTTTTCGAGTTGTTCTTTGGAAGGGAGGCTCTCTTATTCATCGTTGGATGCGAGTCTGGACCTTTTACCGTGGAGCGTTCTCCTGAAGAAGCTGAAGAAGATGAAAAGCCGATAACGGATAATGGCGGTGATATTGGTGCAGATGGCGATAAGGAAGAAGCGAATGGCTGAGAGAGAGGAGGCACGCCTTCCGCTACATTGCCCTGTCGTCCCTGTTCCTGCTCCTGTTCCTGTCCCAGCCTGCTCGCTTGATCGAATTCCTCCGCAGTGGCCTCGACAGCAGGTACACTATTACCCATGCCCTGCAATTGCGAGAGGGAATCATCTGTGGCTCCCCCTCCAACTCCCCCTGCTGAACCAGACATGGCACGAAAGCGTTCCTGTTCCTGCTCGAGAGCCAACCTGAGAGTAGTCAATGGACTCCCTGTCGTGTCCCGTTTCAGTCGCGGACACAATTGCCAACCCAACGCGGCACTATCCCACCAAAGGTCCAAAACCAGCCTCCGCATCCCCGCCTGCAGCAACTCTGGAACTCTGGAGATCTTGTCCTGCCCGAAGTCGTTCTTGAAATATGCGGTCCTGGTATCAATCCCTGTCCAGAGTTGTCGGTTGATGGGGACGATGGGGTCAGCAATAAGTTTTTGGGTTGCCTGGGCGCCATCGGCGTATTCACGAGGTTCAGAGAGGTTCCCGAGAGGTGTTTGTGAGGTGAAAGCAAAGTTGGGTCCTTCAAGAGGTGGGTAGTCGTCGGGGGAGGGAGCATCGACACGTTGGTTCTTGTCGCTGTCGCGCGGAATTGCATCGCACGGTTGTACTAGGAAAAATGAAGAGGGTGATATTGATAATGTTGAGGAGGATGACGAGAAGGAAGAGAAGAGGCAGTTGAGGAAGAGGAGGATGAAAAAGAGGAGTAAGGACGGGGATGGATTGGCGCGGTTGCTTGTTGTGCCTCTTCCTGAGCAATTGGTGGCAATTTTTGGTGCTATTGACAGGTGGCTGTGAAGAGGCTGTTGTGGATGTCGAGCAAGTGGTGGCGAGTTGCCACGGCGGGCCACACTCATTGTCGTTATGAGGTGTGTTTGTTGAAAGTGAGTTGGTATGGAAGTGATTCAAGAGTGTAGACGGGGTTGTGTGCGGGTGAGAGTGTGTGGAATGCGGAGGATGGATGATCCGTTGTGTGTGGAGTGGAAAAAGAAAAGGAGTGGAGGAGTATGAGCAGAATGGGATGGTGAGGGAAGGAGGGGAGGTTGATTCAAAGAGAAGGAAGGCAGCGATGGGTGTTGGTCGGAAGGAAAGGCAGAATAGGGAAAGAAGGAGAGGAAGGAAAAGAGTGTGAATCGGGACGATGGCGATGGAGGAGAGGGAAAGACAAAAGGAGGGAGATCAGAAGGAGACAAAGAGGGAGAAGAAGGGACACCAAGAACGTGGGTGGACGAACAACGGTCAAGAGAAGGAAGAGAAATAAATGCACAGTCGTGAAAGAGAGTTCTGTCCGATCAGTTATTATTCTTGCAACTATTACGTCTCTCTCTACCCTGTCCACTTGTCCAGGGATACCAGGTACAGGTACAGTTTGCCACTAAAAATATCCACCTTTTGCTTTGTACCCATCTCTCCTTTTCTCCATTAATTCCTTCATTCTCCTCCTTCCGTCATGCCCCTTCCCTCTTGCACTGGCATGAACAATTGAATCTCAGTGTCATCCCAGATACCTTCATATCATCTTACATACTATCCCTTTACTTCAATCTACATGTATCTACATACTACTAAGACACTCCATCGTCAGGGTTCATGACTCTCAGACGAGGATGACTAGGATCATCCAGACCCCGGAAACTCGCCAAACTACCCGAATGCACCTGTCGATGTCCACGGAAATGTCCATGTCCACCCTGTTCGCCACGCGATATCGCCCCTTGCTCATCTCCTGACAATTCTTCAATTGCTCCATTAGTCTCCTCACCAAAAGATTCCGAGCGATGTCCAACCCCAACGACACCTTTCAACAGCGCTCGACTCCATCGTCGCTCATTCCCAGAAGCAAGGCCAGGCACAGGCATCGAACTCTCATACCCATTCCCTCCACCAACCATCAAATCCACATCCCTGTGAGGATGACCTTCTTCAATACACGACAAGGACGTCGGTCTGGTCACTTGGTGTTGTTGTTGGTCTCGGATCGCTTTCACATAGGGTGTCGACAAGCGTTTGAAATGGTCCTTCAGCAGGTTTCCTGACAACTTGCCCATCGTACTACTGTTACTTCCTTCTCCTCCAGTTCCCGCTGCTGCTGCCGTAGACGAAGAAGAAACGATGACGACGGCGACTTCACTGTCAGCAATACTCTCTTGATCTGATGATTCGTCTAGGACATGTGTCCGATACAACAGAGTCCTCGGATCTGCATCGACCACGTCTCTCCTTCCAACTCCTTGGCTTCCTGAGGAGTAACTGTGGGGTCTCCGATAATCCGACACTCCCACCACTGACGATCGATGTCCTTCTCCTGGTCCGGCTGAAGTGTGCATCGAGTGTCGCTGTTGCTGGTGGTTATGGTGGTGGTGCTGATGTTGATGCTTGTGATGATGGAGGTGTTCCAGTCGGTCCTGAAAGGGGTCGTCATTACAGTACTTGTATGCACCGCTACCGCAATTGCTATTGCTATTGCCATTAGATATCGTAGTTGTGGGTTGGTCAAAGGGAGATCCACCTGGTCGGTGAGGATGTACCGATGTCCGGACGCCCTTACTATTTTTGGAATACACCACCACTGCTGGTCGCTGGACTCTTGTGGGAGGTGCTGCCGGCGCGGTGCCAGGACCGGGCGTGTAATCGATCGGCAGATGGGGCAATTCTGCAGCATCACCTTCACACTCGTCCTGGTCAAAGTACTCTTCATACCGTTCGTTGCTATGGTGGTGCTGGTGTTGGCGGTAATGGTATCCGTCGTTGTGTTGTTGTTGTTGTGGCTCAGGGCTTCGAATGCCGGAGTATCCTCCTCCCCACGTTGGTGTTGCAACAGTAGTAGATCCATATGACCCACGGACAACGGGCACCGGGAGCATGACCGTGTTGTGGATCGCCTTCGATATGGTAGACTCACGTCGTGTTCCGCCTACCTCTCTAGCACTCATCGGCGTAGCAGCCACACCAGCAACCGTCGAAGCAGTACTCTGCCGCCGATCCACCATCCCCCCTCTATCCCTATCCGTCTGCGAATCGCTCATCATCGAGTTTCGATCATCATACATGTTACTCCCCCTCTGCTGATACACCCCTCCATGTCCCGCAGAAGGATGACTGACCCCACTCATCATCCGGCCCGTCATCGCACTATTCATCGTACTATTGTTGTACGGTCCCGGACTTGGTCCTCCCTGCGTACTACCCCCGTTGGCGCCAAAGACAGACTCGACCCATGCTGCACGGACGCGTTCCCGTTTCCGTTTCTTGCTCAGGTAGATTAAGAACGCACAGATCCCGATCAGACATGCAACTGCCACCGAAATCGACGCGAAGGGGATCTTGGATGACGATGACGATGAATTTTTGCCTGGGTACACATGAGAAAGGGAAATCAAGGTTAATTCAAATTGTCAACAAATGCAGGTACATTCTTAGAGTTTATACCACCAGAAAAAAAAGTTGCGTACCATGTCCGGAGAGGGCTTTTCCAGAGTTGCCAGGTTGGTCATCCTCTTCGCTACCATCCTCATCATCATCGCCATCATCATCACCATCATCACCCTCTTCATCTACATCTCCGCCTATCATCACAAAACGAAGAAATATAAAATAAGCATTTCAGTATCACAAATCTCCAAAGAGTCTAGTTTCAAACAGTCATTCTTCCCCTGAATGCAAACCCATTCTTATACACATCCACACTGCCACGCAACTTACCATCATTGTTATCCTCATCATCATCGTCGCTTCCCTCTTCTTCAGAATCCTGATCATCGCCTAAAGATTTGCTCTTTTCTTCCTCAGATTTGGAATCGTGCCTGACTTCTGGGTGTAATGATCCTTTGGCCGTTGCTGTTGCTGTCGCCGTCCCCGGAGGTGAACCCTTCTTCTCTAGACTGTCTCCTGACACTAGTGATATTACTGGCGATACTACTGCTACTGCTGCTGATGGTGAAGGAGGAGTAGCTGGTCCTGGAGCAAGAGAATTCCCGACCAACATAATATTCGCATACGCACCTCCGCCTACCCTTACTCCTCCACCTGCCAGATCAACATCTTCAGCCACAAGGACAGACCCACACATCTCAAAAGGGTACCCCGCACAAGGCTTATCACACCACTTATCCTCGACCCTATTCGCGTCCGGTGGAGCCTGGTTCGAGCAGAAACACTCTGTCCCTGCCTCGACGACCGCATACATATATTGGCTGGTCTTACAGTAGTTTGAGCAAGCCCCCTTGGACATGTAGATGTCCCTGTAGGGTGGGGTTAATCCTGGTAGCACTGGGAGGGTAGGGGAAGAGGAGGAAGGAGAGAGGCCGGAGGCGAAGCAGCCGAGGCTTAGTTGTGCGTGGGTGAGTGATGAGAGTGAGAAGGTCATGATGAGGAGTGTGACCAGGGTTTTTTTCCTGTTGTGCTTAGGTGACTGTTGCTGTTGTTGTATCGTCGTGTGATGAAGAGTTGTAAATAAGAGTGCGTGAGGAGGATGTTGAGTCGTGGTCGAGATTGAGGGAAATATGTTGATCGAGGGAATGATGGTCTTCCAGGGGTTGGATGAAAAGAGTATTGTGAAGGACGCGAAAAGAAAGGAGGAGGAAGGGATCGTAAGAGGGACTATTGTTGCAAAAAGTCTGAAGGGGTCGTTTCTGATTGTTGTTCGTATTTGTGAATGTCTTGAGAGTCGACGTCGATGATGCCGGCGTTGTATGGGAGATGCTGCAAGGAAAGGGTATCGCTGCTGATCCTGTAGTTGGTGGTTGTGAGTGAGGAGAGGAGGAGGCGGAAAGGATACAAAAGTGTGGTCGCTGGAGGGTGTCCGTTTATGTAGTTGTCGGGGAGTGGGGGAGAAGAACAACATTCAGCAGTGAACTTTCTCTCCTTGGAAAGAGAGCTAGAGTGTGAGTGAATGTGGCGAGAACGAGAAAAAGAGAGTTGAGGATGATGATGTGTGACAGAGAAGTGGAAAAGATAAAGGTGAGCACAAGGGTAGTGGTGTGAAGAAGGAGCTAGAGGATGTAAAGGTACAAGGAGTGACGATTGATACCTTGCACCCGATACACACTGAGCATTGACCATTTCCGTCACAATCCATATCCAAAAAGGAGTTATTTCCAATGTCGAGTGAGCATTGACAAAGAATCGAAAGGAGTAAAGGAAACGAGGAGGAGTAACGAAAACTAGAATGTCAAACCATACCAGCAGAGAACGGGTCTGCTCTGTCAACAACAACAACAACAACAACAACAACAACAGCGCCAACAGAAATTAAAGGGGGACATTTGTTTGCCATCAATAATAAGAGCTACAGCCCTCTCTCTCATTCTGCTGTGGGCCTAGCAAAAAGAAACGAGACAAACAGAATAAAAAATACAAGCCGCTTTATCCCCTAGTTTGTTTGTGGTGCAAATTTGCACCACATTTTTTTCGATTTATCCAGGTTTCCAATAAAACGGGTTAGAAGACTACGTCGTGGGAGTGTCCTTGTCGTCTTCGTCACATTACATTCATCACTCTCGAATTCAGCTCTTTTTTTCTCATCATCATCCCGCAACCCATTACCTTTTTTTTCTCACACATCGACTTCACCCTACTCACTCATGGACTCCAGTCTCGAGTTCCTCGGTTCCTTTGACGTTTCTGACTCTCAAGGCACCGTAGTAGCATCTGCGGAGGAGGTTGACGAGGCACAGGAGGAGGAGGAGGAGTTGTTGTTTTCGGTCCGTTGTCGTACTCGACCAACGCCTGGTACAGATAGCTCTGGGGACGAGGAGGAGGAGAAGGCAGGAGATGAAGGGGTGATAGATGCTTCAGCTCCACCGACAAAGAAAATCTTCTCCGACCCAGTATTGACGGATTTGGCAGACAACACTAACGCATATGCAGCATCAAAAGGAGCCGGCACAGGAGAGGGATCGCGCCAATGGGTAAAGACCACACCTGACGAACTGCGCACATTCCTCGGCATCATTGTCTACATGGGCGTGTTCAGGCAGAACTCTGTCTCTGAGTATTGGTCAACCTTCCCTGAATGTCCTCAACACAACATCACTACCTTCATGTCCCTCGTCCGCTTCGAACAACTGAAGCGTTTTTTTCATGTCTCCAACCCCAACGAGCCTGAGCAACATTGGTTCTCAAAAGTAGAGCCTGTGATAGATAGGTGCTTCGCTTCCTTTTCTTTTATTTAACGAAGAGAGTTACCACTCTTGCCCTCTGCTAGGCTATAAAAGCTAACCGCGACAATCGCCAGACCCACTTCAGGTTCTTACCGTGTTCTGGATGGACAATAGACCTGTCTCCATACTCTTCACCGTCCATGCCCTCAGCCTCGGCGACAACGACTGATCCGTTGTCCAAGATCGCAGACGCCCTCGAGAGACAAGCGCCAGCGCAAAGTCAGTGCGGGCTGCTCATAAAGGACGTTCCATGGCGTTACTTCCCATCCCAAAATCATCGATGACAACAACCACCACATGAACGGAGTCGACATTGCCGACCAGTTATGCAGCTACTATTCGACTCAGCTCAGGACTTATCGCGCATGGGCTCCGATCTTCTTCTGATTACTGGATACAACAATCATCAATGCGTACCTTATCAACAAACTCTTCGGCTCTTCCATGCATCAAAGGGAGTTCCGATAGTTCCTGGCTAAGGATCTGATAGTGTCCGCCAAATGTCGCGACACCCCTACCTAAGTATCCCCTTATGTCTCGAAAAAATTCAAGGGACCAAACGATGAATTACTGAACTACTCATGACTGGCTGCATCCTGTGCAGATAAAATAAACGAGAAGGCATAACACAAGCATATCCTCAACCCACCCAGCGAATCTGCTCTCTCTGCAAGGTCTTCTTTGCACCAAGAATGATTTAGGAGTATCATACGCGCCCTGAGTTTTAGAAAGGGTCCTGTGCCCGCGCCGATAGCGTTGCATCTCAGTGTCTGTCCACTGAGGCTGAAATGCATGGGATTGGTGCGAAAGAACCATCCTACCCCTTAATTCGCTCACCCCTAGCTCATAGCTCTGATGGTCACGGTGACTGAGTGAGCGGCTGAGGCTGAGTGAATAAAGACCACTAGCTTCTTTTTCACCGTTCTGCATCGCCTCGTGTCCCTTTCATTTAAACTGCCCCCTTCTCCCCCTTCTCCTAAACTGCCCCCCTTCTCAATTGAGCTTCAACAGACCTATGTAAGGCCGATGTTGAAAGTGATTGCGACCCGTGCTATTGAGAGAATCTATGAAATCAGACTCGCGCTAACCATCAACCTTCAATTGTGAATTACTTAGAATTACAGCAATGGGCATCACAAATCTCACCGGGTGGATCAAGGCGACAGACGGAGTGGAGGAAGATCTAACCAAGAAGAGATGTGAAGTAGATTTTGCGTCGATGTTTTTTGCGTTGGTGAACTCGCTGAGTTTCCATAAAACAGTGCAGTTCGCTGCAAAGTCCGCCCGATGTCAATTATCTACTCACACAACAACATCGACACAGCAGGCTTCATCCGGCCCAGAGCGAGCAGCCGACGTCGATGGCGCGGGCATGTCTACTCACACAACAACATCTACACGGCAGGCTTCATCCAGCCCAAAACGAGCAGCCGACGTCGACGATGCGGACACCGCCGACACTGCTTCCTCTAACAAACGCCTCCGACAAACGCCTCCGACCCCTCCAAATCAGCTCCGGGTCGTCGACTCTCGTTGAAGACATGCAGCGATTGCTGGCAACACAGCCATCCCAGATTCGGTTCGACGAGAGCGGCGCTCTGACCACAATCTGCGCCCAGGAAAAGGTCATTGTAAGTACCATAAATCATACCATCTGGAGAAAGCTAAATGGATTGTACTGATCTGGAAAAAAGTTAAATGATTCATGCTATCTGGAGAAAAGCTAAATTGCTGTGACCAAAATAATAATTCGCTGTTTCCAATAGGATTTTCGATCTGTCGGAGCCGCAATTGAGAAGATTCTCTCCTCACGATTGTCTAAGGACATTACAATGCTCCATATGGATGGTCTACGATCAATGGAGAAGGAATGGGCGCACGGCAAACGAGATCAGGCGCTGTCCAAGCAGTTGGAAACACTTGAACGAGATTACACGGAGGGCAAGCTGCACAACAAAAGACAGCTATACAAACGCCTGAAGGCGTCGTACCGAGCACCACCGGAGGCATTGCGCGCCGTTTCGGAAGTACTGCGTCAGAGTGGATGGACGATTTGCCAATGTCTCAACCAAAGCGACACGTGCATTGCGCGGACAGTCAACAACGCTGCCGTACCCGGAGATATCCGAGTTATCACCAAGGACTCCGATCTCATGGCATTCGAGTCAATCATGTCCGTCACCATGCCAGTCAAGAACACTTGGACTACTTTCCACAAAGATGAGCTTCTGAACGAGCATGGCCTTCCGACCCCTGTACATCTAACGCTTGCCGCTCTGGTATCGAACAACGACTACACCAACGGAGTTTTTTTCCTATGGCTTGACATCCAATGTCGATACGATCCGTCAGTTCAAGATGACAGGTCTTGATGGAACGGTTGGCCAAGATCGAGTGGAGGTGGTTCGGATCTATGTTAGGCGCTACCTTGACATAATACACCAAAAGGCCCGTACAATCAAGGACTCAGCCACCCAAAGCGCACGTCGTCGACTGCGATGCAATCCTAACCCAACGGTGAAGGCACACGACAAGGATCTGAGGAGGATCGAAACGGCCGATCGACAGCTGCGTGTAGATGTGACAGAATTCGGCCATGCTCTCAAGACATTCGTGCTTTGCGAGGAAACCACTCTGGACAACAACAGGATCAGCCCGGCGGCCGATACACACACACGACTGATGGCCATAATTAAGGAAACATAATTCAACAAAGCCTACAATGATTGGCGTCGCTTTTCCGCGAGTCGGACGGGATCGTTGCCGCCTGGGCTGCTAGTAGATCCAGCTTCTCAGGGGGCGGCGACAGACGCAGAGGCAACGCCACCACCACTCCCAACGGCACCCAAGGCAGGATCAGCACCATATCCGCAAGCTACATCAGCGGGATCACCTTCCATCAGGCAGACGCATGGCCCAGCCGAACATCCACCATCGCACAAGCAAAAGATTAAAAAACAACGCCGACATGGTTCACGTGCCCTCCAGCGGCGACGACAGAAGTGGCGTCGTTCCAGGTATGTCTTTTCTCCTGGTATTTTTCTCCGCCTTGTCCAGCTATATACATATATTTCCACCTTAACACAACTCATTGCAAAATCGCATCTAGATTCCGCTCGCGCACAGACGTGCAAGATCGCTATGTGCCGGACACTGTTTTCCTAGAAAAGGCCAGCCCTGTTGATGTCGTGGAACTTTCAGGATTGAAGCCGTCGACCCCCCGTCCTTCAAAGCCCAAGGAGCAATCCCCCCGTATCGACCAAGTGCCTGCCCCCGCTGCCAAGAAGAAAAAGAAAAAACTCCTTGGCGAACCTAAAGGAATAGCTGGACCCAAGGCCTTGAAGAGAGCGTTCCAGTCTGTTTTCGCAACGGTCACGCTCACGACTGGATCCCTGCAAGGCTGCCTAGGAAGATCAACCAATCTGTCGAAAGCAGAGGTTGCGCAGCTAACCCAACACGTGAGTTCGGCAGTCTCTACCGTCAATAGCGCCAAACACATTGTGTACAAGCTTATCGAGATGCGCATTCTACAGCCGCTGATCGAGACTGGACTGAACCAGGCAGAGGATGGACCGGACGAGAGCTTCCTAGAGAAGATCCTGGATTCCGATTGGGCGGAAAGGTTTGTCCAAAACCTACTGTCCTTCGTCTTGAGGAATTCCATTGTCCCCCAAGGACGTCCACCCGCGTCGGACAAGAGCAAGGATGCTGTCGCTGAAGCAATCTCGACGTTTAACGAGTTCAAGAAGACGCTGTGCCCAGGGTTCAAAGCCCTCAACTCAACGGATCTGGCTTTGAGTAATATCATCGCGGAACTTGCACCCAAGATCTGCCTAGATCAGAAACTGCATTACAGGAGAATACCGGAGACTCTTAGAACAAAGGTACCATCTATCCATATCCATTCAGTTTGTCAAATATTTTCAATGGGGTGTAAAACATATTTTAACACTCCTTTTGTTTATGCAATGCCAGCTCTCCAAGCTGTCCATTGATTGCGATGGTCTTCCTGAAATAGATCAAGATGGCACCGACGCTGGTGGTGATGCCGGGGCTGCTGACGTTAACGAGGGTGTGGACGACGACGACGCCCTCAAGCGATCCAAGAAGATCATTTTCAAGCCGGGTCATATTCAACTCTGCTGGCGATATTTCCTCCTCTTACCATCATCCAAGCGGCCCCGGTTCTGCACCCAGGCCAAAACGAGCGATTCCTTCATCGACATCAACGAGGAAGCATTGGTTGCGCTTCTCTGGGGAGAGAAGGCAGTTCAGTTGGACAACGTATGGGAGGACACCCGCTACACTCACAACTGGGCAGCGGCAAAACAGCGTTCTTCGTACGGAGAGGTGATCAAAGAACTATTCATCGGTGACCGAGATGTCATCAAGGAAGCCAGGAATAAGCAGCAGACGACATACGGGAAGAGGACAACAACCATGGCTGAGCGTGAGGAGGCCCATCCACACATCTACGGACAGTTAGAGCTCGCACGGTATTTGACGAATAAGGTCAATTTTTTCCGAGAACGGCACAACGCCTCCCTCACGGCCCCGACACCACCGTTGCCATCATCAACGCCATCGTCATCGACCACCGCCTCTTCCCACCCCACGTCAGCAGCCGCGTTCTTACCGCTACGCCCTCAACAACTATATCAGGACGGATGGCCACCAGCTGCAGATTCTCGCGTATGACCTTACAAAACCCCGCCAATCCCCAAATTACAGTGAGTTTCTTTCTAGGATCGAGAAGCTTTATCCAACGCGGCAGCATCTTATCGACGCGTTTGGCGACGACCTGGATTCAGTCATTGTCGTCGGTATTGATCCCGGAGAGGTAGTGAGTGGTGCATTTTGTTTGACACTTCCCGGTGGAAAAGTCATCAATCTGCTGATCAAGAGGGCCTCCCTATACCAGCCTACTCTGGCCTTCCGAGATTGGGAACAGCATTGGAAAAGGCGACACCCAACAGCTGGTCCAGGCGATGTTGTCGACTCATCCCTTTGGACACGGATTACCGACCTGGACAAGCTCACCACTCTCCCGTCTGTCCACGACCTAGAGAATTCTCTCCCCTCAACAAACTACGACACCTCGTTGGATGCTTTGACGGCAGCTCACAAGAAGTACTACGAGCAGGAACCGCTGATCCACGGGATTTACGCGTCAAGAGAATGGAAGGTAGCGGTTCACGAGCACAGAATGGCGAAAATGTCGGAGTTGGATCTGGCCGTCGCTGGCGTTTTGCGGATGGTGGATGAGGCATGTGAGGGCGTACCCGTCCACCAAAGAAAAGTTTTTTTTGCCCTGGGGAATGGAACCTTCCGGTCTGGCTTTAATCTCTCTTCGGTGCACACCACGTTTCTCAGACGTCTTTTACAGCAGGTACGAAAGGCAAAAAAAAATTGTGAAAGGCATGGTTGTATCTTTTTGTCTTGATTGTGTGCACTCATGATGCCATGGCAAATCTATGGAACACAATTTTATTATTCCTGCACCGATAGAGTGCTGCGCTCGGATACAAGGCTGCCCTGGTCGACGAGTATCTTACTTCCACCATGTGTCCAACATGTGTGGTTGAGAACCGAGCCACCCGCCTCGCCAAGCCGTCGATGAGGACATGCGCCTGTGTTGAGTGCACTCGGTGGATTCACCGAGATGGAGTGGGGGCGCACAACATCGCTTTGATCGGAGAACAGTACCTCAAGTCTCTAGGACGGCCCGAGCCCCTTGCAAGACCCCCCAAACAAACCTAACCTCTATAGATAGAAACTATAGTTTACATTATCCCCTTCTACGGATTAAGGGATAGCCCTATATTTGTCCAGCTGGACCAGACAAACAGGATCAGACCAGTACCCCTTTCCATCTCTCCCGTTTACCTACGCCCACTTTACCATCCCTTGCCTTGTTTTGGCGCGCAAGAGGACAGCTCCAAGACGGGAGTGATAGTTCCAACTGAGAGCTGACGTCTATCTCTTTCGAGACCACGATGGTACTAACGACACCTTGATCTCGATTTTCTCGCTCGGTGTTTTGGTTTTTCCTTCGACAGCCACAACACGCGCTAAGAACCATAGATGCCCAAGAGACGCCATAGAAATGTAGATTAACCACAGGAAAAGATAACTCCACGCGCGGGTTGGAAGTCTGTTCAAGATGTGGGCGATGAGGGAGGGTACTAGACATGCATTCGATGGGCTAAAGACAAAAGAGAGAGAGAGAGAGAGAGAGAGCGAGAGAGAGAGAGAGAGAAAGAGAGAGAGAGAGAGAGAAAGAGAGAGAGAGAGCATACGCAATGGAGGACGTATACCTTTTTTTTGAGGAGCCATGAGAAGAAGGATCGAGGCCTGATGCATGTCTGTGCCGCCGCCATGTAGCAGTGGTTTCAATTGCAAACGTTGTTCCCTTGTCTCGAGTGTTTTTGGTATCTTTGGGTCTGGTGTGAAAAGGAGACGCGTCATGACATGCAAAAAGTAAACGACATAATTATGATCGATCACTCTTTTTCTTTCTTTTTTGATGAATTTATTTAAGGTTCCAAAAGCAGTAATCCTACACCATGCACATGTCCAACAGCCACTCACCTGAACCTGACAATCTTTTTTTTTCAAGTGTGCATAAAGTCTCCTGTTTCCCACCGTTTATTTCTTTATTTCTCCCCACTCCACACCACCCCGCAACCAATACCCAACATGTCTTCTCCAGGATTCTTTGCTCGTATCAAGCTCCTCAACCCTTCCCACTCAGTCGTCAAGGACACTGTACGTCTTTCACTCTTGCATCCGTTCATTCACATCCAGCTTATCACCCGTTTACTCCTTATTTCATCACTCTCTCATTCACTCACTCTCCTCTCGTCGTAGTCGCTACTCACTCTCCTCTCGTCGTAGTCGCTACTCACTCTCCTCTCGTCGTAGTCGCTCCCCACTCTCCTCTCGTCGTAGTCGTTACTCAGTTGCTCACTTTTTTTTCATTCGTAACTAACGCGATTTAATCTATACCGATAGGACGCACTTAGGATTGGTATGTTGGGAGCGGCCAACATTGGCCCCCCCGCCCTCATCGGTGCCGCCAAGCACCTCCCCTCCATCATCGTCGTCTCTGTCGCCGCTCGCGATCCAGCCAAAGCCAAGGTACCTTAGAAAAAAAAATAATGCAACTCCAACTTGTTTTGCATGAACTACACAGCGGTAGTAGTTTGATGAAGTACTCTGTACTCTCTCAATTCCCCTTTTCTTTTTTCTCACGCAACATCGTTCTGGAAAACCCATGTACATGAATAGGCTTATGCGGATAAGAACGGGATCCCAAACACACACGCCTCCTACGACGCCCTCATTGCCGACCCAGAAATCGACTGCATCTACAACCCCCTCCCCAACGGCCTCCACTACGAATGGACACGCAAAGCCCTCGAGGCCGGAAAACACGTCCTCCTCGAGAAACCCGCCACATCCAACGAGGCCCAAGCCAAGGACCTCGTCGCCTTCGCCCAATCCAAGAACCTGGTTCTCCTCGAAGCATTCCATTTCCGCTTCCACCCAGCCTCGATCAAATTCCGTGAGTTGGTCCAAACTCATGTCGCCTCGGGACATCCTATTCAAAAGGTCAAAGCCGTCATGGCGTTCCCGACGCTTTTCGGATTAGATGATATCCGGTTCAACTACAAGCTTGCGGGCGGGATCAACATGGACGCCGGATGCTACACCATCAATTCGATCCGTTACTTTTCAGGATTGGAAGTCGAATCGGTCGAGGCTGCGAAACCAAAGATTGTAGCGGAGAATATCGATGGGCGGATGGAGGCCACGTTGAGGTTGAAGGGTGGGGCTGAGGCGAAACTGATTGCCAGTCTGACCAACCCTTGGTTCTCGGTCAAGACCTATCAGGAGGTTTTCCCCAAGTTTACGGTCGAAACCGATGATAAGATCTTTACCTTTGGCGTCTTTGTCCTCCCCGCTGTAAGTGTTACATGAAACGGATGGCAGTTAAAAAAAAAGCGCCTTTCGAATATCGTTTTGATCCTGAGGCTCCATCTTTTCCCCCTTCGATGTAGGTGTACCACTATATCTCGGTGAAGGACAAAGCAACAGGAAAAACAGAGGCCCTGCCCAAACAATACGGCGGGGGGTTCTCGACCTACAAGTACCAGTTGGAAGCATTCGTTAAGGCAGTCAAGTCTGGCAACAACAAGGACGTCGTGAATGCCATACCTGGATGGGTCTCAGGCGAGGACACCATCGCCAACATGAAGGTCGTCGATGACGTCTACAGGAAGGCTGGCATGATTCTCCGTGAGTAAACTGTACTCCTTTTTCAGGAAAGATACAAGAAACAGGGTTGTTGTAGTTCCGTTCGTCCTTTTTTCACATACCCCACATAGCACTTCAATTACAGCCATAAGAAATATTGATTCATTATTGAATCGCAGTTTTCGACATGCATCAACTTTTCTTGTGTCCATCTCACCCAACAATCTCCAAACGCGTCAGGAATCTACCTTTGCCCTCTCTAATCGTAATATTGACGCGAAATCAGAAAATAGATAACATAGACCTTTGCTATCATCTTTCTGCATCGTGACGTTTATTGAATTCAATTTATCATCGATCCTTCTACTCTTTGTTGTCGCTCTTTTGTTTTGTGATCACCCTGATTCACCCTTCACACACCTTCAGCTACTTCCTTTCTACCTTTTCAAACGATTCCCCAGCTTAACAACTATCAACATGAAGCCCCTTACACGATCCATTAAAGAGACTGTCACAGAAGAGCTTCGACAAGGGAAATCGACCAGGGGGGCTGCATGCAACCTTCGGATCTCTGTCTCATCGGTTATCAGAATCAGGAACGAGGAAAAGGAAAACATCCCCCAACCTCATCCCGGCAGACCAAGGAAGATCTCAACAAGGACAAGGACGAATCTTGAACCCCATTTTATTCAAGGCAACTTGGAATCGCTGAAGGATGGACAACGATTTGTCGAATCGACCGAGGGAGTACATGTCCACCTCACCGCTGTACAGAGGAATCTACATCAGGAAGGAATCCGGGCGTACTCAGCACCGGAGAAGCGGAAACTCACACAGGAACAGTTCACAAAAAGGCTCAGATTCGCACAAGAACTCATTCATTGGACAGTCGAGGACTGGAAGAACGTGATGTTCTCTGATGAGTGGCATCTTCAGTCGCAGTGGGTCCTTCGGCAAGCAGTACTACTACCACAGACGCCAACAACAACAATACCTGCCTCACCAAGTTCGACCGAAATAACAAAGCGGTGGAGGGAAAATAATGGTCTAGGGTTGCATCGGATATTTTGGCATTGGAGACCTTTTGCTGGATCGAGGACAACATGGATTCGGATGCCTATCTGGAAGTTCTCCAAAGGCGTGTTCATCAGTCCCGCGATTGGCTAGGCATGGACAAAAAAGAAATTCATATTCCAACAGGACAATGCCCGCCCACGCTGCACTCAAGTCCATGCACTTTTTTTTGCGAGGCATAGGAACAAGGTTCTTGAGTGGCCACCTAATTCGCCCGACCTCAACCTTATCGAGAACGTTTGGTCGTATATCAAACAGGAGCTGGATCGGCACTCAGAGGCGGCTGAGGATCTGGACAGGCTGTGGGAACGTGTGGAGGCGATCTGGAGGGGGATTCCTACGGACTATCCTCACAAACTGTACGAGAGCATGCCCGACCGCCTGGCGATGGTGATCCAGAACAAAGGACGCAACACCAGGTACTGATGACCGCGGCAGATAAAAGGCATGCGCCAGATTCAGCCAATTAGAATAACTATAACTGATTCAATGAACTTGTTTTCTTCAAAGTGGTATTGATAACGATTCTATTAAGTAACATTAGCTGGGGTTTCAAGTGAACAATGGAGGAGAGTGTAGCGATAGAGCGGGTCTAAAGAGTAGAGGGTCGGGATGAGAATGAGAAAAGTTACTGCGTCTCGAAAACTGCGAGTCATTGAATCAATATTTCTAATGACTGTACTTGTTGTCAGCGGAGACTAAGCGAGCTGCAAAGAATCCTGCTCAAGTCGATAACGATGGCGAGGTTTCCGAGACAGAAGGCAAGGAAGATCGGGCCAGTATTTGATGACTAACAGGTGTTCGAACAGTTGTCAGAAAGCTTTTGGGACACGACTCTCGCAATGATTGACAACAGTAACAGTAACGTTCTGGCATTTGAAGCAGTGAATCATTTGACGATAGTGGCATTGATCCATTAATCGCGGAGGAGGATGAGGATGGGGAAGTGCGGATGGACGAAGATGAGGACGAAGACGAGCCGCTACAATAGATACTCCCTTCGCTACATCAATATATTAAGACTTGATCTCTTACAAAAAAGGATTTGTATTTCAAAATCAAATAGTATATCGTTGCAGGACTTCATGACGCGGCCTCTATAAACGAAGTCGCACCTACCCAGCGTCCTGCACCGACACACACTTCATCCTGCCCCAAGTCCCTGGACTCGCGACATCACTCTCAACACTCAAAACACCTATCAAAAGGACTAGCACAAAGAATGATAGCTTGTATGAGGCACTTTATTGGAGTTAGCCTGGAGAGTACGGTACGGTTACGGTACGGTTACGGTACGGTTACGGTACGGTTACGGTACGGTTACGGTAAAACTAAATGTTCCAGTAGAGATTTCGACTAAGCTGTTTAAGATTCAACTAAGCTGTTTAAACCTTCGACTAAGCTGTTTAAGCCTTCGACAAACCTGTTTGCTAAGTTTTATTGTATGTCAAATAGATTCTTGTACGTACTTTTCAATAAGTTATGAGCATGGGAAGCAAAAGGGAGGGAGCGCCGTGGCGCCATATGCTGTCAGCGCAGCGCGCACGCGGAAGACGAGAATGTGAGAGACTATCTTGCGCAAAGCGCCAGTATTTTGTGAGGGCAAAGCCCGAGCTGTGTGATCCCTGGCGCTGCGTGCGGGAGGGAGCGTCATGGTGCGGCCATCAAGGCCATCTTGCGCAAAGCACTCTTTTTTTTTTTTTTTTTTTTTGACTCCATCAAGCGTACTTCCGCTACCAAACCTACTACCACCACTCCTTACTCTTCCTTCTTCCCTCCATTTGCAAAAGCACCAGGTGTCGTGGAGGCAATCATCAAAGATCAACAAGTCGTGTCTGCCCCTTCTTTCAAGGAAGTTCAAGGATCGCCGCTCTTTAAGACAAGGGCAAACAAACGACAAGTGTAAGGATTGACACATTTCATATGAATGACCCCTAATGGGTCTATTACGAAACAGACGAGGATATATTCGCCGCATCTGTTGATATCGACCAGGTTTTACAGACGGCAAGTCATACAACAGTTGAGTTGGAACCAACTGTTACGACGCAATTAGTGGATAAGGGCTAAGATGAATTGCGGAGGGAGAACAACTGGCCACTGCCGTTGTACAGAAACACAATGCCCTACTTCAAGGTATCCAATTAAAAAAAAGGTAAAAAAACAGCTCCAATAAAATTGATGTGTCACCACTGACGGGCATATTTACCCTAAAAAAAAAACAGATTACAAACAAAAAAAAATTACAAAACAAAAAAATTACGCGTTACTGCCGCTTACAGATTGCTATGGATTACGTTGCTACCGGATTGGCAGATTCTGCTAAGTCAGATTCCTCCAACTTGCTCCAAGCCAATCGAGATATCATTTCCTCAAGCGCAACTGCTCAAGCGTCACCTCTTCCGTCAAGACTTAAATAGCAGAGCTTTCTGAAGCAGTTTTTTTAGTTTCTTATCAGAATTTCTTTGACTTACCCGCCTTCACTCTAGGTCACCTTTCCTACAAAACTTTATAGTCTATTCCTCTACACGCCTTCAATGGAGAGCACACTCACCACGCAATCGGTGCAGATACAGCATATCCGCAATGCTACCGCCAAGATCAAGTACGCAGATACGACCTTCCTTGTCGATCCCATGCTTGCCAGGAAGGATGCATATCCAGGCTTTGAGGGGACGTATCGCAGCCATCTGCGCAATCCGATGATCGAGCTTCCGATGCCGGTTGAGGACGTTATGGAGGGCGTGGATGCGGTGATCGTGAGCCATACGCACCTCGACCACTGGGACGATGCGGCTCAGGAGCTACTCCCTAAAGGCATTCCTCTGTTTGCACAGGATGAAGTCGATGCCCAAGTTATTCGCGCACAGGGCTTCACCGATGTTCGAGTTTTGGGCGAGGACACAGTTTTCGGAGGCGTTCACTTGGCAAAGACAGGAGGGCAGCACGGTACGGATGCTATGTACTCCGTACATGAGGTGGCGGATATTCTTGGCAAGGTCATGGGCATTGTCTTTTGGGCACCGGGCACGAAAACCGTCTACGTCGCCGGTGATACCGTCTGGGACAGCGACGTCGATCAGACCTTGGCGAAGTTCAACCCCGACGTGATCATCCTGAATACCGGCGATGCTCGTTTGATTGGCTTCAGCGACTCCATCATCATGAGCAAGGACGACACACTCCGCGCTCATCAGGCTGCGCCAAACGCAACCATCATCGCCGTGCATATGGATGCTATCAACCACACAGCGTTGAGCCGCGAGGAACTGCGAGAATATGTTCAGCTGAAGAACATTCAGGATCGTGTCTTGGTCCCCGCTGATGGCGAAAGTCTGACGTTTTGAACCATAGGGTCCACTCCAATCTAGCTGCGCATTGTCGCATATCTTGTCACACACTAAGTAGCAATAGACACACTACTAGCGTAGCAGCCAACGAAAGACCCTTGTCTTATCGTTTCTCGAATACATAACCTTATTTTATCGTATATATTCTTTATTCTTTTTGAGCAGTGCAACAGTCAAAGGGGAAGACAAGGGGACAAGGGGACTAGGGAAGGAACGAAGAAGAAAGTCAGATGGTTGGGTGTGGAGGTGGTTAGATGTGAAGGCGGTTCAACCGATGCAAGCAGATTCATGAAAAAAGCATTGACATTTCGTGGTACCTTCTTTTGCCATACAAAGATTTTTTCGCGATTTTCGACGTTTTTGGGAGATGCTCGTCCTCCATCGCTGCGATCAACCCCGCATCGTTCTCACACCTATATGTTATTTCTATCTTTTAGCTCCCTCGTCGCCGTTGACGTCAGAGGAACCTATTCTCATTCACTCTTTGCTCTTTCATCATATGTAATTTCCGTCACTCCTCCCGCCACCTGTTACGATGCCACCAGTAGAACACAACAATAATAAAAGATGACAAGCGAATTCCACTCGCAACTGTCGCCAACGCTATCTAACAACTCGTTCAAGGTCATTCTGTTGGGAAGTGTGAAAAGTACAGGGGAGATGGAGACGGGAAAGAAAGGAGATTTTATTCAATTTGGCGAAGACAGGATCCTTTTAGTGATCCTGTCAAGCCACATTTGATTCTCAGTTCGTCAATTAAAAAAGGCTGCTGCATAATTGCAGCACCTAACCTCAACGGATCCCATAGCACCCAGTCAGCCTTGCCCAGAGAGCACACACTGCGAACACCTCAATCCACTCCACTGTATCATCCCAGGGCTATAACACAGCCTAAGCTGCCACCTTCCCTTGGGGGTTTGTCCAGCAAAGTAAATTGATGTTGACCTGCAAAATGAAAAAGTGCATCACTTACAACAAAGACGAAACAAACGCCAGCCTTACGCCCATAACCCCCTACTGCAAAAGGCCGATTTTACACCCGCATAACTGGTGTTTAACTCTCCTTTCAAAGTCTTTTCATCTTTCCCTCATGGTACTTGTTCGCTATCGGTCTCTCGCCAATATTTAGCCATAGATGAAAATTTACCACTCATTTTGAGCTGCATTCCCAAACAACCCGACCCTTTGAAAACGTGTCACATAGTGGCATGCACTGAGTCAAAGACGGGATTCTCACCCTCAATGATACCCTATTCCAAAGGATTTATACCCAGGCTGTCACCGAAAACGCTTCTATAAACTACAATTCGGACTAGTAAACCAGTCAGATTTTAAATTTGAGCTCATCCCGCTTCACTCGCCGTTACTAGGGGAATCCTTGTTAGGTTCTTTTCCTCCGCTTATTGATATGCTTAAGTTCAGCGGGTAGTCTTACTTGATTTGAGATCGAGTTTAACAAGGGTTTTTGAAGACTCTTGTGAAAATCCTGCATCAGTCAGCCAAAATGGTCAAACTCCCTTTATGTTAGCTGCAGCAGAAAGTAATCATCCGTTTGACGGGACTAAATGAATATGCTTTTAGCTCAGGAGAAAGTCCAGCTGCACCTGCATTTCAAACAACAACAACCCCCCCCCCCCCCCCGCCTCCCCGACCTTGAAAAAAGATTGGTGCTGGGATTGTTCAAGTCCAAAGCCTATTCCAACAAAGAAAAAAGCTTTGAGGTGTGCACTGATACTCAAACAAGAATGCTCTTCGGTATACCAAAGAGCGCAATATGCGTTCAAATATTTGATGATTTACTGAATTCTGCAATTCACATTGCGTATCGCATTTCGCTGCGTTCTTCATCGATGCGAGAGCCAAGAGGTCCGTTGTTGGAAGTTGTATTTTGAATTGCTTTATTCATAATATTTTTCAGACAAAGGAGTTAAAAGATACGGTTGATGCTTGGGCCGACCCCCTTTTTTTTTTTTTTTTAAAAAATAAGAGAACCAACCTGACATTGCACAAAAGGTGGATATGGATTTAAAAAAGTGCCATAAAACACTTATTATGAATGGTCCTTCCGCAGGTTCACCTACGGAAACCTTGTTACGACTTTTACTTCCTCTAAATGACCAAGTTTGGATGACTTTTTAGTCCTTAGCTGCTGTTGCTAGCTGCCAAAGTCCAATCCGAAAGCCTCACTAAGCCATTCAATCGGTAGTAGCGGCGGACGGTGTGTACTGTACAAAGGGCAGGGACGTAATCAACGCGAGCTGATGACTCATGCTTACTAGGAATTCCTAGTTAAAATCTAATAGTTGCAATGGACTATCTCCAGCACGATCAAGTTTCAAAAGATTACCCAGACCTTCCGGCCAAGGTTGTAAACTCGTTGACTTGATCAGTGTAGCGCGCGTGCGGCCCAGAACATTTAAGGGCATCACAGACCTGTTATTGCCTCAAACTTCCATTGACTAATAGTCAATAGTCCCTCTAAGAAGTTGACGACCAACAAACGTTGGCCTAACTACTCGAGAAAATGACAACGCCCAGTCGAACTAAAGTTCACTCAGTCTTGAAGGTGGAGGTATGACCAAGAAAAATAGTGAAAAATGCGGGCGCTTAAACCATACCCGGATTATCTTGTCAGTTTGTCGATCTCAATCCCTCCCTCGGACATTATGAGAAGTAAATATGAAATAAACAGTCTGCTGGTCAACAGCAGTGTGGAGGATCTTTTATTGGTATCCTGTATATGAAGGAAAACGAAGGATAGAATGTCTAAAGAGGCGGATGGGGAAGAGGAGGACAAAAAACAAAGGCGGAGAGGATCCCGACAGCGAACGCGGCCTAGGATTTATTTGTTGTGCCACAAAAAGTTCTTGAGGGTGTTCCAGCGGTTAGAGTCGATGTAGATGTACTGCATCGATGCCTGGAGCGAGGGCTGGAGGACATCGCGCTCGTTCTGGAACAAGAACATCACCGTCGCCCACACCAACGACGCAAAAATAGGGAACGTCTGTGTTGGTTCTGCAATCACATTCTTCTTCACTGGCAGCTTGGCCAATCCGATCATAATACGCGAAAACAGGTACAACACGATCTAATTTGGTTAAGAGGTTGGTAGGAGAAGGGCTGTTAGTCTTTGTCCGTTTGTGGTAGTGGTCTGAGGGAGGTGGAGGAAGAGAGAGAGGGGGAGGAAGAGAGAGAGGGCGAGCAGGATGGCGATGTCTGATTGCTCAAGTGCCTTTCACGATTGTCCGTGAGAATGAAAAGAGTCCGGTGTTCCTGCACCAAGTGTCCGTGCGATCGATCGCATCCACTGATCCCGACTAGAAATAAGCAGGCCAACTGTAAAAGCAACTCGTCTCCCGAAAAAAGTAATAGGTCGCTGTAAAGAGTAACAACAAAAAATGTGATGCTCTTCCGCTGTCTAAACTGAACAAGAAATGAGATAACAAACACAAAAAAAGAGCATGTCCATGTGCAATTGAGCGCAACAAAGTCGACAGCTGTTTGCTGGTCCGTGACAAGGCAGAGTTGCAAACTCGAATGTGCTTTTGTAGCATTGCTGAGCTGCCGTCGTTTGAATCGAATCGGTTGGAGTCGATCGGTTGAGTCGATGGGTCGGACAGCTGCTGCCTGTGTTCGGTTCCCGTCTTCTTTTGTTCCCTCCCCTCTGCGCCTATAATAGTTTGGAGATGTCCGCCCAATCATATCTCGTTCCTGATTCTTCTTGCACCAAGTGAAGTGGAGGGAGAAGAGTGCCGATAAAAAACAGGGTTCGTCATGAGCTTGTTTCCCCAGCCGATCGGGTCACTCCCTGGTTCTGAGTAATCATACAACCGCAACCGGTGAACAGAAGATTGGGTGCAGGGGGAAAGGAGGGACAGGGATTGGAGAAAGGCTCGGGGCGGAGACAAAAAAAAAAAAAAAGAGTAACGAAGCGAAACCAAAAAAAAAAAAAAAAAAAAAAACGCCCATGAGATGTTTCGGCGTAATTGTCGTGAGAGAGGGGGAAGGTCATAATTAATTACCTGCTGGTTGACATTGTTGTTCTCGCCAAAGACCACGTAACCTCCAACAAGACCAGCGAGGAAAGAATCCAAGGGACGCTCCTTGCCGTGCATTCTGCGCTGGACAATCAACAGGGTCTTGTAGATGGTGGCGAAGAAGGCCAGGTTCTTGGCGTGCTGCTTAGTCGCCTTCAGAACAAATCTTGCCATATCCTTGAAGCTATTTTGTTCGTTCACATGGTAGGGGGCAAAGGATATCGTGTAAGTAAAAAAGAACAACAAAGAGAGCACAGGTTGAAGTGAGGGGTGAGTGTATGACAGGCAGAGAGATCTGATTTGATCCGGTTGGCATGTCTCCGATATGTTGCTTCATTCCCTCTTTGCATTCCTTTGTGTGCAGCTGTCTCATTCGACACTGTCCTTTTCTCCTGTTGTCCGTGTGTATGTCTGTGTGCCCACGCCCTACCCTGTCTGTGTCTGTGTCTGTGTCTGCGTAAAGTATCGAAAAACAACAACCAAAGCTCCAGCTGCTTACTTGGAGCGACGGAAGAGCAAGGTCATGATGAGGGCATGAGGAAAACGGATCTTCGCTCCGTAAACAAGACCGTTCCTGAAACCCTTGACGATCGACAGCAAGTCATGGTACTCGGGCGTCAGGATGAAATGTGTTGCGGCGTTCTTGATTGAGTCCATTGTTGGTATGTTCTTGGTGATGTGGTGTTGTTGGTGATGGAGAGGGTAAGAATGCGAAACAAGAGCAAAGTTAGGAACGTCGGGGCGGATAAGTAGAGAAGAGAAAGGTGGAGAAGGGGTATCGGCGAGTATGGAGTGGAGTGGAGAGAAAGAGTGAAGAAGTAAAGGAGAAAGAAGAAAAGGAAAAGGAAAAAAGAGAAAAAGAGTTGCGGTTTTAGAAGTACATAGGAGTTGTGTCCGTGGAGAAGGAAGGAAGTCTCAAGTAACGACATCTTGCTCAAATAAAAAAAAAAAAAAAAAAAAAAAAAAGATTTGCCCAACTCGCACTCGCTTCACTATGACATCTGGGCTCATGTTTTCCTTCCTCTTCAAACATACCTCCCCGCACTCTTGTTCAAAGTGTCTTTGTCATTCAGCATGTCATTCCGACACCCTGATTGGCTCCTGTGCGCTGGAGGACGCACGTGAAAACTCGCATTTATTCTTTTCTCGTGTCTTTCACCCCTCGTACGACAATTGAACCCTTCGAGTCATTCGATCTCTTTTCTTCCTTTCCTTTTCTTCGTTGGTACCCACGGAAAAAGAAAAAGAAAAAGAAAGAGAGAATGAGAGAGAGAGAGAGAGAGAGAGAGAGAGAGAGAGAGAGAGCCATTTGTTCCTGCCTTGCTCAATCGCATACCTGTTTGTTTGTTTGTACTCTTGTTCTCACAGAATGAAAAATTACTCCGAAGTGGAGGAAATGTGTCCGTGGGTCGATCACATCCGGACAGCATAGATCCCACTTTCTATTGACCCATTGGCTGTTGTCTTTGGTCGTTCTCGCATTCTTTGATACCCACAAAAAAAGTGCCTTTATATATGTTTATAGTTGTGTGTGTGCTGGTGTGTGCTAAGATATAGGTGTTTCCTGTTGTTGTTGTCTTGACGCGCCCTGATACCCAAACGATATTACATCGTCCTTGCCATAAACTAACATTCGCCTCCTCTCACTCATGGTAGAAAATTCACGAATTTACTTGTTAAAGTCGACAAAGAACTCCCAACGACCATCAACGAGCCCCTTGGCAGTATCCTCAAGCACAACCTCACGACGACTCTCCACATACACAGTTTTGTCCAACACCTGCTGACGAAGCTCAGCAATCTTTTCCCGCTCAATCGGCTTCTCAAGCAACTCACTCAATGCCTCAACCGCCACCTCAAGATCGCGCTGGTTGTCCTCAAACAGCTCCGTCATATTGTTCCGGGCCAAATAGAACGCAAACGCATATGTCCATCGCAATGTCATACGGCATGATGTCAACACATCCACAGCCCTCTTCAAGAACTGCACCTCGATCCACGACAAATCGCTCGTCCTCTGCATCTCCTCCATCTTCTTCTCTGTCTTTGTATACAAGTCCCGATCCAGCTTCGCCGAGTGTTCATGATTCGCGTAACGGTTGTAGTACTATTTGTTGCATCATTTGGAAGTAGGATGAAGGGTGGTGATGATTAGTAAACGGTCACAACATCGAATACACAATGATGGACAAAAAATCATCGAAAAGAAAAGGAAGAGATATTGATGGAGGCATCAAAAGAAAAAGTAGAAGAGGGAAAGTACGACGAAAGAGAACAAGACATAAATGAGGACATGAAGGCAATCAATGACAATATGTAGAACAGGGCACACAACAAAAAAGAAAGGCGTACGTGGAGGTAGCGCTCGAGGGAGGCGCGTGATTTGGCTTGCTGGTCGCGGGCATCGGCACTGCTAGACTCCTCGAAACGGTTGCAGTTGTACCACGAGGTACCGTGCTCAGACCAAGGGCCCATGCAGACCCAGCAGAACTCGTATTTACACTTGCGACACGTCATATGGTTACATCCTCCGTTCTTCTCGATCGTCGATTGACATTTACTGCACTCCTTAGTATGAGCCGAAATCCAGTTGGCCGTCTCTGAATCATCCGCGCATTTCTTCTTCCACATCTTGACCAGTCCGCAGGGCGCAGGCTGGTGGTCGTCCAGAGTACAGTTGAAGCAGAACTTGTGTCCGCAGTCGCAAGACACTGTCGGAACAATAGTCGTAAACGAAGAATGTGAAAGTCGGCATTCGATTGCGTATTCGCAGTTGGGTGCAGGGCACCAAACCAGGTTGTCCAAGTCTGACACATATACCCTGTCTTGCAACTGGCGGTATCTATGGTCATTTGAATTGAATGGTTCGTGTGTTTTGGTTAGATTAAGGAGCACAAATGAAATCAAATGACATATGCGTGGTTATGAAATGGAGAGAGCAAAGGGGAACGGACAACGAGAGCACTAGCAAAGAACGCAGTAGAGGGAGTAACTTACTTGGACATGACGGCTGCGGGGACGACTTTCTTGATGGTAGGTTCATCGACGACGACATTACATCCAGTCTCGGGACAGAGAATACGACGGCACTCGCCCTCCTCGACAATCTTTTGGCGCAGATAGTGCTCGTAGCAGGGTTGGCAAAAGACGTGTCCACAGCGCAATCCAAATGCAGGGCCGGCACTGCTGTCGTCAAAGCAGATCATGCAGACGAATCCTCTGGGCCGCTTCACCTGAGGAGTGTGAACATCATCCAGAACCACACCGGCCTTGTCCAGGATCTCTTGGGCGTGGTCCATGTACCGCTCGACGAGGCGTTCCTTGTTCCACTTGAAGTTTCTCAAAAGAGCCGCTGCTTGATCCTGCGTCATGCCGAGAATACCGGCGACATGGCTCGACGCACTCGCCTGAGCTGACACAATATCGGAAAGGGGCAGGACAGAAAAGTCGACCTGGTACGCCTTCCTGCGCTGCTTTTCCGTGATCATGTCCGAGAACCCAATATCTTCTGTCTGCTCGTATTCCAGGTCTATTATGAAAATGTTGATTAAACAAGTTTCCAGGGTGATTGTTAGTTGAGGCTTGTCCAATTGACCCACTATTGGTGGCGTTTTTCATCGTGTTTTCATCAGTGCCCAAACGAGGGATTTTATCCTTCTAGAAGCCTCTTATGCGTGCTTTTTGAACATTGTCGCCGTTGGTATGGATGCCATATACAAGTCCCGACAATGGACGACTTTGTTTCTCTCCTTACCCGATCCTTCCTCCTGTGAATCGAAGTCGTCATAGTCAGACGAGCCTATGAAGCAAGGCAATGAGAGAAAAGGAGTGTGCGATTCCATTAGTCATCGTTGAGCAAGAGACAAAAAAAAAGGCTAGCTGCGACCAAAGAGAAACACCTGTTGCAAGTGATCCTCCTCTGCTTGCAAGTCAGTATACGTGTGAATGCAGCCCCCATGGCATTGTGCATTTGGGTGATGAGGTTAGAGTGGGTGAATACGAGTATGCGAGAAGAGGGAAAGGGGATGGGTGGCATGCTCCAACTCTCACCCAGCTGGTACTCAACCACTCTGTTCATTCACAGTCTTGTGTTCCGTGCGTATGTGCGTCCTTCCTCTCCTTTCAACAGTGCTGAGTCTCCTTGTTTTGCGTCATTATGTCCTTGGCTGTGTACAAGTGAAGGGCGAGTTTATTGTTGATGTTGTCGTTGTTCTTCATGTCTCTTACCAGCAAAGTCATCGTCGCTGAGTGTTCCTGTGCTCATTTGAAGTAAAGGTTGTTGTCGAGTTTCTTTGTTTGTCTTGTTGGTTGTTGAAAGTGTGGGAGTGCGAGTGAATGAAATGAGTAAGAGTGCGTCTATGGGGAATGGAGTCTAAAGGGAAAAAGAGAAAAGGAAGAAAAAGGAGTCGACTGAAGAAATTGGGAATCATATCGCGCTTTTGCTCTTGCGCTGTGTCGTTACACTGTCTCACCACAGGTCACATGGCTCACACACTCGATGTCACAGAAGGATAAAGCATAAAGGCGAAATGACAGCTCGCGTGTTCAACGAAATCACACAACATAGACACACACACACACAAGCACAGAAAATAATAAAAATGTTTGTACGGACGTTGGTGATGACAATATAGTAATAAAAGTACAGAGCGGTAGAGGGAATTCTAATGCTGGGCACGGATAGGTGTTGAGGACGAGGAGGATGTAAATCGGAACCGATCAAGACACAGCTTTGGCCGTACATCCTCTTCTTCCTCAGCTATCGACTGGGACGTATCTGTCGATGACGATGAAGGAGTGAACGAAGGAGACGGGGAGGAGGATCCTGATGACCGCCTGGTAGAGTCTACAGGGCACACTGTCGTCATTCCAGTTGTCGCCTTACTCGCAGGAATCACATTATGAGCTCGGTGACCGGCGTCGAAGTGATAAATAGATAGTCCTGGCTGTGCCTCGGCAGCTTCCAATTGGGTATCCACTGTTTCGGCGACCGACTCAGCAGTCCTTGAACTTCCTGTGCTAGCACCAGTCAAGGTGATGGTAAGGGAGGTTGATTGTACTCCTAAGGACGCAGGGGTTGATGCTGCTGGCTTGGCCTTGGGGTTGAGTTGGATCCGTCCGCAGTTCTGAAAGGCTCGCTTCAAACCGGGTGTCCGTCCAGGCTGAGCTGTGTTGGAGAACTTTTCCCGCCACCCCTGAATCACCTTGGCCTCTGCCCGCTTATACTCAATGACTTCCTCTTCCACTGCCTTTGACTCGACTGGTACAGAAACCTTTTTAGGACTGGCAACGGTTTCCTTTGCAATTGCGGGCCGAGACTTCTTGGGGCTCTCGGTCATGGACTCGCGATGCTTTGAAGGTGACTTCGCCTTGGACATGTCCACTGCGTGTAATAAGGCAGCCTCGTCTAGGCCAATGCCACTGTCTACCCTCGGGGTTGAAGATCGCGTATCCTGGGCAGTCGGAGCTGTCGTTGTCAAGGTGTCGCAGTCGTCCGATGTGTCGATTGTATCAAACTGCCCAAAGAACCGACTCCTTGCTTCTACAATGACATTCCGAGGCTGGGGTGCTGATTCTGGCAAGTATTTGAGTTGATAGGGCTGTGTTGTTGGCGGAAAGATGCTGGGCATGTTGGCAAATGAATTGGGTACTGGAGATGCCTCAAGCACGCGCCGCTTAATAGTCGCAAAGTTGTTGTTCTTGGGAAGCTCGCGCTTTTGCGTTCCAGTAAGTGTCGAGGTTGTTGTCACAGAGGTTTTTTGAAAATACGTGTTGATAGCCTTTCCAGCAGCCTGTTTAGCGTGAGCAAGTATAAAGATTATGTTAGCAGCGCGTTTCATTTTGCCTGTGACAACGACCAATCTAGAATTCAGTTGTAGTGTTACTTACAGGTCGGTTCTCCTTGCCAACATAGTTATGTTTTACATAATGATTAGGTCTTTGGTTGACTGGTCCGTTGAGTGGTGTCTTGTCGATTGGGTTGATCCTTCCCTCCGCGATTCCTAGCATTACAGTTGGATCCAATGGTCTAGTCATCGAAATAAACCATTATATCATCAGTTATCACCTCGAATGAAGCCTCACAAACTGACGTATCAACAAAGACAAATAGAAACTTACGGGCCCAAGAAGTGGTACTCTTCGGTTTGCATTAGCTCCTGCAGGTCGTCTGGGATAGGATTGAGATGGACCATTGACTTTGATCTAGGATCAAAAACTCGGGCATAGAGGAAAGTCAAGTCGGCTTGCCGGAAGTCCATCTCATAGCCTGGTGGGATCTTCATACTGGTATTCTCCATGCGCACATGCCGAAGGACCTTGTCGTATGTCTTGTATCGTCGTAAAAGTCGCTGTGCTGTTTTGAGACCCATCCCCGGAATCGATGGCAGATAGTCGCATCCGGCGAGAATACACATGTGGCGAATCTCGGTCAGTGTCCAGTCCTGGAAAGATACCTCCTGCACTCTGCCCAGCTTGTCAAACAGGATCTCTGCTCCTGCGCCAAACTGATCCAACTTGAAAATCACCTAAGAGCATTTGGGAAGGCAAAAAAGTGAGTGGGTGCCGATTCGCACAGCGAGCTCATATCCACGTAACACAGAGACAGTAGGTACCTTCTTGCAGCCAAAGACGAGGAGATCAGAGTCCTCGGTGATAATGCCGTCAACGATCCCATGCTTCTCCAGATATGCCAACTGTGCATCAGCCTCATAGGGTGCCACCACAAATTCGACTCCTGCGGCCTTTAGAGCTTGAATAACTTCAAAGGCCATCTCTGGTGTTACATCCACACACTTGCGAAACTGGTCCATTGCTTGCTTTGACTTTCCTGCTCGATGAAGATCTAATGCTTGTTTCTTGCTCTCTTCTCTTCGACTATTATTATTCAATTAGAGAATTGATATGTTAATCCTTTTTTGTCCGCGACCAAAAAAAAACCCTGGCAAACGATAAACGTTAAATGTTGCTTCGTGGAAGTGGTTGCTATTTGCCTCAGTCGCTCCTGTTCTGTTGATGCCTTTGATGGTAGATATCCGCCGTCAAAGACCACGTAGGGCTTGACGCCAAAGAACTTGAACATCTCAATCTTGCGCATAAAATACGTGACATATCTACTTGGAATGATTTGATGTATGTTGCATTATGCAGCGTCAGAAGGTTGGAATGAGATTGCCCTCGCTCTTCAGCAAAGGAACGGAAAAGTGTGATGAAAAGGACGCGTACTTGATGGTAGGCTGACCGAGACAGAGTTCCTGTGCACAGGAGAAGGCGCCCTTGTGGAGCCAGACGTATCCGTCGACAGCGAGGGTCTTTCCTGCATAGTCTTTGAGATGTACTGGTCTCTCGATTGACTTTATCAGGGGCAACAGACCCTGAATTCCCATTGCGTCCTCCTTGCTGTTGTCCTTGTTGTTGTTTGTTTGAGTGAATGTATTGCTGTGTTGGCTGAAGCGAGTGGTGGATGGTCGCCAGGCAAGTAAAAGTGAGGAGCGTCAAGTAGAAGTGTGGTGTGGCAAGTAGAAGTGTGGAGTGGCAAGTAAGACGAGAGTAGTTTTTGGTGGCAATTATGGGCGGACAGGATGTGTCTTTGTTTGTGTGTGCCTGAGCCTCGAGTGTCTTCAGGGTTCAAGAGAAACAAAAACGCGACATTGAGATGGGAGTGGCTTGGGGTATGGGTCACGTGCAAAATAGGCTCATTTATCATCTCCGAATTGTGGTAGGTGCAGGTGGACAAAGGGTCAGGCACCGAAGGAAATAGGAACGCTTCTCTCGAACGAACCAGGCAAACTCATTCGCCCAGATCGCCCAGATCACCCAGATCAATTGGAGGAAGAGAGGAGGATGGTGCATTCGGAAGCAAGGGAAGGATCCATCGACGATCTGCTTTATTTTTGAGAGAAGAAGAGGAACCACAGGGGAGAGAGACAGAAAGAGAATGTTGTTGTTTCGATCCCCATCAAGATATGAGAGAACATGAATGGGGGTCTTTGTCTAGTTGACCAGTCGACAAGCAAAGAGAACAAGGGAACCCATCATCATGGATGACAAAGAGAAGAAAGTACCGAACCAATTGTTGAGCTTGACAGATCAGAGAGAAACCCCGGAGGAAGAAAAGATAACTCTTTCCCCTTTGGCTATGCGAAAAGACGAAAAATGTCGCCATCCTTCGTGAAAGTGATGGCTCTCCCCATAGATACACAGTCACATCCATCCAATCATTGCGGCCCATTTCTCCTAATTCCGAATGATCTTTGCCCTCTGTTGCCCTCCTCTTGACTTGTTCTACTTCGCGATGTATCCGTTCATTTGCTTACTGCTTACTGCTTACTGCTGACTGTTGACTGTTGACTGTTGACTGTGCTGACATGGATATGCCTTTGTCCCTGCCCTCTTTGCCCATTCCTTTGTCTGGGCGATGGCGCGATCGTTTAATCGCCATGCAATTGTCCGTCCCCCCCCCCAAAGATCGATCTTTTCCTTTGTTTATCTTGGCCTCATACTTAAGAAGGACAGGCCCTTGCTCACTTCTACTTTTCTTTCTTTCCTCTTCTTCTTCACTCCTCCTCACTCTCTCCACCCACCCCGTCAACCCTCCTTCCTCCTCTCCTCCTCCCTTCTCCTCTCCCTTTCATCTTTTTTTTTTCTCTTTTCATTTCATTTCCTCGCATTTTTTTTTCTATTGTAATATAACATACACAAACCAACATGTTGACAGTCTTGCACACCCTCGCCAACTCGGCAGGTCTCTTCTCCAAGAACCAAACCGCCATCGCCAACTCCTCCGCCGACCCCTCCCAAAAGATCAACAAGGCCCTCCAGAACCTCCACGTCGTCCGCAAGATCATCCTCACCCAGAACTTATCCGAGAACAACGAACAGGCTGCTCTTGCTCGTCTTGACCAGATCCTTGACCAGATCTCAGTCAACTCGCTCTCTGTCTTGACTTATTCCCAGCTCCAGGATCTTGCTACCGCCTTGACTGTTTCTACGACCTCGACTACGACCACTTCAAAGGAGTTGACCCAGATTCTTTCGACTATTCGCTCTTCGACTGTTACTACCACCACCACGAGAAAGGTTATCACAAAGACTGTCAATGGAACGATCATCAACGAGGACGACACCGTCTCGGTCACCAGCTCTGAGGGCCCTTCCTCAGCCGTCACCGTCGTCGATGAGCTCGACCACCTCTCGCTCTCCGTCCGATCCAACATCGCCCTCGGCATCCAGGGAGAGTCCAAGGCCAGCGCCCTTCAGTTGACTTCTGGAAACCTTGCCGTCGAGCATGTCGCTTACGCCCTCAGTGACCTCCTCTTCGTCTACCCTTCCTCGGCCTCCCAGCACTCTTACCTCGGACATGGCGCGGAGCAGTGGGCAAAGGCTGGACTGAGCAACGCCACCAACTCTGTCTTGGCCCCCCAGGTCCTTCAGATGTCGACCCGTGCCAACGCTGCCTCTGCTGTCCTCGGTGCCGTTTCCTCGGCTGCCTCTGCAAAGGCCACATCTGCCATCTCGACCTTGGCCTCCTCCGCTGCGATCGTCAACATGGTCCCCAACCTGTACCAGATTGCCCAAGCCAACCGCCCTGTTGTCTTCCATGTTACTGCCGAGTCGGTCGATTCCAACTTGAACGTTCTCCGTGGCGATTACTCTGATGTCCTTGTCGCCCGCGAGACCGGTCTCTTGTACTTGGCTTCCAACTCTGTCCAGGAGGCCTACAACATTTCGGTCCTCGCCCACGCTGTCGCTGCCGGCACCAACCAGTCCGTCATTCATGTCCTGGACGGTGTTCAGACTAGCCAGCAAGTCGAGGCCATCAAGACTGTTGGCGACCAGGCTCTTGCTGCCCTTATCAAGCAAGAGCAGCACAATGCAGTTTTCGCTCAGGATGAGGAGGCCTTGGTCTCTGCGATCGAAGGTATCTTTGAACGTGCTTCATCTCTTCTTGGACACACTTACAAGGCCTTTGAATACTCTGGCCCTAAGGATGCCGAGACCGTCGTTGTAGTCTACGGCCCCGCTGCCAACGTCGCCCACCACCTCGGTGACAAGGTAACTATTTCTTTTTGTTGCAGCGTTTTATTTGTTCGTTCTGTAAGGTCTAATTGGCATCGACACTAACTCCTTGACTCTCTTGTGACTACCTTTCAATCAAATTAGGTCGGAGTGTTGAACATTCGTTTGTACCGCCCATGGTCATTCTCGCACTTCTTGAAGTCCATCCCCACATCGACCAAGAACGTCATCGTCGTCGAGCCCGTCGCCAACACCGCCGCCCACGGCCCCATCTTCCTCGACGTCTCGGCTTCCTTCAACCTCTGGACCGGTGCCCACCGCCCCACCGTCACCGACGTCAAGTACGGTCTCCACGGCGCTTCTCTCACCCAGGGCTGGATCAAGGCTCTCGTCCACCAGGTTCGTTCCTCCAAGGGTGCCAAGTTGGATCTGACTTCGATTGTTGTCGCAGAACCCGAGGTCGCTCAGGAGGATGTCAACCAGGTCATCTTCTGGGAGACTGCCGCCTCGACCGCCGTTTCTGCCCATGTCGCCAAGCACTTCCACTCTGCCCTCGGTCAGCGTACTCAGCACAGCTCTCGTATCAATTCTTACCGCCACTCGGCTGTCATCGAGACCCGCGTCCAGTACTCCAAGTCCAACACTACTGCCTTTGGCGAGTCTTCCTTGGCCAACTATGCGACCGTTCAGGATGTTGCCATCTTGGACGAGTACAACGTTGTTGCGTCTTTGAAGCAGGGCGCTGTCCTTGTTTTGAACACCCCCTGGAGTGTGGAAGAGTTGGAGGCCAAGACCTCCGCTGCTTTCCGTTTCGCCTTGGGAGCCAAGCAGATCCAGGTCCTTCTCATCGACTTGAACAACGTTGCCAAGGAGTTGGGTCTCTCGGGTGCTGGCAAGACCGTTCTGGGCCAGATCACCTTCCTCAAGACCCACTCTTCCAACTTGCAGGATGCCGCCTTTGGTGCCATTGCCCGCCAGTACGAGACCTCCAACAACAAGCTGCTCAACGATTTGATCACTTCCCTCGTCGACCGTGTCGACAAGGAGGTCATCGAGGTGCCCCAGAACCCCAACTGGTTGGCCATTGAGCTCGGTGAGGCCGATCAGGCCGCCCTTGCCCTCCCCAAGCACGTCACCTCGACTGTCCGTGGTATCGCCAACGCCTTCGAGGGCTCCAACACTACAATTGTTGAGGAGTCTGTCTCTGAGGAAGGAGAGGTCGCTCTTGGAAAGACCTCGAACTGGCACCAAGCTGCCTGGCAGCTCATGTTCTCCGAGGCCCACGAGACCCGCCAGGCCCTCTCTGATGGCGACCACTCGTACTTGGTCAAGATCACCGAGAACCGTCGTCTCACCCCCTCAACCTACGACCGTAACGTCTTCCACCTCGAGTTCGACACCACCAACACGGGTCTCAAGTACGATATCGGAGATGCTCTCGGCATCCACGGCTGGAATGATACCCAGGAGGTCCTCGACTTCATCGAGTTCTACGGTGAGAAGCCCGAGACCGTCGTCATCGTCCCCCGTGCATTGGCTAAGAACGCCCCCGAGGGCACCGTCGCCCGCCACCAGACCAACTCACTCCTCCAGGTTCTCCAACAGACTTTGGATCTCTTTGGTCGCCCCTCCAAGCGTTTCTATGCAGACTTGATCCCCTATGCGACCAACGCTGCCGAGAAGGAACGCCTCACCCACTTGATCTCTGCCGAGGGCGCCCAAGAGTTCAAGGACCGTGTCGACGAGACCCTTACCCACGCCGATATCCTTCGCGAGTTCCCCTCTGCCCACCCTTCGATCCCCCAGCTGATCAACATGTTGCCCGCCATCAAGCCTCGCCACTACTCGATCGCCTCCTCCCAAAAGGCGCACCCCAACTCGGTCCATCTTCTGATCGTCGCTGTCGAGTGGACCTCCCCTTCAGGCAAGGCCCGCCTTGGTCAGTGCACTCGCTACTTGACCTCCTTGAGCGTCGGCGCCAATGTCACCGTCTCCATCAAGCCCTCTGTCATGACCCTGCCCCCATCGCCCCACCAGCCTGTCATCATGGCCGGTCTCGGTACAGGCATGGCCCCCTTCCGCGCCTTCATCCAGGAGCGCGCCTGGCAAAAGGCCCAAGGCATGGATGTCGGTCCCATGATCCTCTACTTTGGTTCCCGCAACCGTTCCAACGAATACTTGTACGGTGAAGAACTCGAAGCCTACCACGCCGACGGACTTTTGACCCACCTCCGCCTTGCCTTCTCGCGTGACCAAAAGGAAAAGATCTACATTCAGCACAAGATGAACGAGGACGGCAGCCTGTTGCACAAGTACCTTTTGGATGCCCAGTTGAACGGACACTTCTACTTGTGCGGACCTACCTGGCCCGCTGGAGATGTCAAGGATGCGATTGTGCAGAGTTTCATGGACGGTGAGGCTTGCGCTGCGATTGATGCCAACCGTATTGTCAACAAGTTGAAGGAGGAGGAGCGCTATGTTCTTGAGGTCTACTAAAGAGGAGGATGCTTATTGTTCATCCCCCCTCTTTTTGTACCAGTATCACTTTTTTCATCTCTTGTAAACATTCCCATTTCATTTTGTCTTTGTAATAAAAGCAAGCTAGTCATACCCCCCATGTCCATTCTCATTGTCTTTCTCTCCTTCTTGAAAAATGAGCGCCACCAACCTCAAAAGTGATCAAGCGTGAGTCAGTTCCTGTTCATTTTCCCAGGCACGATGATCCTATTCCATCCTATCTTTTTTCAGAAAGGAAATTTCCGTTCGTCCTCTTTACTTCTTTCTTCCTCTCTCTCTTAATCTTCATCCTTCAACCTCCCCTCATTCCATCTCTTACACCCTCATTCACAATGACCACCGAGACACAACCCCCCACAGCCACAGTCATCATCCGCCTCGCACGCCCAGAAGACGACGCCCTCTATGGCGACGATATCTACCGAATCGTTAACGCCGCCTACCGCTCCAGTAAATGTCTACTCACACCTCCCTTTCATTGCTCATTTTTTCTTTTGTCCTGTCCCTCCTCTCCCAGCATGGTCTATTCATCGGTCTAACCTAACCTCTTTCATTTTTTTTTTACTACATCAAATATTCTCACCACACACCCCTAATAGACGCAGGATGGACACACGAATCCCACTTGATTGCAAAAGACCGTATCTCCCGTGCAAATGTAAAATCAGTCCTCTCCGACACCATCAACCCCGTCCTCCTCGCCTTTGACTCTGTGTCCAACAGTGTTCTCGGAACCCTCCAACTCGACCCCGCAGAACATTACCCCGATTTCGGTCACTACACCGCCAACTCTACCTACTCTTTTGACTACACCACCTCTGAGGCTGTCCCGCGCACAGAACAGATCATGCTCGGCTTAATCTCTGTCGACCCCACCCAACAATCCCGTGGTACCGGTAGGAAGCTTGTCGAAGCCGGGTTGAAGCACGCAAGGGAAGCCATGGGCAGGAGACAGGCCGTGGTGTATGTGTTGTACCAGAGGACGGAATTGAGGGAGTGGTATCAGAGGGTTGGGTTTGTCGATTATGGAGAGAAGAGACCTTACCCGGATGTTGGGAATACTAAGCAGGAGGATGTTCATTTCAATGTTTTGAGATTGGCCTTGTAAACGGTGATGGAGGTTGCGGAGGTCAGCGCAGAGTGCATCTTCTCCCTTTTTAGAATACAAACATACCCCCATAGATTTATCTAATGTCCGATGGATGGTCAATTCATTCTTGCAGCCTTGTTTCCTGTTTCTTGTTTCCCCCACATTGTCATTGTCGCCACCGAGAAACAACGTTCCGCGCCATACAAATGTACTTTGTTGCTTGTTTGATATTTTATTCCTTTTTTCTTCCCACACACTCTCTCCGTCATCTTCGGCCCAACAAAAAATGCAAAAGTACCTGTTTCTAAAAGATGCGGATGATAAAGAACATAAAGACAAAGACAACACTGACACCCAAGACAATCCCCCAAATCATCCATTTGGTCTTTCGACTCTGCTTCGAGTACAACTCCAACCGTGCCCGCTCCTTTCCCAACCGCGAAATATTCGTATCCAGTGCCTGATCAGCATCATCAAACACCTATTTTGTTTTGTTTCGCCAAAAGCAAGATAGAGGTGAAAGAACAAAACATGTCAGTGTCGCACTTTGCATTTCGTCTCCATTGTCAATTTGCATTGCATCATGAGCACGAAAGACGTAACGTTATATTATGATATCTTACCCCGGACTTTTGTTCATCGACAAGGGTCTGCTGGATCGCAAGGGCATTGTGCCGGAGCTGCTGCATCAATGCCGAAATTCCAGCCTCCATCTCCTCACGCGCCGCACGATCGTTCTGGAGCGCTGCTTCCACTTGTGCCTGATCCCCGCGCACAGTATTGCTGTTGTTATTGTTGTTGCTGGCACTGGCTCCACCACCACTTCGACCCGTCGTGATTCCCAAGCTGTTCTGGTGGTTGCTATTGCTGTTCCCGTAGAGTCCGTTCCTGTCAGATCTAATGGTTCATGTAAACGAAGGCGAAAAAAAGGATACATGCATGATGTCAGCATTGCCCTCGTCCTGACTGCGTTCTTGAAAAACCAGCATAGTCCTTCCAGTGTTCTCATACCTCCGTTCCCGAATTTGTGATGCTGGGTCAGTTGGTGCATGTGTATGTTGCTTCTATATTCATAAATCAATAGTAAAACCATATCAGCCTCATCCATTTGTCATCAGTCGGCAGCGAGCATCCATACGTCTGAGCAACCCGTTCACAAAAAAAAATAATTCTTGCGACCCACATACCAGTTCGTGATGCTTCTCAGTGTCAACGGCGACAGACGGCCGCCTCAGTGCATAATCCTGTCCTCCATGTCTCCCATCAACAAGCTGCGACGCGTCCGACACCATCCTGGTCTGAACCAATCCCTTATGACTAGGTTGCACCTATTTTGATTAATTGAAGTCAAAAAAGAGAATTTTCCAGTCAGAGAATGCAGTATCTCGTTTGTCTTGCTGCTCTGTCTACCGCCGTTGCGCTATTCCTTACGGTTGTAGGTCCACCGACGGCGCTTGTCAATGCCTCGATTTTGTCCGCATATCCTTGGATCGCTGCCTTGTCGATCCTACCACTAGAAAAATAATAAAAGTGCAATAATGAAATACGTTAGTTTTCGCCTATTACGCAAGGTGCGTGTGGTTCAACATCTCTTGCAATTTAAAAGGTACGGCTCTTGTACCTTCTTGAAAGATCCTCCTCCAGTCCTATAAGCATCTCCTCCAGCGCTTTAATGTTCTATAACCCAAAAACGCAAAGCGAAATTCTAGTCAGCCAACGGCCACTTCAATCGCACACAAGGTCATAAAGCAAAAACAAAACTGTATCTTTATAAAGAAGAAACAAAACAAAAAAAGGTGTACCATGAGGTATTTGCTCCGCTCTGAGCCTTGGAGGATCCTATCTGCTTGCACTTTGGCGTCGCACTTGGCCATCAGTCGCCGCATGTTGATCTCCTTCACTGAGGGTGACCCATACGGTAGCATGGGTGGGAGACTTGCAGATGGCATCTCTTCCTTGTTATGCTGAGGGAGGGGTATATGTTGGTTGCTTGTTGAGAGTTGTTGCCTGCCTGCTGATGTTCCTGCTGGTAGTTGGTGGGTTGCTTGATGCAGAATGAATGTAAGTCGTGAAGAGTGGAATGGGGAGACGGTTTGCTTGCCTATTCACGTTCCTCCACGTTTCAAAAGTGGGTGACTGCTGGCCAAAATTAGGATCTAGTCGACTACGAAAAATCGTCGTCTTCCCAGAAGAACATCGATTGCGACGAGGTATGCCCAAAGTCCATATCATCATCTTCCTGCCCAACACGGGCACCACTTCCCTTGACCTTGACAGGTTCAGGATCAACAATATCTGAGATCCCGTCCTTTCCAATATGAAACGAGACGGTCTGTTCTTGCATCGTCGGTGATTTGAACACTCGCGCGTATCGCTGTTGACCGTGTCCTCCTTGATCGTACAGCCGTATCCGGTGTGTGCATATGTTGCCCCACGTCTCGCCTAGTGCTGGATGGACATTGTCGTCTAGTGGGTCGAATGGCCGTTTTCCTGTTGCAGGTGCGTCTATTGTTGTCGTCATCTGGTTAATCACCACCACCTACAAAAAAGATCAAGCAGAATTAGTCGAAGGACTTTGGAGAGAGAGTCGTTGGTGTACAAGTATAATTGAGATGAATCCTCAAGGCTTACCGCCAAGTCGTGCTGCCGTGCTAGATCCGCCAGCTGTCGACCAAGTGATACCACAAGTTTGGTCCGTAAGCGCGTATCACTAAAATTCGACCTGAACAAAAACGAAATCGAGTCCACTACCACCAACTTGACCTATATGGTAGGAAAAGAGAAATGCGAATACCTTGTGTCAGCACTTCTACCCTTCTGAAATGTCATTAAAACGACCTGATCCAGGATAATTTGATTAAGAACATACGTTGGGGTGTTCCTGCAATATGCCGGCGAGGATCCTGACCATCGCAATGAACTCTACTGGACTGTGAACGCGACAATACTGAATCCCTCTCAGTAAGTCATCGGTCGTTAATGATGGCTTCGCCCCTGCAGCCTTGGATGACTCGCTCAGTCTCGCCGCACATGCGCTAGCCAGCTGAGAGGCGCGTCGTGCCACAAAACTGCCCTCTGTATCAATATAGATCGACGATCCTCCAGCGCCACCCATGGACCTGGGCATCTGGGCATTAACCGATAGTTGAATCCTATACAGTATCGAACAGGCTCCATGTCAGCTCGCATGTTGAAGAATTGTCAAAATCAATGAACAACCGGTTAAAGTGAAGGCATGCTAGGAGGTCATACCCGAGCTGCGTTTTGCCAGATCCCGGGAGTCCACAAATTTCGGTAATCTTTCCTGGAGGGATCCCATGTGAGCCACCAAAGAGACTGTCGATTGCTGGACTGGATGTGGTGATGGGCGCCAGTTTCTTTTCCTGCTCCCATGTCTGATCCGCTGTGAACGATTTCACTCCAAGGCCTACAAGTTCAAACGAGATCATTAGGTTTTTGTTCGTTGTCAGAGGTATCATTGTAGTTTCTTCCTGACGTGTTTCCTCAGTATGTACTTTTAGGGTGTAGTTGATCCAAAAGTTCTTGCGCTTGCTCCGGAGTCAACTTCAGTTCTATTTGTTCACAGAAAGAAAATATGGTACTTATAAGTAAAAAGAAAAAAAAACACGACGGTTACCGCACGAAGCAGTAGCAGGTAAATAAGGATAGGTAAGTACCTTTTGCAAGGTCAGCGGTGGGGATGGCAGAGAGGTCTCCAACAGTGGTGTATCCGGACCGGATGATTTTTTCCCGGAGTTGGATTGTGAGACGGAGGGTGACAGCCGGTCGGGAGGAAGCCATTGTTGGAGGTTGTCGAAAAAGTGTGAATGTATTGGTGTCAAGAGAGGGAGAATGCTGTGTTGGCGGGCGTTTTCAAGAAAGTGTCATTCCTGGGTGGCGTTGTGCTTGTTGGCTGAGAAGGTGAGCGATGAGTGTCATTGAGATTCTAAGAGGAGAAAAAGTAAAAGGGTAAAAAGTGGTGGCGTTGAGAGGGTGACATGTCATATACCAAATTCAGCGCCACGAAAACATCGCGCAGAAGAGAGGGTAAGTGGGAGCAGTCACCACTAGAAAAAATACTTTTGAGCATTCTGGGGAGGCGTGAGGTCTGTCCATCTCTTGCTTCTTGACTTTCAGCTCACTTCACCAACAGGAATCAGGACCAAGGAAGTAACATTCACACAATACCACCAAAGGAAGAGCCATAGCAAGAGAAGAAACTCACGAAAACCAAACAAGAATAAACATGGCGCCTATCTTGGAAAAGATTATGACGGGGAAGGAGGCGTCGCCTTTTATCCTCGTCAAGGACACTCTTGAACAGTCCGGACAGGTCCTCGGTCTCGAACTCCTCAGCAACTCGCCCTCCGAGTATGTCACATCCATCATTCCCATTCGCCATGCTCGCCTGATTTCATCTTCAATTGGAACTTTCAGAGCAAAGGGACTAACTAGTAGAAACTATCTTCAAATGGATTAGCCACGCTATCATTCTCGTATGCGCAGAGACAGCACCAGATCGACTCCTGCCTCTCGTCAAGGGAAACCAAAAGTAAGCACCACTTCTTTATGCAGGAGCCAATATATTTTCACTTCTCGCGCTCTGCTCTCATGTCACATTGATCGACCTAACCGTGTTCGTGTCTTTAATTGATAGGAAGGCGATTGTAGACTGCTACTCGAACCCTCTTGGATGGGTCAAGGATACCACCTCTACAACAAACACATCTTCAAATCGGGACGCGCCCTCGGACAACACGACAACCGTAACATTGACTTTGCGCAATATCAGGAAGGCTACCAAAGTCATCACAGACCTTATCACCTCTCGTAAGTGTCTCTCCTTGACCAACTAGCGTGCCAACAACGCGACAGTGCAAACTTTTCTGGCCTCGACCTGGTTGCTTACAACTTCATGTTTTTTTCTTCGTTTTTAGAACGTTCAAACTTCACGATTTACTTTGATTCCTTGTCCCAGTTCTTGATCGCCTCGGTCCCGGACACCTTCAATTTGCTCCGCTCCATCACCGCCCTCCTCACAGGTACATACTTTGACCTTTCCTACATTTTCTTCGTACGAATCCAGCCTGCGCGTACTTAACCTTCTACAGACAAATACTCACCCTACCAACCAATATCATATACCACCCCCAAAACAGATACATCACGTATAATCGCCATTCACCATGAAGACATCCCAGACGCAGACTCCTACCTCTCCAACTCTTCGTCCAAACCCCAAGCCTCAAACTCCCTCGCCCACATCGCCACCACCCTCATCACCCTCAAATCCAGCGAAGCCCTCCGACAGGATCAGGAGGATTTCCGGAAGGGTACTGTGGCGGCCAAGGAGTTTTGTTATCTGACTGTGGATGGCAATGCATGGGATTCGGCCGTTTGTGAAGTGGAACATAAACGCAAGTCTGGAAAAGTCGCCAAGGAGGTAACTTCCATTTGTATTTCGACATTCGAAAAAAAGAGGAGCAATGAGAAGCGCGATTGGAAGAATGACTGACGTACTAAGGCGGTTATTTGCACTGGTTTATTTTGTCACTGCGTTATATTAGACGAATGCGTACCATCAGGGAACGCCGACAGGAAACTTGACGGTCGTCAATGTCTGGGACGTTGTTGGCGACTTGCCCGATATCGAAAAGATGGATCTGGAAGAGTCGCAGACCGTAAGAGCAATATTTTTTTATCGTTTTTGTTGGGTCTATTCGTGGATCAAAAAAAACGATGTTTTATGTTTGATATGATTTGAATTCTCACATCTTTTCTTTTGAATGTAGTCTGATCCGGCCGCAAACTTGTCGTTCAATTTGAACTTGACTGAGGAGCAGAGGAAGGCCAAGAACGACACTGTCTTGCCATACCTCAAAACACAAGGTAAGCCACTATCAAAACTGCATGTGAACAAAAGACAACAACCAGCATGGTTTTGCTAACATCATCTTTTATGTGTTGAATCTTTGCTACGATAGAATCAACGGGAGCGATCTACTATGAGCCAGACGCAGCGGACGACTTTGACGACGATGACCCAGATGACGATCTCACCATCTAAAAAGCCATTTTCCAACTTCTCACCCATAGAAATAAAACATTCCCAACACATCCATAAAACCACCTCCTTGAACCAGCTTTTGTTTGCAAATTATGCACAAGTGTGTGTTTATTTTGCTTATGCATGTTAGTTATTGCGTCAGAATGAATTTCTCTAATGGTGATGGGCAGGAGCGACAAACCCACCCATGATATCCCAAAGGTTCTCCGCAAGCAACCAGTAGATCTCATGGTTGGCATTATGTGTGCGGATGCCGTGGTCGCTGTCGGTAAAGAAGTGGGACTTGTAGCGGTGGTTGCCTGCAAGTGTCAACCTATCCATCAATACAAACGCGTTTTGGACGTGCACGTTGTCTATTGGAGGTACGATTGTAAAAAAAAAAAGACGTATGGGTTAGCACTAGTGCCCACTCACTCACTTTCGTGTTTCATGAAACAACAAAGAAAAAGTCAACAAAGAAGGCTTACCATCGCCGGTGCCGTGGACGAGGAGGAAGTCGGTGTTCTCAAAGCCGGTCATGTTGGTGACGGCGGTGGTCTCGTATCCTTTCAAATTGGTCGTGGGCAGGTTCATGTATCTCTCGGTGTAGACAGAGTCATAGAACCGGAAGTCGGTGACTGGTGCAACCGACATCGCTGCCCTGAACACCCCGCTGTTTGCCTCCGTAATCTTGGCCGCCATGAAACCTCCATACGACTAATTGCAATGTAGAATACTTGAATGTTAGGCAATGTCGCAGGTTGTAGTAAATCTCATATCGGTAATGTGAATGGAGGAATGTGACTTACCCAGCCCCAGATGGCAACGCGCTCGGGATCGACATAAGGAAGAGTCTTCCAGTGCTCACCAGCAGCAATCTGATCCTGCGTCTCATACTTCCCCAGCTGGTTGACAACACTAATCCTGAAGTCACGTCCACGGACACCCGTACCACGTCCATCAACAACCACAACAACATACCTCAACTTCTCAGCCGACGACATCATTGCACTGAATCCTAGCTGGAACTGAGTATCGACCAACTGTGATCCGGGACCACCATAGACCTGGAACAGAACAGGGTGCTTCTGCTCAGGTGCGAAACCGGGGGGCAAGAACTCCATGTAGTTACACTCACGACCGTTCAACTCAACAGTTCCCCAACGACGGGTCGGGTGCTGGGTTTCATCCAAGAGAGCACGGAGAGAGACGTTATCCTCGACGTTGGTGTTGAACTTTTCGTCAGAGATCTTCTTGACCTTTTGCCATGGGACGTCAGGTCCGCGGTACGAGAGCAAGTAGTATCCAGCGCCAGTCGAGAACGATGCCGTGTAGTATCCTAGCTCAGTGACATCCGTCAGCGCCTTGCGTTTTATCGTATCCATCGCCACGCTAAGATATACATGAAGATAAATAAACATGTTGGTTAGACCTCGAAACAAGGCACGGGTCGGCCTAGCAAGTACAAATAGAGTTACACATACCTGTAGAGGTGACGCTCGGTGCTGGCTTTCTCGGTGGAGATATAGTAGACGAGACCATCCTGCTCATTGACAGCAGCCATGGACTGAACCTCCCACTCGCCGTTAGTCAGCCACTTGGGGTGGGGGTTCTCGACAGGGGTATAGAGCGCAATGTGGTTGTATCCGTTGTTGTTGCCAATGTCAAGGTAACCTCCCTCAGGAACAGCATCCGAGGGGCGAACATAGCGGATACTCTGCTGCATATCAATCCAGCCACCATCCTGCTTGCCTGCATTCCACTCGCGCACAATCTTTCCATTCAGCGACACAGGATCAACAAGGACAAGCTTCTCGTGGTTCTGAACACGGTTCTGGACCTTGACAAGCAACGCTGATGATCCCTCAGTGGCCCACTTGACTTCAGCAATGATCCTGTTGTTATCGTCAAAGGTGTTGCCAAGGTGGATGGGCTCCAAGGGTTGGACGGCAGTGGGTCGAAGGGCGGTCTTGACGTTGTAGAGGTGCAAGTTGACAATGGGGTTTGGGAATCCGACCTTGGGGTACTTCATTATGATGTCCTTGGGGTAAGAGGGGGCATTGAGCTGGTTGTTCATGTAGAGCGAGTAATGGAACTCGGGCACCTCAGTCTCATCAAAGCGCAAGAAGGCAATGGCGGTGCCGTCGGGCGACCACCACAATGCTGCGGGTGATCCATAGACCTCTTCCTCATAGACCCAGTCAGTGATTCCGTTAAAGATGGTGGCGGCGCCGTCGTAGGTGACCTGGTGACGGAGGAGAAGCTCTTCATAGAGATACAAGTTGTTGTTCTGGACATAGGCCAAGGTGTGGCCAACAGGACTCCATTCAACATACTCGACTCCCGGTTGGTTGGGCGTATCCAAGAGGGGTGTCAACTCGTAGTTCTCCATGTTGTAAACGAAGTATGTCGCATTGAAGGAGTGGCGCCATTGCTGCATAAAAATAAAAAAAGGGGGTTGAGGTGGGTATTAGACAGCTATTTGCATATCTCGCATGAATATGGTATTGTCGTAGTGTTAACTTGCGCCAAATTACCTTGCGGCGGTCAGTGCCCAAGAGCACATACTTCTGATCTGGAGACACTTGAAACGAAAAGAAGGGGATACGTTTACCATGGGCCTAAAGGGGTGCAAAGTTGAACAAAACAATAATGGTTAGTTACTTAGGGCGCTCAGGAGGTGGATTCGTGGATAGAAAGAAAAGAAGGGGGAGCGAGCTGAGATATATTGTTGTCTGTCCGTTGATAGTTGGCACGTCAAAGCGAAAGATTGAGAACGGCAAGACTTACATCTGTCACATTGGCGCCAGGAAGGAAGACCTTGGGTTCAGATCCATCGACGTTGCTGAGGATGATATCGCCATTGTCATTGACAGTCGAATACACGCCATCGTCACCTAGAATGAGCAAAACCACAAGTTGGAAAAGGGTCAGCTGTGTCTCTCTCTCGGGACCCTTACAGAAGAGTGAACGGATGCCCAATTGCTCATTAATAACGGCTGCTGAGGTACAATTTTGGGTTGCTTACCATAGGGCATCCAGGCCAGGGATTGGTACTTTGGTGTGAAGGATTGGTTGAACATGTCATCGAGCTGGTACGATGGTCTCATATCTGCCATGGATGCGTGGGAGAGTACGACTGTTGTTCCGCGGCGATGACAATTGTGTTCCCATGAAAAAAATGGAGGGTGGCGTCCCAAAGTAGCATAGATGAATGGCCAACAGAACAGAGTTGACAGACAGGGTTCATGAAGAAGAAAAAAAAAAAGAAGAGCGGCAGTTAGCCGAGCTGCGGACTTTGGGTTCCATTAAAGGAAAGCATTCGATCCCTCCTTTTTTTTTGCAGAGTGTACGAGCAGGAAAACAAAGCAACTTACTCAGGCGTCGAACGCCGAGGATGACTGCAATGACGACCCAGATAGCGAGGATAGCACCAAAGATGGTCAGACAGACACGGTTGCATCGGGTGAGCTACGAAGGAATAGAAGGTAACAATAACAATAGGAGAAGATGAGATATTGAGCTCATCTCCGTAACATGATCATCAATTTAACACGGGTGGTTCGCGTTCAATTGATGCAAAGGAGCAGGGAGGAAGGTGCGCTTACGATGGGCGTCTCGATATAAGGGCCTCTGTTCGAGCGACGACGACGAGAGGTGGGGAGGTAGCCCTTCTCGTTGTTGTTGCCATCATCGTCAGAGGAAGAGTAGATATAGCGTTCACTGTCGTCGCTGTCGTCGTCGCCATAGTCCTCCTCGTCGTCGTGGGTCGAGGGTCTCTTTTGGAGAAGCGAGGCTGACCTGTCACCGTGTTGGTGTTGTGATGTGTTGCTGGAGAGGTCGAACTGGTCAGAAGTCAAAACGGTCTGGAGGTCGTCAAAGTCGTGGTCATCACCAGCCAGGGTCTCGTACTGGCCGCCGTTGCCACGTGGACGAGACATGGAGAGAATGTGTGGGAAGGAGAGAGAGAGAGAGAGTGAGAAGGTGGTGTGTGAATGAATGCGGCGGAGTATTAAGTGGGAGTGTGAAAGGTGTGAGTGTGTGAGAGAGAAGGGAGGGGAGTGGGGTAGGTGTAGTTGGTTGGTTGAGTGAAGAGAAGGGGAATAAAGGATCGAAGGGGAGGCGATGGAGTGAATGAAAGAGAAAGAGGGGGTGGACTGGCTAATTGAACGGCCGGAAGAGGAAGCGTTGAAGAGGGAGGCAGACAAAGAGAGAGAGAGAGAGAGAGAGAGAGAAAAAAGATTGCTGAGCCCCAAGAGCGACAAATAAAAAAGGGTCGGGTCTGTCGCATGAATTCAAAGATTCAAGGGGGGACTGAAAGAAGGGATCTGATTGGATAACGAGATGGGTCGGGGGTGAGAGAGAGGGGGGGAAACAGTCAAGAAAAGAAGGGTGAAGGGGTGCACACATGAAACACTGAGGCAAAAGACAGAAAACGGTAGACAGAGCCACGTTTTGTCTCTTTGTTCTTTGCCTAAACAACAAAGGACCACAACCTGGCAACCACTGCGAACGCAACGAGAAACAGTTCGCTTGAGGAATATGGCTCCGATACCTGAGAAGATCGATTGCAATCGCTATTTTTTATTAATCAAAGCTGTTGTGAAAGTATACGTGTGTCAATGACCATGTGGTGCTTTTCAAAGGGAAGGGATAGGATAAAAGAGAAGATGGACGTTTTATATGCAAAAGTCCTTCTTCTTGACCATGCTCTTACTGGAAAGCATTACGCGTTTCCAGTCGTCCTCCGTCCAGTCACTGTGCTCCAGTGGGAATGCATACCGCTTCTGCACACGATTCGGTTTGAGATCTGGCGTCCTCTATTGGACCTACGCCCTGGTTCCTTGTAGCCGTTGATTCCTTTGGATCGTTTCAACATGCACCTGTACTCCATCCGTGACTTGAATGAGTTGTTGGTCATCGTCTTTTGTTAGTATTAAGATGGCGAACGAGAAGTTCCATCGACCTTGGGGAGATCTTGGGGAGCGCACCTTTTTTTCAAGGACGGATGTTTTCCTCGTTCTTCTTCCTGATTTTGACTGCAGATCCGAGAGAGATTCCGCCACCTCTCCGGTGGAATATCCTTGGATCAATTCTTAGCAGCATCAAATTCTTTGGTAAGAAATTTGTCTGTTATATTTATTATTTTCGTTTGCTGTTTGTGGCATTGTGTCTAGGGTGTGAAGAATGAATGAATGTAAGGGGCGTGGTTGAACTTGGGTGAAAGGGATAAATGAAAGCGTAAATGATTGCAATATTCACTTTATTTACACAAATGATCCATCCAACGTCAATATTTCAAAGCGCGTTTTCTCGCGTTTGGTTTTCCTGACGTCAATGGCGATCAAAGAAGAAAAATACAGAAATAAAATCAAAGCCTGAAGGGGATCTGGGAGGTTGATTACTAGTGAGGGTGAAAGATGATCACATATTTTTTTTAAAAAAAGAAAGCCGGAATCGTGAATCGATGAATCTTTTTTTGTTGCAAACCCTCGCTTTTGTCACACCCTTGAGTGGTGTGGAGAGGTCGAAAACGGAACGTTTGTCAAAAGTGGGAAGTTTGATCTTATCAATTCAATGCATGAAGCAAGGTGGGCACACAGAGATGGATTTAAGGTTCCCCAGACGCACGATGTAGCTCATGTCTGGTGAGATATTCGAGACGTTGACAGAAAGGGATTGGAGGGTGAGAGATGCCACCAATGGCTACATCGGAAGAGGGGCCGCTATCATCAATGTAAAGATGGAATGAACGAGGGGAGGGGATGGAGACAAAGTAAAGCGAGAGCGTGAACTTCAAAACAGAGCAACCTGGCAATGAGAAAAGAGAGAGGGGTCAGTTAAAAAGTGATGGATTGAATGTAGACGATGCTGTTGGCGACGAGCAGGAAGGCAGGGGAGGCAGATTGGAGAAGTAGATTGACATGAATGAAAATGAAGTTGACCATGAAGTTAGGTGGGTTGTGCTGGTTTAGCAAACGGTTTGCGATGGCTCGCTATAGGTTTGCGTTGCTCAAACAACCACCCGAGGTTGCTTTTGGAACAGTGTGCTATTTCCATCCCAGGACTGGCCTCAGCTCGAAACATGTACCCAAACCCTCAAGCCCTTTCCTTTGGTTTTACCATCCACTCTACGATTAAGCCTACATTGGAAATACGTCTATTATTTATTTATCTACGCCATTAGGCGTTAATAGAGGAGACGGAATGAAAATAAAGGCTCGGTCTAGGAGGCGCCGTGCTTGCGTTTGCAAGCCTCGAACATTTCCATTTTGCACCAACCGGGAGCGTATTTGTCATTGTAACATCCCCAGGCGACGCTCTTCTTTCCCCAGTCGTACTTCGACATCCACCAGAAACCGCCCCAGTCCGTTCCATCGAAAGCGGCACTCCATCCTCCACCAGTATCAAGATCAACACGGCCTCGGCGGTTCGTGAAAGTTTGGGTCTTGGTGCTGACGAAATGCTCTCCAGACTGATCCATAATAGGGTTGGCCTCGTTGCTGTGTGTCAAAGTAACGTGATAGTCGTCTGTAAAATCGCCGTACTTTTTGTAGGCACACATGTTATGGCTTGCGGCTACCGAGCCAACAAGGGCCAAAAGGCCAACCAAAGTGAAACGTATCGTGTTGCTATTGTATTGTTAGAGTACGAATTGGACAAGGGTCAGGCATGAGAGATCCATTTGCTTTCCCTTCATAGTGTATTCATGGAAGTCTGGTAACATGGCCTTACAAGAGTCAAGGTCTGGTGAGATTTGAAGAGGGTTTCTGTGCCAGTTCTTGTTCTTGCGGTGGTTCTTGCGAAGGAGGGTTTTGTGGTGGTTCTTGCGGATCGAGAGGGTACAGGGACGGAACAGGAGATAGGAGGGTGTAGACGAAGTAGTAGAGTAACTTGGTGAAGATCAAATTCGTGTTTGGGGAACGATGGACTATTTATGTGTCTTTTTCTTGTGGGAGTGCAAGCGCAACATCGCTTGCATGACCGGTTATGCCAATAGTTGACCGTACACTTGCAAATACACAAGAGATGCCAATAGTTGACCCTACACTTGCAAATACACAAAGGATGCCAAGAGTTGACCGTACACTTACAAATGCACAAGAGTGGATAAGTTGCTAACTCTAATACCAGAAAGAGACACCGACAATCTGCTGCTCTGAACAAGTACGGAAAGAAGAAATACCAGGCATGGTTCGATATAAAGTTGACTCCAATTTCTCGGAAAGAGGTACCGGCAAGTCGACAACCCGTAGCTCTGAGGACGTACGAAAAGCAGAATACCATGCATGGTTCGATGTAGAGTTGGGCTGTTGCGAAAAAATGCCAGTGCTTGAAAATGCGCTACTCATCTCGATATCCTTGCTTCCTAAGTGTGGCAGTGCATGTGCCCCAGAAAAAAAAAGTCATACAGTATACCATTTGGATATCAAATCATACCATTCGCTCTTCATTATTGACCGTTTGGCAATGAAACGAATGCGGCATTACAAAAAAGTACACGCTTATATCCGATTGCTTTCTTACAGGTTACGGCACACTGTTACTGAAGTAAAAATACTGAATTTCATCTATTCGTGAAAGAATAAACGCAGGTCCTCAGCTTTATCCCCATTTTGAGTGTGTTTGGGCGAAGTCCAGTATCAGCGCGGCGGTTTAGATCCTTGACTGAGAGGAACAATAGGACGCATGCTCATGGTGGCAGATGGAATTGGTACCGGTACCTAGTAGACAAGTCTAAGATGAGCTCGAGAGGTTAAAAGTAAGTCGCATGTTGTCCTGGAAGTGTGGGAGAAAAAAGTGCCAAGGAAGAAAAGAAGGGCTCACAAGAAAACAATGGCGCAAAGTCATCTTGAGAAGATGAGCCCATATTGACTCGATTGTCTGTGCAAGCGGTGATGAGAGGTAAAAATTCAAACGCCCAAGAGGAAGGAGATTCTCCCAACGCTAATGTAACTTTCTTATTCTTCTTTGCCGAGGTTATGTACAAGGGAGAAAAGTACGAGATCTTATGCTTCTGTGGTGTCGCTACATGTAGACGGCGCAAGATGTGAGGAAATGACTGTACTTCTTAATTTTATTAGCTTTTGATTTCTGTTGTGCGCGATGTCCCTCCTAGCAATAGAGTAAGGCTTTTTTTTTCTTTCTCGGCATTACAAAGAGTAAAAGAGAGTGAAGGAGTGAGAGTGAGACGAGAAGGCAAGTGACTTGATCGACGTACATCACTTGACAGGAACAACGTTACTCCCATATTCGTGGGCATGTATTCAATTGTGTGTTGTGTTCTAAGCGGTTCAAATAACCTTTTTTTCAGTTAAACTTTAGCTAGGGCTGTTGTGCATAGGAAGAACGTGTTTGCTCTTCATTCCAATCGATAGACAAACACAATCCATTCTTTTACAGTACCCTTCATTTCACCTTTATTTTTTAAAGTTTACGGCACTACAACTCCTAACCTCCCTGTCCTTATTAAGTTTTAATAGTAGTCTAGTTTCTTTCCTTTCAGTCAGCAACACCAAACACGCCTATCTAGCCTTCCTTTCTAGTTAGTTTCCTCCTAATTCGCATTGATGTTCTTTCTCATATTCTTGAATTTTTTTTTCCTATAAAAATGTGCCCGACATAATACTAGAACACATTTTTTTCAAGCAATTACAATGACATAGACTTGGGAGGGAGAAGGTTGTCGGCGAGCACTTCCAGCGTTACACAAAATACGTTCCGTTAACTACTTTGGGCGTAAGAAAAGGACAGTGCCCACTCTACTCCACCCACATTATCCGCCTATGGCGAAGAACAAACGCTGCTACAAATCAGTTGTCCCGCGCGGCCACTCGGCGCGCCGAGAACAATATTCACCCCGAAAACATACTTGCCAAAGGAGTCGAGGGCAAAGGCATACATGAGCTCATGGAGGTTGACCACAGTCCCAGAGGCAGCAGCCTTGCCAAAGTAGTGCCGAAAGCCCTAGCTACACAGTGAGGCAAGGTGTCCATGGACGTACCAGAGAGCATTACCCAGCACGTGAACCGTGTCTTTTCCCGATTTATCAAGAAGGAGGCCACGGAGCAGTTATGGAAGCCACGCTGCGAGATGAGCGCACACGCACAATCATGGACCAGAGGGCACAGTGGACAGGGACTCAAAGGCGGCAATAGATCTATAGGCGGAAACCCCGAGAGGATGAGCGCCTTTGCGGACAAGCCGTAACAGAACACAGGGAACAGCGGTGCCCAGGCGAGCAGAGCGATATTCAAGTGACTGATCGAACAGTCGCCGACACCCTGTTGGGACTGAGGCGCATGGATATTATGGATTGGAGAGGCAACATGGCCATCACGGAGTTGGAAGAGAAGCACACCTAGATCTGTTGAACGGGTCCCACAATGCAACAAAGATCGTCTGGACTCGCACGCGTCGTCCCCGGTGAGGACGGGCTGTACAATCCTCATGTACTGTTTAGGATACATCACTGAGTTAGATAAGCTATGTGCGTGTACGAGGAATACTTAGACAACTCTATTTTTAATCGGATTTTACCTTGAAAAAAAAAAAATTCAGATTTCACGCGACGGATAGACAAACAGGACGCGATTTGGTTGAGACGAGGTGGACTGCGTTTGATCCCTTGGACGCTAACATATCGCGTGTTTTATCAGTATCAATGATATGATGGCAATGCATTGTCATTCATTATGAAGCAAAGGTATAGATATCCCCTCCCTGTCCCCCTCTTTTTTATTCACTTTCCTCTTCTTATTTTCACATTCTCATTTTCCTTTCATTTCTTTTCTTTCATTTTATTTCTTCCATTTTATTTTTTGCTCTCTTTTTTTTACTATCCTGCGACTCAAGATCCTCCGTTTCCATCGAGTAGTCATGGAAGAAGTCATCATTACCAACCAATTCCCGGACCTCAAATATGACCAACCCACTGCACCACTTGCAACAAGTTCGTAAGAAGGAAGAGGGAGAGAAGAAACGGACAAAGAGACGAGTAGACGAGTACCAATGAGGAATGGCATGAGGAACAAATACTAGAGAGCATATCTTTTAGTAAATAAAAGTAACTATGGACGAGGAAACTGCCTTTGGTTTAATATATGTAGTGTGGTGGTTGCCTCTAGTCCCGTTTGAAAAGGCCCCTACTGTATTTTCGAACGTCCTTTATGCATGTAGTCTTCGCAGCCTTACTACCAGAAGGACAAGCGCCGATGGAAGAGTCAATATCACCCATTGCCGATATAATAAAGAGGCATGAAGAGTTCTTGTGATCCCGGCCAGGGGAAAAAAATGAGGGAATCAAATTAACGCCGTTTGCTGGAAAGAATGAGAAGGGTTATCCTTTCGTACTGTACGCCCAATCCTCCATGTCTGGTGGTACAAGGGCTGAGATTTTACTATTGGGACGAAAAGAGCAACGCAAATCTGCACTGCAGACTGTGTATAGTGGATGACGGGAGAGTAGGAGAAGACGAAGCGCACAAAAGAGACAGGCTATGCTTCCAAGCCTATCTTTCATATCTTTGTAGAAAATAATTACAAAGAACGAAGCAACGATAAAAAATGTTGTATTGAGTTGTTTAGGGATATAGTAGGTGTCCGCTCTATCCACATCGCCATTCTTGACACGTCGCGGAGCAACAGCCCTACTCGCTCTTCCCTTCCTCTGGCTCATCTCCCTCCGGCAATACTGAAGCGCCAATGGCACCGCGCTGGACCAACAACTTGCTGTAGATCGGACTGAGACCAACGGCTCCCTTGAAAGTCAGATCCGTGATGCACAATCGTCCAATGTGAGATCCCCACTGCATACGAACCGACACATCTCCTGCCTTGGCACCCGAAATCTGCCAGACTCGAACAGACCCATCTTTGGAACCAGTGACAAACTCCAAGGGGACCACCGGATTCCATGCAACGCTTACAACGGCCTCTAAACATCCACTGACAACAGCAACACAGGACCAACTGTCAACCTCGCCTGACCAGAGACGCACAGTCTTGTCGTCACTGCCGGAAAGGATCCACTTGCTACAAGGAGAATAGGCGACGCTATTCACCGTATCTGTGTGGCCTTCCAGTTTGACATTAGGCTTGTCTGACTGAAGGTCCCAGAGGAGCAGGGCCTCGGATATACCAGTGCCGATTACGAGTCGCTGGCCATCTGGTGAGTAGTTCAATGCGAATAGCGTGTCTGATAGACACAGTTCCTTCAGAGGTTGTCGAAAGTCTGTAGCTCGGGGATCAAAAAGACGAATTCGAGCTGAACGGGATAGAAATGCGACTGCAATCTGGTCTCCGGCGGGGGAGAAGGCCACGTAAGCTCTCGCGTGCTCATCGCTCGCCTCTGCCACCACTTTGACTTGATCATTGGTACTATCAAGATCCCACAACAGCACCCCTCTGTCGCATGAGGCCAACCACCGACCACAGCGTGAGAAACTCAAGCCAATAATTGGGTCGCTGGAAGGTCCGAGGAGAAGGCGCTCATCTACATCGGTTCGGACATTCAACAACCGAATATTCCCGTTCCTGCAACCGTTCGCAAACCAACGGCCATTTGGTGAAATCGCGACCGAGATGACATCGAATGTGGACGAGCACGGAATGGATCTGGAAGCTCCTGTGGAAGAGTCCCAGCGTAGGACGGTGTAGTCGTCATGATAAGAGATTACAAACAGACCATCATGAGAGTATGCTGCAGTTCCCTCGGCGCGTTTTTGTGTGACAGGACTCGACCGGTTGATGTTCACCTCCCAGAGTCGTATAATCCCGCCCAGATCTCCTGAGGCAATTTGTAGGCCGTCTGGGGAAATGGCACAGGTGGTGATCCGTTTGCCATGACCCGTGAACCTGGAGATGAGTTGTCCACTCGATGAGTCCCACAGTCGAACGGTCTCGTCCTCGCTCGACGAAACAATCAAATCGCCAATTGGAGAGAATACAATAACTTGTACCCTGGTGCCATCATCACTGAGAATCAGACCCGTCTCTCCGGTGATTGCATCCATCAGGCAAATCTCATTTCTCCTCTCACTAATTCTCAGGGCGAACTGCTTTCCATCTGAAGAAGGTGCCACGCGCGTACCATGAACATGAGGAATGACCCAATCAGCCTCTGGTGCTCCTGTCTCCGGATCCCACACCCGAATCGTGCCATCGTGGCTGGTCGAAACAAGTCTCCGTCCATCGGCTGAGTACTCAGCACTCAAAACAGCCTTTTCGTGACCGTTCAATACAAACAAGCACTCTCCTGTCTCCGAGCTCCACAACCGAATCGTGCTGTCGTCGCTGCCCGACGCGATCTGCTTGCCGCAGGGTGAAAATGCCACTGACCGCAACCACTTAGTGTGCCCTTCCATGACCAACAAAGTCTCGCCACTGACAGAATCCCATAATCGACAGGTCGTGTCTTTGTTCCCAAATGCAAGATGTTGGTTGTTAGGCGAAAAGGCGAAACTCGTCACCTTACTCTGTTGTTCGTATTGATGAACTCGAGTCCATGTTGTAGTGTCGTAAGTAATGACACCTCCGTTACCTAGACAGACAGCAAACATCTTCCCATTGGGCGAAAAGGCGACGCGTTTGACTAAGGTTTGCATGTCCAAATGTGGCAGCTCCTCGAACCGAACACCGTCCATCTGTGCATTGCCGAAATCCGCCCGCCTCAGCCAACTTCGTGCAAAGTTGACTCCTCTCAGATCGGCTCCTTGAAACTCCGCGTGATCGAACTGGCCGTCGGAAAGATCTGCTCCTTTGATCCGACTACCACGGAGGTCAGCGCTATTGAATCGGACTCCGGCTCGGACAAGGATAGAAATGGCGTTGGCGGCAGCGGTGGCAACAGTGGCATCGGTCTTGGACTGCTCGATGACGGCTAGGAGCTGCTTCTCGAAATCGGGGTGCTGTTTGACTCGCTCGCACAGGAACTGAATGACCGATGGCTCGGTGAGAAGGTTACGCTTGAACAAAGGACCTTCGGTGTCGAGCAACGCAGGGTCAGTGGAACCAATATCGGACTGCGGACCAAATTGGTCGTGGTCGTCATGGCTGCTGGGGTCAAAGACGGAGCGCGAGTAGAAGTATTCCTGCATGGATCGATGAAGGAAGCGGAACAGGCTGCCAGAGCGTGTCAATGGGGATGACTCGCGTAAGAGTCGCACCTCTGGATCGGGACCGAAGAAATCGACGCGCCATGTGTTGTTGTCCTTGAGGTGGGTATATCGAACGACCGGGTTTCCGTTCTGCTTCTCAAAGATCGCCGATGCCAGCCCAATAGAATAGTCAACACCCATCGATGTGAATCCTGCCTCCAAAAGCTGGTCCAGAATCTCGCGGTCTTTGGCGGACAATGCGTTGCTCTCGAGACGTCGCTTATTAACGTCCAGCCAATGTTTCACGAACGTGTCGTAAAGCTGGACTCGAGAAATATCGATGGCCGATAGATCCTGCTTGCCCTCGGTGACGAGTGGCAGCGCCTCCAAGGCAAGGGTTAGGACGAAGGGGTTCCTGACCAAATCCATGAGGTTCGGGATGGTGGTCAACCTGTCCATGTAGTCCTTGGTAGTCCAGGTGCGCGGCTCGAGAGGGACGTACTGTTCGATGTAGCTCTGGATCTGCTCCCTGGAGAACGGAGTAATGACAGCCTCTTGGAAGAGCTCGACAGCTGGATAGGCGTAGTGGTCGCGGCTCTGAGGCATGAATCGGCTTCGGTAATCCTGACCGAGATACTGTGTTCTACAGCTGATGACCATCTTGGTATCCCACCGGCCTGGCTGGTTCAACATGTTGGACTTGTGAAGGTTGACCAGTTGCTGACTTTCGTCATAACCGTCGCAGATGAGGATGAACTGGCGGTGCAATTTGAGCTCACGGATCTGTTCGTCGTTGAAGTTGTCAGACCTCAGTTGCTTCTCGATCATGTCGCAGTTGGGTTCGTCGATTGCAGGCAAGTTGATAAACAGGGGAATCGAACTACCACAGGCGTAAGATTTCCAGAGTTTCGCCTCGAGATGTGTGTTGAATGTCGACTTTCCTGATCCAGAATCACCCAGAATCAGCATGACGTGACGGTCGCTGGCCAGGAACTCCTGGACCTTCTCCATGAGGGGAAAAATGTCGTCGTCGCGGGCCTGCGGGTTTGCCTTGGCCATAGGAGGGATGAAAACTGACAAATGTTCCTCCGCCAGTCGCTGAAGTCGGAACTTGTGCAGCTCGTACTCTAGATACTGGATGTTTTGGACCTTGGCAAGGAGTGGCGATGCGGAAGGCAAGGGAAGACGGGTATTCAATGGATAAGGGTGCTTGATCAAGGCACTTTGGTCCACCGTCAGATCCTGCAGCAAAGCACTGGCAGTCGCGTTGACGGATCGGTCAGAGGTTCCAAGCTTGGTGATGATAGTCAGCATCCATGCCTTGACGCTCTCATCCTGGCCCCAGTCTTTATCGTGCTGGCAGAGATGACCGAAGAGACCGACAGTCTGCTGACGTGCAGAAATAGACCAGGCTGGATCCACCGCAATCTCGCCCAACAACTGGCAGACGCCCCATTGGAACAAGGGATCGCGACGGCATGGGGCCTCAAAGATAAGCTTCTTCAGATCCTCCAGCTGACCAGCTTGGGCAAAAGCAGAGGCAGCCTTGACAGCAGGATACCAAAGTCGCCTCTGGCCAGATCCAAGTCCCTCCTTCAAACTGCCCAGAACCCCTCGGCCGCTCTCCATCAGCGAAGACACGCCTTCGTATACAATACCAGCCACTGATATCATGCCTCCAAGAGCTTCCTGCAGGTTACCCAGACCCTCAAGAACTGACGCCAGATCCAGCTTGAAGACGGCAGTGACATTGACCAAACCGTGAACCACACCGGTCGAGTGCCTCAATACAGCCCGAAGAGCGCTCTCGTCATCAGGCACATACTGAAGAGCCTGAAAGGCATAACAGGCCTGGTAAAGTAGATAGGGATCCGAGCTACCCTTCAGTCCCGACAAAACATCCGACAACGGCTCGTGCTCAAGAACGCGATATAGATCTTGCACTTTGTGGTCCGCCATGACATCGAGGATCCTGGAGACAGCCAGAGTGAGGTGGTACGAGTGCTCGGCCGACTGTTGGTGAGTGCCTTGCAGGTGAACTCTGAGGATGCCAAGGATCTTGATCAGGTCGTCAGAAACGAGATAGCCAGGCGAAGCATCCTGCACCAATTGGACAAGTCCCTGAAGTATAACAACGTCAAGGGTACAAGAATCGTCAAACTCCTTGATAAAGGTCACGAGTAGCTTGTGGTAAGGCTCCTTCTCTAAGACAGGTCCAAGAGCGATAATATCGGCGATCTTGGTAGAGTCCTTACCGGCATCAGCGACAAACTCTTCCACCATTCGAGTGGCCAGCCAGCGCAAACGGTCTGCTTCCATCCGGTCCTTCTTCGTCGCCTCGATCCAGTCGAGCTCGGTCTTGTCGAGAACGGGTTCCCGAAGAACGAGGGAACCACCGCACTTTGCAGCTTCTCCTGTAGCAGCCTTCAGTGGGGACAATGTATCCCGTAGGAGCAAGGCATTGCAGTAGACCAATTGCTGCGTCATCTCGATGCGTTGCTGAAGTTGAGGCAGCTCAGTCTTCATGGTGGGCTTGGGGACATTTTCGGCAAAGATCATCTCGAGAACACGTGCCTCGTTAAGAGGCGCTGATAGTGCCTTCTCTTGTGCAGTCCTGGAAGGGGTGGACTGATTGTCTCCTGAAGGCAAGTTGCTGGCTTGGGAGAGTACAGACAAAGGTCGCGTCAATTGTTGAGATGAGAGTCGAGAGTGCGGCGACTGGTTCGAGATCTTGAGCTTGACCTCTTTGGTCTTGGATTTGGATAGGCTCCAGAACTCGCGGAACTTGTCACGCCTCCTGATGCGAACGATGCTGCTAGCGCTGTCGCTGCTAGGGGTGTGGGAATTCAATTGGTCGAGAGGATGGTCGGACATGGTGAGAGTGCTAGCAGTGTCGATGTGAGCAATAGATAATACCATTAGCAATTGCATCTTTTTTTTTAGCAAAAAGTATCATTCTTTTGACGATCTGAAGCAGCATAGGTTTACTTTGTTATTTAAGAAATGGGCCTGTAAGTTTGGTCAAAGAAGTAGCAGCTGCAGAGGCGACAAAAATAAAATAATTAGTTTTCCTGCCTTCGAATGTGTGTACTACCGCCAGAGAGAACGTGCAAGTGTACTGCACTTACACAAAGGAAGAGCAAGGGTCTATTTGTACGTGTTGGTTCGGGTGCTGGCTATGCGTGAGCAATGGAGTTGTTGGGTTCTATAGACTGTCTAAAAGAGAAATAGAGGGGAGAGGTGAGCAGAGGTCCGTAAGCGGGCGCTTGCTATATGTCTGGCAAAAAAAAGTGTCTCTCCTAACTTACTTTGGATTTGACGTATGACTTTTTTCCTTTTGCTTGACCAGTTTGAGTCTGTTATGCCTGTGTTCGTGTTGAGTTTTGGATTGGTCGTTCAGAGGAGAAAGTCTCCTGAACGTGGTTTTTTAGAGAGCTGTAGACTGTCTATAAGTGTAATAGGAAAGGGGTGAGTAGAGGTCAGCATGAGGAGCAATCGCTATCTGAGCGGCGAAAAAAGTGTTTCTCTCGATGTACTTTTTGAGTAGAGGCTTGCGGAATTTGTGCTTTTGTTGAATTGGTTTGTTCTGTATCGGTGATATTGAAGGTTGCTTTGCCGGTCAAGGGAGACCGTTTTTTTTGAAAATGGATAATAAGGAGAGGAACAGTTGTTGAAAGGGGACAGTTTTGTGTGTATGTGTGTGTGTCCTTGGATGAACCCAGAAGAGCACGATATTGCAATGCAATGAACTGTGAGAAGAGAGCGAAAAGAGCGAGGAAAAAAGTGGAGCTGAGAAAAGTGACAAAGGAAAAGAAAAGAAGAATCAGCGAGGGTGGTGTGAGAAAAATGAAAAGGGAAGAGATGAAAAAAGGGAGGAGGGAGACCCGACTCGCTCTCGTTTGTTTGTTTATTTGTTTGGGTGCATGGTCCAAGATTACGCCATTTGCGGACTTTTATTTTTTTTATTGCTTACTTTCCCGTGCATGCGTGCATGCTGCTACCGCTTCCTTTTTCTATTTCTATGTTATGGTTTATAATAAAAAGCCAAGAAGCAAGGAAAATAAAGAAAAAACAGTGTGATCTCGCCATAAGGCATGTCATAAAAGAACACATCACTAAGAGAACTACCGCATCGTCCGTAACACTCGATTCTTTTAACATCCCAAACTCCCCTGCTTCCTGCTTCCTGCTTTGAAGGCAGCACAAAACTGGTGTGCACGTCCTTGTAATTGTTGGCAGCCTGTTGGGTCCTCGGCACAGCAATCAACCCTCGAGCCGTAATATCCTCCCACCCCATCCAGGATCCAATCCTCAACATTCGTAAACATCCCTTTCATAAAGTCCAGAATGTACGCGATCGTTCATAATCCACCGACCCCGCAGACTCAACCGTCCGAGTGAAGGGACAGCGGTCCTTGTTTGGAAAGAAGTAGGGTCCCCGCAGATGAAGGGCTCGACCAGGTCCTCAGGGATCATGGTCAGGCTGTCATTGTCGACCGAGTGCATGTCCAACGACAAAGACCGCAACGACGGGCAACCCGAGAGGAATTGGAACTGGCAAACTTAGAAGTCAGCTGCAAATCCGGCAGACAGGGAAGATACCAATCCCACGTCCATCGAGGTCGCAAGATAGCGCAGGGGCTCCTTGGACTCTGTACCCACTCGACTGTCGTCGTCGATTCCATAGGACTTTTCAACTCGCCTGGTGGAATAAAGCACCCATCCTCGCTGTCCAATTCCAGCGCCACTTCCAGCTTGGTCAACTTGTTTGCCGAAGGAAGGGTCGCCCGGTGGAAAGTAAGTGCTCCATCCCGTCAGAGTCAAGGTCTCCACATGGGCAAGGTGCGCTACCTGACAGGGCACGATATCCTTGCACCCATCCCCGTACGTCCTGTCGGAAAGTCTCACACACGTCATATTCAGAAAGACGACAGTGTGTCAGAAGCTCTGGGTGGAGGTCCAGACGTGCAAAATCGGACTGGATCTCGAGGCGAGTCAACATAGGAAGATCCACCCATCCTCGTCCGAATTTTGATCCAGTGCACCTCCGTGTCAGTTCCTGAAGTCGTGACCATGATAGCAGCCAGTGTTTGACTGAAGGCAACATCGTTGACCTCGCCCATGAGAGCTTTGAGTTGTTCTTCCATAGTTAGGTTCTCGAGAGACACCAGACCGTAAGATAGAGGATCCTCTCCCATGATACCACTCCCTCTCCCTTGCTGGCGATGATCCTGCCCTCGTGGTCTCTCTTTTCCTGAACTGCTCAAGCGAAACTGCCTTGTCCCAACGGTGATATATCCAAGCTTTTCAGGATTCGACACATCGGCAACAGTTGCTGATAATCGTTTGCTGGGGACTGAATGATTATTGTACTGGTATATTATTAAGTAGCGTCTCGAGAAATTACAGATCGGTCGCCTCTGGATGTGCAGCGACTTGCATGCAGTTGTCTCCCGCCAATTATTTCATCCATTGGACCGGTTACAGCATCCGAAAGATTTCCAGTTGAACACCCTTGGGAATCGAATGTCTTGAAAGCACTGTTCGTTTGTCCCAGTTAAAGCTGGATACCATCCTGAGCCGCCTGGGAGGAGCAGCAGCATGACCCTTGACCAACTGATCCGCCAAACACAACACCTCCTCCTCCTTCCGCCCATCCGTCTCCTCAGCACTGTCACTGTTCCTGATGACAGGATGCGTCCAGACGTCATCCAAGTAGGTTAGGGGAAAAAGTGTTCATCATCTGTATACATTCATATTACTCCGAGGCGTGGGCGGGTATAAGAACCCCTGGGTCCTCGCTAATTTTTTCTCTTCATGATACGCATCATCCGCAGCTCATGTAATTAATTACATCTCTCACAACGCTCCTACCCTTATCCACTCACTGACAAACTCTCATTTTTCCTGAAAAAATTGCACAGACACAAGGATGTTCAGGTCCACACTTATTCTCACCCTCGCATTTGCTGCCTCAATTTCCAACGCCGCAGCGATCAACCTTTTCCTACACCACGTCCTTAACAACCCCATCATACCCTGCTAATAGGCAATAAAGCTCGACACATGCTACCGCACTGCTGCCAACGTCTATAATATAGGCATCTCCTCCGCCCGCTTTGTAAACTCGGAGCTATTCCTGAAGCGTTTCAGCAGCACGTTCAATTCTAGTCCCATCCGAAACGGCTACGACAACATATGGCCCTTTCAGCGTCCTTATGGCAGTGACCCATACAACATCAACAATTTCCCGACCGTAAATGATAACGTTCGAAGCGTCAAGATTGCCAATTATGAGACTTCGAACACCAGTGGCCATGCTGGTAATTCTGGAGAGCCATCAGAGCTTGTTGGGTGCATCCTCGCCAATAACTAGTGCTTTGCATTGTGTTGCGGCAAGATAAGCTGCCAACGACGTCTTTTCTCGCGCTGAGGCGCTTTTTATTAGCTAGGAAGTTTTTTTTGTACTACATTCTCTCATTGGCAACTGGCGACCTCATCTCCACTCTCGCGCATTTCTTCTCTCCCGTCAGAGTTACTAATGGTATATGCTAGTATGAGACGCAACGAGAAAAAGTAGGCTAACAGACGACACAGGGATTGACCAAATGATCAAGTTTCGTTGTTTTGGCAGTGACAACGGCGCTCAATCCAATTGTACGGTCATGGCTTCAGTGAAGACTGACAGCTTGGGGGTGAATATTGTTCTCGGCGCGCCGAGTGGCCGCGCGGGACAACTGATTTGTAGCAGCGTTTGTTCTTCGCCATAGGCGGATAATGTGGGTGGAGTAGAGTGGGCACTGTCCTTTTCTTACGCCCAAAGTAGTTAACGGAACGTATTTTGTGTAACGCTGGAAGTGCTCGCCGACAACCTTCTCCCTCCCAAGTCTATGTCATTGTAATTGCTTGAAAAAAATGTGTTCTAGTATTATGTCGGGCACATTTTTATAGGAAAAAAAAATTCAAGAATATGAGAAAGAACATCAATGCGAATTAGGAGGAAACTAACTAGAAAGGAAGGCTAGATAGGCGTGTTTGGTGTTGCTGACTGAAAGGAAAGAAACTAGACTACTATTAAAACTTAATAAGGACAGGGAGGTTAGGAGTTGTAGTGCCGTAAACTTTAAAAAATAAAGGTGAAATGAAGGGTACTGTAAAAGAATGGATTGTGTTTGTCTATCGATTGGAATGAAGAGCAAACACGTTCTTCCTATGCACAACAGCCCTAGCTAAAGTTTAACTGAAAAAAAGGTTATTTGAACCGCTTAGAACACAACACACAATTGAATACATGCCCACGAATATGGGAGTAACGTTGTTCCTGTCAAGTGATGTACGTCGATCAAGTCACTTGCCTTCTCGTCTCACTCTCACTCCTTCACTCTCTTTTACTCTTTGTAATGCCGAGAAAGAAAAAAAAAGCCTTACTCTATTGCTAGGAGGGACATCGCGCACAACAGAAATCAAAAGCTAATAAAATTAAGAAGTACAGTCATTTCCTCACATCTTGCGCCGTCTACATGTAGCGACACCACAGAAGCATAAGATCTCGTACTTTTCTCCCTTGTACATAACCTCGGCAAAGAAGAATAAGAAAGTTACATTAGCGTTGGGAGAATCTCCTTCCTCTTGGGCGTTTGAATTTTTACCTCTCATCACCGCTTGCACAGACAATCGAGTCAATATGGGCTCATCTTCTCAAGATGACTTTGCGCCATTGTTTTCTTGTGAGCCCTTCTTTTCTTCCTTGGCACTTTTTTCTCCCACACTTCCAGGACAACATGCGACTTACTTTTAACCTCTCGAGCTCATCTTAGACTTGTCTACTAGGTACCGGTACCAATTCCATCTGCCACCATGAGCATGCGTCCTATTGTTCCTCTCAGTCAAGGATCTAAACCGCCGCGCTGATACTGGACTTCGCCCAAACACACTCAAAATGGGGATAAAGCTGAGGACCTGCGTTTATTCTTTCACGAATAGATGAAATTCAGTATTTTTACTTCAGTAACAGTGTGCCGTAACCTGTAAGAAAGCAATCGGATATAAGCGTGTACTTTTTTGTAATGCCGCATTCGTTTCATTGCCAAACGGTCAATAATGAAGAGCGAATGGTATGATTTGATATCCAAATGGTATACTGTATGACTTTTTTTTTCTGGGGCACATGCACTGCCACACTTAGGAAGCAAGGATATCGAGATGAGTAGCGCATTTTCAAGCACTGGCATTTTTTCGCAACAGCCCAACTCTACATCGAACCATGCATGGTATTCTGCTTTTCGTACGTCCTCAGAGCTACGGGTTGTCGACTTGCCGGTACCTCTTTCCGAGAAATTGGAGTCAACTTTATATCGAACCATGCCTGGTATTTCTTCTTTCCGTACTTGTTCAGAGCAGCAGATTGTCGGTGTCTCTTTCTGGTATTAGAGTTAGCAACTTATCCACTCTTGTGCATTTGTAAGTGTACGGTCAACTCTTGGCATCCTTTGTGTATTTGCAAGTGTAGGGTCAACTATTGGCATCTCTTGTGTATTTGCAAGTGTACGGTCAACTATTGGCATAACCGGTCATGCAAGCGATGTTGCGCTTGCACTCCCACAAGAAAAAGACACATAAATAGTCCATCGTTCCCCAAACACGAATTTGATCTTCACCAAGTTACTCTACTACTTCGTCTACACCCTCCTATCTCCTGTTCCGTCCCTGTACCCTCTCGATCCGCAAGAACCACCACAAAACCCTCCTTCGCAAGAACCACCGCAAGAACAAGAACTGGCACAGAAACCCTCTTCAAATCTCACCAGACCTTGACTCTTGTAAGGCCATGTTACCAGACTTCCATGAATACACTATGAAGGGAAAGCAAATGGATCTCTCATGCCTGACCCTTGTCCAATTCGTACTCTAACAATACAATAGCAACACGATACGTTTCACTTTGGTTGGCCTTTTGGCCCTTGTTGGCTCGGTAGCCGCAAGCCATAACATGTGTGCCTACAAAAAGTACGGCGATTTTACAGACGACTATCACGTTACTTTGACACACAGCAACGAGGCCAACCCTATTATGGATCAGTCTGGAGAGCATTTCGTCAGCACCAAGACCCAAACTTTCACGAACCGCCGAGGCCGTGTTGATCTTGATACTGGTGGAGGATGGAGTGCCGCTTTCGATGGAACGGACTGGGGCGGTTTCTGGTGGATGTCGAAGTACGACTGGGGAAAGAAGAGCGTCGCCTGGGGATGTTACAATGACAAATACGCTCCCGGTTGGTGCAAAATGGAAATGTTCGAGGCTTGCAAACGCAAGCACGGCGCCTCCTAGACCGAGCCTTTATTTTCATTCCGTCTCCTCTATTAACGCCTAATGGCGTAGATAAATAAATAATAGACGTATTTCCAATGTAGGCTTAATCGTAGAGTGGATGGTAAAACCAAAGGGAAGGGCTTGAGGGTTTGGGTACATGTTTCGAGCTGAGGCCAGTCCTGGGATGGAAATAGCACACTGTTCCGAAAGCAACATCGGGTGGTTGTTTGAGCAACGCAAACCTATGGCGAGCCATCGCAAACTGTTTGCAAAACCAGGACAACCCACCTAACTTCATTGCCAACATGGCTTCATTTTCATTAATGTCAATCTACTTCTCCAATCTGCCTCCCCTGCCTTCCTGCTCGTCGCCAACAGCATCGTCTACATTCAATCCATCACTTTTTAACTGACCCCTCTCTCTTTTCTCATTGCCAGGTTGCTCTGTTTTGAAGTTCACGCTCTCGCTTTACTTTGTCTCCATCCCCTCCCCTCGTTCATTCCATCTTTACATTGATGATAGCGGCCCCTCTTCCGATGTAGCCATTGGTGGCATCTCTCACCCTCCAATCCCTTTCTGTCAACGTCTCGAATATCTCACCAGACATGAGCTACATCGTGCGTCTGGGGAACCTTAAATCCATCTCTGTGTGCCCACCTTGCTTCATGCATTGAATTGATAAGATCAAACTTCCCACTTTTGACAAACGTTCCGTTTTCGACCTCTCCACACCACTCAAGGGTGTGACAAAAACGAAGCTTCGGAGTTTATAGAAGCTAAAGTGCGCAACAAACCTTTTTTTCACACCCTTGAGTGGTGTGGAGAGGTCGAAAACGGAACGTTTGTCAAAAGTGGGAAGTTTGATCTTATCAATTCAATGCATGAAGCAAGGTGGGCACACAGAGATGGACTTAAGGTTTATTGGACTGGGATCGTTGGTTGAGGCGGGCAAGGCTGCCGGTGCGGATATGGCGGTAGAGGCTGGTCTGATCCAAACATCAACTGTTCAAGTCAAAGCTGGTGTGGCAGAGCGGGCTGATGTGGCCAACGCTGTGGTCGCTTGTCTGAGAGGCCCTGCTCGCCAAGCCTGCAAGGTCAAGAGACGGTGTCAGGACGTCTTTGGAAGGTACGTAGAGCGAGTGACTGCAGGGAGGTTCCTCCCACTGAACCGTCGGTTCTTGGACTTATCTGTCATTATCTGTCCCAGCATCCCTCTCAAGGACTTGATCAGTATGGGTGGCACTAATCAGAAATAGGACGATGACGATCACAAACCGGACCAACAGGAAGCCTTTATCGAATAATTTGTGCGTTATCTGTACTCAGGCAAGGCCCCTGTCACTTCTTATTCTGGCGCTTCGACGGCTTCTTCTGGCAAGACACCAAGGGCTTCTGTGGTGGGACACAGCGTCATGGAGTTCATTACGCGCCTCAAGCAGATGAAAATCCTAGAGCCGCGTGACCAGCCACTGATGAAGGAGGATCCCGATTACACTTGTCAGATCAGTTGCCACCGAGCTTGCAACCGAACTGAAAAAAAAATTATCATCATGGAACTTACGAGCTTCAGGAACAGGTAACAAACAAACTCGATGTTGCCTTTTAATGACTTTTATATATGGATTGAGTTGAAACAAGCCATTAACCTCAAGGCCGTAGTTGGTCCAGCTCAAAGAGTCAGCAAGCGCAAGTGTAGCGATGGTTCCATGCAAGGAGACAGCTCAGTTCAACAAGGCAAGAAGCGCAAAGCAGTGACGGAACCAAAGCCAAGAATGAGCCAACCCCGAGGTTCCAGAAAGAATTCACAAGTCAAGGACACGATTATCGATAACGGATACTATTGCCCGGCCACCCCATAGTTAGGATGTGAGGGAGTTGTACGTGAAGTTGTGACTAAAAAATCTTAATTTTGTCAACACCTACCACTTCTTTTCCGTGTAGCTCTTCTCGCCCTCTCCATCATGTTAATGACCGGGAATGGCAAAAACAGAAACAGGCGCTAGGTGGAGGTGTTGAGTGCAGTATGATAGAAAAGAGGTCGCGGAATAACACCCCGGTGGCAGAAAAGTGAAAAAAAAAAATCGGAAAGGTATGATGATGGCTAATTCATGCAAAACGAACCCCCATGCCTATAACAAGGAGGTGCAACAGAGCAAAAAGAACAAGCTAGTTGGATAGAGGAAGTCTTGAATACCACCTCAGTGGCAGTGAAAAAAAGTGTGTGTGTGTATGGAATCTCCGTTTTTTTTTCAAATATCAGCCTCGTGTGTGAGCACAAGGTGAACAAGGGTCCGCAGTCTTCCGGACTCCAATGTCCATCGCCAAGACGGTCCTGCACAAGTTTGTTGGCTACCTGGAGGCGCAGGCCTTGGAGTTGATCTGGAAACCTCGATGCTCCGCGACGATCGCGTGGGAACAGAGCCAGGTCATCTCTGCCAAGGACAAGACATCCAAGTAAACAGGACCCCGAGGTGACTGGAGTCAAGGATACGGTTACATCACCCACGATGGTTTCTGCCCGTGTGGCGCTTCGCTAGCCACACATGATGAAGGAAGGTGCCCTGGAGCGACCAAGGACCCACGCGCTGCTGACGAGCGGTTGTTGGGGAGTTTGTTAGGAAGGAGGAGGTTGTCAATGATGGAGGGGATGGGAAGAATCCCCTTCATTCGTATCTAGTTTTATTTTCTTCCGCTTAAGCTGTGAAGAGCAGCGACAATTGCTGCGCAGAGCCAGGTTCAGGACGCGACTGGTGGATCGTGCACTGAAGAGTTTGTGGTCTCTTACTTCTCCATGGTGTAGAAATAAAATTGTGTACAAAAAAAAAATTTAACACTTCACTTACACACATTCTACTTTGTGTAATTTAAGCGTCCGGGTACAGGACAATGGACGCCATAATTCTCTTATTGGCTGAAGCTACACGTGAAATATTTCCTAATATGGGTCATACAAGACTTCGTGTACTTGCTTCGGTGACGTGAGAAATGCGCCCACTGTCCCATAAACAGCTCGCAAAGTGCGCGTACACAACAACGACTCTCTCTCCTTTCTTCAACACATGTGCAACCGCCATGGGTCTATCTTTTTGGTACCCATTCATACGACGCAAGGGCTACAACCCTGCTCAATTGTACCAGTCGATCGTCGCCAAAGTCGCTCCCAACAGACGTCGCAGACTCGATGTCCTCGGAACATGCTACCGTGTCATTCGCAACAGTTACTCCAACAATCCTCCAGATGTCGCGCACCGTAAGCTCGAGAAGGAAGTGAGCCGGTATGGGTCTTCTCTGGATATGTCACTCTATATCGACGGCTATCAAGCAGTGGAAAAGAGTCACACGGCCGCCGAGCGAGAAGGAGTACGGGACAGAGCAATAGAACGCACCACCACAGCCCTGGACACACTCGAGTCCCGTCTGGACAACGGTCTCCGCATTAGAAAACGCCACTTTGTTGACGTTCGGTCGGGACTGACGTCGTCTTTTTACTGGTCTCGGGAAAGTCGCTTGGGATTTGCACAGTACATGCAGAACGCGGGCTGGACTGTCAAAGTTGCCGACACTGAAGCGGACTTGGCCATTGCGATCGATGCGGAGCCAGACGATATTGTCATTTCTAGTGACTCGGATATGATGGCGTACGCCTCCATCCAAACTCTATGGCGTCCCGTATCCGGAGGTCTCATCCTCGCTTACACCGTTCCAGATCTTTTAAAAGCTCTTGGTGTCACCCGTTCCCAGTTGACTGCTCTGGCAGTTGTGAGTCGCAACGACTATAACAGGAACATTCACTCCCTCGGCCCGGCGACTAATTTTTCTATTATCAAGTCCATTGACCGTACAGGTAATGATCAAATGGGGAAATTTTATCCCTTGATATTGATTGCTTTTTCATATGAAATTCTGACAGTGCTCGATATCTTGCATTACTTAATAGACCCGAAGGACATCGTGTTGAGTTATCTATCTAACAGCAGGGTTGTCTCAAAAAACACCAACAATCAGGACTTCGCCTTCTCGACCAGAGTCTTTGTGGATCTCCGACAAACCAGACTTGAAATCGACGGATCCCGGCCCGGTTCTCAGATCCTGTTCCAGCAACTACAGGACCGATTTCAGGATTTCTGCACGCGATATGACCAATATAAACAGAGTCAAACGCGGGGAGTTCAGCCCAAGTAACTATTTACTGTTGGGCCAATCGAGATCAGGCTATATACGTGAACTGTATCTCATCATGTTTGTATTTTTTTAAAAAAATTGATAGGTCCTCCGACGATACTATCGCACGATTGCGAGTTCCGGGCTCTTTTAATCGGTATCGGACTATCGAATCCCCAGCACCGGTTTCCAAGGACTCTGAATCCTTTCCTCAGAGGCCACCCACTGCTAGTTTGGAGCCTACTACTTCGACTTCTTCGGATCCGCAAGATCATAGCCATCCACATTAACCAGAACACGGATACCTCGACATCGTCAACGATTTTCCTTCAAGGAGCGACGAGGGAACGTGGCTCATGACCCCCCACCCAAGGCCAAGCAATTGGTTTGGAAACCGCCCAAGAAGGCTCCCGAGTCCCCCGACGACACTTCCACCAGCAGCACCAAGGACAGCAAAAAGAAGGATGCAAAGACTAAGAAGACTCGAGAAAAGCCGTCATCTAATGAAGGATCGAACTCGTACGGGGAGAAGGGCAAGCAAAGTCTCGTGAGGTCTCTCGGCTGGCACCACCCCATATCATCGCTGGAGGTCGGTACTTTGAAGACCAACATCGATAGAGTCTTAACGGATCGGCCTGATCTACAGCTTGAGGTGATCAACTGTATCAGCGAGGGTTCAGAGCTTGCAGTGGATATCAAGAGAAAAGCTCAGGGCCTCATTGGTGGGTTTCTGGAGAAGTTGCGGAATCGTATGAAGGCAGCGGAGGAGTTTAAGCGACAGGAACTGAGGAAATCAGGCAAGACCATGTCGGAGTCGGAGCGGCTGGAGGCACGGCAGGATGCGGTGACGATGGACGAGCGAGATACTCTGGATTATCTGTGTGAGAGGGTTGAGCCCAAAGTCAACAAGTGTGGTGACGACGACGTCGACGACAGTCAAGAGGATTCAGACGACCTGGATACAGAAGGGAAGGGTAACAAATACTTCCAATTCCTTCTGTCTTTCTTGGCCTACTTGTACTCAAGTAACCTTCCAGACAAGAACTCGAAAATCGGAAAAGTCGTCAACACCTTCATCAACATCCTGGTAGGGCTTCAACTCTTCGACATCTGTAGAAATCGAAACGAGCTCAACGAAAGAATGCCGTTCACGGCGAGCTATCTGGTGCGGTCCGTCGCTGGACAGCTCTCGGTGGAACTGAAGAAGATGTATAAAAATGGCACCCACCTTTTGTATGATCAGGTAAGGATACAAGGGCTATTAACAAAATGGGCTGAAGTTCATTGCTGCAAAATATATAGCTCATGCTTCTTAACTTTTCGCTATAGGTCAAGACCTTAAAGGATAAGGGACGACTAGAGGACCATATCGATATCCGGATTCAGGAAAACATCTCGGCCGCGGAAAACTACCTTGCCTTCAACGAGCTCATACCGAACAGCTGGCGACTCGCTCCCATCACCTCCTCGCAGCAACCGTTTGTGACATTCTCGGAGCGAGAGCTGGCTCTTTTCTTTTGGAAGCGACCTTTGTTGAAACAGAGACTGGTCTAGCTGGCCCTCTCGGACGAAGATAGTACCACCCTCCCGTCTACTAAGGATCTCGAGGACTGGATCGGAGGACGAGAGCCTGGGGTTATCGTCAAGAAGTTCATCTCCGACACTGATCCAGTTGGGCTGTCAAACCGTCAAAAGCGCAAGACTGGTCATCGCGGGGCCATCAAGCTGCTCTCCTTGAGTCAGATTCGGGATCATTTGGAGTTGGTTGAAGAGACAAAGCCAAAGGACTATCACCATAGCGGCTACATCCCTCAAGGATCGATACGGACGGACGGTTTCCTGGTCCAGGTTATGGCCTTCAAGTTGCGTGAACGACAGGACGCTCGATTCAAAAGACTGGCCGAGGAGGATATACCCTCACGAATCACTACAACCGTTGCAGGGGTTAACGGTTTCCTTCAAGAAATTCGGAATGTGATCAAGAGCGAGCAGGACATCAAAGAACTTTGGCCTGGAAAGAACGTGGACAGGATGGAGATTCTAACCTTGGATGGGGGCCAAGCGTGTGTGGTTGGCGCGTTCGCACATCTACCCAATGGCTTGGGTGGCAAGGAGAAGGCTGAGGAGGAGTCCAGCATGGACGGAATCATCACCACCAACCAAGAATCGACCAGCCTCGCCAGCCAAGGGTTAGCGTCCGTGGATGCAGTGCCCGCGTCAGCCTCCACCATCACCTCTGCGCAGCCTCCAGTAACGGATTCGCTCGTGACCATTCGAGACCTGCCTACTATAACTTGGCGGTGAAGCAGAAGGCCGCATATCAGCCAACATTTCGCTTCAGAAGGTGGCTCGAGAACGAGAAGATGGCTACACCACAAGGCGACGAGGAGAAGTCGATTACTTACATCGAAACCCATCTGCCACCTCTTTGAGGACAAGATGCGAGCGTTATTGAGTATGTGACAGAGCTGGAGCAGGTCGAGCAACGGCTGAAAAAGTTCTATACTGGAGACGACCATCGGTATCAAAGACGTCGTTGGGATATGGCACGGGCCCGACAAGCAGAGTATCAAACGATCGCGGAGAGACTGCTTGGGATTGTTGGTGGTAGTCTAGGTCGGCGTGTGGAAGATAACAAGGACACCGACCCTATCCTAATTGGCGTTGGTCTTGGACAGTTCGCAAGCAAGTCTAGGCTCTCGTCCCTACACTCGACCTTCCTATCGTACTTCATTCAGAAGGTAGGCTTGTTTTTATCGATACCTTTGATACAAGGCACTGCAAGTGAATGTCATTGAATGAAAAAAAAAAAACTAACATGGTTATTTATTCGCGATTTTCAGGCACGCTCGTTGGGCTATGTGGTTGTTGGCCTGAACGAGTTTTATACCTCCAAGAAGTGTCCGAGGTGCACTCACTTTGTCGCACAGGTGACCTTACGGACCTTGTACTGCTTCCACTGCCAGATATACCACCACAAAGATGTCATGGCAGCCGAAAACATGTCCAAGATCGCTCTAAGACACCTGGTGAGGCAGGAGAGACCCGATTACCTCCAGCCTATCAACGCAGATGGATCGTACCCTTGGAAGGCTAGGTCGGGCGAGGGATCCAGTACAAGTTCGAGCAGTATGGCCACCGGCAGCACCCCCACCGATCGAGTCCCAGGACGTCGCAAGAGGGCCATTACCGCTTCCAGTCAGGATCAGGGCAGGAAAGGCAAATCGGCCCGAGCTTAGACTAGTTTTTTACGCGTGTGCGAAACCACGCATTAGTGCAGGATTGTGGGACTGGGTTCTACGATGGCGTTACTTCGGTGACGTCATTTTGGCGCCCATTGTCCTGCAGCCAACCATTCTACTGCTCAATTATGCTCCTCTTTGCACCTTTCATCAATCACACTCGTTCTCATCATTTGCTTTTGCCTTTCTTGACTCATTCCTGTGGCGCATATCACATCACCTCTGTCTTCATCGCTCAGTATTATTTTATTTTTTGTTTTCGCTGTTGTCACCACTCCACGCCCTTATCTTAATCTTTTGCTGTTGCATTATACACGCGTTTCATTTCACTGAAGGTAATGTTTGCCATTACCACTAAGTCATTACTCTTTAAACCGCATTGTGAGTAGTATAAGAAGCTGGAGTCCTCTTAGATTGGTTGCGGATTCGCGCTAATCGCCTTACTGAAGCGAGTGCAACATCTTTGTTGCCTCGATATACCCCCACGACCTTACGTTAAGATGCTCAAACTTGTCCTTTTCAGGATCTTCAACATGGTCTTAATGCATCACGCACTGTGTTGTATTTCGTGAAGGATTGAGCAACCACTGGTGATGGCTATGTGTCATATGGGGCACCTGTTCTTCAACAGAATGTGGTGGTTGGACTCGATTCAGCTTGTTGGTTGTCCCCTCTTGTATCGCTGTTGGATGGGACTCTGAGATGCTCGAGTCGCAGGGTGTCATCCATTACTTTGGTGCTGTTATTTGGTGAAAAAGGGTTTTCGTTTTATTAGAGTCATGTATCCTCCTAACTATCTGAATTGATTGGTGAGAATTAGGGCCAAGCCTCGATTCATTCGTGTGTCACTCCTAATGGCATCGACACCAACCGACACGCGACGCAAACGTCAACGCACCAAGTCCATGAATCTGTTGTTATCCGATCCTTCCGGTGTAGCCCCATATTTTCTTGAAGTTCCTCCTCACCTTTGGTCAGTGCGCGGATTTTGCGATGCAGAGTTCGACAAGGATCACAGGATTGGAGGTGATGGTCTTTATGACCATTTTCAGAGCAACACACGGCGCATTCGGGATTCTGTCGAGGTGTCTCAAGTAATACGTAGCATTGCAAGTAACCTCGTGTCGGCCAAGCGCGCCTCCGTCAAATGTGCCTGGCAACAATGTTATGACGATAACATGGCTCGACAATCAGAAATCCGACTGAAAAAACGTAAAGGAGCGCAGCTACATTTCGAGAAGCAGCAGCACTGTCACCAACGCTCAACCAGCAACTCGAGGGTGGTGATGCTACTGCCCAGTCCAGTGCAAGTGACGACGAGAAGACACCATTTGTACTTCTCAGCTTTGATGACAGCGGAGACTCGGATTTTTACCCTGGGAATGAGAAGGATCAGGAGACAACAGTCAGTATATTGGGCGGTTTTGGAGAGCCACCAGAAAAGGTCAATTGGATTGTCGGCCCTGGCGATTCATCCTCACGGCTAAAGACTCAGAAGCCATGGAAGGTCAAGGACGTCAACGTTTCACAAGATCTAGCCGACCGTCGTTCAGAAGTGATGTTGGTACTGGAGAAGCTAGAGGACCCGGATATATTGGCCGTTAGAAATTCTATCTGTACGCCCAAAGTTTTGCAGGACGTCATGTCTATCGATCATTGGACAGAAGAAGTGGAATTGTGGCAGGAGGAGCATGACGCCAACGTGATTGAGGCGGAGCTAGCTGATGTTGTCTCGTTTGTTTTTAATATGCATGCGAAGACAACGTTGAGTGACGCCATTGCATGTGCGCGTCGCATGGACACCACCAGCCCCCTTCACTCAATTATCGACAATCATCTGAGGACGTCAGTTCTGTGGAGTACGACTACGGACGTTCCAGGACAGCTCCGCCAAGTTAATGAAGACACGTTCATCAACGATTTTTTCAAGCCATTGATGATTGGTTTGTTAGGAGGTCTTGCCACTTGTACAATGCACTGGTATGTTTTCATTATATTATTGTTATTGGTAAAAGAAAGCGCACCATGATTCATATCTCTTAGTTTTAACAAATTCTTTATTCAAATTCTATATTAAGGACAAGGGATGAGTTGCAGTGTGGTCCGTCTTACAAGAATGAAGAGAAGTTGTATCCTGGCTTCTTTCTTTCAGTTAAAGGACATGCTGTTGCCATTATGGAGGCCAAGGCTCCGAACAGGAGTATTGCCGGGTACAGAGATGATAGACGAAAACTATACGATCAAATGAAACTGGCAGTTGATGGATTATTAAGCTCTGGGATCAACGCATCTGCTGTGGGGTTTTTAGTATCTAGTAGGTTAACATACGTTCACTTTTTGCCTTCGTTTGCAAAGACAAATTACTGACATTTAGGGCCCTACTGACGTTGTTTAACTTTTTCCATCCTATAAGTCAAAGAGTAGAGGTTTTCGCTATGTCGTTGAGGTACGAAGCGTGTTATCTAGTCGTTCATATTGGGGAGGTCGATCTAGTGACTTCTCGGTATCAGTTTGGAAATAGATAGCCCCCTTTTTGCTTCTGATGTTAGAAAATCGTCGTGGAGGCGCTGGGAAAGTTGCGTAAGATGAGTGCTGCAATGGCCGAGCCAATCAATGCTGACTTGCGACGTGGAACGTATCATACAGTGCCATGCAGGGTGCCTGATGAGCAATAAATCATTATTTCTTTCCCATTGGTATGTCCTTTGTGCAATTATCTTCGATATAGACCAGTGTAACATCATTAGGGAGTGGAGTAACTATGCCATACCCCTCAAAAAAAATTGAGCCTTGCTCCTTAGGACCTTATCTGAAGAGTGAGCAGCCCATTGATAAATTTACATCGACACTGTCCCAATGCTCACGGCGGACTCGTGGACAAGCGAGGCCGGCAGAAAATTTCAAGCTGTATCCTATCATTATTTGACTCCAGATTTTGAGATGGGCAAGGTGCTTGTTGGTATGGACCAGATCGAGGAGCCACAGGTCCTTTTGAAGAGTCTAAGCAAGTGCAATGGCGTTGTAATGTCAAATCATTGACAACCTATTTGCAATCTATTATGTATTCGATTTTTCTAACCTTTGCCGCCTTTTTTCCATTTTTTTTGTTCTTTTACTCGAAGACACACCCTTGCGCGAATGGAGCCTCGAGGATAACGTGGTTTCGACTACTACCGACCAAGGGTCGAACATGAAGAAGTGCATGGCGCTTTTTAGCGGTATTTCTGGAGCTACGTGGCCCCCCATGTGCTGCTCACAAGGTCCAGATCGCCATCAACAACGCCTGGAGGGATTGAGGAGCTTTGCCATTGCTGGACAAGTGCAAGAGAATCTCAAAGATGTTCAAGAACAAGGACGCGGTAGCGGATCGACTTACCAAGTCCCGGCAAACCGCTGGAACGGACGACATCAAGCCAATCACCATGGATGAAACCCGCTGGAGTTTTCGTTATGAGTTGAAAAAGCGGATTACCAAGCTCAAGGACACATTGATAGAACCATCAGCCACTCCACCATCAGCCACTCCACCAACAACACCTCCCCACCTCCCGCACATATCGGTCTTGACGAGCTCTAAAGTTGCTCACTATCGCACGAGGAGCTCGATACTCTTCACGACATCGAAATCCTTCTGGAAAAGCAAGCGAATACGGGAACAAAATAAGAGCATCGACCACACCAACAATATCAACCATGTACACACAGGCGCTCAAACTTCTACCCGACTTCAGCGCCATGAAAACAGATATCGGCAAGAAGGTCTTCAATAATCTGGAAGCAGGAATCAGATCTCGCTGGTCCCTTACTCCTCCAACACGTCCAGTTGCCCTGGTCGCCAAAAAAAGTAAACGGGATCGATGTCCGATCTCCCCTAACAAGCAAGCCGAATATCAGGCCCAGATGGATAGATTCAATATCACCAATCGACAACTCGATTCTCTTCTTGTCGCCATGTACTTGAGCCCCACTCTCTTAAACAACAACGTCTGGAAGGGCGAAAGTGGCGAAGAGGCCAAAAAAGGGCGCAGGCTCTTCTCGTAATCGAAATTCTCAAGGATCTGGACAAGGGCAACAAAGAACAAGGCCTGGAGGACCTTGATATGTCGGAACCAGCGGGGGCGGCTATTGAACACGAAGTGGTGGTGTTGAGGATCAGGAATGAGTTGAGGGCAAGCTACATCTTTTTTTGGAGGAAATACAAGGGCCGCCACGAGATGATAGCTAACGTTGCACGGCGCTTTTTGTACATTTGGTCGACGTCGTGTGAGGCTGAGCGTGTCTTCAACAAGGCCAGATATGTTACATCGAACCGCAGGGCCAATCTCAGTATATCCAATCTTCGTTACATCCTGTTCTCTAACAATATTACCAAGGTCTAAACAGCACTGCTGGAGGAGAGAAAGAAGGTCACGGGCACAGTGAGGGCAGCAAAGTTCTTATACTAATACCAGTTTTTATTTCAGCTGGATATTGCAATGTGTATGTGTATGTGTATGTTATATGTGTCTTCCTGATGAGTAAATGAACGAACGATTGAGAGATGGACGGAAGGAGGAAGGGTGGGAGAGAGAGAGAGAAAGAAAGAGAGAGAGAGAGAGAGAAGGGAACAAAGAGAAAAAATGTGTACGTAGGTCCAGATGAAAGAATATAACGAGAGAGAGGGGGAGAAAAAGGCAGAGTGGGAGAAGGGAAAGAGGACAAGGTCTTGACTTTGAGGCACTTTGTCATGAAGATTTTTTGGTGAGTTTGGATGATAGGAAACAAGCCTAGATTGTATTAGGGTCCTGGTCTGGCACTCTTCGTCTTTGGATGCCGCTAACAAGCTCGTATTGAGACGCATCAAGCAGCTTGGTGGCCGTGAGGACTTGGTCTTGTATTTGACGGCAATCCGGCAAAAGAAAAGCAGGAAACACATCAACTATGAGTGAACGCCCGCGAGAAGGCTCTAAAGGATACAAATAAGAAGGTCGATGAGTTTGCCGAGGGAATGGAGAATGGCCTTAGGATTTGAAAGCAACACTACATCGACATACACATGAACCTTTCGAGGCATTTGAATGGGACCCGAAGACTCGCGAGTCTTTGATCGCCCATTTCGAAAAGGAAAACTGGAGCGTGGTTCGATCCCCAACGGAGGCGGATGTCCAAATTGCTGCGGATTGCAAGGAATGTGACATCGGGAGTTCTGGCGATTCAAATTTGGCTATCCATCCATGATCTGGTGCTTGGTATCCGGCGACCGATTTCTCGAGTAAAAGATGGAAGACGTCATGGCAACCTTGAGAGTGATTAGTAGGGCTATAACTGAAATATCTATGGCCTATGATGCGCTACTTGCGTTTAATACTTGACAAAGGGATATGTTACATTCATTTTCACAGTTATGAATGAGCTTTGGCCTTGAACAAAAATAAAAATACATTCAACCGGGTATTGTTTTTGAGTACAACCTTGAGCAACCAATGGTACAAGTTCCATCAATTCTTTCCCCCCATTTCTCCATATAATCACGAGAAGAGCATCACTTATGGAGAAGAAAACAAGCGTGAAAACGTGGCTGAGACGCGATTTGTCTAAGCCTTTTGAAACGCGTGAGGGGAAGGTTAGGTAAGTGGAAGGTGTTGGATCAGTACGCGTTTGAAGGCGCCCCTGTGTTTTGAGCGACTGCGAATCAAGGATGTATCCTTTGGACGTAAACAATGCGGTGTGGTTCACGAACAAAGACAGGGATGTTAATCAACCTAGACCCTGACTACGGCCTGACAACGCAAGTACTCCACGAACTCAATGACAGCACGAAAAGTCAACAGTATGCCTCCGAAACGACATATTTCCAAAATACATGGTTTATTATCTTTTCATCCCGTCCAGACAGTCATTTTACCAAGGCACTCTATGCAGTGGGAACCTTGACCTCAGCGACGACCTGAGCAAACTCGCCGTTCTCAACCATCTCAGAAACGATATCCAAACCACCCAAAAGCTCGCCCTTGAAAAAGACCATGGGGAAGGTGGGCCAGTCAACATGAGTCTTCAGTCCCTGACGGATATCATCGTCCTCCAGAATGTCGAACGAGTCGTAGGTCACACCCTGATCCGCCAACAATGCCACCAATTTCCTATTTGTTGAATGATACATCAACGAGTAGGTATATGTTAGTTCTCTGGACTCCTGAACAGCAATATGAACGTGAACGGGATCTGAAAATGGTCCTGGTTCCAGAGGTAGAATAAGGAGATGCCTTACTTTGAGAAACCGCAGCGGGGGGTCTCTGGGCTGCCCTTGATAAAGATCATGACGGGGGCCTTTTGGATGAGCTCGTCCATGCGGGTCTTGAGATCCTTCTCTGCTGGCACAAGGGCCTGGAACTCTCCTGTAGCGACCAGCTCCTTGACAACATCCAATCCTCCTACAAACTCTCCCTTGACATACACCTATTATTTCAAGCAAAAACGAGTAGTAAATTAGTACTAATGCACGAAGGTGTAACAAGAACGAGGAAAGAAAACAAGAGTCGAGTGGCAAAGAAAGAAAGGTTACCTGGGGGAAGGTGGGCCAGTCGGAAAAGGTCTTCATGGCTTGACGGACCTCATCATCAGCCAAAATGTTGAACGAGCTGAAGCGAATGTTCTGGGAAGTCAAGATTTCGAGTAACTGGCGCGAGAACTGGCAGCGAGGGGCAGTGGGGGTTCCTTTGATAAAGACCATGACGCTCGAGCTGCTGGTCAATTCCTTGAGTCTGGCGTTCATCTCCTCTGCGGACATAGTGGGGGCTGCTGCTACCGAAGGGCTAGCAGCAGCAGTGGTTCCATTGGTTGCTGATGAGGCTGGCGACTTTGAGTACTTGGCGACGGTCTTGGACAGCTCTGGTGGGTTGGCACCCTCAACACGATCCACCACCTTGCCCTCCTATTCATGTTTATGTAATGGGATGAAGTAATGTGTGAGTTGCTTGTTCTTGCACCTGTTCCTTTTGATTGTGTTGGTGTCAATGAGGAAAAGTATGCGCTTGTTGCTGTTTGTCTTTCCTGTAGATGTCTTTCCTGCAGTGAACGAGGATGTGTAAGCATCTATATCTCACCCCATCCCCTTCCCACCGTCTCCTCCTGTCTCCCTCCTCCTAATCGTCTCAAGAGTGACCGCCGATGGTGTTATTTATCCTGCTGCGCTGTGGATATCTGTTTGTGTGGATGGTCTGGCCTTCTGCTTCGAGGTAATAAAGTCGTATCCTGAGTACGCTAGCGATAGCACTTCCAATTTCCTGCTCTGCGTGCTTCCTTTCTTCCTATGTCTTTACCTTGACGAAGACAAAACTGGGGACGGCGGCAATCTCATATTCTTCAGAAATATCAGGGAACTTTTCCGCCTCGATCTATTCCCACACAGATTGTCACAATCAGCAAAACAAATGATTAGTCAACAATCCAAATGATCGGCAAAACAGGACGCCCATTCTTGCTTTTCACTCCATTTGCAAACGAATAGGAAAAAAGGGGTACCTTGATGAACTTGATGTTGGAGTTCTTGGAGGCGAGTTCCTCAAAGACGTCGTTCATTTGGACACAGGGAGGGGCCCAGGCAGCCCAGAAGTTCATGGCATAGACGGTTGAGGTTGTGGGCTGGTAAACGGCGGAGAAGTCGTCGTCTGTACCGATGACGGTGTAGTTTGAGATGGCAGCCATATTGTATGTAGTGTTGTTGTGAGCTGGGTGGGTTGTCGTTAATTAGAGGTGTGTGATAGAGTGTCGACTGATTGAAAGCGGAACGAGAAGTGAGGAGAGAGGAAGGGGGAATGAAGAAGAAGGAAGAAGAGAAGCGTGGCCCTTGAAACAGTGCAGCAAGAAAAGGGCAAAAAGACGACAAGTTAGTCAGCTCGCACCTCATTGGACAGAAGCCTATCACTCTGACCACTTGGACAGAGGGTATCTGATCGGAAGATATCGCAACACAGGGGGAACAAGGGGAACTTGCTCTGAAAGATTGAAGGACTGGCTTCGTCATGGATCATGGTTCACAAATGACCCAGGATATGAACAATCGAACCCACTCCTCATACACAAACTCATTCTTCTCCGCCTGGATACATACACATTCAAATAAGCATAGAAGAGGACGCATAGGATATTTTTTTTCTGCTTCTGCAAGAGTACAGAAGGATTTGTTTTTATTTTACAAGAACCAGGGGCTGTGGGCTGGCAAAAAAAAAGCAACTTGGAAAGATAAAGACTGATCTTTGAAAGCTTGGGCGGTCCCGGGGGGTTTGGTTGGTTGGTTGGTTGGGTTGGATTAAAACAATAAAAGGGAGAAGAAAAGAGAATTGGTTCTATACATAAGGAAGGAGGACAAGGATGCGGCAGAGTAGAGCTGCATATTTATCCGCCGAAACCGTAGAGGGTGCGTCCCTGGCGCTTGAGAGCGTAGACGACATCGAGGGAGGTGACGGTCTTGCGCTTGGCGTGCTCAGTGTAGGTGACGGCGTCACGGATGACGTTCTCGAGGAAGACCTTGAGGACGGAGCGGGTCTCCTCGTAGATGAGGCCAGAGATACGCTTGACACCACCACGACGGGCGAGACGACGAATGGCAGGCTTGGTGATACCCTGGATGTTGTCACGAAGAATCTTGCGGTGACGCTTGGCACCACCCTTTCCGAGACCCTTTCCACCTTTACCGCGGCCAGACATGATGTGAAGAAGTTGTTTTTGAGGGGGGGAGAGAGGGGGAGAAGTTTGTGTTTGTGAGAGGAGAGAGAATAAAAAAAAAAGAGATTGGCGGGGTGGACGGGGGCTGGCCTACTTATAAGGGAGCAGCCACTTGCTGCGAGTGTCGTAGTATCTCCGTGTACGAGAGACCTTAACAACTAAAAATGAAAAACGAAAACCAAATTTCACATTTCGCGTGCACCTGAGGAAAAAGGGGTGAGCCTCTTTTTGTTTTGAAAAACAAAAAAGATAAATATTTTCGGAGTCGGGAACGAAAACAAAAAAGGAACAGATGAGAGAAATAATTTCAAAGTTAAGTTAATCATTCCAGCAATCTTCCCACAAATGCATACTCTAAACCAGGAATCCCTCAAATGCACGCTCGTGTCCTGTTGATTCCTTGCACTTCAAGAACAACCCCTCTCTCGCACACCAAAACAACAACAGGTCAGCGTTGTTATTGTTTTTTTGGTGCAAGTCGCGTGATTCCCCTCTCAAAACACAATTCATGGTTTTCTCAGAAATAAACAAAAACAAAACAAAGTGAATTCATCTCCTTTGCTCATCTCGACGCGACGTGGACTTCAAACCGGACTTTGCTCATTCCCATCAGGACTATAAAGCCCTCCAGGACTGTCACCCACCCCACCCTTCTTTTTCTCTTTTCTCTTTTTTTTCTTTTCTCCTCATTCACCGAATCCACAACCACCACCACCCAACCCAACACATATAACAAACAATGGCTCGTACCAAGCAGACCGCCCGCAAGTCCACCGGAGGAAAGGCTCCCCGTAAGCAGCTCGCCACCAAGGCCGCCCGCAAGTCGGCACCCGCCACCGGAGGTGTCAAGAAGCCCCATCGTTACCGCCCCGGTACCGTTGCCCTTCGTGAGATCCGTCGTTACCAGAAGTCGACCGAGCTCTTGATCCGCAAGCTCCCCTTCCAGCGTCTCGTCCGTGAGATCGCCCAGGACTTCAAGACCGACCTCCGTTTCCAGTCCTCGGCCATCGGTGCCCTCCAGGAGGCCTCCGAGGCTTACCTCGTCTCCCTCTTCGAGGATACCAACTTGGCTGCCATCCACGCCAAGCGTGTCACCATCCAGCCCAAGGATATCCACTTGGCCCGCCGTCTCCGTGGCGAGCGCACCTAAAGTGTTGTGCCCCTTCTCGTTTAGCACTCCTTTTCCTCATTGTCTTATAATCTGTTTTCTCTCCCCCTCTCTTTTGTAACATTAATCTGATTAAACAAAGCCAGCCTGGTCGGCAGCTTCAAAAATAGAAGGTCTTACCTCTTTTTGTATTTTTTTTTGTCGCGGTATCCCATGAATGTAGTCGAACTGAACCGAAAGGAACACAAAATAAAGAAGCATGTTCAAGCGAACGTGTTGTCAATGGTCTCTGAAAAGATGGCTGGGTCTATTGTCATCCCTGACTAAAGGATGAGGGTATCATTGTTCAGGTACGATCAAAATGGAGAAATTTCGAATGGTCAAAGTCACCTCGTCACATGCCTCTCACACGAATTCACCTTTTTATTTCACAGCCCTCCCCTTGCAACAAAGCGAATCCACCACTTCTTCGCATTTCTTTTCATTCACTTCACCTTCCTGTCTCCACCCTCCCACCCACCCCCCCTCTTCCCCCACTTATTCTCATCCATTACAAACATGTCACAGACCTGCGACGTCGATCCCGCCCTCCTTGAAAAGCTCGAAGCCTTCCGCTTCGCCAAGCGCTCCAAAGGAAACGCCACCATCATCTGTAACCTTTCATGCCACTTCTCAAGGAAGAATAAAGCAACAGAAACGGCAGACGAACAAAACGATTCCCCTTGGCATTGTTGACTGACGTTGACATCCTCTTTTTGTCGGTGCTGTAGGCAAGATTAACAAGGAAGGGTTGCTGATTGTCGAGGAGCATGATCAGGACAACCTGTCGATAGATGCATTGGCCCACCTCTTGCCCGACAACACTCCTCGTTATATCGTTCTCAGCTACGAGGTATTTATTAACCTCAGTTCACCTCACTCCCTGTCAAATCACCCTCAGAACCCGCCACTTGACCCCCACCCAGCAAAGCAATCATGTTATGTCTTAATGTTCCACCCATTAACATCAGCCGCCCTCTCCTTCCCCTCTCTACAAATAATAGTTGAAGCACGATGACGGAAGACAATCCTTCCCCCTCGTATTCCTCTACTACTCCCCCAATGGTGTCAAGCCCGAATTTAACGTGCTCTATGCCTCTGCAAAGACCTACTTCCAGAACAAGGTCGGACTCGGCAAAGTCTTTGATCTCCAGGACTCCGATGACCTCACTGATGCCTGGTTGCGCGCCAAGCTTCTCAAGTAAATCCTCACTTTTTTCACCCCGGCAAGAGTACACAATGGAGTAGTATCAATAAAGGATTACAAAACCAGTCACCTGAAGACCCATGACCGCCCATGCCTGCTGTGCGGCGAGGCTGAATCAGTTGCTTGCTACCTTGCGTGGTCTTTGTGCGGTCGCCCATGAGTCGTCTCTTTGAAATGGTATACGCGTTGCGATGAAAAATGTTTCTCTGATGTTTATTGTTTGGTCAAAATGCGAGCGTTCTCTCTTGCAACGGACACTTTGAAAAAGAGAACGACCAGCGCCGTCCCTTTCTCCATATATGTCCAAGTTGATCTGTCCCGTCTATAGTCCAGACAAGGTCGTTCGTCGTCGTTGCAGCATCCTGTACTTAGGAGTCGTTGACCAAAGCCAAGATCATGCTAGAGAGCAGATAAGAAAGAAAACAAGGAGACAAAAATGTGAGCACAGCGTAACTTGAAGATCAAGCGAACAGTACTTCTCGATTCGGATCGTGAAGTTTCCTCCTGTGTCCCCGTTGTTCAAAGAAACAAAAAGAAACTCACCGGTAGAGGTAGTAGAAGAAGCTGAGGAGGTAGAATCCAAGCTTGATGAAGCACTCCTTCTTGTGTTGACCCAAGGTACGGAAGATCTCTGTGGCGTCAAACATGTGCTTTCCGTTCATGACCCTAGTTGACGCACAAGGAACCAAGATAACGAATTGTCAGTTTCTGTGAAGGTTTGAAAATAACGGAGCCTTGACCTCTAGTCCTTTCTCCCTTGTCATCGATCGTTTCCAGTTTGCAAAGTTCACATGCGATCCGTATGGGAAAAGAACGTACTTGTTGGCATTGTAGGCGACAAGGGGCAAGTTCCAGGCGGTGGCAATCCACTGTCCACTGATCAGGAAGACGAACGACAAGAATGCATGCACAAACATCTCTGGCAACACAAACTATTTTAACAGAGAAACGAAAAGAACGGTATCGGTTTTGTGGTTCATTGGGTCAGCGGGGTTCTTGCGGGGAGGGAGGATCCATTGTGGTCTTGTGGTTCGCTTCAATTCGACTCATGTCCACGCAAAACAAAGCTGCCACAAGAAAAAAAGAAGCAAATGTTCATACCTGGTTTAACTTGTTACAGAGCTCAATAGGGTTGATATAATCGACCTAAGTGAAATGCGTTATTCATCACGTCAGACAATGGGTAAAACGTTGGTCATTAGCATGGCATCCCGGTATCGAAGTGGCAAATATGGACTGGGTGACCGCCTGTCTTTTTCATCATGTCCCCTTGTATGATTGTCATTGTCGTTCCTTGGAGGGGCTGAAGGGGTCCTGATGTTGAGCTCCTTTTGACCCTCTCGCTGAGCGCGTCATTAAATCGTCGATCGAATTCGCATTATCCGATCCGCTGTTGAATGGGTGACAGCAAAGCGAACATCCAACAAGGCGATCAAATAGGGCAGCTCAAAGACAAGAATGAGGGTGTCGGCAACGCCTGTTTTGTCTCGGAGCCAACTTCCAAAAGTGAGCGTGGCACGCGCATGAATATAGATGAGACTTGTATGTACCTCGAGATCACTAATCAAGATGACCTATTCAAGCAAGAGGAAAGAACGAGTCAGTTGGTGGATGACGACGAAAGCATAGGTGGTGCATCCAGAGAGAGAAAGAGAGAGAGGGGTTTGCAAGGCGAGAAGGATGAGCACCGCGAGTGTGAGCGTGTTTGTTGATGAAGAGTTGTGTGTGACATACAAAAAAGACCTTGACGAAGAGTAAGGCGGCGCCGATGATGACGCCGAACAAGAAGACCATAGCTTCGGCAGACATGATGTGTGATGTGTATTAGGAATAGAAGTAAGGAAGGAGGAAGGAAGGGTGTGAGTGGTGTGAATGAGAAAGGAGAGATGAAGATGGAAGGAAGAAGGATTGATAAGAAGAGAAGGGAGAGAGAACGTCAAGGTTTAGAAAAAAGAAGAGCGAGTGGACCAACCACAAGGAAGGAAAAACAGCGCCTCAACACACGCACTGTGGATGCAAGCACACAAGCACATAAGCACTCAAGCACATAAGCACACAAGCACAAAACTCAGCCAGCAAGAAAGGGAAGTCCAATGTCCAGGCACACACACACACGGCATAGATTGAGAACATCATCATCATTTCAGAAGACGTGGATCACCCTCGATCCGACTCACTCGTGAAAAAAAAACGATCAAGTCGGAGGAGAGGCGGTTGGTGAGCGTGGCTTAGCACAAATCATTTTCATCACGTGCAAAATTACTCGACAGAGTAAGTATAGTTGAAGCCCAGGGCCGCAGAAAAGTGAAAAATCCTCTCTCTCATTTAGTCAAGATGGTGTGTAGCCATCACTACTGGACTTGTAGAAATCATCCATCTGATGATCATGTCAAACCAATGCATCCATTCATCCATCGACGGCTATCCTAACCGGCAACCATCGATACTATTGTACAATCAATTAGCCTACCCGTCTTCATCACAACCGCAAGAAGCGCGGCCACGTCAGTGCCGGTCATGGTCGTGTTGGTGAGTCTCCCCCTTCTACGCCTCAAGTCTAAGCTCCTGGAGCCATATCAGGAATCGACCAGCCCTTTACTTCTAACTGGATAACGGGAATACGACTACTCCTTTGAAGCAGGAGTGAAAACAGAGTACTACTGTACCCGGAGGACTTGGTGCTGTTGTGAAGCATCAGATGGAGGTCAACTTGGTGGAGGACTGGAGAACAGAGTCTGCTGGTAGCAGTAGTACCTCTTTGACGGCTACAACCGGCACACAGCAACAAACGACAGCCAACAAAGCAGACACGATTGGCAGGATGACGGTCAACATCAGGATCAGTACAGAACAGCGATCAGTAAAGAATCCATCACGTTTCTGGATTGCCTCGGCGAACTGCGATTCAACATCTCCACTACCTTACATCCTCGCTACAACGACCTTGCGATCACTCGACCTTACGACACCTTACTTTTTCAACACCAGTCGTCTGTGAACAAGAAATCGATACTGTCTACTCTGCTCTGCGGTGCAGTAGCGTTGACTTTTATTCGCCACTGGAGTAGAAGATGAAAGGTGCAGCAGCGCACTGTTTTGCAACAGAGGACATGGATGAGGCTCGTCTACTTTTTGCAACGAGACAGCTAGCATCAGGCGATCAACTTCCTCAAAGCGAGCAAGAAAGGGCGACATCAAAACAAGGACAAGATGGAGACTATCGTTCAGGACTCTTCACACTCAAAAACAACTACACAACCAACAGAACAGCCAATTGACCAGTATATTTCTTTTCTCCCCTACTTCCAGGTAAGCACCGCAAGCATCCCGGAGGACGTGGTCTTGCTGGTGGTCAGCACCATCACCGTATCAACATGGACAAGTACCATCCCGGTTACTTCGGTAAGGTCGGTATGCGTCGCTTCCACTTGACCCGCAACGGCCAGCACTGCCCCATCGTCAACTTGGATACCCTCTGGTCCCTCGTTTCGGAGCAGACCCGCAAGAACGCCGCCAAGAAGACCGAGGTCGTCCCCGTCATCGACACCCTCCGTGCCGGTTACGGCAAGGTCCTCGCCAAGGGTCGTCTCCCCGCCCAGCCCGTCATCGTCAAGGCCCGCTACGTCTCCCGTGCTGCCGAGCAGAAGATCAAGGCTGTTGGTGGTGCCGTCCAGTTGGTTGCTTAAATTGACTGTTGGAGTATCACTTCAATTGTTATGAAAGCCAGCCATTGGTTGTAATAAAAAAACTCATTCAAAAAACATGTCTTGGCACGCGTGAACTGGGTCACTTCAAGTAATAAGGTGGACTTTATGTGCGTTATTCCGTTGCCACCAATCCAAGGCCTGCGATCAGTTGGACGACTAAAGAGACCACAATTTGATTGAGTCTCTACTTCACCCTCTTCGTTTTGATCTTGCTCCTTCACTTCTTGTACTTATTTGCTTATGCTCCTGTTGCTCAGCCCACTTTGCCACATTCCATCGGCCTTGTCACCTGCACAAGAACACAGACCAAGATTAACCAAAGGACCAAAAAAGAAAACATAAAGCGTACATTAAAGTCAATAGAACAAGGTAAGGAGTTGTTTTTGGCAAAGTTTTTAATGTTTCTACAAAAAGAAAGCAAGCTATGATGTACAATTTGGGTGTTTGGAGTGGGTAGCCCGAACGCAAAAAAAACAAATGTTCAAGAGCGCAAGGAAAAAGGAGTTATTATAAAACAATAGAAGGAAAAGAAAAAGTCAAAAAGGACACTTTTTACTTGGAGGAAGTGTACTTGGTGACGGCCTTGGTACCCTCAGAGACGGCGTGCTTGGCCAACTCACCGGGGAGGATGAGGCGGACGGCGGTCTGGATCTCGCGGGAGGAGATGGTGGAGCGCTTGTTGTAGGCAGCGAGCTTGGAGGCCTCACCGGCAATGCGCTCGAAGATGTCGTTGACGAAGGAGTTCAAGATGGACATGGCCTTGTTGGAGATTCCGGTGTCGGGGTGGACCTGCTTGAGGACCTTGTAGATGTAGGAAGAGTAAGTCTCGGAGCGGGACTTCTTGCGGCCCTTGCCACCCTCAGACTTGGGCTTGCGCTCCTTCTTCTCAGAGGCAGCAGCGGTCTTGGCGGGGGCCTTGCCTCCGGTGGAGGGCTTCTTCTCGGCGGTCTTGGGGGGAGCCATTTGCGATGATGATGTGGTTGTTGATTGGTGAGGGTTGGTTATGTACGGAGAAGGGGAAAAAAAGGGAAAAAAGAGAAAAAGGGAAAAAAAAGTGGAACGAGGGGCGTGTGACGGGACCCTTATATAAGGATCAGGTTGTGTCTTGTTGGAGCGACATGTTAGAGTTCATGTCTCAGGCCCATGGGATTGAAAGTGAAAGTGAAAGGTGAGGGGAAGCGAAAACAAAGGGGCGGTGTGATGAGAGCAAAAAGTGAATTGGAGAAGAGGAGTTGAAAATGAAAAGTGAAAATGATTTTCGCTTATCTTTTTGTCTGGACCTGCCTTGTTTTCCACTTTTTGAGTGAAAACAAAAAAAAACACAAATGAACGCGTCCAATGTTCAAATGTGACTGTCTTTGACTAACATTGCCATTGGCCACTTCCTCAAGTGCACGACCAAGTTACCTTAACTTGCCCACTCCAACGCGCGTTCTTCCTTTTCTGTTTTCATTTTCACTTTCGTTTCCCCCCCCTCTTCCATCCAAAACAGAAACGCGGCCTTTGTTTTTGTCTTTTCGCGAAAAGAGAAACGCCACACCTCTCACTTTCATTTTCACTTTTGTTTTTCGTTTTCATTCCACCGACTTTCATCTTCAAAGTCACTTTCATTTCCCTTCAGTCATCGTTCATCGTTCGTGTGATTCCAAAAAACATATATAACATCCTCACTCCCAGCCACAAGTCCCACTTTTTTTTTTAATTCCCTTTCGTTTGAATCAACACCCAACCCAACTCTCTCCCTCTTCTCCCCCCCTCAACAACAAAAACTTATAACAATGTCTGGCGGCAAATCTGGTGGCAAGTCTGCTTCGGCTCCCAAGAACTCGACCTCGCGCTCTTCCAAGGCCGGTCTTCAGTTCCCCGTCGGTCGTATCCACCGTCACCTCCGCAAGGGTAACTATGCCCAGCGTGTCGGTGCTGGTGCCCCCGTCTACCTCGCTGCCGTCCTCGAGTACTTGGCCGCTGAGATCCTCGAGTTGGCCGGAAACGCCGCTCGCGACAACAAGAAGTCCCGTATCATTCCCCGCCACTTGCAGCTCGCCATCCGCAACGACGAGGAGTTGAACAAGTTGCTCGGACACGTCACCATCGCCCAGGGTGGTGTCCTCCCCAACATCCACGACTCCCTCTTGCCCAAGAAGACCAAGAAGGGTGGCCCCGCCTCCCAGGAGTTGTAAAAAAAGAAATAGGAACCCTTTTTTCGAGCATTCAAGGATCGACTTTTTCCCTTTTCTTGCATACACATACAAAAAACAAACCTTTTTCTCTTTTTCTTTCCAACCTTTACTACTCTCTGAACTTGTATTTCATACCTTTTCCTCCCCCTCTTTGTCCCCTTTCAACCATCGGACCTTGCCGTACCCCCTATTACTCTATCGGCTAAACATGTACAATTAAACTTGCTTTCAAAACCCAACTCTTGTCTCCTGGTTGTCGTTGCCAAATGGTCTGCGGATATTGCATTTGTTAATTTATGTATGTCTTTTGAACGGCGATCATTGGATGAAGACGAGCCCGAGGCTCCATTCCGGTACCCTGTTGATCTGTGGAGAAATGAACGAGGACACTGTGTCCCAATTTCTGTGTTATCGAGTGTGAGTAAATGTGTGAGGTTTGTAGTGCCCCTGCCGAGAGACGAGAGATGCATACGTCAAGGTAGATGATTTTGGTCGTATTTACTTCAGATCAATTGAGTATGAGTGTGAGACTGAGGAAGGGTGTGAACAGAGCAGAATGATTTCTTTCCCTCTTCTCCGTCGTCCCTTTTTTTTGACTTCTCTTCTTCTTCCTCCATCTCTTCTCTTTTCCCTCCCATGGTCTTTCTTCCCCTTCCTCCTCCTTCCTGAGCTCATCCATCTTCCATTCTTCTCGCCCTCTTCCCTTCTTTACCTACTTTCTCCTTCTCTTCCTCTCTCTTTCTCTCTTCTCTCTCCTCTCGAGCCAACACTCGCCCTCGCCTCTCGTCCACGCACAACAAGAGTCTCTTCTCCCGTCAGCACCAGCCTCCACCTCGATTGCTCTCTGACCCTTTTTTTTTCTTCTGCCGCCACCGTTTTTTTTTAATTCCTGTCGTTCAACCAGTAAACACAACAAACAAGCACCGCATCACCCTTGACGCGTCACTTTTCCATTCACTTCAACTCCTCCTCTACTTCCAGAAGGGTAAGACAACAACGCCTTACTGTCGACAACAAGTACGTTCCTGGGAATCAGTCTCTCTCTATTTTTCATAGCTAACACATACCTGGAACACTACTGCTCCCAACAAAATAGTGTGCATTCGGACCCAGGGGAGCTATTTCTCACATCTCACACCACTCGAAACACACCTCAGAGTTGATCAGCACTCCCTCTCCGGCCCTCGGTGTATGTCTTATTACAACTCGCTATTCACCTGTTTTGTTCTTGTACTCTAAGCAACGTACTTATTCTATGTCAACAAACAAGGAACAACAACAAACACTCAATTGACACACTTTCTTTCTTCCTCTTATCGCCTGCTTGCAACAACATGCTATGCGGCTCCATCCATTGTTTCCTTTGTTCGTGGCACCATCAATAGCTCACAATTTTATATTTTTGAAATCGCTCCCAATTTCGACGACTCGACACGCCGATCTGGATCAAGCCACCGCCGTGTCACGCCCAGCAGCAGATCTTTTTACCAGGGGGTGTACTCTCAAAAATGGACACCAAAAAACGCTCCAACGAGGATCTCCTCGACTCTGACGCTGACCCTTCGCCAGCAACCACAGCAACCACATCAACCACACTGCTACCACCATCAGAAACTACCTCCGTCGCTGCAGCTATCACAGAGGTTGGAGATGGCTTGTCGTCGGCAATGGAGGTTGACGGCACAAAATCAGGAGCCTCCGAGGCTGTGAAGCCCAGTCCTGCGACCCATTTTGCTGCTACCATGGCGGCCGAGAACATGCAACCACTCGGTAGTGAGGCTAATAAGAGAGTCAAACTGATGATGGAGATGAACCATACTGGATCCGACTTTTCACCCTCGATCGATCTGGCCGATCCTTCTCAGGAATCCAAGGGACTTGCCGAGTGGGTCGGGGAAATGGACAACGATGCCCATTCTACTGGTAATCGATCAATCATGATTTATTTGATTGTTTCATTTAGATGACGAACGTACTTGTTCAAGGCGCAAAAAAAGATCTCGCCAGTCTGTCTGACAACTGTACTAATGATTGGCATGTAACTGGTCTTTTGGATGTAATAGACGATACAGCAGCAAGTGCACTTTCAACTAAAGCCGAGGCCAAGACGGATGATGCCGAGTCTTCAGGTATGGATCGATTGTTGCAAAGATGTAAGGAGACTCATTCAATGGATTTCGTGTGATTAATAATTACCTTCCAAATAATTGGCTAAATACGATATTCCCTTTTAAACTTGATTAGTGGCTGATTCTGCAGCCGCCTCAGAAATTCAAGCTACGGATTCGACAGACAAGCAGGAATCAGCAGCAGGAAAGGAACAGACGGCAGGGCAGGACCTTGTCAATGCTCTCTTGGCACCTACCACAGAGCCTTCGCATGAGGACCTGTCAGGATCGATCTTAGCCGTCGCTTCGCTCTCAGAGCCATTGGTCGCCACACTCGAGACTTTGGACAACCAGGCAGACGTCAACTTCATCACAGCTGCAGTCCCTGCTGCTTCCAATCTGGTCATCAACCCCGAACTGTCTGAATCAACAGTAGCATCAGAACCAGAAGAGGGAGAGCTTGAATCAACAGATTCGGATCTTACCGCGAACGGAGCTACCAATGGAGCTGACAGGAAGGAAGATGCAGTCTTATCCGTTGCAGCTGAATCAGCAGCACAGGGTAAACTTTCAGAGCAATTAGTCGCCCGACAGGATGAAAAGGGAGTATCCACTGCTGAAGAAGGCCAGCTTGTACAGGATCAGGATATTCAGATGGCAGAAAAGTCCAAGTCGAATGCTGATCTAACTCCATCCGACGCTGCCATCGTCACAAGCCAGACCAAAGATGTCCCTATGACAGCGACTGAGTCAGTAGTCGGAAACGGAACAACAGACAGCCAAAAGCCAGTCAGTCCTACCTCTAGAGCTCCTATCCCACACGAGGCAGTTAATAGCTCTCCCCCTAGTGCTCTGTTCAAGGCTGCCCCACCACCTGCACTCTCTACACAAGATCCTCCCAGATCCTCTCCTACGATGGCCAGGAACACCTTGTCGCCAATCCACCCCGACCCTTCCCGGCCAGCACTCATGGAAGGCAACCTAGCCATAAACAAACCTGCTCAACTTACCAGCCTGCCGCCATTGAGCTCCATCGCGGGAGCACCCAGCCACCCTGCTTCACAAAGCGCTCGACCATCTCGGAGCACAATGTCAGTGTCCGCCTTGCTGCTGAATAACGATGACGATAGTGAACAGGAGCAGGATCGCGGTAGGCGGACGGCCGGAAGTATGTTTGATCCCTTTGCAAACCCTCCTAGTCATAACCGATCCCTTTCGCCGCCACCTATGGCTCCGCCACAACACTCTACCTTGTCTGGACAACACCACCAGCCAGGACCAGGAGCACCCCAGCATTCCTCCGCCCCTCTCCCTGGACAATCCGTCCCACCTCCAAAATCATTGGCAAGTGTTCATCGAGTGGAGCCTCCAATGTCTAGTCACTCTGACCACTCCGGATACGGTCGCGAAATGCCCGATCCTAGTCAATCGTCGAGACGTAGTCAGGATTTCACCTCTGCTCCTGGAGGAGGAATTCGCGGCGCCTCCAAGGACTATCCAGCAGATGAAGTTATGGAGTCTGGCGGAGTGATTGGATACGGCAGTCAGCGTCATCGTCTGCCCTCTCCAGTTGGTGCTCGTCCTCACCAGGAGCCGTTGCCAGGACCAGGAGTACCAGGAGGTCCAGCCCCACCAGGCAGCAACAAACTTCCAGGATTGGGATCTGTCACAGGAGGAGCCCCTCCCCCACCCCATTCTCATGACCTTCACAACCGCCACAGACCAATGTACAGACCAGAAGGCAACCATCCACCGCCTATGAACAGCGGACGACCCAACTCGTATTCACCTAATCAGCACCTCAACATGACACATTCACCTCCTATGAACGGTCATCCTCATCCTCATTACCCACCCAATGGACCATCTCATCACCACCACCTTTCAGGAATGGTCCCCAATGCTCCTCTTCCATCTCTGTCTAACTCGGTACTTATCGTTGAGCGTCATGTCCCACGGTTGATCGTTAAGAACGACCCCAGCCTCAAGATGAACGGTTGCCCTGAGCTCTTTTTAGGTATGTCCTTGTCACTTTGCACTTCCTCAAATATGCGTACTGACCCCTGGTGATATCAAGATAAATCCTAACATTTACCTTATTTCGGTTGTGATACTTAGGATACTACCGATATGACCCTGCAGTGTTGTTACCTGCAATGCAAGGAAAGGAAAACTCTTTGCTTGAAGTTCGTGTCGCTTCTACATACTTGACATATGACAATACCAAGGTGAAGAAGCGGGAGGTCTGGGGAACTGACATCTACACTGACGATTCCGACGTTGTCGCCAGTAAGTGCCGGCATTGATAGATGGATTTATATGAAGGGTGAACATGCGCGCAAGGATTGTTCAGAACTGAACTCTGACCTTTAACGTTTATGTTGACGATAGTGCTGATTCACGCGGGATACTATATTCCACCGACCAACTCTCATTGCACTGATGAGGACTCGCTCCACCCCACTAGTCAACATCACAACTTTGTGTCGAACCCTATCAAACACATCTGCCCTGGATTTGATCTTGCAGTAACCCTTCGCGTCATGCCAAAACTCATCAAGTACCAAGGGTCGATCCGGCACCGTATCAAGAGTAGGACATGGAGCACAGGGCATGATGGAGTGAGCTTCAAGATCGAGTCGATCCGGAAGTTGGAAGCAGGAGAGGCCCTCAACAAGGGTCGCAGCCAGAGTAAGCGGCGCATGAAGGAGTATAGCCAAGAGAGAATGCGTGTATTGGCCAACATTCACGACGCGACCACCGAGAGCCTTCAGAACGAGCGGGCCATGCGGACAGCTACCTTTGAATTCACGCATCAAGGCGATCCTTGGTAAGTCCTCTGCTTCGTATTGTACTTTTGTGTGCGACTCATATTTGTAAAGGCAGAAGGCAATAACTGACCAAGCGTTTATCTTTCTCGTACATGAAATAGTTTCAAGTATTCACCAGAGTTGGTGATGGATCGTCATGATGGACTGTCGCGCAAATGGACGAGCTGGCGGTTGAAGAAGGAGGTATTGATTCTGGAGAATGAGGAGGAGCGCTACGAGATTTCGCTGCAGCACCAAGCAGGAACTGATGCCCGGAGATTTGACCAATATCGCTTTGCCGTCATATCTCCACGAACGTCGCTCTCGAGCTGGAGTAAAGCCAGCTATCCTTTGGACTCTGCCGACTTGACTGAGGTTCTCTATGAGGACCTTGACTGGCAGGATTTCGAGTGGGTCGAGCGTGGAGTCGTCATCCAGCCTAGCCCAAGAGGGAAGAACGGCGCTACGACGTGGAATGGGATGGAGGGTGTCGAGCCTACATCCAAGGACGGCGATGTCGATATGGAGGATGGCGAGATCCATGATGGCACCAAGGAGTCTGCCCATCAGGCAGCGACGTCGAGCAAAGCTGATGACCATGCTCAGGGAAGTGACGACGCACATCAGGAAGGAGTCTTTTGTGTTGTGAGCCGACTCTACTGGAGGCCGATGTCTGAGAATGGACCTACGAAACGCACTGTCACTCCTGCTGCTGCCAAGCCTGCTGAAGTCAAGTCGGCCTCCGTTGCGGCTATTCAGAACGGATCATCCAAGGATGTTTCAGATCATCACAACACCAACGCTGGTCAGGACAAGTTGTTGGCTGAGCCGGTTGATTCAGGAGTCAAAACAGCAATCGATACTGCCCCTGCCAAACCTAATCATGAGCACTCTGTTAGCACACCCGTCGCATCGCCAGTAGTACCAGAGGACCGCAAGGAAGATAAGAAGGAGCAGGTCTCTCCTGCTCTTGCAGTAGTCGAATTTTTGCCAGCTCCACCACCACAACAGCAACATCAGCAACATCAACCACAACAACAATCGACACCAACAACAGCAAGTTCGGCATTAGAGCAAGAACCCACAGCAGCAGTAGCAGAACCAACGAAGGTTCCTACTGTGCCTGCACCCGCAGCAAGCAAGGATCTGGAGGCGATGGAGGTCGACTCCTCCGTAATCACACCAGTACCAGCACCAGCAGAGCCGAAGGTCACGCCAGCATTCGTCGCACCGACATCAACGCCAACACCCGCACCGGTCGCAGTTCAGCAGAAGCAGGTCGAGACTGTCAAACCTGCTCCCGTAGTTGCTGCAGAGGAGCCACCCAAGGCTGTTCCTGCTGCTCCTATTGCCCCTGCTGTCGTTGCCCCAGTAGACGAAGATGAGCGTGAAGAGGGTGAGCTTGAAGAAGGTGAAATTGCCTCTGATTAATAAATCCGAGCATGTAGTTCATTTTTTTTTTCTCATTTATTGGCTATCATTGTATGCCGTTATTTTTTTCTGTTATTACTTGTTTTGTTTATTCAGTTGGAAAGTAAATAAAACGGAAGTGTACATTTTAAGCCTCGTTGCGGGGAGCAATACCCTGGGCAGGCTGCATCCATCCATAAGGATCCTCAAGATCTCCATTCTGGATCCCACGCATAGCCGTGAAAAGTCTCAAGAACCCGGGTCCAATCGCAGCCTGAGTCTTGCTAGTCCCGATGAAAGTCTTGACTCCCTGGTGTTCAATCGATTTGACGGGAGTAATCACAGCCGCTGTTCCACAGGCGGCGATTTCCTCGAAACGGTTCTCTTGGACTTCTGTGAATGGAATCACACGGTTCTCGACGGACCATCCAAAGGATTTTGCGAGCTGGACCAGGGATTGCTTTGTCACCGAGTTCAAGATCGAGGGAGATTCTGGAGCACAGAAAGTAGGGTTGGGGGTTTCCGTGGTGGAGGAAGGGTAGGTGAGGGCTACAAAGTTTGAGGTGGAGAATTCGTCAATGTTTGTGTGGGTTTTGGAGTCGAGGTGGAGGGTGATGGGGTATCCGCGTGCCTTTGCTTCTGAGCTGTGGCGAAGGACGGGGGCGTAGTTTCCGCCGAGCTTTGCGGCTCCTGTTCCCAATGGGGCGGCTAATTGGTAAGATGGGTGGGGGAGGGATGATGGAAAGTGGGTTAGTTTTAGGGTTCAATGTAGTTCCGGAAATGTGGTAAGCAAGAGAAGGTTTTGTGGGTTGACTCATATGATGTGTTTGTTGGTGGGTACATAGAGATGTAGATTGGATCATGTAAAGTGTAAGTGTAAGTTACCTCTGTCGAAGCTGTCGACGACCAGGCAGTCGACGGGGCTGACACCTCCCTTGTAGAAGTTTCCGACTATTAGAAACATGATCAAAGAAAGGAAACATGTCAGAAACCGCAAAAGTTTATCCTCCGAGGGTCCTCCCAGATCACATTGCGTCCCACACCAGTACATTCGACACAATTCCCACATCGTTATTTTTCTCTCCTCCATCCACAAAGTCCATGAACTTACCAGGAATGACAGAGACGATAAAGGTGAACTCGGGAGCAGGATAGAGCCCAATCTCAGGGCCCGTACCCAACAACAAGGGTCTCAAGTACAACGCACCACCAGATCCATAGGGAGGGACAAACTCAAGGTTGTTGGCGACGGCACGTTCACAGGCCTCGATGAAGAGAGCTTCGGGGACGGGGGCCATGCAAGCGAGTTCTGCAGAGTAGATCATACGCTTTGCGTTTGCGTCGGGGCGGAAGATGCGGATTTGACCATCCTTGCATCTGAATGCCTTGATTCCTTCGAAGCACTATGGTTGGATGGTGAGTGGTGGGTGTAGATGAAGTTAGTCATAGATATCTTTTCATCGGACTTTTTTTTTTTTGGTGGGCATGACGGAAAGGGTGGGGGAGTCCAAGCGCTGATGTTTTGTACGAAGTGAGAGCAACCAGGCCAGTTGACTATCTATTCGCACGCCGCCTCGCTCCCAAAAACCCTCCCCCTCTTCTTCTTCACCCGTCACAACTCATTCACTCCTTCATTCCCTTTGGAAAAAAAAAAAGTAGTTACCTCCTGGCCATAGTTGAGGCAGGGAGCACAGACGTGCATTTTAATGTAAGAGTCGCGGACGAATTCGCCTTGGTCCCATTTGCCGTCCTTGAAGATGTACTTGACATGGCCGTTGGTGTCAACCCATTTGAATCCGAGGCTGTCCCAGTCGAGGGCCGATGTGGGTGCGGGGGGGAGTGCTTGGGTCATTGCTTGGTCGGTGTTGGGTTGGTGAAGGAGGGAGGTGGTGTGGTGGGAGGAGAGAAGGTTTTCGAAGGAAAGAAGAGGGGGTAAGAGGAGTGAGAATGGCCGTTATTTAACATGGTTTGATCAGTGTGATATCAGTGGGTATGACGGCGATGACTCCCTTGATTTTCTCCACTTGCTCACACACTCTCATGCAAGGATTTGAAGAAGAGGGCTTGCTCGGCACATTGAGTACCCGACGTCAATTGACCAATCGCAAGGCAGTCAAAGTGACTGCCAAAATGTCACGAAAGGACTAAGGCAACGAACACGTCTTGAACAGAAGGTTGCGCGTCCCCTCTTGCATTCACTCTCTCACTCTCATCAGGACTCACCACCAACTACGACAACAACAGGAGGCATATATACAATGGACAAGCAACAGGCACCCTTTCCGCTGATCAACAGACAAGCCGCCCGCATCATCCAAGGCCGGCACACAGAAGTCCTCGTCACCTCATTCGTCGACAAGATCCTCATCCTCGTCAGCCAATACGGAAAAATCGGTAGTCTGGTACTATACATACATCTTCATACTTCACCTCAGAACTGGAGTCAATACACCCATCTGGACAACAACTCCTTCTACAGGGGGCGATTGAACGCTAACCCAAGGTTATTATGATCTCTATTTAACGATGCAATTAATTAGATCCACACGACGGTAGACCAACAATCACTCATAGCATCAACAGCAGCGGGAGACTTGGCCTCAACATCTTCAAAGTTCCTCCTTGGCGCCGGATCCTCGGCTTCAAAAAAGACACAGCTGTATCAAGTGTACGCGTCTCACATAACCCAGATGATCCAACACCAGAATCCGATGGAGTCTAGGGCGGTTGTGTTGTCGTTGGCGCTGGACATTCAGGAACCGAATTTGGAACGGGGGCAGAGTGGGGAGGAGGAGAAAGAAGAAAGGTTACGGGATCGGGAGTTGTTTGAGAATGTGGTTGAGTTGGTTAATGAGTGCTGTGTCTGGATGTAGTCGGAGGTGATTTTGAGGGACAGGAATCTCAAATGGACAATAAAGCATGGAACAAATGGACACTCTGGCGAAGATGCTGTTAGCATGCAGGATTAGGTTGTAATTTCAGTGAAAATAATGATAGAGAGGAACATGAGTCAGCCAGGGGATTGAAGAGAGGGACAGAAACTGATGTTCTTCGGTAGGGCCTTTTTGTCCTTCATCGATCGCGGGACTGTGCATTGGGCTCAAAGAGTAAAGGCAGTTACGCGGCGCGGCCCAGACGACTCTCCTTTTCATCATCCAGAATGGCCTCCACTGAACATGAGCAACTGTTTTGAGCCAACATTGAAAGTACGACGTCAGCTGACCGAAACCTCTGCTATGTGAAGAAACGCGTCCAGGACCTATCAGCACGTCCAGATTTTTTTCTTTTGATCATCGCATTTGATACACGTCGCAGTCTAGACGCGTGAGATGAGCAAGAGCTTATCTGATTATTTGATCGATACACGACTATATATGAAGGACAGGCCCACATGGCCACTGCTTGCATTTTCTTTCTTCTCCCTCTCTCGCTCAAAGTGGCCCTCCATTGCTCGCCTATTCAACTAAGGCATATCCTCTTGAATCTGACCTATTGTGTTTATTGTTTTCTGCTTGGTTAAACGTATTGATGACATACATGTCACTGAAAACAAAAATTGCAAAGCAAAAGGCAAGCGAAGATGACCACTCAATATAGATGCTCTCACGCCAGTCAGCTATCGCCTATCGTTCTCAGGGGGAAAAAGGTGAATAGAAGACTGCTCGCCTCTCTCTTCAGCAGCGACTGCGTCCCTAAAAGCGAAATAAAAATGAAATGTAGAGCTGAAAGATGCCATCGGATCCCCTTCTATTGGGTATTTTATTGTGAAAGACACCATCTCAATCCCGCAGCTCCTTATCGGCACTCATTTCGATATCTCTCCTTTCATAAACATACGGTTCTTCATTTTCTGAGCATCCTCTTGCATACCTCCTATCACCATGGCGCGCTAACGAGGTAAGAATTATAATACTTTTCAATCTATCTCCGTATCTCATTCACGGCACAGAAAAACAAAACGACTTCGGACTTGAGCTAGCTATCCGTACGATAATAATTTGGATGATGAAAGGCTAGTCGATCAAAGCTGGAAGAAAGCAGGAATTGCATTGATGCATGTTCCGATTAAACTAAAAGTGGAAGACAACCATACTGAAAAGAAAGGGTTTGGTTGGTATATGAAAGCATATAAGGCACTGGAACGTTGATACTCAGTTTTAGTCCATTGTTCATCCTCATTGCGCTATTATTCTTTGTCCACAATGATGCTATTTCCTCGCTGAATGTCTTTATCCTCGTCTCTACTTATGTTTTCGAGAGTTCGATCGCAGCGCATGTAACAGAACGAAATGCGCACGCGCGCCACATTCGCGTACCCCCAACGTACCCGTTGAAGAAAAGGAAGGGTCGCATGGTGTTTAAAGGACAGATTCAAGAACTTCTGATCGTTCTCTAATCTGAGAAAAAAGTTACGCCTGTTCGCTTCGACGCCATGGCATGCGAGGCGCTCCACATAGAAAGCGCAAAGCTAGAGCTGAAGTATCATGAAGCTCAAGACGCTTATTACCGCGAAGAATTTTCACGATACATTGCAGACCACGAAGAAGGGATCTTGCAATACTTGCTCAGAGATGTGGAGATTACTTGGGAGCTTTTCCTTGCGGTTAAACATATCGTTCTTGAACAAACTGCTATAGAGGAACATGAAGGGCTAATTTTTGAGGGTGCGCTCACGACTGCTGATATGACATACAAGGCGTTTCTAACTAGTCTGCCTGCTGATATACACGATAAAATCCCGATTTTGGATCATGAAATGTATGTTATTATTCGTAAGACAGTCATAGGTGGGAGAACCCAGGTTTTTAGAGTAGGTGTTATTAATGCGGAGATCAATTGTATCGACGTTACGTCTCTATATCTGATGTCATGATCCACCAACCCTATCCGTTCACATATACAAAGGTATTTAGAGATGGGAAAATTGGAGTATATCACGTATATATCCACAAACAGTCATAGGAAAAAATAATACCCAAACGTAAGGAAAAAGATACGACGTGGGACTGGGATTATGCGGATGTTATAGAAACTTGTATTACACATGAGGACATCCGGATTCTAAAGAAATTCGGGGCCACTTATGTGGTAATAGAGGAGTATTACGGGGAATGTCCCGATAACAGAGTGTTCGTTGGATATATGCAGCCTCCAGTGGAAGCTAAAAAGCAACAGGATAGATATAAGGCTGAGTATGATGCGCTTATAAAAGAAGGGAAGCTTGAAAAAGCAGTCAAGATCCCTTTCAACCCAGTTCTTAAGGAAATGCTTAAATTGTGGTTGAATGCTCTGTGCGGCAAGGCTATCCAACAGGTTTTTCTATGAGGAGAAGAGGTTCTGCTTCAACACAGGTGACTAGATCGCTGTATGGACTCTTTCGCTCGTGTGAAGCAGATATCTTCCATGGATGATTTGACAGTTGTTTCTGGAGATGTTAAGAATAGAGTAACTGTCCCATCCATTTGGGGGGGTTCTCATCTACAGTTATACTAGGAGCTTCATGTATGAGAACTACATCTCTAAGTGTAAACCCTGAGACGAGCCTTAGATAATGACGGGCCTTTCGACCTGGTTGACGACCTGGCGGAACGCACAAACGGGATCGCTATCAACAAGTCTGAGAATGGCACCTTCGAACTAGCCAATACCCGCGCGTTTCGACAGATGATCTTCTCCAAGTCTTACCGCCTTCCAACCCCAACACCACATCACCCACCCATGGTCGCACCGCCCCCACCACTCACTGCCACCTTCTGGACATCCTTCTGGAAGAACAAGATCCCGCACAATGCGCGCAATGTCTGGTGGCGGCTCCTGATCAACAAACTCCCCTCTGGCCTCCACCTTCATTCCATTATCCCCGATATGGTTGAGCCCCTCTGCCGTGTCTGTGGAACGGATCTGGAAACAAGTCAGCACCTCCTTTTCAGCTGCCCCAAGAAGCTGGAAGTATGGCAAGCCGCACTGTCGAGATATATGGAGGAACGAACTTGGACTGCGGACTATATCTGCAGCCTCTTTTTTCCTGACCCGGACCCAGTCAAACCACTTCATGATATTCCCATCTTCATCTTGATCGGTACCATCTTGGCCTCCATCTGGAGGTACCATCACGCTTTTGTCCGTGAGAATCAAGCCTTTGAACCTCGCACGGTCCTTGCCGCGGTGGATTTGGCCATTACCCAAGTTTGCGCTCAGTTGGCTGAGAAGAAGCGCCAGAGCGAGGAGCGTGAACCCCCGCCCCCAGTCGAGCTCCCCCTTGTCGAAAACAACTTTCCCACCTAACCTGTATTTTTATTCTTTACCTTTCTGTACTTATTTTGCCTGGTCTTCCTGTTTTCTCTGTTCACTGTTTTTTTCCCAGTTTAGATGTAACCTTTGTACTTTTTTCGAAAGTATTTATTTTTATATCTTTTGAACGGTGGTGACTCCTGTAGGCGAGGAGTATTAATTTACTGCACGCACTCCCACGACGCAATAAATTTCTTACAAACAAAAAAAAAAAAAAAAACTCTCGTCAATGCAGCATGTGCTCACGTTGTTACGGAATCAGGTGGGTTCGGTTGAGATATTGTGGAGTGGTTGTTACACTCACAGTTGAGGTTGATGTTGTGAGTAAAGGAAATGTAGAAGAAGGTTGTTGAAACTGGGGGGGATCTTATGACACGATACGCAAGCAAACAATACACACTGAAATAAACGGCTTCGTGAAGTTGTCTTTTGAAAGGACATGGAGCAAAAGATCGAGCTGCCTCGCTATTTCTACTACTGCAGTATCTACTTTGGTCAAAATTACGGTGAGGTCAAACCACTGCAAGGAATGGGCTCTCTGTAACAACGTCACTCAAAACGGCGAAGTCCACGGGAAGTGAGGGGACTTACTACCTCCCTCACGCACTTCCCTCGAGTTTGCTTCTTTTCTTCTCCTTCCTCTTCACTTCTACCCTTTCCTCCGCCCTCCTTCCTCGTCACCTTTCTATTTCATTTTATCTCTGATTTATCTTTGCTTGCCCTTCATATTCACGTTCTCTTGAGCTTCTCGCCTCGCATCTACAGCCCTTTTACCTACCCCTTCTGAACCCTGCACCTCTGGATCTTTTTACCCATTGGACGCTTCAATATAAACACAGACAAAGTGAAAATTCGCACACCAACGCCATGACCCGTGAACAAGGTAACCCCTTTTCGCCCAAGATAGAAATGAACACTCTATCACCTCTCGTCAGCCTTCCCCCTCCTACTGCCACCGTTTCGTTCCCCTTCTAAACAATCACGATCTTCAACCTGTCCCTCAACAGCTCGATACCAACCCCGAACAGGGGTCTACCACTAAAAGCTTCGACGTGAACTGGCAACAAACATGTATGGGCGAGAACATGTCCACAGCTCTCCACTTTCTTCTCAATCGCATCGGCGACGCCGCTCTCCCTTCTACCCTGTTCCAAGTATTTTTCTCCCAAGCTGCTCTCTTTTTATGTCACTTAAACCAACGCCTAGCATGAAACACTCACACTCACGACCTTGCATTTTCGATCGTCGTTCTTTGACTAATAGACGAAAAGGTGGGCATCGGGATCGACCTTGGAACGGCATTCTCCAAAGTTGCAATCTGGAACCAGAACCACGTCGAGGTCATCTCCAATGGCAAGGACATTCATGCCACCCCCTCCTTGATCGCCTTTTCGGAAACAGGACTCCTCTTCGGTCAGGAAGCACAGGATCGAGTTTCCAGGTACCCTCTCAACACTATCTTCGATATCAAGCGTCTTATCGGTCGCCAATTCGACGACAAGGACGTTCAGTCGGATATAGAGCGCTGGCCTTTCAAGGTCATCGGCAAGGGTAATAAGCCTTACTACCGTGTTGCCTACAAGGATGGAATGAAGGAACTTTCACCGGAGGAGGTCACTGCCATGGTCATAGCCGAGCTGCATCGGACTGCCGAGGCTCATCTTGGAACCATCGTCACAGATGCTGTGATTTCCGTCCCTTCCAAGTTCAGTCACGCCCAACGTCAGGCCGTCGTTAATGCTGGAACGATTGCGGGACTCAACATCCTCAACGTCATCTCGCAAGCCTCAGCGGCTGCCCTCGCCCTCGCCGTGGACAGGGCAACCACTACCGACGAAAAAAATATTCTCATCATTGATCTCGGTGCCGGCACCCTAGAAGTAACACTCTTCTACTTCGAGCTCGATATCATTGACGTCGTCGCCACAGCAGGCAATACGCATTTGGGAGGCCGGGACTTTGACAACCGCCTTGTCGACGATCTAGTTCAGGAGTTCAAATGCCGTAGTGGGCGGGATATATCCTCCGACACCCGCGCCCTCGCTCGACTGCGAACTATCTGTGAGCGTACGAAACGCACCCTCTCGGATTTTACCGAGGCCACCATCGACATTGGTTATCTCACCGCCGACATCGACTTTTCCACCACCATGACCCGCGCTCGGTTCGAGACACTCAATCAGGATCTCTTCGAAAGCATATTGGAACCAATCGCACAGGTCCTTCGTGATTCCAAAAGAAGAGGCGAGGTTTCCGTCGACGAGATCATCCTTGTTGGTGGGTCGAGCCGCATCCCTAAGGTTCAGCAATTGGTCTCGGATTTTTTCGGCGGCAAGGAGCTCATCACCACCTTTCATACGGATGACGCCGTTGCTCACGGTACTGCTATCTACGCGGCGATCCTTACCGGTTCTTTCGCGCCAAAGCTCCAAAATATCATCCTTCTAAATGTCGTCTCGCACAGCATCGGAGTTGGGGATGGAGGCGGTGTGATGACCGCTGTCATCAAGCGCAACTATACCATCCCCACCAAGATCACCCACACAGTTTGCACTGAAGAAGACAACCAGACGCGTCTTTTGGTCCCTGTTTACGAGGGAGAGGGCTCGCGTGTCAAGGACAACACCATGATCGGCATGCTCGAAATCACAGGTCTTCCACCAGCACCACGGGGTGTTGCTCAGGTTGCGGTCGATTTTGACATAGACATTAGAGGGACCGTAGGAGTTAACAAGAGCAGAGTGAAAAACAACAATCCAATGATTACAGTGACCGGCCATATATATCAGCTGTCCAAAGATGAGATGGGGCGCATGGTCCAAGCATTTGAAAGCTACAAGAGCGTAGATGAACGCGATGTAGCAGATTTTAGAAAGATGCGAACTTCCTTCGACTGAGCGTGAATAAAGATGGAAAAAAAAGTTGATATTGCGACTTTCAGTTGAAAAAGCGCACCGAGACTATTTTACTCCCAGCAAAAATTGTTTCACACCAAAACTAAAAACAATAAGAAGAGCTTAGTCACGCTTGTCTTCTCTGTTAGCATTCTTCCTTTCTTACCTTACAACCTCCCAGCTATACACCATGGCCCTACGTCGAGCAACGAGAAGTTCACCACACCCTTTCCTCCCTTCTACACGTTGAGCAACAAGAACCACGCCAAAGCCTATTCCCCATCCAACACATCGAGCAACAAGACACACTCCACACCCTTCTTTCCCTCTAGTCGACACCAACGATAGCGACAATAGCGAGCTCAGCGATGTTGATAGCTAAGAGAGCGACAACGACAGCGATCAGTGAGCAAGTTAGCCACATCAGTGAGGAAAATACCTTGGATGCTTTGGAGACATAAATTTAGCTCGCCACCGTAAGGCTTCTGAGACGGCCATGGAGAGCAAGTTTTCGCGGGGGAGCAGTCAGAAAACAATTTACCTCTTCGGCTCAATTTTTTGTTCGGCGTGTTTCGCTTCTTATTACTCAAGGTGCTGTTTTATTCTGAAAGCGTTCGCGTCAGGCAGATGTAAAGGTAGATTCCTGAAGATGAGGACTAAAGAACTATTCGCGCCTGAATACTTTTTATTCTGATAAAAATTAAAGTGGTGCGCACTTTTAACTGAGGTTCGCAATAGCTGTCCGGATTAATTATTTTACTTGAAACGCGCAATATTATCTAGCGCCTCACAAAGAAAACTATTCTAGATGGGGTGCTGGTAGGCAGCAGACCCGCCAATGACAGCAATAGTCCCCGCAACAACCGTGATAATCAAATCACTTTGGGCTGGATCCACCACCACCGGCAAGGGGGCGCCCGTTCTCAAACTCTCTTGAAGTGCGATACGAACATAGGCCGCAATGATCGGAGTATCGGCCTTAATCGAGACAGCAGCATGGACCTTATTGTCGATCATAATCTCGACCGGGATGAACCCGTCGACGTTGACACGGGCCATTCGGATGAAGGATTTTGGGACTAAGTGCGCGCACTCGTCTCTGGTAGCATCGGATTGGAAATAGGGGTGGACCGTTCCGGGGACAGTGTTGGGGGTGGAAACGATCGCTCCCCAGTTGTAGGCCGCGACTAGGTCCTGGGCACACCATTGAGTAGCAGCGTTGGGTGGGGGCACGACCGAGACACCATTGTTGACTGCGGCGTGTTTGGGCAGTTCGGCTCTGAGGATCGTCATCTCGCGATCGGAGGCAAGTCTCCAACGGGATCGGTATCCGACTTGGTATCCGTCCGTCCACCAATGGATTTTTCCGTCATAGTACGGGTACATGAGCATCCTCTTCTCGTTATCGGCAATCCATCTTTCTGTCGTCTCGCGAACCCCTCCGACGGCAGGGTTCTCGGCCCCGTACTTCCCAGACATGTAGAATACAAACTCCTGCTTCCAGATACTCCCCGTACACTCGGACCGCTCAGGGAACAACTGGTGGCTGTCCTGGCTGGATGCAGACCCGATACAGGCAGGAGTCGCGGCGTGGTGTTTGTCCTTCTTGTTATGGGCGGTGAACACCCAGAGGGTTCGAAATCCGTTGACGTCGCAGGTTTGTTGGTTCTTGTAGATTTTGATACGGACGGGTTTGATGGGGGAAAGAGCGACGCAATAGGGGAGGATGTCCTTGGATACGACGGGGGCTGCGGCCTTGATGGAGTTGGAGCGGAGGTTGCTGTTGTGGAGGGCGTTGTTGTACTCGGCGACGATGGCTGCGGCAGTTGTGTGGTTGTAGTTGATGACCAGGCGTTGAAGAGCGTCACCGTCATCGTCGATTCCGGAGGGGGGTTTGGATGGTGCGGCGTGGACGACGGTGATGAGGGCGGTGGCCATCAAGGCGGAGAGAATGGCGGAGACCTTCATATCAGAGAGATTACCTTGGCAATCAGAGAAGGAGAAAGAAGGTACTGGTGCGGAAGAGGTGGAAGAGGAGGAAAGGAATGGCGAAAGATAAAGGAAAGACAATGCCGAGAAATGGTAAGGGCATTTAAACGAGTTGTCTTCGTCACGAAAAAAAAAAAGAAAGGTGACTGAGAACCGAGGTAGGGCACCCATGTTATGCTCGTGTTCTGTTTTGTATGTTGACATAGTATGTTTATCAATCTTTTTGTTGGGCAATGGGATACAAAAAAACAGCCAACAAATGGACAAACTAACAAGAAAGTTGGACTGTTGGTGTAACCGCAAACAACAAACAACTGAGAGCATTAAATATAATGGAAGGAGGAACTACATTCTATCGTCTTCAACTCGTGTCTCTATTCTTCTGATCGGTGCCTACAACGTTCATTGATGTCAATTGTCAAAGCGGGGTGAGTGGAATGGAGTTTTAAAAGAAAAACGTGAAATCAGTGCTTATTCCTTTTTCTCCCTAGAGTAGAACTGAAAAAAAAGAACGCAGAAGGGGTACTGCCAAAGGAATGGGATACTGCCTTGTTTCGAGTCCAAGGGAAAGAAGTAGAAGTATGCACATGCATGTTCACTGCAGTTGCTGTCTCTCTTATTGAGAGCAATTATCATGCCATCGTTGTACTCACATCAAAGTCATCCTCCTACAACACCACAAGGAAATGCGCAACCTTTTTTCATTCTGAAGAATACTTTTGTGGGATAGATGACGGAACAGCAAACTGTGGATAAAGAGAATGAAGAACGTCAATAATAGTTTCTCATCCACGTTTTCAGAGGAAGAAAAAGGTGAGACAAGATGGAAAGTGGTAAGACTGTTGTTCACAAGATTCGAGAAATACTACCAAAGACTAATATTCTTGGGAAGCTAATCCGACGCGCATGTGTCACATGTAAAGTGGTGCTTGATTGTCTTGCTTGGTTGTGGGTTTGTCGGGAAAGAGGAGGACAAAGAATCTCAATTGAGCTGTTGGCTCATCCCTGAAATGAAGTGCATGTGGAATATAGATGAAGATATGATGCGAAAAAAAATGAAAAGTAAGAAACTGAAGAACAGTGGGTAAGAACCTTCTTTCGTCTTTTTTTATTTACTTCTTTTCCTTGAATGATTCAATCTTTGGGCGCTTCTTCTGATGAAGATGAAGAAGGTGGCCGTGAGGATGTGGAGGAAGGATTGGTTGCAGTAGTACCATAACATTTCATTTTTTGCTGGCGCACTTGAAGCAGCTTTGCCTCCAAACCCGGGCAGCGCCATGGCAAAAGAAGGCGCGGCATATGCGTCGGAGCATAAAAATGAGAAGTGGTGTCCACATTTTTCCTCGGATGCTGAACATTTTTATTGCGGCTCTCAACATGCATATTGACATCTCGCTACAGCCCCCCCCCCTGTTTAGGATGTCGTTCTTGGTTTAAGGATATGAGTTTCAAAGATGGAAGCGTTTAAAAGAGGTGTAAGACGAGGTGTAGGAAGGGTGTAAGACACAAACAAGCGTGCCTTCTGTGGACTAGTCGAATTTTACTTGCTCCTGAAAAATATGTATGGTACACCAAAATGTACGATTGTATGAAGACAGAGGAGACGAACAAAAAAATGATTTTAAAAGAGAGAAAAAGAGCGGAGTTTCTGAACCTTCGCGCCAGCGCCACAAATCAAAATTAATGAACGGACAAAAGGGATTCGCCATGTTTTAGGCACGCGTCGAGTTGGAGCCAATCAGAGAGTCGTTTCATATCACCGTGCTCAATTCCACCTCCTCCCTTCCTTCTCTTCTTCCGCACCGCACCCGCAGAGACCTACAGGCAAACCTTGAATTCAATAGGGGGTTTCAATCCTTGACATTGGCCAAAAAAAATAAGCGCTGATTTCGATGGCTTATTTGAAATACATCTGCCCTCGAGGTAGTGTATTTCAAAATAAGCAAAGGCGCATTTGATGGAGGGCGCATTTTGGCTATAGGCAATCAAATGTCAAGGTTTGAAACCCCCAAATAGGTTGTATTATCACGAAATTTTCGGAAGTGAACTATGCTTTTTATTTTTGGATAGTAAGGAAGGTGAGCGAGACGGGGGACGTATAGGGAGTGTGGATTCGTACAACAATTGGCTTTTTGTAGGGCGTTTGACTTCTGAGAATGAAGGAATGGAAGACAGGACGAGAAGAAAGAAGGTAAGGAATTTATAAGTTGAACTGAGCTAACTCTTAAGAACGAAAGAGGATCAGGAAATGAAGAGGGAAAAGGAAACGAGGAAAAAAAGTATGAAGAGGAGTGCAAGACCAGGAGAAGGAGAAAATAATAAGTCGAATAGAAAATAGGATTAACTAGACGGCATCGTTGGCGGCACGGTCGGCACCAAAGATCTCCTCCATATCCTTCTCAGACACCAACCGCCCTACATCAGTATCCCCACCACTCAGTCCCATACTACCAACCTCATCTTCCAGTAACTCTGTCAATACGCCGACACCGGTGCCATCACTTCTTAGCTCGATCGACATCCCACTTCCTGCTACGCCACCGCTGTTGCGAGGACCGATAGTAATAGGCGGTATGTTCATCACAGTCCTGCGACGCATCCCAGCAGGAGGCCGAATCATCGTCTTGAACTTTTGGGACGCCTGTGTCAGGTTCTGAAGGATCGACGAGGACTTTCGGCGGTCTTGGATACTGGGGTCTAGGTGGGGAGTGTGAGGGAAGGGCACAGGGGTGTAACCTTCCTGGAAGGAAATTGGTACTTTGGTGGCTGAGGATGACCTGTCGTGGAGTACGGAGGGCTGAAGTTGGTAAGGGTCTTGGTTGTAGTGCAAGGTGGGCGAGAGGGAGGATGCAGAGGAGGAAGAGATGGATTTTCGGGATCCAGACCCGCCAGAGTGATGGCATGATGATGTTGAGGTGGATCGTGGGGAGCTGGTGCCGACCGCCATCCCTCCCGTGAGAGCATTTTCGCTGTGATTATGGTCTTCAGAAAACGGCCATGGCAGCAGTGGATGTCGCGTATCGGGGTGTTGCGGTTTGTTGTGATGGTGATGTTGGTAGTGCAGGTCGTTCGACTTGGGCTGGTCATGGATAGAGAGAAGGCTCGAGTCGACTGAAGAATTCGACGAGGACCGACTGCGGGTGGATCCAGAGGGTGTCAATGTCAATCGCGGGACTGATGAGGGCGAGGAAGAAATCATGCCCTGGTGGTTAGGGGCGGAACCGTTGCTCATTATTCTGGTCGCGGAGTCCATCGACTGCACTGTCGACCCGGAGACCGTCCTGTAATGGTTCCGGCCACTGGCGTTCGTATGCGCCATGGATGATCCTGTGACAGGTGAAGCGTCTCCAGAATTGTAACCCATAGTCAAAGAAGAACTGTCAGAGGCGTGAATTGAAGACCGACGCAAGGGACGAGGAGACCCAGCAACGCCAGTCTTATCACCACCCTCACCAACAATACTGCCGCTGCTCTGGTTGGAGGCTTGAGTGCATCCTTGGTGCTGCTGATGCTGTCTTTGATGGCTCTTGTTGGAGCTGGAAGAGCCATGTCGACCGCCCACACTCCGCTTATGCGTCAGCCGCCCCATCGCCATCCAGATCTTCTCAACCGCACTCTCCTTATGCACTGAGTCCCCTGCGGCCTGTGAATCAACCAGCGAATGCGTACTCGAGTTATTGGATTCCAAGTACACCGGCAGAGACTGCGTGGAATTCGAAGGTCGCAAACCTTGCACCGCCGCGCTCGTACTGGCGATCGAGGACGAGGTTGAAGACTGCGCAGCGGTGCTAGATGAGTGGTCGATGCTGGTCATTGTCAACGCGACTCCGAGAGATCGCCGTTGGATCCTTTCAGAACTTCCATTACCGCGTCGGAACCGAGCAGCCTCTCCTGCTGCACTGCTCAAACTGTTTAGAATTTCACCGTCAGCCACGAGGTCAATACCTAGCAAAGAGGTCGCCGAACTCTCACCACTTGTTCCAGGCATCGCAAATGACGCCAGAGACGAAGATGACGACGAAGCATCCACTGCAAAAGAAGAAGACAGATCTTGACAACTTTGACTCGCCTTCAACCTCCCTCCGGCTAACCCACCGCCCTTCTTGGACTTGCTCCTGGACCCGGCCGACAAAGGCGCCGACGCGAACGGAGGATTCAGTCCATGGGTAGCCTTCTTCTCGATCACTTGTGCTCGCGCCTTGACAGAGGTCCACTGATATATGCTACCACCATCTCGTGTGGGCGGCGCAACCCCTGATATAGCCGAGTGGTCACCGTTGTTGTTGAAGAGGTCTGGGATAGACAGTCGTCGTCGGTGGTGTTGAACGTGATTGTGGGTGTTAGGATCAAAGTTCTTTCGGAAGTTGAGTGTAGCGGCAATTGCTGCAGTGGCGGAGCTTCTGCGGCGCTCCCATTCTATAACCATTATCGACGATCAACCGGTTAATTTTCATCGACCAATTAGTGATAAAAAAAAGGCACTTTGAACTGCGCCGCCGCCGCCGCCGCCAAAAAAAAAAAAGTACAGAACTCACCCGTCTTTTCAGATGGATCAGGGACAAGGCCGTTAGGCGAGCCCTTGGCACTGGTTCCAGAATTCTTCCTGCGCATGAGTCGACTCGTCAACGACGAACAAGATCCTGCAGACTGCAGGGTAGTCGTTGACGCGGGTGTTTCGTCATCCTCTCCAGCTCCACTCACAGCAACGCTTCCTGCAGTCGACAGAGAATATTCAGAGGTGGATGCTACCATTCCAGTGGTCGCTTTAGGTGAGGTAGGAGGATGCAGGAGCGTATTTCCTGCAGCAGTGTTCGATGAAGAAGTGGAATTGCTGTTGAAGTAGCTGAAAGGCATAGGGGTACTGTGCCGACCTGCTCGAGACGTCATGGGCGACGACAAGTTAGCAGAGACGGGCTGTGGAGAGTGTTGAGAATGGTAACTCGCCGTGGTAACAGTGGTAGTAGTGGTCCAGATGTTCTCGGTCGAGACGTCCTTGAACATACTTTGGACCAATGTGCGTTGGTTAGGTTTGATTCCGCTATGACTCGACGCAAAGACTCGAGTCACATCAAAGGAGTGGCTTCGAGGTCGAGGATCGGGGACCAGCCAAGGGAACGGAGTAGATGGGAAGAGTAAGTGACTAGCACCACTGGCTGTACTCTCGGATTTCTTGGCGGACAGTGGGCTGAGCTCGTTGGAGGGCCGTGTGCGAGGCTGGGAGAGGGACCGGTTCAGAGGGTTGTAGCTCTGGTCTTGATGGTTGCAGTTGGAAGTATTGTTGCCGGGTTGGTTACCTGTCATGCCGTATCCATGCGGCGTATCACTGTTGCTCTCCACAGACAAATGATGCGTCAACGCGAGTCGGGAAGGGTCATAGGGCTCGGCAGAGGTAGGCTCATAAGAATGAGGATGGATATGCTGCTCGTAGTACTGTGCATAAGCATCAAGCGAGACGCCAGAAGTCCCCCGATCGTTCCACTTTTCAGGCTCGCCAGTGCTAGTCATGAAAGACATGGCCATCATCATAGTACTCGAGATTGAAGAAGTCCCCATAGGGGGTGGGGGCATCAGAGGCGATGGGATGGCCGAAGAACAAGTCGACCAAGGTGAGGGAGTTGGGGAAGGTGGTTGGTGGTGGACTTGGACCTGATGCGAGGATTCAGATGCGACCAAGGATCCCATAGAACTGGAAGATGGTAATGCAGAGGGCCGAGCCATGTTCCAAGGCAAAGAGGAGACGACGGTTTCGAGAGCTGCGGCATTTTGGGGTATTCTCGCGTGGGCAAGTTTGGCAGCCTGGATGTGTGTCCGGAGGGCGGTCATCCATGCCTGGCGTTCTGCCTCACAGCTGGCGCCAAAGTCGATCCTGAACTGGTCGTACATTATCCTCCATCCGAACCGTGTGTATCCTATGTTTGTGGACAACGAAGGCAGAAACAAGCATTGGTCAAAAAAGAATGCACACTTATACATTGTGAGTCATTAATATCAGCTGCAACCTGCGCGATTACCATCCAAGCGTGTGGTCTCGTAGAGTTCACACAGCCGCAGGGGGAGCCACTGCCGAGGCTCATAAAGACTCATCTTCTTGGCCTTGACAACAAGCAGCATCGACTCGAACAAGAAACATCCATAGTACCGCAAACGGATCGGCATATCCGGCATGATCACATACTCCAGCGCACCGGCAAGAACAATCGAACCCAGGGTGCTCGCATAGGCCTTGGAAAGCGATCCCGGCAGGATACCCTCTCCAAAGGGCCCACCCTCAAACAGCTCCTCCGACGGTCCATGAGCGCCTGTGGAAGGGAGAGGGTGGATAGCGTTACCGCTTCCTTGGCGATGATGGTTATGTTGATGGTGGCTGTCTGTGCTGTTGCTGTGCGACAAAGTACCCGCTGAGTGAAGGGGTGCTGCGATACTGGACTTTCGTGGGAAGTTGGTCTCAGGCAACTTCTTCAGAAACTGCTCCGTCAACAGCTTGCGCTCAGTGATCCGCTGATTCTCATCCATCTGCTGTGCCAAGGCCTTCATACACTCGTACGCCCGGTCGATGAACTCGTACTCGGGGTCGCCAGAGCTGGTGAGTCGCAAGATCTCCTTAAGCAAGAGAGGGTATCGACAAATACGCTGGATGGGCTTGATGAGGTGGTCCTTGAGGTCCGTCCTAGATTTGGGTCGTCCTTGCTGGGCCATCAGCTCCTTGCTCTCTTTCTGCATGCCGGTGATGGTTGACTGCCCGACTGCTCTGTTGATCTCGTTCACCGTCCTCATACGCACCTCACAGAATTGGCTGTACAGCCGATGGTCTCGGCTCTATGATAGTTGGTGTGTGTAAGTAGTAAAGAATCGTTAGAGTTGTTAGACGCGTTCTTAAAAAAAAATACATGCGTCAAAGAATCATGACAAAATATGATTGCTTTGTTGTTTACCAACGCCTGGAAGGCAAACTCAAGGGAACTGTAGACCGTGAGCGGGGCGCGCTTCTCGTAGTCAGTCTCACTGGTCTTGTAGGCTTGGATTTGCGAAAGGAAGTTGCGGTGGAGTGCCAAGAGTCCAGTGACACATCGGCGCATATTTGCATGCACATTCTGATTAAACCACGACTTTGTCTCCAAGACTCTCAAATGAACCTAAACCGTAGAAATCCAAAAATGAGTTTAATCGCCGCGTAGGCTACAAAGAAAAAAAAAGAGTAGCGACAATAACAATGCCAAGAGCAAATTGTGTAACTTACATGAACGAGGACATCGAGGTCGTTAACATAACTTTGTTCGGTTGTCTCGAGCTCCTGTAGAGCATGCGAGCGTTTGACAAACCGCTTGATCTCGCCTGCATCGATCACTGGGCCTGATTCGATCTTGAAGGCGGTCAAGGCTGTCGGTAGGATGTTTTCTGACAGAGGGGCAGGTGTTTCTTTGGAAGTAAACTCAGAAGCCTTTGCCGATGCCGCCGTTTTTGTCGAGTCAGCTCCTTGTTCGAACTTGATGGCGTCGACAAGAGCGGGAACAAGTGTCTTGGAGTCAACCACCACCTCACCACCGTTGGCGGCCTTGGTCTGTGATGGAAAGGCTTCAGTACCACCCAGCTCAGTCAAGATACTGTCGATGGCGACGCGGTCCTGCTCTGAGACACGGAACTGGTAGTCGGTGTTGTCGTGAGGACAATCGACGGCCGCAGATGCCATACCAGCGGTGGCAACAATCTTGGCAACGCTCGTCGAGGCCAACGCTGGGGACTTACAAATCAGCGCGTGTGGAGTCGCGGTCCTAATAGTGTCTAATAAGACCGTCGTTGCCGCCGGGGTCTCCAATCCCGAAAGCAGGCCATCGCCATCGCTGGTTGCAGGTCCAGAAGATGGAACTGGAGAAGTGGTGGCTGAGGTCAAGATTTCGGGCAGGAGGTGGACTTTGGCATCAGGTTTGTTGACGCGGCGGGCTTGCAAACTCAAGAGAGCCTTCTTGGAAGAGTTAAAGCTGAGAGAGGAGTGGTGATGAGAGATGTTGCTGCAGCTCTCGCTTCGTCTCAAAAGTCGTTGTTGACCCATCTGTCGCCGATACCGTCCTGACACCCATCCAATGTCGTGTCGTCGGCTGCTTCCGCCAGAACCCGACTCTTTGCTTCCTTGTGGTATTGTGGGCGAGAACGATGTGACATTGGCATCAAGAAGACTGCGTCTTGGTTTAGCGTCGTTATGAAGAGTAAATGCTGAATTGGCAGGTGTAGTTGTGGAAACAACACTCGATGTGCTATTGGAGCGCGAGATAGACTCATGCACCCGGCGGACAAGATCCGAGACGGTGAGGGGCTGATGGTGCGCATCAAAGGCAGCCTTGCTCAGATGATGAGCGGAGGTGGCGGTGGCGGTGAGGGTATTGTAAAGCAGGCTGTGATGATGGCTGTGGTGATGGTACTGGTGGAGGCGAGGTCTTGCCATTGAGCTCTTCTCGATGGGACTCTTCCGCACGGGGAACCGAAAGGACTCGAATCGCTTGAGGGGCAGTGCGGCGACGGATGTTGGGGATGTGCTTTTGTAGGCGTTAGGAGTTGAAGCAAGAGGTGAATCCTTTGTTATTGTTGTTGATGTTGTTGTGGTTGAAAAAGAACTCTTGGTGTAGTCCGCATCATTATGAGTTGACTTTTCATCCTGAACATTGATCTCGTTTTTGAACCCACTGTTGCTCTTCTCCAATGCATCCTCCTCGGAGGGCTCCAACAATTCATCCTTGGACATGGCCAGGGACATGGTCGATGGTTTGGTCAAAGTGTTAGTTTGTATCAGTTCCACTTTACTCTCCGATCCATCAACCCAAGGAGTACCATCATCACATAGATCCTGCTTCCCTCCTCCTCCCACTGCCGCCATGGCCGCTGCCCCGACCATGGTTGAATCAATCGCTTCCTTGGGCCCTCCTCCATATTGCGACAATGATCCATGCAACTCCTTTTTACTCTCTCGGTGCAAAGATGATCCCACCGCCTCGAAGCCCACCATACTCGATCTCGCCTCATGGTAGCCATCCTGTGGGGCAAACAACCCATCGAGACATTCCTTGCTGAGAGGAAACCTGCCAATGCAGGGGTTGAATGCGTTCGGGATTGGAGGAAGGGGTTTGTTGAGCTGCAAATTGCATCCGAGATATCGAGAGGTTGCAGTGGTCGTTGCAGGGTTTTTTGAGCGTTTCCGACTCTTGGACGTGGAAGATGAGCGTGAAAGAACAGGGAGAGGTTTGGCCGAAAGGTAGCGCATGTATCGTACACTGAGTTGCTTCCTCTGGTGAGCAGTCTCTGGTTGCGTCCGTGAAGGTGGTGGTTGATATGTCTCCTCGGAATGCTGCTGCGCCTGCTGCTGGAATTGTTGTTGTTGAAGCTGCAAGGGGCGGAGAGAGGGTCGTCTCTGGACAGTGATGTCATTCCCAATCCTGTGTCGACGAGACTTCCCCTGAGGACGGGGTCGTGAACACGGTGCCTGAATCGTGTGCTGTGGCCATGTAAAGTCCATAGCTGCTGTTTGTGCCACTCCTGTAGATTTAGTAGTTTGTGTTCAAAAAAAGGGGAAAAGGGATATCTGTGTGAGTGAGAAGGGGTGAAACGTAAAGGCATCAAGGACAAAGGAGGGGTAAAGGGCGGAAATAAAATAGTGCGAAGCAAACTCAAACACGGAAAACAAGCGGGGAGAGAAAAAGGAGGGATGCAGGCTTACCAAAAGGAGACCAACGTGATTGGTGGCAAGAAGAGACATCTACAGCCCGGATGCACTCCTTGTTGTGGTGATATTTAGCACTGTAGACGCACTCTGACGCATCATCATCGTCGCCGTCCCGGATACTAGCGCTGAACTCGCTCTTCTGTGGACATGGTTGTTTGGTGAGATCGCGATCCACGGATGATCGGGGCGTCGATTTAGGGAGAAGGAGCTGCTGGCGGTGTTGTTGTGGTGGGACTTGAGTCGTGACAGAGAGGAGGGGTGTTGCTGTCGCTGAGGTCCGTGGGGGAGGCTTCTGGGACTTGGAGATCATTTCCTTCGGTGCTATTGTTGTTGTCGCCGATGTGGGTCCTGAACGGAGCCGCACAAAGAAAGTCTCGCCAGAAGGCTGGACAATCTTGTTCCATACGCTGTCTCCTGCCGAGTGCCGCCGATGACCAACTGCTGCCGCTTTGTCTTCTTCCTGGTCCAAGAAAAGAGAGGAGGTGTGCAAGGCACGCCAAGGCGTTTCTGTTGTTACAGGCGCAGAAATAGGACCGCTGTGCTGTAGGCGTAGTTTATTATGTCGATAAGAAGCATGTTGGCCGATTGTTGTGGAACCTGGTTGCCTTGTGGAAGAAGGTGAACGATGAAAAGGAGAGGAGTTGTTGTTGTTGTATGGAGAATAAGAAGATAAAGCGTCGGCGTGTGATTGAAAGGGGGTCACAGTACTACTGCTGTTATTGTTACTGCAGTCGATGTTAGGACAGGACGACGACGATGGTGGATGTGAAGCAGAAAAAGGAGACGAGGAAGAAAGGGAGGTTGAGGAATGGATGCTTGTGTTGGTATTGGTGCTGTTTGATGTATGCAGGGGGGACGAAGAAGACGATATTGAATAGTAGGTCGTCGAATTGGACGATATTGAGGTTGGAGTCGTCATTGTTACTGGACAAGAGCAGGAGGCGGAGACGACCTGGCGAGTCGTGATTGAAGGAGGTATTGGTTGCTTTGTTCTTTTTTTTGTCATTGGAATTGTTGTTGGAGTGGAGAATACAGAAGGAGGGCTCTGAATATGCTGTTGATGCTTCTGTTTTGGTCCGCCGTTATACTCAAAGGAACGACCGCTACTCAAGCAAGGATGATCCTTGAGAATAGCTTGTGTCACCACTCCTAATCGAGACAAGTCGGACGCACACAGAGGCAGTTGGGGTGCTGAAGTGGATCGACACGTCGAGGTTTGTTGTTGCTTCTGCTGCTGTTGTTGCTGCTGTTGGTTGGACACTGTGATGATGCGTCGGATGGCAGCCCTATGCATCGCCTTTTGAGATCGCCTTGTATAGCTCGCTCTCCTTCGAAGGGTAGGCGAGAGGGGTGCTGGGGTAGATGCAATAGCAGAGAGAGGTTCCGATCCAACCCTTCTACATGTTGTCGGGGGCGGTAATGAAGATGAGGTGTTGTGGATATATGAGAGGGAGGGAGCGGATGAAGAGGCGGCCATCATGCTTGGTGAGTGATGAGAGAAGGGGGTGTTGATGTTGCGGAAGGTATGGTGTCCTGTTGGACTGGTGTTTGGCTCCCGTGAGTATGGGGAGGGAAGGGTGTCTGATGAGCGGTGGAGGTTTAATATCCGCTGTGAAGATGTTTGTGTGATCATGTTTGTTGTTTGTTGCTTTGCCCAACGGCAAGTATTAAGTGTAATTAGGTAGATAAGTAAGACAGTATGTGCATTTGCACTACAAGATGCCAGATCAAACCCAAACAAGGAATCTCAAGGCAAGAGAGAGAAAAGAGAGGAGGGGGAGGGAAGGAAAGAGAAGAGGGAAAAGAAGTAAAGAGGGAGAGAGAGAAGGATGAGGAGCGGGCAACTCTCAGAGTGAATGCAGAGGCATGAGGCAGTGAACGAGAGTAAGTGGAGGTAAGAATGAGAGACAGAAGGATATTATTTTGTGTTGTCGGTAGGTTTTGCAAGCAATCAAAAGCTGTAACGTAATCGTGTCGACAGTAGTAGAGGGAAGGAAAAGGATTAAAAACGTGGTGACTGGGAAGTAATGAATGAGTGTAGAGAGTAGAGAGGAAGGAAAAAGGGAAACAAAAAGAGGAATTGGGGAGGCGGTGGTGGTGGTGGTGGTGGTGGTGGTGGTGGGGAGAGACATAAAGACATGGGAGACACATGCAGTGGATATGAATGGAATGGCCATAGTTAGTGGAATAGTAGTGGTCCAATTCACATAAGAAAAACAATTGTGTTCAGAGCAAAATCCTCCTGGGCCTAGGACAAATTCACAAACACAAAAAACGGATGCACGGGGATGGTTGAATGTTCTTAATTAGCTTGACCATGACGACTTGTTCGTTGTACACTAGTGCAAATTGTGGGGTTGGGTGTTGGTTTTTGGTTGGATGTGGACAATGGGTTCTCTCCTAGTGTGTCTATACAGTACAATGCATTACAGTACAGTACTCTCTCCTACATAGATAAGAGCTTGTTGGGCCATGGATGGGACCTACGGAGGAATACCTTGTTCATGTCAACAAACAAACAAACAAACAAACAAACAAAACAAACAAACAAACAAACAAACGAACAGTCGGGTTTAGCATCCGGTAATTTACTTCTCATCTCGCGCTCTCTTCTTGCTCTTTGTTTACACCTTCGCTCATTATCCAAGAGCACACCGGTTACTCAATTGTCCGGCTATTGTTGGTTACACTAGATCAGTCATATTCTTCTTACAGATCGGAGAAACAGTTGACACTAGAACAGCGACATTCTAAACGATAGAAAGGCAGTGGTGGTCCTGGTGGGTGGTGCCACAACGAATAAAAAAATGAGGTTTAGTTTGTTGTTTCTGGTGCAACGTGGAATTAACTCCCAAAACGGAAAAAAAATAAAAGTCAATTGTTGTTGTTGTTGTTGTTGGGGGGGTAAAGAGTGAGGCGCATGTGCAGACGAGGGTGATGGCAATGAGTTGAATGAACTGATTCACCATTCCAGAAAACGCAACCTTGCCTTTCTTACATTCATCACTCATAGCCCACGGCACATCAGGGTCAAAGTAAGGGTACTTCTGACCTTCAATGGCTCTGAAAGTGAAACACCCCCTCTTTTCCTTTTTACCCCAGCCGGTGGCTCAAATCCACAAAAGGAAATCAGCCGGAGTCTGTGTATCAACCTAAAATCCACCTTTCCTTCTCTCCCACAGCAGGAGAAGAGAAGTTGATCAACTCCGTCGCTTTCCTTTCCTCTCTTTGGTGGCAACCGTAGTCTCCGCCCTGGCAACCAAGACAAGATCCTGAGTGGAGGCCTGGAGACCGAAAGAAAGACAGAGTCTAGGCCTTGGAGCCAGAAGGGACACGGGGGTGTTGGCAGTTGCGATCTGCCTCCTCCCTTTCTTTTTGCTTGTTTCACAAGACTCTTCCCTGTTCCATGGCTTTAACTCCCACTCACCCTCCCTCAAGTACTACCTCAATGGGCTCCTCTGCGCCCAGCCTATTCCTCGTAGTTCCTTCCTTCGCATATGTACTCCTAAAGAATTCGATGACCGAACTCTTACCCTAATGAACTTACCGGTACTTCTTTCTCAGCCTTTCTTTACATTCGAGCACATGTCAATCCAAAGGGAGGACGGTAGTTAAATACAAAAACAAAAATGCAATAGGCAACAAAAATAATAAAAAAGCTACGTCCAAGCCTATTCCACACAGCCATGTACGCGATTTTTAATGAGACGAAAGGAAAGGGGAGGAGCGAGGAAAGTGTCGTCCCCCGAAATAGCAAAAGAGGCGTAAAGCCTTGAGCGGTTTGCTATATCTTGTTATTCTTCATTGACCCTGACGGGGTGGTTACCGTTTTGTTCCAACTGAGGAGCAGACGACAAGACGACAAGGAAAACAAGGTTTGCAAGGGTGGACCAATAATAGCGGAGGCACGGCAGATTTTTTTTGCGGAGGTATGTGTGTGGGGAATTCACCTTTGGATCAAGGTGGATACCCTTCCTCTCTTTTCAAAGGTGAAGTAAGGCTAGTTGGATGACAGACATATGAGGTAAGGAGACAATCCATATGTATTAAATTTTCTCTCTCACAGTAATGCAGGACAGAAAGAAAAAACCGGTTGTTAGTTTGTCATCAGTACCATCACTGACCCGAGGGATGGGTCGGGATAGACGACAAGACTATGCGAAATAGAAGCTACGCGCCAAGGAGGAATGAGTAGAGCATTGTGTGATTCTCACGCAAATTGATCGGAATCAGTAGCCGTTGGGCTGGGGCGAGGCTCACGCTGGGCGCGCGTTTGTGGGGAAATGGACGGTCACAATCAGTAGCGTAACACTAGTTGTGAAGTAGCTAAAATATTTGCACAACACACGACAGCGTATCTTATCATAACGACAATAACAAAAGGTACCAAAGGACTGCTTGTTTTTTTCTGTCAGCTGAAGTCTCTCCCCCCCATCCCATTTGTCCTCTTAGTTTCGAAACATACCCTTTTCTACGTAATCCGAGAAAAAGTCTCAGTTCTTGCTCTTCCTTTTTAGTTCCTTCCTTTCATTTCTTTCGTCTCTTCTTTCTCACGCATCCTCTTCCTCTCTTCCTCTCTACATCCCTCCCACTTTCACTCTCACTCAACTTTGACCACTAATTTCCACTCACATACCTCTACCCAACACAATGGCAGAGAACCACAACAAGTTTGCCGAAGCCATGATGGAGTCTGGTGTCCAACTCGCCACCGTCGATATGTGCGATGTATCTTCCTCCTCCAACATCAACGCTGCCAGATGGGGATCCATTCGTCATAAAGTATGTCCCATAAGCCAATCCTTTTTTCCCTACAAGATTGTTTCCATTACAAACAACCACATTTTTTTCTTATTTGTGATCGATGTTTGATTTCTGTTGTTAACATTGTGTTACAGCTTCGAAAGGCAGCGGCAGAGTTTATAGGTACCGCTATCCTGCTGACGTTTGGGTTCGGAGCCACTACCCAGCTGGTGCTGACGGACAGCAGTTCCTGGGGGACCATGGTTGCTGTCTGGGGCACAGCTTTGACCGTGGCCATCTATGCCGTCGGTGGCGTCTCGGTAACTCATATTGGGTAGTACAGCACATGGATGAATATATTACCCGCCCCGCCTACATCACATTAACCGCATACATGTTCCATCCCGCAATTTTGCTGTCTCCACTTCTCCTCTCTATTACTACTCAACGACTTTAACAAATCTAGGGGGCGCACCTGAACCCTGCAGTGTCACTGACAATGTGCGTCTTCCGCGGCTTCAGCTACACCGACTTGCCATTCTACTGGGTTGCACAAACATGCGGTGCCTTCATGGCAGCTCTCATTGTCTACTTCTTCAACGAACCCGCCATCTATGCCGCTCGCCTCGAAGACCCCTCTCACGCCATTGGGATCTTCGTCACAAGTCGTGCAGCCGGCGTCACCGTCCCCGTCGCCTTCTTTGTAGAGTTCCTCGCTACCGCCATCCTCCTCTTCTCCGTCCTGGCCACTTCTGAGGGTCGAGGAATCACGCCCACAGACCCAAGGTTCCAACCCGTGGCTTTGGGTATAACATTGACGGCGATTGGTTTGGGATTGGGCCAGCAGACTGGGTTTGCGTTGAATCCTGCTAGGGATTTAGGACCAAGAATATTTGTTGCGATTGCTGGGTGGGGGACGGAAGCGTTCTCGAGGCAGGGGTATTATTTCTGGTTGCCGATTGTGGCGCCCTTCTGTGGCGCCTTTGCTGGTGCTTTCGGTAAGTTCTGTTCTGTCCAGATGTTGAAAATGTATGTGATTGTATTTTGGACGATGGATGCAACCGATTTATTTACTCTTCCCTTTTTCCAATTTTTTTTTCGTGTAGCTCATGATCTCCTCGCGAACCCCCAAGACAAGTCCTCCCTTTGAACAATTTACCTATCCAATAGTTCCAACCCGAACGCGTTAAAATGACAATACCTCCCTCTCCATCATACCATACCAGGGTTTCAACCTCATCTATGTATAAAAACGATCTACTACTTGCTAACGCTGGACGCATCAACCAACATGATTCATTCAACTACACTCTTTCTAACGATGTGGTTTCTAATGAAGTATTTTTGATAATGGACTAAGCTATCCTGAATAACTACGGTAAGGATGTAATGGTGCCTTAGTTTCGACGAACGAAGGGGACGTGCGCATGAATGTGTCTACCCCTCACCCCTTTATCCTCTCAGCCCCACTTTTTCGTCTCCTTGCCAATCTGTGAATTCTTTCTTGCTCCACCCCCTTAATCATCTGGGGAAAAAAGTGTGTTTCACATCTCTTTCTCCCTGCCGAAAGTCATCCTGTTCCCGCCACACTTCCAAATCCATATGTGAGATTGATCATCGACACCCTCAAAGTTAAACAGAAATGGTACAAGAGAAGCAGTGGAGGAGGTGGAGGGGGGGTGTTTTTTTTTATTTATTTACATACGTTGCACCCAAAAGTTTTCTTTAGAGATCTTTGCCTTTTCCACTATATATTTTCCTTCTTTGTACTTTTGCGAGTCCTCAAATGCGTATATCTACATTGCCAAAAAAAAAAAAAAAAAAAAAAAAAAAAAAAGAGCATGGTTTGTTAGCATAGGTGGACACCTGTGGTGGAACAAGGAAATCGATCACGTTCTGATTGTTCGTAAGCAGAACAATAGCGAAGCAGCATGTTTCTTTCTTGGTCACGCATCGCAAAGAAGAAAGGGAGTAAGTGAGAGGGTGGGGTGGAACTTACATAGATCCATCCAACAACACTTTGACAGATGATACAGTTGATATCGGCTACAGAGTGCAACCCAGTCATCAGCACTCTATCCTCCTTGGGTCCCAGGCTGATGTTGTGCACCGACTTGAACAGGTACGCCCTTCCGTGTCGGCCTTGGAAGCCCTAACAGCACCGATAGGCGCAAGCAGAAAAAGAGAAATAAGGAAGGCCTTTGTTGTGAGTGGGAAAGTGATGGATTGATACAGTGAGAGTCGTTGATGCTGTTGTTGTTGTTTGATTATGTGAACAGTTAAGAGGTGATAAAGTGTCCGTTACTTTGGAGATTATGTCGTCGTTTTTAGCGAGGTGGGCGTGACATCCAGAACAGGTGTAGACTTGATCGCCATTGAGGTAGACTTGATGGGGTAGCGATGGTGTCTCGTCGTCCTTGTCCGCGCCCTGCTTTCTGCTGCTGCTGTTGTTTGACATCATTGTTTTTCCTCGTGCTAAAAAAATGCGAGTACAAGCGGCAGCGATAGTAACGATGGCGATGGGAGGCGGGCTGGCGGGACAGGATTTTCTGGTGGAGAGGAAAGGGAAGAGGAAAGGAAGAAAGGAAGAGAGGGAGGTTGAGGGCTTTTGGTTCGTGAAAAAAGGAGGGAGGATTAGACAATTGTGATGTTGCCTTGCCATGTCTCGTGCCAGCAGGGCGGTTATTTTTTTTTGTTGTTCTCCTTCTTCCCTTTTTTTTTGGATAGCGACGAATCCGGCAAAATAAGAGAGATCACCATGTGCGCCTTACCTAGCCCATACCCCTCTCTGTTCTTTGGGTGAGAATGTGAAAGAGGGAGAGCGGACAACTGCGCCCAACGATCTCCAGCCTGGAGTTTCAGAGCCCAGTCACCGATAAACGCGTCTGGATTAGACTACTCACTCTATCAGTCTCATTGATCGAATGATTAATCGGTCCATTCGAACAACGAAATGGATATCCATCGCCATGCATGCTTCACTTCTCTGCCAGCATCTTATGTCGGTCAACGTGCTGTCGGCTATAAAAGAAGCCTTTCACCCTCGCTCAATGGCCCACCAGTTCTTCTCAACTGCGACAACGACAACGAACAAGCAACACTCACACCAAAACCACCAAACAACAATAGCGACAACAAACACCACTGAAATGGCTCCACGCAAGACAATTCTCCTACTCACCGTCGCCCTCATGGCAACCATGACCTTCCAATCCGCCAACGCCGCCCCTGTCGACTCGTCCTCCGTCTCGACCGACCGGGCCCTGGGTCTCATTAAGCGCTGGGACGATTGTGACGATGATGACTGCTGCTCGGACGATGATGATGATTGCTGCTCGGACGATGACGATGACTGCTGCGACGACGACCGTCGCCGTGTCAGGGTCATCCGCGTCCCCCGCCCCTTCAGCGTCCCTCAACCCTTCCCGGTCCCTGCTCCCGTTCCTTTTCCGGCCCCTGTCCCTGCTCCTGTTCCCTTTGATGCACCTTTGCCTCTTGGTGGCGGTCCTGTTTTTGGAGGTCCTGGTTTCGGTGGACTTGGTTTTGGTGGACCCGGTTTCGGTGGACCTGGTTTTGGTGGACCTGGTTTTGGTGGACCTATCGGCCCTGGTTTCGGTGTTCCAGGTGCCTTTGGCGGTCCTTTCTAAGGATAGGGTGAAAAGAGGGAGTCAGCATAGCGGTTTCGTATCACCCACATATCCCCTAATTTTAGCACGATTGCCCCCTTCTAGTCAGTACACAATAACGAGATAGGTGTTCTCTCAATAGTTTTCGAACACATTACAATAAGTTGTCGTTCAACACATTAACGCGTATGCACTCCATGTTGTGTGAAGAATGCTTACAAAGAAGTGAGTGCGTGAGCAGTGGCAGTGGCATTGGCGGGCGGGAGATCTTTTTTGTTTTCTATGGATTGCGTATGGCGTGGGATATCTTGTTCTTGTCTGTGTGTGAGCCATCTTCTTTTTTTCAATGCCCACTTTGCAGGGCACAACAAAAGAAGTGTCCGGCAGGTGTTCAATTTTTTATTTTCTCCCGTGCATCCTTTCCCTTTATTCGGACCTCTTTTTTTTCTTTCTTTTTCTCGCTCTTATTGTCTCCTCTTCGTTATTCGTCTCTCTTGCGCTCCCTCTCTCATTCACACTCCCTTTCTCATTCACACTACCAGAGAGGAGAAACACATCCAACAACCGCACACACACACACAGACCTCCTTCCTCCCTCTCTCTCTCTCTCTCTCTCTCTCTCTCTCTCTCTCTCTCTCTCTCTCTCTCTCTCTCTCTCTCTCTCTCTCTCTCTCTCTCTCTCTCTCTCTCTCTCTCTCTCTCTCTCTCTCTCTCTCTCTCTCTCTCTCTCTCTCTCTCTCTCTCTCTCTCTCTCTCTCTCTCTCTCTCTCTCTCTCTCTCTCTCTCTCTCTCTCTCTCTCTCTCTCTCTCTCTCTCTCTCTCTCTCTCTCTCTCTCTCTCCTTTACAAACCTAAGCGACCCTCTCATGGCGGACTACATTCTCAGTGCCCAGGTCTCCAGGGGTCTCTCTGACAAGCTCTACGACAAGCGCAAGGGTGCTGCACTCGAGGTCGAGAGGTGAGTGATTGACTGTTTCGAGGGACAAGTCAGAATAAGGGCGCAAGCAGGAGAACAGGAATGCAAGTTGTAGATGATGTGCAACCAACCAAAGAGCGAAAGAATGCGAGAAAATAAGCACAAGGTCACCTATGGGGTGGCTACTCAGGAACACGGCATGCAGAAAACCACCACGACACAACCCGCAAGTCGTCAATCGACTCTCTGAGGTGACCCCAAAGGGACGATGCAGGGAATGACCAAGTGTGGGAGAGTACACCCAACGAAGTTCGGCAGAGGAACAACGACGCACAACAGGCAAACAGCGACAGGAACCAGATATCGCCATCGATGTTTTAACAGAAGGCTTGTTGCGGGGAACATGGCCACCCCAATCTGAAGACGGAAAATAGACATTGGGGATTGGTGTAACTGATGACCCTTTATTTTCTTTTCATGCTTGCCCTGCCTTTTCCTGCCTTCCTTCGCGTTGCATGAACGAACGTGCGAACGCGTGAATAGAGTCATCCGCGAATATGTTATTGCGAACGACGCGGCCAAGATCAAGCTGACCATCCAGGCTCTCGTCTCCGACTTTGTCTACTCGGTTTCGGCCAATGCCCGCAACGGAGGCCTTATCGGACTCGCCGCCACTTCCATCTCCCTCGGCAGTGTAGGTTGTCCCTAGGATATATCGATATCATCCCTTGTTGGGAACCGATTGATGACAAATGATGGTAGTAACACTTCCCACGATATACGCTAACGCGCTATACTTGTAATACTAATAGAGTGTGTCGACATACCTGGAGAGCATTGTGCCGCCGGTGCTTATGTGTTTTGTTGACCAGGATTCCCGCGTGCGATACTATGCATGTGAGAGTATGTATAACATTGCCAAGGTGGCCCGCGGCAGTATTCTGCGCTACTTCAACGATCTCTTTGACGCCATGAGCAAGGTACATGGCCTTTTCATTTGCAGTCACAGCCATAACCTTTTATTACGTTGTGAAGAGCTAGAACTAACCTATTGCATCCAATTACTAATAGCTATACGCGGACTCGGAGTTGTCGGTGAAGAATGGAGCAGAGCTTCTGGACCGGCTGGTCAAGGATATTGTGCACGAGCAGTCGATCGCCTACTCTGGACCCATCACCCATATCGATGATCAGGATCCTCAACAACTCGCACTCGCCCTGCCCCGGATCTCGCAGTTCTCCTTGCCTCGGTTCATCCCTCTTCTCGCAGAACGCGTCTACAGCAAAAACTCGTGGACAAGGAACTACCTCGTCACCTGGATTGCGGTCTTGGACTCTATCCCGGATCTGGAGCTCGTCTCATACTTGCCGGATTTTTTGGACGGATTGCTCTATTTCTTGAACGACTCCAATCCTGATGTGAGGACGTTGACTCAGAAGCTGCTGGACGACTTTTTGACCGAGATCAGAGATGTTGCTGAACTCCAGCAACAGCAGCAGCGCGAGTCATTACAGGCACGACTCCGGCAACTACAACTTGCCGAGTCACAGCAGCGGGCAGGTCAGAGAGACAGTTTTGATGGATCTGTTGTCTCCGGTGTTACACTGACAGGAGGTCGCGACTTTGATTTGTTGGAGAGCGAGTCGACTGGTCAGGGCAAGGGAAGCTGGGTCCCTGGACAAGGCGTTAACATCAACTACGCCAAGATCGTCAAGATCCTCAAACCCCATCTCACATCGAGCGATGAGGATATCCAGGAGACAGCGTTGAGGTGGATCAATGAGTTTATGAGTCTGGCCAAGGATGTCATGATCCAGTTCACACCCTCGCTCATCCCAGCTGTGCTCCCTTGTCTCGCACACTCTGTCGACTCGATTCGGTCCATTGCCAACGAAACTAACCTCAGTCTCTACCGACTGGTATGTGACTCTGCTTTGCCTCCAGAGCCTCAGCCCCAGCCTCCAGCAGTAGCACCCAATGGTGGGGGATCTATCTCGGATCGTTCCTCTCAGGCACAGTCTCATTCGCCTCGTCCACACTCGCCCAAGGCAGATCGATCGGGCATGTCGTTTGGAACATCAGGATCGATTGCTTCCAAGTTGGCAGGCCCGGGCAACAAGGAGTCACCAGTACAGCCCTCCAGAGAGACCGTGTCAGCATCGCCGGTCCCCAACAGCAAACCCCCGACGGACGCCTTGGAATTCGACTATGTCGCCACTGTGAACGCGTTGACGCTGCAGTTCCTGGACGAGCACGAGCAGACACGTGTTGCCAGTTTGGAATGGCTGTTGATGCTTCACAAGCGTGCACCTCATCTGATCCTTGCCATTGACGACGGCAGTTTCCCAGTCCTGCTGAAGACATTGTCAGATCCATCAGAGGAGGTCATTAAGCGGGATTTGCAGTTGTTGGCGCAGATTTCGTCGTACTCGGACGATGCGTATTTTCACAACTTTATGCTGAACATGCTGTCCCTGTTCAGTACAGACCGTAGGTTGCTGGAGAACCGAGGGAGCGTTATTATCCGACAACTCTGTGTCAGTCTGAACTCTGAAAAGATTTACCGCACGCTGGCCGAGATTTTGGAAAAGGACGAGGACCTCGAGTTTGCCAACACCATGGTCCAGAACCTCAACATTATCCTCATTACTGCCCCTGAGCTTGCAGATCTCCGTAAGCGTCTCAAGAGTGTCGACAGCCGAGTAAGTGTCTCTCAGCGCAAGCGCGGTGTTTTGCGTCTTGCTCACGCCTTTTTTTAAAGACCAACAGCCCAAATTATTCTTAGAGGGGTGAAGGAAGGGTAACTAACCAGCAAAAATATTTTTGTCCGCATAAATGAATTGTAGGATGGTCAAGCACTGTTTGCGGTCCTTTACAGATCGTGGTGCCATAACCCGGTCTCGACCTTTGCCTTGTGTCTCATGGCGCAGTATTATGAACACGCCGTGGCTCTCCTTCAGAGTTTGTAAGTTCTGTTCACCTGCTGTGTTTTTTTTTGAGAGTCGGTTCCCCCGAATGTGCTCGTGATCCCCGGGAAAACTAATGTGTGCGCGCTTGGGTGTCGTGTTTTTATAGCGCCGAGTTCGAAATTACGGTCAACTTGCTCATCCAGGTCGATAAGCTGGTCCAGCTCATCGAGTCCCCTGTATTCACTTGTAAGATATTCCTTATTCATTCTGTGGGTTTCATTCTCTGCTCATGGGAACATTTTTGCTCTCATGTTCTCAATGCAAGGCAGTTACTAATACCACACACAATCTGTATCAATTACGCTTGGCACAAAACAAACAAACAAACGACTGACATAGATCTCCGCTTGCAATTATTGGAGCCGGAGAGATACCCACATTTGTTCAAATGCCTCTATGGGCTGTTGATGTTGCTCCCCCAGAGTACCGCGTTTGCTACCCTCCGAAATCGCCTGACCAGCGTCAGCTCCATGGGCTTTATCCACCTCGTCCCAAAAATGTATGAATCATCCTGGCTCTACTATTGAAGTTGAAAAAGAGGTGCTTTCGTTATTAAATGCGAAAGGCTACTCAGTCTCTAACCTTGTTAAGGGCTCTTATGTTTTTTGAATATAGATCGGGAGGTGGAAACCAGGGGGCGTTACCGTCGTCGGTGTCAGTGTCGGGATTGGTTCCGACATCAAGGTCCAAGACGAGTGGGTCGTTGGCGTCAGGATCCTATGGGGCCAACAACACCAATAACAGCAACAACCTCAACCATCACCCAGAAGGACCCAAGTTCCCAGAACTGTTGTCACACTTCCGAGCAGTTCAGGGGCGTCATGAGCGATCGCGTCGTCAAGCCGTCCAAGCGTTACTCCGCCTGAACACCTATGGTGGCAGTTCTTCTGGCCTTATGAGTGCGGGTTCTGCCAGTGTCAATGCCAACAACGCCAATGCGACACATTATAACCAGCAGCAGCAGTACTACCAGCAACAGCATCAACAGAAGCATCTGAGGAAGCAGCAGCAGCAGCAGGAGCATTTACAATTGCAGCAGCAGGTTCAGCAGCAGCAGCAGCTTTATGATTTGGCGCATCGCGAGCAGCAGCAGTATTTGCAACAGCAGCGGGAGCAGAAGGAGCGGGAGCAGCAGCAGGGTCAGAATGTTGGGGAGGCGTTTAATGGTACGTCACCGGCGCGGTCGTACCAGCAGCCAGATGGGTCGTTTGCGCCGGCAGAGTCGTTGGAGCAAGAAACTGGATCCCGTGCTGGTAGTGCCCATGGGACCCATGTGGGAGGTACGTCGCGTCGTAGGACGCGTGATCGTCAGAGCCAACTTGACATCATGCAACAGCAGCAACAGTCGTCCTCTCAACAGGCTTCATCGACAACGACGACAACGACGACAAGTCAACGTAACTCGACGATCAAAAGTAACGCTGGCAACAACAACACAACAAACAGCAACTATACTTCGAGGTCTTATGTTGCTGGATCAGGGGCCGGTACACCTCCACTAGCCGGATCCCCTGGTGGTGGACAGAGCGCGGTGTCGCCTTCTTCGGCGTCTCCTCAGTCCGATCCCTTGGGTGAGTCGACTAGGCATGCCAATGCCAAGGGTGGCAATACCGCCAGCAACCGTGGCAATTCATAGTTTCTTTGTTTTGAATAGGCTGTTTTTTTAATATTTGTGCACAGTAGATATCTTCTGATAAAGGTTGTTCACAATGGTCAAAGAAAGGTGGTGGGTAATGTGTGAGGAGAGGAAAACGAGTCCTAGATGATTTCGAGCACAGCCTCGGCGGGCTGTTTTGTTGATTGTGAAAGAAGAAAGAACGAGAGATCGAAAGAGCAATACGGAATTCGATAGGCAAGAACGCGGAAAACAACAGCCACGAGATTAAGACGCAATAGAGAGAAACGAAGAATAGAACGGAGAACACGAAAGGAGAGTTAGTCGTGTACTGTACACAAGCAAGCGCGTCAAAGAAGCGAAAAGGAAACGGCCAAAATATCATGATTCTCTCGGCCTTATTTTTTTTTCCACACAAAAAAGCATCGACTCCCTTCGATGACCCGCTGTATCCATTAACAAAACAAAAACAAAAAACAAGAAGCTGCAAAACTTACGCGTCCAATGACAGCCTTCTTGGCATTCCAATCAACAACCAGCGGTCTCTGCAGCATAGCGGGATCGTTCTCCAACACGTCCTGGGCCTCCTCAATAGTTCCTGCCTTGGGCGCGTCCTTTCTCAAGAACTCCTTGATAACTTCTGGATGCTCCTCGGCTTCAAGGAAGGTCAAGATCTCACGGACTTGGTCACGGCTGAGGGGGGTCTTGAGGTACTCGATAGTTTCGATGGTGAAGGGGGAGAGAGTTGATTGGGAGGTTGTTGAGGCGGAGGTGAGGAGGGTTTGGGCGTTGCGGGAAGTGGAGCATTTGGGATTGTGGAAGAATGTGATGGTTTTGGTGGTTGGGGTGCTCATTTTGGTGGTGGAGAGATGGCGGGTTGTTTGGGTGAGGCGACGGAGGGAGTGAATGGTGGGCGATTAGGGTGGTCCGGGGAGACGAGGAGTGAGGTGTGATTGAGTATGAAAAAAAAAGAGTAAAAAAGAATATTGGTTCTTCGGAGGAGGGAGCGCAGTTGAGTGAAAATAAGCGTGAGCGGTGTGAGTCGGAGATGGGGGGTCGTTTGACTTTTTGCGCGCTCCGTGGGAACACTTTTCTAACGCGGGAAGGAGATGTGATCGCACATACTGCGACTGGGAATTCATGGCGAGATGGAGGGACTAGGGGGCTGGGTCTATGAGCAACTCAGCCAGGGAGCCGTCCCCGGAAAAAGTATAGGCGGCATCAAATATTACAGAGAATGGCCATGCTCAAACAGCCGGCTCACAAATGAACAACAGCATCATTTTTGGAACACATTCAGCCAGCAAACGCTGTTTCGATCGACTTATCATGGACTAGTCGTTCGCCAGGTATGCACTTTGGAAGTAAAGTGTGGAATTGAAGTATCAAAGGATGATTGACGATCCATGATAGGTCGATTACTGTCATCCTCTGGATTGAATGGTCTTGATGTTATCCCAGGCACCATCACTGATGACTTTTGTCTGTTTCATTGATTGAAGGGTTAGTTAGATATATTATATTTGACCACAAAGTGCATCAAGTCCTTAGGGTTTAGGGATATGCCTGTGGAGGGAAGGAAAGTACGAGGGGCGCATAGCCCGCTTGTTATTCTTGGAAAAAGATCATTGTTCAGGGGTCATATTTCTCCTTTTCCTCGTTGTTGTGCCCAAACGGCTAACTAAAAAGGACGGGAGAGAATAGCGTGGATGATCAAGGTCCCAGATATTGGGCTTTGGTCCTATTTCGAAAGACAATTGAACATCGAGGACGTGTGGCAATTGAGAGCAGGCTTGGATGCTTGCCTTGGCTAGTTGTTGTAATCGACAAGGTGGTCTGTTGCTGTCGCTGTTTGCATTTTGCTTGGCATTTTTTATTCATTGCTCTACAGATACACAAAGTGAGGAGGGACATGGAACGATCGTAGCACGAAGGGAGTATGTGGCCTGTTGACCAACGGTCTGCGCTAAAAGGAGAAGGCATTACCAAAAGAAAAGCAGCCGCAGTTGTGTTGGACACCTCTCCCTCTCTCTCTCTCTCTCTCACTCTCTCACTGGGTCTCACTCTCGGCGACTGTCGTCGTCGTCGTCTTTATTTTTTTTTTCTACTTTCCATCCCTCTTCTTCAACGTCTCTTCTACTTTCTTTCTCTTCTCTTTCTTGCAGTTCTTTCTCTTCCCACCTCTCAGCCTCAATTCACCCTTGCCATACTCACATTCACTTTCCATTCACAACTGTAATTGCGTAGTCGCTCATTAACGACACACTCTCTCACCCACGCTGATCACCCTCCACTTCCTCGTTTTTTTCCCTTCCATTCGTACACCTCCTCCCTTCCTCCAAAATACCTTACAATGAGGAGACTGACACTAGCACTCGTCCCCGACAGCAGCGTCGCCTCTGGCCACTACCTCCCCGGCGACACCTTCGGTGGTAATAGGCCTTACATTATCCTTCATCTCTGGTGATCAGTTGCTGTGCTATCTCAACGATAATTTAACAATATGCTATCTACATTACAAACAGGCCATGTGAATTTCCTACTGTCGTCGTCAATGAAATATACATGCCTCCGGGTCCATTTCACAGGACTTGTCACCACCAAGGTAGCCAAGACAGAGGAACAAGTCTATGTGCTTAAACAACAAGTGGTCCTTCTGGGACAAGCCAATAATGCGACTGAGCATTTGCTTGAAAAGGGACAGCATAGTTGGCCGTTCCAGTTTACGATCCCCCTCCAGCATATGCCTTCTTCTGGCAAGGTAAGGCTGACTTCTTTGAGTAATATGGAAAGGAATGACATGGCATGTCATGATGCCCAATTGGCCTTTTTTTTTTTTTTTTTTTTTTGTGAGACTGTTTGTTAGAGATTGTTTGAGTGGAACGGTTGTTCTACGTAACGACTTTATCAGCCCCAGTCCGAGATTAAAATAGCGCGCCCTTTGACAACAGCCATGTGCAGTGGGTGCTGAAGAGTAGGGGAAGGCGGGAAAAAGGAGAGAGAGGGGGCGCATAAAGGGAGGTGAGGACTAATCGCACAAACACGTACTCGCTCTCCGTCCTGATTTAGTACCGGCATGGAATAGTAAAGTACTCGCTCACGGCAACGATGACATCCGCAGGATTCTTGGGCGGCGTACAGGAACTTAAGGCGACCAAAACCATCCAGCTCAAGGACCTCATCAACATCCGCGTCACCCCTTACTCAGAAATCGTCGCCGTCACTGGATTCAGCAGCACCAAACCAGGATCGACAAAACGAAAAGACATGGCCGTCGCAACCGTCAAATTGGCCAGAGCTGCCTATCTCAGAGGTCAGGTTGTGGATATCGAGATCGATCTCAGTCATCCTTCAAAGATTACTCGGAGCCCAGGATGCTATATCCAACTTGTCTGTCGTCAATACTTTTACGCTGGCGAGTAAGTCTCTTTTCTTTTGTTTATTTGGTATAGAAGGTTTTTGTACTGCGGTCGAGCCACTTGAGCTGTCAACAGAGGAGAAATTATTAACTGCTAGAATTATCTTCTTGACAAATAGCCATGCAAAGGAGTATCAGGAGACGCTGGTAAGCAAATCGGAGCCGCTGGAGGTCAACTCATCGGCAAAGACAGGAAAGATCCTCGCAGAGGTCACCATCCCGGACACAGCAATCCCAACCATGAAAACTACAAAGATCATCTCGGTCGAATATCACCTCTACATCCTTTTGGACATGCGCGCCAGAACGGGATTTTTTGAGGGCATGATCAAAGGCAAGCTCACCAAAAAGCTCAAAATGCGTCTGTTGAGTGCCCCTGGCGGTTTCGCGATCGAGGTGCCCGTCATTGTAGGTACTCTCTCGGACAGTCTGCATATCCAAAAGCCCAGCCCTTTCGCCCAGATCGAGGAAGGATCACAGTATTCGGGATCGGCGACACCTACTCGTGGGCAATCGACCTCTTCATCGCCACAAGCCACGACGTCATCAGCGGCCATGATCCCCATCATTATTCCACCACCTTCCGCACAAACAAGTCTAAAAGTTCACCCCCCCACCTCAGAGTTGCCTGGTTACACAGAGGTAGAGCCAGGGCTAAGACCCAGTTATAACAACGATATCCGCTCGCGATCCGTCGACAATGTGCACAGGATACCAATAGATGAACCGGCCTTACCGCCATTACCGCATGACGCCACGGGAGCAGTAGCGCTTTCGCCGCCTATTCCGTATTATACCCGCCATCGAGGTTCGTTACCCCATATTACAGATCAGCATAATGGCGCATCTGCTGGAGCATCTTCCTCGTCGTCTTCGTCAGCAATGTCGTCATTAAGGGCCAATGCGTCGCCGAGATCTGCCACCGCCCCTGCAGTGGCCCCACCCACTCCTCCCCGGCCAGGACAAGCACAAGGACCAGGACATGGCTACCCTCTGGAAAAGGGAGCTGCTCCTCCGCATAGGAACATCCCTTTGCCGATCAACATGTCAGTAGAGATCCCGACTGCACCAAGTGCTGTGGATCTCGGATATGGACCAGCATCACCTCCAATCCCGCACCCGCAGAACTACCCTTCACCAGCGTCTATCATGTCATCGTCCAAGGCTGATGAGGTCTATCAACAGCAGCAGCGGCAGATAATGGAGCAACACCAACAACGGATCCAGCAGCAGCAGCATCGACTACAATTGCAGCAACAACATCAGCAGCACCAGCACCAGCATCAGCACCAGGAGCAACAGCAGCATTATCAGTTTTCGCAATCTCCTACCTCGATGAGTTATGGCCAGCCCAGCCACCACAGTCAGCCAAGCACAGGAAGCAGTGATACCCAGTCGTATTTCAGCCAGGATCACCGCCATGGCAACGGATCAAACTACGGCTATAGCCAAAATCATGGAGGCCAGCAGCAACATCAACACCAACAACAACAGAGCCAGAGGAATAATGGCAAGGGGGTAGACCATGCTCCGCGCAACCCGCATGCAGTGATAGCGACGGAGTGGGGAGTCCCTGCGGTACGGTCGATAGCGACAGCACCACCAATGGACTATCGCCCTGTCCCCCCTACTCCGTTGGAGCAAGCTGCGAATGGGTCTTCTGTCGGTCCTGGGAGTTACTATTTGCCTCGACCCTACGAGCACCACCAAAAAACACTTGAATGAATAAAATTAATTTTTAAGCCACATATCTTCATATCGCTCTTTCTTCTCTTCTTTCTTCTACACCAGCAACAAAGCTACCCGCCCATTTTTCAAATACACCGGCGCTTCTATCTCACGATTATTTCTGGAGTATTATCGACAACATAACTACTCTGGACCTTTACACGATGGCGGAACAGGACCTGAAGTGTGCGTTGACCGGTCGTTCATTCCAAAGGTGTTCCTGTCTAGAGTCTACTGACACGCCAACAAAGTGTCAGATACGAAAAAGATTAACAAGTATGCGTCTTTGTTTCTTGCCTTTGCATTGTTCTTAGGCAACCTTCTGACCTGTCGAAGCACGTTGAGTTCCCTCGGCAAGGCCTGCGTCACCACCTGCTCGCGTAGGTATCCGCGTCAAAGCCTTGTGCAGAGCAGGCACGAGGAGAGAAAATATACCAAAACGAACCGGTCGCATTAACATGATGGTATTTTCTACTATTGGTGCTTTTGTGTAGATATCTTTTGTGTCGGGTGTGCGAATAAGTCTTTTGGCACTGCGTTGGTCTGTCCTGCCTGTGAGACGAGTGTGACCCAGCAGTATGTAGTTACTGGAGTTTTTATCTGCTTGCCACCACTTTTGTTGAAGGCTCTTGTAAGGCAATGGATAGGACACCGCTAATAAACGCACCATTTCTTTGTGTAGGGACGATATTGTGTTTGTGGATCTTAACCCTAGTCAAGAGTACCGTTCGGTAAGCACCACCGCTCACCACCATTCATTTCCTTGAAAGATGACCATCCATGCTAATTTTGGTGGCGTACAAAAAACAAAAGCGAAACTTCCCACCTCTCCCTTTCTTCGCATCGCACAATAGTCGATCTTGTCGGGTCTGAGGCCAGAGGTGATCATGGAGATCTGCACACGAGCAATTTCGTTCTGGACGTACCAGACTTCGCAGGAGGCAAAATATCAGGAAATGGCACAGAAAACTTTGGAGGATAAGTTGGGCCAGTTGGAGAGGCAATTGCAGCGGATGACCCGGGAAGTTAATGTTGAGCTTAATGGTAAGCCCTTGTCCTTTTTTTTTGCTCGGTGGATTTTGCTAAGGTCTGGAGGCGCTTGTGGAGATATTGTGTTGAGACTTACTGAGACGCTTCCTTTTTGCATATTGAATAGGGTTCCGCGATACTGTCAGTGGTAGGTGTTAAATTGTCATTTTGCTGCTCTTTATGGCTATGAGATTCAACCTACATCTCTCACTCTTTTTGAATCGCTTTTCTATGTTTACTTTGTAGCGCTGCAGAAGGATATCGAGCAGGAGAAGCGCAAGGCGGCAGATTTGACAGACCAGTTGGACGAAAAGTCGCGACAGCTGTCCAAGGTGCAGACGATATATGATCGACAGAAGAGACGACCCCTATTCCCTGATGCTGCGTCGCAGCATGGTGGCGGACGATCGATATTTTCGGAGGATCCTGTTACTCAAACTGCTTCTGGTGGAACAATCGGTGCAGGTGGTGCTCCTGGCATTCGTGGTGATCCATATCAACTCTACCAGGCAATGGTACGTCTAATTAGGCTTATCATCTCGGTCTGCTATTGTTTTAGTGCATCCCTAACAGTGGCTTTATTATGGATTCGTAATAGGACACGGATGCGACACCGAGACCATTTGTGAGGCAGGCGGTGGATATACAGAGCGCAATGCCCTCTTTGTACACCAATGGTAAGTATACGTGGATGTATTACGAGGATCAGCTGCAGCACCACGTTTTCGTTCAGCCAACTAACGAGTGCTTTCATATCTTCTGCATATAGATTCGGCGGCGTTTGCGTATGATCCTCCTTCTGTTCATTTGACCCCAGCTGGACCAGCTGGACGAGCCGTGCATTCGTCTTCGACAGCAGATGGTCGAGTGAACACGGTGTTGTTCACGCAAGGATCGAACAGCCAGCGTGGAGGATTTCCTCACCACGGTTCCTTTGGACGGGGTTGAATCTCCGTCGGAGGGTATGATATGCATGTGTTAAATCCTGCCGATGATTCGATTGCTGCGAGGAAGTAAGGGAATAAATTGCAGAAAGATTCCCACGGGTCGATAACAAAGTTTGTCTTCTGGAGTGTGTTGTTGTTGTTTTTTCTCACTCCTGTGCCCTCCCACCTCACTTTCCTCGTTGTTCTTACCCCACTCCTTTTTTCTCTTTTCTCTTTTCCTCCACACCCTCTTCTTTCTTTTTCTTCTTCTCTTTTCATCACTCTTCGTCATCCCATCCCCTCTCCACTCTCCCATCCACTCTCTCATCACTTTTTGGCAACACCCTTCTCCTCTCTCCCACTTTCATTCACACTCACTCTCACTCTCACATCTTCTTACATCATGTCCGTTTCTCTCTTCAAGACCCCCCGCCTAGCCTCCACTCTCGCCACGGCCTCAAAGACCTTCTTCCACCAGAACATGGCCATCAAGGTACAACTTGATACCTTCATCGACAATGGCCTTCTATTGCAGAATACAAGAAAAGAAGAATGGCACCCCTCTATTACCATCAACGAACATACGACTTACCCAGCTTTGTTATTTCCACCCCTACTCCGATCCACTTTCGCGGCCGAACAAAAAAAAAATTGTTGAACCGTGGGAAACTTATTCAATTTTAGAACTTTCACACCTCGATGAAGAGCCACTACGCTGCTGCCAACTCCCCCCCTCCCGCCGAGGGCTTCATGCCAGGAGTCGCCAACTCCAAGTTGATCAAGCATACCCACCACGATGCCCTCCGGAACCCCGAGCTCGCTGGTGTCGCCAATGGTACCATTTATTCTTCTGTTGGTTTCTTATTAATCGCTTTTGTCTGGAAGGGCATATGGGACAAGAGCGTTGTTGTAATACATTCGTGTGTAACTGACATTTTTTTACATTCATTTTGGTCCTGCGTGTTTGTGAATATGTAGGAGAGACAAAGAAGATGAACACTTTCCAGGCTGTCAACGACGCCATGAGCATTGCCTTGGCCACCGACGACACCGCCTGTGTCTTTGGAGAGGATGTTGCCTTTGGAGGCGTCTTCCGTTGCACCATGGGTCTCTCCGACATGTTTGGTACGTTTTTTTTTTCACGCATGTGTATGAATCATAAAAGGAGCGGGTATGAGGGTAACGACACGTTGGTGTATGAGGGTATTGTCGACTCACCCCCTTATTTCTTGATTGTGTGCAATTGTACTAGGTCGTGACAGAGTGTTCAACACCCCATTGTCGGAACAGGCTATTGCAGGATTCGGTATTGGTATGGCTGCCATGGGATCGACCGCCATTGCCGAGATCCAGTTTGCCGATTACATCTTCCCCGCCTTCGATCAGGTATGAACACCTATGCGGATTAGAAAGTGACAGAGCAATAGGATCAACTAAGAGGATTGTTCCTCAATGTGCCGTTTACTTTCTGAAGCTAACTGTCTGTCTCTTTGTCTGTCTCTTTGTCTATTTCTTCCTGAACACAATAGCTGGTGAACGAGGCTGCCAAGTACCGTTATAGATCGGGAGGAGAGTTCAACGTTGGAGGACTCTGCATTCGCACGCCCTGTGGAGCCGTCGGACACGGAGGTCACTACCACTCGCAGCACCCCGAGGCTCATTTCGCTCACACCCCTGGTCTCAAGGTCGTTGTCCCCCGCAGCCCTATCCAGGCTAAGGGTCTTCTTTTGGCCTCCATCCGTGACCGCAACCCCGTCATTTTCATGGAGCCCAAGATTCTCTACCGTGCCGCTGGTATGTACTCTTTTCATCATTCTTTTGATTGTCGCAGGGCCTAGACAATTGCAAAGAGACAAATTTTTAATCATTTCTTTGCTTTACATGAAAATAGTTGAGATGGTCCCCGTTGGAGATTACGAGTTGCCACTGGGTAAGGCCGAGGTGCTGACACAGGGCACAGACTTGACGATCGTTGGATGGGGCGCCCAATTGTACGTCCTTGAGAACGCCATCCAGATCGCCCAGAAGAAGATGCCCGGTCTCTCTGTCGAGCTGATTGATCTCCGGTCCATCCTTCCCTGGGACGTCGAGACCGTCTGCAATTCTGTCAACAAGACCGGTCGCTTGTTGATTGCCCATGAGGCACCCAAGACTCAGGGTTTCGCTGCTGAAATTGCCACTACGGTTATGGAACGGTGCTTCTTGAGATTGGAGGCTCCTATTCAGCGCATGTGCTCGTATGATACTCCTTTCCCCTTGATCTATGAGAAGTTCCATGTTCCTGACATGATCCGTTGTGCTGAGGGCATTGAGAAGGCCATGAAGTTCTAAGCGACTTGTGCTTGGTCTCTTCTGTTCGTTCCCTTCCCCCCCCCCCCCTTTTCGTTCATTTTTTTCATTTTTCAGAACATTGACACACATAACAAACACACATAGAATTTATTATTAGAGAATTTTGTATGCATCCTCATCCCCAATTAAACTTGTGAATACCCCCATATCACATTAGCAGAGGCCAGAGTGCGAGAGCTGTAAGGGCTTTTGATTTTTATGTCAACAATAATAATTTTTTTTATACAAAAAGAAAAAGAAAGGAAATGCTATGTATAATAGCTAAAAGATACAAGAAAAAGGAGGCCCTCCCCCCATCGGCGTGCTTCACTGGCGAGTAGAAGACGACTTTGGAGAGCGGTAATGATAACTCCTCAACCTCAAACTCGACAACACAACACTCACACTGGAGGCGGCCATGGCCAAGCCAGCCCAACTGGGACCAATCACAGCCGAGCGGTTCCAAGCGACCAAGACACCAGCCGCGATAGGGATCATAACAGCGTTGTACATGAACGCCCAGAGGAAGTTGATTTGGATTCGGCGGACGACTGTGCGGGCCAGGTCGCGCATGACGAGGAGGTCGGTGAGTGTGTCACGGAGGAGGACGATCGAGGCGGCTTCGATGGCGATGTCTGTAGCTGATCCGACAGAGATGCCGAGGTTTGCTTGTGCGAGCGCGGGGGAGTCGTTGATGCCGTCGCCGACCATTGCTACGATTGCGGGGCGCATTGCGCGGAATGTGGCGGGGGAGTCTTGAAGGGTGGAGGTGGAGATGGGACCGAGTTCGACGGAGGATGTAGATTGTTGTTGCTTGCGACCACCAATGATCTTGTGCCAGCGGGCAGAGGCAGACGAGGAGGAGGGTCGACCGGCTTGTTGGAGCTGCTTGACCTTGTTAGCCTTATCCTCGGGCAAGACACCGGCCATGACGCGCGTGATGCCCAACTGTTGAGCGATCGCCTGGGCAGTAATCGGATGGTCTCCCGTCAACATCCAGGTCTCGATCCCCTGTGCCGCAAGACCAGCAATCACCTCTGCAGCCTCGGGGCGGGCGGTATCTGCGACTGCGACTTGGGCAACGATGATGGGCGCGAGGGTCTTGCCATGGCGGATTGGAGTTGTGCAGTTGCAGTCAATGCACTCGCAGAGTTCGCACTTGCAAGTCCTTTCGCTTTCGATGGATGCTGCGTCGATCGAGACACGACCACTGCTGCTGCTGCCACTGCCAGAGGGGAAGGAGTTGTTGACGGCGGGGTGGACCGCGCAGAGGACGACAGATTTACCCTGAGATTGCCAAAGACCCAACTCAGCCTCGCGGTCCTTGCGTGTCACAGAGTCCGGGTAAGAGGCTCCATTCTCTTCCATCCACTTTTCGTTTCCGACAAGAACGTTGAGGGCTCGGAATTGTCCGTATCCGTCCAGGTGGAGGGTATCACCGAGGGTGACAGTTGCCGAAAGTCCGCGTCCGGCGACTTCGCGCATGTGGGCGATCTTGACGTGGTTGAATTGCTTCTGAAGGACCCGGGCCTCCGACTCTTCCTCGTCCTCATCCTCTTCCGGGAGATCGACTTTGGAGGTGAGGGAGGAAGGGTTAGCCTTGTAGAGTAGGTCAGCGGCGCCCTTGGCAACAGCGAGTGCGACGGGGTGGTTGCTTCCAGACTCGACCTTGCCCAACATCTGCAGAATCATCTTGGTATCGTCCACTGCGGCCGTATGAAGCGTCCACGAGTCCGTCATCTTGGGCTTTCCAGTGGTCAAGGTACCAGTCTTGTCAAACACAACCACATCCAACCGCTTGGCCATCTCGAGCGCAAATCCACCACCCTTGACCAGGATACCGTGCTTGGCAGCAACACCAGTTCCAACCATCACAGCCGCGGGGGAGGCGAGACCCAGAGCACAGGGACAGGCAATGACCAAGACCGCGACGGCATAGAGAGTAGCATAGACCCAGTAGCTCTCGCCCTCAGGGATCCATCCGTCTGGGATAGCGCCGGCACGACCAGCAATGGCCCAGCCGGCAAAGGTGAGGATGGCCAGAACAATGACAATCGGGACAAAGACACCAGAGATCTTGTCACCGAGGGCCTCAATCGGAGCCTTGGGACTGGCCTGGGCATCCTGAACGAGTTGGATGATCCTGGAGAGGGTAGTATCCTTGCCGACACGGGTGGCCTTGACTTGGATGACCGCCGAGAGATTGATGGACGCAGAGATGACTTTTGACTTGCGCTCGGTCTTTTGAACAGGCAAGGACTCGCCAGTAATCATCGCCTCATCCACCATAGTGTTTCCCTTCCAAAGAAGCCCATCACAAGGAATCCGGGACCCAGCATTGACCATCAAGATATCTCCGACCTGGATCAACGAAGCCGGGATCTCTTCCAGAGTTTCGTCCGCCCTGACAAGAGTAGCCGTCTCGGGTTGGAGGTCCATCAGCTTGGTAATCGTCTCTGCAGTCTTGCCCTTCGCCATGGCCTCGAGCCACTTGCCCAGATTAATGAACGTGATCAGAAAGACGGCCGTCTCAAAGAAATCAATCCCGGCGTTCGTCATCGACTCTTGCTGCTCTCCGCCCATCCCCGTCATCCCATCGTGCGCAGAGGCGGGTTTCTTCTGACTGACCATGTTGGCAATGATGCTCCCGCAGCTCGCAAAGTATGCGACACTCGTGCCCAAGGCAACCAGGGTCTCCATATTCGCTGTCCTGGTATACCTCAACGCCTTGTACGCCTTCTTGTAAAACGGCTGTGCCAACCAGAACTGCACCGGCGTCGCCAAGACGAAAAGCACAACATCCTGAATCCTCAACCCAGGCGCAACCTCCTTCATCAACCCGACCCGGATGGAATTCGTCTTTGGCAACATCATCATAAAGACCATCGAGACGATGAACATGGGCACCGCAAAGAGAAGCGAAAGCAAGAGCCGACGGCGGAGGAGAAGTTCTTCACGTTTGATCTTCTCCTGGAGGGCGTTCTTGTTGAGGTGGGCATCGTCGGGGGCGAGGGAGACGTCAAATCCGGTGTCCTCGACGGCGGACATGAGGTCGCGGACGCCGATGATGGTGGGGTCGTGGATGATGACGCCAGATTTTGCGAGGAGGTTGACTTGGACCTGGTAGATTCCGTCCAGCCCCATCAGCGATGCTATTTAATTTGAAAAAGATTTTGATTAGTTCAACTGCCCTTTGTAGATCATCATTCCTGTGTCACCTCTCTTCCACCATCCATCAAATTAATACCAAAAAATACTTACATTCAATGGCAGAGACACAGCTAGCACATGTCATGCCCGAGATATCCAACCGAGTCGTCGTCAACGCCGGAGCACCCGCGCCAGAACCCGGTTCCTCCATAGTGCTCAGAGCAGTCTTTTGGTCATCGTCGACAATCTTCTCGGTCTTGATATGATCGGCCTCGAATCCTAGTCCACGGATCTTGTCTGCGATCGTTCCTGGCGTCAGCATAGTCGTGCTTGTTGTGGAGGGAGAGTAAGAGGGCTGGATCCAGTATTCGAATTGGGCGTGTCCAGTAGAGAAGGAGACATTGACAGAGGTTGGGTTGACGCCGTCAAGGGACTTGAGAAGTTTCTCGACCTTGGACGAGCACGAACCACAGAACATGCCCGAGATATTCAGACTGACTTTATGCAACACCGATCCCGCAGCCTTTCCTGTTCCTGCAACCGCTGCAGTCTTCTTGGCTGCGGTAAACTGCGAGAAATCCTCGACATAAGAACAAGCGGTAACGTCATAGCCAGCATTATCAACAGTCTCCGTCAACAGCTCGACAGGACAAAGCTCAGGGGAAGCCATAAGGGTAGCAGAGCCAAGGAGGAGGTTGACGGCGACGGAGCCGGGTTGGACGGAAGGGAGGAGTTTGAGTGAGTCCTCGATGGCTTTGACGCAGGATGCGCAGGTCATGCCTTGGATGCCAATGGTGGCCTTTTGGAGTCTTGCGGGTGTTGTGTCGGTTACGATTACTTGGAGGGAGTCCATTTTGGTGTTGTTTGTTGTGTGGATGGTATGAGGAGAGGAGGAAGTGTATGTGAGAGGGTGTGGGGAGAAAAGAAGAGAGAAAGTGTGTGTTTGTGTAGAGTGGTTGTGGTGCAGAGTATCGGCGAAGCAAGTGTTTTGTTGATTTGTTGTATGCGAAGTAAGTGTTTGTGGTATGTAATGTGTGTTCAGGGGGGTATATGTGTGTGTGAGAGAGAATATTGTTTGTTGTATGAAGACGAAAGAAAAAAGAAAGAGGGAATAGCGAACGTTTATATACTCTATCAGCGTTAGCCTGTGTATTACTAAACAGCAGGCACCCTTGGAAGAGACAAGAACAATGTGTGCGCGAGATGATGAATGGAACGAACGAATGAGCTCGAGTGATTTCGACAATTGTCTCCCTTCTTTGGTTTCTTTTTAATTTTTACTCGTTTATTTATTCGCGCACTCTCACCCCCTATCCTGTCCGTTTGTCAATTCCCTCAGCACACAGCGTGTCATTGGCTGGGTGGTACAAATCAAAGCACTTGCGATTCTGTTGTCTGTTGGGTCGAATGCCAGTCACACGGTCACACTTGCAGTTGGAACGAATGGAGCCCTTCATTAATATGACTCTTCCTGTGGGCGGAACAGCGAAACGTGGGAGAAAAAAAAAGCGAGGGGAGGTGATCTGTCAGCCCCAGTCAGGTCAAGGGTTCCATCCCTCTCTACGCCCTTCCATCTCCCCACTCTTCTTCTCTTCTTCTCCTCTTTACACTTTTTAAACTCATTTCCACACACCCTTCCCCCTCTTCGTTTCTTCTCCCGCTTCTCTCTCTCTAACTTACGCAGCACACCACACAACTCTCATTCAACAAACCACTCAAAACAAAAGAGACAATTTCACAATGCACGAAAACGCAACAACAACAACAACTCAAGTCCCCGTGGGTCTGCTCACCTGCCAACACACCCCCTATCTCCGTCAATTCAACACCACCGTCCTCTCCTGCTCCAAAAAGCCAAACAAACAAAAGCTCTACGAAGTCCAACTTCAAGACACCAGTACGCTCTCCTTCCTCTTTCCCTCCTACATGCATGTTTCAGTTCCATTGACTTTGTACACGATATTCTAACCAATTGATTTGTCTACCAAATGCAACAGTCTTGTTCCCAGAGGGAGGCGGACAGCCTTGCGACTATGGCACAATCAACGAGAGCATCGAGGTCAAGAATGTGCTGCGTGTAGGAACAAGCCATGTCCACCATACCACCGCCCCTGTTGAGGAGGGTATTGAGGCCCGTTTGGAGGTTGACTGGAAGCGTAGGTTTGACCATATGCAGCAGCACAGCGGACAGCACCTTGTCAGTGCTCTCTTTGAGCAGCCCGAGTATGGCTGCGACACCCTCGCCTGGTAAGTTGATAAGGGTTATTTTTTCAGGAACAGAAATCAGTCAGCCAATTGGAAGGGATAAGATAATTAATTCCGCTTAATGATATCTGTATTTACTGTTCATAGGGGTATGAACGCGACTCGCTGCCATGTCGAACTGTCCAAGGCACCCACCCCAGAGCAAGTCCAGGAGGTCGAGGACCGTTTGAACCTCTACATCCGTCGCAACTACCCCGTTCACGTCACCTTCACTGAAGAGCGCCCCGCCACCCTCCCCAAAGGTAACCTCTTCATTCCGTTGGTATTTGCTATGGCTCATTCCCTCATATTTTCATAATACTTACCAGAATCATTATTCAATTTCAGATTATGTGGGACCAAACGGAGTGTTCAGGGTGATCGAGATCATGCAAGACTTGGACGTCATTGCAGCAGAAGAAGATCCCGTCAACCATGCCCACAAGGAGAAGCGCGGACTCGTCAGACTGGACTACAACCCATGCTGCGGAACCCACGTCAAATCTCTCAAGGATCTTCAATGCATCAAGCTTCTCCACCAGGAAAAGATCCGTGGCAACAACTCCCGTCTCTACTTTGCGGTCGGTCAACGTGCTCTGGACTTGCTTCAGGAGACTTACCAAGTCACCAAGGACCTCGCATCCGTCTTGTCGGCCCCCGGCGGACCCGAGACCTATGTCGATACTATCGTCAAGAACCAGAAGGCTGCCCGTGAGACCGTCAAGCAGGCCAAGAACTTGCTCAAGGAGATTGCTGCTTACCAGGTTCGCGACTGGATTTCTGAGTTGAAGGACAAGAACCCCATCACCACCCAGGAGGACGGGAAATCAAACTCTGCACCTTACCTGGTCAAGTACCACCGCGACGATGTGGACATGGACTTTTTGGGCGTCATTACAGCACTGCTCAAGGACAACGATCTGATTCAAGGACAGCGCATCTTTATTTTGTCGGCCGGCGAGAAGAAGGATGGAGGGCCCATGATTATTATTGGACAGAGCGACGACGCCGTCAAGAAGATTGGGGCAGAGGTTTCCAAGTTGATTGATATTAAGGGAGGCGGTAAGGGTAGATGGCAGGGCAAGGCCAAGTCCTGGCAGGGACTTGACTCTGCTTGGCTTGCTGCTGAGGCCCTTCTCCATGCCGAGTCTGCTTAGATGGAAGAGGTGGTTCAAGTAACAAACATAGACAACAGGATAGAGCAACATTAATAGAGCATTAGACTGTGATCCAAGGTTGATCAATGGTGGCTGATTATTCATTGGTTCGACGCGCTTTTCTCGCATTATGTTAGTGTCGTTGATCAGTTCTCATTATTGGCGCTACTGGCTCCGAGGTTCAGGGGACTCATAGTCAATTCGTCTTTGGAGTAAGGTAGAATCAGCATGTACTAGAAAGCAACAGTATGTGGCTGCAATTCGCCTAGACTGGACTGTTGGCCATCGAAAGGGGGCACCTACTACGAAAAGTAAAAAGTAAAAAGTAAAAAGTAAAAGAAAAAAACGTGAACAATCACATGCCGAATCGACAAATGCACTTTCGCACCCCAACTGCACCTCTTTTTTTTTTCTCTCCCGCAGACATGTGCGTGTAAGTATATCATCAATCGACGTATCCCACATAGCTGAACAAGCTACCGTCACTCAATGAGTTTGTCGATGCGGACACAACCGCTCGAGGCGTGGAACTATATTTGCATACCTGCTGTACTGCACTTTTTTTTCACGCCCAAACAAAAGCGCCGGTCAGATGAACCCTTCCAATTTCACGAAGTGGCGTAGGTGCTATCCTCTCTCGCGTTCACTAGAGAGAATAAAGCCTTCCGAGGGCACTTGAACCGGTGATGCAACTCAGAGAAGTAGGTAGATCTGGTGTTGGCTTGTACTTTTATTTGTCGCGTCTTGATGTTGTTCTAGGCAACTCAGGTTGCACGTTTCTCGAAGACGGAATAGTTTTCCGAATGAAAAAAAAAAAAAAAAATACGCACGAAATGGCTGTTGTCACTCAACCTCGATTCGTCCCGTCCTCGTCCCTTTCTTCGTGTCTTCAACACCGTATCATACGGTATCTGCACTACCCCAACAAGAAAAGAATCTAACCCGCTCATGCATCGCCACCAAAAATTTAATCCGCTCATGCTGGATAATATAATATATCCATCACCAGTTCCAATACAAGGCATGTACCCCTTCACCGTCAAATGATTTACGCTATTCACCATTTTTTTTTCATAGCTCTGGAGTATGATAGGAAAGGTATTTTTACCTGAGTAACAAAGAAAGAGGGCACAAAGGCTTGCTAATAAATGTTAGATGGCAAAGGCGCAGAGCAAATAAAAGATAAATCTGACTATTGATGCGGTTGATACTCACACCCACAGATTTAAAGAGCATGTAAAAAAAAAGGGGGGGGGGAAGCCTCGGACACCAACATTCATTCTTGGAAGGGCGCAGATTGTTGCATTTGGTGAAGCACATGGAAGTCATGCAAAAAAAAAAAAAAAAAAAAAAAGGATAGGCAATTAGAGCATGTATTTCACGTAATAAAAATAATAAATAACACTAATTATTTTCTTGGGCAGACTCTCTGGTGTTGCGTCTTGATGTATCTATCCATGGGCTTCATAAGGAGTTGCGCACTCTGAACGATCAGGATCGAACTCTGGGGTTAAGTCGCAGAAGTCGTCAGGGTCGTCAGGGTCAGGCAAGTCTTCGAAAATAACTTCAAGGCTCATGTCGTTTAGACAATACCGTCTGTTCAGTATCTCATCATCATACGGGACAAGTTCCTCCGGAATGCAAGAAGGATCGCCATTACATTCTTCCTTTCCCCATTCTAACCATTTCTCCTGAAACGTTTTCGCATGGGAGCCTGCTAAAGTGGTAGCAACTAACAAGGCCAGTGATACTAAGACGATGATTCGCTTGTCCTGCAGTGGTGAAGAATCCAAGGCCCCTCGATAAAAGTTCGCCTAAAGCACACTTGTTGACATATTTGTGTTAATTAATTTATTTTTGACTTACTTTTTCTTATACTTTTAAACATCGAAATGGGCCTCCCCGGTTTACTTGGTGGCTCATTGTGGCTGCTTTTGGCATAACCTTAAGAGCTGAGCGCGATTTCGGTGGTTTGGCCGGTCTTGCATTTGTGAGAACTGGCCGTTTTTTTTTTGTAACATTGAGGTCTTGCGTTCGTGAAAACTTGACCTCTCTGCTATTCTGACAATTGTCCATGAAGTTGGTGTCAGAAAAAGTTACAATTATAATAATAAGAGGATAAAGCACCCGCTTTTTCATCACATGAGTTTCAACTTGAAAGTCTGGCAGCTGTGCAAATCATTAGTCACTGCATCATTATAAAGCATTTGCATGAATCAGCAATGCCGTAATTGTGTTGAGAAGCCCAAGAGCGGTTGCCTTTTCAGTGTCTCCGGCCTCCGATGCATCGCGAATCAATTGCAAAAACTGTCGAAAGGCCTTATAGTGAACCTTGGCGTCGTTCTTCGGACGTTTACTCATGAAACTGTTGATGTCGTTCCATCGAGAGGGGTCTTGTCGGAAGTGTGTAGGAAGTTGGTCCATGTTATGCTGTGAGAGGGATAGAAAAAGGTGAAAAAGGCTGTATTAAATCAAATATCGTCCAAACAGTCTACACTCAAAAAAAACTCTGTCCTTACAAGAACACATTCAAATAGTGTTGTCGGCTCTCGATGTTTTTGAGCTGCTGTGTTGCAATCCATCAGTAGGTTAAGTCACCTGTCCGCCGCATCGCTGCAGCGTCAGAGACGCCGGTTCCCATTTAAAGGTTCCAGCTTTTCACCGATCTCACTGCCCAGGCAGAGAAAGTGTTTTATCGGGATTGCGCCTCAGGCTATAGATAACCTTACAGGTGTCCCTAGTCCTCATCCACACTTTCTACGAAGCAAGCGTGCCGAGAACACCGGTTCCCATCTAAGGGTTCCAGCCGATTCACTTTCCCCTATGCACCAGACTGCAGCGCAAACAACACTTCAACATAAACGTAATAGACTTTCGGTGTTTTTGAGCTACTGTGTTGCAATCCATCAGCAGGTTAAGTCACCTATCCGCCGCATCGCTGCAGCGTCAGAGACGCCGGTTCCCATTTAAAGGTTCCAGCTTTTCACCGATCTCACTGCCCAGGCAGAGAAAGTGTTTTATCGGGATCGCGCCTCAGGCTATAGAAAACCTTACAGGTGTCCCTAGTCTTCATCCACACTTTCTACGAAGCAAGCGTGCCGAGAACACCGGTTCCCATCTAAGGGTTCCAGCCGATTCACTTTCCCCTATGCGCCAGACTGCAGCGTCCATCACACTCTCCTTACCTTTTCTGGTCTCAGTCAGGGATGGCGAGAAGGCTGCTGTTTAGAAGATAAGACAAAAAAAGGGTAAAGAGATGTTGAGAGTAAGAGAGACGAATAAAAGTTGTGTTAAAGACTGGGAGTAGCGATGAAAAGGGCGTGTGAATGGTGGCAAAAGAAAAGTCTGGGAGGCATGGGAGTGGGGGCAAAAGTGGAAAGGGTGCGAGTGATGAAGGCCCCGGAGTATGATGGTCAGGGAGTAAGGGGGTGTGAGCAATGGCCGTCAGGTTACAGGACAATGGACGCCATAATTACGTCACCGAAGTGTGTAATTGTAGCGCCTTCCGTAACCCAAACGCAAACCTATGTATTGTGGGGGCTTGGGATCCCGTTTGGCGGTAGTAAAGCATCCCTCTCACAATCTTGAGGTCCTGGGTTCGAGTCCTAGGAGAGCGTTTGGTTTGGCTTGGCGCATGATCTCATCATCTCACACTCATGGAGTTGAGGGCTCCTCTCTCTTCTACAGCACAAAGTCTTCCCTCAAATTCAGAGTCTTGCCACTGCCCCCTACACATTTCTTTCTCAAGTACCATCTTCAGAAATAAAAAACCCCTGGTGGCTTGTTGCACCACTGGGACTGTTCTCTCCTTACTGAGCCTTCCTACGGGAAGGTTCAATTTTTTTTTGACTGATACACATAAATTGGTCTGTCTAACATATTGAAGTAAAGCTAAATCGCTCTCTTGCGTCGACGCGGTTCAGCCTCCTCCGCTTCAGGTCCATCCGATCAACGCCTGCTTTCACGTCCTTCACGGCCAAAGGTGCCAACATAGACTCGACAGACCGAGTGTTCTCCTCCTCTTCCCAGATGTAGACGCCGTTCTAGTCGTATGGTTGCAAGTAGCGAGGGCGCTTGTGGTGAAGTAGGTGCCCCTGGATGATGTTGCACATGGTATGACCTGCCATAACATCTCGATGCACCTTGGCGCCACAAGTGGGGCAATACAGCTGACGGATGTCGACTTGGCCAACAAACTCATGGCAGACTGGACACCTCTTGGACGTATAGTATTCGTTTACGCCGACTACGATATAACCCAACGATCGGGCCTAAATAAAGCAATACCAGAATACGATAGCATTAATCGTAGATCCTTGCAAAGTCATTGTGAAGGTGGGTTCAAGAAAAGCTCGACTGCTTACCAACTGCACAAAGTACTCGGAAAATGCTGTATGGAGGGACGACAACCGTGAGTTCGAAGAGAACTCTCCGAGTCCTATACCGATTACGACCTTGCTCTTGCTGTCTCGTTTCGCGCCTGGGGTACCTCCCACCAGCTCCAAAAGGCGTTTTCCGATCAGTTTGAACTCTTGATCCCTTGCTCGCTTTGCATCCCACTGATGCTTCTTGAGAGTAACATTGTTGTAAAATGTCTCGAGATCAGTCTCCACAGCCCTGGACTGGTTGACATATTCGGCGATCGACGCTTCTGCTCCACGGAGCGACGGCAAGTTGGTCTCCTTGTGAGCAATTGCCTCCAAGCCCTCGACTGCACGTCCCTTCCTCTGTTCGAGCCATCGTCTGTGCTTAGACGTTGGCTGGTAGACGGCCTTCTGACTGGCTACCAGGTTGTGGAACTGAGCTGGCAAGGGTACATCGATCTCGGTGATGGCTCCTTGCTCCTCTCCATCAGTTGGAGTGGCCGACGCGGACGAGGGTAAGAGGGCACTGGCGCCAACGACAAATGCCTGCCCCAAGTCAATCGCGAGGATCTTGATTTCCTTCGGGTCACAATCCCAGATCCGCTTGACGTCCTCCGTTGTCTTGACCACGCCACGGATCTCCCTGAGGTAGTGGTCGGTGCCTCCAAGCGTCGATATTAGTGGGTCTGGTAGCTTGTCCTCACCCAATCGCTGGTACTTGACACAATTGAGTTCATTCAGCTTGAAGGCGAGCAACTGGATCCGATACCCGTCCGTCTTGACCGATCCTCGGAGAGCATAGCCCTTACTCGAATACGAAGCCTTGGGATTAAAATCTCTGTCCCGAGTATTGGAGATGTGAGCATTCATATCACCAATCGACATACGGTGCGCGGATCGTGACCAGTCCTTCCGTTTCCTCCTCTCATCCTCTGTAAATCCTCCAATGTCGGTCAAAAGCCTGTTGATCAGCTCTCCTGGGTCGAGGTTTTTGAGCCAACCAACAACATCATCCTGAGGAATACGGCTAGGGTCGGTGAAAGATGGGAGAGTTGGATGGGCATAACTCTGTAGCTGTTTCCGTAGGGTCACGTCTGCCCAGAAGATCCTGACCAGCTCATCCTCTGAAAGATTGACGAACTTTCTTCCACGGGGTGACATTGGTGATAATCGCCAGCTTCTTCCGATCGTCCTGTTCAGAATGATGAAGTTCTCCGTTGGGGTCTTGTCTGTATTGACATGATCTGGAGCGCTCTCGGGCAAGAGTCCCTTCTTCTTCTGCTGCTGAATCTGTAGCGGAAAAGAACAGATAAAAAAAATGTCAGGCGCGTTTCTTGTAAACAGGAGTTTGAACCATTCCAATTGTTATTACCTTTTTGCAAAGATCGAAGGAGCCATTCTTGAAATGATTTGTGTACTCAGTCGCTAGTTGTATCGCTGTGGACGGGAGAAAGATGGAGGGGTTGTTGTAAGGCTCTGCAGGCAGTGCATGTAAATAAGAAATGGAGAGGAGAATGGTTAGAGAGTTGGTCTTACAATAGGTCACATTGCTGCCACAATTACAAGAAGCAAACCTACCACTGCCAGTTTTCGGTGGCAAATAGTCTTTGGCTTTATGTAAGAACAAGCCCACAGCCGCAGCTGCACCCGCATTCTTTGTTTTCTGAGGAGCGCTAGCCTTGTAGATGGCAACCAGAAGCGATAAGAAAAAAGATTCTGGAGAGTTCTTGTTGTCGACGCTTGCCTCAGGGTTGTTCTTGTTGTCAGATGGCTTCTCTTCTGGGTTCGGGGTGATGCCGTTTTTGGCCTCCTCGATCTCCTGGGCCGAGAAGTAAGGGGTCAAGTAGCTGAGAATGGTTCTGTCGTCCTCGTCAAGGTGGTCGACAGAGAGGTTTTCGAGGTATTGACCGACTATCTGTTGACAGCAAAGTTTCGTTCTCGAAGTAAGTTTAGAGATGTCCGAGAGACATGTGGTGATCGCATGCTGGAGCTTTTGCTGTAAATCCGCGTCGTAAGGAATCTCCTTCTTTAGTGCTCGAGACGTATTCGCCTTCAGGGTTCCAATGTCCAAGGTTCGAAGAGGGTGTTCTCGTTGCATGGCTTTGACGAGCTGAATCTTGGTCATCTTATCTGCTGCAGGTTGAATTTTTTTAGGGGTAGACTTTTGTTTCTTTTTCGGTGGGGGGCTGGTGGCGCCGACGTTGGTGCTGGGTCCTGCCTCGGTACTGGTGCCGGTACTGGTGGTGCTGTAGGGGTTTTTTGCTGACTCGGCATTTTCTTTTGGAGGCTTCCAGAAGTACTGCTTGAATATATCGGGCTTCTCGTGTGAGATGAGACGTGATCTCGTCTTGACCGCGTAGCGCTCCCGATACTCGTAAGGCCGTCCCGAGGTGTGAGGGTGAGGTAGCTGACTTGGAGGACGGTCGACAGTGGAGTATCGGATGAAATTTGTAGATCGCTCTCCTTCTTGATCACCAGTGGCCGATCTAAGAATGATGGGTATCCACCAACTGAGCTGTTAAAAAAGAGCCTATTTTTGCCATGGAGACATCCAGGTTTGTTCATTATCATTTCGGCCTATACCTTGATGTTTTTCGGCTGGTTTTGAGGCGTAAGCGGATGTCTGCCAGCCATTGGGTCATCTCCTGTAGCTCGTTAATGGGATTCTGAATGTGGGGTAGGGTCAGAGGCGTGAATTGTTGGAGAGTGAATATCTGAAGAGCCGGGTCAAAGATTCTCTCAGTAGGGTGCTTGCTAGACACGGTAGTGTTCTCCAAGTAGGCATCAACAAGCTCTTGGACACTCGCATTTTTTAACGTGTCTAAACAAAAAAAGCCAAAAAAAAGTTAAGGAAATGTGAGTCGAAAATGAACAAGGAACTAAAACAAAAGAGTATATATATATTTCGCCTTACCTTCTGCCTCCAGAGTCCAAATGACCTTGAAGTTTCCTTTGACTCCCATCTTGTGGACACCCTTGCCGTAATCGTTCTGGGTGACAATTCCAAGGGTGGTCAGTCCTGTTCTTGAAAGCTCAAGCTGGCGTAACAGGTCAGAGACATGGTAGACAAGATATCGGTCACGACCGAAAGGTCTCCAGATGGTGTTAATGTTGCTGTAAACTAGCGCGTCACTGTCACGGGTTATGACGATGTCGTCCTGTTTGCAAGTGGATCCGATGCAGGTGTCGGCTTCTGAGCGGCAACCACAGACGATCCAGCCACTTGCGCGAAGATGTTGGACAAGAGCTTGTCGAAGCTCATGGGTAATATAGAAGGAATCGACAATCGCTTTGTTGAGGGTCTTGAACTGTTGCTTCCTTAATTTTCCGTGGTTGTTGAAAGTCTCCTCCATTATGGTCAAAGTTTCGTGCAGTTGGTTGCCATCTCCCACATGACCATGCCCAGCGCACACATGTCCGACTTGGAAGAGTACTTGGGCTTCTCCAAAAAGAGTTCGGGCGCCATCCATCTCACAGTTCCCACACCCCCGGCTGATGAATTGGACATAGACGCACCAGTGCTCATGGACTACCGGACCTGTGCAAGCCCAAAGTCGGCTAGCTTGACCTCCATGTGTCGTGTCAAGAGGACGTTGGCGCTTTTGAGGTCGCGGTGAAGGACGCCTTCGTGATGAATGTACTCGAGCCCGCATGCTAGAGTTTCTCAAGTCCTATGTGCTGCGAATAATTTTGCATGGACCTCGCACGCATGCGAATAATTTTTGAGAAACTCTACCGCACGCTATCTCGTGTGTGAGTCGCATCTTGGTCGGCCAGTCGAGCAACAGTTCTTGTCCGCCACCGCTTTTCCTGTTGATTGCACTGGCGAGACTACCGTTTTCGGCAAGGTCCATGAGGAGGTAGATCTGACCGTCTTCCTCGTGTGTTCTGAGGAACTGGATGATGTCGCGGTGGCGAGGCCTCTGGAGGAGGGAAATCTCTTTCTGGATGGCCTTCTAGTAAAGATCTGACTGGCTATAGAAGAATTTCTTGGCGGCGACTAGCTGGACACCCCAGCGAGTCTTATAGACAGCACCGGAGGCTCCCGTGCCAACAAGGCTTTCGCATGCAAAGGGGAATTGCTAAGGTCAAACAACAAGAGAGCGAATTAGGGAGAGTGTCACCTTTTCCTGCGAATGTGAGAAGATGAGTTCATCCAGTTTAGTTCCTTACCATAGAACAGAACAGCCTGGTGAGAGAAGAGAATACGGTTTTGTTGAGGGTGAGGAATGGAAGTGCAATGAGGTGAGGAATGGAAGTGCGATGAGATGAAGATGAAGAACGGGAAGTGAAGAGATGAGGCTTTGAAAAATCAGACCAGAGGAGTGTTGCAACCTGATGTGCCTGATTAATACTATTACGTCAAGGCGAAGGCATTAGTTCTGATGGCCATTTCCTCATGTTATTGGTATCGTCAAACTGAAATTGGTCTGACAATATCGAACTTGGTTGCACAAAGAAAATTTCAAGGGAACTGAAGAAAATTTCAAAGGTCAATCCATACTTTGCCTTTTGCTTTGTCTTTTGCTTTGTCTTTTGCTTTCTTTTGCTTTGTCTTTTGCTTTGTCTTTTGCTTTGTCTTTTGCTTTGCCATTTGCTTAACTTGCGCATGTTTCTTCGAAACGATCAAAAGCTCCCTTGGCAGTGACGACAAATCGATAATGGTTACACAAAGAAGGTTTTAAGGGAACTGGGCTAAAATTCGAGGATACGATAACATTGGTAGGAAAGAATACTCTAATCTACTGCCTTCCTTGCTATCGGGACAGCGTTGAACCATGCTTTGCATTATTATGTGCGCCATAGCTGGCGTGTGGTAGCCAAACGTTCATAGCGACATTGCTTTTTGATCCTTTGATACCGTCCCTTTTAACCTTTGCTTCATTAGAATTCGACGTCGCGTTGTCGATGCTTTATACTTGGTGTGACCCGTGCCTGGGTATGGTCTGTGCACACGCGTGTTAAATATGGTTATTATTTAAGGGGCTCTATGCGTCATGTCCGACAACGGTTGACCATAGTCTCGATCCAGTCCTTCAGATTTTCAGCACTCGAAATCTGAAGGACTGGATCGAGACTAGGTTGACCAGGCGATCGTTGCGCCTGCAGCTGCTATAGGTTGTTCAGTACCATGTCCGTACAGAACCCTTAAGAACCTTCCTTTTTGGTATTACGACCCGCTCCGCCAATAACTCCAAATTTTGACACAGACCCTCACTGTGTGAGGTGTACGCTGCGCGAAGAATTAGATTCCAACCCATGGAAGGGAGGGGATGGCCGCGAGACTAAAAAAGGGGCAAAGAACACAAGAATCACTGTGCTTCCCATTTTCTATCTACACAGTGTCTACATTATCCCAGTACAGTGAGGTAGACATCGGATGAAACGGGGTATCACGTCACGAAAAAAGTACATGGGACTTTTGACTTACGTTGTCCCATTCATCCATTCACTGTTTTCCCATTGCTCCATCCCACCCACTCAATCTCACCATTTCCTGCACTACATCCGCTCTTTCACCCGTGGTGTTTGTCTACCTTCTTTAAACAATTTGATACCCTTCTCCTACCAACCTGTTGTCTAAAGGTGAGTGCGATGGTCATTGCAATGTCAACGTCGAAATCGAGGTTAATGGACCCTAATCCAATTACATTGTTTGTTTCAAATACTGTGAGGTAGTCAATCATGTGTAACGATACAGTCGCCTCGCAAGGATTATGTGATCTCTTCTGCGGATTCTTATATGATGACGGATACACGCAGGGATCTGAAGAAGGATACTCGAAAGGCTTTGATGTCGGATACACGCAGGGATCTGAAGAAGGATTCTCGAAAGGCTTTGATGTCGGATACTCGAAAGGCTTTGATGTCGGATTCTTGAAAGGATCAGATGATGGATTCGCTAAAGGGTTTGGAGCAGGGTTTAAAAGTGGCCATGATAAGGGCTATTACAAAGGACTGTACGACGCTGATAATCCAATTAGCTACCTGATAAACAACCAGGTTCTTGTGATTGTGAACGTGTCGCTTTCTCTCCTGATAATATATCTCTGGTGGAGTGTGCGACATAACCGCAAGGGCTACCTGTCTTTTTGATCCTCAATCCTCAACCCTCACGTACAATCCTCAATCCTCAATCCTCACTTACAATCCTCAATCCTCAATCCTCAATTATCCTCATCCTCATCCTCCATTACAATGAAATAAATAGTTCATTTACTGCCACAAGAAATAATCGTGATACTTAAGCGAACCAACAGCAGCGCTTTTACCAAAACGCGCCAATTGAAGAACAGCACTAATGGCAATCTGGGGGTGTATTCTTTTCACGCAATCTGTAAACAGTATAGCTGGTTTACTGAACGACTTGTAGTCTCTGCGGACATCGATGTAGTCCTATTCAAATGTGAGCATGGCGAGCTCTTGATTAAAGTCCATCCAGTCGGTCTATCTTGCGTTCGGGAGAACCATGCTGACATCTGGGAGTGCATACTGGAGAAAGAGATTATATCTCTGCTTGGCAATATCCTCACATTCAACCCTACAAAATTTTCTGGAACTGAGGATGGTCCTCTTTTCATCCTCACCGATTTCCATAAATACCATGTTAGTTCTCTTATTTAGTGTGGATACCCTTACAATAAACGATGCGCTTTTTTTCTCTACTACCCACTCTTGGCGTAAATAAAACTTTTTACACTCATTTTGATTGTAGCAATTCTTCTTATTGCTGTATGTCAAAAGTACCATGATGAACTTTGTTTTTTAGATACTGGCTTGTGGCAGCCAAGCGTTCATAGCGACGTTGTTTTTTGATCCTTCGATGTCAGCTCTTTCAATCCTTGCTTCATTAGAATTCGAGATCGCCTCGTTGATGCTTTGTTCACTTGTCAAAGTTTTTTGTGGTTTAAAGAGGTATTTAAACACCAAACCAGGGTTAGTGGTTTTATGCGAGTTGGCATATTATACCCCGTGTGTGAATAGAAGTCGGTGAGAAAAACGGTGGTGGGGATCTTTACTAATGTCGCTGTAGAATATATATTATACTCTCTCTCTTCATCACTATTAACAAGACATGGACAGTCAATAAAATACGACGCCCATAATGGTCAGAGTCGAGTTGGTTTTGCGTATTTCAGACAGCACCGCGACTTCGTTAGCTCCGATCAAGTTGCCTACTAAGTCCAAAGTGATGAGAGTCGAGTTTGTCTTGAGTGCCTTAAACAGCGCAACAGCTCCATTATCTCCGATAAAGTTGTTCCCCAGGTTCAAGGTGGTTAGGGCCGAGTTAGTCTCGAGTGCCCCAGACAGCGCCTCAGCTCCGTTGTTTCCCATCCAGTTGTATCCTAACTCCAAAGTGGTCAGAGTCAAGTTCGTCTTGAGTGCGTCAGACAGCGCCTCAGCTCCATTGGGCCCGATCGAGTTGCCCCCCAGTTCCAAAGTGGTTAAGGTCGAGTTCGTCTTGAGTGCCTCAGACAGTGCAGCAGCCCCGTCGGGTCCAATTGAGTTTCTCTGCAATCTCAAAGTGGTTAAGGTCGAGTTCGTCTTAAGTGCCTCAGACAGCGCAACAACTCCGTTATCTCCGATCAAGTTGATCCCCAGGTTCAAGGTGGTTAGGGCCGAGTTAGTCTTGAGTGCCTCAGACAGCGCCTGGGCTCCGTTGTTTCCGATCGATTTGTCGAACAAGTCCAAAGTGGTTAGGGTCGAGTTGGTCTTGAGTGCCTCAGACAGCGCAACAGCTCCATTGTCCCCGATCGAGTTGTATCCCAACTCCAAAGTGGTCAGAGTCGAGTTGGTCTTGAGTGCCTCAGACAGCGCAACAACTCCGTAGTCCCCGATCAAGTTGTTTTCATCCGAATTGTCTTCTTCGGTCGAAATGCCCCACAAGGTCAAAGTGGTCAGAGTCGAGTTGATCTTGAGTGCCTCAGACAGCGCAACGACTCCGATCAAGTTGATCCCCAGGTTCAAGGTGGTTAGGGCCAAGTTAGTCTCGAGTGCCTCAGACAGCGCCTGGGCTCCGTTGTTTCCCATCCAGGTGTATTTCAACTCCAAAGTGGTTAGAGTCGAGTTGGTTTTGAGCGACTTAAACAGCGCAACAGCTCCGTTATCTCCGAACGAGTTGTGTTCCAAGTCCAAAGTGGTCAGAGTCGAGTTGATCTTGAGTGCCTCAGACAGCGCAACAGCTCCGTTTTCCCCGATCGAGTTGTGTCCCAAGTCCAAAGTGGTCAGAGTCGAGTTAGTCTCGAGTGCCTCAGACAGCGCCTGGGCTCCGTTGTTTTCCATCCAGTTGTATCCCAAGTACAAAGTGGTCAGAGTCGAGTTGGTCTTGAGTGCCCCAGACAGCGCCTCAGCTCCGTTGGGCCCGATCGAGTTGCCCCCCAGGTTCAAAGTGGTTAAGGTCGAGTTGGTCTTGAGTGCCGCAGACAGCGCCTCAGCTCCGTTGGGCCCGATCGAGTTGCCTCCCAGTTCCAAAGTGGTTAAGGTCGAGTTCGTCTTGAGTGCCTCAGACAGTGCAGCAGCCCCGTCGGGTCCAATTGAGTTTCTCTGCAATCTCAAAGTGGTTAGGGTCGAGTTCGTCTTGAGTGCCTCAGACAGCGCAACAACTCCGTTATCTCCGATCAAGTTGATCCCCAGGTTCAAGGTGGTTAGGGCCGAGTTAGTCTTGAGTGCCTCAGACAGCGCCTGGGCTCCGTTGTTTCCGATCGAGTTGTCGAACAAGTCCAAAGTGGTTAGGGTCGAGTTGGTCTTGAGTGCCTCAGACAGTGCAATAACTCCGTAGTTCCCGATCGAGTTGTCTTCATCCGAATTATCTTCTTCGGTTGAAATGCCCCACAAGATCAAAGTGGTCAGAGTCGAGTTGGTCTTGAGTGCCTCAGACAGCGCAACAGCTTCGTTGTCTCCGAACGAGTTACCCCCCAACTCCAAAGTGGTTAGGGTCGAGTTGGTCTTGAGTGACTTGGACAGCGCAACAGCTCCGTTGGGTCCGATCGAGTTTTCGAACAACTTCAAGGTGGTTAGGGCCGAGTTAGTCTCGAGTGCCTCAGACAGCGCCTGGGCTCCGTTGTTTCCGATCGAGTTGTCGGACAAGTCCAAAGTGGTTAAGGTCGAGTTGGTTTTGAGTGCCTCAGACAGCGCAACAGCTCCGTTATCTCCGATCCAGTTGCCCCCCAGGTTAAAGGTGGTTAAGGCCGAGTTGGTCTTGAGTGCCTCAGACAGCGCAACAGCTCCGTTGTCCCTGATCGAGTTGTGTCCCAAGTCCAAAGTGGTCAGAGTCGAGTTGGTCTTGAGTGCCTCAGACAGCGCAACAGCTCCGTTGTCCCCGATCGAGTTGTGTCCCAACTCCAAAGTGGTCAGAGTCGAGTTGGTCTTGAGTGCCTCAAACAGCGCAGCAGCCCTGTCGGGTCCGATTGAGTTGCTCGTCAAATTCAAAATGGCTAGAGTGGAGTTGTCCATGATGTTGCAAATTAGTTTGTCTCGTGCAGATGTTGATGATAGTTTCCCATAGGCCCAGCTCTGAACCTCCAGGTGTTGTATAAGGTGCTTGTGTCTCTCGATAGATTCAATGCTGGGGCCTTGTGTCGACAAAACGACAGAGCTGTAGAGTGGCGGTGTAAATGAGTCGTTCCAATCCTGACTCACACGCGCACAGGTCGCGAGGTCTTTGAGGCCAAAGCTTCTGGCAATCCTTGAGCGAATCTCATGTAGATCGAGGGGATTTGTCGGGAACATCGCAGACGTGACAAGAACCGATGGGAGGGGAGTGAGAAATGACTGTGATAAGAGTAAGAAATAAATGGGAGGAGAGAAGGAATGAAATAGGACGAGAGAAGGAATGGAATGGGATGAGAGAAGAAATGAGATGGGAGGAGAGAAGGAATAAAATGGGATGAGAGAAAGAATGAAATGGGATCACAAAAAGTCGAAATATTTTAAAAAACTCAATTTCATTTCGCTGCGCGGCAAATAATCCGATCGTGTTGCCACTGTTGCCACCGTTTGGGCTGTGCATTCGAAAATAAAATTGATGGCGAATGACCCGATCGTGTTGTCACCGTTTGAACAGTCTGTTACACTATTTTTCTCTTCTCATGTGCCGGTCCTAATGATTTTCTCTTTTTCGCTGTTTCGCCAAAAATGAGGAATGATATCTCCATTGTGCTGCGTCTTGGATGTACAAATGTTTTGTTACCGACTGCCTCACGAAGGACAACGTAAAAATAGTCTGTTATCTCACACTCGTACGCTCTCTCTCTTCTATACCCCTTCCTTACCCTGACAAAAGTCAACCTTGCCATTTCTTAATCCACGAAAGTCAATCTTACTAATTTTCTCAGTGCGTCTCAAACAGGACTCAGCACTCCATCGACCGCCTTGCTCGCTCACCAACCCCGCTCACCCTAGACGCACAACGCTCGCTTCAAGCTACCATGAAGGTCTAGTTCATCACTATCACAACCCTCACCCTTGCGTTGGCCGCCTCAACTACCCCAGCCTTTCATGCCCCAAGAATCCTCTCCAAACCATCAAAGAGGCTTGCATAACCGCTGGTCTTGACGCTGCCAGAAGCAACTGCAGGGTATATACCAATTCTACCCATACAAACTGCGCAGTCCATGGCAAAGTTACGGGCAGGTTCCAGAAAAGTGGACTGAGGGATGCGGCAGGGAACATTAGAGGGAACTGGCGGATTGTACGAAAACCTCTGAGCGGTATAAGCAGAATGGAGGAGGAGGAGGAGGAGGAGGAGGGGGGGGGATTGAGTGGATTGTTGAGATGGGTGTTTACAAGCTTAACGTGTTTTGTAGTTGATTGCGCTTTTGTACTCTAGTATTTTCTTTCTATATTTATGTCTTATGAATGAAAAGTTGAAACCCCCCTTCTCCTAATCGAGGCACATCATGGCACATCCTTATATTGGGCGAGAGAAGTGAATGATGAATAAAAAGATTTCAGAGGAGTAAGGAGGAAAGAAACGCGAGGATGTCGCTAATCACGATTTCCTATGCACATAACAAAAGAAGGTACCCCTGAAAGCAGAGGTATGAGAGTCTACTTTTGGTGTGATAGATGAGTGGATGATATCTGTAATGAGAAAACGCGTCAACAAAAATTCTGAATAAAGCGAACTTGAATTTCTCAACGCGTTTGTATTGTTTGGTTTTATCAGCAGTGGCGAAACCCCCTCTCGTCAGGTTACAGGCCATCACATCCCATTTTTTACTTTTAATCACCACTCTCCTTTTTTTTTAACCGATGGACCAGCGATGGACCAACGATGCGAGCTCTAAGATAAAATTAAAGAATAACGTTCCTTCGATCCAAATGAAACAAAGAGGGAAACAAAAAGAAAAGGCGTTTGGGGTTTATTTACAAATAGGTCATTTTCCAGAGCCCGATACAGATCGGGATAGTCTCCCTTGATCCTCTCACGCCCAACCACACCGGTGCTACTTCCTCGTCACTAGATGGCACCTGAGCATTCGGCATCAGTTCCAGACACTTCTGCTTGATGACATCCAGACCCTGAGGATGATGCTCAAACAGCCGCTCCATGTCATACACAGGTGACTTGAACCGCCGTCCAGTGGATTGCCAGATCTCCATCTTCTCATGTGCGAGCTGCCTATCCTTGGCGAGCGTCGGGAGATTAGGTTTCGTGATGTCGATTTCATCCAGTAGTCCTGATTTTGAGGTTCGCCGCGACATTGAGAGATCCCGATCCTTATTCTTCTTACTCTCCTTGCTCATTGCCGCAGCATCCTTGCTGGTGCTTGTCCCAGAAGTCAGCTGGAGCCCCTTGCCAAAGTACATCACACACGGCACTTCAATCCTCTGCGCACTCCTGAACCCCAGAATCGGTCTCAACCCTTCGACCAATCCGTTACTGCCAGTAATGTCAATTTTTCCTCTAGTTCCAGGTGGATGAGCATACGCTCCATCCAAGACAATGAACCGAGGTCGACGAAGCGTGGGCTGTTTCTTGGTCTCCTTTGTAAACGACGTCTTGTACAGCACCCTGAACTCATGCGCGACTCGGATCGACCACTGCGCATAGACCAGTTTCGACATGTCCTGTCTCATAAACGCCACCGTGTTGATGCTCTTATACTTTCCTATGGTATTAAAGGTCACACATGGAGAGACGTTAGCATGTTTATCCTTCGCCATAATTACAGTGTCCTAGTTGACAATTACGTAGGTGAAGGGTGGTACCTTCTCTGATGACATTGTTGATGACGGTAGATGTGGTGGTCATCCATTTGCCGAATCCGTTGCGTGGGTCATCCTGATAGGCACTTGGTGTTGGTTTCTTGGTGATGGCGTGGGGCAAGATCCGTTCGGGTACGATCCAGGGCCGGTCGTCAGGTCCTGCTGCCTGTATGAACTTTGTCAGGAATGCTATTTTATATCATGAAGTGCGACAGTAGGTTCAGTGTTAGTCCAGACTGTTTGCATTTCCTTAGCACTGCGGTGAAAATGATGGGTGTCTAAGTTCCTGAGAGCGTACCACTTGGGAGAATGAGCCGGGTATAAAGGCATTGCCGGACAGGTGTGGCCAATATGGCAGCTACAAGGGACACAGGTGCAGAAAAACGATATCGTTAGGTCAGAGGTCAGCGAGTACAAGAAAAACGGTGTTCCCTGGTCGCCTCAAAGCATTAACGATCACACCAAAGCAAAGTGGTGTCGAGTGGCGACATACCATAGGGGTTGTTGGCAATCTTCTTCTCAAATGAAGTCAATTCTTCGTGCTCTCGTTCTGCAGGAGATAATCGCTTGGGTGTTGGTCTTGTGGGGAGGTCCAGTATGAAGGAACGTGGCGGCATGTCGTTGGACAAGTCCTGTATCCGCGGTTTACGTGGGATAGTAGGTCCTCTTGAGGTACGGATAGTTGCTTTTGGCAACTGTGAGTTGCTGGTGGAGGCGGCATTGCCGCTGCTGTAGCTCCGTGATATCCGAGAACGTGCGAGTAGTACCCGCGTTCTTGCTATGTGAATCGACATCCTCCTAGTTCCTGTGTAGGTGACAGTTCTCCTTGCCTGTATGTGTACGAGTGCGTGATTGTGTGAGTTGAAAAGGGAAAAAGCGAAACGAAAACGGGAGCGAGAAATAATTAGGGCAGTGTGAGGAGTGGCTTAGCTCTCCTTACTGGACCAGGGACTTGATTCTTTGTGAGCGCGTCTCGCTCCTCCACGATTATTTTTTTATTTTGCCACCATCGCTTCTCACTCGCAAGCAGGGACACAGGAACGTCAGTCTACATCACCGTAATACCACAAGAAGCACAGAACAAACAACGAAAAAAAAGCAAAGCATGGCATACTCAGAAGCACAAGCACATTCACGGTCGTCTCTCAGGAGCTCAACTGGAACAGGCCCAGGCACAGGGGGGAGACCCTCGCTCATGATGGACCACTCGAACCATCGTTCCTCCTTTGGAAGCCAACGCCTCTCCCTCCTCTCCTCAAAGACCCCCAACCTATCCACACCAACACTCCCGACACCACAGTTCGACAGTGATGAGCTTTTGGCGCGTGCTGCGACATTCGAGACCGAGGTCAACAGCGCCATTCAAAAGATCAAGTCAAAAATCGTCGAAAACACTGAGCAGTGGGTTCGGGAAACTGCTGAGGCACGAGGTACGGGACTACAAGCGCGTTGTTGGATATTGTTGCATAGGAGTATCTGGCTCTGGCAGTCCAGGAATACGGTAAAACTAACTTTCGGTCTCTACCCCTTCCACTTTGTGTCTTAGAGTACGATCGGGAAGTGCGGGAAGAGATGAAGATTGCAGTTGCACAGGAGGCCGCACTCAACAAAAGTATGTCACGGGACGCGGGATGGACTTGCTTGGTGTGTGATTCCGGTCTGCAACCAGGGATAGCTTCGTTAACCCAGGGCTCTTCTTTTTTTGTTCTTAATGATAGCATTACAGAAGGAAAGGGAGGAGGCCCAAATCATGACAAAGACGATTCAGCAGCTATCGGCAACATACGAGGACATGAAGCAGACAAGGTCATCGCATGAGACACAACTCGACCTTCTCCGGAAAGAAGTCAAAGCCAAGCGGGAAGGTAATGATAGTTGCATCTGGAGACCCGGGAGGGAACTTTCGAACGAGCACAGACAAGAGACATTGCATGCAGGAGAAACAAATGAAAAATTGCAAATTCTTGTGTTTGTTCACATGGCACCACAAGGACTTATTGACCAGACGAACGCTCTCCTTCTTGCCGTTATTGTTCACTATGAATAGCCAAGATTGCATTAAAGAAGGCGCTGGATGAACAGGTCCTGAAGAACAAACCCGAGCTGGCGAGCTACGAGTCCTTCCTCTCCTTGCGTATTGTCGGCGTCAAAGGTATAGTGTTTGCCCTTTTGTGCTTTCGCCGCCATTATGCCTACCCGTGACATGGATTCGATCGAAATCAACTAACCGTCTTTGTATCTGGGTTACTTTTATGTTCCTTATCCCTTGCATAGTGGACCACATTGGATTTATCTTTACGCGGATAAGTGAGCAGGACTGGGATAAGGAATATTCGATCACTCTAGATGTCTCTCAACACGAGTTTTCAGGTACCGTTTGTGGCTCGTTCTCGTTATCTTCTTTTGGTGTGTCCGACAACAGTGTGACAGGACATATGTGTTAACGTACTTTGTGAATCGTTGTTATTTGTGATGGATAGCGTCGGATTGCTCGCCCGAGCTGCCGGAACTGCCAGCATTGCTGCGATACCTGAACGAGACGAGGGACTTTTATGGATTTATGAAGAAGGTCCGACAGGCGTTCAAGGAACTTTCGAAAAAGTAAATGGTCAGTGGACACCTTCCAGCGCCCTTGATAGCCAATTCTACAACTTTAATTTGCTCGATAAAAAGTAGACCTTGCGCATCAAGACCAAGAAGAAAGGGTGCTGGATTTGGAGGGGCAGTCGAAGGATGAGCAATGGGGCAGCAAGTGTTCGTTGCTCTTAGTCTGTGTTCTGTGTTCTATGTGTCGTCGCCTTGTTGCTACTGTTGCATGTGTTAGGGCTGACTGGACTGGATTGTAAAGTGTAAAGGGAGGAGGGAGCAAAGAACAAAGAGGAGGGACGATGTCATGGTGCGTACCCGCGTGCGAATTGTCTGTGTATGGATTCGTCGGGTTCACTTTTTTTGTTTGTCTCATTTCTCCCTTGCACTCTTTTTTTTTCCCAACACACACACACAACACAATCAGTGAGACACAGACAGCAAACACAGACAGACAGGCGCACCCTTTTTTTTATTTTTCCTCTTTCTTCTTCCTTTTCTTTCTTTCTCTACTTTGCATTCACACTTCTTCACTCACTTTCTCCCACCCTTCTCTCATTCGCACTTTGCATTCCACTTGCACACAAGCAAAACACACACGACCATCACTACTTCACCCACGTTTACCTACATACAACAACAACCTTAACTCGAAATGACCTCACTCCATGCACAGTTCCTGGCAACGCACACTGTCGCCAACGTCCTCAGCGAGAAGAAACAGGACCATGACCTAATTGATATCCAGGTCACCGCCACCGTCGAAACAGTCTTTCAGACCCTCCTTGCCAACGGTAAGAATAACCATCCTCGTTTCTCTGTGCAATTGCCTTTATTTATCTGTAATGGCATAACGAGCTCCCGACAGATAATAAAGTTGACACTTGCAAAAAAGACACCATGGTCACTGAAATTGTTGCCTTTCCAGAATACAATACAAGTGTTGTCACCTTGACAACTTTGAATGGCGCCCTTGAATATATCGTCTCCGGGTGCAATTGCGCCGTCATAAGGGAGCGAATACGTTGGTTTTCTCACGGATGAGCCCAACAGTGGTCATGAAAAAGAGAGAACAGGTGGAGGAGTGCACTTTGAAAACTGAGCCAGAACATGAATCCGAACTTGAACCTGACTCTGATTGTCGTCTTTATCTCTCTTGCTTTTGCCTTTTTTCTACTCTCCGCATGTCCCGCCCGGCCGCTTTGGATGGCGTTCTTCTCTCTCTCGCTGTTTCCCTCTGCGACCCTTTTTTTGGTCTCGTCTGGACCCGCGACCTGCCTGATTCTGGATCATGGGAACATACACAACAACACGGAAAATTTTCACTCCTGACTGGACGCCCAATGGAGAGTAGACATCCTCTCGGTGCCCGTGTACCGCAAGTTCAACAATCGGAAGGACTATGTCGCCATCATTGACGCCTTTGACCTTCTTTCGACCCTTGAGGTAAATGAATGGGCAAAAAGAAGAATGAAGTATTTTATCGGACTTTTTTCTTTACTCTCCTCCTGCCCCCGTGGGAAACAGATGAAAAAAAGGCGACAAGGTAGTATTTGCTGCCGTCATAATGCAGCAAACTGGGGAGCACGATGGAATTGACACACCGACTCTTTATTTTATTTTGTACCTTCGAACATGTAGGAGCAAGGGTTGTCGTCAGACTCGGCGAAAGGGTTGAACACCGAGTTCCTGTCGATGCCCGTGGCGATTCTGGTCGGGATGACGAAAAGTTCCTCCAAGCTGTGGACATGCCAGCCAAGTTTCTCCTTGACGCAGTTGTAAGTGAACATCGGAGGGAGACGGATTCACGGGCGTACAAGAAAAGTGGGGGCTCGACGGATGTGCAAATACGGCATGCGCATGTGGGCTGTGCAACGATTCCTAACCAAAAAAAAAACCACGTTTTTTGTTTCCCTTGACCCCATTCACTTTTTTTTAGGATCGAATTGTTTACAAAGCACCGTGTGCACCGCATTTTGGTGGTGGAGGACATTCCTGTCCGCACAGATCAGGCCGATACGGAGGAGAACACTGCCATTGAGCAGCAACAGCAGGAACGCAAGCCCTTAGCAGGACGCTTGATCTCGCAGACAGATGTCATTCGATACCTGCTTGAGCACAATCACGAGCTAGGCTCCATTCTGGATATCTCAGCGGATAGCTTTGCAGGATATGCCCTGAAATATGCAGAGGAGTACCTTGACGAAGCAACGGCGAGCAAGCTCAAGAGGACTCCTGTGTCCATCACCATCCAGTCCCAGGCTTGGGACGCCCTTCAAAAGATGTCCACTTCCCATGCCACCTGTGTTGCCATCGTCGGTAAGACCTCTTGTATTTTCTGCATGCCGAGATGAAGACCTCACCTCTTTTTTTTCTGCGTGACATACTGAACGATCATTATATTTTGCTTTCTGAATTAGATTCAGATGGGGCCCTCGTAGCAGAAATGTCGGCGGCTGACTTGCGTGGGATCAACCCTAACAGGATCGAGGACTTACATCGCCCCGTCCTAGTGTTCCTGAAGACATGTCAAGGAAGTCTCAAGAAGCCACTGAGCTGCCGGGCAAGATTTTCTCTGGGACAGTTGATGAGCGGCGTGGTTCGCAGCCATGGCCATCGGTCTTGGTTGGTCGATGGTGAGGACCGGCCTGTTGGGTGTATCACCCTCAGCGACATCCTTGCCGTCTTTTTGGGATAGACCTCGACGCGCTTATCAATTGGAGGGCTTTGTTGCGGATGCAAGGAAGGCAAAGACCGCGTACGCTTCTGGTGTATTAGATAGCATGAAAATAGCATGGACATTTGATTCAATTGACTTCTTGTTCTTACATTCATATCCAACTAGAGGTGTTATGTATGGGGTTTACTGCGACGACGTGAACGTGATATGATTTTCTCTGCGTCTTTATCTTTACAACATCATTTTTCGTGTCAAACGATCACACGTGGTTCTTGGGCACCTGGACCATATACAAAGAGTTCGAAAAAAAAACTACCTCGAGCGATTTGTCAGGACAAACAAACACAGTACTAGCCTCTTTTAGAATGAAGCTGAAGAGACGGGACGATGATATCTCTGGTTGGTGGATTGGAGGCTCTGTCACACGCACGTCTCATTTTGTTTTCATGGTAGAAGAAAAACAATGACGGACAAGGATCGCCCCTTTGCTAGTTAGACTAACACAACAGTCCAGGGTTCTCCGTGTATCGAAGCAGGCTCATTTTTTCAATTTACAGGAAATCCTTGGATTCAGTCGTTTCGATTTACCGTGCGTGCGCATTTGAACCATATGGAGTATACGGATCGGTGATCGGCAAACGCCTTGCTTTTATTTCTATTCTTCAAATCGCAATGATGACACCTTTTTGACGCGACCATGCTATTGAAAACTAAGAGTCTCGCGGTAAAACATCTAAAGCCCCTTAATAATAGATAATTACCCATATTGTTACTCAGGGGAGAGGGTCGACGGCCAGAGTTGTAGGACCGCTGTTAGGTCCTCAATTGGTACGGAGGAGGGGGGGAAGGGGGTTGTAGGTTGGAGGGAGGGGAAGTGATAATAGCGTCCTAAAAAAATCACACAAAACGATACACTGCAGCGTGCCAGCGAAACTCTTGTCAATACTGCTCTCGTCCAAGTGATGTGTAAAAGGACCTTGTATTCATATTATTAAAGAGGGGGTTGTTACCTGCAGCGTGCCAGCGAAACTCTTGTCAATACTGCTCTCGTCCAAGTGATGTGTAAAAGGACAAAGAGCAGACAAGAGGGCTCGGCGCACTACTAATACTATGTCTACTAAAGAATATGACTGCTAACCTAAGGCATCGCCGCCACTGCCTAGCCACCGCATCTTTTTGTAACAATATGACTTTGCCCCCATGAACAGAATAACGCGACCTCGAACATCACGAAGCAATGATTGAAAGAGCCGGCATCGAAGGATCAAAACGCAACGTCACCATGAACGGCAAAAGTTTTATTCCTTCCACATAATATTTGGGGCAAGTGTTATACGAGACTAATCGTAGTCGACTTCACACAGGCTCTTCTGCATTCACTGCGAGAAGGGAAAAAAAATTCCCATCACGAAGTTGTTACATATCTATATTCGCACGTGTTGGATTTGGGTTCGAAGAAGTAATTAGATCCCCTAGCTTTACATGGCTTCGGGCTACGTCTCCTAAGGCATCGGACATCCTCGACATTTATCGATAGATGGGTGGGATTTACTTCTGACGTGATCGATCCACCAGCGCTGCTCAATTGGAGAAACCACAGGACTGTAATGATTACGACGGTGGTACGCATTGTCTCCATGTTTGATGTACACTGTGTGAGCCATTGCGTGTATCCCTTCGTGTGCCGTAACATGAAAAACACAATACAAGCATTGCAGAATCTGCTGCTTATCGTGACCGATTCGTGGAATGGTGTTGGAGAAGTTAGGTGGACGCTCTTTGACGGCGCTTGAATTGATTCTTGCTTTGCGATTCAGCTGACGGGAATGTTCTGGATGTGTGAGTTAAACTAGTGCTGGAAGCGACTCCTTTATATAAATATAACGAAGCAAGTGCTGAAAGAGCTGACATCGAGGCCCCTTTGATCATTAAGGTGTCCCACCATGTCCGTGGCCTTCCATTTCCAATGTCCCTTTTCCAGCATCCCTTGCACTTTTCCTGCCGTCCCTTGATCTTTTCCTAGTGGTGTTGGCCCTTGATAGTTTTTCTTGATGGTGTCCCTTGATGTTGTCCATTGGTGTTGCCCCTTGAGGTTGTCCCTTGGTGTTGTCCCTTGATGTTGTCCATTGATGTTATCCCTTGATATCATCCCTTGACTCTTGGTGGCTCCTTGATTTTTTCCCTTGGTATTGTCCCTTGACGCGTATCCCTTGGTAACACGCTTGGAGTTGTTCTTTGGACCAGATCACTGATTTTTCTTAGAGCGATGCAAGAACGTCTTCTTTTCTCGGAGCTGCAAACCCAGGAATATATGCGCGCATCCACCCTATTTCTGTTCTCAGGACCATATAAACACGCCCTCCCACTTTCTTTTTCTCTTCACATCAATACCCTTTACCACCAACAAGGTAAGTCTCTCATCTCACACCCTTGTCGTTGACCGGCAATAAGTAATAGGGATTTCGTTCGCTGTCTCACACCACTTTCGCATTGTGTAGCCAACGCTCTTCCTGCCTCTTGATACATTTCGTCACTGTGTTCGTCGTCGCCTGCAATACCAACATAGTAGGTACCTATGTGATATCTCTCTCACGCACGGCTGTCGCCTTGTAACGCAACACTCTCTTTGTATTTGCTACTGATTCATCCCATGCTCAAACCACTACCGTTTCTCCTCTTGACATGCTCATATAGAAACGCAACGTTGTGAACATTTACACAACACTCGCAATGGCCCTCTGCTTGGCCCTCTCCATGGTTCCAACCAACATTTCCGCAACAGTTGATGGTTATTTGCAGACATGCATCACGTTGGATGAATCCAAGAAACGGTATTACGGAGAACTTTCTACCAAGCGAGACATAAAACAAACCTCCACACAAGCACCCAACAAAGAAGCCAACAAAGCGTGTTATGCCGCGCATGACGCATGCCTTGGCAAGCCTGATGCAAACCGTCCAGATTGTGCATCTGAATTAGCTTCGTGTTTAGGGTATAATCCTTATGAGGAGCAATCTTTCTAGTCAACACTAGGATATTAGCAGTCTGTAAGGTGATCCCACAGATGTTTCCTCACAATAATAATACCTTCAGTAATGAACTTTTCTTGTCCGGTTATGGCACACATGTTTGCAGATACACGTTGGGTCTAACGGTATGCCTTGCTGTCTTTTTTGCGGTGCAAGGTACACGAAGATGCCCCAATTGCCGTTCTGTGGTTATTTTGCTCACTCAAAATATTCTTGAGAGGGTATCTTCCTGTTGGATATGCAAAGTCCCCTCGATCGTAAATTTCCATGGCCGCAACATTCAAGCACCTTTGTTGGTGATGTTACAAAATCCATACCCCTTCTATCCATCACCGTGCTAGAATAATGTAGATACTATGCAGGTAGAAGATGAGAAGCACGGTGATTCTCAGTTCTTTGCCTCTTTTCAGAGACACTTGCACTAACGATTGGCTGGCCACCATTTCAATGTGCGTGTATTGCAATGACCGAAACTAGTGTCTATTGAAGGAACAACAAACCAATAACCTATATCAACTGCAGATGCAACGATCGCCTGTTCAACCGTTATCGGGCCTCCTGAATTTGCAACAGTGAGAGGATACGGCGCTCTTGTCTAGTGGTTCAGACTTTAAAAGTACCTCTTCTGACCGCGTTTTTTGTATCATTGAACTGTGCTCGGATAGTCTCAAAGGATATATGTTATCTTTGCCAAACTAAGAGAAAAAATACTATTGTATAGCATCAAATAACCAGCCTTTCATATTTTAATCTCACTCCAAGCTTTATGCCTTTTTAAATTGAGATCTACGATTATCGTTTGTTGAAGCGTTAGGCCTTGTTTGAATGGAATAATTGTGAGGATATTCTTGGACGTCCGTGGCATCCGCTTGAACTAGTTTTCGTTTGACATATGGCAACAGGATTTGGTTACCGTTTGCTCTAATCAGCTCTACTATGTTCCGTTCAAAAATGCCGGCGATACCGGGAGGGGAATTGAGAAATCGGCACTCTTTGTTTCATTGGATGTGTAATATGCAGAAGGATTCGGTAGTTGGATGCGCGTTGCTTTGTTTTTTTTCGCTCGCCTTAGTTTCGGAAGGAAGATCAATGAAGGTGGAAGAAGGGTTAGTCTACCTTTGTTGTATAATGAATGGAGGGCGCATATTATTTTCGCTCAAATGGACGACGATTCGAGGAGCGCCTCGCTTCCTTCTTGCCAGTATTGTGAACTGGACGTGGCATTGATATATTGATGCCTTAATAAGAAAGACAATGGGCCTCCCTATTGACGCTCTACTGTTACCTTGCCGAGTAGTAAATATCTTGGCGAGAATGCGATCTCAAGTCGTGTCGACCAGCTTGTCTTGACGCGCGTAGTAAAAATATCGTAGATTTAAGATCTTATCCAGCTAGGGCAGACGAGCCATGTCTGTGTAATCAATCTTCATTGGTTGCACTCGAGAAACTAACCTAAGGAAAAAAATAAAAATGAGCCTGCTCGATTTCTGCACACCATCTTTCTTCTTCTCGCACTCAGGAACACATCCATTCGAGCAAAACAAACGATCAATGATAATCCCTCTCATCAACTCCCTACAGAGAATGGCAATTCCATCCACCAGCAGCCTTCGAGCGACAACTTCGCCCAATTCATCCGCATGCTCGGCACTCTTTCCCCTGCAGACCGCCAAACTCTTGCATCAGCCCGCTCCCCTTCTTCCTCTTCCACTGACACCGACCCTGACCCCTATCTGTCAACGAAACCCGCGGTCCAGATCTTGGAGCCTTACGACCGACTGGAAGGATGGCTTACCAGTTTCAAGCAGCGCAACGAATTCTTCAACTTCACCAAGACACGCGAACTGGAAGACTATGCCGACGTCAAACAGTTCCACCGAGTCCAGCACCTTGACTATGCAGCTCCCCCTCTCACCAGTTCCAAGGATGTTAACGTACACAAAAACATCTTCAAGCGTGACCAGGACATGGCAACAATTCAAGCACGTCTCGCCCATCTCACTCGACCAATCGACGCAACAGTACACGCAATCCTCGCATCCAACCCCGTGAACATTGAGGACCCTGTTCTTATCAACATCATCGGGACATTCGACATCCTTCGGTACAACCTTGCTTTCATCGCCACTGAAATCACTCACTTGCGCAAGGATGCTCTGTATCGAGACAAGAAAATCATTCCCCCTGCTGACCCTAACGACAAAACGCCGCTCATCACCCATCAATAATTTATTGACCAGGAGAAGTTCACCTACTCCCTTCGAAAAGCTTCAGGCCAAACCGGACGTGTCCGTGGACGTGGCCGTGGCCGCGGAGGATTCAGCAACATGGGCAATCGCAATGGGCAACAGAACAACAACAACTATTTCGACAATTCTCTCGAAAATTCTGGAAACAAGGACAATAGTAACAACGGATCACATGTTCAAACTCCGACACCTCCACCAATAGCAACAACAACAATAACAACTCTGGAGCCACAGACATGGCTCGTCTGCCCTAGCTGGATAATGGGTTACGAGGACGACGAAGGAAGTCTTGCGTCCATTATCCGAACAGACGAGCCATGTCTGTGCCCTCCCAACCCTCCCTTTCGTTTAGTTTAGTTTTTCTTTTTCTCTTTTCTTTCGTGCTCGGTGTGCAGAGATCGAGCGGGCTCATTTTTATTTTTTTTCCTCTGTTTAGTTTCTCGAGTGCAACCAATGAAGATTGATTACACAGACATGGCTCGTCTGCACGGATAATGGACGTAAGACTTCCTTCGTCGTCTTCGTAACCCATGATGTGATTGTTGCAAAAGAACTATTTTATGTGATCTAGTGCTTATTTTCATGGTCTTAGAATCTTTCCTCTCCATCGTTTGGTGTCCATTTGTGTTTTGAAATGACTGACCTCATTGCAACGCGTCGCGTACCCGATGCATGGTCCCTTCGAGCGTACACGAATCATTTTCTTTTTCGGTTATCTTGGTGTTTATTCTAGGTCGTGTTTTTCCGATTGACCCTAAAAAGCTGCCAGGAGAATATATATGCATGGGCCTTCTGACCGATCTTCGTTTGTATTTAGTTGTCTTGAACCGATAGCCGACCCTGGAGCCAGTAAGCTAACTTTCGCTCTGTGAAGAATAAGCGCTGGTTGCCTGAATGTGTTGTGTGTGTTTTATGTCATGTTGACCATTCTTTTTCCAATGAGTGTCAAGTACGCGCCGATAAGTTTGGACAAGTTGATGGTTTTTTTCTTTCGAATGGCTAAGTTCTACAAAAGATCGTAAGTGTCGGTGATTTCTCCTATGTTCTTTTTATTTTCCGGAAAACAAGCGCGTCGCTAGGCACTGAACTTTTCAGAGATGGTGCCCCACTTTTAGACGTGCTCTTACACATGGACCTTACTCTTTCCTTCAGACATTTCGCCCCGAGAGATTTGACCGCTGTATGCTTTCCATCCCTTTCCAACATGCTGTTGAGTCTTTTTTATACCCCATTGGCTTCGTAGATCTCTACTAGTAAGATATACCCTGTTTAGAAACGCTTCTTTAAACCACACACGTACTGACGAGCGATATCCATCTGTTGTCTTATGCCTTTTGTCTTTGCTATCCTTTTCTTTTGAACTGTACAATCAAATAGTGTGTAGCCTTATTCGTTATTACCTTTGTTGAATCAAACGCATACTGCAGCCAGCCGCGGATGTCGGACTTGTTAGGATCTTGACGATTGAACTCACATCAATTCATCACAAGTCGATTTCAGAGAGGGACACAAATGGTACAAGTTGTAGTCGGATATTTGGTTGTGGTGTTGCCTTTTCTGTACGGCTAGATCACTTTTCAAACGCTACAGGCTCCGCTTGGTTTCCTTCTTTCGCCAGGGTTATTTTTTCCAAGGTTCACACATCGTCAATCATGTTTTGTTTCAACAAGGTAGCTTGCCATTGAATGCATCATCAAAATAGACAAGAGTTACCCTTTAACTTACCCACACAAAGCTCTCCATTATATTTGTCATTCATTGCTGAATAGCTCTCCTTTACATAATCAAGACCTCAACCAATAAATGTACCAATTGTGAGGGCTTTTTACTACTCTCAAAAAAATCGGGGATGAAAAGAAGACTGTGTGTCGACTTTTTTTTTTGGTGCTAGAACTCCTTTTTTTTTTGTTGTCCATTCATGTGCAGCACTTTTTCTGAGTGTTGAGAATATGAAATAAACCGCAGGACGTTTTGTTGGGTTGTCGCACTATCGCTTCCTTCATTTCTAGTCCTTTACTACTCGTCCTATGCCACCTGTTCTCCGTCATCCCTTAGCTCATCTTTAATCCTTCCGTCCTTATACCTCCTTCCTCCTCGACTCTCCCTTGGCACTCATCCCCCGTCTTTCCGCTAGATCTGCTGGGGAGCCCGAAGTCTTCTGCCGTAAGATCGTCATATGCCTCATTACTTCTTAGGGGTACACGCTGCATCGATGCTGTACCACACGCCGTGGACGCGTTTGGCGACATCCTGAACCTGCGCACGATCAAATAGCTCAGTCGGGATGGTTGTGTGATGAGGCTCTGTAGTGACAGCGCCAACTCCTGCCTTCTCCGGATCTGAATTGATAATGGCGTGGATGGGGATCAAGGTCGTGATCGTGACGAGTCCTCGGGTAACATCATGTTTTCGCCCAGAGACAGTGTTGTACCCGTCGACGCAGCTGACGATTTCGCCATTGGGACGGTAGTTGTGGCGCATGTCGTTGGTGCGGCAGCAATGGCATAGCGATAGAGTTGATCCTCCCGGGATGACGGGTTTGAGTGGCTTGTCGGAAGGGAGTGGTTGCCCTTTGGGGAGGAACAGTAACAGATATATTCGGATCTGAGGCAGACTACTGTCATTACGTAGGCGATTGGGAAGGGGGGGGGGGGGATTTGGTGGTGTCTTAGTCCCCTTTTTCGCACACGGTTGTCCAGATGAGAAGCTCACGGACACTCAGACTACGATACGTGTCACCATTGCTTAGTTCTACTCCCTCTCATCACTTTCAAAGCTCACGCATGTTGAGGATTTAGGGTGCATGTAGTGCTAGGGACTAAGCACTTTTTTTTTCTTTTTTTTCTTTTTTTTCTTTTTTTTCTTTTTTTTCTTTTTTCTTTGGGTGACAGGCGTGCTTGTGTTTGTCGACATGTGAAGCTCCATTTTATTTTATGATTTTTTGTTCATGATCACAATGTGGCTTTCTTTTGGATCCGATCGGTTTGCTAGGCTCGGTTTGCCTCATTTCACGCAGTTTTAATTACCCCTTTTTTAGGAAGAAAGGGAGCTGCGGATATAGGAATGTGTTAGCATCTCGCCTTTGTTGGCTGAAGGCATAGTGTTCAGGATAATATGCTTCTGTTATGATTCTTGGATGTGGTGTGTTCAGCATCTGGCGTTTGCTTTGATCCACATGATGATGCGCACGGATAGTTTTGTCAAGGTCTGCATCATCATTTTTTTTAGTTGGTTGCGTATCAATTTACGCGCGTCGTACTCCATCATCCTTTTTATTTCTATCGTTCAAAACGTTTTTTTTGACGACTAATGATAAAAAATTGTTGAGGAAAAAAAAATCATTCTCATTGCTTATGCGTTCCATGACTAGATATGTTCGAGGTCCAACCTTAGGGAGAGTGAGTGCACTGTCTCATCACGGTTACTATAGAAGGTTATCGCCTGTTTTTTTTTGTCCCATTTATGCAAACTGCAGAAACAAACGTTGCGGAATCTTTTCTACCTTGTGAACGACAATGAAAAATAAAAGGATAAAAAGAAAGTTGTACATGTCTACCTTCACGAAAGTTGGAGAAACGGTTGCTTTTGGAGTAATATAGTGTAGAAATGAAGGAGGGGACCGCAAATTGAGAGAAAAAAAAGAGATGGCACTGACTGAAATGAGGAGCGAAGCTGTGGCTGAGAAGAACATGTAGGTAATCGAATAGACTCTTTTCTTATGTCCCTAGTCTTCTGACTGAGAAGTCCATCACCTTTTATCGAAGGGTGCAAAGCCCCATAACGCGTCACTATGTGATGCACGAAAATATCGAAACGCGTCGATATCTATCTGGGTGGCGCAGAAAAATTAGATCAGACGAATAACCACTCATCAGAGTTCCCCCCCGCCCACCTATCTGCGTGCTGTAGACAACATTCATCCCGGGTTCGACAGACAGGGAGAAAAGGCGCTTGTGTCTCAAAGAATAGCGTGAAAGGAAAGCTCGTGCCGTATTTGCATGCATGGGCTTGAGCGAAAAAAAGGCACAAGGTAAATCCGGAAGGTTGTCAACTCGAGCATGGCATTTTCCTTGAAGATGCGCGTCCTTGCTAACAGCGGCAAGTAAATGAAGGTGTCCGAATCCGTCCTTCCCCTTTAATTCGTCCTCTTTACTCCCTTCAAACAACCAACATGCCTGGCTCCCCTTCTCTCTCTGTCCCTCACACCCCCTTCTTTCTCTTCCTGTGTCCCATCTTTCTTTCTTTCTTTCCTATTTTTTTTGGTTACTTTGTCCTCCTCTCTCCCCTTCGACTTCTTCAACCTGACCAGTCAGCAATCCTTCAGTATGGCTAGCTGCCGGGTATAGGATACGATAGCAGAAACAGGGCCTTGTTTTGATATTTTTTTGTATTCTTTGCCGTGGTGGATGACCAGGGAGTTGATAGAGAAGGTGCCGACCGATATCTTTTTATTTGCCATCCGTCTTGTCTGCCTCGTAGCCTCTCCCCCCTTTTTCCATCTGTTTGCATCTTTCCTGGCTCCCCTTCTCTCCTCTCTTCTTTGCCCTTTCTTCTTTTTTGTCTTCCACTTTCTCGCTCACAACCTCTTTTTTGTTCCTTTTCCTCTCTCCCTTCTAAACCCTTTTCCCTCTAGCCCCATTCCTGCATCGTTCTCCATCGCTCCTTCCCTCAACAGCCATTTTTGCAACAGGTAAAGCACAACCCATCCACTCTTCCTCTTTTCGTTCCACCTGCCTCTACCCTCTTCCCACTTTCGATGTCATCTTCCTGTTGTTTTCTCTTGTCACACAAAGGCCCACGACAACTGAATAGACGCTGACACCATTCTCTCACTTTTCCTTGACACGGACCCACCAATAGAAATCGTAACCAACCATGCACACATTTTCGCCTCTCTTGATCGTCGCCACCTTCTTGGCCCTTGTCTCCACCGCCTTCGGTAAGCAGCATGGGTCGCTTCAGTGGTCTCTCACAAGCATCTCATTAGCTTTAGCAGAGAAGAACATAGGTCCTCACCAACAAACCTTGCTCTATCACTTTTCCCTTTCTTCCTCTTGATACTTCGTAGCGGACCTGGTTATCACATCACCTACTACGACGTCGTTCATTGTTGCCGGCGGTCAATTGCCCATCACCTGGTCCTACTCTGGTCCCCAACCACCTTCCCCTGCCACCATCTCCGTCGAGCTCGTTGACAACGTATGTATCTTCTAAGTATTCTTTCTGAGGGGGTACATACAAACCAAACGAAGGGGTCACCTACTAACTCTCTCTGTCACTCTTTTCTTTTTTTCTTTGTCTGTGCGGACCATACTTGCCTCTGGATAATGCATTCGATAAACCATCTCTGTCGCTCTCACTCTCTGGAATGTTTTCATGCCACCCCCTTTCTTATACTGGACTCACGACCCAATCTGGCCCAACCAAACAAACCCGTTCACACAACACACGGACACCCCCCCCCCGGACACACATAGTCAAAGGCGCTGTTCACGGGCCCTCTGGCCCTTTTCTCTAGCCTGGCAACAGCCTCAGGAAGTGCCACATGGTCAGTTCCCAAACTCGGTTTCGCGGGCGCCAATTTCTCTGTGCTCTTGATCGCCAACGTCAATAACCAGGCGACAATCTTTGCCCAGGGCCCTGCGTTCTCCATCATGCCCGAAGGCACCGCACGTACGCCAACTTTTTTTTTTGTGTGGTTTCTTTGTGCTGAGAGGAAAACTGCTTGATTTTGAACAGAGGACTAATCATTTTTTTCCCCTCTGACTCCCTTTGTGAATAGCACCAAAAGCAAACACAACCACAGGCACAACCAATCCCTCGTCAGCGGCGGCGGCAGTGACAAGGTGGGAGTGGGCTGGAAAGGGTGTCCTGGCCCTTACCTCAACCCTATTCGTCTGGATGCAGCTCTAAGCGGTCTCTATACTCTCCCCTTTCCTATTCATGGACGCTGTTGATACTTATATCTCCCCTATCCGTATCGGTCACTCATCCATATTGTATGTATCCAATGCACTTAATACTTTACACTTTTGTGATTCCTCTCTTGTTGTGATCCTTGATGGTAGTTGCTGAAAGGTTGTCATGAACTTAGTAATAAACACTCTTGAGATCCATATCATATCCAATAATTGGTGGTTGGGGTGTCCATTATTTGAAAAACGGAAAAAAAACTAGTGTACAATACTAATGCGAAAAAAATGAGGTCAAGCGTAGGAGAAAGGCGGAAGGGGAGGAGGAGGAGGGGGGGTGTTGAAAAAAAGGTATCCAGGAGCAAAATGAAATCCAGGTTTTCCTGAGGCAAAAAAAATGACTCCAGAGTTTTACTTCTTGGGGGCAGGCTTGGCCTTGGTAGGCAAAGCCTTGGAGATCTTGCCAGTGCCGACCTTGGGCATACCTCCAGCCTTGCGCTTTCCACCAGCCTTGCGCTCAGCCGCCAATCCAGCATCGGCGAGAGACTTCATGATGGTCAGCTTTCCAGTGGCTCCTGCACGGGTGGCCATGACGGTCTCAATGTTCTTGTTGATCTGGGCCGAGAGTCTCTGCTGGGTCGACTTTTGTTTGATCAGCATGTTGCTCTTGGGGGCGTATGATCTTGCTATTGTTGTTGGTTGATGGGTGAGTAATAAGAAGATAGGCATAGGGGTTGTCAGTCGTCTGGGTTTCGTCCGACTTATCCGTGTAGTGTCCTGGTGTGCAAGTTTGTCTTTGTCTGTATTATCCAGGTAGTAAAAGTACCTCCTTTCCGGAGGAGTCCGGTGTTCTGCTTCTTGACGTTGTCCTTGACGACATTGGACTTCTTGATAACCTTCTGTGCCATTGTTGATGATGAGTTGTTGGATGCGGAGTAGGTGGCGAGATGGGTGTGTGAGAACAAAGAAAAAGAAAAAAAAAAGAAAAATGCCTCCTCTCAATGTTTATCTCTCCTCTGCGTGACTTGCAGTCGGAATTGGACTCTTTTGGCTTGACCTGGACGAACCAAACCAGCTCTGTTCCTGTCTGTCCCTTTCATCACCCAACTTCTTCCTCATCACCTCTCAGACCACCAACACTTATTCTCCCTTCCCCTACCACACACCTACCAAACACCCTCAATCCCCCTCCTCAGTAATGGCATTACCCAACCTGCGCCGAATCTTCGCATCCTCTAGGACGGCCGAGGAAGAAGCCCAAATCTCCCGCTCGGCATTCTTCAAGTTCTCAGGATACGTTCTCACCTGTGCATTCATCACCTGGGTCGCCACCAAGCAGGGCGCTCACCTCCGCCTTGGCGCCCCTTCTCCCTGAAAGTAGTCTTGAGGTACTTTTGCAGCACACAGTCTGGCCCTTCATGGAGCGAAGGCGGGAAACAGTAGCAGGAACAGGAGCACACCCAGCTCGTCGCAGTCAGTACGACACCTACTTGGCAAAGACACGGTTTCTTTCAAGAACGACCTTCAATATACCCCCCCATCGTCAGCAAACAACACTCTTCTCTCCTCGTTGTCTCCAATAAACGACCTTCCTACACGTTCAATTAATCCCACCATCGTCGCAGTTTTGCTCGCTTTCTGCCAAAAAACCCCCGGTTCTTTCATGCCTTCCCCTTCGACTCTTTGTAACTTGAGAGTCCTGACCAATCCCCAGTCACACAGATTTCTCAGTGCGCTTTGCCCAAACATAACAACCAAATGGACACTGCTCCAGTAGTTCTCCCTACGGTTGAGAATCTGGTCCTTTTAAGCGTTTGTTCTCGGGGGGTTTTTTTGCTTGTTCTATATGAAAGTTTATTATTGTACAATGTGTTTGATGCATGTTGTGTGTTTGCTGTGTTGTATGGTGAAGAAGCGACAGTGCCAGATCAAAGGGGCGAGGAAAGAGTGGGCTGATTTGACTGGCTGGCTGGAGGTGACTGGTTGGTTGGAGTTGGCTGGTTGACTGATAGAAAGTGGGTCCTTGTGCACGCGAGTAGACAAAAGTGGCAGAGCTCCTTCCTGCAATTATGCTATCCTTGATCCCGTCAAAAAACAAGAGTCGCCCCGCCAACCAAACAGATCTCAGTATCCTCCCCCCAATCCTCCAGATCTCCTTCCAGTCTTGCGAAAAATCACGCAATAAAAACGGGAACCTCCTTTTTTGCTCCTGACCCTCTCCTCCTTGCCTGACTGCTCAAGTCCCTCTCGCTCGTTTAGTTGTGGCGCTTGGCTTCGAGACGAAGCTTCTCGTACAACTGGGTGACTTGGTGGTTGATGGATGTAGGGGCCGAGTGAATGGCGGTGCCGTTGGAGAGGAAGTTGTGGAGGGCGACAACGGTCTCGGTGGCGGTCAACGAACGCGAGTCGATGATCTCGAGCTTCAGTGGTGGTGGTGGGGCACGGGCAGTCGACGACATCTTTTTGTTGTTGTTGTTGGTGGTGATGAATGAAAGGTGTTGGGCGCTCCCCTTTTTGTGGGCTGAAAAAGATAAAAAAAGTGAGAACCAAAACAAAAAAATGGGAGAAAAGCCACAGATTCGGACCATTGCTGGCAGTCACGGTCCACAACCCACTTCTGGCTCTTGCTCGGATTTTTTTTGTCAACACCCTCTTTCGCCGAACTTTCCTTTACACTTTTCCCTTCCGGACTTTCATTCAGGAACAAAGACATGTCGATGCTGACTACAAGGGCCTGCAGACTCGTCCTCAGACGGACACTTGTCTCCCACCGTGGACTCGCAACTACCACCAACACTATCGTCCCCCCTCCCTCTTCCACTTCTACCGACTCTTCTTCCTCGTCCACCAACAACAACCAGTCCGCCTCAACCACCACTTCTCCTTCCACCTCCACCAAGACTGCCACCGACAAAACAAAGAAAAAGCACATCGTCTTTGGAAACCGCGGCCCGTCCCTCCAAGACTTTCTCAATTCAACCACCACCTCCCCCTCCTCAAAACCCGCACTCGACCCCACAACAACAACGCCCCTCGACATTCCCTACCTCTCCATGAAAGGCCGCCAACTCGGACAAGGATCGAAATACTTTGTAGAAGTCTACGGCTGCCAAATGAACGTCAACGATACCGAGATCCTGATGGCCATCATGAACGGGGCCGGGTACACCAAAGCCGACGATCATGAGGATGCAGATATCGTGTTTCTGGTGACTTGTGCGATTCGGGAGAATGCCGAGACGAGGATTTGGAACCGATTGGCGGATTTGAAGAGGAAAAGGTTGGGGCCTTTGAAGGATCGTGCGCCGCTTGTTGGTGTCCTTGGCGTAAGTTCTTTTTTTTTCTTTCTTTATTTGTGGTTTTGTTCTTGATTGGAAAGTGCAAAGAATTAATTTGGTGGTTTATTTTATCCTTTGAGAATAGTGCATGGCGGAGAGACTGAAGGACAAGTTACTGGACTCAGACAAGATGGTCGACTTAGTCTGTGGACCAGACGCATACAGATCCATCCCGCACCTCCTTTCCATCTCTGAAACCACCCGTCAGGGCGTCGCAAACGTCATGCTCTCTGCCGACGAAACCTATGCCGACATTGTCCCACTCCGCATCTCCCCCGAATCCTTCTCGGCCCACTTGTCGATCATGCGTGGATGCAACAATATGTGTTCCTTCTGTGTAGTGCCATTCACGAGAGGCAATGAGAGGTCAAGGGATGTGGAGAGTATTCTGAAGGAAGTCAAGCAGTTGAGTGATCAGGGGGTCAAGGATCTGACGCTGTTGGGCCAGAATGTGAATTCGTATCGGGATACGAGTAAGGATGGAGTTGAGCTTTCGGAGGGCGTAGGCGCAGAACTGAGTAACCCTGGGTTCAATACGATCTACAAGCGCAAGGATGGTGGCATGCGGTTCACAGAGTTGCTGGACAAAGTTTCGTTGATCGACCCGGAGATGCGGATCCGGTTCACGTCCCCACATCCAAAGGATTTCCCGACAGCGCTGTTGCACCTCATGGCATCCCGTCCCAATATCTGTTCTCAGATCCATATGCCCGCCCAGTCTGGGTCTACAACCGTCCTCTCCAAGATGCGACGCGGCTACTCTCGCGAGGCGTACTTTGAACTCGTCGACAACATCCGAACCATTGTTCCTGGCGTTGCGCTCTCTTCGGATTTCATTACGGGATTCTGTGGCGAGACGGATGAAGACCATAAGGACACCATGGACCTAATGCGCAGGGTTGAGTACGAGATGGCGTACATGTTCATGTACTCTCGTCGTGAGGGGACACATGCGGGCCGCAGACTGCAGGATGATGTCCCTGAGGATGTCAAACTGAGGCGGTTGCAGGATATCATTGGAATCTTCCACAAGGGTGCCGAGAACCGGTTCCGTGCACGTGTGGGGCTCCCTGCTGGAGAGTGTGTGCTTGTCGAGGGACGGAGTCGGAGGGACAAGAGTCGGTGGATTGGTCGTGCAGATGGAGGGTTCAAGATTGTGTTTGATGATGACTTGATCCTCCCCACTATTGAGTCCTCCTTGACTTCTGGGGGTGTAGGTGGAGGAGAGAAGGGACGGGTCCAGATCAAATTGGGGGATTATGTCCAGGTGGTCACGACAAGTGCGACTAGCACGTCATTCCAGGGTAAGGCTGTTGCTCGGACGTCTTTGACAGAGTTCAGTCGCTTCCAGTCTTTGCTCAACCAAGGGTCTGTTGGTCGTATGTCTTCCGGATTTGGCGTCGCCCTGCCACCTGTCGCTTCGCAGCTCGGACTTGGTGGCCATGCTACCTTGAACATCTCTCCTTAGTGTGAGTCGTTGCGCGTTTTGCTTTTTTTTAGATTTACATAGTTCAATTTTTCCTTTTTTTTTTTTGTTCCCCCTCACCAAATGTACATTACTTTTCATATCCATCATTTCGTTTTTTTCCACGCGTTGCATATTGTTTCAAGCAATGTTTTAATCGTAAAAGTTTTGTGTACAAGCGAAAAAAAAAAGAAAAGAGCAATGTCGCCAAAGAATGCAAAAAAAAGGTCTCTCCCTCCTTCCCAGTCCCGTCTCCTGAATTATTTCCTAGCAAAGGTAACCTTCATCTTATGCTCGGGTCCAACCTGGTAATCGGCCAGGGCGGTCTTGGCAGCCGCAGAATAATACTCATTATCATACTCCACAAAGGCAATGCCCTTCTTGCCCGGAACCATACGGACCTCCTTGAAACCAGGGTACTGTTGAAACAACGAAACCAATTGTGCTTCCACAGTGGATTCCTGGGGGAGGTTCTGGAGGAAGAGAATGCTGTTCCTGGGCAAATACTCGTCTGGGATCATTGGCACTCCACCCGCCGCCGCAGCTCCTGCTCCTGCTCCAGGTAGTGATGATGCGCCGCCAGCGCCCGGTTGTTGCGCGCCATAGGGTGGGTATTGTTGGTAAGGGTTTTGGTGTTGTTGGTTGTGGGCGGCAAAGAGGGCCTGTTGCTGTTGCTGTTGGACGAGGAGGGCTTGTTGTTGTTCTTCGTGGAGGCGTTGCTGTTCCTGGGCGAGGGCTTGTTGTTTTGCCTGGAGCTTTTGTTGGCGCTTCTTGTGCTTGAACTCGTTTGCGAATTTTTCTATAGCGGTTTTTTTTTGTTTTTGGAGGTGAGAGAGGAGAGAGTGAGAGAGAGAGAGACAGGGTTAGGGAATGATGTCTGTTTGTAGATCGTACGTCAATAGGGAGGTGTTAAAACATGGTTAGAGGGAAAGAAGGGGTGGGTGAGTGAGTGTTACCTTTGGTGAGAAGGCGCTGCTTGTGATGTTCTTCAAACTCGCCATCCTTCTTTGCGTGTGCGTCCGACTTGTTCTTTGAGAATTGGATCACCTATTCGCCAATAACAAAAAAAAACACGCGCCTCAAGGAGTTAATTGACAATACCACTTGGGAGATCGCGTTGCAGCCAAGAGACATACAAATCCTCCAAAAACTGAGAAAAAAAGCGTGAAAAGGTTTACCATGGGCTTGCCGTAGAGGGGGAAAGATTGGACTTCAGCAAGGGCCTTGGACGCCGATTCCTGGTCCTCGAAGACGACGAACGCCTGACCGCGCATCCGGATGTTGGAGTGTGCTACGATTTCGAGGACTTGGCCGTATTGTCCGAACAATACCTTCAATGACTTCTTCAGTACTAGTTTGTTTTTGGTTGGTGGTAACGAGAAGAGAAGATCGCGAGGGGAGGCTGAGTTAGTTGTGGGGTCCTGGAGGTGTGTGAAATCTGGTTGGCTAGTGTTGATGCATATGTACGCCATGCACAACACGGTGATCCCTCACTCTTGTCCACCAACTGCTCCTTCGCCGTTAAAAGCGAGTTGATTACCATCGAGCTTGATCTTTTCGTTGAGGTTCTTGATGTATAATGTAGGACTGGGTACTGGTGTGTTGTCGACGGCCATTTCTGTTGTCGCTGGTGCACCTGCTGCCGGTGCTGGTGCTGTAGAAGTAGAAGCAGCAGTAGCAGCTGATGTGTCCTCTGCGGGCGGTGCCTGTGTCATGACCACGTCCATTGTGTGCTTCCTGTTGTCCTTGTGTGTGATGTCTGTGTGAGAAGAAGGAGTGAAGAATCGCCACTTTGCACTTTGTATGTGAGCGTTGGGAGTGAAATCCAAGGGCAGTCAGTTGTGATAAGCCACCTTTAAGCAATGTTGATCTGCAAAGGGGACAACGAAAAAATGACCTTTTCCGTCAAATACAAGTGCACACTCCTTTCGTTTTTTCTTTCTTTCTTTACTTTCTCGCACCTTCTGCACAGGATCATAGGAACTATCATGCTACGACGAACGACGAGGACGGTACACACGGTAACGGCACAATGGACAAGGACGCTCTGCACCGCAACAACAAGGCGTTCATGCCTACCACTCTTACATCGCACCACATTTACAACATCGATACCCGCCATCACCTCTTTAACGACAGGATCTCCAAGGCTAGTTACCGCAAGAGGACACTTAGTCTCTCATACCACCCGGCGATACCTTCAACAAAACGCCTTTGAGGTAACTTATCCATTTTATGAACCTGCTATTTGATCCGTCCATTCAACAACCATCAACTAACCCACCCGTCCTTATTTACCGAACCAACAAAATAGACCCTCGGGATCTACAAACCTCTCGCCGAGAACCTCGCCTTCACAAAACAAATCACCCAGCCCACAAAACTCCAAAAATCATTCATCCCTCCAATCCTTCTCAACAATGACGTCCTTATCCGCGACACTACTGGGTCCGGGAAAACCTTTGGAGTCCTCCTCTCAGTACTCAACAAACCCCGGCGGAAGATGGTGGTAGGGAATGGGGTGAGCGTAGGCGGCGGGAACGGGATTACGTCGGTGATTGTGGTTCCGAATCAGGAGTTGGCCTTTCAGTTGGTTGAATGGACAAAGGAGCTGTTTCCGAGTTTGTGGGAGGAGGAAGGGGACGGGTTTTTAGATGGGATGATTCAGGCGGTTGTTACCCCTCCACCGTCGCCAGTCGATCCTACTTCTACAGGCAAGCCAGCAGGACCAGGACCAGGAGGATACACATCAACAGGAAAGAAGACGCGCCATCGCCCCCGAGCCACATCCTCCTCCAACACAAAAGCAGACGAAGAGCAGATCGAAAAACTCGCCCAGAATCCTCCACACGTCCTCGTCGCAACCCCACACCGACTTTGGGACCTTCTCCAACGTGGGGTCCTCGACCTCTCGCAGATTGAGACGCTAGTCTTGGATGAAGTAGATCATTTGATCAGGCTGCCGAACCGGTTTGCGAGCAGGAAGCAGGTTCTCAATAGGGATCTCCATCCAAAACCTGCAGAGCTGGCCGTGAGCGAGATCTTAAGATCTGCCCAGGCTGCGGGGCGGTACCCTCCCTCCTTAGCACCAGTAGAGGCCACTGATCAGGAAACTGGCCTATCGACGGAGGATCAGGATACCACCACTAGTAGCGGCGGAAAGGTGGCAAGGACGGGGAAGGGAGCAGACAGGATCCAGATTGTTGCGGCGTCAGCGACGATGAATCGGCCCATGCGGCATTGGTTGGAGACTGTTCGGGGGTGGGTTCAGGACCCGACTTGGGTGGATACGACCAAGAGTGTAGTTCTGCCCGAGGGGATTGAGCACCGTTGTATTATTGTCGGGCCTGATTCTGTCCGGAATATGCGTTTTGATACCAGTGAGAGCGAGAAGGTTGGTGGTGATGGAGGAAGGGAGGAGCTGGAGGTGGATATGGCGGAGACGGATCGCGCATGGAACCAGTCCAAGGACGCCTCCAACACCCCAACATCAAAGGAGAAGGAGGCAGCATGGAAGGAACGCAGCCTCTCAGCCCGAGGCGTTATCTCACCCGACATCGACACTGGTGCTGTAGAAAAGTTCCGGGACGACGATGACAGGATGTTGGAGGGTGTCGCTATGGCCTGTCAACTGGACGATGTCAAATCCGCATGCGTCTTCTTCTGTACTTCCTTCAGTTTGAAGGATTTGGCGACCCGGTTCGAGTTTGAGTTTGGGTTACCTGTCAAGACTATCCAGGACGCCTTCCCCCTCTCCCAACTCCCTCCTTCCTCTACCTCCACCTCCACCTCTGCCCTCACAACGACGGCAACGACGAAGAAGAGGAGTGCAGGAATCTACATTGCGCATGAAGAAAACGCCCGCGGCCTCGACCTCCCCGGCCTATCCCACGTCTTCATCGTCGGACTCCCCTCGTCACCATCCAGTTACCTACATATGGCCGGGCGGACGGGTCGGATGGGTGAACGGGGTGAGGTTGTGACGATTCTGAGGGATGATGAGTTTTTGGAGGATAGGGCCCGAAGTCTGTTTAGGATGTTGAATGTCAAGGTCGAGCCTTATCGGCATGTTGAATAAAAAATAAAAATCCCTGATTGGGGGGTGTTTAGACCGTAGAATGTAGAGAAAGGCAGAGGGCGGGGGGAAGAGGCGTACTTGTAAGCATTGCTTTAGATAGATGCGCGTGCTTGAATGTTGGTCTATTTCAGCGTCGCCCATCATTTATTTGTCCGGATAAGAATAAAGACCTGAACAGACAAAGATTGAAAGCGTGCGTGTGTGTGCTTTTCCTGTGAGTGGCAAAGCATGCACACATGAGCAACCACATATTCGTCCTACTGCCTTTCCCCAATTATCCAATTATGAATGACGTAGGGGGAGGACACAGGGGCAACACGAGATGCAGAGGCTCTGTGCCCACTTGAGGGGATTAGCCGTGGTTATGGTCTCCCACGCTATGCTTTTTCGGCGGGCTCTTTTGACAAATCCAACAACACTCATAAAAAATCAATGTAAAGCGGGAGAGTTTCTGGGGGTAAGAACAACCTTGGGGTCAATTGCTACTGCTGGACCCATCATTGGGTTGAGTCGGTAGAGTTGGGTTTTTCGGAAAATGGTGTCCGGGCAAAGGTAAAGGAGGAGGAAGCATGATGGGCTGACCGGACAGTCTTCCTTTTCTCTCTTTTTTTGTTTCCCCATGGCGTAGTATATATATGTGTCCAATGGAATATGGTTCGGACAAGAAAATCCGAGACTAGCGAAGGAGATACCCTGCAATTGACAACATGAACAATCAAACAGACAAGGACAATGGGACGATGATATGATATTCTTTGAATTAGATGCGTTTATTATACAGGGTTGTTGTTGTGTGTGCAAAGTGTGGTGTGAATGAGATTTGTAACAAGGAAGCAAAATGCTTTAGCAGTTGCCGCGGAGCTCCTGCTCGCGCTCGATGGCCTCGAAGAGGGCCTTGAAGTTTCCGGCACCGAAACCCTCGAAACCACGACGCTGGATGATCTCGATGAAGACAGTGGGACGATCCTGAACGGGCTTGGTGAAGATCTGGAGCAAGTATCCACCCTCATCGAAATCAACAAGGATGTTCAACTTCTGGATAACCTCCAAATCCTCCTGGACCTTGGTCGAAGAGTGAGCAAGACGGAGACGCAAGTTCTCATAGTAGGACGAAGGAACCGACAAGAACTCCATACCGCGGGCACGGAGGTTGGAGACGGCCTGGATGACGTTCTTGGTGTTGAGAGCGATGTGCTGGACACCGGCACCGCCATAGTACTCGCAGTACTCTGTGATCTGAGACTTCTTCTTTCCAGCAGCGGGCTCGTTGATGGGCATCTTGACCTTCTCGGTGGGGTCGGCCATGACGATGGAGCGGAGGGCCGAGTACTCGGTGTGGATCTGGGAGTCGTCGACGGACCAGAAGCGGTGGAAGCCCAACTGCTGCTCGTACATCTCGCAGGCTTGGATCATCTCACCGTCAGGCTGGTTACCGACGCAGTGGTCAATGTAGTTCAATCCAACGACGGGAAGGAGCTCCTCGAGGGGATCCTTGCTGCGGGGGAGGGTGAATCCGGGCATGAAGATACCCTTGTAACCGTTACGCTGGACGAAAGTGTGCTCGGTGTCACCGTAGGTGGCAATAGTAGCCAACCAGACCGAACCGTGCTCATCCTTCAACTCATGAGGAGCCTGGACCGAGCGAGCGCCCTTCTCGACGGCACGGGTGTAGATAGAGTGGACATCGTCAACGGTGAAGGCGACATCCTTGACACCGTCACCGTGGACGGCGAGGTGGTCGGAGAAGACCTTGTTGTTGGGGTTGAGGGGTGACTTGAAGACGAAGGTGATGGTATCCTGCTGGACGACGTGGGAGCAGATGTCGCGGGAGCCGGTCTCGAGGCCAGAGTAGGCGATCTCCTTGAAGCCGAAACGGGTGGTGTAGAAGGAAGCGGCCTGCTTGGCGTTTCCGACCCAGAAGGTGACATGGTCGAATCCCTCGTAGTTTCCGATGTTCTATTGGAGTAGGGGGAAGTATTGGGAATGAGGGTCAGGATGGTTTGTTTTTTGGGCGAAATAAATACAGTTGATATGTTTGTGATACAAGGGGGTGTGCAGTGCAGAGTGAGATAAGTGTGTTGGATGGCAGTTGTGTTGTGAATATGTCCTTGTTGAGACTGTCTGTCATCGTACCTGAGCAGCAGCCATTGTATGTGAGTTGTGTTGGTAGAGTGGTATTGGGAGGGGAGAAAGAGAGTGGAGTGGGATGGGTTATGGAGTAAAGAATAAGAAGAAGAAAAAAAAAGAAAAGAGGAAGGGATAAGGCTTCCTTTTTATCCTTTGCCCTTTTGTCTCTCAGTCTATTACACTCGTCCTGTTTCTTTCTAATCGTCGTCCATTCGGATGAACAGAGGGCAAAGTAAGCCCCTTCATTGTCCGAAATGTGTATCTTTTTGAGTTGCATCTGTGGGGTCACTCTCTAATTATTCTGTCGCTAAGCCCGTTAATAGTTTTTGGTGTCACTGTAACACTCTCTTCTCTCTTTGTTGACACTACATCATGCCCCCTTTGTCTACGCCCAACATCCACCTGCTCTCATTCTCCGGAAATGCCTTTCGCCGTCCTTCCTTCTCTTTCTCTGTGTCTCATCGCCAACTTGTTTGTTCCCCACGCTCCTCCTCTCACCCTCTCTTCGCCTTTTTTTTTTCTCTCACACTCGTACCCTTTGCGCAGACAGACAGACAGACAGACAGACAGACAGACACACACACAACGCTCTCTTGTCAATAAAGCCCCTTCACTTGCAATGCATAACCAAACAGAATGAACGAATCCAATGACCTGATGAATGTCCAACCCTCGGAGATGAATCCCCGAGATGTAAAGTAGATGAGCGTGTGAGTTTCCCAGAGGGTGGGTCGACACAGCAATTGCCCCGGACTCAAAAACTTGCTGAGTTTGTCTGTGTACTACTCCCCTTCCTATTGGATCGGTCGGACAGGATTGGCTGTATTTCATACATACGTATTCTGTACCTTCTTTCCCTGCCACGCTTCCTTCTCCTTCCACTCTCCCCATCCTTCGCTGAATAATATTCCTTTCCCCACTATTCTGTCCAACCCACCATTGGCCTATTTTGTTCCCTTCTTGCTGGAACCTCGCCACACAAAAAAAAAACGATGAATGGTGGGACCTGCACTAACAATCGACACCAAGGACACATTCTCGTCCTCTCGCCTCACTGCTCATCGAACAAATCTTCTTTTGTTGTGGTTCAACAAAGCTCCTTAATCCTTCCACGACCAAAGAAGTGCATGCTCACACAAATGACAGACCCACCAATGAAAATGCAACCGGCAAAGATTTTCCTACTAGCTCACAAAAAAAAAAAAGAAAGGGTTCATAGAGGGGCTTACTTGCCCGAAAAAAGATGATGCACGCTCATCCATCTCTCCGTCCCACGATCCCAAGAAAGGAAGCCTTTGTCCGTTTTGTTTGCTTCTTTCGTGGAAGAAGGTGTGAGAGAAAGGGAGGGAGAGGAGAGAGAGGGAACGCGCCACCAAATTTGTCTATGGCCAACAGATTAAAGTTGCATCACCAGTGATATCAAATATCACCTAGAGGAAGTACAGGAAAAATGGGTTGAACGTGGTCTGCAACAACTACGAAAAAAACAAGACAAGTACTTTTTATGCATGTCAACTATCCCTTAATCCGTAGAAGGGGATAATGTAAACTATAGTTTCTATCTATAGAGGTTAGGTTTGTTTGGGGGGTCTTGCAAGGGGCTCGGGCCGTCCTAGAGACTTGAGGTACTGTTCTCCGATCAAAGCGATGTTGTGCGCCCCCACTCCATCTCGGTGAATCCACCGAGTGCACTCAACACAGGCGCATGTCCTCATCGACGGCTTGGCGAGGCGGGTGGCTCGGTTCTCAACCACACATGTTGGACACATGGTGGAAGTAAGATACTCGTCGACCAGGGCAGCCTTGTATCCGAGCGCAGCACTCTATCGGTGCAGGAATAATAAAATTGTGTTCCATAGATTTGCCATGGCATCATGAGTGCACACAATCAAGACAAAAAGATACAACCATGCCTTTCACAATTTTTTTTTGCCTTTCGTACCTGCTGTAAAAGACGTCTGAGAAACGTGGTGTGCACCGAAGAGAGATTAAAGCCAGACCGGAAGGTTCCATTCCCCAGGGCAAAAAAAACTTTTCTTTGGTGGACGGGTACGCCCTCACATGCCTCATCCACCATCCGCAAAACGCCAGCGACGGCCAGATCCAACTCCGACATTTTCGCCATTCTGTGCTCGTGAACCGCTACCTTCCATTCTCTTGACGCGTAAATCCCGTGGATCAGCGGTTCCTGCTCGTAGTACTTCTTGTGAGCTGCCGTCAAAGCATCCAACGAGGTGTCGTAGTTTGTTGAGGGGAGAGAATTCTCTAGGTCGTGGACAGACGGGAGAGTGGTGAGCTTGTCCAGGTCGGTAATCCGTGTCCAAAGGGATGAGTCGACAACATCGCCTGGACCAGCTGTTGGGTGTCGCCTTTTCCAATGCTGTTCCCAATCTCGGAAGGCCAGAGTAGGCTGGTATAGGGAGGCCCTCTTGATCAGCAGATTGATGACTTTTCCACCGGGAAGTGTCAAACAAAATGCACCACTCACTACCTCTCCGGGATCAATACCGACGACAATGACTGAATCCAGGTCGTCGCCAAACGCGTCGATAAGATGCTGCCGCGTTGGATAAAGCTTCTCGATCCTAGAAAGAAACTCACTGTAATTTGGGGATTGGCGGGGTTTTGTAAGGTCATACGCGAGAATCTGCAGCTGGTGGCCATCCGTCCTGATATAGTTGTTGAGGGCGTAGCGGTAAGAACGCGGCTGCTGACGTGGGGTGGGAAGAGGCGGTGGTCGATGACGATGGCGTTGATGATGGCAACGGTGGTGTCGGGGCCGTGAGGGAGGCGTTGTGCCGTTCTCGGAAAAAATTGACCTTATTCGTCAAATACCGTGCGAGCTCTAACTGTCCGTAGATGTGTGGATGGGCCTCCTCACGCTCAGCCATGGTTGTTGTCCTCTTCCCGTATGTCGTCTGCTGCTTATTCCTGGCTTCCTTGATGACATCTCGGTCACCGATGAATAGTTCTTTGATCACCTCTCCGTACGAAGAACGCTGTTTTGCCGCTGCCCAGTTGTGAGTGTAGCGGGTGTCCTCCCATACGTTGTCCAACTGAACTGCCTTCTCTCCCCAGAGAAGCGCAACCAATGCTTCCTCGTTGATGTCGATGAAGGAATCGCTCGTTTTGGCCTGGGTGCAGAACCGGGGCCGCTTGGATGATGGTAAGAGGAGGAAATATCGCCAGCAGAGTTGAATATGACCCGGCTTGAAAATGATCTTCTTGGATCGCTTGAGGGCGTCGTCGTCGTCCACACCCTCGTTAACGTCAGCAGCCCCGGCATCACCACCAGCGTCGGTGCCATCTTGATCTATTTCAGGAAGACCATCGCAATCAATGGACAGCTTGGAGAGCTGGCATTGCATAAACAAAAGGAGTGTTAAAATATGTTTTACACCCCATTGAAAATATTTGACAAACTGAATGGATATGGATAGATGGTACCTTTGTTCTAAGAGTCTCCGGTATTCTCCTGTAATGCAGTTTCTGATCTAGGCAGATCTTGGGTGCAAGTTCCGCGATGATATTACTCAAAGCCAGATCCGTTGAGTTGAGGGCTTTGAACCCTGGGCACAGCGTCTTCTTGAACTCGTTAAACGTCGAGATTGCTTCAGCGACAGCATCCTTGCTCTTGTCCGACGCGGGTGGACGTCCTTGGGGGACAATGGAATTCCTCAAGACGAAGGACAGTAGGTTTTGGACAAACCTTTCCGCCCAATCGGAATCCAGGATCTTCTCTAGGAAGCTCTCGTCCGGTCCATCCTCTGCCTGGTTCAGTCCAGTCTCGATCAGCGGCTGTAGAATGCGCATCTCGATAAGCTTGTACACAATGTGTTTGGCGCTATTGACGGTAGAGACTGCCGAACTCACGTGTTGGGTTAGCTGCGCAACCTCTGCTTTCGACAGATTGGTTGATCTTCCTAGGCAGCCTTGCAGGGATCCAGTCGTGAGCGTGACCGTTGCGAAAACAGACTGGAACGCTCTCTTCAAGGCCTTGGGTCCAGCTATTCCTTTAGGTTCGCCAAGGAGTTTTTTCTTTTTCTTCTTGGCAGTGGGGGCAGGCACTTGGTCGATACGGGGGGATTGCTCCTTGGGCTTTGAAGGACGGGGGGTCGACGGCTTCAATCCTGAAAGTTCCACGACATCAACAGGGCTGGCCTTTTCTAGGAAAACAGTGTCCGGCACATAGCGATCTTGCACGTCTGTGCGCGAGCGGAATCTAGATGCGATTTTGCAATGAGTTGTGTTAAGGTGGAAATATATGTATATAGCTGGACAAGGCGGAGAAAAATACCAGGAGAAAAGACATACCTGGAACGACGCCACTTCTGTCGTCGCCGCTGGAGGGCACGTGAACCATGTCGGCGTTGTTTTTTAATCTTTTGCTTGTGCGATGGTGGATGTTCGGCTGGGCCATGCGTCTGCCTGATGGAAGGTGATCCCGCTGATGTAGCTTGCGGATATGGTGCTGATCCTGCCTTGGGTGCCGTTGGGAGTGGTGGTGGCGTTGCCTCTGCGTCTGTCGCCGCCCCCTGAGAAGCTGGATCTACTAGCAGCCCAGGCGGCAACGATCCCGTCCGACTCGCGGAAAAGCGACGCCAATCATTGTAGGCTTTGTTGAATTATGTTTCCTTAATTATGGCCATCAGTCGTGTGTGTGTATCGGCCGCCGGGCTGATCCTGTTGTTGTCCAGAGTGGTTTCCTCGCAAAGCACGAATGTCTTGAGAGCATGGCCGAATTCTGTCACATCTACACGCAGCTGTCGATCGGCCGTTTCGATCCTCCTCAGATCCTTGTCGTGTGCCTTCACCGTTGGGTTAGGATTGCATCGCAGTCGACGACGTGCGCTTTGGGTGGCTGAGTCCTTGATTGTACGGGCCTTTTGGTGTATTATGTCAAGGTAGCGCCTAACATAGATCCGAACCACCTCCACTCGATCTTGGCCAACCGTTCCATCAAGACCTGTCATCTTGAACTGACGGATCGTATCGACATTGGATGTCAAGCCATAGGAAAAAACTCCGTTGGTGTAGTCGTTGTTCGATACCAGAGCGGCAAGCGTTAGATGTACAGGGGTCGGAAGGCCATGCTCGTTCAGAAGCTCATCTTTGTGGAAAGTAGTCCAAGTGTTCTTGACTGGCATGGTGACGGACATGATTGACTCGAATGCCATGAGATCGGAGTCCTTGGTGATAACTCGGATATCTCCGGGTACGGCAGCGTTGTTGACTGTCCGCGCAATGCACGTGTCGCTTTGGTTGAGACATTGGCAAATCGTCCATCCACTCTGACGCAGTACTTCCGAAACGGCGCGCAATGCCTCCGGTGGTGCTCGGTACGACGCCTTCAGGCGTTTGTATAGCTGTCTTTTGTTGTGCAGCTTGCCCTCCGTGTAATCTCGTTCAAGTGTTTCCAACTGCTTGGACAGCGCCTGATCTCGTTTGCCGTGCGCCCATTCCTTCTCCATTGATCGTAGACCATCCATATGGAGCATTGTAATGTCCTTAGACAATCGTGAGGAGAGAATCTTCTCAATTGCGGCTCCGACAGATCGAAAATCCTATTGGAAACAGCGAATTATTATTTTGGTCACAGCAATTTAGCTTTTCTCCAGATAGCATGAATCATTTAACTTTTTTCCAGATCAGTACAATCCATTTAGCTTTCTCCAGATGGTATGATTTATGGTACTTAAAATGACCTTTTCCTGGGCGCAGATTGTGGTCAGAGCGCCGCTCTCGTCGAACCGAATCTGGGATGGCTGTGTTGCCAGCAATCGCTGCATGTCTTCAACGAGAGTCGACGACCCGGAGCTGATTTGGAGGGGTCGGAGGCGTTTGTTAGAGGAAGCAGTGTCGGCGGTGTCCGCATCGTCGACGTCGGCTGCTCGTTTTGGGCTGGATGAAGCCTGCCGTGTAGATGTTGTTGTGTGAGTAGACATGCCCGCGCCATCGACGTCGGCTGCTCGCTCTGGGCCGGATGAAGCCTGCTGTGTCGATGTTGTTGTGTGAGTAGATAATTGACATCGGGCGGACTTTGCAGCGAACTGCACTGTTTTATGGAAACTCAGCGAGTTCACCAACGCAAAAAACATCGACGCAAAATCTACTTCACATCTCTTCTTGGTTAGATCTTCCTCCACTCCGTCTGTCGCCTTGATCCACCCGGTGAGATTTGTGATGCCCATTGCTGTAATTCTAAGTAATTCACAATTGAAGGTTGATGGTTAGCGCGAGTCTGATTTCATAGATTCTCTCAATAGCACGGGTCGCAATCACTTTCAACATCGGCCTTACATAGGTCTGTTGAAGCTCAATTGAGAAGGGGGGCAGTTTAGGAGAAGGGGGAGAAGGGGGCAGTTTAAATGAAAGGGACACGAGGCGATGCAGAACGGTGAAAAAGAAGCTAGTGGTCTTTATTCACTCAGCCTCAGCCGCTCACTCAGTCACCGTGACCATCAGAGCTATGAGCTAGGGGTGAGCGAATTAAGGGGTAGGATGGTTCTTTCGCACCAATCCCATGCATTTCAGCCTCAGTGGACAGACACTGAGATGCAACGCTATCGGCGCGGGCACAGGACCCTTTCTAAAACTCAGGGCGCGTATGATACTCCTAAATCATTCTTGGTGCAAAGAAGACCTTGCAGAGAGAGCAGATTCGCTGGGTGGGTTGAGGATATGCTTGTGTTATGCCTTCTCGTTTATTTTATCTGCACAGGATGCAGCCAGTCATGAGTAGTTCAGTAATTCATCGTTTGGTCCCTTGAATTTTTTCGAGACATAAGGGGATACTTAGGTAGGGGTGTCGCGACATTTGGCGGACACTATCAGATCCTTAGCCAGGAACTATCGGAACTCCCTTTGATGCATGGAAGAGCCGAAGAGTTTGTTGATAAGGTACGCATTGATGATTGTTGTATCCAGTAATCAGAAGAAGATCGGAGCCCATGCGCGATAAGTCCTGAGCTGAGTCGAATAGTAGCTGCATAACTGGTCGGCAATGTCGACTCCGTTCATGTGGTGGTTGTTGTCATCGATGATTTTGGGATGGGAAGTAACGCCATGGAACGTCCTTTATGAGCAGCCCGCACTGACTTTGCGCTGGCGCTTGTCTCTCGAGGGCGTCTGCGATCTTGGACAACGGATCAGTCGTTGTCGCCGAGGCTGAGGGCATGGACGGTGAAGAGTATGGAGACAGGTCTATTGTCCATCCAGAACACGGTAAGAACCTGAAGTGGGTCTGGCGATTGTCGCGGTTAGCTTTTATAGCCTAGCAGAGGGCAAGAGTGGTAACTCTCTTCGTTAAATAAAAGAAAAGGAAGCGAAGCACCTATCTATCACAGGCTCTACTTTTGAGAACCAATGTTGCTCAGGCTCGTTGGGGTTGGAGACATGAAAAAAACGCTTCAGTTGTTCGAAGCGGACGAGGGACATGAAGGTAGTGATGTTGTGTTGAGGACATTCAGGGAAGGTTGACCAATACTCAGAGACAGAGTTCTGCCTGAACACGCCCATGTAGACAATGATGCCGAGGAATGTGCGCAGTTCGTCAGGTGTGGTCTTTACCCATTGGCGCGATCCCTCTCCTGTGCCGGCTCCTTTTGATGCTGCATATGCGTTAGTGTTGTCTGCCAAATCCGTCAATACTGGGTCGGAGAAGATTTTCTTTGTCGGTGGAGCTGAAGCATCTATCACCCCTTCATCTCCTGCCTTCTCCTCCTCCTCGTCCCCAGAGCTATCTGTACCAGGCGTTGGTCGAGTACGACAACGGACCGAAAACAACAACTCCTCCTCCTCCTCCTGTGCCTCGTCAACCTCCTCCGCAGATGCTACTACGGTGCCTTGAGAGTCAGAAACGTCAAAGGAACCGAGGAACTCGAGACTGGAGTCCATGAGTGAGTAGGGTGAAGTCGATGTGTGAGAAAAAAAAGGTAATGGGTTGCGGGATGATGATGAGAAAAAAAGAGCTGAATTCGAGAGTGATGAATGTAATGTGACGAAGACGACAAGGACACTCCCACGACGTAGTCTTCTAACCCGTTTTATTGGAAACCTGGATAAATCGAAAAAAATGTGGTGCAAATTTGCACCACAAACAAACTAGGGGATAAGGGCCAGCAGCTGAAGGGGAGGGAAAAAAAGAGCAAGAGAGGGGCATTCCCTTGGAAAATCGATTCATCTGTCTGCTTTATTACATCTCCCATGATACAGCCCTTTTCTCGCTCAGGTACAAAGGGCGGGAAAAGATAACGCCATGGTCGTGAATGAAATCAGGCTTGGAAAATTGGTTGGACTCACCTAACCCGTAATGTGTTCTTTCTTCTATCAGATGGGGCACCGATGACGGTAGACTTCCCTCCCTCCCTCTCACGTCTGCTTCACACGCACAGGAACCCATCCATCACTCTTTAGGTGCGTCGAAAAAAAGCTTACTCCATTGCTTTGCGCCCTGTGGGTCACGCTCCCTTCACAGTGCAATATAAGAATTGGTGAATCTCATCCCGCCTCTTCCTTCAGCTCCTTCCTCACCTCCATTCTATCCTTGATCAAAGCTCACACCTTCCATGAAAATAAAGACTGCACATATCCTAGAACACACCTTACTACCAATGATGACACAAACACAAGACGAAATGAAATATGAAGACACCTTATCCGTTGCTGCTGAAGACATTTGAAAAGAAAATAAAAACATCGGACGAAGAAAAGTGGCAAGCTAGGAAAGAGGGCGGACAGCAGAGAAGGAAATGGATCGCGCCCCCCCCCCCCCTCTTTTTAATATCTCAAACGTGGGTATGGACAAGTGCAAACAAACAATCCCATCGCCTATATTCCAATTCAGCCATAGCCGCCACTTGAACACAACTGAATCATATCCAATTATCGCGCTGTTGAAAGTCCCTTCAAATGCACCATTGGCTTCCATTTTTGTTTTTTTATTTTTTATTCTTTGGATATTGGTATACGGAACTGTACGAATATGACGATCAACTACCCTAATTTGAGGTCAAAGCTGAGAAACAAAGTAGTCCGCATCGATGGGTCTTGCTCGTGTGGTCGAATCCACCTTCCTCTTCGTGTTAGAGATGTATGCATGAAAAAAAAAGTTTGCAAGCCTGTCATTTGAGAGCCATATCCGTTGCTGATGTGCACTCCTAATGAAAAAAAAAGATGCGGTACTCTCCAATCGATAAATGGAAAGACGTTCAATAGTCTGGTGGAAGAAAAACGGCAACCGAGAAAAAGAAAACAAAGGGTCAAGCATCCCATGAGGCCATGGCTATCACGGTCATTTTTTTTCCACAACTCAAACGAGGTATGGAAAACACCCCAATGAATTGAAAATATTGCGTGTATCTCAATCTCAATCTCAGGCCGCCACTTGATCGATGACCGATCAACGAAGACAACACATGTCAGTATCACGCAACTGTTAGCCTCCATTATATTCTTTGGTAAGCATGAGTACGGCTACGAAGAGCCAGGTATCTTCCTTGGAGGTTGACACCGCGAGTCATGAGAGGTGAGAGTCAATCAACAGCGCATTACATCGACCTTCTTCTTCATCGAAGACATCTTAATACATCGGTAATAAAAGGATCTATCCACTTTAATCCAGCAAAATTATATTAAAACGAGTATAGTGCGGTGCTATTATATGTGGCTCCGAAAGCAAGTCTAGCATAGAAGTGCCTTATCGCTGGTGTAATTAAATTGGGAGACGCGAGAATCGTCACAAAGAGGCCGAGCAACTCTGGCGCGGATTCTCGCAGCTCCCGTTGATGGTTTAACCAACTTGGGTGATGAATTGCACACAATTGCCAAGGAGCTTGCTGTGTCCAATGCCGTCAACGCGTAGGTACTCGAGATGCTTGCCAATATTCTTGCCAAGTTGGAGGTTTGAAATTGCAAGATCGAGCAAGACAATGCTATTGGTGAAGCCGTCGACAACGTCATCGCTAGTGGCGGAACCGTCATCATTGGTGGAGACCCAACCTAATAAATTTCAACTCCTGTATCATCCAACTGGCTTGACTCGACTACGAAATGCCTTGACGTTTTGGAAAAATGATCCCAGACGCACCGTCTAGGAAGGAAAAATGAAGACGATGCTTCGCTTAGAACTTTGCGGAAATTGGTGAACACAGTACGACTTCATGGCACCCTTTAAAGGACAACAGCACAGGTGCCAGCAGGCGCTATTGTCAACGCCCACATCACGATTAAGCAAGCATGCCATCGTAAAACGGTTGAGTCCGATCACCGACGTCAATGTCCGTTGCAAGATATATATCCAAGATAATACGACCGATTAAATTTTACGGACATCTCGGTATTGGCAGAAGTTAAAAGTATTTCCTTCGGCGTCCTCGTTCGATCCCTTCCCCATATCGTGCGATGGTGATGCCTTGTCTATTAAATGAGATAAAGAACCAGTTAGATCTTATTACCACAAATCAAAACAACTAGAGAAATGACGAAGACTTATATCAACCCACCGCTCATATTCAATACATCCGCTCTCACCTGCGGCTATTGTACTTGACGGAGCATGCTCGTCCCTAAACCTGAGAGCTCGTCTTGAACATTGTTGGTAAATACAGGTGTAGCACAGGTGTTTCAAACTCTCTATGATATTGTACATATAATAACATGCAATATCATATGTCATCGAGAGTCTCAGCATGCGGTTCTTCTATGATGCTCAGTAGTAGTTAAAAACATTTACTTATTTTGATAGGCACATAATCAGCAATTTGTGTTGCCCGTGAAGGCGTGTCATGTACAACCGGCTAGAGCAGCACCTTTTCCGTTATATGTCTCAAACAGCTCTCAGCTTTCTGTACCTTATCGAAGCTCAAGTAGAAAGATGTCTAGTATGAGTTCACGAACCTCGCGCGTTCAACACTTCATTTGTTCATTATTACTTTGACATCTCAAACTGCATCTCTCTCCTTTACTCGTTTATGCATTTGTTCGGCACTTTCAAGTGTGTGCTACGTCCTCCATCGCTCATCATCATACTGAAGATGCAGCCCATGCGATTGGAAAAGTTCTACTGGAACTCATCAACAGGACCAGAGACTCGGCGCTTATTGACCTCCCTACAGTTCCTTATCGATATTCTCAAAAAACAGAAGAAAGGCGCCTGCCAAGAGAATGGGGATATCGATGTTCTGAGACTGGGCTTGTTGATCGACAAGAAAATTGGGTGTGTGGCTATAAAGGAACTCGATAGTGCTCAAGTAGATGATGGCGCGCGTATGATAGTCGAAATTCTACGTATGGTGTAAGTTATAGAGAGAGGAAAAGTGTCTGCTAAAAAAAAAAAGCCCTGTTGCTTAAACAGAGGGAGACACAAACCGTTGCTGCAAACAATCATACACTGCATGGCAGGTAGTCAACCCAACCTTAATTTGAAAAGAACATCAAGGACGTGCTCCAGTATGAATCGCGCATGGACCTACTTGTGCTAATTGAGTATAATGAAAAAGGGCGTCTAGTAACTGTTTGGATAGTTGGTAAAAAAAGAACGTTTTTACATGGGAGAAAACTTTTCATGGAGTGGGGGTATAAAAACTAACGGAGTGAGAGAGTGATCATCGCGAAACTTACAAGTAAAACGAGAGGAACTAGCCGCAGCAGCCTTCATCTAGATAATCTATTATTACCCTGCAGATATAGCAATTACATCGTGCATGGCCCTAAAAAAACACACGCGTTCGTTTGACCGATGGATCAGTTTTTATAATTGTTCGAGCAAGCCAATGCAGTTACGACAAGACACGCCCGGTTGGTAATAAGTGAAAAGGGGAGAAAAGAGCTAAGCAAGCGGATGGTGAGTGCCACCAACCGACGAAAAAAATATTGAAGGGAGAACAGGGGACTGCAAGGGGTACGCAAGCGCCAAAACAAAAAATAACAAATAAACAGTAACTCAGGATGGTGCATGTAGGCAAAATGTCCAATTACACCGGGCGGCAGCTAAGTCCGTTAATTTCTGATGGAACTTCATTTTGGGTTGGTCCAAATTCTTTTTTTCTTTTCTTTGTCTTTCACTCCTCGCACCCAAAAGTAAGAAAGAAAGAAAGAAGAGATTAAGCCAGGATTCATTTTGGCATCGTTGCGTTTTTTTTCCTATCAAAGAGATCAAAGGATCTAGATAATACACACCCACTATGAAAAAAAGTACTCTCAAAACCATGCTACGTCTGTTTGCTGCCACGCGCAATTTCAGTCAGTTCCCAGGACACGCCATCATGTTTTTCTTAACACGCATTGTGAAAAAGCCCACAAATATTCTAGAGAAAAATGTAGTGCGCACATTGGGAGTTGTCTGTATTACCTTGTGCAATAAGGGCATCCATGGTGATCTCACGCCCGATACTAAGAGATGTTTGCTTTACGGGTCGATGTTTGTTGCCCAAATATTTTCCACAGGTAACCATTGAATATAATAAGACATTCTCAAGATCAGAACCGGATCGATATTGCAGAACAACCCGTTACCTACGACGCTTTTGAGCCGCATTCATGGTTCACTCTCCTTGTACAGTTTTGACAGGGACTGTGCCTACTCCTGCACACATATTGGCATTCTTTGTGCTTCTAGAATGCGTGAGGTTTCCTTTCTACCAAGCGCCTTGAGAAAGGATTGTTTACATGTAAGAGAGAGTTACCATTAGCCCATTCATAAAAATGTATAAAGGCACCCCTTCATTTATCCAAGGTAGACTGACGCGCAACAAAAGGTCGCCTCCCTTCTCGGACACCACCGTATCCTCTGTCCTGATCTTGATTCAGAAAAATGAAAAAAAAAACGCGTAACGCGAAATCATCTTCGCCCACTGATACAAATTGTGCGCTGAGCACGGCTCGCATCCTTGTCAAAAATGAACCGACCATATTCTGCACGCACACAATCGCGCTCCTGAAGATTTTCTTCAGTAGAAAAATAAAACTTGGTTTAATGGTGGTACAGTAATATTAACCCAGCACAACGAAAAAATATAGCACCCTCGTCTACTCTAGGGCGCGCTAGTCCACTCAACGACAGCAAAAATCAACAACTCTCCTTTCTGCGCCACTACGGAAAGGGCACGGAGGGAAGATCAACCTCCATCTGTGCATCTTCCTCGTGTGCAACCTGCTGCACTCCAGTATCGTCCTGTCTTTTTGTAGACACAACAGTTCGAAGATGTTCATGTTCGACCGCAACAACGGTGCCTCCAGCAACAGCGACGCTAGTGGTGGCAGATCCAGAAACGGGCTGAAGAACATGATGATGATGCTGCTCCTTCTCCTTGACAACAAGCTTTTCCTCCATCTCCTCCTCCATCTCGGCCTGTCCCTGATCCAGTCCCTTGACGACCAAATCAACCTCTGCTCCCCGCTTAAACTCGTCAGAGTCCATCATCATCGGTGCAGGGGACATGCTCTCAAAATCCTGAGGCGTGTTGGCCTGTGTCTCAACGGGGGTCTCCAATGAGGGTGTAAACACCAAAGGCCGGCTCGAATCTGTATCATCCTCATCATCATCCTCTATGCTTCCTCCAGTTGTACTACCGCCACTGTTGTTGAGTCCCCTGGTCTCTTCCCGAATCAGCTTTCGTGCTAACGTCTCAGGGTGTGAGCTGCCGCTCCCAGTCAACGTGGATGAGACAGAAATGGAGGGGCGCCTTTCTGTTTTAGAAAGCGTCGGGGATGTAGACGTATGTGTTGCTGGAGGATTTGACGTTGACGGTTTGTTGGTGTTGGTTGTGGTTGTGTTGGTTGTGGTGCTCACTGCATCGTCCTCATCGTCGTCCTCTCCTGTCTGTGCTGGTGTCGAGGCACCGGTATCATCTGCATCCTGAAGGGTTGGCAATGCGGGTATAGGAGTTCCCACCTCCTATTTTGTTATTTGATCCGCAAAGAAGAACGATATGGGTGTCAATGACCGGTCAAAAAAGAGTGCTTGATAATCTGAAAGCACCCTTGTGTTTAAGTATGAGCTCAGGTGCAAATGATGCCTTACCTCCTCGACCTGACGGGGAATAGGTGCCTGCTCGATCTCTTCGTCATCCTCATCATCATCAAAATCGACCTGTCTGTCCGCTATTTAACGACAGCAATATTTCACAAGAAAGAAAAAAAAGTGTGAGTGGAGGTCCTCGCCGCAGCAGTTGACTAGTTTCTGTTACAGATGTGTGATATCCAGAACACGGCGCAAAGATCCTAATTTCGATGTACTGTCCTGCTATGATACCGCTGCTTACATTTGACCCATTTGAACACCTGCAGCTGCTTCCCGTTCTTGGACTCTGCCCACTTCTTGTCCCTATTCACAGTCGAGACAGCAAGACAGAGAAAAAAAATGTCAGCGTAACGCCTAGATTCCGTGAACTGGGCTAACAGATGGACTGATCTGTGCTGGCTCCGATGTCGGCTGTTACAATAGTAATGTTGGTTACCAGCACTGGACGGGCTGGAGGACGGCGCGTTTGAGTCTGTCGTGTTCTCCTCCTGCGGCGTTCCTGACGCCTCTTCCTTCGCGTGGACGCGTTGAAGTCATCTTGTGGTATGATGTGTTCTAGGTGTGTGGGTTTGTTGAGAAGCAAACTGCACCTGGGCGAGTTGCCAATGAAGTTGAAGATGTGAAAATCGTCATAGGAGACAACTCAGTCGTATGGCCTGTACATCTCTGCCAAAATTAAATATTTGCCCAGCCCAGTCCGTGGACTCCGACTGAGTGCTAAAAAAAAGTCTCCGAGGCAGGCAGAGAGAGGGGGTGAGTCAGACGCCACCATTTTTCATTATCAATCTTTGTTTTGCTCCAATCGATAGCAAGGGCCCCCCTTTCCTTGCTTTCCTCTCCACCTTCTTTCCTTCTCTTCTCCTCTTCCCCCTCTTCCCCCTCTTCACCCTCTTCACCCTCTACCCCCTCCTCTCACCAACCACCAGGACACAGCCATGGCAGCAGCACAAAGAGTCGCAACCGTCTCCCGCAAGACCAACGAGACCGACATCCACATCACCCTCGCCATGGACCAGGCCGGAGCTCAGTCCATCGACATCGACTCTGGCATCGGATTCCTCGACCATGTACGAATTTTCTTCTTAACTATCAAGGACTCTACATATACCCCTGCCGTCTTGCTTATACAACCTTAACCAACACCTTCGTTCCCCTGACGCCTGATAGATGTACCACGCATTGGCAAAGCACTCGGGCTGGTCGCTTTCCTTAAAGTGCAAGGGCGACCTCCACATTGACGATCATCACACCGCCGAGGATACCGCCATCGCTCTCGGCATGGCCTTCAAGCAGGCCCTTGGTGAGCCCCGTGGTATCAAGCGCTTTGGATCTGCCTACTGCCCCCTCGACGAGGTAAAGTTCATTCTCTTTTTTTCACCTTGATATCTCTTGGAGTCATTTTTTTTCCCCAGTTGTCGCTGCTTTTTTACTCCGATTCCGGATGTGCCTTTCAGCCTACAAGAGAAATTCGACTTTTTTTTAATTATTAACCTCCCCGCCCCACCCATTCCTCCACAACCTGATACTAACGATGCTGATCCGCCTCGAAAAATATATTAAATGAAATAGGCATTATCGAGGGCGGTCGTGGATATTTCAGGACGCCCCTTTGCAGATATCAACTTGGGCCTGAAGCGCGAGATGCTCGGAACCTTGTCCTGTGAGATGGTCCCCCACGTCATGGAGTCCTTTGCCCAAGCCGGCGGTATCACCCTCCACGTCGATGTCATCAAGGGTTTCAACGATCACCACAGGTATTGAAATTCTTCCTTTTGGTTACGAGCAAAGAAGACGAAGGAGAAAAGGGTTTGCAGAAAAGAGTGAACGGAATGAGTGTTTTGACTAACAGTGCTTTGGTTTCATTTTGGACAATAATGAATAGGGCGGAGAGTGCGTTCAAGGCGTTGGCAGTGGCGTTGAAGAATGCGATTGAGAGGACTGGAACCAACGACGTTCCCAGCACCAAGGGTGTTCTGTAAACATATCACGAACGATAACCAGGAACCATGACTCGCATCATTACCATCACCATTCAACTCCCAACGCTAGAGGGAATAAACATACAACAGGTCAAACAACCCGTATCATTTGTGTTTCATTATGTATATGCGGTAACTAAAAAAGAGTTATTCTTGGAGGGCAAGGCCTTTTCTACCATTCACCAAGAAACGAGAACTAACTACTGGACATAGTTGGCAGGAAAAGCGCCGTCCCTTCCATTTAACCGCCCTGTCCACCAATCATTCGTACTCCCCGTCTTCTTCACAACCGTAATCCGATCCCCCTTACTAAACGACAAATCTGTAGGCTGTTCGCCAGCAAAATCGTACAACGCTGTTACGAATACGGGTTTCACGCCCATTGTTGGGGGTGCTGAGGGAACTGGTGGAGGTGGAGCACTGCGAGAATGGATGGACGAGAAGGTGGAAGATTTGTTGTTGGCGATGCTGGTGTTCATGGGGTTTTGGGCGGAGGAGAAGGGGTTGTTGTTGTCGCTTGAGGGGCGGCTGTATCCTGTGCCGCTGGTGTTGCTCATGCCTTCCCGGGGCTTGCTGCTGAACTTGGAAACTGGAGTGGTGGCAGTAGGAGAGTAGCTGGGAGCAGGGTCATCCAGGTCGGGGATCAGAGGTGTGTTGGCACTGGTGCGGTAATCTCTCGCAGAACCGTCATTCTCCATCCCGACATACCCGCCAGCATTACTGTGACTTGGGCTATTAAACGCATACCCTGCCGAAGAATTCGTCGACGGCCGTCCTCGCCCACCCATCGGTGGACTGCCCGCTTCCTGACTGTTCCCAAACCGTCCTGCCTGCGCTGCACTAGCGCTCCTCCCAATCCCGGGCGAATGCATCGGCGAATGCTTCGGCGAATGTATCGGCGACCCATTCGAAAACTGTTGAAGCTCATCCCCATAGAAGGACCTCGGTGACCCACTTGACCTACTATACGCTGCACTCCCATCCGACGCCTTCAAATTGAGTGCACGATAGAGGATATCTGCTTGGGGTGGAGGTGGGATGGCGCCCGAAAGGAGTTCTTTGGCAGTGACGGGGGCACGATAAAAGTCTTCGTTTGTGTCCACGCGTTCTATTATAATCGATCCTTCAATCGATACTCCTATTTTTTGGTAGGATCGAGAGATGAAAGGCGACAGGTGGTAGTCAATGTGTGAGAAACCTTTTTTTTTTTTCTGAGGACGTTAGAGGGCGAGAGAATGTGGTGATAGAAGGCAAAGAGACATACCGGCGAAGAGACCCTTGGTTTTGCTATAGGAGTAGATGGCAGCAATAGCGCCGAGGGTAGCAGACGCACCCGCCTCTGCCGTTCTTCCAATTGGTCCAGCAGCAACTATCAACACATGCAAAAGCAAAGGGGGGGTTTTGTGGAGAAGCAAAACAAGGTTAATTCGCCCAATCATCATTTCTACTCCTCCTTGTCCTCTCCATATTCAAAAACGCAAAAAAAAACCCCCACCCCTCCCCAAACTCACCAGAAAGGTTCCCTCCCAGGGTGATATTCCCCTCCTTCATAAAACTCCTCACCGCACTTTTAGTATTCAAAACAATCACAAAATCCGTGATCTCCGCCCCAATCTGTCCTCCAAATCCCATCCCGCCCGTCCCAATCGCAGACGGAGCCGACCAAGTCCCATCGTCAAGCCGGGCGACGACAATACCGGACCCTGCACGACCAGAGAAGAGGAATCCGGCTTTGAGGACTGTGAAGATTGCGAGGCCCTTGGCGCGGGAGAGAATGTTGGGTGGGATTATGTTGTCGATTCCTTTTGCTGCCATTGGGTCTATCATGTGGGTATGTTTAGTATTGTTGGAGGAAGGAGAGGGATCGTTTTTTTAGTATGGATGGTGCGTGCGTGCAAAGTATGCGTTTGTTGTTGACAAACTCCTGGGCCAATTTGCTCAGTCCTCATTTTTTTTCCCCGTATGCTGTATGGTAGATCTTTGATCGATTAGCTTGTCAAATCCCATCCGGTGGCAGCCTAGAAGGAGAAAGGTGTGGGGAGGACTCACCGATGAAGGCGTTCAAGATCTTGGACGCTCTCTTGCACTCACCTACACATACAACACAACGAAACAAAAAAAACTGTTAGAATACGACGTATCCTTCTCGAACACAAACCACCAAGGAGGATTGTAGTTACGGTACCGGCAAGGTCCTTGGGCAGCGGACTATTAATTTTAATGCTTTTCTTAAACGATGACATTCCAGTTTTTTCTTGTCGAAATGGAATGAGGATGGTGAATGCAGGACAGGAAGGAAAAAAAAAAAAAAAAAAAAAAAAGTGAATGAGGAAGTGAAGAGAATATAAACCCCTCGGACACAAACAAAAAAAAAAAAACCAAACACGGAAGAAGATGTGGGCCCCAGCGTCATCAAAGATTTATGTTTTTTCTTTTTTCTTGACCAAGACACCACCAACCAGAGCACAATTTCTAGAGGCGGAAAAATAAAATATCCTCGCAAGCATTTTTGGTGGCGTCTTTGTGGAGCGCACGTGCACCATCCGACTGAAGAAAGAGGGCTAGGCGGGGTGGTGGTGTGTGCAATGTTGTCTTTCTTCCACTTCCGCTCTTTCACTCACTTATTTCGTTATCTGTTGTGTGACCATGTGAATACTGTAAAGGGCATAAAGCAAGAAAAAAGACACGATAAAGTCGGAGCGCAAGAAAGTGAGCAGGAAAAATACGAGAGCCAAGGACATGTGAAGTGAAAGAGAAAAAAAAAAAAAAAAAAGGTGAGCAAAAAAAAATAATGCAGAAGAGCAAAGACGGACGGCCCTCTTGGACCACCCCTGCAGGACACTCTCCCAATTCTCATGCATTGAGCACCAGCAAAGCATGATTGAACACACTCGCTAGCTCTTTATATACTTTCACCACTGAAATGGCCAATGCAGTCCTTGACGCCATTGACCAAGAACCCAGGAACACTCATGCTTGACCAAGTGTAATGTATTTTCTTTTATTCATGGTAAATAGGGTTGGTAATTCTTGTTTTTTTTTGTTCTGAAAGCTAAAAAAGTGAGGGAGTAACTCAATGAAGGAAGAGGATGGTGTGGAGATGAAGTGAAAATGAAGGTGAAATTAAATATGGGTAACTAAAAATGTATGGACAAAAAAAATGGTTAGTTTATCTACTTAGCTCACCCAAGGAGATGGATGAGATGATAACAAAAAATGAAATGAACAAAATAACAAATAACCAAAACAAAAAAAAATAATTGCGAAATTAGATGCCAGAGGCAGAGGACGAGGTGCTGTTTTGACGACTGCACCGCAATCGCTTAAGGTCCTCATTCGTCGTGCTGGCACTGGTACTTGTCCGACGAGGACCTGGGAAGATGGCCGATGAGGACGACAGTGACCCGTCCGAAGAAGAGTGCATGTTGACTGAAGACGACCCATTGGACGAAAAGGACGAGCAATTGGTCGAGTTGACAAGACTCACGCCGAGTGAGTTCTTGCGCTTAGCTGATGTCGAGTCATGAGGATGGTGCCGCTGCGGTTGCTGTTGCGATTGCTGCGCTTGTCCTTGATGCTGTTGTTGTTGTTGACCATTGGTGTGGATGGTCAATATTCCTCCTGAAGATGACGACATGGTTGTCACTGTCGAGGTAGCAGTAGTCGAGGATGATGACGATATAGCAGATGACGACCCTGTAGGAACAGAGTGAGGCGGTACTCCATGACGATACAACGACTGTCCAGAAAAGTGAGTCGTATAAGGCGAGAGGTTGTGCTGTTGAGACAATGGCCTCGAGGTTGGTTCCATGCTGGGCTGTTCCGTCAACGACAAGTTCGACAACGAAGCAGAGGCTGCCATCGTGGAAGACGTCGTCGGTGAGGGCATCGGTGATGATAATGCCGAATTAGAGGACAATGTCGACGAAGTTGGCGAGAGCGTCAATCCTGAAGGTCCTGCTGTCGAGGTGGCAGGGTTCTTGGACATGATGGCTTCCACAGTCTGAGCCCGGCTGTGTTGATGGTTTCCGTCGGCGTTCCTAAAACCACGGCTGTTGAGTCCCGAGCGCATATCGTCCTTATGTTGCTGCTGTTGTCCATGGCCAAATGACTGAAGAGGGCGATATGCGCCAGCAGAAACGTTTGTTTGTTCTTGCTGAAGTAGTACCAGAGGAATCGGAGCCGAGACAGAGGGTGACCTTGATGATGACGACGAAGAGGTATCACAAGTCACAGCCACTGTCTCCATAAGTGTATCCAACGGATGCATCGTCGCGTTTCCTGGCTGGGCATGACTGTCCTTCCATGTCGAAGGTGTCGGCTGCGACGATGACGATCCTACCGCCGACGACAAGGCGACCACGGAAGAAGGTCTCAATGCGGACGATGTTGTCGTAGTAGTACTGGGTGCAGTGCTGTCAGTCATGACAATGTCCATCGCACTGTCAGCTGCGCCAGTTGTAGAACCCTCTGACGGTGTCTCATCCATGAGCGCCACCGGAATGGATGCAGATATAGACTTGGAATCTGCGTCGAGTCCCGCCCGTGCCTCTTGACCTGAGGGAGTTGCAGCTGCAACATCCTCAGGAGCATCCTTGCCAGTAATTCCAGTTCCAGTAGCTGTGGCACCAGTGGCTCCAGCTGACAGCTTTTGCTTTTGACTCAACTCATCCTTCAGTCCACTCTCCTTGAGAAGTTTGCACTTGAATCGATGGCTGATACCTGAAGCTGGATCCAAGCATTGGAAAAACTCGGACAGCCGACAGAAACTCCACTTGCGCGACAACTCTTCCATAAACAGCGACTTGTTCATGTAAAAGATGGGGCTGGCGGCATAGGATGATTGTTGTTGCATCCAGTGCTGTTTTGAAGTCGAGATGTTTCCAGGCTGCGACGACTGGCGAACATGGGTCGCGTGCGGACCATGGGTGGTACGAGTAATGTGAACGGGTGCTCGGTGAAGGGTTTGTCGGTGATGCTGGAGTTGAGGAGAAAGAACGTGTGGTTGTGGTGGGGAATGGTGCTGGTGGTGGTGAGGATGATGAGAGATGTTGCATTGGTGGGGATGGTAGCTAGCAGACTGTTGATGAGATGGGGAGGGGTATACTGGTGTAGCAGCAGCTATTGAGAGCGCGTCTGAAGCGGTGGTAATGGAGGAGGTTGGGTTGACGACTGAGGAGGCTGAAGGATGGAGAGGTGGAATGCCTTGATGGATATGATCCGACGACAACGACGACGATGATGTGCGCTGCTGCAACAGTTGGTGGTGAGCTTGGTGTTGCTGATGACCTGGTAGCGTGGATGAGCTTTGGCGGTGATGGTTCGATCGATTACCACTGCTAGCATGGGACTCTGCAGCGGGCGACATTGAGGCGGGTCGTCCGGCAGCCATAGTAATCTCTTCGGCCGAGGGCATGGCCATGGGGGACCCGTGTCGTCGGGAAACAGCCATACGGCGACCCTGGGTTGGCTGAGGTGTGTTGAAGGTCGAGAGAGGTTGATGATTAGAACGTGGTGATGATGGCGTTGAGAGGGGCTGAGGGAAAGTGGTGCCAGGTCGAGCTGAGGACTGTGGGGAGGGCGAGCCCCAAGTCGCTGCTGCTGAGGTCAGTGAATGTGGTGCAACAGGCGACCCTGGCAGTGACGCCATTCTTGAGTGACAAGGCGTAAAGGTGAGGAGGGTTGGTGGCGGAGAGGGGGTAGCAGCACTTGTCAAAAGTGTTCCTGCCAAACGGGCAATGTATTGAATCGCCCAGTTGTCAGTCAAGGCGAGGACTAGTCGGGCGCGGTTCTTTTCGCCTATGGAGAGAGAAAATCATTATTGATTCGAGATAATAGTCAGCGACGCGTTTTGAAAAGTACCAACAAAGGGAATCGCGCCTCGCGTTATTATGCAATTTAGAGCTAAACAAAAACCATGCGACGAATATATTTTTTTTACCTTGTTCACCGTGGACGTGGATCCAATCAAAAGTTACTTGCTTTACCAGGACCGCAATCGATTCGAGCCGCCAGCCGTGGACCAACCAACAGAGGGCATGCTCGATGCGGTCGTGTTCATACTCGCCCGCAAGGCGCTGTAAATACGAGGCTGTAACAAGGACATTATCTTCCGACTTTAGCCAAGTGTAGAAGGTGGCATCATAGAGATCATCCATCTTGCGGACATTGTTGTGGATATCCCTCCACAGCTCAGGATCTATTGGGCCATGACAGCAGGGGGGCAACGAAAGCGTTGGATGGGAGGACGAGAAAGTCGTGAGTGAACAAGATCTATTGTTTGTAAAAACAAAAAAAGCCGACTGTTCTACGGGAGACATGCAAGACAGAACGAGCGAGGGTATTGGCCAAAAGAGGGAGAGGTGGGATGATATAAAAGGGGAGAGGGCAGGCCGCCACGCAGAAAAGGGGGATCGAAATCAGATACAAGGAACCACATCCTCGATAATTCTCAATGCGTCTCTTGCAGGAAAACAGAAAACCAAACACACAACGAGCGAGAAGAATAAGATAATAAATATGACATTGTGCAAAAAAAAAAAACGCCTTTCAAGCTTTGCTTTTTACGCAAAAGTTTAATCCGTATCACTACTCATCCTCAAAGTGCGAAAAAGCAGGATCGTGTCACAGGAGTGAAAAGAGGGGATGGGAGGGAATCTCCATCCCTGTATGTCCTATCTGTTGACAAGCGGAGAGGAAAAAGAGAAGGAGGAGCACAACGCAGAAGAAGAGGGGAGAGGATGAAGGGGGGGGGAGGGAGCAACAGCTACTGTGGTAGCCGTAAAGAGATGGAATTGATCCACCATGCCTCATTTGGTCCCCTCCAAAGAGGAGAGAGAGGCCCTAGGACTAGGACGGGAGGACTCTGAAGAGGGGAGGAAGAAAGGCCGAGTATAAACGATGGAGTGAAGGAAAGGTGGTGGGGGGTGGGGGGTCAGGACAATTGAAAGAGAGGAAGAGTACAAAGTGTCATGTCTGTTGTCTGCTTGTTTGTTTGTTTGTTTGTTTGTGTTTGTTTGTTGGCTGCCTGCTGCATAAACGAGAGCAAGGGCAGAAGGAAGAAAGAAGAGAGCAGCGAGCGTCCAGTCCTGTCATAGTTCATGTCAACTGCACTCCTATTCTGCGATTGAACAAAATAGGAGGTGGTGCTGAAGTGTGTGTGTGTATGTGTTTTCATGGTATTGTGCACCCAAATTGTCTTTCTCCAGGGAGGAGGTGTCTCTGTCCTCTCTAGTCAGCTGGGTAGAGCAGTGAAGGAGTGAAAAGATACAAGGGAAAAGGAGAGAAAAGAGGGGCAGGGTGGGAGTGCGCACTTTCAACCCAAGGTAATTGAATGGTGTAGGGGCTCAACAACACCAACTCCACGAGGGACGGGAAGAGGGCATGAAAAAAGAGAGCGCTGAAAGGGGTGTTGTGTAGCAGTAGCAGTTTCAAGTGTTGCAGTATGTGTAAAAAGCGTGTGAGTAAAAAGAAGGGGTTTGTTCTGGTATTGTTGGTTGCTGAGGTTAACTGACTGGCGTTCTCTTTTCTTTCCACTTTGTTGTTGCTGTGGACAGACACTCATCTGAATGCCCCGGTTCCTTTTGAATCAGTTGCCCCGCTGAAAAAAAAAGTGATTAGCCAAGTTGTTTGCTGCGAACGAGGAAAAAGTAAGGGACAGGGGGTTGAAGGTAGGAAGAGAGTGGGTGTCGGTGTTGTTGTTGTTGTTGCTGTTGTTGAAGGAAAGGAGGAAGGAAGGAAAGGAGAAAAAAAAATGCGCTTGTTTGCAAGGGGGTTGGAGTGGAGGTGGAAGGGGCTGTCAGCGAGAGAGTGGGAAGTGAAGTGAGGTGAGCTGAAAGGAAGGAGTCGGTGGGGCGTGGTTGAGTGTTTTACCTTCCTGGATCTCGGTCGAAGCTTTGGCGTTCTTGGACCGGTAGGCCCTCACCTCTGTGGTTCTGTTGGGGGGAGGGTTTGCCATGATGAACAGTGTTGGAGGGTCAGAGTGGGCACAAAGTGATGGGCGTATTTAGCCTATGGGCCAGTGCAACGACAAGGGGAAGTGAGGTTGATTGTTGGTGGGAAAAAGGGCCTTGGGTGTGAGTGGGAGAGTGAGTGAGGAAGTAAGAGTGGCAAAGGAGGACGAGGTGAGTGGAATGAGTGAGGTGAGAAAGCGAAAGGAAGAGGAGGGAAGAAAGGAGTGATGGTTCGATGGTGCAAGGGTGGTTTGGAGTAAGAATGAAGGACGAAGGAAGGAAGGAGGGAAGGAAGGACAAGGGTGGCAGAGATAGAAAAGGAGGAAGATAATCGAGCGAGTAGAGGAAAATAAGGAAAGGGGAATAAGGCAAGGAAAAACAATGGTGTGAGGAGAGGACGAGGAAGAAGAGGGGAAAAAGTGAGAGTGCGAAGGGAAAGAAGAAAGAAAGGACGAGCAAGGTGAAAGGGAAAAGAAGAGAGAAGGGAACAGGAGGAAGAGGGGGGTCAAGAAGAAGATGAGGGTTTTGATTCTTATTTAGGACAACAGAGCAGAAAGGAGGAAGAGGGGGGTGAAGGGAGGGTACACAACAATGGGCACAAAGAAAAAAAAAAAAAAAAAAGGAGGCACACTCACTGACGGGATGGGTGGGACACACACAACAAACAAGCAGGCAAGCAGTAATAATCTCTAATAATCAAATAGGGATGAGGGATGATGGATAGGGATAGGATGGAAGAGAGAGAAGAGAGAGAGAGAGAAGAGAGAGAGAGAGAGAGAAAGAGAGAGAGAGGAGAAGAGCGATGATGACAAAGAACAAGAACGGTGTACGAGAAAGGCAAGACATAAACAAGAAGGGCATAGGGCTAATTTAGATTCCAACAGAGAGAAGAGACGAGGAGAAGAGAAGAGAAGAGAAAGGTGCTTCTAAGAATCAAAGATTAAAAAAACGCTTCGCCGCCGATGAGGAACACTCCCTCACCCATGGTGATGGTGATAAAAGGTGATGGTGATGATGATGGTGATGGTGTGAAAAAATCACCAGCTATGAAAAAAGAAGCACAGGCGAAGGTGCCATTTGAGGACGAAAGGCTCAACTGGAAGAGAGCGGAGGCGGAATAATATTTATTTTATTTTCTTTGGATTGTGCTGTTTTCTCTCTCTCACCAGTCTTCACTAATAAAACGAAAGAGAGTACCATAAAAATAACGTAGAAAACAGAGGTAAATATTATTTTAGGCATTCAACATCCGAACACAACTTATGTTGTCTTCTTCTTTTCTCCATGACCGATTTGAATGGAGAGAAGAGGACAACCTCGCCGATCCGTATACTACTATCATCGTCACACACACACACACAAACACCAATTGTCAAAAGATGGATTGAGAACTAAAAGGGGCGGAACCACATCCTCTCAATACTCTCGTGCTTGATTTCTCGGCAGGAGATTGATTGTTCAGAGAAAAAGAAAACATAGCGAAACGCGTTGATTGTCACTCTTCCGCGATTCACTTTTCTTGCCTTGACTCTCTCTCTCCTTCTCTCTCTCTCTCTCTCTCTCTCACGTTTCCGTTCGCTTTTCTTATTGTTGCTCTGTTCCCTTTCTATATGCCTTTTTTCACCGCTCCCTCTTTTCCTCTGTTCCCATACCCCCATCTCCAATCAGAGCTCTCGTTGTTGCCCATTGTTCCCGCTCCCGTACCAGTCCTTTCATTTCAAAAAGTTTCCTTATTTTTATTTTGATTGCTTTTACCTCGTTTACTTTCACATAGAAAGATCTAGTACCTATTGAAATGTCGCATCACGAATGCCTACCTTATGCTGTGAGCTCTTGCTATTGCAACATTGATCGAGGCGAGCCCCTGAAAAAGGCACCATGTTCAATATGAATACAAGAGACCGGAGTGCTTGGACTGGAGCAGACTAAACTCTCACCTATTTTATTTGCAGCCAATTCATTATTATTACATCTCGTAACTTTATCCTCCCACCTTCTCTTCGTCTTTTATTACCCCTGCATTTCAACGTGGATGAAAGGAAGATTCAGCAACACTTGAAGAAACGAAAGCGGAACAGACAGGGTATGTATGGTGGAACGATCTCTGAGATTCTCGCTGACCCACTGCCCCTTTTTTTATCCATTTATCCAATAGATGTTGTTGTTGCGGCAATGCGTCTGACGCGTGGCAATAGCCTTGTTGACCTCATCAACAATTTTTTCATTGGTTTTTTTTTCTTTGCCCTTTCCTCTTTCCACTGCTATTCATCCTTCATCCTTCTACTGTTTCATGGCCCCAGCCTTCCTTGCATGATGTGCGAGTAAACACGTGACACTTTTCTCTCCTTTTTCCCATTCTTCTTCCAAACCCTGGCCCAACGGACAAGCAAGAAGAAGACAGGGATGTTGGATCAATTGGCGTGTCCTTGTGCGATGTTGAGTGAGTGTAGGATGGAGCGAAAGAGTAGTGATTGAGATTGAAATAGGTTATCATTGAGCGATCCAGGACGGCACCGCTTAATAAGTCCGAGCCTGGTATCGCCTTGATCAGATCACAGGACTGCACAGACCAATTTTTCTTATTCTTCTCCAGCCACAGACAGCGAGACAGACAGACAGGGCAGCCAGCCAGCCAGCCAGAAGAGAAGTGGCGATGAACGATGAGCAGTCCTAAATATTCGTTCATTGAAAGATTTTTGTACTCTTCTGATTCCATTGAATTTTGCGAAGCGATTTTGTCTCCATGGTCCATTCTTCTCTCTTTTTCTCTTCCTTCCCTCGTTTCGTTCATTTCATCCACTCCTTACACAGTCCACACACACATACACATACACATTTACATACACACATACCATAGATATACCACATACATCCTCCATTATTGTCGTTATTGTCTCCTTTCCTTTACTCCTCGTATCCCATCTTCTTCTTCCCCTTCTCCCCTTCCCTCTCCCCCTCTCTCTCCCCCTTCAACGCTCGCAAAAAAACTGGCCTACAGCTGGCACCACCTTCTTGTTCTTTTACTCCTCAGCCTTCCTCTTCTCATACCACCTTCCTTAATACCCATACCCACCTATATACTTTCACCCCCTTTCCCCCCTTTCTTCCTTCTCTTTTCTGTTTTCTCTTTCTCACCCTTTGCTTTCGCATTCACTGCACACCTCTACCAAATCCACAACCCTACACAAAGACTCATCAGCAACAACAACTCTAAAGTCTACAGTCAGCGTAGACGACTGTGATCGGTCAACCCTCTGTCCCAGTCCTTCTAAGCAACTCCTCCCTTTTACCTTGTGAGCATCAACCGTACCCACACTCTCATCCTATCCCAACTACAGCCCCAGCCTCCGGGAAACACCAACCAACAACAAAGCCAATTGCACACCACCATGGGCAGACCAGTGGCGCGCAATCTCGAGGATGAGATGATGACAAAGATCAAGGCGCTTTTCGACAGGATCCTCGACACCGTCAATAAAGAGAACGTAAGCAAACAATAACAACAGCCAAAAACTTTTTTTTTCAATACCACTGCAGTATACTTATGACTCCTCCTTTGCTCTCTTTTCGCATATCAATATCACTTTTGCTGACCGGAGGATTACTATCTCTTTTCTTATTTCTCGCATACTGTTTTTGCATACCATACCATGCATTGTTCAACCATTGGGGACGGATGACACGGATTATTTTTTACAGCCGCAATACACGTTTGACTTTGAACAGTTTGTCGATTGCTTTGACGAGAACGACCACTTCACCAAACGGGTCTTCGAGTTCCTGGTCAAGGAGACCGCGCAGCGTTACAGGAGCGCGCACCCGCAGCCTCAGTACTCGTCCCATCCTCGAGCCACCATCCACCACCTTCCCGGAGGACAGGATACTCGCTCGATCACTGGCGCCGCCGCATTGGACTCCAATGCATCAGCATCAGCAGGAACGGATGCAGGAGCAACGGGAGGAGGAGAGTCGACTGGAAGTTCTACAGCTCCCTCGGCGACCACGCTTCGACAGCATCACCACCACCATCATCACCATTCTCCCTTCCAGTCGCCCCGGCACTCGCTCCCGCCCCTCGAGCATGACTCCCTCGCCCGGTCGCCGTCGACTATTGCAGGATTGGGGTCTATGAACGAGAATGCTCAAGGGACAGCGCCATCGACTAGCTCCTCAGGGGCTGCGCTGAGATACTTGCTGTCGAGTCAGGGATTCGGTCAAAACAGCAGACGTTCGAGGGCGGCTCAAAGAATGCTGTCAAACGACCTCATGGCCTTTCATCAAGGACAGCCTTCTTTGTTCAGCAGCCTGAGTGCACTCTCTAGCCCTGTGCTTGGAGCCGACGCAACGCTCGCTTCCACTACCACCAGAGGATCAAGTTCAACAACAACAGCAGCAAGAAGACATACACAAGACATGGACACTTCCCTTTCAATCTCGTCAGCATCACAAATAGGATCATCATCAGGAGTAGCAGGAGGAGCGTCGTCATCTTCAGCTACGGGCTCGGCATCAGCAGCGGCCTTGTCCACCTCACCCAGAGTGCGTTCGCCCTTTGAGCAGATGCAGGACCGACAGGACCGCCTTAGGAGATATATGCCCTTGCGAGAGTTTTCGATGGAGCTGATGCCGGATTCCATCAGGAGTACCGACTCGAATGCCTCGGGGTCCTCGTTTCCGTTGTCGGATGATCCGGAACCCGCCACTGACCTCACAGTGGCTCGAGCCTCGTCGTCGTCGCAGAGAAGACGAGTCATCGTTGCCGAGAACATGAGACAGGCGCGGGAACATCAAATTCGGCAATTGTATGCTCAGACCCTGCGTGCCCGACCACCCCCCGCACAACCCTCTTCTACTCAGCCATCATCTAGCCAAGCACAGCCATCGTCCTCCCAGGCGTCCTCCTCCTCGTTATCCGAGCCTTCGAACCCGTTTCGACAACACTATATTCAGCAGTTACAGGAACAACGAGCTCGTCGGCAGTATGACCAACTACGACAACTTGAACAGTCTCAACATGCTCACCAACAGGCTCTCCAAGCTCTTCAGGGTCAGAGACTTGTCGCACCAGAAGATACCCAACAATTACCATCATCGTCTCAGCAGGATCAATCACATTCATCGACCCAGCCTCTTGCCCAACGATATGTACTCCAGGACAATGGTCTGCGACTTGTTCAACCTTACCCCGGCTCACCAGGAACTCCCATTCCACTCCCTAGTACGGCTTCTGACTCTGTGGCGACTGGTGGTCTGACTTCACAGTCTACCGGATCTCTTTCGGCACTCACCTCGCAACAAGTTCTGGACGAGGCGTATCAGGAATTCAGCAGTAGCTCCGAGCGGGGGCGAGCTGCCATGCGTAATGCTCTTGCTGCAGATCTTCACATTGAAGAAGATCACCAGGTCTTGTTGACGGGCGAAGTGAGCAGACGCAGGCGAAGACGCGTTGTCGGGAGATTCTCCAACTCGATGGGGTCACCTGACATTGGATCCGACAACTCGAGTGCCATCATCAGTCAGCAACAGCAACAGCAAGAACAGCGGGAACAGGAATCTCTCGAGTCAGCAGCAGTCGCCCCTACAGATTCGGTATCGCTTCTACCACCTACCAGCTCCACAGCCGTTCAACATACACGGAATGCGGAGCAACAACAACAAGGAACAGGACCAGTTGTCGACGCAACATTGCCTACAAGCTCATCTATCGCAACCCCAAGTGCAACTACGACTGGTTCGACGACGACGACGGCGCCTACGGTACCAGAAGTCTCTGTAGAGATGGTTGATAGCCAAACAACCCGTGACGACGCAGAGCACCATGGTAGTAGCGACCCCAACAATAGTAGCAGCAGTAGCAGCAGTAGCAGTAGCGGTCATCTCGGCTTGGGTCTGACTTCAACGGGTAGCACGAGTCATGGACAGACTGTACCGCCGACTCCACCCTCCCCAAACCCAAACAGGAACCCAATGCCGACCTTTCAGGACCGTAGACGATCATCTATCAACCCTGCCGATATTGAGACTTTAGTTCGGGAAATGGAGGCCAATGCACAGTCGGCAGCTACCCTGGATATCAGAACAACCGGTGGTAGTAATAGACCGACATCAAGTTCGTCGTCCAGGATCCGATTCCCTCTTCAGGCGCTGTCGCCTATTGTCGAGCCTGGTGGATCCACACCCCCTGTGGCGTTGGTCCCTCCTCTTGGGATCTTGACACCCACTTCTTCGAATTCTTCCTTGACTGAGCCGACGGGATCGGGATCTCGTGCAACACAGCAGCCGGTCCTGTTGTCGCCCGAGCCCGAGCCTGAGCGTGGAGCTGGGCGGGTTTCTGCACCGCGTTCTCCTCCTCTGCAATAACCCCGTATGACTTTTTTTTTTCCAATTTACATTTTTTTTTCTTTTTTTTATTATCGTTATTTCGTGGTCTTCGTACCCTGTACATGTAATAAAAGGTGTCGTCTGCTTCACAGCTGTGTGGGTGGATAAGGCATCCACGGTTCTAGACTTGGAAAGGAGTTTTCTTTGACGATTTGTCTCTGTCTATGGGTGTGATATAATTGGTGGCGCAAGGGACAAACAAACCACCACAATAATTTCAGACGCTATTTTCCCTTGTAAACAGACCAGGCACCACACACGTCTTCTCTCTCACTCTCTTCTACACATCAACGCCTCTGCATCTTTGGACCACTGGACTGACCAAGCAAAAAAAAAAAGATCTAGACACTCATCCCGACTTTGCGCGCGCGTTCTCTCTCTCTCTCTTTCAGGATGCATCCCAGTTCGCAGGAGCAGCGGGCACCGACTCACATCCGATTCCCGCAGGACGAAGTCGGTGGTCGAGCACAGAGCTCTACCCCCGTTGCGATTGGAATGGAGAACAGACTGACAAACGGGACAAACACAAAACCAACACCCCCCTCACAACCATATCAACAACAACAGCCACATCCACTCGGGTCTGACTCCCGTCACCCACCACTACCACTACCACCACCACCAGCAGCAGCAGCGCCAACGACCAAGACCCCGTCACTGTTCTTCAAAAAGCCTCCCAAACAACCCAAGAGTATCGATGCCCAGAACCATCTCAGCGCTGTAAGACGAACCGAGTTCCCGCTCTACACCAAGTCCTCCGCCTTTCCCACTACCACCACTACCACCACAGCTGCGGCGACGACAGCGAAAACATATAATAGCAAAGGACCAGGCGCAGGGGCGGCAACGATGATGGCGATGGGCACGAAGGGGTCATATTCTGGATCCAAACCGACGACGACGACGGCGGCAAGAACAGGACAGGATCGGGACTCAATTCGACCTTCTGTTACATCCCCCGGCAGTCAACGGCAAAAGCAACAGCAGCAGCAGCAGCAGAGACATTTTGCGATCCCGCCCAAGAGTTCTCATCAACCGGACCTGACTTTTGGGACCTCGCCGTCTCCCAGGAAGGGGAATGCGATTAGTGTTACGCCAGTGAATTCAACGTCTTGGGTTGGGGAGGGTCAGGCGCAGGGTAGGAAGATTCAGGAAGTGGATGATGAAAATGAGGAGGAGGAGGAGGATGATGGTGGAGTGGTGCAAGTCCGGATGCCAGATTTCATGCTAAGCAGGGAAGAAAGAGGCGGAGGCATGTCCAAGGATGTGGGGTCCAAATCGACAGCCCCTACGACTGCGGGGTCGACACCGACGAAAAAGCCATCATCGTTAGCCAAGGATACGGGAGCCAAACCTACAACCACTACGACTACGACTGCGACGAAGACAGCGACTGGGACGACCCCAACAAAACAGCAGGCATCAATAGCAGGCTGGTTGAAGAACAATGTCAAGGAACTCGTCAACTCCGTCGCAGATAAGTCGTCCAAGTCGTCTGCAAATACCAAGGACGTCATGGACCTCGTCAAGTCCGTGGCGTCGTCCACGTCGTCCAAAAGGCCTGCCAAGAGGAAGCTCGAGGACGAGGACGAGGACGAGGATAAGTTTGGGCTTGGGTGGTTGGATGAGACACTTGATGATGCAAACTGGAGCGAGCTTGCGAAGGACTTGGATTTGGATGAGAGGAAGAATGGTGGGTACTTGACACAGGAGGTTGAGCTGGATTCTGAGGTTGAGCAGGAGTTCAGAAGGCGGGCTAAGGAGTGTGGTCGAGAATGTGAACTTGAAGTCAACGAGACGGTGAAGGATGGGAGAGAATTGCATGCGGGGCTGGATGTGAAGGTGGAGGGAAAGAAGGAGAAGTGGCCGAGTCGGGTGGAGGGTTTAGAACCGGATTTCCCGTACTCAGGGGATGACGAGCCTACAGTTCGGGAAAAGGAACCGGTGCCGGCCTTCAAGGATTCTGTCACCAAAAGTCGGAATCATGACCAAGAACGAGACCTGGAGCGGGAGCGGGAGCCCGAACGGAAACAAAAGCATTCTGAGAGGAGCAGGACCTCTCCAGCCACCAAATTGTCACAAGAGACGAGGAGGAGCGAGGTCAAAGTGTCCAGGAGGGCGTCGTTTTTGCCTTCTGACATCGAAAGTGACAGTGATTCACTTCAGAGTCAACGACAGCTGTCACCGAGTGACAGGCGAGGTGATGAGACGTCATCATCTGGAAGAGTTACGCAGGAACGGAGGAAGCACGAGACCAAGGCCAGTAATGCGTTGTCGGGATTGCCTGTTGACCTCAGTAGCGATGAGGGGCTATCACAGAATCAACAGCCGCAGCAGCAGCAGCAGGAATCGAAACAGAGCAGGAAACCGGAATCCAAGACCCCACTTGAAGATATCCTACGGAAGCAGGCCTTGGACAAGCAGAGCGACCGACCTTCGACTCCGACTCGGTCTATCTACAAATACAAAAACTCGAATCTGCTCAGGAGTATCGATGCCCCGGACTCGGACTCTGATCTGGATGATTCCCTCTTTTCTATTACCGCCACTCAGTCACAGTCGGATCCTCATACCTCATCCTCGCCTTCGGTATCCGCATCTCGACCGTTATCGCAGGCGCCATCCGTAGCTTCGGTCGATTCGTTTTCGTCGAAGACTGTCAAAACCGGTACCCCTATGCGGGAGCGAGACATTGAACGGATGCCCAAGACGTCGACCGGCTTTGTTGAATTGGATGATAGCAGTCTGGACGATGAAGAGGACCCCTTCTTGGAGCACAAGTCGAAAAAAAAATTGATGACGAGCAGCAACAAGGGCAAGGAGGGGTCAGGGGTATTTGTTCTGAAGACACGCAAGGACGAACCCCGCTCTTATGTTGACACTTATCAAAATCAGGACCAACAACAACGAGATGAACGCCGTCAGAAAGTACAGAGTCGAAGGAACCTGGATGATGACAATTCCGAGGAGTCGATGGACAGGTGGAGCCGTGTTGGTGGTGGAGATCGTTCTCGCCCCAGCAGGCCGGAGAAGACGGATGACGACACAACCAGACATCGCAACATCCATGGCAGCGGAGATACCCGACGATCTGTAAAGTCAAGTGTTCGTACAATGAAGCGGGTCGTCGGCAAGGATGATGATGACGACTTCATGAACGACGAAAATACCAAGCCAGCTCGCTCAACAGCAGCGTCTAGAGGCGACACCTCAGCAGTGCCACGTAAGGATCGACCAGCAATCTCGTCAGGCGACAAGGAGAGCTCAAGATGGTCGGATGAGCGGAGGACTACGGAGCGCGATTATTGCCGCCCCCAGAAGGATGACCGGGGCCGGCGTGAGGATCGGGATCGAGATCGAGAGTCGACCAATCGGCCAAGAAGGTTGAGTGTGGAGCGGTCGACTAGAGTGGCGGCCGCACAGGACCAATTATCAGACGACCCCTTTGGTGCCCTGTTAACGCCTACCAACCCCCAGAGGAGAACGCCCAAGGCGGATCACCTTTTGTCAAGTCAAAAACGACGGGCCCGTTTCGAATCTACAAGTGATGAAGACACAGACTCGCCTCCCAGTCGAGCTACCACTCCAGAATCGAGGAGGACGACGATCATGCAGTTCTTCGAGGAGCCGCCGTCGACCCCAACCAGAAGTGCGAATGGGAAGAAGAGCGAGCTTGACGGTATCAGGAACCAGGGTTTGGAGAGTCCAAGGAAGAGTCCTAGGGTCGGAGACGACCTCAAGCTCCCATCGCCCAGACGCAAGAGGATCCGCACTATTGCCGAGATGATCTCCCTCTCTGACGATGACTTTCCTTCCCCTGGTAAGTTTTTTCTTTGTGCCTTTTTGGATTAGTGCTACCGCACTTACTGTTTGAACACTAAATGTGGGCTGCCATCTAATATATTTATTATGTTTTACTCAATAATGTCTTGAAAAAATAGGCAAGGGAAAGGAGGGAGAGGAAATGTGTCCATACTGTGGGGACGTTTTGCCAACTGTAATGTCGGCGCGGTTAAAGACGTCACTCGCCAAGGTTCTGACCAAGCAGGAGGACCGGGTTCAGGCTCAGCAAGAGCTTTTAAGGCGAGAGCGGATGAAGGATGAATACCTTGACGGCACGCTTGAGCTCAGGGTATTAGACACCCGGGGGCCGACCACCGAGGCGACGACTCTAAAGAAGCCATATGTGCCGCGGCCAAGGAAACCGGAGCGACTAAGGGGTCCCCCAACAAAGACCAACTTGACGATCGATGACCCTGGAAGCGGTGCTGATGCTGCTGGCAGTTGGGTTTTCGCTGAAAAGGAAGATGAGCTGCAGCAGAGACTATTTAGCAAGATCACTGCGGTAGAGAAATTCGAGTTTTGTCGGATCCATGTGGCGGAGGAAAATATTGTCCCTGCAGGACTGGAGCGCAACTACCCGCTGTTTATTCGGTTCGATGAGCTGCCGGACAGGATACGGAGGATGGAGCCGGAACTTTTGGGGATCATTCGTGGGACGGTCGCGAGTCCGTATTTGGATCGAGCGCTTGCGAACTATCGCACATTGGGGCATGGTGCTCGGAACCCTCAGGCCGTCCTTGCTGGTGTTCAAATGACCCTTGTAAGTAACAATAAGTATTTTTTTTTCAGATCGTTCGAAAGTATGTTGTGACATTAGAGTTTGTTTCTGTGTCGCGTATCTAACCAAGCTTCGCCCCGCTCTCATTGTTTGTCCAACTCTCTGAAACAGCCCGGGTACTATGGATCAAAAGGATCGAGCAAGATTGTAGAAGTATTGGTAAAGATGTTTATCGAAACCCAGATCTTGACGAGCGAGTCGGCAAGACCACAGGTGCCGATCGAATATATTCAACAGGTTCTTGTACCCGAGACTGGGGTGCGGTTGATCCTGGAGGACCGGCGGGGTGGTATTGGTGGTGGTGGTGACGAGGGCGAAGGTGAGTTGACGGTTGAGGAGGCGCAGGCGATTATGTTGGACAGTGTTGAGTTTGGGAATTATGTTCATGATATCGAGCTGCCTTGGTAGTTCTTCTATTTATTTTTTACTCTGCTGGATGGCTGGTTTGACTGTTGGAGGTGGAGTGGGGAAGAGCAGTGGGAGAAAGCCCTGTAGTTTTAAATGCTTCCTCTCCTTTTTCTATTTTGGCGAAACATGTATATTATTAGTGAGTGTGCAGGAGTGAATTCCATTTTCTTTATTGTTATTTTTTGGTGGGAGATGTTGTTGGTCGCAGGCAATGTTCCTGGAAGACGCGTCTCCGTCCATTAGACTTTTTTGTGTTCCCGGATGAGGTCGAACTTCTGATGTGAACCTTTTCCTAAAGGCAGCATGCATGCCGGAGCGCCTGATTCATGACCTCGAGCAGTTAGACGACACCATGCTCACCTTGTCGACAAGAAAACAAGGGCGTCGATCCTGTGCAGCAATGTCTTCAAGTCGAAGAGTAAGACGATCGGGATCACACTCGAGCAGGTCAGTCGATCCTTCAGCTATTGGGATGGAGAAATATCGGTGTATGGTATGTCCTTGAATGTTGTTCGCCACCACACCGGTAGGAGCGAGGATAATTGGCATCATCCCGTGCTCATAAGCGAACCTCAGCCAAAACTACAAAAAGGTTACTCTTTCTGCTGCCAGCCGGGGCCCAGAATCAACACCTGTGTGTTGACGAGGTTGTCGTCAAAGGGCCTCGAGGATTCGGTCCTTGATGTCGCGCTGTTCGAGGGAGAAGGTGTGTTGGCTGTGGGAGCTATATTGTAGAGATCGACCATGGTAATGGCGGGACCGAACCGGAAAAGGGTGGAGATCGTTGTAGAGAATAAAAGACTCTCCGAGTCAGGGGACCGTACACCTGAACGTAGTTTATCATAAAGTCGACATATGACATGTTCTCGAAATCGACATTATCTTCTTCCTCTCCTTCTTCGACAGGACCAATTGGTGAAGGTGAAGCAGGCGGAGCGTCTCTGGACTGAGGCAAATCTAGAAAGGAGATAGTGGTCACGCCGGAGAGAGCTGGGCGATGGGCCCAGGCGAGGTCAGATCCTGACTTGGTGGCGGTTGGCCAACGTTATCATGAGCTGGGCCTTGGTGGTTGTCATTTTATGTTCTTCTGAGTGGTGACTTTGTTTGTGCGAGTGTGTGTCTCTTTTTCTTGATGGCGGCTATTGAACCTCTTCTTTTTATATTTTTCTTTTTCTGTCCGTGGATCGTATCAAAAGTCAGTCTCTTGTCCGTTTTGTCTGTTATTAGATAATACAAACAAAGACAACGCTCATTCACAACCCCCTACTTTTCTTATCTCGCATCTATCGTCTTTGGTAGCTAGACAAATATGTGATCACCCTACCAGAGGAACGCAACCAGCTCAAGATCGATTATGCAGTCCTCCAGAGAGAGACTTCAGACCTCAAAAGGTTGCCAACTTTCAGAAGATGGAGCAACAGCGTCAGAGGGCCGAGGAGGACAAACGTAAGGTTGCGCTTGTTCAGAGTGCGATGAAAGGGGTTGACACTTCACCTTGAAAGCTCACAGGAGCGTGTAACTGGAGAAAGAAGATGAAAGTTGTGAGCTCGGGGGAAACCATTGTTGGCCTTCAAGGGTGGGGCCCTTTTCGACGAATCTTTTTTTTTCTTTCTATTCCGAGTACTTTGATACCCTTTGCACTGTTCCCTTTACTCCCCTTCTTTGTTACCCCTCGTGCGTTGTTATTCTCCCCTTTGTTCCTCCTGACTAGGTTCATTGCTACTTTTATTGTAGAGACTTTAGAACCTTTGGTCTTCATAAAAAAGAAACTTACAAATAAACCACTCCTTTTGCGAAGTACATACAAAGAGGGAGGGGGGAGGAAGGAGGGGGGGGGGGGGGGGGGGGGGGAAGAAAAGAAAGGAAGAAAGGAAGTAGGAAAGAGGGTGTGAAAGGAAGAATAATGAAAAAAAAAGGATACCCCACTCAAATAACATTGCGGACGAAATTCTCGACTGAGCAAACTAGTGGTAGTCAGCCAAGGTCATTGTCCATTTCCGAGAATTGAGGACCTTTACCTCGCCTCACTTTTCGCGTTTTCTAACCCCCTCCTCCTCAATCCTCAATATCCGTATCATGTCCTGGATCTGACGGTCAAAGCTTTTATGACGACTCGATTTCATGACACCGTCCTTTACTGGCATTCCAGTCTCCAGTACAGATACAATCCAGCAAGGTCAAATAAAGTCTTCGCCGCTGAGACTTGACAAACCCCTCGAACCAAACTCGAAGCGGTTGAAAATGTGTCAGATCGTCGTCGCCTGGAACTCAACACAAACGGGCCAAACGAAAACGGGGAATCCGCCATCGCCTCTTATTTTCAATTGCCCAAAACCCCTGTAAACGGCCCATTTCACCGACCGAAGTGTCATCACAGCCGTCCGAGTTCAAAACCATTTTCAATCGTCTGTTACCCCCAACAACCACCTTAATCGCCCTCTGCCACATCAAATGATATCTTAAACTCGGGCTTCCTGCCAGTAGGGTATCGCGCACATGAACTTACCACATTAAACATCGTGGTAATCGGGCCATCACAGCCTGGCTGGAGCGACCATGATGTTCCTGATTGCATACCCGCGTAATTTTTTAGGATGCTCATCCTAATCCTATTCGTTTTGACCTCACCCTCCCAACAACATCAAAAATGGCCAACGGTTGCCAGAGTCAGCCCCCAAGTTGAGAAAGAAAGGCTTTGGAATAAAAGATGTCCGTGTTTATTCCGCTCTTTGAGTCTTATTCCTATAGTACTTTACCTTGGTGCCAGAAGATCTCGCTTGATTGAAAAATAAGTGTGCTCGAATGATCAAGTTATCTTGTCCCTGTCTTATGCCTGTTTGTATTTGAGGGAAACAGAATCCTGTCATCGCTAAGAAAAACAAAGGAGGAAAAGAAGAGACGCGAGGTTCTGAAGTCTCCATTTAACGCAAATCCAGTCAGCTCTACCACAACTGCCTCAATTGGTCCCTACAGACACGATCAAGACAAACAGCGTGGTCGCTTCTCATCTTGGTCCCTGTCCCCTTCGGTACACCAGCACAATCTCTCCAGACCCATTAGCAAAACTTCCCGACGTGTGCTTGCCAAAGAACCCATAGAGCCAGACCTTTCTCGCATGATACTCGTTGTAATCAGCTTTGACCAAACTCGAATGCAAGGCAAGAGATACCATTTCAACGTGAGAAAGACGAGCCCTACGATTTTCGAAGCGGCCAACGACTACAAGAGCATCTCGTCAGGGTCGATTTGAAGGACATTCGTCGCCATCCGGTCCCAACAAGCGCCTTTCATATTTCGGTCCAGTAGCAGGCGTATTACTGAGTCGTATGAATCCTTGTGTGCGTGTGGAAATATCCGCACCGATGTATCTCAAAGACACCAGTTTCCGCAAATAGGTTTAGATATGAGAAGATACCATGGTGGTAATGAGTGCACTTCTGCAGGGTCGAGGTACTCTCCACTTGTGCTGCTGAATAGTATCCTCGCTGATGGTGGATGCTGGCTGTCGCCCTATATCCGAGAAATGAAGGACCCTGGGCGTGTGTAGCAAAATGAAGGTCATGTCAAGGCGAGCAACGAGGTCGTTAGTCAACAGGAATGAGCAAACTCACCTCTGGCCATCCCGGCAGACTGTTCCACAAGTGATAATTTCCAAGTGATGGTTTCTTGATTGGTGGTTTCAGTTTATTCGTCTCAGATTCATACATCATCCAGGAGCCTTGTCCATATCCAATAATATGCAAAGAGAAGAGGAAAAGGGACGTTAGAAAGCCGTTATCAAACACAAGTACATGCAGCGCTACCCTAATAGTCCCCATCCTCCAGCTAATTCCCAGGAGACCTGGAACAAAACAAATACTTAGGGTCATTTTCTTCATTTTGTTCCCTGTCCGTTCAGAACACCAGTCCACACCCCCCAATCTCACCTTCGCTGTACAGGACAATATCTTAAGTCGCCAGGAACTCCGAAGAAGCAACCTCCCTCACATGGTATATCTCACAGGCACCTTTGACCAAACTCGAATGCGTTGCAAGGGTTATACCAATTCAACATGAGGGAGATATACATCGAACAGAATCGAGACAGACAAGTGGTTCCCCCCCGTCGTTGGCAATATTCCACAAACTTTACATTTGTAGTCCTTCCAACAAGCCCTCATATGAGGCGTTCTTGTTGATTATACCAAGTCACGGTGCACAATGAAAAGAGTCTGGTACATGGCACAGTTCAAAGACACCAGTTCCTGCAAACTAGCCGAGTAAAGAAGGATACCACCATGATAGAATTGTATGCAATTGAGAAAGAGTCGAGTACTTTCCTTCGAGGTTCGAGGCCGTGGAGTGTGCTAAAGGACGGCGATAGTAATGGGTAACGAAAGCGAGTGCGGCAGTAGAAAACTAGATTCGAAGGGATAGCAACACAAAGAGAAGGGAGAAAGAGAGGTAAGAAAGCCGTTATCAAACACAAGTACATGCAGCGCTACCCTGATAGTCCCCATCCTCCAGCTAATTCCCAGGAGACCTGGAACAAAACAAATACTTAGGGTCATTTTCTTCATTTTGTTCCCTGTCCGTTCAGAACACCAGTCCACACACCCCAATCTCACCCTATCTGACACAGGACAATATCTTAAGTCGCCAGGGATTCCGAAGAAGCAACCTCCCTCACATGGTATATCTCACAGGCACCTTTGACCAAACTCGAATGCGTTGCAAGGGTTACACCACTTCAACGTGAGGGAAATGTACATCGAACAGAATCGAGACAGACAAGTGGTTCCCCCCCGCCGTTGGTAATATTCCACAAACAGCACGGTTTGCAGTCCCTCCAACAAGCCCTCATGTGAGGCGTTCTTGTTGATTATACCAAGTCACGGTGCACAATGGAAAAGTTTGGTACATGGCACAGTTCAAAGACACCAGTTCCTGCAAACTAGCCGAGTAAAGAAGGATACCACCATGATAGAATTGTATGCAATTGAGAAAGAGTCGAGTACTTTCCTTCGAGGTTCGAGGCCGTGGAGTGTGCTAAAGAACGGCGATGGCAATGGGTAGCGAAAACAAGTGCGGCAATAGAAAACTAGATTCGAAGGGCAACAATGTCAATTGCAATTGAATGCAACCTTGATTCTGTGAATGGAGCGAGGGATTAGTTAAGTAAAGGGTGGAGTGGAGGAGGAATGAGAGTAATGAGGTGAGAGGGAGGAGAGAGAAAGAAGGCGGGGCGGAAATAGCACAACGAAGAATAGGAAAGGAAGAAAAGATTGAGTAGAGAAGGTAGAGGAAGGGAAGAAGTAATGGAAGAAGTGAAGGAAAAAGGGGAAGAAAGGAACTGGAAGGGTAAGGAGGAAGTAAAAAAGAAGAGTGTGGGAACAAAAAGAAGGGAGGATGAAAGAAAGATGTAATAATTTTTCAAGGGTGCCGCAGCGGCAGCATGTGACAACGAAGAGACAAACAGGCTATTAATGAAAGTACTTTGTGCACATGCCTGCCACGCTCGCTCAGAAGCTCAGAATCGGAGGTTTGGTCGACCCAGTTCTGCCAGCCACCGATGAACACCGGCCTTGTCAATATCCTGCAATGGTTGGAGATCCAGGGATGTCAGCCAAGGCAACACCTCTTGTACGAGCCTGTAAAGTCCGTTAAACGTGCATGCCTGTCCTCCTGTGGAAAGTCCAAGGTGTCTGAGGTGGGTGAGTTGGCTCAAACGTCCGAATCCTGCTATGAAAGTACGATCCAAGTCAGGACTTTTGATCGTGAGAGAGCGAAGGTACCGCATCTGCCTAAGCTGCTCATACGTAACTTGCCAAAACCGTTGGCGGTCCTGATGACTGGCGGCGATGAATAGGTCGATGTCGATCTCAATCCAGAGCTCCTCGACCTGTGGCGCTGGGTTGCTATTCAATGACGAACGGAAAGATAACGGCAATGTTGGTTTGGCTGGACGGGTGGGAAAAAAATAGAGAGAGAGAGAGAGAGTAGAAAGAGACACATATGGCCAATGGTAATCCGAGAAGGCCAGAAAAAGGACAAACGTTAACATTGCTTCGCCCATATGGAGTGAAAGTCGTGACGGTGAACCATGTCTGCCTGTTCCCTGAGCCTCTTTTCTCTCTTTCTCTTTCTACGCTGTTATCCTTTCCACGACTCGCCAGCCCTAATTCACCTTAATCATCTCTGCAAATTCATCGCCTTCAACAAAAAACACAGGTGAATGAGGGAACAGGTCATTGCTGGTTACTTTTATTCAACCCTCGGTAACATCACCAGCACTCATCACCCACAACTTCAATAACCCTAAAAACCCTCGTCCAAGTGCTGCGTTTCGAGGGGTTGTTTTTGTTCACTCGCCCTCCCCCCTCTATGTCCTTCTTTTTCCCCAGAAAGCGGTTTAGACTTGTTTTTTTTTGCAACAAATAAAGAAGTCTGTTTGTGTGTGAAACCGTGTCTGTTGCAGCTGCCATTACTGCCCACTCTGTGTCTTTTCTTTATTATGGCTTCAGTTGCCATGTCGCCTGTCTTCATGATGTGCTTGAGACAGGACCTTCATGATAGTCTAGTCAGGGACATTTGCCTTGTCTTTTCGTGTAGTCTTTACCTTACTCTGGATAGTCACCCGTCTCTCTCTCTCTCTCTCTCTCTCTCTCTCTGTCTCTAACTATATATCTATCTATCTCTCTGTTTTTTTCCACTCGGTCCAGTCCTTGCCCAAACCGACATTGCCCTTATTTTTTTTCCATTCGTTATCGGACGAGACTGTTTTTCTCATGACAGACAGACAGACAGACAGACAGAGAGTCAGTCAGATAGACAGGCAGACAGAGGGGCAAATAGAGAGTCAGTCCAGATAGACAGACAGAGAGTCAATTGGAGACACAGACATTTGCGCCCTCAATGAAAAGTGAAAAGAACCCTCGCGGTATAAAAAGCCAACGGCTCTTTCCATTCTTATTTATCTTTCTTTCCTTTCTTTTATTTCCTTTCTTCATCATTCCTCCCTACAATAGCTCTCTTGAGTCTTCCTTACCTTCTTTTAGTCTTCAAAGTTGGATACTGCCATTTACCGTCAGTAAAAGACTCAATTCATTCTCTTTATCAGCACCACTCATATCCATTCTCTAATTCACCTACAACCCCGCCGTTCATCACTGAACGTCTTCAACTGCTGTATTCATCCACTCCCATTCCCTCATATCCATCTTTGCCAATGATGAGTTCTTCATCTTCATCCTCCATCTCTTCATCTTCTACCCCCTCATCACCACCAACATCGACGCCCACAATTACTTCCGCGACCGCGATGCCGTCAACATCTACCTCCACCCCCAGCCTCTCGACTACAACTGATTCTGGTGTCGGGACCGGTTTATACTCTCACCGAATGATGACCAGGTCAACGACTCGTGCACTGTTGCCACCCACACTTTCGCCGTCAACATCCAACATGAACGCCATCTCTTTGTCCTGCTCGGTCACCAACACATCCGGCCCCTCTCCCTCAGCATCCACAAGCCAGAAAAGAGTTGCCGCCTCTCCCTCGTCCTCTCGTTTGAGCAAGAAACCACGGAAAGTCCGAAGGATCCGCTGCTTTTTTTCGACTTCGTCGTCGCCTGCTCCACGATCACCCATCCAGGTTGAGCCTACAGGATCGACCACAGCTCCCAGACCCACGAGATACCATTTCTATTCCTCGTCCGTCCGACAGGCTGAAGAAGCACTTTCCCTTTCTCGCCTGCCTTCGAGCACATCGTTGTCGAGCTCATTATCCATTCAGGAGCCACCACTAGCCGCATCCACCTCACTTCCCGTCGCCACGCGGAGGTACAAGTTCTACTTCTCCTCGCTCCTGCAAGTCGAGGAGACAGCTATTGCTTCTCCACCACATCCTATTGAGGATTTTTCGGCAGGATCTCCGCCACCGCCCACCCTCGAGGATGCCCCAGCGCTACCTCCGACTGACATTCCCGTCGAGCCAGCCCCAGCGCTGCTCCCATCCGCCATGCCAACACGAGTCGACTTCCTTCCTGAGCTGTTGTCCGAAATTGCCATGTATCTCCGGACAAAGGACCTCGTCCACGCGTCAGAAGTGTCCTGGGACTGGAGGGCTGAGATGATGCCATTTGTCTGGACGTCAATCACACATCACAAATGGAGATGTCCACAGTTCCGACGCCTGGGTAGTCTTGTCCGCCAAGCGAAGTTCGACGAGCTTCGTGCTCTCCTGCGCCGCGTCGTCGAGGTAGAGTGGGGGAACGACGACGACTCTGGACTTTCATACTCCGAGATAGTGGTAATCCTGAGGTCCATGCCCAACCTCAAGAAGCTGTCATTGACGACGACCGGCTTGGCCAAGAGAGTGCTGTTGAACCTGCTCAAGGATCCTAGAGAGTTGTTGACGTTGGGCCATCTCCAGTTAGACTTGATCGGGTTTGAGGCAGAGGCAGAAGCAGAGAATGAAGAGGACGGAGAGATAGATGAGAGTGAGGAAGAAGGCGAGTTGCAGGAAGTGGAAGAAGGGGAGCCAGTTCCACTGAATGACCTGTTTAGCAGGTTTGATCAACTTGAAGGGCTCGGACTTGCGGGGTGGTGGTATGCGCCATATCACCACCAGGCAGCAATCGTCGAGGTTGCTGGCCAAGCGCAACAAGAAGAAGCGGTCCAGCCTCAATGGGCGATCAAGAATCTTCGGATTCCACGCAGTGAACTCGGAATCCTCCGACACTGTCCTCACCTCCGGAAGCTGGTCCTGACCGCAAAGCCAACGGATATCCAGGAGACGGCCTTGGAGCCAATTCTCGGCTGCAGACAGCTTGAAGAGTTGGTGTTCGAGGGACCTCTCTCATTCCGGATATCCGACATGGTCAATATGCATGACCGGTTGGACTTTCTTACAGCTGTAAGCATTACGTTGGAGAGCGTAAGCGAGTTCGATCGGTTGTGGGCATTGCAGTTCAGGACGTTCGCGCCTCATTTGAGGTCGTTCAAGCTGGAGGTGCAGAGAGAATTTGATGGCCAAGAGAATGCTCTGACTTGGCAGAACACCTTGCGCTTGAACGCAATTCTCTTCTGGCACAGAGAGGTGAGGACGCTTATTCTCAAGGGATTCGCTGTCCAACCTCGAGACTTTTTCCGAGAGGTTGAAGAAGGAGGGGTCACATCCTACAGCAACCCGGCGCCGCAGGTCGAGGAGCTCTGGATTGAGATCCACATTGACCCATTCTTCATCACCACTAATCAGGACCGCCATCGGATTTGGCAAGCTACATACGACCAGCTTAGCCAAATGCGGTACCTTCGCTCTCTCACGGTCAAAAGTCCTGACTTGGATCACACTTTCATGGCAGGATTCGGACGTTTGAGCCAACTCACCCACCTCAGGCATCTTGGAATCTCCGCAGGAGGACAGGCATGGACCTTCGACGGACTTTACAGGGTCGTGGAGGTATTGCCTTGGTTGACGTCCCTGGACCTCCAAGACTTGCAGGATATTGACAAAGCCGATACTCATCGATGGTTGGCAGAACTGGGTCGACCAGACCTCCGGCTCTGAGCTTCTGAGGACGAGGAAACTGGTCGATTGGGATTTTGGGCTGCTTTACTGTGTTGAGTAAATTGGAGGAGTTGAGAGGCCACGTCAGTGCTGCTTCAGATGAGGGTCGGAAGAGTATGGGCGCCAAGGAAGTAGACTAGGTCTTGAAGCATTGACCGTCGCTTCGGGTTGCAGAGTTGTTTGCGCTTGGACACACGTTCTATCATCTGGATAATGTCCATCTTCAGAGCGTGCACTGATAGTCAAGCAGACAAGGCCGTCCGTCCTCTTGGTCCTTGATTGGAACTTGGCCTTTGATGGTGGTATGAATTGTTGTGAGTTGGTGGTTGAAAGCTTCTTGCAAGGAAAACTGGCGGCTGACTGACAGCATAACAAGTCAGGAATGTCTTTGGAAAACCTGAACTTGTCAGGAGTCCATAGAAAGCTGCAGGAAAGGGGCTAGGTCTGAACTGAGACATATCTACTCCGATGGTTCAATGGTGAACAAGGGGAAGAAGACATGGGCCATGGCCATTGCAGTCGTGGAAGAGGAGTAAACGTGGTGAAGGGAGACCACCAGGGGATTTTCATCATCGACGAAAGCGGAACTAATGGAATTGATCATAGGAATCATCGCAACACCACAGGACCAGGACCTCTCCATCCGACTCGACAACCAAACGGTGGTGAAGCAGTTCAGAACGTTCGTTGTCATCGGAAATGATCGTCGGTAACAGAAAAACCGAGACTCGATTATGCTGAAGAGTAGGCGGTGAGCGCACGAGGTCAACAACGGTCGAGTGGGTCAAGGGCCACAGCGGAAACGAATGGAACGGAAAGGCGAATATAACAGCAAAGAAGACACAATCACAATGTAGAACGGCGTGGGAGGTGGACAGGGCCTTCCAGGACGACATCAAATACTCTGCTACGATGGCCGGCTTGATCCTTGATCAGAATACGAGACACGTGCTCAAGATACAGACCACCAGACGCTGAGAGAGTGGAGGGCACTCAAGAGCACCAATAGATCGATTCAAGACTAAGGCACAGATTGGCTTGGCACCCTTTCAAACATACACAGAAACAAACCAGTCAACACCTTTTTCAGTTACAGCAAGACACACGCCTACGAAGTCATAGGATAAAGCAGGTCCACGAAATGTCGCCTACCATGGACGTCCTACGCGCCAGGCGTCCAGATCTGTGCAAGGCGGCCCCTCCATGTGCAGAGGATATAAAAAAACATATAAAAAATGTCCAAACCCCAAGGAATGCAGTGTTAACTTCCATAGCTGACATGTCTCTTCATAGTCGGCAACAGAACACAGAATAAAATAGCAATAGACAGCTTACTTTTTTTTAAAATGTAGTCTCTCCCCTGTATTTCGCCTCAAAGATACAGTTGGGAGTACAAGTGCTTTAGATGATCACATACAAGAACTACTCTCCTTAATCTTGCAGTGAAGGATACAGTTTAATAGTAGATACACACATTCAAGAAACTGGTGTGCGAAAAATAAGAAGACTTTGTTTTTTGAAGAATAATATGGTGTTTAGTAGGATAGTTGAACAAGAAATATTACAATGGTTGTTTTACATGCTTGATATCATACATACATTCTCATCTAATAGTCGCTATGGATATCGTCGAGATCTGCAGAGATGTAGCAAACACCATATGATAATTTGGACGTGAAAGGTCTCCAAGAACGACTTATGCCGAGTGCGTGGTCTAGAGATGGGGGATAACGAGCACATCTGGACGTGCTCCAAGAGCAAGGAGACGCAGGAGGAGCTGTGGGAGGATGCCCTCGACCGAGTTGACGGATGGGGAGAGATCGCTACATGACTGTTCAACAAACAGCGACAGAAGCAGCTCAAGCCAGGAAAATAGCTACCCCCACCCCACCCCGAGACCGTATGGAGGAAACCAAGAATCAGCAAAGCTCCGCAAGACGCTGTAGCAGGCGAGGAAGAGGAGGAGGAACTGGAACAACACACCCCGAACGCGTGGACAATTAGTCACATCTACCAAGACCTGGTGCCGAAAGCCCTAGCTATGCAGTGGAGCAAGGTGTTCAAGGACATAGCGGGTAGCATTACTCAGCACTTGAGCCGTCTCTTTTGTCGATACATCGAAAAGGAGGCCAGGGAGCAGCTATGGAAGCCACGCTGCGAAAGGGCCATCAGGTGGGAGGAGGAGAACAGCATAACCAACAGCATAAAGTGCACACGCACCACCAAAGACCAGAGGGCACAGTGGACACAGACCTACAGATAGAAACAGATCTACGGGGAGGAACTCCGAGAGGACGAGTGCCTTTGCGGGCGAGCCGTAGCAGAACACAGGGAACAGCGGTGCCCAGGCGAGCAGAGCGATATTCTAGTGGCTGACTGAGCAGTCATTGACACCCTGCTGGGCCTGAGGCGCATAGATATTATGGAAAGAACCTGGAAGAGTCGACTCTTTTTTCGATTCGACGATACGACACAGCAACAAAACACGAGAACAAGCACAATCGAGACGCGTCTCATCCCTTCTCTTTCTCTCTTTTATTTCTCACAAGCAATACCTTCTCCTCTTCTTCTTCTTCGTCTACTTCGCGCACATGTACACTTTCATCCAGAAGGAACAGCACAACAAAAGATCAATAACTTGTCGCTTTCGCTCGAGGAGTCTCAATTGACACGGAGCCATAAGGGATACAACAGCAAACTACGCCCTCCTTCGGGTGAGGATATCGACCTACTGTTCAATGTCCGGAAACGCACCAGTTCTGATGGGATGACGACAACTGGAGCTGTTGAGGTTGGTGATGGTGGCGAAGATCAATGGACGCGTGAGAGGATGGCTGAAGATGATTTGGTACTCTTGCGGTCAAGGGTGTATGCGTACCAGAAGAACGACGAGGAGCTGGCAATGGAGTTGGCCGAGGACAAATCCAAGACGTCTGCGAACGAGGTGTTGTGTAAGAAGGTCATTGCGATCTGTTGTAATATCCAGCTGGACAAGGTCGACGAGATGCTTGTCTCGTTGACGTTGGCTGTTGAGAGTGATGGTGCTAGTTTGGATCTGTCGTGTGATGCTGGTTCATGAGTCGGGTCAAGCAGCAAGAAGGAATGTGTATCACTGGTTCTGCATCGTCGTCGTCTGGGGCCGTACCTTCTGCTCTGGGACCTTAGTGTAGTTGGAGTTGTGACCCGAGGGCGTCTTATATTTCCTATATCATAATTTTCTTTCTTTGCAAGAACAACACCAACGAACTATTGTTCTAAAGCCTTGACATCTGCGTTGAAATATTGTTCTTTGCTTTGTAGCCGTTCCGAGCGAGTTTTTATGTATATGTTGGGACATTGAAGTTGAGCGTTATTTTGATGTTCAACTTGCAAAAAAATTGGCTCTTTTTCTCTCTCTCACACTTCTCTTTCTTTCTTCTCCTTCTTCCGCACACATAAACACGCACACACATTGACAGCACCGTTCATACCTCTCACATCATTCCCTTTACCCAAACAGCAAACAGCAGACAGCAAAACAGCCAACAGCAAACAAGCATGAACCGCCACTGCGATAACAACCGCCAGCAGCTGCAGCAGCTTCAGAACCGACGTACCTTGATGAACACCCCTGCTACTCACCATCACCCCCACGTCCCAAACATCAACGAATATCCATGAGAACGAACTAATAGATGGACGCAGTGTTATCCAGGGGATGCTCACCCAGATTAAGGAGGTGTATGTCCAGCGTGCACAAGCACACAAACAAACGCAAAAGGAAGCCTTAATTTATTTATTTTTTTGGTTTACGAAAATCCAAGATTGTCGACATGGATGAAATGTCCAGAGTGGTGATTTGCCCTTTTGCTGGTGGAGATGAACCTTGTGATGTATTTTCCATAGAACGTGTGTTTGTTTTCGAGTATTGTTTTTTTCCTTTGGTACGATTCACTTGGTTCTCATTTAGGAGCAACCCTGAATGGGTTTGTCTTGATAGAGGTGCCCCTCGATAAGTTATGAGGAGTGGAGGTGTTTATTCTGTCTTCTATATTATCCTTTTTTTTTCTAACAGGTAGCCAGGCGGACGAAGCGCTTTTTGTTTTGTGTTAGACGCGATTCAGGGATGCTCTACTTCGTTTCACGCGTTCGCAGACTTTTTTTTCTTGGAGACAACAAATAAAGTAACGATGTATTTTGACCGCGGAGTTGAACTTTTTGGTTTGAGCGTGATTAAAGAGGTACTGGGGGGATCGCGATAGTGAACTGCATCAGTTTTCTGGTTGTTTTCGATATATTGCAAAAAAAAAATTAAAAAAGCCTTTGCTAGGATGACATGGAGGTAATCGGGACACGTAGGGTCAGGAAAGGCAGGGTCGACTGAGGCTGGCGCAAGGGGATTTGGTGGCAATGACATGGCGAGCGATGCGAGTGATGTAAAATGAAATCGATCAGTATGAATTGCCCACGAAGGAATGAATATAGCTGATGCAGGTCGTGGTAAAGTCCGAGCTTGGTGCTTTTCTGTCATTTGGATGGATAACTATGCGATTTATAGCGGCCTTCTTTTTGTGATCAACAACCACAGGATACTTTGTGGGCATGTGGGCTAGTTTTTCCAGATGTTCTCAAACGAAGCAGGCGGCCGATGTCTAATCGCTTTCTTTTCCCGGGCCTTTGTTGCCGCGGGTTGATATACTCTCACTTCGTTTTTCGTACATACGTCTAACCTATTTACGACAACAAATGAAACAAGCAAGACTTGCTGCAATACCAGAAACACCTTCGTTTGTAAATGTTCATGCAGTAAACTTGCTGCCGTAGAGACGATGCACAACACGAGGCGACAACAATATTTTATTTGTGGTCCAGGGGATCATTTTTCTAGTTCACAATCCAAGGATCTTTGCTAGATGTTGGATGGGCGGCGACTGCTTAGGCCACTCATCCTTGGATGATACAAGCTCGATGCCCTGCTCCAAACCAAAAGTGTTCTTGGCTAAGTAAACATGTTTGATGAGCGGCTCCTTATGGAGTGTATCATTACTTCAATCATCACAGCACCACTGATTTACACGATCATGCCCTTGAGGATCAGCATTCCATTCAGAGTTGTCGCTCGTTTCGCTTCAACATCAATACTTGAGGCTGACTCTAATAGTTTGCTTTTGATGTCTCAGGTTCGCCGCAATTGAATTATGGGAAGAGAGCACGGATGAAGCAGATATAAATAACTTCACACGACAGGCACCGATGGCCAAAGTTGTCCATTTTTACTTTTGATTAGTAATAAAATTACATGTAGATCTTGTCGCCGAAGCTCCCTCTTTTTGTGTTCCTTCTCATAAACGATCGAACAGTCTTTGAACAAAAGAAAAAATATGGCACGATCAGAGACGATCTTTTCGCTGTTTGTACATTTCTCCTCACCTTTTTGCTGTTAATCACTATGACGACTTTTTCTTCGCGGAACTAAGCAGCGACGAAGAGGGCCATTAGAGACCTTTGGTTATTTATTGTCGAACTCACTTTTATGTGCGTGCAGACAACTAGTATTGCGGTTTACGATATTAAGTTATTCGCGGATGGATGGTCTTTAGTTTCCCCTTTGGAGCCTAGTCAGTAACACATGTACTCGTAGTTGACTCCTGTCTTTATTTTTATCGTTCTCTCACAAACTCATGTACGGGATACTCATCCGCCGATGCCCGTATGCTCTTTTTCCCTCTCAGAAGAAAACAAGGACAATGTAGACTTCTGCGGCATCAGAGACATTCAACACACCAACTGACTTTTTTACACTTGCAGGACGAACCTTTTGATTTGATACATTGTTCAAGGACGACCGATCTCCTTGTGCCGACACTCAAACGTTTTCAGCAAATCATTGGATGAAAAAAACGCTGTGGATATCCTTTGTCGTGTCTGCACAGTTGTTCGAATGCGTTCCTGTTCGCTTTTCAAAGTCGCAGAATAGACTTTATTTTTGCGGGTCTTGTCTATCTTTCCGCATGTTGGATGTGGCCGATAACAAGGCATCCTGGCGTTCACTTTCCTTTCGCTCTTGTCCTTGAGAATGGATAATCAATGACTGTGTTGTCCCTCTCACTCGCTTGAATAGCATGCTCCGATGGGTCTTGTTCTTTGTATTGTTGGTTGGTGTCACGCTATCATAGCATTTGAGCTGAACCCAATTGAAGAGGATACTGTGAGACTGAGCATGCAGACTAAAATATTCTTCGCAGAGGATCATCCATGACCTGAAAACCTTGGTTATTATGGGGCGAAGATCATGTGCATCGCTTGATTTTCACAGGGGTTTTCCTCTTGGTATTCACTCTCAATAACTCGCAAAAATAAATATGAGCGAGCGGGATACAGGTCATGTTAGTCGGTACTGACGACGTTCGTCGCTCTATTTTATTATTTCCGTGCAAATGCGGCGACAATTGTTTGTTGTTATAATGCCAGGTGATGAGTGTCGTGGATGTTACTACGCTGACTATGCTGAAACTACCAGCGACTCGATTTTCGTTAGGAACATGGTGCAGTGTATATATGTTGTGTTCTTTATGCCATTCGTGGACCTGTTTGCCTTTTTATACGGGGTATTTTGATATGTACTCAGCAAGAGATGGATTTTTCGAGGATTGGTGTAACTGTCGTTTTCATTTTTATCTTTGCACAAACAAACGTACACGATACTCATGAACTAATTGTCACCTTTTAATCTTTCTAAACATATTGGACGATTCTTCTTGACGACGTACATGACATTCACTACAGCGACAGCTCTTTTTCATTATAGGTGCGAGAGTGAGCCTTAGGGTAAACTGCTTTCGTAGGACATGTAATCGATGGCAGAGGAACAGGAGTGTAGCCAATATAAAACTTCGCTCAATGCCAATCGTTTTGAAATAAATTTTTAAATGAAAAATACGCCCAGCAATACTCAGTCAATTCAACTCAGAGGGATCTATCGAGTGTTTTCCGTGACCTTGTTTGGATCGTTTAAAAGACTATTTTGCTTTTCTATGAGCGAGGTACAACATAAAGTACAAAGTATGCAGTGGCGAGAGGGAGGGATGTGCAAAAGGAAAGGAGATGCAGTAAGCGAAAGATAATGTATGCGTGTGAAGGTAACATTTGCAGCAAGCGGTAGTAAAGTCACATGAACCATAGATCCACCCATCACTGTATGCTCTTCCCATCAATCACACCGCCCAAAAAAAAATGTGCAACAGAGGTTTTACCATTCCACCACCTTCGCCCTCAAATGAAACAAGCTTAGCCGCTCTAAAAAAAAATAGTTGTCACCCAACTCACCGTTGTCGCTTTTTTCTTCTCTCAAGCGCCTTCACGCCGTTTATTCCCTTGACTCATCTCCTATGTTCTCAAAAGTCTCGCCCCCCCTCTCTCAGCATGTTGTCTCCATTGTAGTTTCATGAAACTTTAAATCTTTGGACGCGTCGTGTGACAACTTCCCCTCTATCTTCAATTGACAGTTCAATTGGATTCCACCTACAACCTCGATATGGTTGTGTAAGGGTGCGGAATGCCAATTGACTCCCTTGAAAGAGGGACATGCGCAGTTTTCGGACAGGATGGATGTCAACAACAACTGAATACCATGAGCACATTGGGGAGCGGGAAAATGGATGGTTCGTTTGTTTGTGGGTGTGTCAAACGAATGTCAGCGTGACTCAACTTAGGGTTGTAAAAAGGAGAGAAATTGAGCTCGGAGGGCGAAAAGGAAAATGAAATTCGGCTGCCTGCTTCAACGCGGTGCGAGTGTCTATGTATTCTCGTGTCCCACTAAATCAAGAAAAGAGTGATCACCCTTCTCCCACGAACAGTATCACACTAGAAGGACTCACACATACACATGGATAAAATTACGCCTATCCCCACCCTTCCGAAAAAAAACCTTAATCCTCGCATAAAAGTGTCAACCGCTCCCCCTACTTTTCTATCTCTTTACATCTCCTGATCCCTCAGTTCCCTTTTCCTTTCCCCCGATACACCGCCCCTTCCAACCCCCCACCCCCCACAAAAAAGATGACAGTAACAGAAATCCCACCAGCACCACCATGCTTCTTCTACGGGTCTCTAATGAACGAAAAAGTCCTCAACGCCGTCACTCGCCCCGGTCCTGACTCCAACACAATCTTTGCCGTCAATGCCACCATCCAGGTACCAAACCCCCCCCCCCCTCTCCTCCTCTCTTTCTACAAAAATTTAGCGCATTTCTTACCAAAACCAATGCTAGTCTTTTTCCTTGCTCTAAACACTAACCAACACTTTTTACGATCATAGGGCTACACGAGGTTCACATACCACAACCAACCCTACCCCGGCATGATCCCCTCCACAAACCCCCTCGAAATCGTCTCTGGCCTCCTCGTGTTCGGCCACACCCCGCTAGAACTCCACCGACTCGACGAATTCGAAGGGCCCGAATACCCACGCTCCACCATCCCCGTCCGCCTGTCCTCCGCAGTCCCTTCCACTTACACGATCGACGGCCGGGTAGAGGGGTACGCGGAGGGCGAGATGGTGGACGCGTATGTGTACCTGTTTAGTGGGCCGATGGAGCATTTGGATTTGGAGCGGCCTTGGGATTATGAAAAGTTTAAGCAGGAGCATGTGAAGGATTGGATGACGGTCGATGCGACCTTTCAGAGTATGGTTGAGCGGTCTGAGAAGGCCATTATATAGTTTTGGAAGATTGAAGAAGTCAATGTAGGCCCCATGGTACCAAAGGAACTTCTCTGTCTGGGTTCTCAATTGTTGTTTTCTTATTGTTATTTTCTTATTGTTGTTTTATTGTAAAAAAAGGAGAATGTACAATGGGCAGAGAGGAGTGTGCAAGTACTAATGTTACAAACTATGAACAGGGAGAAGGAAAGTGGTTGTGCATGTACAATTGTGTGTTTTTTTGCTGTTGAAAGTTGAAAGTTGAAAGTTGAAAGTGGGGGAACAAGGAAGTGAGAGAACCAAAAGACGATCAAAAGAATAATTTGGTGATGTCTAACAACGTCCTTGTTTATGTTTTTGTAAGTTACTCCTCGGAGGTGGAAGGGCTGACGCTGACTTCGGGCTCGGCCGCCATGGGCGTATCGGTTACGACTGCAGCTGCTCGACACACGGGGCACTTGTTTGCGCCCGTAGTAAGCCACTATCAAATTCAAAAAAAAAGGGGGACAATAAAACACGTTTTGCGTGGTTAATTTCTAATTGATTTTTCATTCCACACGCCATGATCGCTTCTCAAATAACCCCAAAAATAGGAACATACCTTGTCAATGCACTCTTGATGAAATCCGTGGTTGCACTTGAGTGCTCGCATGTCCTCGCCTTCTTCGTATTCAGACATGCAGACAAGACACTTGGAGCCGTCGCCCAGCGTAGTGACATTGCGCATTCCCTGGAGCGACTGTTCGAATCGTCCGACTGCGAATCCTGCATTGTCAATGGCCTCCTGTGTCGTCGTGATGGGTCGGGCTGGTCCAATCAAGTTGGCAAGCATCCACAGGTCGTCATATGTGGATCCGCCCTCGCCTTCCCCGCCTGCTCCCATCATACTATTCAGATCTAATTTTCATCAACAAGAAAGAGTAACATGCGTCAGTGTAACCGTTCTTTGCGTCAATTCTTCACCATGATCTCACAACGGACATATTCCCGTAAAAATATCTTACATGCTCCAGTAAGGGTCAAGATAACCCATGGGGCGCGCTGACGGGTTCGGTTCCTGGCAGACTCGGGATCATCGTTTCCAGGAGCAGCAGCATCATTCGACTCGGGGTCGTCCAGGCCTTCTGGTGGGCTCAAGAACATGACAAAGGTCTCGCTCACTCCCTCGTCAGGAGCAGGAGGACCTGCTGGACTTTCGTGACCCTCCATACCAGCTTGCCCCTCTCCAGTTGCTGCTGTGGCTGCAGGGGCTCCTGTAGGTGTTCCTGATGGACGGGGGTGGCGAACGCCGTGACCGAGTTGAATGAGCCGGATGGTAGTGTTGGGTCGTCTGAGTCGAGAGGGAGCACCAGCATCAGTGGATAGCTCAGCCAACGGGTCCGTTCCAATAGCAGGTCCTGTCGTCGTGGCATTAGGGTGAGCATGCTGGTGTGCGCCATCGGCGCCAATAGTAGCAGCATCCGCAGGTCGGTCTGCTCCCTCGGTCTGATCCGGGTCAGCGTCGTTCGGGTTTCGAGATATGCGACTGATTTCAGCCAAAAGTTGAATAAAAAGTGGGATCTGGTGGGTAAACCGGTCACCGGGTCTCTCAGCTGGTGAAGCACCAGTGTCTGTCTCTGTTCCTGCGGCTCCTGCAGCGCCAGCCTCTGGGTTGGCAGGCCGTTCCTCGTCAGCCAAGTCATTAGTGGGCTGGTAGCCAAAGAGTCCACGCATACTTGAAGATCGAAGTCGGTTTCTGCCCAAGGGTGAAACTCCGGGTCGTCTAGCCGTTCCTGTCGATGAACCTCCATCCTGCTGACCATCCGCTGAAGACGCAGCGGTATCCCCTGTAGTAGCAGCAGGGGCAGGTGGCGTCAAGCTTGCAGTGGCGGCCGACTCGTGAAGGGACATCATAATCTGAGCAAAGATTTCAGGTCCTGGGAAGCGTCGACCGTGCGTATGGTTGTGGGTGTGAGTATGGGCACGGTGAGGCTGCGCCGAGGAGGGAGCGGAGGGTTGTTGGTGGTCACGATCCATCGCTACATCGCGGTCCATGCCGTCGTCGTCGTCCGAGTCTGGGCGTATTGGGAAGAGACTAGAGGAAATTGAGGTGCCCCCTCGAGGGCTGGTAAGTCCTGAAGGGAACGAATAGTTGTCAGAGCCCGTTGCTGTTGTTGTTGATATGCTTGACGCCGAGGAGGCAGGATGTTCTTGCGAGACCGCCATTGTGGCTGATCTTGTACGAGGTCCAGACTCTCTTACTGGCGCAGCAGTAAATGTCGTAGGAGTAGTCGTAGTTGGTTGTGCTGCTGCTGTGACTAATCCAGACTGGGAAGACAGGACGGATTGGGAAAAGCTAGAGGGTCGTATGACTGGAGTTTGAGGTGGTGGCTGATAATGCTGTGCAGTGACGCCAACGGATTCGGTGTCAATGTCCATGTACTCAATAGGTTGGTTTGCCGTGCTCGAAGGAGGCGGGTGGACAGGTGGACTGACAGCAGCAAGACTGGACGCTCTGCTCGAGCTCCGGGTACTCCGGATTGACTGCTCATCATGCATGCGCTGGACTCGAGAGAGGCCTCGAGGGGTTCGACCAGAAGAGGAGGCACCAGGACTGGAATACGGAGGAGCCTGAAGAGCAGTAGGTGATCGATTCGAAGACCGAGTAGTCATACTAGGACTTGTTGTGCCAGACCGAGAGGGAGGTCTCTCTGGCCAAGAGGCTGCGCTGCGGGATGCTGTGCTGAGACCAAACGCAGAGCTGGAAGGGCCAGGCGACCCAGTTGTGCCCCTGCCGTCACTACCACTGCTTTCACTGTTGTTAGGCTCGGGGCTAGTGTTGGCACTGTCGTTGTTGTTGTTGTTGTTGGAGGGGGAGGGGGACGAGTTTCTTGAGAGGAGCGGGTAAAAGTTTGAGAAGAGGTTGTTTCTGCGTCGACGTTCTGCAGTCGAGCGAAGAACTCTTGACGACGAAGCCTGCTGCTGCTGTGGTTGCATTGGTGGCGAATGCGAGTTGTTGTTTGAGTTTGGTTGACCCATTGTTGTGGATGGGTGTTGGTTGTTGTTGTTGTTGTTGTTGTTGTTGTTGTTGTCGTTGTTGTTGTTGTTGCTGTTGTTGCTGTTGCTATGGATGTGAGTGGATGTGGATGTGGATGCAGAAGTAGAAGATGGAGAAAGGAAAGAGGAAGAGGTAGGAGAGGTGTTGTTGGGAGTCCGACGGTTGTTCCTCTGATGCGAGGAATTAGAAGAAGAGGAGGAAGAAGGGGAAGATAGTGACTGACCCATGGTGGTGTCCTTTTGTGGTTGTCGTCTCTTTAAAGAAAAGGGGACTGGCGAATGTGAATAAGAGAGATTGAAAGTAGAATGGAAGGAGAAGGGTGGCTGGAATGAAAAGGAGCAATGGAGGGGAGAGTATGCTATGGCAAAGTAAAGCAAAGTAAAGCAAAGTAAAGCAAAGTAGGGCTGAAGGAAGCAAGGAAGGAAATGAAGGAGGGGGGATAGAAGAGGGAGGCGAAGGAGTAATTTAGGTAGAGAAAAAAAAAAAAAAGGCTCACAGACACACACACCTTTTTATCCCATTATTATTCATCCATGTCACCAGGGTCGTGTGTCAACTGTCAAGACGAAGGAAGGAAAGGAAGGGTGGTCACATGCCACCCACTCGGGTGGCTTCCATCCAGCATGCATCCTCTTCTTCTATCTATTGACTCTAGTCCCTTACAATGACCCGTATTGCCAGTTGTCAATTGTTCTCCATCCATCTCTCCAAAGGAACTGCCCTTGCCCTTCTTCCACTGTCCAAGAATAAAAATACCGGATGTGATCTCGATACCGTCTTCAATGCGTCCATTCCTGACCTTTACCAAGATACAAAACAATCGCTCTCAATTGAGCAATTTATAGTATTTGCCCGAGCAATGGCCTTCATCAAGAAGCGCAGACAATCGAAAAATAAAGAAAACGGGAATAATCGAGTCCAGGCCACAACAATGCAACTGCGCGCATGAAATGTAGAAACGATAGAGACAAGATTAGTCATGATCCCTCCTAGAATGGTCTCGGTCACTGGTCGTGTTCCTGGTGATCTGGTTCCTGGCGACTCTGCGATCTCCCAAGTGACATTTTTTTGCCCACATATCCTAGAAACCCAATGCCATCCTTCAGCCATGGATACGGTAGATAGCTTCCTTTCTGTTCTTTCCCTCAGTAACCTGTGTTTATTACTAATGGCAGTGGGCGTTCCTGTATTGAAAGAAAAAGGGAAAAAAAACCTTCTCCTTCCTTCCTGAACGTTCTCTGTGGTTTGTGCCACCGAAATAGGAAAGATCAACGTTCAAGACAAAAACGGTCGAGATGGTCATGTGACAAGTCCACAGAACCAAAGGGCGAAAACCCTACCTCCTCCTCCTCCTTGGCAAACCTCCTGGAGACTCCACGCGGCAGAACCCAAGAGGGTCTCTTAATAAGGGTGCTGGTTCTGGAGGTACTGCTGTTGCCGGTTGTACTCGGCCTGGAACCTTGTCTGGAGATAGCTGAACCCCTTCGAAATAGGATCCTGTGCCCGATTCTGGCCTCCTGCTCCTGCGTTGTAACAAGTCGAACCGTCTGAGGTATCACAGTCCTGGAGAGGAGAGGTCACGTTAATGACGAACCAGATGAGGGACGTGACGACGGTGATGATAATCGACAACTTGACGAGGTTAATGACCGAGCGGACAATCCAGGAGACAAAACCATAGACGATGCGGAAGACGACATAGGACAACACAGCGACGAGGATATAGGTCGTCAGGGGTGTCTCAGAGTGGGTGAGCGAGGCAAATGTCGAGTTGATAGTTCCAAAGACCATGGCCAGCGTCGACATGACGGTAGAAGCAAACTGCTGTTCTTGTTGATCCTGTCCTTGTTTTTGGTTGAACGTTGTCTGGCGGTACTGTTGCTGTTGTTGGTATGTAAACTTTTCTTGGGGTGTGTTCTTGTTGAGTTGTTCTGAGGCAGTGTTGAAGGTGTTGAGAGCGAGGTTGAAGACGGCCATGACTCCTGCGACGGTGTTGTTGCCGAGGACAGATGAGAGCAAGGGAATCGCGCCCTGAAGGATGTTTTGCTGGTCCATTTGGTAATAGGCTCTTGGTAATGGCTTTGGAGTGAGTGGTTCCTGAGTCTTGAGTCTTGAGGGAGTTGTGATTTGTCCTTGCTTGGTGCGATTGCGACTTCTTACGAGTTGTTCCTGAAGGGGGGACTGGGGTGGAGGGTATGGGCAAGGAAGAGAAAAAGAAAGGGGGAAAAGAAAATGAAAAAAGAAGAAGAAAGTCTTTTCCCGCAACTCCCACTGCCACTCTGTGTGCCCCTTCCCGCAAAAGTTACTTTCCCGTCTGAAGTTTGAGCGCCCAGACAAACCACGAACGGCAGTCCTCCAAAAGACCCCTTAAGCAATCAAGACGCGACTATTTCAACTTGCACCCACAGCGTCTTTTTTTTTTCTTTGTTCCAGCAAACATCGCCCGACCGCCACCATTCCTAGCAAGACAACAACTACAACAACGACACAACAATGCGTCTCGTAAGGACAACAAACAACAAGGACTCAACTTGCTGTATACTGCATGTCAACCCCTCATCAACACTCCGATGGTTAATGACTTCAACCCTCGTACAAAATAGACATCACTGTTGCCTGACGGGGAGCCCAACTGTCTGGTCTTCAAAGTAAGACAGATGCTGATCATGCTCGACTGCGGTCTAGGTCAAGAACAACTCTACGCAATGCCAGTCCGAGAAGGAGGACTCACAGAAGACCATAAAGACAATAGTCACAACGCCGCCACAACAGGATCAACAGCCGACAACACAACAGCTGGATCCAAAAGAAAGCTACAAGAGACTGATATCCGTCAAGACTGGGCTTCATTCTTGAAGGCGTCCTCCTCTCAGTTCCCCACGAAAAAGATGGCGCGTGGATCCAACAGCCAAACAAGTCATATATCAAAAACTGCTTCTGCTACTACTGAAACATCCTCATCAGGACCAACATCAACAGCGGACGGCACAATCCAAGATGGTAACAGCAACATTCCTTCGAAATCCATGGCGACACGCGAGTACATGTTCAAGCTACCAGACTTTTCAGGAGTCGATCTCAAGGCAATCGATGTCGTTCTCATCTCCAACTACAACCATATCCTCGCTCTCCCGTATTTGACCGAGTATACCGACTTTCAAGGCCGCATCTTTGCAACAGAACCTACGATCGAATTCGGAAGGTTCGTTTCCCATGGACGTATCTACCGTACCCTTATCACATTGAGGTTTCTTCGACATGAGCTAACATCAACGATGCTGTTCACTTTCAATAATAGACAATTGATGATTGAATTTGTCACATTCTTCGGAACGAGCGTTACATCGAGTCCACATGAGATCATTGACAGGAAGGAATTGGTGGCGCGAGCTGGTGCTGGGCTCTACCCTGCTTACACCCACGCAGACATTAAAGCCTGTATCGACAAGATCCAACCCGTCCGATTCCGGGAACACATTGTAAGAAGTCGCGTCGCAACCGTTTATTGTATGTGATTTCTGACCAAGATGACAGACGGGCTTTGAATCTAACCTTTTCTCTTCTCGTTTCTGTGATAGTCGCTCTTTGGATCACTGAAGCTGACGGCACACAGCGCAGGATACTGTCTTGGTAGCTCAAACTGGCTGATTCAAATTGGCACAGAAAACGTAAGTCATCTCGTGTGTGCCACCGTGGAAAAGGCTTTACATATCGACTCAAGACTAACGCACGCTTTGTCCTTCGCTCTACAACAGATTGCATATGTATCGTCATCATCAACACAGGGGAACTTGCATCCGGATCTGTTTGACGGGACATTATTGGAAAATGCGAGCACAGTGGTGGCGACGGACCTCTGCCCGCGAGGTAGCTTCACATACAACACTGGTGTCAATCTGGTCTGCCAAAGCATCGCCAGCACGATAGCGAGGAAAGGGAACGTGCTGATCCCATGCACCATCTCTGGATTTCTGTTCGATCTCTTGGAGGATGTTCATCTTCACTTAAACAGGATGGGTTTGATCGGTCAAGTTCAGTACAGCTTTATTTCACCGGTCGCCAACACAGCACTTCAATACTCCAACATTCTCGCCGAATGGTACCGTCACATATGTAGCAGTTGTTGCCGCACTGGAAGAACCTAAGCAAATTGAAAAACTTACTAACTACAATTGAACTTGTGTTTTGATGAGGTAGGATGGCACCGCGCAAGCAGGAAATGGTGTATATCCCAGAGGCACCATTGCTTCACGGAATTCTACTGGACAAGGAAAAGGGCATCGCCAAGCACTACAAGAGTGTACACGGAGCGTTTTCGTCAGACCTCAAGTTGCCGTGCATTGTCTTTGGAGGTCATCCAAGTTTGCGATCTGGACCCATGGTCAACCTCTTGCACATGTGGGGAAACAAGTCCACCAACACTATCGTCTTTATCGGTAAGAAAAAATATTTGCGGAGCAAATTCATCGGGTTGACATTGTTTACATTCCTCAATGCTAATGAATAGCTGTCTTTTTGCTTGAATAGAACCTCGGATGGATGTGGTGGCGGCCATGGAACCGTATGAGGATTTGGCAATTGCACAGCAGGCTGTTCAGCTGGACATTCGGCTTTCTATCGACCAGCTGGTGGAGGTGATGAACAAGTATCGGCACCCAAGACATATCCTTGTTCCAATGAGGGCAATTGCATCGACACTGCCTGATGGCACAGTTGAATTGGCGGATGCAAAAAGGACTGTTTCTACATCGTCTACCCGGTGGTCGGCGTACAAGGTTGGAGAGCCTGTGCAACTTGGCATGGGTTCCCTCTACGAGAGCGTCCTCTTGTCCGAAGAGGTAAAAATTTTGTTCTCATGCCTGTTTTTTGTTGCTCCCGAAAATCGACACTGGCTGACTTTTTATTTGCACTTGACTCTAATTAGCTGGCAAAGAGCATTCTGCCACAGGCGTTTGGAAGCGTTTCATTTGCACCGATTGCAGGATCTCTGTCAATTTACAACAACCAGATGCAGTTGAAACCTGCTTCTGTACAAGGCCGTCAGCTCTTGTCCCTCTACACCCAACGGCTCCTTCTTGGCGTCATGAACTTGCCCCATCTCCTCTCCGGTCTCACCGCCGTAAGTCATTTTTTGCAACAATACACTGCTTCTTCTTGTGTCTGTTTGATGGTAGAGACTAACATACATGCAATCACTTATGTATCCGCATCGAATTAGATTGGGGTTACGAATATGGACGTGTCAGAATCAGAGGGCAAGGAGAGCAAGGAAGATAAGGAGACGGGAGTACCAGAGATCAAGGTCGAGTTTGAGCTGCAGGGTCAGGCTGCGACGATCGTTCTGCGGGAGAAGGAAACGATTGTCAAGTGTGATGAGACCATTCGGTCGTTGCTTCGGGAACCTATCCTGAAGTGTTTTCAGTCCTTCTAAAGAAAAAGTAGTGTCAACAGGTACCCATTTTTGTAAAGCAAGGACTAGAATTAAAGCACTCTTCTTTCGTCTCCCGAGGTAGTATATGTCGCATTCAGGATGTTTATTCCTTAAGGAGAAGGAACAAAGAGAGGTATGATGGCAAGAAAAGAAAAAAAAAAAAGGAGAGGCTAGACAAAGTCGGAGCTGGTGTTCATCCAGAGATCGAGGTGATCTCTCCTGAAGGCCTCATAGTCCCAAGGACGTGACTGATCAAGATGTACGTGTGGGCCTGTAAACACGTAGACATAAGATTGGACCACATCTCCCGCGGCGAGTGACTTTTTGCCGTCCATGACATTGTATTCTCCGGGCACTGGAGCGTGTACTTTTACGGGTAGGATCTCTCTTGTGTATTCCTAGGTAATGAGTGATTATTATTTTTTTGTGTTGTGTGGACGAGTGAGTGACTAGGTTCTTTTCTAGGCGCAGAAGGTGTCCACAGTGTGGATGACCAACAAGCTTGGGGTTATGTGTGGAAGAACAGTGAAAAGAAAGAGGGGGTGTAGAGAGAGGGGGAGCAAACTTACGGAGCCCTCGAATTGGTCGAGGCGGAAGCGATCCATGAGGGAGTGACCAAAGACTAAGAGGCCCTCGACGACAGAGGTGGGGTCGTCTTTGGTGGCGATCATGCCGGGGTAGGGCTCATTGTGGTATGGGTAGCGGATATATCCCTATTCGGAGCATTAACGGTCGTCGAGAGAAAAAGGGTATGTCAGTTTTGTAGGTAAGCGAACGAGCTCGCCTCCAAGGCGTAGGTCATTTTTGGGGTATGTGTGGTAGGCATATTGTGGCGAATGAGTGAGTGAGAAAGGGAAAAAAGGAGGCAAGTGCAATGTACTTGGATGGTGGCCGGGACGGCGTGGAGATTAGATTCGGGCCCAGGGCGGGTGACCGAGTTGAGGACTCTTGTGGACATGAGGGATCCGTAAAAGAAGCATGGGTGTGGATCTGTCATTGCGGTTGAATGTGTGATTGTTGGGTGGATGGGAATGCGATCAAAGAGAGAAGGGAGAGAAGTGGGCTTGTACCTGAGAGAACAGGGTGGGAAAATAAAAGTAGGTTGGTCTTCGTGACTGGATGCACGATGAAAAATTGGCAGGCCAAGGTGGTGATGGGGGGGGAATAAGGATGAGAGCGCAACTGTCGATTCCTAAACTAGTCTGGAAGGACGCGCTGCTAGGTTTCCGATCAATTCGCGTCATGAAATGTCTCGCGTAATGAGTGTCTAGGTTAGCAACGATTCTACCTTGTCTAGGAAAAATCTGTTAAAAGAAAAGGACAAACCGACAAAGAACAGCCCCTGGCCACAGTCCTTCCCCAACTACTTTGTCCATATCCATCCACTCCCACCCTACCGCTTCATTCTTTGACCACACCGACTCCACAGCGATCGTGCTGTTACCCCTGGTCCGTTTTAAAGAAGTACACATTTTTTGGATTTCTCATCCACCAACATGTTCTTTCACTCCCTTACATGGTCATCCTAAGGCAGATCTTTCAAAAAAATAATCATGCAGTCTGTGAGTGGCAAGACGGCAGCATTAGACCCTCAACTACAGACCTATTTCTGCCAAAAAAAAAAAAAAAAAAAAAATTGTGGTACTTTTTTCTTTCACAAACGTTTAGCAGGACGCCTGATCCACTTGTACTGTACAAAACACACCTTCGTCAAAGAGCTAAGTGACTTTTTTTACTTCAAAGAGAGGAAGCAAAAAAAAAAAGCATAGGTAGAAAGCGCTTTCAATTTTTATATAAAAAGCTGTAGCTTTCTCGGTTCACTTTTTTTTTTTCAACACACTCTTTCGACTCCACCACTTACACACAACACACACAAACACTCAACCCCACACAGGACCCAAACACATCAAGTCCGCTCCCTCCCCCCTCCAATGACTTTGATCACCAAGCTCTCCCATGAGGGAGCCAATCTCTCTGCTGCCCTGCCTCAAGTCGAGCCCGAGGATGTCGGCCCCAAAGCCAGTGCCAGCAAGTTGAAGCAGCAGCCTGCTTCTTCCATCCTGCCCGTCCAAGGAACCAAGCAATCCGAGGAGCCTGAAGAGACTGGTATGTGTAGTACAATATTCGAACCTGGTTCCTGGTCTGTAAAGTCTCGTTCATCTTTTTTTGCGCGACGGAAACAATAGGCTAAATAGATCTATCACTCAACAACACTTTTCTTTTTCTTCCGAACTCGTCTTAATATATAATAGTCGAGGCCAGCCAGAGTCACACCATCCTCTTAGCTCAGCAGAGCCAAACAGGTAAAGAGTACCTGTCCAAGTCCCAAGATGTCGCCGCCCCCATCAACGTCCAACTCACCCCCGGCGCCAATGAGGCTGACGCCCATGCCGAGGATACCGAGGCTGTCGAGGATGACGATGAAGATGAGGATGAATATGAGGATGAAGATGACGAGGAAGATGACGAGGGAGACGACGAGGATGACGACGAGGATGACGACGAGGATGATGCCGTTCATGTTGTCCGATTCACATCTCTCGAGGACGTTATGGCCAGAATCGCGGCCAGAATCGCGGCCAGGGATGCTTCTAAAGGTGGAAAGAAGGATGATGAAGACAAGGAGGAGAATAATGCTGGAGAAGGAGAGGAGGAGGCGCAGAACGCTGCTGATGCTGAAGCCAACGCTCAGGAGGAGGAAGATGATGCTCGGGGCAGTGCTGCTGGAGCTGGTGTGGAAGATGCCCAGGGTGGAGAGGGCACCGAGGAGGACGAAGGAGTTGATGAAGGAAATGTCAAGGAGGAAGGACAGGAGGAGAGAGGTGAAGATAGCGATGAAGGTGAAGAGGAGGAGGAAAATGCAGGCCCTGATTTTGCCCGTGCAGCTCGTCGCCGTGCCCCCAGGGGGTACAGAGCCAAACCGTGCTTTGTCCAGATGATTACCGTAAGTTTTTATCTCTCTTCCTCGTATTCGTGTTGCATGTCCATTCCTCCGTACTACCTCAAAACATCCGACGTCTGTGCGTTCAATCTTCTGGATGCTAATTCATTCTTCTACCCAATGTTTGATGTCTTGTAGGAGGCCTTGAACTACTACCGCCACGACCCCAAGGGCACAACCCCTACATCGATCAAGAGCTGGATCTCGTATAACTACAACCTCGATAACTTAATCATAGAGGCACAGTTCAAGAATGCTCTTGATGTAAGTTTTTTTTTGTTTCTTTTCCTTTTCGTTTGTCTGGATTAGTGGCTGTGTTGTTTGGGTGTGGTTTTCGTTGGAGCAATGTGGAGGAATGTAGCTGACAGTTTGTGGTTCCTTTGTATGTACTCGTCTCTTTTTTGTGATGCGACTCACGCCTTTCATTAGTACGGTCTTGGTGTTGAGAAGATATTCAAGTGCAAGAGTAAGTGTTCTACCTACCTACTCCTCATCCACCCACTCATTGACTCGCTCACGACTACATCTGACTACCCTACCCCTGCATTTACATCACTGTTTATTTCCAAAATATGATACCTATGCCTTGAACGTCTAAATGTGACAATATTTATCTAATTACAATCAACACTTTCATGTTTGATCCTTTCAATCTATAGAGAGCCGTTCTCGCTTAGTACTTGTTGACAGGTTGCAGCAGGGTGGTGAGGATTCCGACAGCGATGATGATGAAGAAAGTGGAGATGAGCAGGGTGGTCCTCATGGCGGTGGTGATGGTGGTCAGAGCCAATCTCGGGCTGGTGATAGACAGGGCCAGGCTCAGACTGGTGGTGGTAATCAGGGCCTAACCCGGGCTCAGTCTGGTACCGGTGGAGCGGAAGGAGATACCACTGCTTCTGCTGCTGAGGAGAGCCAGGATGAAGGAGGTCGTGCTGGCCAGAATGAAGACGGTGGTTCTCAAGAGGAGGAGCAAGCTCAGGGTCTATGTGGATTCGAGGACGAAGAGGATGATGAGGAGGAGGATGAATTTGATGAGGAGGAGGAAGATAACGATGAGGAGGTGCAGGAAGATGACGATGAAGAGGTGCAGGAGGATGACGATGAGGAGGTGCAGGAGGATGACGATGAGGTGGAGGAGGAGGGAGATGGCGATGATGATGACGCTCAGCCTAACAACAACAGACGGTTCGGAAGGATCACTGCCGTCCAGAAGTCCGTTCCGGTTGCTGCCACCAAGAAATCTGCTGCTCGGTCCAAGAAGGTTGCTACCCTCGAACCCAAAAAGGGCAAGAGCCTCATCAGGACTCTGAAGGCTCCCAAGCCCGCCAAGGCTATCAAGTCCACCGCTAAGGAGGCTGAAGTTGAGGTTGAGGGTGAAACCAAAACTGGTACCCGCAAGTCGACCAAGAAAACTGCTGCCAAGGAGACTCCTACCGCTTCTGCCATTAAAGCTGCCACCAGCACCAAGGCTGCCGATTTCAAGAAGGAGACCGCCAAGGAAAATACTGCGTCCAAGAAGGCTGCCGATGCCAAGAAGGAGACTGCCAAGGAGGAGGCTAACCCCACGAAGGCCGTTGTCCCCAAGAAGACGTACGGGTACATCAAGCTCGCTGCGACGCAGCCCGCTGCCGCTATTATTGTTTCCGCCCCTGCCTCTGCTTCTTCTACCGTCAAGTCAGCCTCAAAGCGTGCTACTCGGATCACCAAGAAGCAAGACGAGACGAAGGATGATGAAACTCCATTGCGTACCGAGGGTACCACAACCCGATCGCTGAAGCGCAAGGCTGATGACACCACTGACGCCAAGGAGGAGGAGGACAAGATGAAGGGCACTCAAAGACTTCGTGGAAAAGATGGGCGCTTCATTTCTGCCGCGCCTGGTCCATCCAAGACTCGCGGTTCGTCTGGCCCCTCCAAGGCCCGCAAGGTTTAGGTGCATCGCTAGACGATACATGTTTTCCATCAGCCTTTGGATCCCTATTTTCTTATGCCTTTTACATTGTCCTAGTCCCGTAAGTGTTATGTGCATCGCTGGACGATGTGCGTTCTGCTTTCGCGGTTGGGTCCTTTTATTTTTGTGCCTTTCACATTTTTCTTAGTCTTACTAGTGTTGTGTGCATCTCTGGTTCATGAACGTTCTCTGTCATTGAACTTTTTCTTCATACTCCATATTTCATTTTTCTTTTCATTTTTCTACCGCTCCGGGTTGATCCGCCTATGAACGACTCAACGCCTTCTTCCCTTTGCACTTTCTTTGCTCTCTACTATATACCTTTTTTCGATTTATACACATACTATGCTCTATCTACATTTATGAATTAAAAAAAAAATTACTGAAAAACGACTTCTTTTTTGTTACAAATGACTGGAGGGACGAGGAGGCGTGTCCTTGCTAGAAGTCCGTCAGTCGCGTCCAGGATCACTCTGATCTGAACTGCGCGTCTTTGCCCTCGAGCTCAGGTGACTTTATTTGGGTATTTTACCACTAAGTGATCGAGAATCACAAATCGTAATACGACCGGGTCGTACATATACTAACCCGCGTTGGTATACTACCTATCATTAGCGGCGTAGTAAAGTAGGCAAGGCAAGGAAATGGGAGCTCAAAGGAGAAAAGGAGCGGCAAAAAAAAAGAGAGTGGGCAATTACCAGCGCGAAGGAGCAAGGCGAAGGTGAGCCAGTGGTGCGGAAAGGGTGGATGAAAGAGAGAGCAAGAACAAGTGAAGAGGTGAATACCAAGTGTCGTTTGATCAGATCATTAATAGCGCGCGCGCCGTTAAGTCGCACCCCGTTATATTTTTTGATTGAGTACTATTGAATTGAAATCCTTTTTTGGGACTGGCAATTTACGACCTTGGCAGAATAGTGATCACGTGATAAGCTGATTCACTCAACAGTACTCAATCAAAAAATTATAGCGCGCGCCCTACATGCATGCTCGAATCAGTTAGTCGGTCAATCGACTGAACGTAGATATGACGAACAAAAGGTCGTAAACATGTATCAATTGATTGACCAGTTAATCCGTTAATCATTGATCGGTTAGCTGGTCAATTGACCTGTTAAATCTTCCTCAATGCCGACAAAATGGACCGCTCATAAAGAGGACCTTCACGCACTGGTTTGTTTACAACAGTTGTCTGTCTACACAGTTTCTAGTGAGGAAAAGTACTACAATAGGGGCAACTACACTCCCTAAAAATCTAGAGTGCTTCAGAGACAGACGCTGATTAGTATGGCGTTATCATTCCAACAAGGGAAAGCAATAAAGGAAAACTGCATAATAGGGGCAATTACACTCCCTAAAAGATCTAGAATGCTTCAGAGACAGACGCTGGTTGGAATAGCAGAAAAAGGGAGACCACATGATATGGGTAACTACACTCCCTAAAAATCTAGAATACCTCAGAGAACAAGGGGAAGCAGTAAAGGAGAAATCACAGCATAGGGTCAACTAAGCTCCCTAACGATGGGTTATCACCTTCCATCAAACTACCTCCATCTAAACAACAACCTTAAGCCCTTTAATACATGTACTAAAATATAAATACCCCAGTTCTTGCACAATGGTGTTTGTTCCTGTACCTTCCTTTTTTCCCTGTCTCTGCACTATCTCTTCCACTGTTTCTCTATCACTGCCTTTTTGCTTTTACACCTCTTGATTTTTTTTATCATCGTTTTCAACACCAACACTCGATGATGTTAATATCCGACCTCCCCACATATATCGTTTCAATTGTCATGCTGGGAAACTCAGGTGTTGGCAAGACCGCCCTGACGAATCAGTTCGTTGGCAGGGAATCCAATACTGAAGCTCTTCCAACCCTCGGCATTGAGTATGGATTTCGCACGGTCTCGGTTCAAGGAATGGATCTCCGACTCCGAATCTTGGATACATGTGGGCAAGAACGGTTCAAGGCCATCCCACCCCAGTACTACAGGAGAGCTGCCGGTATTTTGCTGGTCTACGATGTCACAAACCGACACGACTTCTGGGGTTTGGATGAGTGGGTCGACAAAATTCGAGATATCGCCGGCGCCAATGTCACGATTATGGTGGTTGGCAACAAGAAGGATTTGGGGGGACGAAGGGAGATACCGTATGATGAAGGAAGAGCATTTGCCGATCGGAAAGGTGTTTCATTTATCGAGACCGCGGCTAAGGATGAATTCAGCGTCGAGGATGCCTTCACAAATATCTCTATAGAAATTCGTGACAAGATCGATCGCCAATTGCTCAGAAATGAGTCGCATGGGATCACTTTGCTGGAGTCCTCAAAAGGGGAAGGAGAGCCTCGAATCTATAATGATTCTGCGCAAAAGGCTAGTTCTTGTTGTTTTTATTAGAACACAGTTTTAGAATCCCCTTTCTACTTTTTTTTTTAAAAAGGTAAACATGATCGTCTATGACAACACTTCAATTTTATCCAACTAAAAGTGGAGCTGTCTAAGTTTTATTACGTTGAACGCGTCTAAGATTTTGTGTGACCTCCGCCACCAACTACTGTAGATTCTTGCCACCAATAATACATGATCTTCTTTGAACACACACACACAAGCGCGTGACTCTCCGATAGCCGGCAGTATTCCGGTACGAGTTCGAGTGCACGGGTCGCGTTGCTGGTCGTGGTTGGCTGTGCATTGTTGGCGGAGAGAAGGACTCTAGGCTTGGTAGATAAGAAAGTGGCCTGTTGTCGTATGTTAGAGTCATGGTCGAAAAGAAGAAAAACAGTGTGAGCTCAAGTTGTTTGACTGTAAGAAAGGGCATACTTGGCCGAGGTGAGAGGTTCTTCTGTAGGGGTATTGGTATGGGCGGGGTGGTATGGGTGGAGGGGTATTATTTTTATAGGGTTTTTGGTACCCCGTTCGGCTCTCGACAACAAGGTGGGTGCAGAAAAGTAAAGGGGACGGAACAGAAGTTAGGAGGAGTGATGTTAATGTTGGCGAAAGGCGATTGAGGGGAGTAGTGTTGTTGTTGTTAGCGAAAGCTGATTGCAGGTTGTGCTCGACGATGATGGAACAAGTGAAAATGAATGAGCGACGGGAGGTGGAGCGATGAGAGAAGGGAAAAGAAAAGGATGACTCTTCCAAACCCTTTGGGTGCTGACGTTAACGCTTTGCGAAATTGAAGCCTTATGATGCGACATGGTTGCACAAGACCAATTGCAAATTTTTTGAACTCCGACCTTGGGCCACATTAACCTCTGCAGGGGATCGAGCCCAACTGCCCACATCGCCCATCTTTTTTTCCCTGTGTTTTCGTTTTTTTCTGCTTCGATCTGTCCCCTGCTTCGCACTTGTGCCCACTGCCCACTGCCCACCACCGATTGCCCACCACCGATTACCCACTCCCAATGCCTCTGCTGACCACCAACAAAGACAAGAAACACCATCCCAGTATGATGTTTGAAAGGAGGGGTTGAAAAAAGAAAGGGAAATGGTCTGTGACTGGAAACAAGGATGGATGACTAAGATTGAGAGCACTAAAGTGAAGGCGAGGAAAACATTCAACAAATCGTAGACTCTGGTGAAGAAGGGCAATGATGATCGACTTCATGGGTCCTCTGTTCAAACAATAAAGACAAAGTTGACATAACGACTCTGTAGCTATCACATTTTAGTGAACTGGCAGGATTCAATCCATTGCCATGGTGCGTTTTTTTTTCCAATAATTCATAAATAATCTTTTTCACTGATGACAATATACAATATGAATTGATGAGGGCGAAGGTGAGGTAGACAAAGAAAACTCTTCACAGAACGAGTCGTATGGCATAAATGGCAACAGAAAGGGTGATTTTTATTCATGGATCCTCATATCAGGTATAGGAGAGAGAGGAGAGATAGGACAAGCAGCAGGGCCTAGGCCAAAGGCGAAGACTAAGAGGTTCCTTTAAAATGTGGGGACAAAGAGGGAGACGCTGACCGACGGTGGACAAAAATTATTCTTTCTAGAGTGAAAATAAAGTTCAGGGGCAAGTTAAGAGCGAAGATGCTCTAATCCATGCACAGAGATGGCACAACAATGTGAAGTTCGTCACTTGTTCTGTCAAAGGCGAAGACGACGAAAAGGCAAAGAGGAAGTGAATTCAAGCCATTCTTGTTAGGTTTCGATCAAGACAAAAAGGAATAGAGCAAGAGGCAAGAACATAGCCAGCGCAAAACGATGGGGAAGCAGCATTAAGAACAAATACTATCGCTTTTTTTTCGTAGGTCCTCAATTAAAAGCGCCAGAGCAAGACCAAAAGCGCAAGAGAAAGAGAGGCAGTGCGAAAGGCACCATCCATACAATTTTCATGGGCACTCATGTGCTACACAAGCCAAATACCGGAACGTTAACTTTCCCCATCTCTCTTTTGCTTACAGCATTGTAAGTGTGGATCACCTCAACGTGCATGTTTGTTTGCGGGATTTTTTTTTGTCAATAGAATACTCAAGGATCCTGCATAACTTCTCTTTTTGCTTCCCTTGTTTTAAAGGACAAGTTTACTTCCTTTTGCGAAGTTTCATTGTGTTGACAATAATAATCACTGAGTAGAGTTATAAAAGCACTCCGATCGCTCCTTTCTCTCCCTCTTTTTTCTACAACAATCTCTCTCTCTCTCCTTCGCACTCTCCCTTTTCTTCTCTTCACTATCCACTCATCCTACCTTCCTTACTCATTTACTCCCTTCTCTTGTGTGATTCAGTCGCGTACTGTTTCATCCATCTTCTACCACCCAGTTCCACAACCACAACTCTTTCTGTTATTTGAAAAAAAAAAAATGTTAAGAAATAAAAGGTATGAATACTGTCGTATTCTCAATGTCTCTACTAGCTTTGAATCAAAAGGTCACTCTTCAAATCTCATTGAACTAACCCTTGGAGGCATTATTTTATATGCTGCTTACTATAGCACCGACTCCGTCATCTCCTCAACTCTATCCGTCCTGGATATCCCCAACCTTGGCCAAGCCATGGCGCTTGGTGCTCTCTACAATGCTCGAACCGGACATTGCACCAATGCATCGGTTCTCTCCGATACTCTCCCTCCCACTCTCATCGAATCCCGAGACGAGAATGCAATCAACACAAAGTTCGTCTCCGAAGACAGTTACAAGGAAAAGTTCAGGGCCTTTGGGATCGACGGGAACCTAAAGTTGAACATCCTGGCCAACAATGTCCCTTTGAACGCTCAATTCAAGTACCTCGCGACCGAAAAACAATCCTCGAAATCGGTCAAGGTCTCCTTGTCCTATGCGGTCCAGACGAAATTGGAAAGGATCAATATCCGATCTAAAAAAATCCGAGAGTACATCAACTTGAAAGCTTTGAACGATACCGATGCCACTCATGTCGTCACGGGGATCCAATGGGGGGCCAACATGTTGTGTTCCTTTGAACATAGCCTTGAGGAAGGAGAGACTGAAAAGGAGGTCGCGGGTATCCTGGGTGCTGCTTTTAATACCCTCAAGGTCGGCGCGAATATCAACGGAGATCTGAAAAAGAACAGCAGAATGACCACCAAGGACATGTCTGTCAGTATCAGTGTCCTTGGTGACATTGTCCCCAAGGCAGACTCGTATCCAGCCTCGGTCGAAGATGCCGTTCAGCTCATGAGACGAGTGCCCGAATTCGTTGAGGGTGTGAACCAAGGGAAAGGAAGTGTCCTGCAGTACAAACTCGAACCAATCGAAAAAGTTCGAGCCCATTTTGATCTTGAGACCAAAATCGAGTCGATGATCAACAATGTCCACCTGGACTTGGTCGATAAAGTCGAAAGTACCCTTGATACCATTGTCGAGAACCGAATCCGTTTGACCGAGGCCTTGAATGATATTCTCGAATACAGTCAGTACATTGCCGAGACTGAGGAGAAGCGCATCAAGAAGGGACTCAAGGATTTCAACCGAGATGAACGAGAGTTCAAAAACTCCCTCTCTGAGACTGTTCGAGCCATCCAAGCTGGAGAGACATCTGTGAATGACTTGTTCCTGTTGTTGGAAGACTTCGAGGTGGGAAATTGTTCCTCATCGGTGGTTGATGAGGTCATTGAGCGTTACCAGACCCTAACGAGCCGGATTTCGTTTATCCGTCGTTGCGAAAAGGTCAACATTCAGGTCATCTCCAGAGTGAATGAGATCTCAAGCGTCTTGCCAACCTCGCCGACGGACAAAACGTTTGTCCTTACCGTCCCAAAGTCCAGTGACTATACCATGATCGAGCAAAGCCAGGTTTGGCATATCTTCAGACTCTTGAGAGAGGACCACAATGATGCCCAGACGGTTTTTACGATTTACGACGCCTCGATCTCATCCAAGAACCCGCGGCTGAATGACTTGGCCGAGTTGAAGATCGTCAAGTACCATGGAAGCGTCGAGTTTGATCAGGATGCCTTCCGAGCCTCGATCCTTCGTCCTTCTATCAAACTGTCTTCGCCGGAAAGTGTGGATCAAGCGGAGAGAACCAAGCTGGCTGGCCATGCCCTGCGAATGCCCTGTCCTTCATCCCATGAAGGCGGGTGTCATTTTGGTGCCACGAAGTGGGTTTGCTTCAAGTGCGAGGAGGTGATGCAGTACGAATACAATGAGTTTGTCTATTGTCACTGTGGAAAGACAAGGATCAAGGACTGCACCTTCCGATGTGACTCGATCGAACATGGTTATCGATACAAGGAACTCCATTCCCAATCCATTCAGTCGATTTTTGAAAAGATTTATCCAGGAGACGATGAGATCAACATCCTATTGTTGGGAGAGACTGGAGTTGGCAAGTCGACTTTCATCAACGCCTTTGCAAACTATCTCCGATACGACAGTTTGGAGATCGCCGAGAAGATGGAGATGACGACGTTGATCCAATCCAAGTTCGAGATCGAGGGTACGACAGTCATTGCCGGGAGCCCGGACCCGGACCAGAACGAGAAGTTGAAGGATGGTCAATCAAGTACCCAGTGTTGTCGATCCTATGTCTTTCCCCTGAACGATGACATCAAGATCCGATTGATCGACACTCCCGGGATTGGTGACACTCGAGGGGTGAAGCACGACAGGGAAAACTTTGAAGAGATTATGAACTACATCTCTAGATTTAAAAAGATCAGCGGTATCTGCATTCTCCTCTTGCCCGACACCCCTCGTCTGACGACTTCGTTTCGATTCTGCATCGATGAGCTGTTATTGCATCTTCACAAGAGTGCCGCGGACAATATCCTTTTCACTTTCACAAAAACCAGATCTTCCTTCTATGGGCCCGGCGATACCATGACTCTTTTAAGAACTTACATGAAGGAATTGGAGCAAGCTAATGGCGTCACCATCCAGTTGGAGACCAACACGCTTTTCTACTTTGACAACGAAGCCTTCCGACTCTATGCGGCCCTGAAACAAGGTCTTCTTAACTTCGATCCGAAAATAAGAGAGACGTTTGCAGCGAGTTGGACCCAATCCGTAGTGGAAGCCCAAAGACTGGTCAAACGAGTCAGGGATCTTAAACCTCACAACACAGACGAAACCGTGACCTTGGACAGGGCCCGTCGTTTGATCATCCTCTTAGCGCCGCCGATGACCCAGATCAATGAAAACATCACCATCGAGGTCAATAAGATCAATAACCTCAAGGTCGAGGCACAGAACAATGAGATCAACGCCGAAGAGCTGAAAACGAGGCTGATGTATGCGAATAGGGATTTGAATCCCGTCTATCTCAAACGCCCAAGAATGGTCTGTACCTCTTGTTCGACTATCGATGGCGATAGTGTCCGATACAACCAACATTGCCATGTTAACTGTCGTGTCAATGCTGTGACCAACCGTGTGGGCAAAGGGATTCTAAAATGGTGTTCGGTCATGAAGGATTGGAAGACCTGTAGGGCGTGTGGCTGTGGATGGGAGGAACACATGCATCTCAAGATCGACTACACCGAGGTCAAGAAACAAAAGATAGACACCGAGCGAGAACTGAACAAAAAACTCTCCAGGGTCGATGCAATGAATTTGGCGATCACCGAAGCGGATGAGCGGATCAAGACCTTGGAGTCGGAAAAGAAGATCATTTTTGATTCCCTCATGACCTTCACGAACTTTCTTCTTCGGAATTCGATTCTGATTCAGAACAGTGGGATCGTGGACTATATCGACATGAGTATCAAGAATCAGGACAAGATTGCCCAGAGGACCAAAGATTTTTCGATCGTGGAGTCTTTACAGACTCAGAGGGATGAATTCGTCGGCCAGACAGAGATCATCGAAAGGGCTATCAAGGACGGAAAGTTTCATGTGGCCATGATCACAGAGTTGGACGTCAACAGTGCCAGAGACAGGCTCTGTCGATTGAAGGTCAATGGTGAAGCTTTGGTTAAGGTTATGGATTGGGGGCAACAGGATCAAATCCAGGCTACGCCGAAGGATATTAGGATCGGAGGTGGATATGTCACAGGAGGTTGGAGTCAGTCGGGTCCTATATCATTCGCAAAGAGATTGGTCCACAAGATAGTGAGAAAGGAAGGGAGCATTGCCTAGAGTGGTGTGTCAATGAGCGGTGGTTTTTTTTGAAAGGTCAAGAACAGTAAATACCGAACCATAGGGAAATGTAGCATAACCTTTTCATTACTACAAAGTACTATCATATTTTATCCAACTGATCAGGAAAAGATCAACCATTGCTACTGATGTCCATGTCAAGCGAGTCTTTGCTTTGAACCCAAAACAACTTGAAGGCGCTTTTATCTGGCAGTCAAGCGTTCATAGCGACGTTGCTTTTTGGTCCTTCGATGTCGGCTCTTCCTATCATACTGAGGCAGAACTCAGTAAGCGTTGGATTGTTCGCCCACTAGGTTTAGACCATCATGAGACAGGTTAGTTTACTGATGAAATGTTGTTGCAATAATAATTGAACTTAGTACGAGAAGAGCCGTTCATTTGGATAATTGGTATTTGGGCCTGCCTAAGCAGGCAATGGCCCGAAGCTATCATCCGTTGGGTTATAGCTGAACGCCTCTAAGTTAGAACCCGTGCTAGAACGCGACGATTACCGCCTTTTCCGATTTTTAGTTGAATACGAATAGATCTTCGGATCCTGAATCATACTACGTGGGGTTATCTTGCAGAGCGGAAAGGCTTTGTAAGGTTCCTGCTAATGTTAATTTCAAATATTGGAAGAGATAAATCCATTGCAGACGACTTTAACTGAACGGGGTACTGTAAGCAGACGAGTAGCCTTGTTGCTATGATCTGCTGAGATCAAGCCCATTGTTCTATAGATTTGTTCGAAAGAACAACATCTCTCTCTCTCTTTTTTTCTTTTTTTTATCTTGTGTAGGCGCAATTTAAGGGCTTTCCATCAAGGCAGGCAGTGGCCAAGATGGTTCGATAGAGGAAGAGACAGGCAGCGCAGGTCAGCGGGCAGCGCAAGGCGCCGTGGACTTGCTTCCATGGACTCCAAGAGAATGAGCTCCCTCCCAAAAAAAAAAAAAAAAAAAAAAAAAAAGGTCTTGTGCTGGAGCCATGTATCCTTGTTGCGTTTCCAAGAAGAGCATGCCGCTGTTTGTATCTTCCTTGTGTTCGCCCTGTCCATTCCTTCAGGTAAAACAGCGCACCACTGGAAAGAAACCGTCGCCATTCCTCGCGACTTTCTGGCCTGTTGTTGTTAGCGTAACCATGGCAGACTAACCCGTCTACTATTGTTCCCCGCGTTCCACACTATAGACTGTATACCACCCACAACAGCAGCAATAACAACAACAACAACAACAACAGCGGAAGCAGGAACATCGAAGACACTGAGGCACTTATGAACATTCTCTCGGGCTCCAGCTCATCACAACCCTGCTCGCGCCTTTGCCACCTCGGTCGTTGCCCGTAGTTTCACTCGTGACCACTGGATCTTCTTGCTCGGGTATGTTTTTGATTCATGCAAATAGAACCAGAAACGCATTAGCAGAGAAGGGGGAAAAAAAAGAAGTGAAAAGTGTTCTTCCCACTAACACAACCGTCCGTTCCTTCTCCAATGAAGCCTCTTGTTTGGCGCAATCCTGGCCGCAGCGTTACACATCCTTTTCCGCTACTTTGACTATGACCAACACAACGCCGGAATCGACGCCGAGAACCAGGCCCAGTACTTGCGTGCCCAGGACGCCGCGGCTCATCATCTTGGTCACGGCGATCAGCAGACGACTTATGTCAACCGTAACCCCAACGGCACTGCCACCACCACCACTACTACCCCGCACGGTCGTCAAGGAAGGGAGAGGGCTTTTAGTGCCGTGGAAGGAGGGAGTGAGGAGTTGCTTTCCTCGGATGTTATTTTATTTGTTTTGTTCATTGCTCATACATAAAAGACTCATGCTCTTTTTCTCATACATAAGACCTTCTATCAAGGTGTACCCACCACGGTAAAATATATCAAGAGGGTCCGTCCGGGGTATGTGGACGTGTTTGTTCAGCCTCAACTCAAACTTGGTTTTGTGAATTTTTCTTTTTATCGATCGTGAGTGGTGTGGTCACAGAGAGAGGTATGAGCAAAAAAGGAAGAAGGAAGGGAGCCTGGTGATAGAAGAGCGAAGAAGAAACGCGCGTGTCTGGCTTTCGATTTGACACGACGGCAGAGGGGAGACGACCAGGGGTGGAAGGAGAGACACCACACTCGAGAGAAAAATGGTCCGTTGCGTGTTCTCTCTATTTACGAGCAAGCTAGGAGGGTACAGGATGACGAAGGAGGACTATGTGTGTGATGACGACGACAAAGAAGGAGACAGAGGAGGATGGAGAGTCATCACAACCAAGTAAAAGGACGAGGCTCTCGTCAAAAGAGTCAAGTGTAAACTCTTTCGCTTTTCCCGTTTTCCTTTCTCGCTCCATTGCATCCTCTTTTTCTTCCTCTCTTCTCGATCCTTTCTCTTTTTCTTTTCTTTCTCCTTTTCCTTTCTTCATAACCCACACCCACACCCACACCTTACTACCATCCTCTGTGCGTCCAAGATGGCATACTCACAGCCACAGACGCCCAACATGCGTCCCGTCGGACAAGCACCTCCAAGACCAGGCTTCAGACCACCCATTCCACAGCAACAACAGCAGGGACAGCTAGCACAGCCTTACCCGGGACAACAACAACCAGGAGCACAGCAGTTCCCACCCAGACCTACTCCTCCTCATTCAGGTCAACAGCAGATGAACTACAGACCCATGGGTCCTGGAAGCAACGGACCCAGACCCGTACAACAGCAAGGAACTGCACCACCAAGACCCATGCAACAACAGCAGCACAATCAGGATCCCAGCCATCTCCAACAACAAAATAACAATGCCTTGAGAAGGCCATCAGCACAGGGTGGTCAAGGACCCCATTCACCTTCAAATCAGAGACCAACCATGGCCACACCACCCTTCGGATCACAGCAACAGCACCAACAGCAGCAGCAGAGACCACCTCCAGCCATGGGTGGTGGTATCCAGCAACGCGCCGCGTCACCCATGATCCGGCCCGCCAATTTGCCACCACCTGGTTCGCCAGGCATGCCAAGACCCTTCCAGTCGCCCCAGATCCAGAACAGACCTCCGCCAGGACAGTTTGTAACCCAGGCGCAGCAGACTGCTCCTGGCTCGCCTGCTATGAACCCTATGGGATTCATGAGTGGACCTCCTAACGGGCAGAACCGTTCACAGCCGCCTACTCCAAGGATGCAGCACCAACAACAGCAACAACAGCAAGGAGCACCCACTTCGCAGCAGTTGCACCAGCAGCACCAACAGCCACTTCATCATCAACAACAACAACAGCCGCTGCACCAGCAACAGCAGCAGCAGCATCCTCCAATGGGCCAAGATCTTGGACTGATGGCTGGTCCTCCCACGCCCACACCTCATTCAGGTGCACAAAAGTCCAAGAGAATGTACCCAGCCGGAATTAATGCCTACACAGAACCACCAACCTACGAAGCGACACCCAGCAACCACAGCTTCCAACACACAGGAGTTCCCGCCCCTAACCAAGCAGGCGGTATGCAACAACAGCCTCCTGCCCAAGGATCTCAATTCTTTGTTCCTGGAGAGAAGCAGGCACCTACATTCGGACAACCCGCTCCTGCGTACCAACAGGGCCTTCAACCTCTTCAAGGACAACCCCTTCAGCCCAATGTGAATCAGCTTGCGGGACAGATGGGTGGTATGAACCTCGGTAACACTGGGTACGGCGGAGCTCAAGGCATTGTGGTAAGCAACTCCAAACGATATACTGACGTTGAATGACAAGGTTTTGTGATAACTATCCATCGTTGTCGATGAATATACTGACTTTTTGTATGCCATTGTTGCTTTTGTAGCCCATCTCGACGGTTGCTTTGATGGGTACGGCACCCAAAATTTACGACTTGGATGCACCCCCACCACCCATTCGCTTGCCAGAGACGGTACGATTCTACTCCTGACAATGATTTTGACAAGACTATATCACCAAGTGGGAATCATTTGTACTAACACGATACTAATTTGTTAATGTCATGAGTAGGCATCGATTACACAGTCGCCTTTCGCCAACTGCGACCCCTCGTACAAGAGATCAACCTTGAATGCAATTCCCGCCACGTCACAATTGTTGACAAAGTCACGTCTGCCCTTTGGACTTATCATCACACCCTACCGCAGTGTCAAGGAAGGGGATGTATGTGTTCACGGATAATTAGATCAGCAGTGAAAAATGGGGGAGACGAACTGGTTGTTGTGCAAAAAAAAAAAAAAGAATGGTCTGAGATCTAACGGCATTTTTGCTTTCTTTTTACGACATAATAGGAACCTGTGCCGGTCGTGTCAGACTCGATTATTGCTCGTTGTCGCCGATGCAGGACATATATCAACCCCTTTGTCAAGTTTGTCGAAGGTGGTCAGCGCTGGAAGTGCAACATGTGTTACACACTCAACGAAGGTACAGGATATATGACACTCCTCAGGGGACGAATTTACTGATATGGAAGGGGTCGACCTAACCCTCTTGTCCTGTGCAACTTTTGATGATAGTGCCGTCGTCGTTCGACTATGATCCTCAGACACAGCGGCCTGTGGACCGTTGGCGGCGCAAGGAGTTGAACCATGCGGTCGTGGAGTACATTGCACCCACGGAGTACATGATTCGTCCTCCTCAGCCTTTGGTCTACATGTTTGTGATTGACGTGTCCTACCCTGCAGTCCAGTGCGGCATGGTGGCTACAGCAGCAACAACTATTTTGGAATCGCTTGACAGGATACCCAATGACGAAGGCCGCACCAAGGTTGGAATCATCACCGTGGATAGTTCCCTCCACTTTTACAACCTCCAGGTAAACATTTTGGCGTTACACAGCAAAAATACGGTTTAACTTTCAATGAGCATAAAGGTAGCTGGACATGCAGACTAACTCCACCACCCGTTTTGAATAGGCTGCGTCAGGAGAGCCACAGATGATGGTGGTGTCGGATCTTGAGGAGGCTTTCTTGCCTCAGCCCCAGGACTTGCTTTGCAATCTCAGCGAGTGCCGACCTGTCTTGGAGGCATTGTTGAACAGGATGAGCGATATGTTCAAGGATACCCAAAATGTCGGCAACGCATTGGGCCCAGCTTTGAACTCGGCCTACAAGCTGGTGTCGCCTATTGGAGGAAAGATCATGTGTCTGCAGGCCAGCTTGCCTAATTTGGAAGCAGGAGCTTTGAAGATGCGCGAGGATCCCAAGCTGCTGGGAACTGCCAAGGAGTCGACACTTCTCCAGTCAGCGTCGTCCTTTTACAAGTCTCTTGCTGTGGAGTGCTCAAAGTCGCAGGTTTGTGTGGACATGTTCCTCTTTGGATCCCAATACTCGGACGTTGCCACCCTCAGTACGTATCTATGTCTCTTATTGTGCTGTGTTATAAATTTCACATTATTAATGTTATTAATGTAAGACTAACATGTGGCGTATGTTTTACGGGATACTTGATTAGGCTGTTTGCCCCGATTCACAGGAGGAAGCACATTCTTCTACCCAGCATTCACGGCAGCAAAGTCGGAGGATGCTCTCAAGTTTGCCCACGAACTGGCAGAGTTCTTGTCTCAGAGGATTGCGTTGGAAGCTGTCATGCGCGTGAGAGCTTCGAAAGGACTTCGCATGTCAGCCTTTTATGGAAACTTTTTCGTTCGCTCGACCGACCTGCTGTCGCTGCCCAACGTCCCTCGCGACCAGTCCTATTCGATTGAAGTCAGCTTTGACGACAACCTCTCTATCCCTGTTGTGTGCTTCCAGACCGCCCTCCTGCACACCTCTTCCTCTGGTGAGCGCCGCATTCGTGTGTTGACATTGGCGTTGCCAGTGACGACGAGTCTGTCCGAGTTGTATGCATCAGCGGACCAAGTGGCGATTGCAACATTGTTGGCGTGCAAGGGAGTGGAGCGTGGCATGAACTCAAAGTTGGACGATGCCCGTGATGCGTTGACCAACAAGGTTGTTGATATCCTGGGTGTTTACAAGACCCACATGACGGCATCCTCCTCCGGCGCCACACCCAACCTCCAGATCTGCGACAACCTCAAGTTGCTCCCACTCCTCACCTTGGGCATGCTCAAGCATGTAAGTTATATTATTGCAGTAGTGGTTTTACTCTTTGCATCTGCTCTTTGACTAACTTGCTAATAATATGATTATGATATTGCTATATTTATAGGTTGGTCTTCGTGGAGGGTCACAGATCCCATCGGATCTTCGTTCTTATGCGATGCACCTGTTGTCAACATTGCCTTCGCAATGTTTGATTCCCTTCCTTCACCCTCGCTTCTACTCATTGCATGATATGCCTGAACATTGCGGAACGATTGGAGACCACGGTATTGAGATGCCTCAGACGATGAACCTGAGCAGCGAGCGGTTATCACGCTCAGGATTGTTTATGTTGGAGGACGGACAAAACATCTTTTTGTGGATTGGCCGGGATGCTGTTCCTCAGCTCTGCATGGATCTCTTTGGCGTCCCTGACTATCAAAGCATTCGCAGCGGCAAGGTGAGCCACTTTCTTTCGACTCGATCATCACCTCTTTATTATACTTGTCGTTGTCGACTTTGTTCCTTGGCGGAACTCGTCATGGATGTGAAATTGCATGTGTTTTTTTGCTCCGCAGCTCACAGAGACATGCGCATATTTGCTTAATATTAACAAACATATTTCTCTTCCACGAATTGTACATGATGTAGACGACACTGCCGACATTGGAAGCGGACTTCAACCAGAGGGTGAACTTGATTGTGGGCAAGGCCCGAGAGATGCGCAGGTCGTCGTACTACTCTCAGCTGTATGTTGTCAAGGAGGATGGAGATCCAGCATTGCGTCTGTGGTTCTTGAGCCATTTGATCGAAGACCGTGCCGAGCCCATTATGAGTTACTACCAGTACCTTGGCCACCTTAAAGATCGGGTAAGTTATTCAGCCAGGTTGAGTGCATGCAAGGGAGCAGCTTTTGGTGTGGTATCCATGGCTAACTTACGTTGGTGTTTATGTATTTCTTTCAATAGGTCAACAGCGGATCATTCTAAGTGCGCTGCATTGAAAGAAATACACCCTGCTCGACTAAAAAGTTTGGGACAGAAAAAAGAAAACAAACCAGAGAGAATAAAGACCATATCAAATTTCGATACTACGCTTCAGGTTATGGAACTCGGATTTTGAAATGAACAACACGCCCGACCCTCCTTTTGATCATGGCCAAGAGCTACTTGCAGGATGATTTAGTAAAATTTGGAACAAAGGAATCGCAGTCGATCATTTTCAGTTTCTCCATTTCCTGGTGGATATGTTGGCGAGTTTGCAACAGTCAGCTTTGCGGCGGTAAAAAAACCAATCAAGTAACGGTAATTGGGTGGGACGAAGATGCGCATATCGATGGAAAGGGCTTTGCGGCCGCTTGTTGGAGGTGCGGATGCAGGGATCAGCTCTTCGGAAGTTGGCCGTTGGGTAGGAATGATGGAGAGCATTCTTTTGAAGGGGGTTCTTTTTGAATCGTTGGGCGTGAGATGCAGAGGTGGGGATACTAGGGTGAGTATGTATTGACGGGGGAGGTTTTTTTGGTTCTGTAGTGGTATGCGATGAGGAAGAGAAATGGTAGCTTTCGTGAGTTTGGTTGCCATTGTTGTGAAATGCGACGTTGACTTTTGTTTGTTACTTCTGGAAGTTTTTTTTTTTTACTTGCAATACTTTTTTTATTAGGATATCTTTGGGATTCCGTAGTACCTGCGCGTATTTGACGTTACGAGTTCCGTAGCGTAATTTATCTAGCGCGGATAGCAGTAACGCATGACTTGATCTTTGGCCTATGTAAGGCGATTGTCAATAGAAATGGACTGTAGGTGCTGTTGCACTTTCAACACCTTTCCTACAAAGGATTGAGTTTCAGTGCGCTTTTTTTAAATATAGAAGTAGGCTAGTGTTCACTTTTTGGGGCCAAAAAGAAACGGTAGCCGATACGAGATTGAGGTTCATCAGTTTTGCATGCACAGATAGCCCCAGAAATTTGGGACGTTTTTGATATCATCGTGCATCCTTGTACGAATAGCTGCTGGATACCCTTGGGCAAGGCAATCGCATATTTTGTTTTCCCGAACTACGCTACCAGTTGGTCGATCATGGTAACCGCGTCGCAGCATACCCATTTCTCAAGTTTTTTTTTTTCGATGGAGATATTGTACATCTAACTAGTCGCTGCGCCTTTTTTTTGCTAGTCTGCAATCCTTTTTTTTTTTACGACAAATAAATAAACAAGCTACTGCAAAACAGTGATATCTCAAAAACGAAGATTGCTCTGAAGAAGTGGATATAGTGCGTGTAGCACTGGATGACAGAGGCGCTCCACTTTCAAGTGGTAAAACCTTCGATCCAATTTCCGGCTGCTGTGAAAAAAAAAAAAAAAAAAAAAGAATAGACACAACAGACATTGAAATGGGAGACGGCGTAGGTGAGATGATAAACTATACAGTGAAGGGTCCACTTTTTCGCGTTAATCTGTTGGTGGTTTACTTGCACCGAACTTTTGGGTCTATTACTTACACCACCAACACCAAGGATATCATCTCGTGAAGTATGATGTACATTCTCAAACCCACCTTCTGAAAATGAGAAAGATCAGTTTTGTGTTAGAAGGTTTGAAACTTTAAAAGACTAACTAGAACAGTACCTTCTGGCTATTATATATGATGATATTACTACTTTTCTTCTACTTACTTCTCCGGGTTTGTAGACGATGTCTGCAAATATGACCATCCTTACTAGTGACAAGAAGGATAAGAGGGTAGTGAACAGTCATCGTACTGATCATGGACATGGAGTGCGCTGCTGTGCAAAACGCCGGCGATTCAGATGAATGTCGACTAGTCTGTCTTGGCGCCGCGCATCTCTGACACTTGAATGCTAATCCTTAGGCTGTCGTCGAGAAGGCCGTGTAGTTCATTTGGCACATTGCCCCTCGTCCCCTTTCTTTCTTTCAGCTTGAAGAGGATTGTCTGAGGTTGTCTTTCAAAAAACAACATTTTATTGTGTGTTCCTGATGCTGAATGGTACAAGGCAAAAAAAAAAAGAAGGGTTTTATCCCACCCCCATGTTTCCCCTCCCTGCTGACCTTGAGGTGGGTGATAGAGTTTAGGCGTCTTTTAGATATTGGCGATCGGTAATGCGGGTGATGTCAAGTTCAATCAGTAAGCAGGTTAAATCAGGTTAGTGGTTTATCTCGCTTGTTTTCGGAGAAAGATTGGAGGGGGATGGATGGGAGTATTGGGGAGAAAGTATTTTCGGCACATGGTATAGTAGGCTACGCATGCATGGGGGAAAGACAGGGTTGAGATAGATGGGGGTGGAGTAAATTGAAAAGACGTGGTCGTGGGCGTGTTGGGTTGGGCGTGGGCAGTGGGCATGGTAGCATGGTAGCATTGTGCTCTCAAATACTTTTTGTCCCTCTCTCCCTCTCTCTGAGGAAAAATAAAAAATAAGGCATGCAGAAGAGTATCTTCCTCTATTTATTCAAAGAATTTGTAATGCTGTCCTGTGACGAAGGAAGGTAGGGCGATATACAATGCATACAGTGTTACATCTGGTTTGTGTGTGAATTGTGCAGCGTTTTCGACGCCTTGCTCTCTGCTGCTGGCTTATGCTCTTGTGCTCCTCTCCTTGTCATGACCATATGTCTGTTTCGATGGGAACCTTGAAAAGAGAGCAGGCGAGGGATATATGAACAGAGAGAAGAATTGAGAGCCATCCGGCATTTTTTTTATGGTCGGGGTGGGGTGAGCGAGTGTTGGTGGGAGTGACAGGATGGTGTGCGTGCCAGCAAGTGTGAATCGAGAGAGCAGTTGAGAAATGTAAAAAACGAGGGCAGAGAAAAAACGAGGTTTGGGAAGGGAAGGGAGTGCAGTACGTGTACAGTAGTGAGGAGAAAAAATGAGAGCCCCTGTCTGAACTGTACTATTTGGATGGATGGGTGGGGGGTGTGGTTGTTATGTTGTTTTTTATTTGTTGACACTGTTACTTTTTCACTTGTGTTCTCTCTTAAGAAAAGAAAAGATGAGAGCACGAAAACTAGTTGGACACAGAAATCGATTTACACGGAGGAAACATGTTGAAGAAAAGAGGCGAGCTGGACATGCTTTTACTTCAAGTGTTGTTTCCTTGTATTTCCACTGCTGTGAAAGTGAATTCGACGACCATGAACATCGCGCTCGCCTGTTTTTTCTTTCCAAGATGGCTTTGTTTGTTTTTGCATGTCCGCTACATTTGTTGTTTGTAGATGAAAGTGAAAGAGACTGCATAGAGACGACAGAAAGACAACACATGGATAGAAAAGGGTTGTGGAAAACAATAACAAAGACCACCATTGACGCCCACGGCATGGCATAAGATAGGATGGGATAGGATGGATGGGAGATTGGCTTGGCTGTGCTTGAAAACAAAAGGGCAAAAGGAAAGTCGATAATTTCCTTGGAATCGAACCATTAGGCAAATGGCAAATTGCAACAAAAGGGGTTGTGTCGGCCCGTCTGTCTGTCGGAGGTGAGGCAAAGCAAATTGGGAATAGGAAGAAAACAACGACGGCGACAATAACAACAAAGAGGCAACGTGAACATGCAACATGCACACACAGACGGAGAGACGGAGGAGTGAAGTTCGCCATTTGTGTGTATGAAGATGGGGATACATTTTGTGCTTTATTTGTTGTTGTCACAGTTCGCGAGGAAAGATGGGAGGGAAGAAAAGGATAGGAAGAGAGAAAGAGCGACAGCAATAAAGAGAATGGAAAAAAAAATGGGTAAAAAGAGGACATGCGGGCATTTTTTTGGGCTGCGAAGAGAAAGAAAAAAAGGGGAGGAGTGTGGTATTTTTTATTTTTTTTGGATGGGTAGGTTGTGCAAGGTTGTGCATGGTACATGTGCAGATGTAGGAGAGGAAGGAAAGAAGGGAGGGGAGAAGAAAAAAAAAGGGGTTGTGTAATGGGAGAAAGATAGCATGGAGGATAGGTATGTAGGCAGATAGTCAACGTGGATGGAGACGAAGAAAAGGTGCATGTAGAAAGCTGTGACATGACGAATGTGCCGAATGATGGTGTAGAAAAAAAGAGTCAGGTTGTGGAAATAAAAAGGCGAGTGAAAAGTGCGTGAGCAATGTGAAGCGTGGAGCGGCGGTTGGAGAATCATTCGTTGTCTGTCTCCTTGAATCGAGCAGTTGCAAAGTTGAGTGAGTGAGTAACCGACTGAGAGAAAGGAGAAAAAAGGATCGACAGGGGCGATAAGACAAGGACTAGCAAACATCACGAAAGAACAAACCGAATGAAGGAACAGAGTGGAAAGCGCGATTGAATTAGCATAGAGTTGAAGAAGAAACGCGATGAGTATGCTGCTTGGCTAGCGCCCATGCTCTCTTTTTGTGTTTCTAGCGAGAAATGAAGACGATGGGACGATGGTACTACCACTGGCCAAATTGTATTACCTGAGGGTAGTGGCACGATTAGATGATGGTGTAGCTTGGCGAGAGAGAGACGGAGTGTACTGTACATTGGAAGAGGTATATGAATGAAGGATAATGACGATGGGCAATGTGTCCCATAGCGACCGAAGGAAGAAGGAGAAGGGCGCGCTACGATTGATTGGCAATGCGCCATACTCATATTGTGCTCCGCTCCCTTTTTTTGTGTTTTAGGGCGCTTTTTCTTCCTCTTCCGACCGACTAGCGACTATCGCTCTTCCTCTTCTTTGGTCGGTGTAGTTTTAGACAAAACGGAAGGGAAGTGGGGTTAAATCGTGTTCTTGTACGTTTTTTTTATTTTTTTATTATCCGGCAATCATACCTTTCTTTTTCATCATGCATCATATTGTCTCGCTCAAATGTCCTTCTTGTCCCTGGGTGCCGAGAAAGAGACCAAGTGAGAGATGTGCAAAGGATGGAGAAAACAAGGGGAAAGAATTGGGTGAGGGAATGAATACCTGGACATCCAGTTCCAAGCACAATTCGCAGATCTTGACGAAAGGAAGAAGTCCCTTGCTTCGCTTCCGGGGTGAGCAAGAGTAAGTCTTCTTAGAGTAGGAGTAACAAGTAAGTAGTAAACAGATGTGCAATGGACAATAGGGCAATAGGGGAAGGGAGGTGAGCGATGACGAGGAGAGAAGAGAGAGAGCAATGGCAAGGGAAAACTAGAGAGAGAGGAGAGAAAGAGAGAAGGAGAGAAGGGGTGAGTGTTTGTTAGGCTGGTTTGAACTTTGACGACAAGGCTAACTTTCTTTTTGATGCTCACTGCAATGCGATGCGAGTGGAGACAACACAAGACAACAAACTGGATATGTGTCGCCCCCTTTGCACGAGGGATATGCGAGAGAATAGAAGTACGAGTTACACACCATATCGAATGGTTTGCAAAGTGTGAAGATTAATGCGTTCTGAATTCAAAATGACTTTGGAAATGGAGACAAGTGTGGTGCACCCATTGCGAATATGTGTTGTATGCCAAGAGTGCCAACATCATATATGGCGTGTTCAATCCTACACGGTAGTCTAATGTATAGCCATTGCTGCTTCAAACCCGACCTTGCACATTCTTTATTTTCTTCATGTTCTCTTTGTGCCGCTGAAAGAAAGAGAATAAAATTTTCGTTTGGGAGTGTTTATTTTTTCCAGCACGCCTCTTCAATTTTTGATCAAAAGAGGTCATATCACCGTTTGAGACTGATAGAGCTCTCTCCCTTCCTCTCACACCCTCCCTCTCACCCTCTCTTTCTTTCTTTCTCCTTCTCCTCGCTCGCTTTGCCTTTTCTTCACTCCTCTTCCTCTTCCTCCTCCTCTCATCACTCACGCCCTCCCTTCACCTGTCCTTTGTATTTACTCCCCTTCTCTCTCACTCTCGATCAACAACAACTCTCTCCTTATACATATTATAATCATTCCATGCTGCACTCCATCCCATCATGATCCCGACTCCCGCTCCTACCGCCCTGCCCTCCTCTTCCTCTACTTCCTCCCTGTCCACTCCTTCCCTCACAGAATCTTCTCACTTCCATCCCTCTCACCACCCCAACAAGACTCCTTTTCATCATCAACAACAACAAGGACAACAACCACAGGAGCACCATGGGAACGACATATGGATCAAAGCCCTGTTTGAATCTAGCGCAGACCCCATTGTCGTCTGTGACCTCAACGGCCTCGTCTGTGCCTGGAGCCACGGCGCCCAGACAACTTTCAACATTCACCCGAAACAGTCGCTTGGCCTCAGTCTTAGGCACATCTTTTCTTCGGGATCATCCTCGCCACCAACTCACTCCCATCATAACTCCTCTCACAGTTCAATACCCGGCAGCAACAACAGCGACAACAACGACAACAATGAGAGGGCAAGGGGCTACGATGGACTCGAGATCGAACTATACCCGTCGACCCCCGACCAGGTGCGAGCCTTGCAAGGGTTGCCTCTCAAGCGGGTCGTCTCCAGAGTCGTTGGAGACCAATCCCGCCATATCTTTCTCGAGTCCATCTCGCCCGTCTTCCAACAGCCATCCGCAGCACCAGCACCAGTATCTCACTTCTCTTCACCACATCATCATCACAATTCTCCTCCACTGCCTCCCTCGAAACCACTACCTCCCCTGCCTCCACGGCCACACGGCAACCAACAACAGCAGCAGCAGCAACATCATCATAGTCCTGCTGCAGGCACAGGCAGGAAGAGTATAATCAATGGCCACAGCTCCGGCAGCCACAGCCACACCGCTGACAAAGATGACCCCTCCTCTACAACCATGACATTATCTCCATTGCCACCACCATCATCATTCTCGGCGAGAGAGCAACAGGAAGAGTCGACGCCAATATCATCAACAGCAACATTGTCGACTGCCCCTGCACCTCTGGTTATCGGATACTATGTCATCCTCACCGATCTCTCGACCCTTTCGACAGGGCTAGGGAAAACCCACTGTCCCTTCTTTGAATTCTATCCGCAGTCGTCCATAGCATCATCTGCCCTCACGTCTCCTTCTCCATCCTCCTTCACCACTTCCTCTTCAACACAAACAACAACAATAACAACATCAACGGCACCTTCTCCTTCAATTGCAGCGGATACGGAAGCAGCAGCAACAGCAGCAACGGCATTCACCACCACCACCACTACTGCATTATCTGCATTATCACATCAGCAAACTCAGCAAACCCACCTTCCACCCCACCATATGCTTGCGAAAATAGCATCCGACGACGCGACAGCAACAATAACGTCAACAACATCGTCATGGAGCGCAGCCCTGCCTATGTCTGCAGCAGAAGCATCAACAGCAGGAACAGCCACAGCCGACAGTAATAATAACGACACCGACAAGGACGACGTGGACAGCATGACGCCGATCGTCGCCTCCCGACCCTCGACCTCAAGGGAACATTCGACGGACTCTGGCTTTGATGAGCGGTCGTCGTTGTCCAAGCCCAAGAGGTACAGTATCCCCTCGGCGGTAGTTGTTATATCTATTTAGCGAGGTCCGAGTCGGCATCAACTAATGCTCCTCCACCTTCCTGGCCATAGCTCACCTTCTTATCCGTCCTCTTCCTCGACAATGGCATCTGGCTTTACATCTTCGTCCACAGCAGGTAAGGAAAAGAACATTCTTCTCGCTCTCACTCTCCCTCTCTCCACACATTATCATTCCCTCTCCACTATTCTCCCCTTTGTCTCTCCACTGCATCTCAACCCACGGACGGTACATTGACACACGCACACACACATAATCATATGGTCGATCGAACATGGGAAAAAACATCAACACAACGCAAAAGACAGGGACTGACAAAGAGACTGCATCGGCGCCTTGTTTCTTTGCAGCAAAGAAGGAGACGAGGAGGGCTCTCTTCCTTTAACCCTTTAACCACAGACAGCAAAAAAAATTAGAGTACTGTTCGCCGATTCGTTTTTGTGCCCGATTGTGCGCCATTTCTCTCGTCCTCCTATGTTCACGCTGTTGCTGCTGCTCTCTTGGCTGGATGGGATGCCTGGTGATTGAATTTTTTTTTCTTTCTTCCTCGTCTTCTTTGCCCACTCCTTTGATTTATATACTGGTCTCCTTATAACCAGGCCTTGTCCTGGCTCCGGCTCTGGCTATTGTTTCTACCTTTTTTCATTTTACTTTGCCCCTTGAATTGGCGTCATCGCTTGATCTTCGTCAAGTGCACACCTTTGTATGTACTGACGGACAAACGGGCGGAAAAGGTTGTTCCATGGCGCGGGCATTTGTTTCCTCCGCCTCCCTTCAAACATCAACACCAACAACACAACAGCATAAGTTGCAGGACACACAATTCTCCCATGTATCACTCCGCCATTTTCCCCCTTCCCCTTTCCCCCCTCATTCTTACTCTGCTTCGCTTCAATCTAAGTACGACTCAGCTGCTATGGCTCCACACATACGATGATACATCGTCATCGTGCACCTCGCTAGTCTAAGTGAGCACATGGCTCTCTCTTTCTTTGGTAGCTAACGAGAGGGAGTCAGACTGGCCTTCTCTACTCTGCACTACGGGGAACCGGAAGACGAGAAAGCCCTCAACCCATGCTGACCTTCTTCCCCTCGTTTTTCTTCCCTCATTTATTATTATCCTACTTGCTCCCAATCGATCGACTCCTAGTATCAAACGGCACAGCTGTCGTCCTCGCCGATATCCAATCCGAACCAGACGCCATCTCGCCCCACGACAAGACCTCCTCGACACCCTCACCCTCCATCGCACAACGCCAACCCCTACAACTGCCCCTGCCTCTGGCCATGCCAACTAGTCGCAGCAATAGTATTTCACTGCCCATCCATTCTCAGGAACCATCTGTTCGCCCCTCTGCACGATCCACTTCACTAGGACACCTCCTCTCCTTGTCTCCTCTCTCACCTCTACCACTCGCCATCGCCAACCGACCCCGCGCTCTCTCTATCGCTGCTACCGCAATCTCATCCACATCCACCGGCGCACAGCTGTCCGTCTCTATGTCTGCATCCGCAGACAAAAGTCGTCTGGATATCCGCCACAACTCCCTCGCTATCTCTACTGAACCACACCACTCGTCTTCACTGCTGCCAGGAGAGACTCGTCTGGACCGGGAATGGGACGATCCCTCCTTTTCGTATTTGGCGCCCATTGCAGCCAACCTCTTGACCTGCCAAGGCGAACACTTTTTTGACCTGGTCGTGGAAGAGTTGTCCGTCAACCTTGGGGTCAAGTACGCCTTTATCTCGCAACTCGTCAGCCTGGAGGAGCTCAAGGAACTGGATCCCACGGAATACATGAACCTTATCGAGCAGTTTGGAGGGCTGGTCCCTCCACTCGACGGAGTGATGCACAATATCTCGAGCTGGCCTGGAGAGTAAGTTCTTTCGTCATTCAACGACGTTAAGAAATAACACCTTGAACAGTAGCACTAACAATTACTTTTGTATCACATAGGTCGCACATCAACCCGCATGCGTTCCAAGGATACTTGGCAGACTGTACGATTCAGGACAAGGTCACATTTATCGACTCGAACTTGGCTGATCAACATCAGGATGTTGCAGAGTGCCTCATGGACCACACCATCGAGTCCTACGTCGGTATGCGACTGGAGACTGTTCAAGGCGAGATCGTCGGAGTCATCGGTATCATTCACGACCGGGCGCTCACGGAGGAAGACAGCTTGATCGTCAGGCTGGTGTTGGAACAAGTCGGGATTCGTGTTGCCAATGAACTCGACCGGCTAAAGATTGAATCCAACTTAATCTATGCCCGCGACGTCGCCGAGTCGACCGCCAAGAATAAGACAAAGTTCTTGGCCGACATGTCCCACGAGATCCGGTAAGCAAAAGGACAAACCTTGGCACTCTTCTACAACGATGGATGGTAATTGAGTAGTTATTAATCCAGTTCGCCGTTTGTACCTTTTTTTTCTCGCGTGATAGAAACCCCATGAATGCTGTTGTCGGAGTGACGGATATTCTTTTAGACACTGCAGGACTTTCTGACGAGCAAACAGGATACATCGAAGTGATCCGCACAAGTGGACAGCATTTGCTGACTGTAAGTATTTTCCTAGATACTGCGAAAACACGCAACAACGACATGGCATGGACAAATCGCACTGATTATGATTGAATATTCCCCCCCTCTCCTCTCTCCCCTTGTTCCTTTTTTTTCTTGCGACCTCCTTTGGAACACGGAACTAACAAGTATTCTCGTTTCGCTTTACTCTGTTTTTTATTAGGTGATTAACGACATTTTGGATATTTCGCGAATCGACCAGGATGTCAAGTTCCTGCTGGAGAGACGACCCCTTAGTTTGCGAAAGTGCTTGAAAGGTAAAGAATGAGGCATGGTTGCATGAATATTTTTTTCCCGCGTTCAAGGAAAAATAAGTCATGGGAGGAGATGCAGGGATGATGAAATAGGTTATTTCCTTTGTTTTGATTCCTGTTACAAGAAAAAGAGGGAGAGAGAGATGATCAAGGGGAATGGAAGAGTGAGAACGGTGGTATCAAAATAAGGCAGTGTAAGGCTGGGCATACTTCAAAGATGGCGGTGTCCTTAAGAGTCAAACAGAAGGTCAATCCCCTCCTAGGCACCATCAGTCCATCAGTCCATCACTTATCACTTTATCTGTCTCATTGAGTTTTATCAGGAATAATGTTTGATCAAACATAAAAACGGTCATCGTAGAAGGAATACATTCATGGACAACAATGACTCCCTTCCATTCCACTTGCAGCTCGAATGGGCACACTGGTGAAGGGCAATAGCACTGAGCAAAGCAACAGAGAAAATAATAGGGGCTAGAGTGGAGTAAAGGAGAGAGGGAGAGGCGACTGACAGGGGAAAGAAGGAAGGGAGAGTGTATTAGAACAAATATGTGCACAAGTCCTAAAGTTTTTATTATAGATGTGAGAGGTTGCTCTCTACTTCGAAAGTGCGAATGGTCTCGAACAATGCTAACCATTGGTCTTTATTTACCCCTTATGTTTTCAAACCACCACTAGACGCTGTCAGTCTCGCAGGACTCACACCTTTGCATGATGTGTCGAGGTCAATTAGCGTCATCGAGTGGCCACCAGAGATGGACGACCTAGGTCCCTTTAGCGAACTGGAGGAGACCAACATCTTGCCGCTACTCTGGAGTATCGACCATGATGTACCTGAACATCTTCTTGGAGATATCACTCGCCTTCGACAAGTGCTCATCAACCTCTGCACCAATTCACTCAAGTTTACCCAACGCGGACGCGTCTCTGTCCATGTCGCTATTCACCAACCTTCGGCACAATATCCTACCATTCGACCCAACTCCACGCCTATGGTCACAAGGAACACCCCCCAGAGTGGCCAGGCATATTCTCCAAGGACAGATGGTGGACCATCATCATCATCATCGCCCTCTTCGCCCATGCTGACCGGAAGCGACCACAGGACCCAGATGGTCTTCCAACAGCGGTATGATGTGAAGACTGATTCCAGCCAATCCACATATACCAAACCTTCACCAGCATCGTCCCGTCGTCGTCAAGCCGATAAGCGCTACTTGCCCTTGCCAAGCCCAAACACTCAGCCAGACCAGTCTTCGACTTTTGCGCCACCCTCTTTGACGGTCGTGGCGCCCACTGCCAACTCTCTGGAGAGCGACAAGATGGACGAGAACACTGTTATTCTGGAGTTTGCAGTGTCTGACACAGGAGTTGGGATTCCCGCCAACAAGATCACGGAGCTCTTTACGTCATTCTCCCAAGTCGATATCTCTGTTAGCACGCGGTTCGGCGGTACTGGACTTGGATTGGCTATCAGTGCCAGCTTGGTCGAAAAGATGGGTGGAAACATCTGGGTCGAAAGCACTGAAGGAGTCGGGTAAGTTTTCTCTTTACTTTTGACATTTTTCGCGCAGAATTTTCAATGATCTGAGAGAAACAGGATACTTACATTTCTTTGCATTGGTTTCTAGGTCACGCTTCACATTCACGATCCCTTTCACCATCTGCCAGTCATCGGAAACGGAATCCCACCCATCAGTGACAGCACCCTCTTCACCTGTCTCCACGCCCATCCGACACGAGTCTGCAGGTCGAAGTAACTTGGATACTTTCCAATTGCCTGCGTCCGGCACTTCCCAATCGCCTTTGTTATTCACAGCTCCCGAAAGCAGTGTGGTTGAGCAACCAGCGCAGGAAATGTCAGCGACGGAGGAAAAAAAACCAAATAAGAGTAGGACGCCGCCTAGTTCGGTCGCCACCTCACCCACGGAATTATCAAAGCCGACTGTGCCGACCTATGCAAAGGTCGTCGAATCAACCATGAGGCCATTGACCATCGACGGTGTCCCTCTGCGCATCTTGCTTGCAGAGGACAATGCTGGTGAGAACTTCTTTTTGTTTTCGTGCATAGATAGCAAACTTTGGGCGACGCGTTTTTGTAATCATTTTCTGCAAACAATGACTCACATGCTCACCTTTTCTAACTACGACCTATAGTGAACCAAAAGATTGCGGTGGGAGTTCTCAGGAAGCTCGGATATGAGAATGTCGACGTTGCTGAGAACGGGCTGGAGGTCATCCAGAGGCTGGACGAAGGGTCTATTTATGATGTCATCCTCGTAAGTCCATACTTCCTGGCCTACTTTTTCTCTCGCTTTCAATGCTATCTGAGCTCGTCTAACCATGTCTGCCTGTTATTTTTATTTTCCATTAGATGGATGTGTCGATGCCAGTTATGGACGGGATTGATGCTACAAAGACGATTGTGGACAGGCGGCTGCGCGGGTTGTTATCGAATGCAGCAGAGATCAGCAGCTGCGAAATTTTGGCACCAGAAGAACCCCAGAGCAACGGGACTCACAGTTCTCAGGAGTCATCGCCAGAGAGAGTGTACAAGGACTACAAGAATCTCTATGTGATTGCCCTGACAGCCTCAGCTATGGGATCGGACAAGGAGCGTTGTATGGAAGCTGGCATGGACGACTTTATGACCAAGCCATTTGCGCTCTTGGAAATGAAGCGCGCCTTGAACGATTATATCCACAAGTGGGACGGAGGAGCTCTTCAGGTCAGGAACGAGACTTGTGTCTCGGCTGCTCTGGCTGCGGTCAAGAGCCGATGTAACACGCCCAATAGCTCGAGTGATAGGGCGTTAACGCCTACGATCGGCAAGTCTCCAAGTCTCTACTCCTCAACCGTTAGCTTGGCCGACCACGACTCGACCGACAGTCTCTGTTCGCTTGGCTGCGCCAATGGTACGGACACGCAATGCGGAGATGGATATCACACTGGCAGCAGCGGCGCCAACGGATCGTCCCCTCCATCCAGTATGGGTCGCTCACGGATCGAAACACCTCGGCCTCTCCGACGCAATCTAGATGCCATTGGCTGTAGCCTCTTTTCTGCTGGCAGACGGTCGCACAGCGAGGCGGTTTTGAACGGACTCTTGGGGCCAGTTGCGATGGAGGGCGGACTTTTGGCTTCACGGCGTGCGTCAGATGTGTTTTCGTTGGCGAAGCGTGAATGGCGGTCAGGACTTGGACTGAGTAACGACAACCTCAATGGCGTTCAGGATGTTCATCCACTTGACCCACTTATCGACGGTGCACAGGTCGAGCGGGATCGGGAGAACGGTATGACCAGCCCGAGCAACAGCAGCCTTGCCCCTCTCCCCAGTCATGGCGCCAATGGATTCTCACACCCTCATTTGCGAGTCAAACGAGTCATGTCGCCTAGCAGTCTTTCAAAGGAACAAGACTTTGGAGGGTCGTTCAAGCCCACGGCGTCGCCTCTTTCGCCGTTGAGTCTTTTGACAACCGATACCGAGGGCTCTTCATCGGTCTCGCCTCCATTGTCGTCGACCTCATCTGCTTCGCCCACTGAAACCACAGCGAGGCGGCCATCGAGCGGTGATGAGACGTTGTTCCCAGGTCCTCACGAAGATCCTCGCTTCCTGTCGGTCTCGGTCCCAGTCAAGGACAAGCCCAAGTCAGAGTCTGAAGATTCCAAGGCGCAGGCGGCGAATGGGGATGTCAATGGGGTCAAGGAGGTCAAGGAGGTCAAGGAGGTCAAGGACAAGCAGCAACAGCAGGAGCCTGCCAACGGGCAATGTAGGCCAGCGCCGTCGCGGACCGTGTGACTTGCAAGAGGAGAGAGGTCGGTTGTTATTTTGTATTTTGCCGGAATGGTCGTCATCATTGTCGGGCTTTGGTTTGGGCTGTAAAAAGCTCATGCTCTTGCTCGTTTTTTTTATTTTTACCCTACTTCATTATCATCATAGTTTCTTTTCTATTTCTTTTTGCATTTTTTTTTTTTGTTTCAACATCATTCTTTATTACTTTACTACTTCTTCATTTTACTCATTGGCCTTCCTTCACATTTTGTAACTACATCCAATCTTTTATTTTTTTTTCTTTTTTTTATCTTTTTTTTTTCTTTTCTTTCTTTCCATAGTGTATCCCACCCTTCTCCATCAATCATCTTCCTCCATCCTCATCCTTGTACTTTTTCCCCATCGCCACCCATAATTCGAAAACCGAGAAAAAAAATTCAGTTCTTCCTTCGACTTGTCGCGTGTGTGTTTGTCATAATCTTTGATGTGCTTAACGGTTTTTTTTTTTTTTTTTGAGGGAAAAGAGAGGATTTATTGTGGCTTAAACAGCCTTGATTGAGTTATTTTGTGCTATGGTTTTGGTGATTTCGCGAAGTATGGTGTGGATGATATCGCTACTAGATTGAGTGTGTTGATGAAGAAAAAGAACGGTGTTGGCTGATGAAATACCAATGAGGCAACAAGCCAGCAATTGTGGGATAGTGATGTTAAATTGGGGTTTGATATCAAAGGTTGGAGGATGGAAAGACAAGACCTTATCAAGGTCATCATCTGACCAAAGTGGTTTGGATGTATGTTCCTTGAGAATTGTTTGCCAAGCGATGTATTTAGGAGCGCACTGAAAGATGTGATGCGCCTTGTCCTCACGTCGCTCACGACATCCGGCCATGTTACAATGAGGATCCTGCTTCCAGATTTTTTGACGTAGAGTTCCGCAAGGAAGCCAATCCCTTTTAAATCTCCACCACGTGGTCCTGGCCCGGTGTGGTATTTTAGCGCTCCAGAATTGGCGCCACTGTTTCGAGGTTCCCGTCTCTGGTTGGGTTGAGGAGTTTGGGTTTGGTGGTGTGTCTTGCCTCAAAAAGGCTCGAAGGTGTTTGTTCGTGGCCGATTCCAGAGTGATGGGATTACTGTCGTTTGGGATCAAGACAGATGAGAGGATATGCTGTGCCAATGTATCATCCTGCGTGATCTTGGGTGGGTTCGAGAGTGCTTGCTGCATACTGTGGCGCATTCGACGACGTTCTTGGTAGGCCTGGATCCCTAGTTCCACTTGAGCAAGGCGGAGCTTGGGGGAAAGGTGTGTTTTTCTGACCAGTTGGAGGAGCCCATTGTTGTCAGGAGAAAACTGAAAGAGCTCTTCCACTCGGAGTCTGAGGGTCTTGATGGTGGTATCTGTCGTTTCAAACCACCATTCGATTGGTGAGGAGGCAAGTGTTACAGAGTCCGGCAAGGGATCAGCAAGGGCCAGTGCTTTGAGGGAAGGGAGGAGGGACGCCGCAGATACCAATCGTTGCAGACCGGGAAACCCTGCCAATAAGGATCTGTACTGTCCGTCCAGGGGTGCTAGGAGGAAGGCAAGGCGGTGAGACGTTTTGGTCCTCCATCGGATGATATCAAGAATGATGTCCTTACCCCAAGAGACATTAGTGGAGAGAGCATTGCGGATATGCTTGAGTTGGAAAACATGGCATTGAGTAGCTGGGTCAATAACGCCTAGGCCACCCTTGTCCCTTGGAGTAGTGATCACCTCCCATGATGGCCTTGGTTTAAAGGAGCATACGAATTTGGTGACTGCAGCCTTCACCTTTCGCAAAAAGTCGAGCGGGGGGTTGACAATCCAGGATAGGTGCCAAAGTTTGGAGAGGATAAGAGAGTTGATGATGGTGGCTCGGCCCAGGACGGAGAGGGATCGGGAAGAGTGTATGGTTATGGCTGATTGTATCTTCTTCAGAGTCTTGTCCCAGAAGTCTTTTTCCTGATCGCGGTTGAAAAAGATAGGGAATCCAAGGTAGATCAAAGCATCGGCGGAGTTGTAGTCATGCCATCGCACGTCCAAATGTTCCAGGTGGGTCTGCAATTCTTTGGAGTAAGAGGGGGCCATAGGAAAGGCCACAGTTTTGGACAGGTTGACTTTGGCATTGGATGCGCGGCCATAGGTCCGTAGGGTATCCTCCAATGCTGACCATTCGGTTGTGGAGGAGATGAGAGTCATGAGGTCGTCTGCATAGGCGCTGAGCTTGATGGGATCCGTGCGACCAGGGATTTCAATACCGTGAATAGCCGGGGATCGTTCGATAGAGGCAAGCAACGGTTCAAAGGCTAAGTTGAAGAGGAGGGGAGATAGTGGGTCACCCTGGCGAAGTCCTCTTGATTGTGGGAAGGTGTCTGACACAAAGCCGTTGATATTGAGTGCAATCCTGGTAGAGAAGAAAAGTTGAATAATCGACTCCGTAAGGCATGATGGAAATCCAAGTCGTTTCAAGACCTGTTGAAGATAGGTAGGATGCACACGGTCGTATGCTTTTTCCTGATCCAGTAGTACGCCAATATGTCTTGTCCTTCTTGCATTGCAGTAATCTCGGAGTGTTGAGAGCACTAAGCCATTGTCTGCTATATGTCGTCCTGCCGTGAATCCTGTTTGGTGCGATTCTGTCAGCTTGGTCATGTACGGTTGAATCCGTAGGGTAAGGATTTTGGTGAAGAGTTTGGTATCCGAGTTAATGAGTGAAAGAGGTCTCCAGTTTGCCAGTTTTGTCGCATCGCCCTTCTTGAAGAGGAGGATCATCACTGTCTCTTGCCAGGATGTGGGGAAAGAGGCAAGTGTCAGCGCATCGTTGATAATTGCGGTGAATAGTTCCTTGATCCAGGGTATGAGGAGGATGTATCGATAGAGCTCAAAGGGTAAGCCGTCCTTGCCTGGGGCCTTATTAAGGGGCGTCCTGCTCACAACGTGGTCTAACTCATCGGATGTGATAGTCCCTTCGAGTCTGGCGCGATCCTGGTCAGATAGGGTTGCATGTGGGGGGATGGCATCCAGTAGTCGGTTAGTTGCATTCTGGTCGGAGGGGTCGCGGGAGTATAGGCGCGAGTAAAAGTCTGTTGCTACTTCCAGACGTTCATTGGTTGAGGTTGTCAAGGCATTGGTGGCAGGGTTGTGTAGGTGTGGGACGAGTCGTTTTTTGTTGCGTTGAGAGATGGCTCGGAAGAAGTAGGCGGTGTTGCCTTCTCCTTTTTCACGCCATAAGGTTCCCGACCGGAGGGCATAGGCATCCAGTTCTTCCGATGTATGTTGTTGAAGAGATGTTTCCAAAGCTTCCAGATCCTGAATGATTGCGTCCTTAGTTACACCGGTTGCAAGGGGGAGCTGGGCTAGTTTGTTTTGGCGTTGTATGTTGAGGTCTCTTAGGGCGGATTGTCGATCCTGTTTCCTTTTGATGGAGGCTGAGATGCAGAAACGTTTGATTTCCATCTTGACCCTGTCCCAGTGTTGGATCTTGCTTTGGTGAGGACGGGGTAAGGAGAAGGTCGCCAGGTGGTCGGTGAGATTCTTGATAAAGTCGCAGTTGTTGAGGAGCTGGGTATTCATTCGCCATATCCCTCGACCTGTCATGGGGGCGGAGGCGGGGGAGAGTGTCAGTAGTAGCATGTCGTGATCCGAGAAAGGAGATGCGCAGAGTTGCTCAGATTTAGATACCTGTGAGAGGAATTGGATAGAGGAGAAAATGTAATCAATGGTATGGCGGACTTTGTTTCCTGCAGGGGTGCAGGTGGGCTTGGGGTTGGTATGAAGTGGGGTGATGCAGTCTACAAGATGAGTATCAACCCAGTCCTGAAACAGGGGATGAGGACGAGGGTGAGTGTAATGTATGTAGTTAAGATCGCCTAAAAGAAAGGCCTTTGGGGGAGGGGAGAGAAAGAAAGGGAGGGAGAGACAGTTCAGCATGAATAGCCTTCGTGCTGTCCTGTTGGCTGGGGCATACATAACACAGAATGTGGCCATAAAAGAAGAAGATGAAGAGGTGACGGTGGTAATAATAATCCTTCCTTGTTCTGCGTAAGAGGTGTTAGAGAAGGAGAGGTCAGGATTGCGAAGAAGGAGTGCACAGTGGGGGGACCAAACAGAGCTGTGAGTGTTGAGATATTGGTTGTAATTGATCTGATCAGCAGTGGTTGGCGATGTTGGTAGGTTGATTTCCTGAAGGGCCATTATGTCAAAATCCGTTTGTCGAAGCCAGGTGAAGAAATGAGGTGGACCGGTAGCATTGTTGTTTTGAAGGTGCTGCTTACGTAGACCTCGCACGTTCAAGCTTGCGATCCGCATTACTGTGACCGATTGTTTTTAATTGTAGAAGTAGATCTAGTGGCAGGTCTACCTTCTTTGGTGTAGATGTTGTTGGATGTCTTGGTGATGGTCTTAACTGCTGTGGCGACCGCGGTCTTGGCTACGGAGCGTCTTGCCTTGATCCGCGCTGCTATAGAAGCAGCCATAGCATCCTCCATGGGGAGGTCGTTGTTGTCGGAGGAAATGGAGTGTTCAGTATTGTAGGTAGCTCTGTCAAGGTCTCCCAGGTTAGCTCCCTCCAAATTGAAATCCTCATCAAAGACCTCTTCTCCTGTATCCTGAGCCTGATCATGACATTCGGTCATAGTGATGTCATCTTTTGGTGAGTTGGAAGGAGAAACCACTAACTGGGACTGATGGGTCACATTGGTAGTGGTCAAAGCGTGGTGGGTGTTTGAAATTGTATCAGGCGGTACAGAAGCAGAAGCAGAGGAAGTAGTGGAGGAAGGAGAAGAGAAGGAGGTTGAAGAATCAGAAGAAGAGGAATCATGAGAAGAAGAAGAAGAGGAAGCAGAAGAGGAAGAAGAAGAGGAGGAAGTAGAGGAAGTAAAAGCTGAGGAGGATTCAGCGGAAGAGGTGGAAGTGGGTTGCCCTCTCACAGGCATCTTACCTTTCGCCCTCTTAGCATCTCTAGCCGAGAACCTTGAGCAGGTGAAGCTGACGTGGCCATTCGCATTGCACGCACTGCATACGATGGCCAAGCGCTTGGGACAATGGAGAAGGAGGTGCCCGTGTCCCTTGCAATAGTTACAAAAGGGAGAGGCTCCCATCCAACTGATACGGCAAGGAGATTTTTGACGGTTGCCCAAGGAGAGCAAGCGGTCAATCTTGAATTCGTCCGCAGTCTTGTCACTCTTGACATAAACAGCGAACTGGCTGCGAGCCTCGTGGTTGCCGTTGGGGGTAGGGAACAGAGGGATCTCGATCTTGATGACTTTGCCCATTCTCTTGGCGTCCTCAAAGTACCAAGAGCAGAACTGCTCCAGGTGGGTGCCAAAATCAAGGGAAGTCTGGAACTGGTAATCCGTGAAGACGAAACGGGTGATAATGTGAGGAACAGTCGATGAAAAGGGGGCAAACTGCTTGTCGTCGACGGTAATGGGAGTGGTGGAAACAGCTGTAGTGTCCAGAGATTCATGGTACACAATTTCAATGCGATGGTGGACATTGTCAGCGCAGGGGAAGGCCATGTTGCTAAGAATATGGAGAGGTGCTATGTCATCATGGGCTTTGAACAGAGTTGAGTGGGTGGATCTGACTGCATCCGAAAACGCGCCAGAAGAAATAGTTTTGGGGACGATGTATGCAACAGCTCTTGGGTTCACCAGGTCGCCCAGTCGAGCTCCCTTTGGTGCAAGAGCGGCAGCAGCAAGGTGACCCTCTTCGGGGTCGGTAAACACTGAGTGAATGAGAAGTTTATTGTTACTACGGGTTCCAGCTGCCATGGAGGCATAGGAAGGGGATGGTGGGGACCCGATTGAGGGCAGGGGTTGAGAGGGTGGGTCACCATCTCCGTGTTGGTGTTGATGTTGCTGTTGGGTTGGCATTGTGGAAAAGAGTTTTTGATGTGCTTAACGGATGTCGCATTGTGAGCTTGCCAATGAAATGTGGCTTGCTGGGTTAAGGGCAAGGAAAATCGTTGGCGCCACCAATAATTGCGAGAAGCTCATTTTTCAGGAACAAGTAAAAATCAGTAGACGCGTCGAGATAATTGTAAACGTGACGCGCCAAGATAAAGAACGTGATACGATGGAGGAACGCGTTCAATTTTTCCGAGGGATGTGTTTGATGGTGCTATTTTTTGGTGATGGGGAACTGGAGGTCATGTCTGTGCCCCTCAACCCCCCCTCTCCTCCCCCGACACCTCAGTAAAAATCTTCACGCGGTCATCAATCTGGAGGCTCCTTGTTTTTTTCTTCTCTTCTTCACTCCCTCTTCTTTTGGCAAGCCCACTCTTCCTTCCTACTTCCCAAAGGCAATTTGCTCTTTTCTTGCTACAATAAAATGAATACCAATAACTTCTTGTCGCATCGTCCACCTACATTTATTTGCTAATTGATTCCTTGGGCTGAAGCGAAAAAGACATGAGGATAAAGAATAAAAGATCATTACCGTATCGTCATCCATGGTGGCATAATTGTTTTTATTTTTGAAAGTTAGTCAAGAAAAGGCTTGTAGTCACCAACGGCAAAGACGAAGAATACTCGCGAAATTGAGTATAAAGAAACGTCGAAGGCCGGACTGCGTATCGCCGAGATGAAAAAAATAAAGCAAGGATGAATGACAAAATAGAAAAGTAAAAGAAGAACAAGAACATTGCATCGAGGACTGATATCGCCGTAAAAAAAAATCATCGCTGCGACTCCTTTCTTACCCAACCACCAACCCATATTCTCAGACGCAGGTATTACCAATTCGGAAAACGACCCAACCGGAGTTCAATGTGCACTCCTCGGTAATGTCTTTGCTTTCAACTGCATATCTTCTTCACAAACACAAAACGGAGCTGAGGTTCATCACTTCCGCAAAATGTATCCCAGGTGTTTTTCCTATTTAGTTTATACGACCAGATTCCAAAAGGGCGGCATATCCAAGCTCAGCAAGTGATCTTTCAGATGTGTAAAGAGATAACATCACCACAATGTGATATCCGCGTGCTCCAATGAACTTTCGAAGCATGTGCAGGGGGTAGTCTACCAAGACATAAATCCGCGTACTAAAATGATGTTTGAAGAAAAGAAAGGCGATATCACCAAGGCAGGATCCTAGATGTCCTGAAAAATTATAGCCGTAAGATGAGCAACGGGATCGCAAAAATAGAGAGACCTGGCTCCCCTTACCTTGTCGATGAAATATCGTTCTTGATTAATTGTATCTACAAGAAAAAGAGTCATACATCATGTCCTCATCCCCGATGTCCAATATTTTGGAACGCGTGAATGGAACGCGCTCCTGCCTTAAACTTATAACTTTCGACAAAGAGAAGTCAATCTCTTCCCGCTTGTATGATCTAGACGGGGAGCGTTACAACCTCTCGCGCAACCCTCGCTTCAACCCCACAGCCTTCGTCTCATAATGATGCATGGAGAAGGTGTCCAATGCCAAGAAGGACGAGGTCGGCCAGGGCATCATCTATACCCGCCGCAAACTGCAAGGGGGTGGTGCCCACCTTGACAGAATCGACATAGTGACTCTGAAGAGCAAGGAGGCATTGAAGGCATGGGAATTCGCCACATCCTTGCCATGATCACCGTCGCGACCCCCTACCCCCTCCCCCTTTCCCCTCCTCGCCTTCATCTTCCGCTTCCTTGACTTCATCACCTCGTCAAACTCCCATTCTCCTTCCTCCGCTGACCTCATTACCATAGCCATCAAGGTTTCATCGCCCTTATCGCCCATGATTCTTCCTATTGCCACAGGAGCTCTTGGCCCTAGCACCACCACGCAAATGGTGCGAAAAGCGCCGTGGGCGCAAGCAGAAGCAACACCAGAGCCACCAGCAGAAGCAGCAGCAGAACAACTTCCCACCAACCCCATCATTGAATCGAAAACACCGGACACGCCTACCCTTCATTCACCCCTGGCTTTTGTTATCTTCTCAATCATTCAGTCTATTTTTGTTTAATTTTCAGTAAAGTCATATCTTTCTTCAACACCTTTGTCTCCCACCATCGAATTATGTTCGAGTAATGGAATGGGAGTCAAAGAGAACGTATATGTATGTGTCGCCAGAACGGAATGGGTAGAGAGAGAGAGAGAGAGAGAGAGAGAGAGAGAGAGAGAGAGAGAGAGAGAGAGAGAGAGAGAAGGATATGAGGTCATCGATGGCTTGGCAGAGAACAGAGGAAGAAGGACTGAGTGGGTATATAATGCTTCACTCTCTCTCTCTCTCTCTTCCTATTTTCTTTCTTTCTTTTCTTCTTATCGACCACCACCATTGACCCACCAACAGCAACCGATAATGACCGACAACAACCAACAACAACCACAACAGCCAGCACCAACAAGAGGACAAACAGGACAAACAGGAGTACTAATGTGGGGCGGCTCCAGGCGGAGACTAGGTGTGCTCTTGCTGTGGGAGTCGTGGAGAAAAAAAGAAGAGCGCGGCCCCCGACCGGCTTCGGTCCGTGCTCCTCGTCAAACCAGGGCAAGGATGGATTCTCCAAAAGCGGAAGTTATTAGCCAGGGTTTGTTTTTCTAATTCCTTCAAGCCAATCCCCGTTTGGAGGCACTTGGAGGAGCTGTTTTTGTATGGGACACTAACTTGACCCGCGACCTCCTCGTGGTGTGCCCTGGACGATGCCTCTCTCTCTCTTTCTCTCTCTCTTCTAGGAGAAGGGAGAGTGGCATTGACTAACGGCGGGTCTACTAGCATAGTCACTAAGGTAGTACGAACAATAAAGACAGGTGTAAAGTCAGTTATACAAAATAATAACAGCGAAGGCAGAAAGGACGGTGGTGGCAAGCGGAAGAGTGGTGGCAAGCAGAAGAGTGGCGGCAAACAAAAGAGTGGCAGCATGGAGGAGACATGGATCGAACACAGCATCTAGCATCTAGCATGGTAATCTTTTATTAGGTGCTGCGCTTCTTTCAGAGTATCAATGGCACAGACGAGGCCATTGACAGCAGGAGATGAAAAGAGAGAGCGAGTCTTGAAGGGCATGTTAAACGAATAAAGAATGGGCGAAGTCGTTTGTTGTTTGTCTCAAACCATCTATCTTCTAACTAGGGGGGCGTAAGTGTAATGCAGGGCTAGGAATCCAAATTAACATCCATGCCAGAGGCGTGTGGTTGTGCCGGCAGGTAGGACCGACTCTTTGTACTGTATAACGTCCATCATTCTCTTGAAGATGGGGTACCATTGTGCCTGAAAAAATACCGAGTATCATAGCCTCCATTTTTTGTGTCAATGGCCATCCCCAGTTCCCATTTAGCAGGGCTTCGGGATTTGTTATATGTTATCCACCTGTTTGTTCGCATAAGACAAGGAAAGATCGACAAAGACGTATATCATCGCTCATTCAGAAAACAACACAACTATATTAGTCATTATATTCAAATCGAAACGCGTCTCTAATGTAAGGAGGGAAAAAAAAAAGGCAAAACAATGGGGCGTCGACATATTGTTCGAGCTCTTATCCTGCGTCGCTACCAAGGATCTTGTTAAACTTCATCACCCACTCTTCTGCATGTAAAAAAAATGCATCTAGAAACACAGAAGGAAAAACGTCGAGGGGAAGCGGCAGATAAAAATAAAATGCGATCTTTTGCGACATGGTCTTCTAACCAAACCAAAAGAAGACGCATTCAGTCATAGATCGACTGAAGCCACTTCTTATTTTTTTTTCTAGGGTAATTGTTTTATTCTCTCACAATAACGTGGCTACTTTGTCTATCGTTTCCATCACCCATGACCACCATCCACCATCCTTCTCAGATCATTTTTTCCAACAGAAAAAAAGTAGCCAGAGCAGTACCCTTACATTTTGCCTCTTTTAGTACTCGTCAAGGCGGGAGGTGGCGATGGTGCGTCTAGGAGGCTTCGAGGTTGTGGTCGCAGGGGTGACCGAGGGCCTGGGAGGCTTCATGGTGGTAACAGAGGAGACCGTGGGCTTGGGGGGATTGATAGTGGTAACAACAGAGACCGTGGGCTTGGGGGAATTGATAGTGGTAACAGCAGAGACCGTGGGCTTAGGGGGCTTCATGGTGGTAACAACAGAGACCGAGGGCTTAGGGGGCTTAATGGTGGTAACAGAAGAGACCGTAGGCTTGGGGGGATTGATAGTGGTAACAACAGAGACCGTGGGCTTGGGGGAATTGATAGTGGTAACAGCAGAGACCGTGGGCTTAGGGGGCTTCATGGTGGTAACAGAAGAGACCGTGGGCTTGGGGGGATTGATAGTGGTAACAACAGAGACCGTGGGCTTAGGGGGCTTCATGGTGGTAACAGAAGAGACCGTAGGCTTAGGGGGCTTAATGGTGGTAACAGAAGAGACCGTAGGCTTGGGGGGATTGATAGTGGTAACAACAGAGACCGTGGGCTTAGGGGGCTTCATGGTGGTAACAGCAGAGACCGTGGGCTTGGGGGGATTGATAGTGGTAACAACAGAGACCGTGGGCTTAGGGGGCTTCATGGTGGTAACAGAAGAGACCGTAGGCTTAGGGGGCTTAATGGTGGTAACAGAAGAGACCGTGGGCTTGGGGGGATTGATAGTGGTAACAACAGAGACCGTGGGCTTAGGGGGCTTCATGGTGGTAACAGCAGAGACCGTGGGCTTGGGGGGATTGATAGTGGTAACAACAGAGACCGTGGGCTTAGGGGGCTTCATGGTGGTAACAGACGAGACCGTGGGCTTGGGGGGCTTCATGGTAGTGACCGAGGTGAAGATAGATTTGGGGGGCTTCGAGCTAATGGTAGGAACGACAGTCAAGGCCCAGGATGGAACAGCAAGAGAGGGGATGACTGTGCCATCGAAAAATTCGTATTCAGCCTCGACCGCCGCCGCCTGACGTTCAGCTTCAATGACCCAATCGGCGTCGATGTCCACGATGGGTTGAGGGAGCGCTTCAACACAGGAAGCGATGACCAGGGTGGTGGCGACGAGAAGGGAGAGGATTTTCATGGTGGTGTTGGGATGGCGATGGAGGAAGGGAGAGGAGCGGAAGGAAGCCTGCTTTCTTTTTGAGAGATTGTTCGATGAGGAAAAAAAATTGGGAAAAAGGTGGGAGGCCATGTTTTTATATAAAGAATGGACGCCCATGGAGTCGTCGTCTCTTCCTCGAGTTACAGTTGTATTTTCAGGGCTGTGGCAATTGAAGACAAAGAACCAATAACGATTCAGTGCATGTTAGGAATACGTCTGGTATACCAAGCTGCTTCATGCTGGGTTATGTCCAGTTTCTGGCGCAAAAAGAGAAAGATGGAGAGATTGCAACCCTACGCCAAATATTGCTATTAAGTTTATTTCTTTTCTTCTTCTCGTCGCTCATTCCCAACGTAATCTAATGAGTGTACGTCTCACTCTACCAGTCTGATGGATTGGGGACCGGAAGATGAAATAAACAGAAACAAAACTAAAAAATATAGCAAGGCACAGAAACGCGTGAGTGCAAAGACGCATGCGCGAGCAAACAAACACTCTAAAAAAATTGTTTGGGCGCGTCAAATTATTCACTCTCCGCCATTTCCCTAAATTCATGCATAGGGAAACTATACAATTAACCAGTGAGGTTGGAGCAAGAGTCGAAAAATATATATCTAAGGTTTCTATTATTGGGGTTCGTCATACCATGCATGGGACAATATTTCATAGTGTCCCTTGTGTTCCATTGCCTTAAAGAAAAGAAAAAAGAAAAGCATCAAAATGTGTAGGTCGGGTCCCTTGACCCATGTTGGCGCCAGTCCCTTGCGTAAGTGACTCGCAAGATAGGACGTTGCCCCACAACGATATCTCTTCAGTTCATTTCAGGCGCCCACAAACATATACGAAAAAAAACCAACTCTAATGATCCTCTTAGTCATGAACAATTGGAAGACCAGGGAATGATTCCTTACTCCCCAGAAAAACGTCGGGAAACAATCGGATTCCTTTACTCAAGGGATGGGATGAGACTACGATGGCACCAGATACCCAGGAAATGGTCATGCATGGGCGCCAATTTTCAAGAAAATTACCGAAGGAATTCTTCATTTGTTCAATCTGCAGATGGGCGCACAACATTCTCAACCTGCATTAACACCATTGCGAAATCGCCATCAGAGAAAACGATTCTGCCAAGGTTGAATGGTTGGTATTATGTACATGTCTATTTTATTCGATATCTCGTCTCTCGTTGCTAGATATTGCGGCACCCACAAAAATAAAGCAACGGCCGAACACCCACTCTATCCTCCACGCATCTCCTTAATGAGGTCACGTTGCCGGTCAAAGTCCATCTCGCCATACCCAATGACCTCCATCGCAAACTTGCCCGTACCACCCGTCAAAGCCCTTAGCGCAGCATCATATCCCAGCATCGATGAAAGTGGCACCTGGGCACGAATCGACCGCCGGTCCGACATGGTTCCAACAGCGTCCGCTGAAGATGAAGATGACGAGCTAGCAGAGCCAGGTCCGGTGTATGTTGAATCGGGAGGCGCGTACAGCTGGAACTCAGTCTCGTCCTCTTCTTGCTGAGCGGCGCTGTCGTCGTCTTGACCTAGACTCAGGACACGGCCTCGCCTCGTTCCACTAATGTCACCAATGACTGTGCCGACATCCTTTTCGGCCACCTCGACACGGACATCCATAATGGGCTCAAGCAGGACCGAGTTGCTGTCGGTGTCACCGGTCGAAGGGTTGCCTCCTAACCGAATGGCCTCCGTCACAGCCGCGGCCACACAAGATGAGATCGCTGCTGGAGTAGACTCTCCACCATAGAGATGCAAATCTGTCAGGCTGACCTTGAGATGTGTCTGCGCATAACCAAGCAAAGGTCCTCGAGAGAGTGCAGAGAGAATACCGTTCTTGATCGAAGTCCTCAACACGGGGATGGGCAAGTCGGTCGATCCTGATGGAATCACAGTTCCTGTGGCCGCAGCCTTCTCGGCTGCTGCAAGTGTTCCTGCCTCGTCCGTGCTCGGCGACTGCTCCGAAAGCGAGACAATGATCTCGTTGCCGTCATACTCCTCTGGCCCCATGTGGATGGCTGCATCGGCCTGACCCTTCTTGCCTTTCTTGTCAACCTCCGCCTTTGACGAGCTACTGTCGCTCTCGGGTACACGTTCGTCCTCCTGATCGTCAAACCGCTCCAGGCGCTCAACAGTGACACCGACCCTAGCACGACCTCGTTTGCCAAGAATCTCACGATCATACTCCCATGCAGGAACCTCTGAAACGACACCAGCGCCGCGCATCGTCTCCTTGAACGATATCCTCATGCGACCCATCTCGGCCTTGACCTTGAAATCGCTCACCAGCCTTTCTTTGGCGACCTCCAAATGTAGCTCACCCATTCCACCCAACAGAGTCTGACCAGTTTCCTCATCTACACGCATACCCAAAGAGGGGTCCTCTCGGATAAGTGCCTTGATCGCCTCCTCCACAGGCTTCTCGTCCGAGCTCGACATGGGCTCAATGCTGGCAAAGAACACAGGCGATGGGACCTTGATTCCGCTGAGTGCAAGTCCCTTGCGAGGGTCATGGCCATCCAGCAATGTATCTCCCGTCCTTGTATCCTTGAGACCCAGAACGACACCGATGTTTCCTTTGGTGATATGAGGGATCTCCTCAACGTCCATGGCATACATCTGCAACAATTTGTTGGCTCTCTCCTTGGTGTGGGTCGAGCTGTTCCAGAGCTGAGCACGTTCGTTCAACTGACCGGCATAGACACGGACAAAAACCATAGGTCCCCGGCGGGCATCGTGTACGACCTTGAAGGCCAAAGCACAGAGTCTCTCCTTTGGTCCGCCGTTTCCAATTTCGACAGCCTTTCCGTCTGACATGCGACCCAGTGCTGCGGGCCTCTCCTCGGGTGAGGGCAAATAATCGACCACCGAATCCATGAGGGGCTGAACTCCAATGTTCCTGAAACTGGCTCCGCAAAGAACGGGGACGATGGTCGAGGACAAAGTTAGACGGCGGATAGCAGCCTGCAGGTCCTTTGCTTCAATCGCCATATGATCCTCCAGTGTTAAGAACAACTCAATAATGTTTTCATCCAGAGCAGAGAGTTGTTCCACCAGAGCGATACGAGCCTTGACAGCTTCTTGGTAGACCTCCTGATCAGCATAATTGGAATCCAGGGGAGACCTGATCATATTGGCACCCTTCGAGTTCGAATCCCAGCGAAGGACCTCCATAGTGAGAACATCAACCACTCCGTTGAACTGGGTATCGTTGGATCCTTGAAGAGACTCCATCAATGGGATCTGAACAACCACAGGGCGGCACCCCAAACGTGTCCTCATCTCTCGCACAGTCCTACCAAATCCAGCTCCAGCGCGGTCCATCTTGTTGACGAATGCAATCCTAGGGATCCCATGCCGAGCGGCCTGCTGCCACACTGTCTCTGTCTGAGCCTCCACTCCTGCGACAGCATCCAAAATGGTGACGGCTCCGTCGAGGACACGGATGGAACGCTCGACTTCAATGGTGAAATCGACGTGCCCGGGTGTGTCGATCAAGTTGATGCGGTGGTCTTTCCAACCGAATGTGATTGCTGCAGAGGTGATGGTAATGCCTCTTTCCCGCTCCTGTTTCATGTAGTCCATAATAGTATCTCCACTGTCAACATCTATTCACATTGCACGTTTGTGGACGTCGTGAGTATGTTGATCATGGTGTGGGAACATTCAGTCAGGTGTGAACGTAAGCGTGAGCAAATGGGACCAGTCCAATATGGCACATACCACCGATCCTGCGAGTGAATCCAGCATAATGAAGCATGCGTTCAGTAGTCGTCGTCTTTCCTGCATCGATATGCGCAATGATTCCAATGTTCCTGGCGTTCTTGATCGCCTCGTCCGCCTTATGCGCTAATTGATTCGCCGAAGGTGTTTCACCTCGTTAGTATTTGGATCGAAGCATATATCATCCCTTCACAAAGAATTTTACCACTGGAGTATGCTTATGTTTGAACATACCATGTGAGCTGTACCAGCGAGTTGACTGGATAGGCATAAACGCCTTATTTGCCGGTGTTACTGATGCTGTTGCCCGTGCATGGAGACGGTGCTGTTGGTGGTGTTGGCATGATGCCCACCTCGAGAATGCGCTTGTGCTCTGACGGACCGCCGATCGGATGGCTCCTGCGGGGACCTGCATTCTTCTCTAATGTTGTGTGTTGAATGAAAAGTGGATGTGTTGGTCGAGAAAGATGGGACAGGTGTGATGGTCAAAGGAAAAGAAAGAAGGACAAGAAGGCGATTCTGTCCGAAGGTTGCCTAGTACTTTAATGTCTTTTGACCGAGTTTACACGGTGAATGTTTGGACGCCACCAAAAAGGCGATTTTGTGACTGTGGAGATGATGCTCAGTTGACGCTAGAGATGCCCAAACCACCCTTTGTTTGCTTTACCACCACCCCCTTCAACACTCAAAATCACTACACTTATCTGTTCACCTTCCCACCCACCACCATCAAGATTTGACAACATTGTAAACGGCGCAAATGGGTGTTAAGGGATTGACAGCCCTCCTCCAGCGACTGGCCCCTGACGCCGTCAGGACCCAGCATATCTCTCACTACAAAGGAAAATCTCTCGCTATCGACGTCTCTTGTTTCCTCAACCGCTTCAGTAAGTCCCCCACTCCATCCCCCCTAGCCTTTGAAACACTGCATGCAGGACACAACTCGCAAAGCATATGAACCAACAAACACTCTCATACAGTCTACACAATAGACCCTCACCCAGCACGGGTCCAACGCAACCTATACCGTCTCTGCACCTATTTCCACCTACACGACATCCAGCCCATCTTTGTCTTTGACGGGCCTGACAGGATTGTCGAGAAGGAGCAAGAAGGGTTTAGGAGGGAGGCAATGAAAGAGAGGGTGAAGAAATCGTTTAGGTTGGAGAAGATTCGAAAGACGCGGTTGAAGGGGTTGAAAGGGTCGGCGCAGATTCTGAAGGATTTCTCGACGGAGGAGTTTGTTTCCATGTTGGAGGATATGCGGAAGCAGGATGGCGGTGATGGACGTGATTCGATCACACAAGTAGTATCTGTCGTGCTTGATGCTGACGATGAAGGAACCATCGCTGGCCGCAAGGACAAAGAGCTCGCGCCTACAGTAGTCCTACCGAAAGAGCCATCAGTAACCCCACCAGATCCAGAAACTATGACACCGAAACCAACGACACCTACACCACCAAAGCGCTCAGCACCAATAACCAAAGCACCAACAGAATCATCGGGCGACAACAACAAAGGATTTTCTCCGCAGCAAGAACTACATCTCGCAAAAATCTACGACCTGATGGAGGAGGATCTCATCGGGATGGACGAAGAATCATTCTGGACAATACCCCCACTCCCCGATGAATTCTACCGACAACTGGAACAAGACCACGCCCAACTCTTGACAGCATATGGCGGCGACCCGTTCACCAACAACACATCCATTACTGGGGCGGACGAACGACAACTTGTAGGGATCCTTGGAGGCTCATATGAAAGGGATTTTGAAGGGTTTGACGTGTTTGAGCGAGAGTTGGATACGTTGGATCGTTTGGAACTGGATGTCGACACACTTGACGGGATGGATGTCATTTATGACCTCTCAGATCAGGCAACGGAACCTACTGGCGACAATGATGGTGCGTGGCAGTCACCTCCGTTGGTGCTCAAGACAGGAACCAGTATACATAATCTCTTCTCGTCTACCGACCGCCCTCCTACCTCCCTTCCTGAGGCACCCAGTCCAGAGGAGGAGGAGTCTGCGGCCACGAAGAAACGCGTTCAAACGGCGCTGGAAGAGTATATTCGGTCGTCTGAGAAGAGTTATGAGGATGCTGAGGTAGAGGAGTTGGCAACCACCTCAACGAGAAAGCAGCGGGCCTTGGATGCCTTGGAACAGAAACTGGTGCAGGAAATCAAGGAGTGGACTGGCATCGACCCACAACTGGATCCCGTCGCGGAGGTCGAGGAGATCACGACATCTGACTCAGACGTGGCTTTGCTGCCGCAAATAATTTCATCCGCAGTGTTGGAACCAGCAAAAGAGGGCGAAGATCCATTACAACAGGAGGCCACGCCTACTAGGACGACAAAAGTCGAGGAATTGGTCCCGGAGATGGCACCTGTAGTCGAAACGGAACCCGTTTGGTCAGTGGAATCTGAACCAAGCGACACATCAAGCGCCTTGAGAGAGGAAGACGCAATACTCATGAAAGACACCGACAACACTACCGAAATACTACCAACAGCAGCTGAAGAACAAGACCAGGACGTAAAATCAATGATCCACAGCGTCCTCTCAGCCCACCGCCAAATTTTCACAACCCTCGAGCGCCGAACCCTCCGCGTCACCCGGTCACTAGTTCTCTCCTGCCAACGCCTCCTCGTCGCCATGGGCGAGCCCGTCATCGAGGCAAAAGATGCAGAAGCCGAGGCTGTCTGCGCACAGTTGACGACTCTAGGATTAACAGACGCGTCAGTGAGCGAGGATACGGATACGGCGGTATTTGGGAACGGGCTGTTGTTGCGCCAAGTGGGTGCGAGTGGGGATCGGGGTATTATTGAGATTGATCCTGTTGTGGCAAGGGAGCAGTTGGGGTTGAGCAGGGACGCGTTCCGGGATCTGTGTATCCTCTGCGGTACTGACTTTTCTGGCGTAAGTTGCCTTGTTGTGAGTCTTTTGACCTCCTTAGGGCACCTGACGCACGCTGACTAACTGCCCTCTAACCGCTCATTTTTTTCAACTCGGTAGACCATGGAAGGCATTGGCCCAAAAAGAGCCGCAAAGTTGATCCAATACTACGGAAGTATCGAGTCCGTCATGGCCAACAGCGGGTACAAGCCTCGGCCAGATTTCTTCTACGACCGTGCCCGTCGCGTGTTTGATCGGACACCTGCAGTGCCCCTCGATCCAGCAGTTTACAAATCTAAGCCCGAGGTCCAGCCATTGTTGCTGGAGCTACTGCTGAAGTACGATATCAACCCTGAAGAGATCAAACAGGATCTATTGAACGGGCCCAAGGCCGAGGAAGGGGTGCCTGCATTTGGTCAAGATGCATGCTCGCAGGCTTCGAGAGCTTTCGGCGGTAGTAATGGTATGGGGATCGATCCTTTCAGTGCGACAGTCATCAGCATCCCCTCCTTTGCATCCAAACCAGGTTCCTCCCCTCTTTCACAATAAAATTTGCCCCATCGCACTCAAGGATACATGAAAATGTGGTCTTCGTTTACTCGTTGTAGATATCGTACAGGTCCAAAAGTGTTTCCTTCGCCTCATCAAACTCCTCGTTGTTGACACCACCAGTAACGTCAGCATCGAATTGGGGCAACAAGCGCAGGTTGATTTTCTTGACGGAATCCGAGAGTGATTGCAGGTGCCAGCGTGTTGTGGTCGACACTGCCAGCCGTGAGATTGTTGGTACCGAGTTGACTAGAGAGACATGTATTAGGCAGAGAAGACATGGAATGTTAGCGGCTGGTCTACCAACGAGAAAAGGTTCCGAGGAAAATACCGTGATGCGAAATGCTTACCTTTGCTTGTGCCATCCTCGCGGTTGTTCGGTGGAGATCGCCTATGATTGGAGGGTAAGAAACAACGGGGAATGTCAGTCATGGTCTGGTGGATGATGGGCGAGATCAAAAATATTTTTCTCCTGCTGGATGGAAAAGAACTTACTCGGTATTTTGGTATCCTTCGGTGGTCAAGCCTTGGAAGAAGCGAGGGAAGGACGTCGGGATCGGGTACTTTAGCGGGGTGTGTATCCTATAGAGTTCAAAGTAAACGCGCTTATCAGCTTAAGAAGTTCCCCATTAACCAACACGGGCCATACCATTCTCCTGCCAGATACGTACTTGGAGTCGCCCAATGACTTGCCGATGGGCAGGGTGTAGAGCATCTCATCCACAACCTCACGCGGCGTCTTTGGTGTTCTGTGGTTTCGAAAAAAAGGCGCGTTAGATATCTGTTGACCGACTTGGCGCAACATCATAGCTCCAAGCAGAAAAGGGAAAACACGTACCCTGCAGCATATTTAGCAAACTGGTTCGTCTCTAAGCCTCGCAACACAACTGACTGCGAGAACACTTGATCATCCTAAATGATAAACGTCAAAAGGGGCGTCCATTAGTATGTGCGGAGGAAATTCCTGAATACCCAAAACACCATATAAATGTATAGAGGTGACATACTTCGTCCGATTTCCTTGATGACAGGTCCAGAAGAGGCGAGAGCTTTCCTGTGAGGTCGGGCAGCTTGCTGCCGCCGAATGGGAACGGCAATCCTGTAGATAATGTTCCAATGGTTGTCACGTTTCTCCAGTTCAGAGCTCCAATCATGTCAGCCATGAAGACACCTCCACGGCGCAATCTATCCATGAAATCGAAAGCTGTGTCAGATATATCTCAAATGAGGCAGTAACAGACCAATGATCATGTGTAATGGGCGTAGTTCTCACCTGCATGGCAATAGAGCATTGTCGATGCCTGTGGAAATAAAGGCACTTGTATGGTATCGGTTGGAGGGCTATCGTACATTACCATAAGAAGTGGTCAGCAAATGTCGCGCATGGTAACGTACAGTACGATCGAACAGAATGCAATATGAAAACTTACATCAAAGCGAATGTTCTTAGTCCACCCTTGGGGAGACAGCATTGCGCGCGTAGGTGCCCTGACAGGCACATAAAGCGAAGAAAGTCTTGAAAGGTTGGTCATAGCCATTGTCTCGTTCACAGCCGTCGTCTGTCTTTCCCTCTATCAACGATAAAAATGAAACAGCCGCGCCGTTAGGACGCGTCATAACATATATACTTCCAGATCTACAAGCGTTGGCGGTTGGCGGCAGTGATATTTCGCCTTACCATCGTCGAGTTCTTGCCCATTTTGTCGTCGCTTAAGCCGTAGGTTACTACCGTGGCTTTTGGATAGTCCTCGCGAAGCTGTTCCAAGTAACTGACTGCGTATCCGCCCCATCCGTCCAGAACGTCTGCCATCACTTGGAAGCCCTGTCATATAGATAGTAAGAACGTTAGTGCCATGGTTATGAACTATGGTCCCGCATTCGACGTTATATCAAGGAAATGAACAAGGCTCACCTGCAGTTGATCGCACTCCTCTGTGAACAGTCGAAAGTTTTCGTCGTAGGTTTCTTTCTCCTAATAAGTGAAATATGAAGCGCTTGTCAGTCAAAGCCTGAAAACCCAAAAGTCGTTCATGGAACGCAAATTGCGTTGGAAACAACTGCTAAGCAAGTACCTTTTCAGTCTCATTAAAGGCGGCTCTGCCGTATGAAAACACGTCAAAGGGCATAAACTCGCTGTCCATCTGGTATCCAGTCAGAGTGACCATTGATTTTGGGTGAAAGTACACGCGGTTGTAGTCTGACCACGTCCGGATCTCGTTCAATTCCACGTTGTCCTCGCCTTCCTCAGTCGCTAACTAGAAACAAAATGACACGAACTTTGTTAGTTTCATGGACAAGTACCCAGAAGCCACGCCGTTAACTACAAAGCTCTATGCAGCGTAGACACTTACACCCAGTTCCTCATCCTCCAGGTGCTTCTGATAAGCTGACTTTGAGTACTGCTGCTCCTGAAAGGTCTCCATCTTCGAAGGGTCCCTATAGATTCAAAATTGAAAGAAACATAAGTTAGATATCTGCAGTTTGGCCACAGTGATGTGATTGACAATAGCTCTCCCTATGCAGATCGATTCCTCCTCACCATGAGAGATCGTATTGTTCCTGGTAGTGATCCTGAGCTGGTGGGGTCTCATAGAGTTTGTATTTGTTGATAGATCCAAAGCCGCCCTTGAGGTCAAAGATCAATGCTCTGGGTGTGTAGGTTTCGACACCTTTGTTGGTCATCCCGACCCTGTACAGACAATCATGGTTAACCAGCTCTGGGGCTGTCTCTTCTTCATCTCCTGGCTGCTGGTAATTGAAGTGTGCTTCCTATTTTCACAAAATAAAAGAATTGCCATGCTAACATTGTTTAGTTAATTGTTGATATCAGAGAGCCAACGGAGGATACGGTATTTTTTCTCACCTGTGTGTTCCAGAAGTGTGCTCCAACAAAGTTGGCAAAGTGACCAAACTGGAGGGTGACAATCTCGTGCATGGTCGTCAAGGGAGAAAAAGAGAAGGAGAGGGAGAGTTGTGTGATTCCTCAGGTGGAGGAAGGATCGAATGAAGTGAGAGGGGAAAGGAATGAACAAGGCAAGGTAGAAAAAGTGAAGAAGGGCTCGGGGAAAGAAACATTTTTTTGTTCTTTTTCTTCCAACGAGTCACGTCTGCTCACCTTTCCTTTTCTTTTGTTTCGCGCCTCCTTTTTCTAACAGACGCGCAAACGACACCATGAACAGCGACACACATTCAACGACCCCCACAGCAAACATTGCCGACATTCTACACTCTCATGACCACCTCACACCACCAGAACCAGCAACGACAACGGACTCATTAGCCCAGCACGAGGGACGTGTGACCAACGAGACTTTGGCCACGGTAGGGCCTGTTGCTGCAGAGCTCGCACAAGAGTTCAGTATAGAGTCCCTCTCTGCCCCTGCAGTCAAGGAAGCACAGGGTCAGATCCAGACTGTGGCACTCCAAATGGATGGGATCAGAACTCAAGTCGGTCAGGTACGGCCTGTCTGTCTTTGCTCATTAAAACCAGGCCTGCACCACTCACCTGCACGAAAATGAACACCCAGTCGCTAACTGCACTCACTCTGTCAATATGTTGTAGATCAAGGATCAATTACCAGGACTAAACCAGCAGACAGTAGCGCTTATCGAAGGAGCTGAGGCAATGGAGCGAATGTACAAGCAGATCGATGCACTGGCGGTATGTGTCAGGAGTCATAGTTGCACATGTCATGCTTGCAGAGCTTGGCAACAACTTGCAGGGAACAAAGCTGACCTCTTACTCGTCGTGTCAATGTGTACTGCTACTAGATCATGGTCGAAAGCGTAGCGGCAACTGTTCAGGATGTGAATGCCTCGATGGACCAGGCAGAGCGCGATTTGACCTCGTCCGCATTACAACCGCTTCAGGCGGTGCTGGAAACCCTTAAAATGGTAAGCAGCTCCCGCAGGAACCATCTATCATTGTCAATCATGTTTAGGTACAACCGTTGAAGTGTCAAGCCCTAACGGTATCTCGCTCTATCGTATCTACATCTTTCTAGGGACCAAAGGGATTCCGGTAGCACTCTCGAAATAAAATAAAATATAACGTCTCATGGTTTGCCCATTGACACACGTGATATAAGCCTGGCACCCCCTTTTTTTAACCCAGTTGCGCTCCAAGAAAGAATCATCCCAATTGTCATCACCAACGCCAACCTACGCAACATCATGTCAGCAACCATCGAACAAGAGGATAAAGTCAACGAACTACTTCAAACCCTGGAAGCCGGGCAGGATGTTCAGCCATCTCACATCACCGACCTCACCGCCGCATTCGTCGCCACCGTCGCCAAAGCACCCGACAGCTCGACGGTCAGGCAGCAGCAAAAGGCATACCTTGGCCACTGCCATACCATCCTCACGAATAAATTGCCCACCGAGGACCCCACAGACGACGATACAAGCGCGCTTATTCAATTGCAAGGAACTGTCCTCAAATCTCTCCTCCGCCTTGTCATGAATGACGTCCCTTTTGTAGACGCCTTCATTGACAGCGACGTGCTTGCTGACGTCCTCCGACTGCCCAGCACCGTCGCCTCCCTTATCTCAACAGTGGAACCAAACACCAAGTCAACACCAGCACCTACAGGCCCTAAACCAACGCGTCCTCAGGACCTTAAACCTATGGTTGCCATCCTTCTTTCCAAATCGTTCGAAACCGCGTCTAATAAGGATCACGTCAGGGACAAGAGCACCGAGATTATTTTGACCGACATTGGATCTGACAAGGTCAAGACACGCGCTACAGGCTTCCAGTCTCTTCATTTGGTCTTCCAGGCAGATATGGCGATCGGCTGTGGGATCCTGGCTAAGGATGGCCTCTTGGTCGAACTCATGGACTGCATTGAGCTGGAAACAGAGGACATCCAGATCACGTTGACAGAAACTCTTTCCATGGCCTGTGCAGACGCAAAGACGAGGACTGCGATTGGACTACACTGCTCCGAGTTCTTAAAGTCAATCGTTATGCGTGGCGCTACCAAGAACCAGCACTTGAAGGGAGCGGCGGCTGTTGCGTTGACCAAGATCTCGTTGTCAGAGTCAAGGAAGGACCCATCTGTCGGCATGAACGGACTCGACGGCGCCTCAAACCAAGCTCCATCTAACGGATCCAACAACTCGGCCGAGGAGGAAGCACAACTGGCGAGGCTGTTCTCGACACTTTTGAAGGACGACAAGAACGACAAGATCAACGGGATCCAACTCAACGCCGTCGAGGGTCTTGCCTACGCCAGTATTCAGGGGCCAGTCAAGCAGCTGATCATCTCTGACAAGGCTCTCCTCCTCTCTTTATTCCAGCTCGGCGAGGACACCAAGAATAACCCCCTCAAGTACGGTCTAATCATCATCTTTAACAACCTCACCGCCTTCCGCAAGCGCCTCAGTCCCGAACAGGAGCAGATGTTGAAGCTGAAGAAGATGGCAGGAACCCTCCCGAAGAGCGAATCAGGGCGCCTACAGAACCAGGACGACGACCCATTGGACGACGAGGTAGTGGTGAACCAGAGAAACATCACTCTGACCAAGCTGGGCATCATGCCTGCCCTTCACGCCATCGGACACCAGGCCTCGGAGAACATTCGACAGAGTTTGGCGCAGGTCTTGAGGAACCTCATCACACCTCCAGAGACACGAGGATTACTGGTCCAGCAGGGCGTCGTCCGGCTTTTGATGCCCATGGCCTTACAACAACAGCAACAACAGCAGCCACCATCCTCGGAAGCCACCAAAACCGCCGCGATCCAAGCCTTGGCCAAGCTGTCCATCACCCTCGACCCTCGCCTCACCTTCAAGAACCAGCGGATACCCGAGTTGGTCAAGCCTCTGATCTGGTTGCTGGAGAGTACCGACCAACTGTGCCAGTTTGAGAGTCTCATGGCCTTGACCAATCTTGGATCGATGGGCGACATCCAGGTACTCAGTCTCATTGTTCAGGACGGAGGAATCGAGAAGATGGAAAACCTTCAGTTCTCGGAGCACAACCTGGTCCGTCGCGCTGCTACAGAGGCGCTTTGCAACATGATCTTTTTCGAGCCCGTCTTTGAGCTGTACAGCGACCCCAAGCAAGGAAAGAACAAGATCCATCTGATGCTGGCGCTGTGTGATGCGGACGACTTTATGACAAGGAGGGCGGCTTCAGGAGCACTGGCGGTGTTGTCGACGAGCCCGGAGGTGTGCACGATGATCATTGGGCAGACGCGTGGATTAGAGATCTTGAGGAGCCTTATCACACTGGGTGTCTCTGAATCCCCAGACGACGCGGATGAGGTGGAGGCCAAGGCGATTGAGGATGTGATGTCGGACCAGGAGGCGGCTGTGGTTGACCATGCGGTTGCAGTGGGCCGGATGGACGAGTTGCGACACCGAGGAGCCGAGTGTTTCAAGAACCTGATCACGATTGGTGGCAAGGAAATCAGCGAGAAGATTGCTTCGGAGGGTGGTATTCAGCAGCTGGCGCAGTTGATCCAGGCGAGCCAGCACGAAGCTGTGCGGTACTGTGCTATGGAGGCTTTGAAGGCCATGTCCGACCAGGGGATCCGTCTCCAAAAGTAGTAGATAAAATATGTCCGCCACCAATTTTAGCGGATTTGAAACGTCACCGTATACGAAAAGCGTCACCGATCTGCAGTCTCTCTTCTTCCTTGGAGTTCTTTTTTGATTTTGCTGGCCAGACAGCTCTGAGGCTATATATTGCCTTTTCCTTTCTCTTCTTTTTCCACTCAGACCGCATCTCCCTCTGCCTTTCATCACTCTTCACATCTCACATTCACCATGGTTGACGTAGCAACAGCACCCAAGACCGGAGGCGGATCCTTCAAGGACAAGGACAAGCCCGTCGAGGTCAGACTCTCCAACATCATCGCCGCCAAGGGTAATACAAACTACACATACCTCGTCCAGTCGTACATCCTTTTTTTAAACACTTCGCGTTTATTTGTCCAAAGTGGTTTTGTACCTGGCTTGCGAATCAGAATGAACACGGATGCCATCTCAACAGCACATCCTGGAATGCGCGACTCGAACGCCTCTTCATCACACGCTGACAACAATGGCAACCACAAAGGAACACGACATCTCGAGCTGATCACGCCAGATTTGAACATCGAACACAAGGAGATCAGCGATCCCCTCCTTCACCTTTGCACTTCCTATTCCAGGAACAACACGTACCCCAAAACGACACCAACTCGAGGGACACTTTCTCCTTTGCAATCTACTGCGCTCTGACGACCTGTTCTTCCAACAACGCCTCACTTCAACGGCGACCTGACTCTTCCTTCGACGCGCCGCCCTTACTGGCACTCAGGGTCAGCACCGAGTTCCTGAGCACAACAACTGACGCTGTGTTTGCTTCCTTCATCGATCTATAGCTGTCAGTGATGCTGTCCGTACCTCTTTGGGTCCCAAGGGAATGGACAAGATGGTAAGGACGTAGCGACGTGTTTGACACGACTCCTTTCTTTAACAAGCATACGATACAACTCACAGATCAACTCACCATGTCTTTGTATTCTGATCCACCCATAGATCAAGACTGCCAACGGAGAGGTTATTATCACCAACGATGGCGCCACCATCTTGAAGCACATGGCCGTCCTCCACCCCGCCGCCAAGATGGTAAGCCGCTTATTCGCATCTTCCATTCGACCAAAACTCACGGCGTGAATGGTGGCGATACTTACATGAAAGAGTATTCACCCAATATCATTTCGGTGCTTTTATCTACATAGTTGGTCGATTTGTCGGCTGCTCAGGATGTTGAGGCTGGAGATGGTACTACCTCAGTCGTTGTTTTGGCAGGATCATTGCTCGGAGCTGCTCAAAAGATGTTGAACAAGGGCATCCACCCCACCACCATTGCAGAATCTTTCCAGAAGGCTTCCCACAAGGCCAACGAGTTCTTGACCGAGGTCGCCACAAAGTTGGATCTTGCCGACCGCGAGTCTCTCCTCAAGAGTGCCAGCACCTCGCTCAACTCCAAGATTGTTTCGCAGTACTCTGGATTGTTCGCTCCCATTGCCGTCGATGCTGTCTTGAGGGTCATTGAGCCCGCCACTGCCGTCAACGTTGATTTGAAGGATATCCGCATTGTGAAGAAGGTCGGAGGTACTATCGATGATACCGAGTTGGTTGATGGCCTTGTCCTCGCCCAGAACGTCGTCAAGTCTGCCGGTGGCCCCACCAGAATCGAGAAGGCCAAGATTGGTTTGATCCAATTCCAGCTCTCTCCCCCCAAGCCCGATGTAAGTTTCTGTTCTCATGGGCTCCATGTATTGTGTGGATATAAGTTATATCGTGGAAATAAGGATATGATGAGATATGATATCTAACCATAGCGTCCTAATATGTCCATGCGAAATAGATGGAGAACCAGATTATTGTCAACGACTACCGTCAGATGGACAAGATTTTGAAGGAGGAGCGCCAGTACTTGCTCAACATGGTCAAGAAGATCAAGAAGTCAGGATGCAACGTTCTCTTGATCCAAAAGTCGATTCTCCGTGATGCCGTCAACGACTTGTCGCTCCACTTTTTGGCAAAGTTGAAAATCATGGTTGTCAAGGATGTTGAGCGTGACGAGATCGAGTTCATCTGCAAGAGCACAGGATGCAAGCCCATCGCCGACATTGATTCATTCACAGAGGACAAGCTCGGATATGCCGATCTCATTGACGAGGTTCAGTCCTCAGGCTCGCGCGTCGTCAAGGTCACTGGAGTCAAGCATGCTGGAAAGACTGTCTCGATTCTCTGCCACGGAGCCAACTCGCTCGTCTTGGAGGAGGCCGAGAGATCCCTTCACGATGCTCTCTGTGTTATCCGCTGCTTGGTCAAGAAGAAGTATTTGATTGCTGGAGGAGGAGCACCAGAGATTGAGGTTTCGTTGAGATTGCAGGAGTACGCCAAGACATTGCGTGGTATGGAGGCTCACTGCTTCCAGGCCTTTGCTGAGGCGCTGGAGGTTATCCCTATCACTCTTGCCGAGAACGCTGGTTTGAACCCCATTGCGATCGTCACAGAATTGCGCAACCGCCACGCTCTCGGTGAGACCACCGCCGGTATTAACGTCCGCAAGGGAGCCATCACGAATATCTTGGACGAGAACGTCATCCAGCCCCTCTTGGTCTCCACGAGCGCCATCGAGTTGGCTGCCGAGACCGTCAAGATGTTGCTCAAGATCGACGATTTGGTACGTTTTTTTTTTGCTGTTGTTGTTCTTGTTCGTGTGTACCTTATGCAAAAGAGCGACATGTTCTAACCTTCAATTTTTTTCTTTTTGTACTTTTTAGGTCCAAACACGATAAATAAGACACCTTGCCAACCAACCCTACCCCACCTATCCTTTCCTTTCTAGTTTTTTTCTCACATTAAACATTTGTTTCTGCATCTGGACTCCTTACTGTTGTTGTTGTTTGATGAGGGATACTTTATTGTAAGGCGTGGAGGCGCGCCTCAAGAATGCTAAACGGATTTATTGATGAGGTTGGTCCAAAAATGCTCTGCCAAACCGTGGACGATGATAGGAGAGAAGAGTCCCGCTGGAGATCAGAGATATCCTCTAGCGCATTTGTAATCTGTATCCTGTCTCGTAACAGTGCGCTGGAAGGGAGTTGGAGGGCGAGAAGGTGGAAGGTTACACCAGCAAGCACCAATGCAACACTGGATGTGGAATCGGAGGCCTTGTTGTCGATACGTTCCAGGAGTGGGAGGAGGTGTTCGAGAAGGCGGGTCAAGAAGGCGCTATAGAGACTTGGTTGAACAGGATCATCGTTTTCGGTGTTTTGGTCTTTGTGGAAGAAGGTCCAAGTGGATTCTTTGTGGGCTGGGAAGAGGAGGCAGAAGAGTGTGAGGCATAGCTCTAGGTCCTCATTGAAGTGCTCAAAGATTGCTGTTGTCGTTGTAGTTGCTGCTGCTGCTGCTGCGGAGGTGGCGTTGGGTGGGAACCTTGGTTCATTTCTGTAGACCACACTCGCGAGGAAGATGTCGAGACATGTTGCTTGTATGTCTTGAACCTATTTGAAATGAAAGAGGATTACAGGGCGGGTGTTAATTCCTTGATTAGTTGAGCATTGAACATCAGGTTGGAGGGGGGGGGCATTCACAAACATACCTTGCCATAGGCAGGAGAAGCAGGGCCAAAAGCCTCCTCAAGATCCCTGCAAGCCTCTAAGCTCAGAGCGGTTGTCCATAGCAGTCTTGGTAGAAAATAACTAGGGGCGACAGGGATCGAAAGAAGGAGCTGCTTCATGCTTTCGTGAAACTTCTCCATTTTAGAGATATCAATCTGACCCCCCTTTGCAATCTTGAGGGAGTCTACTAGCTCGACACCCGCACTTGTCAAGTGAAGCTGTAACTCTGCGAGCACATCTCGAAAGTCCATAATTGTGAGAAACACTTGTTCGAATCCGTAGTTTACACAGCCCACAGCAGGCGACACCGAGTTCTTGATGAAGATACGGGCCTGATTTGTAAGAACAGATTGTACTTGCTGCCGGGCTGTGAGAACATTTAGAATGCCCTCGGAGAGAGTGCCTGAGGGGACAAGGTCCAGTGCAAGGAGAGAGGGAGAAATCCCCATTGTCCGAAGGGTGTCCAAGAACAACAGCATTTGGGGGCTACACTCGTCCAAATAGCAAGAGGCGATATAGTCGCGGTCCAGGAGGGTCGCCCAACGCGTAGGGGGCATGAACTATTGCGCGGATAAATAGAAGCATGAGTACGAAGACTACCAATAGGCGCGTCTAGTCGGAGACGAATACGAATGTTGGAAATCAGCGGTACCTTTGTAATGAGCTCTGGTCGGATATAACGCGATGGATCTGATATAGCTCCTTCAAGATACTGGTACATTCTATTAGGAGAAAAAAAATGCTGGCCGCTTAGTATGTCACATTATGACTGACGAAGCAGTTCAACAACGCAGGCAACGATATTGGGTGAGCGGTACCTGGACTTGAGCTGTTCCAGTGTGGATGTAGGTTGTCGCGACCCAATCTTCTTTGCGACGCGATGAACCAGCGACCGGAACTCAATATCATCATACGAGTTTTTGAGCAGCTATGTTGATGAACGCAACAAAAAGCCGTTAGCATGGTTGATCATATTGATGGTGTAACTTTCAATTCGATTTTGGACATAAAAGAAAGGCAATTACCAGGATGTCGATCTTTTCAGAGAGCTGTATCCGAGTCTCCAGATGATGCAAAACAAACTCTGCAGGTCCCAGGATGAACTTGAGCATGGATGTGCGAGCATAGAGAGGGAGGGATTCTTCACTAGTCATCTCCATGCAGATTGATGTTGCCAGGGTGTGAAGAGGGACTGGAAGAAGCTGTTGTGTTAGCAAAGGTCTCGTGTGACACATATAGTTCAGGAAACCGATGGGAAAAAGTGTGCCTTACAGCAAGAGTCAGTGTCTTTGAGATGGATGCAGAGGGAAAGTAGTCGCTCGAAGCCTTGTACTTCAGCACCGTCGATGATGGACGCGATCACTACATTGAACACTGCGCGCGCATTGGCCTATTGTATTCGAGAGGGGCACACTGTTAATTCTATGAACGTACAAACGCTTGGGAGAAGGCGGTATTTGACAAGAGAACATACCTCGATGGAGTGCTTGAAGGAAACGAGTGGTTTGCGGAGGTTGACGATCGTCCAGAACAAGAAGTCGGTTATGGCGATGATGATGGGTTCAGCTTCCCAGGGCGCAGTCAGTAAGGTTGCTCTGGCCGATCGTTGCTCCAGGGGCGTGTCACCAGGTACTACGAATTGCCGAGCGAGGGAGTGATGTTGCGTGAAGGTTTGCAGTTCGAGGAATAGTGGTGAAAGGGAAGAATTGAAGTTGGTGATGGGGGTTGTTGAGGCTTCTTTGTAGAAGAGGAGTGTGGCTGCCAGGAGTCGGTCTGCCTTTTCTGCCTCAGTCTCGTCCTTGGGCGGGTTCCAGGGCTGGTCGTCATGGTTTGCATGTGGAGAGGATGAATGCAGGGGTAGGTGTTGTTGTTGTTGTTGTTGTTGTTGTGAATGAGTGTAACTGTGTATTGAGGATATGATGCGAGTCCTTGACTCGGAGGCTTTGTGGTTCATGGTTGCATGAGAGTGATCAGAAGGAAAGAATTGTGGAAGAGAGGCACTGATGTTAACGATCACAGAGGGAGGGCTCCTTTTCCTCAGTGCGTAAAAAATGGTGGCGTTCCGCACCGGTCACATTAACGACTTTCTTGTGTGATCAACAAAGGCACACAGACACCCCTTTGTCTCCACCTCCTTTCATCAACACCCTGAATGCACCCACCCTCGAAAGCTCATAACCACAGCAGTATAAGTCAGTACGAGACTGGGTCTGATGGCGAACGGGAGATCTTGCCAGACACCACAGTCGGGATTCTGCGTCGCATGGCAGAAGAGATCAAATGTCCCATCTGGTAAGCAACCATGGAAAGCCGGTTGGCCTCGACCTCCTTTGCGTAGTGTTTCCACTAAGGAAGACAAGACAACGTTACCCTCGCATCACCAAGTAAAAAGAATGCACTGAGAATTGACACGACTCAATGTCTTATCTGATAGCTTAGGAACGATGGAGAGACCCGTGTCAACAGGCTGCAACCACACCTTCTGCCACGAGTGCATCCTCCACGCGCTGAGCCGCAGCGCCGGTTGTCCGTTGTGCAAATCGCCTGTCCATAAGCGAGGGTTGAACAGGGTGGACCACCTTGAGCAGGTCATCGAGGCCTTCAACCAGCTCAAGGAGGCGTTTGAACAAGAGGATGGCCACAGTAAGTTTCTTCACCAGCTTTGGTCGCCCCTATTTGCCACCAAAAAATTGATCTTCAGTTGACTAGGATTCCTGACAGAAAAGAAATTTCTTTGCGAACGCGAACTTTCACTTGGCAGCATTGTCCCAGGCACCTAGGCATTTTGAGACTGAACCCCAGGAGAACTTGACACAGCTGTACCCATACCCTGAAAAGGCGGACGAACCTTCTTCAAGTACATCATCCAAGCCTGTCGTTCCATCTACAACTCCGTCTATCACAACGGCCCCTACTACTACTGCTGCTGTTGCTACGCGTGCTCCCACCGAGGAGCCAATACTTTCCTTCCATCAACCCTCAGCTCGCGTCCACGACTCTCAATCAACACAATCAACCTTAGCAGAGCAGAGTCAATATGGTGAAGAAAACGACATGGACTGCTTTGATGTGGATCTGGACAGCGTGTCTGCAGATCAAGCGGCTCTTCTGGCAGAAAAGATGTTGGCCATGATCTTTCTCGAACCACCGAACGAGTCGGCTTCACATCAAGCTTCATCTTCTTCTCGCAGAGCCGATCACCTTGTGCCACAGAGTCATTCACCAACACATGCAGTCGTTGTGAAACAGGAGAGCGACGCCGACGATGATGAGGATGAGGCAACACAACCCCGGCAAGACCACACACAAGTTAAGGCAGAACCAACGTCTAGCCTCGACATGTTTTTCAGCGGTCCTACTCAGGAGAGAGCATCCAAAGAGATTAATGTTGTCATCTGCGGGACATATCTTTCACCGCAGAAGAAGGTAATACTTGTTGGTCGTTTTGAATGCGAGAGTATACATGGTCTTCGAACACTAAGAGCGCGACTCTTAATCCTGCTGCCTTCGTTTCCTTCATTTACTTCCTAGACGCGGATGGACAGTGTATCCAAGAGCCTCAAAGGCAAGACGATCAACGATCTGACGAGTAGGCCGACCCATATAGTCATGGACATAAGTAGGTCAAGTACCCACCTGCAATTAGCGCTGTTTGTTGCCATTGGCTGGAGTAACTAATACAACGACTTCATGCTTCCTTCATCTTTCATCTTTAGCAACAGAGCAGTGCCAGAAAGGAGGCGGTAGAACAGTCAAGTTTTTCATGGGCATTCTTCACGCCTCCTGGGTTGTTCGATTTGATTGTAAGATTCGTTCAAAATCCTCATGACATGCGCTTCTCGGAAAATACTAGACGCAATGCTAACGCCTTATCAACGACTGTCTTGATAGGGATTCTGGCATCGCAAGAGGCAGGATACTGGGTTGACGAGAGTTCGTACCAGATTGCCGATAATGAGATGAAATGCAACCCAGCAAAACTCTCCCGAGCTAGTCGTTCACGAGGGGTAAGGCCTGTAGACACTACTTACTCGCCTCTGCTCCGGTAACCCCTGTCTTGTTCTAACATAACATATCCTGCACACATTATCAAAACACTGATAGGATCGTCCATTGTTCACAAATTATGAGTTTCAACTCGCTGGCCCATTTGTGACGCCGACAAGGGACGAAATGGAGCTGATGATCAAGATTGGGGGTGGGACCGCTGTCCCTAGGCTATCTCAGCGCGATCGATCTACAGCGGCCAATGACGGTGGTAACACTAAACATGTGCTGTTGTATGACCAGACCAACGATGGAGTGTTGAGTCTCAAGAAACTCAAGGTGGAGATCGAATCGGTTCAGGAGCAGGCACTGTCGATTGGAAAGACGGTTTCTATAGTCCCTTGCAAGGTTCTGCTGGATTGCATTTCTCAGTATGATATGGACAAGATGGTAGAAACCATTCCCTCGTGAGCGCTCGTTTCACTTTTCTCAGCAGCTGATCTTTCCTTGCTCTCCCGTGTACATAAACAACATCGCATTCATCCATTGTTCCCGATCTGACGCGTCAAATGCGACCAATTGACGTCCTGGTAAGAATGCCAATGTTTTCATTCTATGATATTTATTCCTTGTTACCTAATGGCGTGGGGCGGGTGGTTGTTATTGGTTGTCCACTTGCAATGATTGTTCCCGTAGTCTCCTGCGTAGCGTCTCTGGGGAAAGCCTGCGCCTGAGAAAAACTTGCGGATCAAAATACTGTAAGTGGGTTGGTTGGTTGTTGATGTTGAGATTGAAAGTCGAGGTGGTGAGTAAATACTGAGGGGAGTGAGGAGGGTTGACGAGATCCAGTTGTTGATATCTCGAATGTTGGTGGCGACAGTATTGGTTGAGAAAGGTCGCAGGTTTATGCGTCCTGGGCGAGTCTCCTCTCGCGGTTGGCGAGAAGGACCTCCTTGCGCTCCTTCAACAACTCGTTCTGTCTCTGCTCGACGTTGTGAACAAAGTATCCGACGCCTCCGAAAGCAACAACGGCAGCACCGTATCCTCCGAATCCTAATTGGTTAATCAAAGTATTCAAGCGTTAGTTGCTAGCTTTTTGGTTCGTCTATGATCCCAATTATCCAATTCATCATTCGGCGGCCCTGCGGCCTTGGTCCGAATATGTTCCTGAAGCCAAAAGGGTCTACGTCTCTCGTGCCATGCGTGACGAGATCTCTCGAGTGGAGCTCCAATTCCTGATTCGAACAGACGTGTCCAGATGTCGGAGAGACGGAGAAGTCGAGGACTATCGCTTACCGCTGACGATGGGGCGGCGCTGGATGGTGAGGGCGACGGCACGGGCGGCAACGCCAAAGGTGGCGAAACCGGCAACACTTGAGATGAGGGCCATGGTTAGTTGGATGTGCAGTGTTTTAAGTAGAGTAACAGATGGCAAAGAGATCTCCGGCGGTCTTTTCTTGCAAGATCTCCGGAGACGCAGGGCGTGCATCCTAGGTAGCTACGGTGACTTCATAGGAATGGAAGGTAAAGTCACGTGCCATGGAGATGAATTCTCGAGTGGGATCGCCCACTTTTTTCTGATTTTTTTTGTGCGAGTCCTTCGGCTTGCCCGCCAACCAGTTCTCTCCTTTTCTTCTCTTCCCTCCTCTTCATTCTTTTGTTTCTTTCACCCTCTCTCTCTCTTTGTCTTCTTCACACTCACAACTCCACCAAGGATTCACCTCCATTGCCCTTCTTTCCCTTCCCTGTCTTCCTCTCTTCTGAATTCATACTAATAGCCATCCACCATCCTCAACGGCACCAACATCACCCCTACTTTCCTTTCCCCGCAATCAACTCGGCCTCAAATTCAACACTTCTCAGGGGCAACAAAAATAAGAAACAAAACCTCGTTCCTGCTTCATTTTTACAAACATCAACTCGGCCAGACTCAACCAGCTTGACGCGTCCCTTCTCCACAACAAACTACCCTTTCCTCGCTCACTCTCACATACCAACAACCTCCAGAACTCTTACCGTTATTCCCTTGAGCAAAGAAGCAAGGGAACTGTGACAGCGCCACCATTCAACTCACAAGCTTTCCCTCAGGTAATAATAGGAACATCGCGTGTTGTTCTCTAAACAAATTAATTTCAAGCGTCAATCGCAAATGGGTCAAGGTCTGACCGAGCACCTTTCTTGTTTTTTGTCTTTATTCTGTTGACCTCTTAGACGCATAACTCATACACAACATGGCCGCACCTGCAGTTGTCAACTGCGAAGTCTTTGCAACGCGACTCTCTGATCCAGCTCTGGGTAAGGCAACAGTAGTATTCAGTGACCGCAGAGCCATTCGCATTTTACAATCCCACGGTCGAAATGGTAGATCAAGTGCGTTTATTGACATCTCCGCTTTCTATTGACAATAGATGTGAAGCTGAAGGTCAAGATCGCCTCCGAGCTGAGGGACTCGGTGGAGATCTTTCAATCCGTGGAATATGCGCGCTTCCTCTCGATCCTGATGCCAGTCTTTACAGATATTCTCATGAACGGACAACCCGTCTTTGCCAGCAACGCCCCCGAGCAGGTATGGAGCGTCTTTATTGCTTTTGTTCAACAGAAAGTGTAGTCGCCCCTTTTCTGCTTTTCCAACTGTGTTGCTAACATGCTACCACCACTCCAACCTCCCCTATAGAAACTGCGAAGCACAATTCTGGAGATCTTGCATCGGTTCCCTCACAACGACTCTTTCCGCGCATACGCCCCAGAACTGCTGAAGCTGTTGATGCACCTCCTCAGGGTGGAAAACGAAGACAACGCAGTGACATGTTTAAAGACCATCATCGATCTGCATCGGTCTTACAAGCAAATTCTGGAGAGCCAAGTTCAACCATTCATCGACATTGTGCAGGAGATGTATCGCAACATGGAACAGACCGTCAAGGATCAGTTCGACAACCCAGGAACTCCATTGGGCCAAACGGTATGAGCCTGCTGCGACTGGATACCGTCACGTACACGACATACGGTTGCATGTCTCTGATCCAGCAATATTGACCTTTCTCTGCTTTTTGTATTCCCGTAGCCTGGTGGACCATCTGCTCTTACATCTCCACGGCCAGTGTCGCCGGCTTCGGAACTCTCTGATCAACCTTCTAAAATCCTGGCCAAGAGTTTGTTCAGTTTCAAGGTCTTGACTGAGTGTCCGATCATTGTTGTTTTACTCTTCCAGACCCATCGTCAATTCGTCAACCCCAACATTGCCACATTCGTTCCCTTGATCATTCAGGTACGATCATGTTTTGTGATTTGGTGTGATTATAATAACGGAGCGGTTTTGTTTCTTTGATAGCGGAGTCTGACAGCGTTTTTTTTTCCCTTCTGAAATAATAGACTTTGGGATTACAGGCCAGTCAGCAGGCAGAGGCGCAGAGGTTGGCGAGTGCACATGGCGAGGTGTTTGTGGGAGTCAGTCCGGCGATTCGTAACAGGACCGTTTACACGGAATTCATTGTAGCACAAGTCAAGGTATGACACATGCCATTTATACGACTGCAGTTGTCTTGCAACTATACCAATAACGACCATGAACAACCAACTAACACTACATATTACCTTTTTAGACAATGTCTTTTCTTGCATATATCCTTCGTGGATCAGCCAACGTATTACGGCCTCACCAGAACGCGATCCCAGACTTTGTGATCCGACTCTTGCGCGATTGTCCACCAGAAGCAGCAGCAACCCGGAAGGTACTACAAGCTCGCATACCTTGAAGCAACATGAAGCTCGGGGTCTTTTCACAGGAAATGGAATACTAACACTATTTCTCATTCACAACAACAATAGGAATTACTCGTTGCAACTCGTCATATCTTGTCGATTGACTTCAGACAGTCGTTTGTGCCAAAAATCGACATTCTGTTGAACGAAAAGGTTTTGGTGGGCACTGGTGTCACATCACATGAGACGCTTCGGCCCCTGGCCTACAGTATGCTCGCAGATCTGGTTCATCATGTCAGAGCCGAGTTGACGCCGACTCAGCTCGCCAAGACAGTCTACATCTATTCACGGAACTTGCACGACCAAAGCCTTGCCTCTAGTATCCAGACCATGTGCGCCAAACTTCTGTTGAATCTGGTTGACTGTATTGTCCGCATCCCCAACGGCGAAGGTATGGGTTATCTCACAGACATATTTGGAATTACTCAATGGGTCTTCATTTTCCAGCAGTATCTAACGAAATTTTATATTGCAATTAATTAGGCAAGATTTTGTTGATCAAGATTCTGGACACCTTCACCAACAAGTTTGCGTCCCTGAACTTGGCTTTCACCGGCATCTTGAAGCAGGCAGAACGGAAAAAGAACGGCGATGAGACGTCTGAGGATGACTTTGATTTTGAGAAGGCACGGTCTATTCACACTGCCTCAAGCTCAACCGATATCCCTGTGGATCCCGCCAAAGGTATGACTTGATTGACTTTTGCAGAATAAGAACTCTGCCTGTTAACTGCTTCAACAATATGCTAACCTAAACTATGCTATATTATAGATGGGCGATTCTTGTTCAAGAACCTGGTGGCAGGACTGAAGACTATTCTCATCAACCTCAAGAACTTGAACGAACCCAACACTGCCGGGATGACGAATGCGGTCGCCCGCGACTACGTCCAAGAGCAGTCGGAGATATTCACGCGTCTCTTCCAGGAGGGCTTGAAATGCTTCGACTACTACACGCTCGACGGTATTGACAATCCCACAGCCGCACCAAAACCAGCAAACGACAAATCAAATCTGGATGCCACGCCAACAGGCCGTCTCGGACCAACATCAAAGGAGGAGAAGGAGACACTGGAGCAATTTGCCTTAGTGTTCACGATAGCCGACCCTGCTATCTTCCAGGAAGTGTTCACGTCACAAATGGGCTTTTTGTTCGACCAGACTCTCCTCAACATCTCGCTCCTGCAGATCCCTCAGTTCTTCCTCGCCAATGAGAACGTGTCACAGAACTTTGCAGGAATATTGTTCCGATTCCTGGTAGATCGACTCGACAAACTCGGAGGCGAGGATCAAAACTACTCCTCCGTCATCCTCAGGCTGTTCAAGCTGGCGTTCATGGCTGTCACTCTCTTCCCTGACGCCAACGAGATCGTGCTCCAGCCCCACCTTGGCAACATCATCATGAACTCGATCAAGCTCTCGACCAAGGCCAAGGAACCTGTGAACTACTTTGTCCTTTTGCGGTCCCTATTCAGGAGTATCGGTGGAGGTCGGTTCGAGTTGCTCTACAACGAGGTCAAGCCCTTGCTTCAGGTGTTGCTCGAGGGACTCAACAGCCTTCTTGCCTTGGCCAACAAGCAACACATGCGGGAACTCTTTGTCGAGCTTTGTTTGACAGTGCCCGTTCGCTTGAGTGTCTTGCTGCCCTACCTGAACTACCTCATGAACCCTCTGGTGTTGGCTCTCCAAGCAAGCCCAGAACTCGTGAGTCAAGGTCTCCGGACGCTGGAGCTTTGTATCGACAACCTGACACAGGAGTTCTTGGACCCCATTATGGCTCCCGTCATTACCGAGTTGATGAACGCCCTCTGGAAGCATCTCAAGCCTCTCCCTTATAGCCCAGTTCACAGCCATGCTGCCATGAGGATCCTCGGCAAGCTCGGTGGCAGGAACCGCAGGATGCTCAAATACCCACCCAAGCTTCAGCATCATTCGCCTGCAGATGTTGGTGTCGACATCAAGATCTATTTCGACCCAACGCTGAAGCCCCACACCTTGCCTCTGGACCCCTCTTTAGCTCTCGCTGCTCAAACTCTGGAGGATCCTAACGCTAACATCTTTTACCGCGAGCATGCCTACAAGTTCCTCAAGGGATGTGTCCCTCTCCTCATCGACACTTCGCCTGGACCTGAGAACCTGGATGAGCAGATCCAGACCCGCATCACCATCTTTTCGCCACAGGAGACCACGTCTCGGCTCAGCATTGTTACCAACGCCATGGATGTTGACAAGGAGAGTGGAGATCTTGGAAAGTTTGAGAACAGGCGACCCCAGGCACCTCGGTCGCCGCCCTCTTCCAAGAAGCTGGCACAGGAGCGTGCGCTGAATCTCGTCTTAAGATCGCTCTTCATGGCGGCCTCGATTGACGAGCTCAAGGACGACGCTTGGCCGTTCCTGCAGGGCCTTATTCACCATTTTGCACTCCTCCAGGTCGGTGAGGCTCTGGATTTTAAGGAATCCAAGTCCCTCACCTTTGACGTGCACCACATCAAGGGCCAGCTCCACTTGGACACCAACATCTTTGTGGACGCTGTCGTCGACATCATGACCTCGGAGAACCTTCCCCTTCGCAAGCTTGCCGAGTCAGCCCTTCAGCTGCTGCACGAAACCTGCGTCACGGTTACGTCAAGCAAAGATGTCCTCTTCCAGCTCCCCGTCTTCCATCTGTTTGCGACGCGCTTCTCCTCCAGCTGTTACAAGCAAGAGTGGTTCCGCAAGAGCGGCGGTTGCTTTGGTATCTCAATCATGTGCTCCCAGCTGGATATGGGCGCCAAATGGATGCTGGATCATGAGCTCGAATTTGTCAAGGCCCTGTTGTACATCCTCAAGGACATGTCGCCCGAACTTGCTACTGGCAATGTTGAGGATGCTACGCAGACTTTGTCGCACGTCCTCAAGGTCTGCAACCGCCCTGAAGACAATGTCGAGTCGGGTGACCGCCAGCTCAAGTTCAACAGCCTGATCGGCCTCTTGATCTCCGAGCTCTCCAACTCCAATAGCTCTGTGCGTGAGACGATCCAGTCCTCTTTCCAATTGCTGGCGGATTTGACAGGAAACGACGTGACTGAGCTCCTCAAACCCGTCCGCGAGCGGCTTTTGTCACCCATCTTTGCCAAGCCCCTGCGAGCCCTTCCCTTTGCCATGCAAATCGGACACATTGACGCAATCACGTTCTGCCTGTCTCTCCGACCACCCTTCTTGGACTTTAACGATGAGCTTGTCCGTCTCTTGCACGAAGCGCTGGCGCTCGCCGATGCAGAGGACCAGGCTTTGGTTCCACGGACTTCCCAGTACAAGAATGCGTCTTCGCTCATCAACTTGCGCATTGTTTGCATCAAACTACTTTCCGCTGCCATGGCTTGCAACGACTTTTGCTCGCCCAAACAGAGCACCACCCGCCAGCGCATTATCTCGGTGTTCTTCAAGTCTCTTTACAGCAAGTCTTCCGAGGTCGTTGAGGTTGCCAACAAGGGTTTGACGCAAGTCCTGGCACAGCAGCACAAGTTGCCCCGTGATCTTCTTCAGGCAGGTCTTCGTCCTATCCTTATGAACCTTTCGGACTACAAGCGCCTTACTGTTGCCGGACTCGAGGGTTTGGCGCGTCTTTTGGAGCTCCTGACCAACTACTTCAAGGTCGAGATCGGAAAGAAGCTGTTGGACCATTTGCGCCAGTGGGCCGAGCCGACGATGCTTCAGGAATGTGCTGGCAAGCCCTTGAGCGAGAACCAGGAGATTCGCATCATTGTCGGAATTCTGAACGTTTTCTGTCTCTTGCCCCAGGCTGCCAATGTTTTCTTGGATGAATTGGTGACCGTGGTGCTTGACATGGAGGGGCACCTTCGCCGCTCGATGTCCAGTCCCTTCAGGCAGTCCCTTCTCAAGTTCCTGAACCGTTACAGCGACGAGTCGGTCGACTACTTCTTGGACCGTCTCACCGAGGAGCGTCACAGCCGCCTGTTTGTGGATCTCCTGTCGACCGAGTTTGCGGCTCCCCTACGCGCCGAGATTGTTAGGAATCCTGAGAAGCTGATCAAGAAGACTTTTGCTGACGCGGATGCTGCCGTCCAGCTCCACGGACTCACGATTACCCGCGCGATCTCCAAGTTCAACCCTGACTTTATCCCCACCAACCGATCTGTCCTCGACGCGCTTTTGACCATGTGGCGCGCACCTGGCCGTTTGGATCGTCTTCAGAGTGAGGACACATTGTCTTTGGCGAGACTTCGCGAATCCCAGTACCTGGTTGAGGCATTCGTTCTCTACCTCGGTCAGAACAAGGATGACGTCGAGGTCATTTTCGAAATGATCAGCATCTTTACTCAGGAGACGGTCATCGACTTCAGTTTCCTCAAGATGTTCTATATTGACGAGATCGCTATCAAGGCACCCGCTGCTAGGAAGAGGGCTATCCTGGAGCACTTCCTCGTCATGTTCCAGGACAGGGCCATCCCCCAGGGCGTGAAGATGCAGTCGCTCCGCGTCATCATCAACCCCATGCTCCTGGTTGCCTTCACCCGCGGACCCTCGGATTACCAGGCAGTGATCGACCACGCTATGATCTCCGAGATCCATTCCAAGATTTGGCAACCGCTGTTGAACGAGAACTCGGACGACAACCAGTACTCAGACGATGCTCTGAGGATTGAACTCCTCCAGATGACTTCGCTCATCCTCCAGTTCGCCTCGGACTTGATCGCCGATGCCCGCAAGGACATCATCATCTTCGGCTGGAACTACCTCAAGATCGACGATATCACAGGAAAACAGGCAGCCTACGTCCTAATTGCTCGATTCATTGCCGCCTACGACACTCCAAGCAAGATCATCATCCAGATCTATGTCGCCCTGCTGCGAGCCCATCAATCCGAGGCCCGAGCCTTGGTCAAGCAGGCTCTCGACATTATCGCTCCAGTTCTGCCCAAGCGCATCGTCATGACCGCCGATTCGCCCAAGAACCCGACTTGGGCACGTTGGACACAGCGCGTCCTTGTAGAGGATGGTCACAGCGGATCCCAGCTGGTGAACGTTTACCAGCTCATTGTCCGTCACCCCGACCTCTTCTACGAGAGCCGCGAGCACTTTTTGCCCCAGATTGTCACGACTCTTTCCAAGTTGGGTCTGGTTCAGACAGCAGGAGTCGAGAGCAGGACATTGACCATCAACCTTGCCGAGCTGATTTTGAAGTGGGAGCGCCGCCGCATTGCAGAGCTCAAGTCTGCCATGGACGTCGACACCCCGGATGCCCCGGCTGTGACAACAACAACTACCGCGGCCGGAGGATCATACACACCCAACCTTGGATTGCGTGAGAACGTCCTCAGCTTCTTGGTCCGATTCGCCTGCGCTTTCCCTGAGCCTTTACAGAAGAAGGGATTGCCTTACCGCGCGGCGGAGCTTTTGAAGGAGTTCTTGGGTCCTGATTACTGGTCTGAGGTCAACATCAAGCTGACGTTCTTTGAGCGCACACTGTTGCCCCCAGAGCTCACAGAGCTAAACCAGGTGGCCGCCTGCAACTCGTTGGATGTCCTCCTTATCCTTCTCAAGAACAGGCCGGGACACTGGTTCCTTGCCAACATTTCTCAGCTCTACCGCCTTTTGGACAAGTGCCTCCTTTCCGATAACCCAAGGATCGTCAACAGTCTCCAGCCCATCATCGACTTGATCTACAAGCACATCTCGGCCTCGGTCGCCGCTTCGGCCACGCTTTCGTCCGATGTCACTTCGTTCATTGCCGCTGTCGACGCCATCATCACGGATGGATTGCACAACCTGACGAACCTCTTTTCGGTCCTCACCCTTATTCAGTCCTCTTGCCAGTACCGCCAGGATGCCATTGATGCCTTTGTCCCCGGCGTCATGAAGGTTGTGAGCAAGCTGACCAAGGACCACGTTGCCCCTGCGCAGGCAGGTACCAGTCAGCCGAGCGGGCCAGACTCGCCAAGCAACCTACTCATCTTGGCTTTGAGACTCATCAAGTTGAGAATCTCTCATCTCGGAGACCAGCGCCGTTGGTACTTGACGTCGCTGATCCAGCTTATCGAAAAGTCGACGGATGTCGAGCTGTCACGAGCTATTCTCGACATGGCGACCGAGTGGGTCACTGGCAAGACCGAAACTTTCCCGACAATCAAAGAGAAGGCTAGTTTGATGGTCAAGATGATGTGCCTCGAGAGCCGTGGCGACAAGAAGCTGGTCGAGGATTTCTTGGAGCTGGTGGTCACCATCTACAACGACCCCAGCTTTGCGCGATCTGAGCTTACAGTCCGGCTCGAGCAGGCGTTCTTGATGGGTACACGAAGCGACAACCCCAAGCTGAGAAATCAGTTTGCCGAGATTTTCGATCGCAGCATTGGACGGTCCTTGTACACTCGCCTGACCTATGTCATTGGTGGCCAGTCCTGGGAGTACCTCGGCGGTCAGTGTTGGCTCCAGCAAGCGCTCGACATTTTGTTCGGTGTTGTGATCAAGTCGAGAGTCCTGTCGTTGTCGTCTGATGGCCTGCAGACTAAGCCCATCCAGCGTGTTGGCGTTACATTTGGTGAAAATAAGGAGACCAGCGCGGTTGCGTCCTCGCCCGAGCTGACGGCCTTCTTGACGAAGCATCGCGAGTTCTTGGCTCAGATTAACCAATTGAGCACCAACGACGTGATTCTGCCACTCAAGCAACTCCAGCATCTCGACGCGACTGTCACCCACCGCCTCTGGACCGACCTCTTCCCCCTCTACTGGTCCGCCACCACGACCAAGGAGAAGCAAGAGCTGACCAAGATCCTGATCCCATTGCTTGCGAAGGAGTACCACAACAAGCAGATGGATGCTCGCCCCAACGTCATCCAGGCCCTCATGGAAGGTATCTCTCGCTGCACGCCCGCCATCCGCCTCCCTCCCCATCTTGTCAAGTACCTTGGCAAGAAGTTCTGTGCCTGGCACATTGCGACCAACCTCCTTCAGAACTCTGTTCCCGATGGCAAGCCTAGTGATCTCGGCGGAGCCAAGGATGAGGAGAAGCTCCGCAACAGCACCTTGGATGCGCTTGCTGAGCTTTATGTTACCCTTGGAGAGGACGACATGTTCTACGGACTGTGGAGACGCCGGTGCCTGTATTCCGAGACTAATGCCGCCATCTCGTACGAGCAGAACGGCATGTGGCAGCAGGCGCAGATCATGTATGAGAGCGCTGTGAATAAGGCAAGGACTGGCGCGCTTCAGTTTACCGAGTCGGAATATTCGCTCTGGGAGGACCACTGGATTACCTGTACACAGAAGCTGCAGAGCTGGGATATCTTGACGGACCTAGCCAAACACGAGAACAATACGGAGCTTCTACTGGAGTCGAACTGGCGCATGTCGGACTGGACCGCTGACCGGGAGGCGATGGAGCAGCTTGTGTACTCGATCACTGAAGCACCCACTCCCCGACGACGCGTCTTTGAGGCCTTTTTGGCCCTTATCAAGGCTAACCAGCCCCACACCCAGTCGACTGAGACCAGCCCCGCCGAGTTTGTCAAGCTATGCGACGAGGGTGTCCAGCTTTCCCTCTGGAAATGGCACACCTTACCGGAGATCGTTTCGCAGACCCACGTCCCTCTCCTGCAGGTTTTCCAGCAGTTTGTGGAGTTGACAGAGGCGAACCAGATTTACCAGAGTCTCGCCAACACGACGGCCCTCAACCTTGAGTCCAAGTCTCAGGACCTCAAGAGCACTTTGCAGACCTGGAGAGAGCGTTTGCCCAACACCTGGGATGACATCAACGTTTGGAGCGATCTCGTTGCCTGGCGTCAGCACATCTTCTCCGCCATCAACAAGACCTACCTCCCTTTGATCCACCAGCTCCCATCAGTCACCCCAGGCGCAGGAGGATCCAACTCGAACTCATTTGCCTACCGCGGTTACCACGAGACCGCCTGGATTATCAACCGTTTCGCCCATGTTGCTAGGAAGCACCAGCTTTCGGAGGTGTGCATCAACCAGCTCACCAAGATCTACACCTTGCCTAACATCGAGATTCAGGAGGCTTTCTTGAAGCTACGTGAGCAGGCCAAGTGTCACTTCCAGAACGAAGCCGAGCTGACGACGGGATTGGAGGTCATCAACAACACCAACCTGATGTACTTTAGTCCTAACCAGAAGGCCGAGTTCTTCACGATGAAGGGAATGTTCCTCGCCAAGTTGTCACTCCACGACGAGGCGAACATGGCGTTTGTGAGTGCTGTCCAGATTGACCTGGGTCTTGCCAAGGCCTGGGCGGCATGGGGCAACTACAACGACCAGCAGTTCAAGGAGAAGCCCAAGGAGATCACGCTAGCCAGTCATGCCGTCAGTTGTTACCTCCAGGCCGCGGGTATCTACAAGAACTCCAAGTCCCGCAAGTATCTTGTACGCATCCAGTGGCTCATGACCCAGGACGACAGCCAAGGAACCGTCTACCGTGCCTTCGATGCCTTCAAGGGTGAGGTCCCTGTCTGGTACTGGATCACTTTTATTCCTCAGTTGTTGGCCTCTTTGACACATCTGAAGGAGGCCAAGCATGCCCGCCATATCCTCATGAAGATTGCGAAGACCTATCCTCAGGCATTGCATTTCTCCCTGCGCACCTTGAAGGAGGAGTACACGTCGTTGAGAAAGGGACAGCAAGTTCAGCAGCAAGCCCAGCAGCAACAGCAGCAACCCGCTGCTCAGCAGGGAACCCCTGGTCAGGCTGGTACAGGCTCTGCGGCCAACACGCCTGCTACGCCCACCACACCCGCTGCATCCTCGGTCAGCACCCCTACGACCCAGGCAGCTCCAACTGCGACCACGCCGACGACCCAGCCTGCGTCCGCGGCAGAATCCAGCCCTTCTGCCGCCGTTACTCCTGTCGCCAGCGCTGCCAATGGACCCCAATCGCCTCAACCAGGAACTCCTAATGGAACACCAGGACAACCCGCTCAGCCTCAGACTCCAAAGGAACAGACGCCTCAGGGACAGCAACCTGCAGCTGGCCAGCCAGCACAGCCAGCACAACAGGCTCAGCCGACGGCTCAGCAGCAAGCGCAACAACAGGCGGCTCAACAGCAAGCCCAGCAGCAGGCTCAGCAGCAGGCTCAGCAACAGCAGGCGCAACAGTTGATTATGCAAGCGCAGAACCAGGTTCAGGCCACCGCTCAGCTTCTCGCCAAGTCTCAGACACAGCTCCAACTCCACGTCCAAGCTCTCGCCCATGCCCAGGCCACTTTGCAAGCGTTGGTCCAACAATCACAGACCCCTGGACAGCAGACCCCAGCCCAGGCCCAAGCGCAACAGCAGGCTCAGGCCCAGGTTCAGGCGCAGATGCAGATCCACGCTCAGACCCAACAACAGGTGCAGAATCAGGCGCAGGCCCATGGCTTGGCCCAAGCACGACTCGCCCAGATCACGGCCCAGTTCCCTGCCGCTGCTCTCAACACTCCCGGAGTTTCGCAGATTCGCAAACCATGGGAGCATGTGGACGACATTATGAACATTCTGAAGACGGCCTTCCCACTTTTGGCTTTGTCTATGGAGTCGATGGTGGACCAGATCCAGCAGCGTCTCAAGCCATCCCCCGAGGAAGACATGTACCGTCTCATCGTCGCCCTCTTGACTGACAGCTTCCAGGTACTATGTCGTTGATTGTATTTTGATTTGAACCTCTACGTGTGTTACATTCATCACGATTGGAACACTAACATTTCTCGGTTTGTTTTTCTTGTATATAGCAATTGTTCCAGAGGTTGGTTCTCAGCAGTGAGAACGAGCAGCTGTCTGCTGTTACTGAAGCAAACTTGAACCGGTTCTCAGAGAACTTGTTCCAGCCTCAGGTCAAGGCTGCGTTTGTACATGACTTTATCACCAACAAGCCTACTCTCAGCCAGTTCGTGACGAGATTGCAGCGCTGGAGAGATAAGTTTGAGGACATTCTGGACAACAAGCCTCGCCGTCAGCAGCTCGAGAATTGGAGCCACTACTTGGCCGAGTTCCAGCACCAAAAGTTTGACGATGTGGAGGTTCCTGGACAGTACTTGCTGTTGAAGGATAATAGCAACGACTTTGTCAGGATCGACCGGTTCGAGTCTGAGGTCGAGTTGTTACGTGGACCAGTCAACTGCAGTCGACGATTGACCATTCGTGGACATGACGGCAGCATCCATCCCTTCATTGTGCAGCAGCCTGCCTCGCGTCAAGGACGCCGCGAAGAGCGCGTCATGCAACTCTTTAGAATTCTTAACGGGTATGTTCATTTCATGTTTGATAATGACTGTATGTTTCGTCTTGGCAACTTGGTTGACTTATCCTAAAAATATCAATTTCTTATGGCAAATAGAATTCTGGAGAGGAAGAAGGAAAGCAGGAAGCGTAACTTGTTCTTCCACCTCCCGCTTATCATCCCATTGGCGCCGCAGATTCGCATCCTTCAGGACGATCCTTCGTACGCGTCGTTGCATGGCATTTACGAGGAGCACTGCAACATGATTGGCATCCACAAGGACGACCCGATCATGTACTACACCGCCAAGATCAAGGCCGGATTGGATATGAAGAAGCAGACGGACATGCTGAACCTGAAGATGGAGATTGCGGACGAGATTGCATCCAAGATGATTCCGGACACGATCCTCACGGACTTTATGACTCGCAATATGAAGACGTACACGGATCTCTGGATGATCAGAAAGCAGTTTACGACTCAGATGGCGTCTGTTACTTTCTTGACGTACATTATGAGTATTGGTCATCGCTTCCCGACCAAGTGGTTCATCTCCTTGCAGACCGGAAACGTCTGGACCTCTGACATGCTTCCAGGTACTGTATCGTGCCTTGCTTTTCTCTACCTTGTTGATATTGTGTTGTCATACTGTTATGTACAGGAAGTGGATACTGACTGAATTTCTTTTTTCCCGCTCTTTCTATAATTGTAGTGTTCTCGCCGTCGACAACGACGTTCTCGAACTCGGAGCCCGTGCCGTTCAGATTCACGCCCAACATCCAGCATTTTATTACACCAACGGGCGTTGAGGGTGTGTTTACGAGCGCATTGATGTCGATTGCACGTTGCCTAACCGAGCCCGAGTTTGAGTTTGATCAATACTTGGGCATCTTTATCCGTGACGAGCTGGTGAGCTGGTTCGCCAACGGCATGAAGCCCCTGAACGAGCAGAGCCTGGGCGAGCGTGTGACATCAACAGTGGATCAGGTCCAGAGGAGAACTGCGTTGTTGTCGTGCAAGCCTGAGCGAGAGAAGAGTCGTAACAACAATATCCCTGCGAACCAGACCCTCCTGGATTTGATTTCGCAGGCTTCCAACCCGCTCAAGTATGCGCAGATGGACTGCTCTTGGCTCCAGTGGTTGTAACCTGGAGGAGATGCTGAACTGTCGAAGTAGAAGATGAAAAAAAAAAAAAAAAAAAAAGGTAAAATAAACAGTAGATTAAACGATAAGGTTGCACAAGATACACGAGCCTTTTGCAGAACAAATATTATAAGGAGTTGCACCCTTTGATGGGACTTCATTACATAGTTCATCTTCACACTCCAACATTTCCTGGCCTTTTTTTTGCTGCGTTTCTTGTTTATCTTACCTCCCTGCCTTGCACATTGATATTGAGTTGTCAACGTTGTTGTTTCTTTCTTTATGATTTCGTTCTCATCTTTCTCTAAGTGTGTGTCTCAATTGATAGTCAAGAACAGTGAGAAAGGTTTTAAGGATCGGTCGATTCTTTGTGGTTATCGTTGTCTTGATGAGAAGAGAAAAAAATGAGCCTTTTCGTATGGCGTTGTGGCTGGGAGAGGGAACATCACGACTACTGTGGCCGCTCGCAAAGGGAACATTTACTTCCTTTCGGCGTTAAGAATTCACGCGACGGATGGACAGACAGTACGTGTTTTTTTGATTGATCCCTTGGACGCGCATACAAATGAGACAAACGCGTTTTTATCAGTGATCAATAATGAAGCATGCTCACTCGCCAGGAAGTAACATGTGCAGGTATAAAAAACCCTCTCCCTCTCCTCTTTCTTTTGTTATTCATTTCTTTATTCCCTTTCTTTCTTTTCTAACTTTCCTCACCTTTTCTTATTTGCTATGACACACAAATACTTGTCTTTCCATCTTACCATCCCAGTTCTCCTACCTTCTCACGCCCTAACCTCCGTGCGACTCAAGGTCATCCACCCCCCACCAACCCACCCATCCAAGACTAGAGTCGTCGGGGAAGAAGACTCCTTCACCAACCAAAACCAATGCCCACAAACATTACCAATACATTCTACCACCTGCAGTGAGCTCGGAACAACGGAGGATAGAAAAGAAACAGACGAAGAGACGAGCAGACGAGCAGCTGCCAACGAGGGTATAAGGATAGAAAAACTACGATCAAAAAAACCTCGCCAAGTACTATCTCCAACACGGGCTGTAATCGTTAAAGCAGTATCTCCGTTCTTTGTCCTGGATATCGACCAAATGATGAGAAGTCCCCTCCATTCCGAGCAAATCCATTCCAAAAGACACTCCATGTAATACCTTGACGCTGCCCCCTCACGACCCTGCACTCCAGCCATCATCGCGATATGGTGCAACAAGGTCCTTTTCTTGTGGTCAACAGGTGTGATGACTCTGTGGAGGATGCTGAGTAGGTGTGGGAAAGACTGCTTGTCATAGTTGTTGGTCACCAGAACAGCCCGGATGAGCGCGGATTCGCCATTGTTATTGACCCGACGGACGTCCGCATGCTTCTGAACCAAGAGCTCCAAGCCCTGAATCCAAGCCAGAGCAGCAGCCCAGTGAAGGGCAGTATGACCCTGATCGTCAATGACGAGGTCGATGTCGAGATCCTCAGGGATAGTGGGGTCCGTCAACAAGTGCGGGATCTCCTCCGTGTCGTCATTCAAAAAGATCGCCATCAGGATCGATCGATATCTCTCAGCGCCTTCCAATGGTGGTTCCTCTGGTTGAGGTTGTGGTAGTGGTGGTGGTGGTACTAGACTTGATCCACTCCCGTTCTGGCGAAATTGCTGATGACGATATTGCTGATGAAGTAAGTTGTGCCCATGTTCCTGCTCGGGTGTAAAGTCGCGGTCGTATCGCTGAGCAGGCGAGTGAATCTTGGGCCGCTTACGGACCGGCGTAGAGTTGTCGACAGGCCACTGGGGTGAGGGTGGGATAGACGGTGAGGGTGCATTGACAGGATGGATGAAGAAGTGATGGTGTCATCGAAGCTGTGCTGAAATGTCTGAGAGCCGCCAGCAGCACCTGATTTGGCAGAGGAGCTACGAGCCCGCTTGGCGGGGCTTTGTCAGGGGCGAGGCTGCTGTTTTGGCGATGGCGATATCCTTAGATTTCTTGGCTATGAGGGCCATCTCCTTTGTTGGGGTGACCGTGTCGACTTCGCCTTTCAGGACGTCATATTCAAACAGCGCGCGTAAGAACGGTTCGACATCGTACTGCTTTGCCAAAATCCTTTCTCCCTCTAACACGGGACTCTATTCGCAACAAATAAAAGGCAACGCTGTTACTAGAGCCTCTATCACCAAAAAGAGCACACATGCTTCCAACGGAAAAGAACACGTAGAAGTGACTTACCAGGTGCCCTGGTATTTGCCATAGCCGTCTTGGATCTTATCATGCTCGCCTGTGCAACATCTGAAGGTAGAGACAGTGAAACCAGGGACAAGAGTTGGAGCAATGTTGCTTATTATTATTACTATATTACAACTATATATACACAAGTCCTAACTAGGTTTCTAGGTGTAGTGTCATGAAGTGTCAAAGCTGAGAACGTTTGACAGAAGATGACTAACCAGAGAGCAATAGTAAACTTAATATATTGCAGCCTGGGAGGATTTCGCGTTCGAGAATTTTGGTCCGGCGTCCCTTTTCGACACCGACGATCGTTTCCGATTGACAATGAACTCTCTGAACTGCTTCACCATCATTTGGTTGTCGAGTCGCATGCAGAGGTCCTGGTCCTGTGGTGTTGCGATGATTCCTGTGATCAATCCATTAGTTCCGCTTTCGTCGATGATGCGAATCCCCGGGTGGTCTCCCTTCACCACAGTCTGCTCCTCACCTACGACTGCAAAGGCTATAGCGCTCATCTCCTTCCCCTTTTTCACCATTGAACCATCGGAGTAGATACGTCTCAGTTCAGACCTAGTCTCTTTCTTTCAGCTCTCTATGGACTCCGGACAAGTTCAGGCTTTCCAAAGACACCCTTAACTCGTTATGCTGTCACTCAGCCGCCAGTTTACCTTGCAAGAAGCTTTCAACCATCAACCCACAACACTTCATACCACCATCAAAGGCCAAGTTCCAATCAAGGACCAAGAGGACGGACGGCCTTGTCTGCTTGACTATCAGTGCACACTCTGGAGATGGGAATTATCCAGATGACAGAACGTGTCCAAGCGCAAGCAACACTGCAACCGGAAGCGACGGCCTATGCTTCAAGACCCAGTCTACTTCCCTGACGCCCATACTCTTCCGATCCTCATCTGAAGCAGCGCTAACGTAGCCTCTCAACTCCTCCAACTTACTCAACGCAGTAAAGCAGCCCAAGGACCCCAATCGACCCGCCTCCTCGTCCTCAGAAGCTCAGAGCCGGAGGTCTGGTCGACCCAGTTCTGCCAACCAATGATGAACATTGACCTTGTCAATATCCTGCAATGGTTGGAGATCCAGGGACGTCAACCAAGGCAATACCCGCACGATCCTGTAAAGTGTTTCAAAGGTCCATGCCTGTCCTTCTGCGGAGAGTCTAAGGTGCCTGAGGTCGGTGAGTTGGCTCAAAGATCCGAATCCTGCCAAGGTAGAGTGATCCAACTCGGGACTTTTCACCGTGAGAGAGCAAAGGTACCGCATCTGGCTAAGCTGGTCGTATGTAGCTTGCCAGATCCGATGGCGGTCCTGATTAGTGGTGATGAAGAATGGGTCGATGTGGATCTCAATCCAGAGCTCCTCGACCTGTGGTGCTGGGTTGCTGTAGGATGTGACCCCTCCTTCTTCAACCTCTCTGAAAAAGTCTCGAGGTTGGACAGCGAATCCCTTGAGAATAAGCGTCCTCACCTCTCTGTGCCAGAAGAGAATTGCGTTCAAGCGCAAGGTGTTCTGCCAAGTCAGAGCATTCTCTTGGCCATCAAATTCTCTCTGCACCTCCAGCTTGAACGACCTCAAATGAGGCGCGAACGTCCTGAACTGCAATGCCCACAACCGATCGAACTCGCTTACGCTCTCCAACGTAATGCTTACAGCTGTAAGAAAGTCCAACCGGTCATGCATATTGACCATGCCGGATATCCGGAATGAGAGAGGTCCCTCGAACACCAACTCTTCAAGCTGCCTGCAGCTGAGAATCGGTTCCAAGGCCGTCTCCTGGATATCCGTTGGCTTTGCGGTCAGGACCAGCTTCCGGAGGTGAGGACAGTGTCGGAGGATTCCGAGTTCACTGCGTGGAATCCGAAGATTCTTGATCGCCCATTGAGGCTGGACCGCTTCTTCTTGTTGCGCTTGGCCAGCAACCTCGACGATTGCTGCCTGGTGGTGATATGGCGCATACCACCACCCCGCAAGTCCGAGCCCCTCAAGTTGATCAAACCTACTAAACAGGTCACTCAGTGGAACTGGCTCCCCTTCTTCCACTTCCTGCAGCTCGCCTTCTTCTTCGCTCTCATCTATCTCTCCGTCCTCTTCACTCTCTGCCTCTGCCTCTGCCTCAAACCCGATCAAGTCCAACTGGAGATGGCTTAACGTCAACAACTCTCTAGGATCCTTGAGCAGGCTCAACAGCACTCTCTTGGACAAGCCGGTCGTCGTCAATGACAGCTTCTTGAGGTTGGGCATGGACCTCAGGATTACCACTAGCTCGGAGTACGAAAGTCCAGAGTGGTCGTTGTTCCCCCACTCTACCTCAACGACGCGGTACAGGAGAGCGCAAAGCTCGTCGAACTTTTCTTGGCGGACAAGACTACCCAGGCGTCGGAACTGTGGACATCTCCATTTGTCGTGTGTGATTGAAGTCCAGACAAATGGCATCATCGCAGCCCTCCAGTCCCAGGACACTTCCGACGCGTGGACGAGGTCCTTCGTCCGAAGATGCGTGGCAATTTCGGACACCAGCTCAGGAAGGAAGACGACTCGTGTTGGCATGGCGGATGGGAGCAGCGCTGGGGCTGGCTCGACGGGCATAGCAGTCGGAGGTAGCGCTGGGGTATCCTCGGGGGTGGGTGGTGGCGGAGATCCTGCCGAAAAATCCTCAATAGGATGTGATGGAGAAGCAATAACTGTCTCGTCGACTTGCAGGAGCGAGGAGAAGTAGAACCTATACCTCCGCGTGGCGATGGGAGGTGGGGTGGATGCGGCTGGTGGTGGCCCCTGAATGGATAATGAGCTCGACGACGATGTGCTCGAAGGCAGGCGAGAAAGGGAAAGTGCTTCTTCAGCCTCTCGGACGGACGAGAAATAGAAATGGTATCTCGTGGATCTGGGAGCTGTGGTCGATCCTGTGGGCTCAACCTCGGTGGGTGATCGTGGAGCAGGCGACGACGAAGTCGAAAAAATGCAGCGGATCCTTCGGACTTTCCGTGGTTTCTTGCTCAAACGAGAGGACGAGGGAGAGGCGGCAACTCTTTCTGGCTTGCGGATGCTGAGGGAGAGGGACCGGATGTGTTGGTGGTCGAGCAGGACAAAGAGATGGCGTTCATGTTGGATGTTGACGGCGAAAGTGTGGGTGGTAACAGCGCACGAGTCGTTGACCTGGTCGTCATTCGGTGAGAGTATAAATCGGCCCCGACACCAGAATCTGTTGTAGTCGAGAGGCTGGAGGTGGAGGTAGATGTTGACGGCATCGCGGTCGCGGAAGTAATTGTGGGCGTCGATATTGGCGGTGATGAGGGGGTAGAAGATGAAGGGATGGAGGTTGAAGATGAAGAACTCATCATTGGCAAAGATGGATATGAGGGAATAGAGGTGGATGAATACAGCAGTTGAAGACGTTCAGTGATGAACGGCGGGGTTGTAGGTGAATTAGAGAAAGGATATGAGTGGTGCTGATAAAGAGAATGAATTGAGTCTTTTACTGACGGTAAATGGCAGTATCCAACTTTGAAGACTAAAAGAAGGTAAGGAAGACTCAAGAGAGCTATTGTGGGGAGGAATGGTGAAGAAAGAAAAGAAAAGAAAAGAAAAGAACGGAAAGAAAGAAAAACATGAATGGAAAGGGCCGTTAGTTTTTTATACCGCGAGGGTTCTTTTCACTTTTCATTGAGGCGCAAATGTCTGTGTCTCTGGTTGACTCTCTGTCTGTCTATCTGGACTGACTCTCTATTTGCCCCTCTGTCTGCCTGTCTATCTGACTGACTCTCTGTCTGTCTGTGTGTCTGTGTGTATGTCTGTCTGCCTGTCTGTCTGTCATGAGAAAAAACAGTCTCGTCTGATAACGAATGGAAAAAAAATAAGGGCAATGTCGGTTTGGACAAGGACTCGGCCGGGTGGGAAAAAAAACAGGGAGATAGATAGTTAGTTAGTTAGTTAGAGAGAGAGAGAGAGAGAGAGAGAGAGAGAGAGAGAGAGAGAGAGAGAGAGAGAGAGAGAGAGAGAGAGAGAGAGAGAGAGAGAGAGAGAGAGAGAGACTGGTGGCTATCTAGAGTAAGGTAATACCTACACAACAAGACAAGGCGAATGTCCTTGCCTAGACTAGCATGAAGGTCCTGCCTCAAGCACATCATGAAGACAGGCGACATGGCGACTGTGGCCAGAATAAAGCTGGTACAAAAAGAAAGAAATAGAGTGGGCAATAATGGCATCTGCAACACACACGGTTTGACACACAAACAGGCTTCTTTATTTGTTGCAACAAAAAACAAGTCTAAACCGCTTTCTGAGAAAAAGAGAAGGACAGAGAGAGAGGAGGGCGAGTGAACAAAAACAACCTCTCGAAGTGCAGCACTTGGACGAGGGTTTTTGACGTTGTTGGTGATGGGTGCTGGTGATATTACCGAGGGTTGAATAAAAGTAACTAGTAATGACCTGTTCCCGCATTCACTTTTGTTTTTTGTTGAAGGCGATGAATTTGCAGAGATTATTAAGGCGAATTAGGGCTGGCGAGTCGTGGAAAGGATAGCGTAGAAAGAGAAAGAGAGAGAGAGTCTTAGGAACAGGCAGACATGGTTCACCGTCACGACCATCAATCCATATGGGCGAAGCAATGTTAACGTTTGTCCTTTTTCTAGCCTTCTCGGATTACCTTTGGTCATATGTGTCTCTTTCTATAAAAGAAGCGTACCGTAAATCTTGTTCAGCTACACTCTCTCTCTTTCTCCCTCTCTCTCTCTCTCTCTCTCTATTTTTTTCCCACCCGTCCAGCCAAACCAACATTACCGTTATCTTTCCGTTCGTCATTGGATAGCAACCCAGCGCCACAGGTCGGATTGAGATCGACATCGACCTATTCATCGCCGCCACTCATCAGGACCGCCAACGGGTTTGGCAAGTTACGTATGAGCTTGGCCAAATGGGGTATCTTCGCTCTCTCACGGTCAAAAGTCCTGACTTGGATCATACTTTCATGGCAGGATCGGATGCTTGAACTAACTTACCAACCTCAGCGCCTTGGACTTTCCGTAGGAGAACAGGCATGGACCTTTGACGAACTCCACAGGATCGTAAAGATGGTATTGGCTTGACTGACGCCCCTGGATTTCCAACCATTGACAAGGCTGATGTTCATCGGTGGTTGGCAGAACTGGGTCGACCAGACCTCCGGTTCTGGGCTTCTGAGCGAGCGTGGCATTTGCACAAAGTCCTTTCATTGATAGCCATTTCTTTGCTGGGTTGTCCTTTGTGTTCCCCTGTTTGTCTCTTCGTTGTCACATGCTGCCGCTGCGGCACCCTTGAAAAATTATTACATCTTTCTTTCATCCTCCTTTTTGTTCCCACACTCTTCTTCTTTACTTCCTCCTTGCCCTTCCAGCGTTTTCCCCTTCTTCCCATTTTTCGTTTTTTTCTTTCATTACTTCTTCCCTTCCTCCACCTCTAATCTATCTCTTCTTCCTTTCCTCGCCTTCTTTCTCTCTCCTCCCTCTCACCTCATTACTCTCATTCCTCCTCCACTCCACCCTTTACTTAACTAATCCCTCGTTCCATTCACAGAATCAAGGTTGCATTCAATTGCAATCGACATTGTTACCCTTCGAATCTAGTTTTCTACTGCCGCACTCGTTTTCGCTACCCATTGCCATCGCCGTCCCTTAGCACACTCCACGGCCTCGAACCTCAAAGGAAAGTACTCGACTCTTTCTCAATTGCATACAATTCTATCATGGTGGTATCCTTCTTTATCGGCTAGTTTGCAGGAACTGGTGTCTTTGAATTGTGCTATGTACCAAACTTTTCCATTGTGCACCGTGACTTGGTATAATCAACAAGAACGCCTCATATGAGGGCTTGTTGGAAGGACTGCAAACCGTGCTGTTTGTGGAATATTGCCAACGGCGGGGGGGAACCACTTGTCTGTCTCGATTCTGCTCGATGTATATTTCCTTCACGTTGAAGTGGTGTAACCCTTGCAACGCATTCGAGTTTGGTCAAAGGTGCCTGTGAGATATACCATGTGAGGGAGGTTGCTTCTTCACAATCCTTGGCGACTTAGAGATTCCCGTGACAGATAGGGTGAGATTGGGGGGTGTGGACTGGTGCTCTGAACGGACAGGGAACAAAACAAAGAAAATGACCCTAAGTACGTGTTTTGTTCCAGGTCTCCTGGGAATTAGCTGGAGGATGGGGACTATTAGGGTAGCGCTGCATGTACTTGTGACTGATAACGGCTTTCTAACCTCTCTTTTCTCCTTCTCTTTGCGTTGCTATCCCTTCGAACCTAGTTTTCTACTGCCGCACTCGCTTTCGTTACCCATTACCATCGCCGTCCGTTAGCACACTCCACGGCCTCGAACCTCAAAGGAAAGTACTCGACTCTTTCTCAATTGCATACAATTCTGTCATGGTGGTATCCTTCTTTATCGGCTAGTTTGCAGGAACTGGTGTCTTTGAACTGTGCCATGTACCAAACTCCTTTCACTGTGCACTGTGATTTGGTATAATCAACAAGAACGCCTCATATGAGGGCTTGTTGGAGGGACCACAAATGTAAAGTTTGTGGAATATTGCCAACGACGGGGGGGAACCACTTGTCTGTCTCGACTCTGTTCGATGTATATTTCCCGCACATTAAAGTGGTGTAACCCTTGCAACGCATTCGAGTTTGGTCAAAGGTGCCTGTGAGATATACCATGTGAGAGAGGTTGCTTCTTCGGAGTTCCTGGCGACTTAAGATATTGTCCTGTACAGAGAAGGTGCGATTGGGGGGTGTGGCCTGGTGCTCTGAGCGGACAGGGAACAAAACAAAGAAAATGACCCTAAGTACGTGTTTTGTTTCAGGTCTCCTGGGAATTAGCTGGAGGATGGGGACTATTAGGGTAGCGCTGCATGTACTTGTGTTTGATAACGACTTTCTAATGTCCCTTTTCCACTTCTCTTTGCATTGTTATTGGATATGGACAAGGCTCCTGGATGATGTATGAATCTGAGACGAATAAACTGACACCACCAATCAAGAAACCCTCACTGGGGAATTATCACTTGTAGATTAGTCTGCCGGGATGACCAGAGGTGAGTTTGGTCATTCTTGTTGGAAATTACTTGACTAACGACCTCGTTTTTTTCCTTACTCGCCCCGATATGATTTCATTTTGCTACACGCGCCTAGAGTCCTTCATTCCTCGGATACAAGGCGACAGTCAGCATCCACCATCATCGGCGATGATACTATTCAGCGGCACAAGAGGAGAGTAGCCCGACCATGCAGAAGTGCACTCATTGCCACCATGGTATCCTCTCATACCTCGACCTATTTGCGGAAACTGGCGTCTTTGAGATACATCGGTGCGGATATTTCCACACGCACACAAAGATTCATGCGACTCAGTAAGACGCCTACTACTGGACCGAAATATGAAAGAGGCTTGTTGGGACCGGATGGCGACGAATGTCTGTCAAATCGACCCTGACGAGGCGCTCTTGTAGTCGTTGGCACGCTTCGAAGATCGTAGGGCTCGTCTTTCTCACATTGAAGTGGTATCTCTTGCCGTGCATTCGAGTTTGGTCAAAGCTGATTACAACGAGTATCATGCGAGAAGGGTCTGGCCTTAAAGGTTCTTTGGCAAGCACACGTCGGGAAGTTTTACTAATGGGTCTGGAGAGGTTATATCGGTGAACTGAAGGGGATAGGGACCAAGATGAGAAACGACCACGCTGTTTGTCTTGGTCGTGTCTGTGGGGACCAATTGAGGGGATAGAGGCCGTTGTGGTGGAGCTGACTGGATTTGCGTTAAATGGAGTCTTTCGAACCTCGCGTCTCTTCTTTTCCTCCTTTGTCTTTTTTAGCGATGACAGGATACTGTTCCCCTCAGATACAAACAGGAATAAGACAGGGAAGATATCGCGGACAGGATAACTTGATCATTCGAGCACACTTACTTTTCATTCAAGCGAGATCTTCTGATACCAAGGTAAAGTACTATAGGAATAAGACTCAAAGGGAATAAACAGGGGCATCTTTTATTACAAAAGCCTTTCTTTCTCAACTTGAGGGCTGACTCTGGCAACCGTTGTCCATTTTTGATGTTGTTGGGAGGATGAGATCAATACGACCTTATCTAGGATTAGGATGAGCATCCTAAAAATTACGCGGGTATGCAATCAGGATCATCATGGTCGCTCTAACCAATCTGTTACAACTGACCCGATTACCACGATGTTTAATGTGGTAAGACCAGGTGTGTGATGCCTTACTGGCAGAGGCCCGAGTTTAAGATATCATTTGACGTGGCAGAGGGCGATTAAGGTGGTTGTTGGGGGTAACAGACGATTGAAAATGGTTTTGAACTCGGACGGCCATGGTGATACTTCGGTCGGTGAAATGGGCCGTTTACAGGGGTTTTGGGCAATTGAAAATAGGAGGCGATGGCGGATTCCCATTTTCGTTTGGTCCATTTTTCCATTTTGTGTTGAGCTCTAGGCGACGACGATCTCTGGACACATTTTCAACTGCCTCGAATTTGGTTCGAGGGGTTTGTCAAGTCTCAGTGGCGAAGACTTTATTTGACCTTGCTGGATTGTTTCTGTACTGGAGACTGGAATGCCAGTAAAGGATGGTGTCATGAACCCGAGCCATCATAAAAGCGGCGATAGGATTTGACCGTCAGATCCTAGGACGCGATACGGATATTAAGGATTGAGGAGGAGGGGGTTAGGAAACGCGAGAAGTGAGGCCAGCGATGGTCTTCAATTCTCGGAAATGGACAATGACTTGGCTGGCTACCACATGTTTGCTCGGTCGAGAATTTCGTCCGCAATGTTGTTGGAGTAGGATCTCCTTTTTTTCATTTTTCCTCCTTTCACACCCTCTTTCCTCCTTCCTCTCTTCCTTTCTTTTCTTCGCCCTTCCCCCCCTCCCTCTCCCTCTTTGTACGTACTTCGCAGAAGGATTGGTTTGTTTGTAAGTTTCTTTTTTATGAAGAACAAAGGTTCTAAAAGTCTTTACAATAAAAGTAGCAATGAACCTAGTCAGGAGGAACAAAGGGGAGAATAGCAACGCACGAGGGGTAACAAAGAAGGGGAGTAAAGGGAACAGTGCAAAGGGTATCAAAGTATTCGGAATAGAAAGAGAAGAAAGAAAAAAAAAGAGGCGTCGAAAAGGGCCCCACCCTTGAAGGCCAACAATGGTTTCCCCCGAGCTCACAACTTTCACCTTCTTTCTCCAGTCACACGCTCCTGTGAGCTTTCAAGGTGAAGTGTCAACCCCTTTCATCGCACTCTGAACAAGCGCAACCTTACGTTTGTCCTCCTCGGCCTTCTGACGCTGTTGCTCCATCTTCTGAAAGTTGGCGACCTTTTGAGGTCTGAAGTCTCCCTCTGGAGGACTGCATAGTCGATCTTGAGCTGGTTGCGTTACTCTGTCAGGGTGATCACATCCTTGTACAGCTATCAAAGATGATATATGCGAGATAAGAAAAGTAGGGGTTGTGAGTGAGCGTTGTCTTTGTTTGTATTATCGAATAACAAACAAACAAAAAAAATAAAGCTTGCTTTTGTGTTTGCTTGAGTGCTTGTGTACGTTGGACACACACCTCTTTGATCTGGGTTAGCATCACCTGGATAAAATTACGTCCATCTGCTAGTTCGTTCTCTTGGATGTTGTTGATGTTTGGGACGTGGGGGTGATGGCGAGTAGCAGGGGTGTTCGTCAAGGTACGTCGGTTCTGAAGCTGCTGCAACTGCTGGTGGTTGTTGTCACGGTGGCGGTGCATGCTTGTTTGCTGTTTTCTGTTTGCTGTTTTCTGTTTGCTGTTTTCTGTTTGCTGTTTAGGGTAAAGAGAATGATGTGAGAGGTATGAACGGTGCTGTTAATGTGTGTGCGTGTTTCTGTGTGCTGAAGAAGGAGAAGAAAGAAAGAGAAGTGAGAGAGAGAGAAAAAGAGTCAATTTTTTTTTCAAGTTGAACATCAAAACGACGCTCAACTTCAATGTCCCAACCCATACATAAAAACTCCCTCTGAATGGCTAGAACAGTATGTCAAAGCAGATGTCAAGACTTTAGAATAATAGTTCGTTGGTGTTGTTATTGCAAAGAAAGAAAATTATGATACAAGATATATAAGACACCCTTCGGGCCTCAACCCCGGCTACACTAAGGTCCCAGAGCAGAAGGTACGGCCCCAGACAACGGCGATGCAGAACCAGTGATACCCATCCCTTCTTGCCGCTTGACCCGACTCATGAACCCAGCAACACGCTACAGACCCAAACTAGCACCATCGCTCTCAACAGCCAGCGTCAACGAGACAAGCATCTCCTCGACCTTGTCCAGCTGGATATTACAACAGATCGCAATGACCTTCTTACACAACAACTCGTTCGCAGTCGTTTTGGATTTGGCCTCGGCCAACTCCAATGCCAGCTCCTCGTCGTTCTTCTGGTACGCATACACCCTTGACCGCAAGAGAATCAAATCGTCCTCAGCCATCCTCTCACGCGTCTTTAGATCTTCGCCACTACCACCAACCTCAACGGCTCCAGTTGTTGTCATCCCATCAGAGCTGGTGCGTTTCCGGACATTGAACAATAGGTCGATATCCTCACCCGAAGGAGGGCGCAGTTTGCTGTTGTATCCCTTGTGGCTCCGTGTCCGTTGAGACTCCTCCTCGAGCGAAAGCGACAAGTTCTTGATCTTTTGTTGAGCCTCTGCGACTTGCTGCGCCTGTGACCTGTAGTCGATGATACTCCTTCGCGTCTCCGTCAGTTCTCGGGTCGCGTTCCTGAGCAGTGATTGGGTATCCTTGAGCTGGTCCTGTCGCGCCAGAATCTCCTGCGAGAACTCTACATCCAGCTCATCCACCATCTTCTGTACAACTATTCACGTTTGTGTAAAACAAGAAAAATGTTATTTCGTGGCTGAAAAGATGAGTATCTTTAACTTTGAAAGTGAAAGCGTGGATAGCTTACCATGCATGACATCCTTGCCTCGTTTCCCGCCATTTTCCTCGTTTGATGAAGGTTCTGCCGAAAATGCCCGTGGGACAAAAGGCGCTTCCGATGGGCCAAGCTATTTGTGAAGCATACAGCAAGAAATTAGTTCGTGTATTGCTTCATGAATAATAAGGTCGTATTCATATATGTACTTGGTAGAAAGCAAGACAAGTGTGAAAAGGAATGCAAACCTCAAGGTCGTCGACACCAAAGTCGCCGGCACGAAGACCGACTTTGTTCTCAATCTCCCGATTAGCACCAACACAAGAACATGCCCCTTTAAAAAAGAAAAGTAGCTATGAACGAGCAAGGAAATTGGCTATGGTTCGGTAATTGTAATGTGGTGATCGCTTCTAGTGAGGTGAAGGAGATATGTTTATTATATATGTGAAGGAATCGTAAGTAATAAAGTACAGTAGAGAGGGATAAAGCCAAGGATGGAGAAAGAGCAAACAGGTAGAGATAAACTGATTACAATGTATAAAGATGGTGACGAAGAAGTATGGTAGCCTAAAGCTCAGGAGGTCATGGTCTTGCCAGGCAGTCTTGCAAAAAACGCGTCCTGATTCTCGTCTAGTACCAGAAGTCAGGCTGCTGCTGGCCAAAGAGGACGTTGGCTTGAGGCTGATGGGCTTCGTTTGCCTGCATCAAGCGAATGGGTTCTTTATGATGCTCCTGATGGCGATACTGGCGCTGCTTATTGAGTTCTTCCTGTCGTCGCTGTTGCTTTCTATGGTCTTCCAGTAGGCGTAGACGCTTTTCGATATCCAAGATCGCCAGGCGGAGACGAATCGCGTCGCGTTTTTCGATCAGCTTCAGCGTCTCCTCGTGGTGCTGTATCGAACAAAGGAGCGAAGTTAGAAAAGAGAATCGCCAGTTCTGTTGTGCATGTAGTTTAGAATTTGCAGCAATATTTCGTCAAAAAAAGATGTGGAGTGGTGTTGTACTGATTTGAGATGACCGAGCGTCGTCTTTAACTGAAGAAGCGCAGCAGACTGAGGGATGCGATGTGCGTGTTCGTAGGTTGCGGTGTTAGTAGTTCCGTTGGAGTTGCTAGTTCCTTGACCGGCGCTGTGCTGGTTGCTGTTGTTAGTGTCTGTGCTGGGGCTGGTGCGAGGGAAGTGAAGAACGCGATTGTTGACGAGGGTGGGAGTTCTGAGGTTGATACTGATGCTCTCGATGGAGGTGGTTGTAGTGGTGGTCCTGGAGAGTTGGACGGTGCTTTTCTTTTTGTTGCGCATGGCTGCTCGGGTTTCCACTTTTTGTGAGTGAGCGAAGGGTCTGGGAGGGGTGCTTGCGTGTTATTTGTTAAGTGAGAAGAGGAAGAAAAGAAAAGAGTTTCTTGTGTTTTGTCATAGTTAAGTCAAAAAACTTGCGCCACCAAATTATCACGTGTAGGATCTTCTTATCTTGGAAAAATGGAGCAACATACACATATTCTTCAACGCGCTTGTGAAGACAACATGGTTCTTGTTTATTATGAGCTCTCTTTTCCCTGAAGACTGTACGAAATAAAAATAAATATCATTGTAAAGGAACTATTACAACAACAAAAAAAGTCATATATCTAATAGGCAAGGAAAACCTCACTCATCTCCAACAAAAAGCTACTCTCTCACTTCTTAGGAATGGCGCTGTTGAAGGTTTTGTTCCCACCAAAGGTAGCGGGGACGAATTGGACAAGGTCTTGGACACAGCGTTGGATGGCGTCGTCGGGTGGAGAGACAATTTTGGTCGTCTTATGTTTGGTTGTTTTTTAATTAATTCGCGCGAAAAGTGAAAATTGAGAAGTGAGATGTGATAATGGTTGAGCAAGAAAATAAGGGCTATGGTACAGAAAAAAGACGCATGATGCGTCAGAAAGCAGGAGGAGACATAAAAAACGAATAATGAAAGAGCCAGATCTAATCCTTTCTCTTTTTCTTTTTGACAGGACCAGGAGTTCCCGACTCGTCGCCAGTGCCCTCCCGCTTGACACCAAAATTGCCATCAACATTCGATCCCAACGACACACCACCGGTTGCTCCTCCAGCACCGCTAGCAGCCGAACCAGTCACAGCAGATGAGGATCCAGAGGAACCTGAACCCAAACTGCCACGACGCATCTTGACAACCTTCAAATCCGACTCGAGCTTGTCGGCCTGCTTCTTGATATCCAACAGCGTTACAATGTTGCTCTGGACCTGGTCCCATTTCGCCATCACAGTTGCGGTCGGCATCGCGGGCTTGAATGGCAATCCCAAAGTAACCAGCGCAGATTGGACACGTTGCTGCTTGGTTGAGACAATCGGGGTCATCTTCTGTGATCGGAGGTATGCGCCAGGAGTAAGCTTTTCCTTCTTGACAGCAGGCGGTGGCAAGGTGGCCGAGGCTGAAGATGGTCCACCAGGGCCATCCGACGCGTTCGAAGGACGACGATGATTTGACGATGAAGAGCCTTTGAGAGCATTGGCACCAGATGTCGCGGTAGTGGGTGTTGGAGGTGCAGAGTCGTCTGCCTGGACAGACCCCTTGGGCGCCTTCTTCCTCTTCTTGGGTGTCGTTCCGCTTGCTCCTGCTGCTCCTCCTGGGGTAGCGGCACCGGCACCGCCCTTCCCAACCGATGGAGACAAGGGTCCATTTGCACTCGAGTGACCACTTCCACCTGCGCCACCTGCAGCACCTGAAGCCGAGGGGCTGGAGGAAGAAGGGATGGTGATCGAGTTACTGGGTATAATGATTCCGGTCCCAGGCCCGCCTCCTCCTGCGACGCCCACCTGTCCTGCGAGTCCTGCCGATGTCGGTCCGCCTGGTCCATAGATGTCGCGGGTGTTGAGTAACCGCAGCAAGTTCTCGCGTTCCCTCGTAATCTTTTTCTCGTTCTGGTCGATCCTCCTCGCCTCCAAATACAACGCCTCTTCTTCCTGTTGTTATTTTGAAAGTGCAGTTGTGGATGAGTTAGAAAAATCTCAGAATGATCCAAAAGCATAGAGTGCCACATCAGAAACAACTTCAATGGGTCATACCTCGATCTGCTCGGGGGTGCGGGTGTTGAGGATCTCGAGATTCTTTTTGCGCTCAATCTCTCGGTTCTTATCATAGGCCATCGAAGACAAAAGCTGAGCCTTCTCTACAGCCTGCGAGGCGTCACCCATACGAATCTTAGTCAGGATCCTGCTGATGGTGTAGTATCGGTGCTTGAGGTCCTCCATTGATCGCGTCTTGGCAGGCGTGATGCTCACGACGGCCTTAGAAGTCGATGCAGCTGCAGTTGGTGGTTTAGAGCCCGATGCTGTGGCCGTAGCTGCGTTTGTTGCTCCAGTACTAGTAGACGTGTCGCCCCCAAGTGTGGCCTGGACAAAGCTCTCTCCCGATCCCGAAGCTGCTGCGCTCGCGTCCTTCATGGGTGTGTCCTCTTCTTCCTTCTTGGTAGCATTAGGAGCGTTCTCGGAGATGACCAGGTTATTCCCGTTGTAATACTGCAGCGCCAACCGATCAGCTTCCTGGGGTGGCCACTCGTACCGATCCTGAATGACGACCCATCTCAGATCAAACCTCCTGCAAAGGTCCCACAGATAGCTAGTCTCCTCCATTGTCCAGTCCGGGTCCTTGAGATGAGATGTGTATTCCTCGGGAGAGAAACTGATGAGGTTGATAGATTTGTTGAATTTGTAGAAGCGGTACTCTTCGTTGGGGTCGGTCCTGGTTTTTTCCCAATGTTGCAGGACCAGGTCGTCGTCTCTTGAGGGGTTCACAAATGGGCGCCACGTCCTATCACCATTTCCCCGGTAATAAATAAATACAAATGTTAGCGTCCCTTGTTCCTTTCTCTTCGCCCAGTAGAAAGAGAATAAAAACGCAGCCGACAGTACTCACCAGTTAACGGCTTTTTTGCTGACGTTGAGTTTTGGCTTGTATGTAGGGTTGTTGAAAGCGACAGTGGAGACATTGTTTCCGATGAGGCCATAGAGTTCACGACTGATGCCGTCGGGCTTGCGCTCGGTTTTTTGGACCCTCCTGACCTGGTCTGATGCCTTTAGTTGAAAGATCTCGCGGACATCGTTGCCTGTCGCCATCTCTGCTTCAGTTTCCTGCTAATTTTAGGTTCTGCGGTTGTTGATGTTGATGGTATTCCTGTATAAAAGTTGATTGCTTGTTTGTTGATGGGTCGTGGTGGTGGTGGCGTTTTAGGAGTGAATGAGAGGGGAGTGGGGGAAAGAGTTGAAAAGAGTGATTGCTCAAGGAAGGCACAAAATGTCGACGTAGACTTGTAGGGATATAATGGAATTTTGCCCATTTTAAAGGAAATAACGAACCTTTCCTGGTGACTGACTTTTGTTTCAGAGGACGCGAAGCAGTGTGAGGGCTTTGAGCTTTGGACAGACCCCCATGCTCTTCTTCCACCTTTGTTCTCTCTTGTTCTCCTTCCTTTTCTTCTTGTTCCATTCACCCTTTCTTGTTTGCCGATCGACAGTCAACAACCACAGCTACCAACCTCGAACATACAAGCGCCATCTCTATACCTGAACCCCTGTGCCCGACTCTTCAACAGACTCATTCCTACTGTCGCACGCCACTCAATTTCACACACGCAACACACAGCAGACAACAGAGAAGCCGCAAACGCAACCTACCTCAACCCACAAGCTCCAAAGAAAACGTACACAAAGAATCGCATTGTTGCTGTCTGTGCTGCCTTTTCTCAGTCCCTTGGTCTCGCCACCGTTCCTCGTCGCCCTCCTCTCTTTGGCTGCTGTCTCCGTCTCTATCGTCGCCGCAAAGTCAAAGCAACGCCACCATATGGTAAGAAACTAGAATGCAACAAGGTCTACACAATACAACCTGCACAGAGGTCATTGACACCGCAATCGGGACACCAGGAGCTTATCCAGGAGACATTCAGAAGGAAGAAACGAGAGAATGCAGGATTGCCATGCGTGCGTGTGGCATTTGTGAAAGAGAAAGTCATGGCAAAGAACTCGCTTTTTTTTATTTCGAACCACGGACACAGCACACCACACCACATTCAAAAATATCTTAGGTCGTGCATGGTGTTAGGCATTAACAGTGGTACGCAAGACCAATTCTTGTTAATGTTCATAAATTTCACCTTTGTGTACCCTTTATTCCTCCAATCCTCTTCTCTCGCTTCCCTGCCTTGTTTTTCCTTGTTATCCCTGTTTTGCGTGCTTCGCAAAGTATCCCGCGAGGAGTTTACTGCGCGATAAAAAGAAAAGAAGAAAAGTAAGGTCAAAGAGAACCCAGGGGAGAAACAAGAGGGCAGTCGATGACTAACTCAGGACAACCAAGCTGGCAGAGAGGCAATGGAGACTACAATAAGGACAAAGAACAAAGGCGAATGCGATGAAGGTTTAGGTTGGGGTTACGGGAAGGTGGGTCCCTTGCTTAGTATGCTCAACGTGACTCTTTCTCCTTTTGCTCATGGGAGGAAGAAAAAGAGAATGGGAAAGAGAGACAGACAAACCCAAACCCGGAAAGAAAAAAAGAAGAAACCTTTTTTTTTATTCGTTCTTCTTTCTTTTGTTCATTCACTCTTCACATTCTGCACCACAACAACATCCTCCATCAACACCGAAACGTTATTTTTTTCGCCTTCATTGTCGTCACTCTTTCCTTCGCACATCTTTTTCTTTCACACATCACACCTAAACTCGACCCGTACCCAACACCTGACACCTTCTGGTCGCGAACACAGTCCCTCATATCCCTACGCTGGCTTGGTTCTGCCAGACAGCCAGGCTCCGTTTTCAGTCCCAATGCCTTCCTCGCCCAACATGTCTACGCCTTCTCTACCCTCATCTTCCGCTTCGACAGCAACAGGAACATCAACAACAACCACAGTTCCTGCTCCACCACCTTCTCACCCTGTAACATCCAGTAATGCTTCACACTCAATATTCTCGGGAGGCATCCCTCGGCTGTTGATAGCTGGATTGCTGTGGATCACTCTAGTCGTCACTGCTGCACACCTCTTCCTTATCTCCCATCTGGGCTTCATTGTTCTCAATTGTTTTTCACACTTGACAGCACCGCCTCCATCTGTCTCCAATTCCAATCCCTCGGCAGCATCCTCCTCACGCCGCCACACTCGTCAGTCTGGCTCGACGGATGATTCACACAACTCACCTAATTCATCTTCTACACTATCATCTTCCTTTCGACTCAACGATAATGACTCTACTCGGTCCGTGGTTAATCGGTATCAGTCCAATTCTCAGGCTTCAAACCTACCTGCCAATGCCGGCGGCATGGCCAAGAAGGTCATATCCAAAGAAGAATGGAACGCCCGTCTTGCCGAGGTTCAAGTTGACCGCGAGTAAGTTTTGACATTTGTTGTTTTGTTGCCTTTGCTCGATTCACCCCAATTAGTGTACGAAAGGGACATGTGAGGTAGGCAGGGGGTTAGTCGGTTGTGTTAGTTGTTTCCGCTCTCTGCCTCTCTCTCTCCTTGCCAAGATGTTGAACGACTGAACACTTCTTTGCCTTGTCACTGACGCATTGTTTTATTCTTGTACTCGGGTCGGTGCGTTTATCTCCTTTTTATCTACAACTACTCCTCAGCGACTTGAATAAGTTGATTATGAACTATCTGATCATCGAAGGATACAAAGATGCGGCGGAAAAATTCAGTCAGGAAAGTGGAGCCAAGCCGCCTGTGAACCTGGAGTCGATTCAGAACCGCATGGTCGTACGAACCGCCATCCAACGTGGCCACATTGAAGAAGCCATTGAGCGTGTCAATGACCTCAATCCCGAGGTAACCTTCTTGCTCCTTCCTTTCCTTCAATGGTAGACATTGTCTGTGACATGATGTGGAAATTCAGGCAAAGGACTGTGTAACTAATCGATTCATGCATTCATTCACCCTGCATACATACCTCCATGTTGTGTACCATTGTGCTTGTCCTATCTCTGCCCTTGTTTTGTTCCCTCCCTTCATTTCCTTTTCTTTCCCACTTTACCCTTCATCACTTTCCCGTGCATGCTTGTTTGTGAATTGCGACAAAAACAAACTCGCTCCCTTGTTGACCGCTGTAGATCTTGGATACCAACCCAAAACTGTTCTTTCATCTGCAACAACAACGTCTGATCGAGTATATTCGCGAGGGACGGGTCATGGAAGCGCTCGAGTTTGCGCAGGAGGAATTGGCGCCACGTGGTGAAGAAAACGTAAGTGGTTTTTGTTTTTATGTGCGCTGTCGTTCTTTGTTTGAGGCAGTTATGGTCTTTATTGCTATCAACACGCTAACGGACAATGACCTGATTTTCCCGTATGATGAATTTAGCCCGAGTTCTTGTCGGAATTAGAACGCACAATGTCGCTGCTGGCGTTTGACTTGAACGGCCCTTCACCAGTGAGCGATCTGTTGACACCTGCACAGAGACAGAAGCTGGCGTCTGAACTCAATTCTGCCCTTCTTCTCTCCCAATCACAAGAGAAGGATCCCAAGGTACTTTTTTTTATGTTTGATATCTGATCGACAGACATGGACAGGACTGCTTTGTGCGGAGAGTTTTTTTGCTTTTTCTCGCTCGGAGTTTTTTACCCCGGACAATGCGATCGAAGAATATCGAATCGAATCAACGGAACAGATATCCCATCATTCTTCCATGTACCTTTCTAACCAAGCGATTTCTTATGACTTTTCTCGATATATAGTTGCCTGCGTTGTTAAAGATGTGTTGGTGGGCTCAGCAACAGCTCGATGAACGGTGCACGTACCCAAAGATCAAAGATTTCAATAAGGCGGAGCTGGTCATGGAACCCATGGGTGCTGTTGGCGGGGGCTCTCAGGGATCGAGCTCCAGTGCTGTGGCCGGAGCCTAAAAAATATGCAAGAGGAATCTCAAAGAAGAATTGGGAGGGGGGATTTTTTTTCTGTCGGTCGCGTTCTCTTTTTCTTTTCTTACGCCCACAGTTTCCTACAAGCGGAACCCAGATTTGGTATGGAAGCACGCAAGAATGTTTGTCCGACTTTCTCTTCTCAAAAATCCTTACCTTAGTTTGTTGTACTACTTTCCCGCTCATACGAAGAAAAAAAAATCGTTCCCGAATGAAATGGTGCGTTCGTGCGACACGTACACCTCCTTTTCAGTTCCCGTCACGGATGCCGCATCTAGTGTACTTTTCTCTTCCCATTCTATCCCTTTTCCTTTCACTGCTCCCTTAGTCATTTGTACGTTTTCTCTTCGTTTTGCTTGTAAATAAACCCTCCATTCCCGTACTTTTACTTTTCAAATGACCCATTGGGTGTTGATCCGTTGGACGCTGTACCGCTTTGACACGACGATGCGATCATACGATGGAGATATGGTGTGTGCGTGTCTATTTATTGTACAAATGTGTTTTGAATGCGAATGAAAAGAAAGAAGAAAAAAAAAGAATCTACAAGAAAGGGCTATCCATGAAAAAAGGATGGATTGAATGAGAGCAAAAAAATGCAGTGAAAAGAAAAGGAAAGAAACGAAAAGCAAAAGAGGGGGTATTGACGAAGTCTATATAGAAGAAAAGCAAAAAAAGAAAGAATGAAGGAAACAAGGGAGATGTGCTGGGCAACAAACGAGCATACTAAAAGAGGTGTAACCATCAGCAGTAGCGAAGTGATGGAAAAGAACAGATAGGCAGAGAGGGGAGGGGATGACGAATTCCCTGATTGTTGTTGAGTGTGTGTGCTCTCCGCTCTCCTCCCCCCGTCCGTGTTGCTCCGAATTTTTCCATTTTCGGCCAACCCACTCATCTCGAGCAGAGAAACAGTGGTCGAGAGGTTGAGTGAGACGGAATAATTGATTTCCGGCCTGTGGGCAGACGGACATTCTGTGTCCAAGGAAGAGAATGAAAAGGGTGGTCGGTGGGTGGGTGGGTAGGTGCCGTTATTAAGTCAGAAATGATGCCGTTTGCTGAGTCGTTATCGCTGCTGCTGCTGCTGCTTCTGCGTCTCCTTTTGTTTCCCGATAATAATTGAGTTGCTTGGTTCGTTGGTTGGCTGATTGCTGAATGGTGTTGCGTGGACATTGCGTAGGTCTTGATATTTCCGCAGTCGGTCCTTGTTTAGAGAGCGGCGGCGGCAGAGGCAGTGGCCGAAGCAGCAGCCTTTTCGATCTGGGACGTAGCCTTCTCAATCTGCGAGTGTGCCTTTTCCAACTGCTGATGGGCCTCCTGCCGAGCAATTTTCAACTTCTCCAACACCGTCTCGAATCCCTTCCTGCCCACCGCAGCGTTATCTCCGAACCTCTTCAGACAAAAGTCCTCAATGTACGACGAGAATCGGGAGAGAGAAGGACCGGCGACGATTTCAGCCTCTTGTTTGAACATGGTGGTAGAATCGTCGGAGGGGTTGACGGTGTAGGTGACGGTCTCGTTGATGGTGAGGACGTTGCACATGGAGAGGTTCTGGGTCTTCATGGTCAGACGCTTGGTCTTGGGGTCCAGCTCTGACGTCTCGCGGACGTAGGATACTGTCGATCCTCCGAGGAACTATTTTTATCATGAAGGGTTAATTGATAAACAGTTGTTAGTTGGATGGAAACAGTTATGCCAGAAAAAGAAAAAAAAAAGGAGAGGAAGGACAGGCGAGTAGTATGCACTTGCGAGACAAGATAAGGATAATTTAACAGGCTAAGAAAAATACCTTGAGGACGAGGGCAGGGGCGTTCTGGTTACAGGTCAAGAGACGCTCAGTGCGGAGGACACCAGTCTCGGGGTCGACATGGCGGTTGAGGACATCGACGGCGACGACATGGGGGCACTGCTCGTTGGGGTACTTCATCCAGTTACCGGCTGTGACTTGAGCCCAGTCGTGCTCGAACTTGTGGGTTGTCTGGAAGAACTTCATGTTTTTGTGGTCGTGTGAGTTGTGAGGTAGGAGAGGTAGCGTGAGGACCTGGGGGGTGAGGGTGAGAGTGAAGTGAGACTTTGTGTGGGGGTGTGGCGAGGTGGTCGTGTGTGTGTGTGTGTGTAGATGTGTAGGTGTGAAGGTGTGGAGGAGTGAGTGCGCCGGGTATGTGTGTTAGGATGAAGAGAGAAGGAAGGTATAAAAGAGAGAGATCTGAAAAGGAATGAAGCCCAGAAGGGTGATGAAAGAGAAGTGACGAAGTAAAGAAAAAAGAGGTGGCCCGTTCCGCCTTATGTATTTGTTTTTTTTTCCTTTGTTGTTTGTTTGCACGGGGAGAAGTGAATTTCCGACTTTCAGGCACCGCCGATGCGGAGGCCCAAGGGCCGAAGAAGAGAACATGACAAAAAAAAGCAGTCATCATCAAGAAGGGAAGTGACTGATCGATTGGCGGAGCATGAAAATGCAAACATCACTTTTACACGTGATACCTTGCCAGCACGCCACTAAAACGCATTTCGTCAACATGTCGTAAGAATTGCTCTTCCTCTTTGGTCAACCCCTTCACATCGTGTGAGAAAAACAAGTGCTTTCACCTACAGACTGCCCATCAATCAGACAGCCAGGCAACCTTAGTTCGTCTTGGATTTGCACTCACAAAAAAAATCAATACGTGTCAATGCTAGTCTTTGATCCATTCGCCTTACTCGCATCACGCTGTTTTGTTACGTATTCAACGTCCAATGGAAGATGGAGCAGTGGGAAACGAGGGAGCTGTTCGAAAGAAAGAAGAAGCTATGCCTTGGGTGCGAAAACTTTAAAAAGTTATCTTATATTTATCTTGCCTAATCTCGACAATCTTGCGTTACCACGGAAAAGTGCCATACCCTCTCTGCCGCAAGAGAGCGAGAGAGAGAGCTTGCAGGGATAATCGAAGGAAAAAGGAGGGGACGAGGTTAAATTGAGAAACGAGATGAGCAAGGGTAAGCAAAGGAGAGGAGCACACGCAAAGATGACAAGGTTGCACAGGTTCACTCCCCCGTGGTCATTCTCGAGATATTATTTACTCAGTACTCTGACGACTAGGTTTATTCACTCTGCGTATTGCAACTCCTTGACTTTCATGTAGCAAAGATCGTTCACTTTCTTGGATTCCGAGGAGAAGGAGATAGAAAAGGATAAGGGGAATATGTTTCTACTGATCAAATCTTCTTTCTTTTCTTTCTTTCTTAGTTTCTTTGACCTGTGTGCGAAGCATTTTTCGAGCTGCTTGAGTTGTCCGTGGACTTGAAGTGCGGAGTCTTGTTTTTTTGGATGAGGGCAGGGGATAAGTACCTCTGCAAGTCTAATTCACAAAAGTATCTCACCAAAGAGAGACCTTTCAACATTCATGGAAGGTGGTACAGTACATACTCAAACCCACCTCAGCTTTAAGTTCATTCTCTCTTTGTTTGTGGTGCTCTTCCACAGGCGCAGTGAAACCCCCACTCGACCGGCAAGGTCGAAACTTCGGAAAGGTAAAGCGACGACCTTCATATGAAACTTCCTCCTCTCGACCTTATTTTTCGTTCACGAGTTGTCTCTCTTGCCGGGTCTCCTTGCCGTTGTTTGCTGCTCATCATCTTCCTCCTTTTTTTGCTCAAGGTCCAAAGTTTTGTATGGGGATATGGTCATGTGGGAAAACAAGGTGGGATCATACAAGCACAGTGGTACAAGATGGCAGCAAAGATATGATATCTTCCACTCTCAATCGAAGATACTTTGTTCGCAGCATGTCTCGCTTTTGACCCGCCTTCAACCCTCGCTACCTTTCGATTTTCGTTGTTTCCATATTCTCGAATAAGGACCTCATCTCTACAGCCCTCTTTCCTTCCTTCACCCGAGTGTTGTTGTTGCTTATTTTGACAACGGTATGTCTATGAAAAATATAGAGTCATTGGCTTTGTTACCGGCAACTTTACGAGCTCAGTCGTAGAATGCTCATCACTCTCAATGCACGTTGATATTGTATCTGTTGGATTTGTGACAAAGTTATGTCTCTGTTCATGCCATTTGCATACTGTCTTCGCGATAAAAAAAATAGAGATAGTTTGAGCACAACATGAAAGGTGATGAGAAAAGAGGAATAGAGAGGATCAGAACCCCGTTAAGTGCTAGAGTGAAATGGCTTTTTTGAGCTACTCGGAAGGAGACAAAAGATGAATGTAAGGGGTGAGTGTCTACATTGCAGTAGGAGCGAAGTAAGTGTAAAAAAAATGGTTGTACACTCGTCATACGTTCCTTTAGGGAATTTTCTTTTCGTTCATAGACATACTGTTCCTTGTGTCTTGCACCTTGAAGGTTAAATCATTGAACTTTGAAGCTTTCTATTCATCCTTCTTTTGCCCGTTCTCTTTGTCGTTTTTTTTTCTTCTTCGTTTATGTTTGACTGTATATGTTAACAGAATATTATGATGATAGTACACCTGAGTGTGGGTTTTATACATAACCTCGAGTGTTATGGAGAGGTATTTGTGTTCTCTAGTCTGCTCCAACACAAGGCATGACCCCCCTTTTTTGCTGTTGTCCAAAGTATGGCGCAGTTGTTAGAAGGTGTCCAGAGATAAAGAAGAAAAGAAAGGGAAAGGAAGGAACGAAGGAGCGAATGTGTGTATTGGTGCAGGTCTCGGCCAAGGTCTCAGCGTACGAGAATGTTGTGCATCCAGGACAGGAGTAAGGCGTTGTCGCTTGCAATTGTTCAAGACTGGTGCTATTCTGAAGCGAAAAAAGGAAAAGAAACAAAAAAAAATAGTGACTGGATGACCGGCCGTTGTTTCTGAAGGAATCAGACAACTGAATACACTTGGTTCAGCTTTTTTGTTAGTGTATCGTCTGTCTGTGTCTGGTTCAGATGGAATGTTCCCCACCCTTTCTCTTCGTTTCTCACTTTACTTTTTTCCACGAGACAGAGTGGACGTCAGTAGAGTACGCTGTTCCTTGATTACTTACATTTAGGGACCATCGGCGAATGAACTCTGATTCGCTTAAAGTTGAAATCAAATTATTGGCTTATCTGCCTTCTCTGTCAGTCTGGTCAGTTCAAGTTGGTTCGATGGTACGCTTATGGTGGTACTGTTTATATATTTGCAGATGCAGGAACAGTTCACCGCCGCAAAAACAACCGGGGGTCCATCAGTCTTGTCATCAAAGAAAACGGCTCACTTCAAACAAGTTCAATCGCCCTTCGCCCTTCGTTCGTATATAAACCAGGCCATGAACTCCAACGCCGGTGCCGTCTTAGGATCTGCCCTTTGCCATTGCGATCAACAACAAAGTTGTCGTTGCCCAGTCCCTAGGAGACTCGACCTACATTGTCTTCATCTCGCTCATGGCCATTGGTACCCTCATTGCTCTCTCGCTGTGCCCCCCTACCTCGGTCGCCCACTCGAACGGAGACAAGATCCAGATTCAGGCCTTCCTCGCCTGGACCGGTGAGGTCGTCGCCGTCATGAAGCTCTTCCTCGACTAGCGCATGATTGTTCTCATCCCCATGTTTCTGTCCTCCAACTGGTTCTACTCTTACCAGTTCTCGACCGTCAACGGCGCCTACTTCTCGACCCACACCCAGTCCATCAGCAACATCTTTTACTAGTTCTCCCAGATCGGAGGCTCGTGGACCTTTGCCTGTGTCCTCGACTACCAGGGCGTCAGCCGCAAGACCCGTTCCCTTTGGGGTTTGATCATCATCACCGCCTGCTTCGTTGCCACCTGGATCGGAGGCATCTTCTTCCAAAAGGGTTACACCATCTCGTCCCTAAGGGTAACCACGACTACACCGAAGGTGCTTCCTACGTCGGACCTCTTTTCCTCTACATGTTCTACGGTTTGAACGATGCCGTTTGGCAGACGTACTGCTACTGGTTGATGGGCGTCCTCTCCAACGATGTCACCGTCCTTTCGCGTTACGCCGGGTTTTCAAGTGTATCCAGTCCTCGGGTGCTGCTATCGCCAAGAGAATCAATGCTGTTGGAACACCTTACATGACCGAGTTGATCATTTGCTTTGCTCTATTGATTGCTTCCCTCCTTGGAGCCCTCTTCTTGACCATGCGCATCAAGGATCCCTCGGATGAGCCTACCTCCGAGTACTACATGCAGACGGTCGAAGGCAAGCTGGAGATCATTGCCTAAGCGATTCCCTCTCTTACTTTCCCTCATTACATCCATTTAGCATTACTACCTTTTATTATGTACTTTTATCATTACAACCCGCAGAGTTTTAGTTGGAGTAACATCTCACTCCTCATCGAATAAATAACTATTTTAATACATATGCATCTTGTTTGCCCTTGTTTCTTACTCTCGTTACACCATGATTATCTTGCTTGAGCGCCCATTTTTTTGCAATGAAAGGGGAGAATAAATGTACCTGCCGTCATTATATTTCCGTCAATGCAAGATTAAAAAGAAAAGTAAGCATTCCTTGGGAAATTTTCATTAAGGGTCCATTCGGATCTTTGCTCAAGGCTCAAGCCACACGCTGTTCTTCGCCCGGGACTTTGCCAGAGCGACAAGAAAGAGATCAGATCACTTCAACCTAAATTCTCCATCAACACATTCGCAACCCTTCTCCCTCCATAATACATTCTCACAACGATGTTACTACCACGGACATACGCCAACCTCACTCACTCCCTCCAGTCCTACTCAACCTCATGTTCCAGGATAAGGGCGTCTTCATTGTTAAATGCATGCCGATCAATTACGCCACCATCAACACGTTCGACGGTACCTGCTGCGCTGAACCTGGGCAGTCACCGTCGCTTTTATACCACCGAGCCAGCGCCAACACCAGCACCAGTAGTGGTAGCAAGTGAGGAGGATCAGGCTACGTCCGAAAAGTTCCGCAGGGTCCTCAGGAAGGTCCCCTTCCCAGGTACGACAAACCAGTTCCTTTTCACCCCCCCCCCCCCCCCCCTCCTCCTCCTCCTCACAACGCTTACTACCGTCTGAAACGACCATCAACAAACATTGACAGAATAAAAGTAACCACGTCTTCAACCGATCCCAATCGCTAACATGCACATCCTCCTTCTCTTCAATTTTCACCTCATATAGTCGTCGTCGTATCAACATGCTCGCCTGAAGACCCCACCCTCCGCCGCGGAATCACAGTTTCGTCCTTTTCCTCCATCTCGCTCCAACCAATCCCCCTGGTCTCCTTCTGTGTCAAATTACCGTCAAGGGCGTCTACGGTCCTGCATGAATCCGATCAATTTGTGATCCAGTTCTTGTCCTCGGAGCAGATTGCGCATTCGGTTGCTTTTTCGTCTTCGGTTGCTCCTCCACCGGGTGTGAGCAAGGTGCTACCTGGAACTGGACCAGGATCGGAAACAGGGGCAGGAGCAGGAGCAGGAATAGGAACAGGAACAGGAAAGAGAAAGAGGCCGGAGGACAAGGACATTGAGGACTTGGTCGCCGAGGCTAGTCGCCAGACCTTGCTTCCCTCTTCTTCCACCAGCAACAACAACAGCAATTCCACTCCTACCACCACATCAACAGCAACAACATCAACAACCCCAGGACAAGAGCCAGACCCATTTGAGGTGCTAGGATACACTACAGACCTAGAATCGAACCTCCCAGTGCTCAAAAACACACTGGGCGCGATCCGGTGTCGGACCCACCAGGTGATGGTTATAGGAGATCATGAAATGTGGATCGGACATGTGGAGAAGGTGCTTCATGGACAGATCCCGGACGAGATGGAGCCGTTGTTGTATCACGATCGGTCATATCGTCACGTTGGGCGGCGGATACTATAATTGTAGGTTATGTTTTTTATTTGGCGAAAGGGAAAGAGAGTGGTTGTAATGCCAAGCCGATTAATAAATCAGCGATAGAGACTTTAATGCAACGATCGATGTGGTTCGAAGAAGGTGGTTAAAGATAGTAACGATTGCCGTATGAGACTGATTAGCGTTTTTCTTTAGGTTGTTTAATAAACTTCGAGCTTCCGCGCGCGAAGCGGCGGGTCTAGTATATTTAAGTGGCAACAGGACTATCAATAGCCGTGTGAGACTAACTAGCGTTTTTCTTTAGGTCGTTTAATAGCGCGCGAAGCGGCGGGTCTAGTTATGATTACTATGATTACTAACGGTTACTCGTGAGTACCCTGCCGGATACCAACAAGTATATAAAGTAGGAGTTGCCCTTTCAAAGAGGAGGCAATCATCAGTTCTTCCCCTCTTCCTCAATCAACTCTGCAAACTATTAAAACTTCATCGAAGAAGTAAGTTCACTACTCGCCCACCCTGATAACATAGCAGGACCTCCGCATCCGATATATTCATGCCCACACACTGCGTGAACCATACTTATATATTTCCATTGATAACACTTATTTAGATACAATGACACGCTTATATCTTGTGCTTGTTGTGATGGCATTGGTGGCCGTTGTTAACGCCGCTACGACCTACAACTACCATTTCTGCTCCGATTCGCCCTGCAACAAATACAGGGGACAGGGCCCTACCTACGCTTGCGGCAACAAGAATGGGTATAAATACTATATCGCCCCCGGCACTGGTGATGCGTACACCTCCCAGAAGTGGAGAAGCACCGTTGCCATGAATGATGGGTTCGAGAGATGCTGCCTCAAGGGACGCAAGTACGCCTGCAGCAACATGAAGGCGGGTGGTGTAAACTGGCAGTTCGTCCAGTCTTGGATCTCTACTGGCGGCGAGATTGCATCCACTGCCGGCTCGTTCGCGGGAAAATAGATACAAAACACTTTTAGCGCTGAGATATATTGCACAAAGTCGTATAAACTATTGTAAGGTGCAGCCTTGCAAAAGTCTTTTCCCTAGCGAGTCTTTGAGCAGCTGTCCTATCCCTTCGTCTGTTACTGTTTTGGATGCAAATTTGCATTCAACATTTTGCGTGCTAGACACATGTACCTCCATATGTTAACAATCTAAAAAGGGGTTATTATTTTAAGGGCTCCAAGCGTTAGGCACTAGGCCAGATATCTAGAGTTTTTTTTGGGTTCGTGGGCAAGCCTTCTTGCCAGTCTTCGTTGCTGTTGAGGAGGCAGTGAATGCAGGAGCTACTTCTGCCGTGTATTCTTCAGATGCAATGACACCCTTCCCTCTGAATGCTGCTACTTCATCGTCATCAGACTCATCCTCGCCGAGCATCTTTCGAATTCAGCGAATGATGGAGAACGACATCTCTTCTACCTTCTCAATCTCTTGTGTGCTGCTACCTTGGGTCTCAGAAACGTCGAAGACGCTCAAGAACTTGAGGCTAGGGTCGATTTGCAGGTTGGGCGAAGTTTGTTTTAGGTTGGCAAAAGAGTTATGAAGACTGGAAAGAGAGTGTCCTTATTTCATGGCCGCAGGCCATGAAATTAAGTTCCGTCCATCTTCCAGCATATGACTTGAAGGGTCTGGAGGGTACATTTTATCACGTGCTTCATAAACTCTTTCTCTTTCCCAAGTCCCACGCGATACTAATGTGGGGGGCGAGAAACAAGGACGACTTATGCCGACATTGTGGTCTAGAGACGGATGATAATTAACACATTTGGGCGCGCTCCAAGAGCAGGGAGACGCGAGAGGAGCTGTGGGAGGATGCCCTCGACCGAGTCGACGGATGGGGAGAGATCGCCACACGGTTGTTCAACAAACAGCGACAGAAGCAGCTCAAGCCAGGAAAACAGCCACCCCCGAGACTGTATGGAGGATACCAAGAACCAGCAAGCTCCGCAAGGCGCTGTGGCAGGCGATCAAGCGTTCAGGCGAGGGTGAGGAGGAGAAACCGGAACAGCACACCCCGAGCGCGTGGACAGTCAGCCACATCTACCGAGGTCTAGTGTCGAAAGCCCTAGCTACGCAGTGGAGCAAGGAGTTCAAGGACGTAACAGAGAGCATTACCCAGCACGTGAGTCGTCTCTTTTGTCGATATGTCGAGAAGGAGGCCAGGGAGCAGTTATGGAAGCCACGCTGCGAGAGGACCATTAGTTGGGAGGAGGAGAACAGCATCACTAACAGCATGAAGCACACACGCACCACCAAGGACCATAGGGCACAGTGGACACAAACCCACAGGTGGAAACAGATATATGGGCGGAAACAGATCTATGGGCGGAAACAGATCTATGGGCGGAAACAGATCTATGGGCGGAAACAGATCTATGGGCGGAAATATATTTATGGGCGGAAACTCTGAGAATACGAGTGGCTGTGCGGACGAGCGGTAGCAGAACACAGGAAACAGCGGTGCCCAGGCGAGCAGAGCGATACTCGAGTGGCTGACCGAGCGGTCATCGACACCCTGCTGGGCCTGAGGCGAATGGATATTATGGAAAGGAGAGGCAACATGGTCATCAAGGAGTTGGAGTTGGAGCACACCTAGATCTCTTGAGCGCGTCCCACAAAGCAACAAGAGCCGTTTGGACTCACACGCGTCGTCCCTGACCCGGTGATGACGGGCTGTACAATCCTCATATGCACTATACGGTGTAGGATACTCTACTGAGTGAGGAGACTATGTGCACGTACGAGGAACACTTAGACGGCTCCACTTTTGGCATCTTTACCTTGACAAAAAAAAAAAACGTGGGGGGCGAGACTAGCTGAAAGGAAAAGGAATGTATAAAGTTGTTTCACTGGCGACAACTTACTATTTAATTATGGTGAGAGAAATGGCTGAGCCATACTATTGCAAACAGTGTTCTCGTCGAGTCAAATCCAACTACTCTCTCTATTCACTCTGCTTACTCTATACAAGCATGTCACAGCAACTCTCCCATAAACTCCAAATGAATCCCGCCTTGTCAACCGACCTCTCGACGACGCCCTTGAGGATCAACACCAGTTTTACAGCCATTCGCAGTGAACACCTCAGGGACCATGCCCTCTATCCAGATCAATGCTGCCACGGTCGTCGTGCACGATTTTCTTTGAATACACCAAACACCAGAAGGTCTTGTGATTGCATGCCCTCCGAACGTCCTTAAAGAGGCCGAAATTTGGGGGCTCTCACGGCCGTGGAAGCCTATTTTTTTTGAACCAAAAAACCCTAAAAAACCCTTAAGGATCGCACTAACTGCGTGTAAGGAATTCGGCCTCTTTAAGTGATTTCATGCCCTCCAGTCTTTCCTGTAGCACATTCGATCCAATTTTTTCGGGGACAGCGTCGCTGGTGTTGGACGGAGGGACTGGTAAATCCAAGAAGAGGGGACTCGGTCTCGATTCAACATTTTCGGTGACGATTATTGGTAAATGCACAGAATACATGTAACTTTTTTTTTCTCAATAAGCTGAGCCACATATGCCAGGGGATTGGCCACTGGACGCTGCGTTCAAATCAATCTTCAACACAAACTGCTTCACCCGCCGTATCTGCCGAGGGACTCTCTTGTAAACTTTCCCAGTCGATTTCAAGTACTTCTGCGTTCGGAAACCGTCATAGATCTCACCAGGAACAACGAAGATCAGCAGAGCGTCATCAGAGGAGCCAATCCAGTTTTGTCGAATGAGACTGTTGAGAAATTTGACTGATGGAAGGTCCCCCCTCAACTGTCTGCCCTTTCCTACGCTCCAGCCATCGTCTATGCTTGAAGGTAGGTTGGTAGACAGCCTTCTGCTTGACGGCCAAGTTGAAAAACTTGGGCAACGGTTCCTCGGCCTGTTCATCCTCCTTTGCCTCAGTACTTGACAGCGGCGACTCCATGGTCGTGGGGCCAGACTCTTGTACTTGTTCGACATTCGGTTGATCGCGAGTGAGTAGAATCGCACTCGCTCCAGCGACAAATGCTTGGCCCAAGTCAATGCCGAGGATCTTGATACTCTTGGGATCACAACTCCAGAGCTGGGTGACATCCCGCTTGGTTGAAACGACATTCCTGATCTCTCGGAGGTAGTAGTAGGCCCCTCTTACGGTTGACGTCAATCTTGGTGGTAAGCGGTTGTCGTCCAGCCTCCGGTAACGAACATCTTAAAGCTCTCAGAGCTTGAATGCAAGAAGACTCGCATCCAAGAGAATATCAGCAATCTATTGGAGCGGTGGTTGGAGTCACCGAGATCGATATTAGACAGCGTTTTGGAACGACACAGAGGAAAGGTCGTCCTTGACAAGATCCAGATCACCGACAATGGGCTCACGCACAACCTACTGGAACCGCGAGAGATCATGGAATACGCTAGGAAGTGGATCGAGAAGTGGCACGGACCGCGACCAGCACAACCATTGGAACTCGGATCCTGCTGGGAGAGACAGTACCAGCTACTGGAAACCGTTGAACAGGAGTGGTACAAAACGCTCATGGACTCGCCGTCGTCCGAGGAGTTCTTGGATACGGTCAAGGAAGCACCAAAAGGCAAGGCGCCAGGGGTATCAAGTCTGTTAAACGAGCGTTTCCAGAGGTAGGGTGTTGAGGGCCCGCAAGTTTTATATCAACTGGTGTCGGCGTGTATTGTCCAAGGTCGAGTTCCGAAGGATTGGAGAACAGGACGGATGTACTGTAAAGCCTGCAGACAGATATATAAGCAGTTCGAAAATGGACGTCTCCTTCACAAAAATGTCGGAAATGTCTCTGAAATTGTATTCAACGGAGGCATAGCAAGAGTACGTGATCTACAATATCGAGCACATTCTCCGAGCAACGATGACGGCTACTACCTAATCTTCGGTCAATGAGGTAATCGCCTTTGCGTTGAGGGCTAATGATGGCTTGTTCGAGACCGAAATCGAGACGATTCTTGCCTGATATGCGCCACCCACCAGCACCAACACCACTCAAGATGACGAGGAGCAAGCAGTCGAGGAGCAAGAAGTCAAGGTGCAAGACGGGGAACAGGGAGCCAAGGACCAAGACGATGCGCAGAGCTCTGACGAGCAAGGATCAGCCCCAGTCAATCGTCAAGGTGTACGACTGGAGGAAATTAGAGCGATCGCTGACCGTATGCTTGTTCTCATCGCTGAAATGGATCAACTCTCTGTAGCATAAATGCGTGCCTCTCCTTTGCCGTCCTCTCTTCCCCACCTTCCAGTCTACAAAAATACTAGTCGATAAACCATTCTTACCTATGACCCCTGCCGTATATTTGCCCTGTGATACCCAGATAGATGGAGCTAGAATTAGATAGCACCAAGCCACCAGGAACTGTGTAAATGCCAGATCCTGGTGGGAGCCTATTCCCAAAATGCGTTTCAAGGCCTTGATTTTGCTCTGCGATCTTTTGAGCTTCACAGCAGATTCTCCTAAGAGCTGCAGCGCATCCGGACGAAAGCAAAGTGCACTGCGATGCTTTGCTCGCCTGCGTGGTCCAAGTCTTTGGGGGGCCAACTGCAACAATCTAGCCTATTGGCTGCAAAGCTGGTGAATCCGTTGGCGGCCTCCGTCAATGTCAACGCACTTGACTGCGTCAAGTACTTTGTGGTTTACGAATGGTATGATTCCCTCGCCTTAGAGCCTGGCCGAGAGAATATCCAGAAACCCAGGTCTCACTAGGATTCGGATATAAATTTTTTGTCAACCAAGCAACCATTTTGTAAAAAAAAAAGATCCCCTCGAGTGCATGACATTTTGTAGTGCGAAAACCCAATTCCTCAGCCCTCGGGACCATAAACAAAAAGACAAAATACTTGACATAATAAACCACAGTCTCCTTTCTGGCACATGAAACTGACACGCTCCTATCCAATCATTCACCGCCCAGCGATGAACAAATGCAAACAGCTTTACGTAGAAGAAAAAATAACAACAACTGGTAGGCGTTCTAAAGGTTATCGATATGGTCACGTGAATGTCGTCATTGTTTCCCCGTTTCGGCGGACAATGTTCTTGCGTTTTGACCTAGCCTCCTCTCAGAGAGCGAGAGTAGAGAGACGACGTCAAACGACTCCTCTTGGTGCGTTCATGCACCTTAGCCCTTGCCTTGACCAATCGCGTCTTTCTATGACCTAGGGTGCCTTTTTCACGTACACCTGCGTACATGCCTTTAAGCCATGTTAATATCACCGAACAACATACCACCATTGGTCCCTTTTTTCCTTCCCTGAATGCTTTCATAAGCCAGAACACGCTTTGCCAATTTATTCCGCCGACGACTCCACAACCCTAATGTCGCCATTGGCCATTCCATCAAAAACCGCCAAGACAAATTCATTCCAAGCGAGAAAGGGCAATGAGAATGTGTAAGAGATGTAAGGGAAAAAAAAGTCTACGTACACTTCCCAATTGTCATTTTTGTCGTGTCTACCTTGTCCCCTTATTTATTCTATCTCTTCCTTTCCTTTCACTTTTGTTGCAAAAATGGGACTAGGGGACGGAGAAAGTCGGTAGCCAGAAAATAATCGTTTTTCTTCTTCTTTGTCCGATATGTTTTGGCCATCGGGGATGGGATGATAGGGCTGCTCATCGTGGCTGGGTGTTGATATTGTTGTTTTTTATTTTTTTATTTTTTTTTTTTGGCCCATTGTGTTCCCTGGCATTTGTTTTCATATTTCGAGGTTTTTTTTGGACTTATGTCCCTTGGTCGCTAGCATCAAAGTAGAGGGCTAGAAAAATGGATGGCCTCGATTGGTGTCGCGAGCTTTTTTCATTTTTTTTTTTGTCTTTTTTTCCAGTTTTCACGCTAGTGTTTGCTGAGTGGAGATGCGAGGGATGTATGAGAACGAGGGAAGAGTAAAAGGAAGAAGGGAAGAAGAACGAGGGAAGGAGAAAAGGAATAAGGGAGAAAGAACGAGGGAAGGAGAAAAAAAGAAGGGAGAGGGATCGACGGAAAGTTGGTTTGAACTGTGGTGATGGTGGTGGTGGTTGGTGTGGATGGGTGTGGATGGGTATGGAGGGAGTGTGGGTGTGTAAGTGTTTTCTCCGCCTTGTTTTCGTTCAGGGTTTGTCTGAAAGTAAATTAACCTTTGCCGACCCAAGGACAATTACCAATGGTCGAACAAATAGCGAGCCACTCGTATGTTAGTAGTGCTTGTGCTTATTATTATCCAATTATTCATCGAAAATGAATACAGAGAGGCATGTAAGGTAACAGTAATGGTAGTATCTTCATGCCCGTCGTCCATTGATCAGTGATCCTGATCCGTGATCCGTGGTCTACCCGAAAATAGAAAGCATCGTTTGTGATCGTCACTCTCTCTCACTCTTTCTCCCTTTGTCGTTGCTTCTTTTTTCTTCCTTTCCCCCCTCCATCCATTCATCATCGATTTATTTGACAATTCTTTATCCTTCTTCCCCTTCCGCCTTTTTAATTCTTCCTTCTTCTTCCCTCTTCTTCCCTCTTCTTCCCTCTTCTTCCTTCTTCTTCCCTCTCCCTCTTTCTACTTCCTTATCTTTTCTTCTTCTTCCCTTTCTTTCTTTCGTTCTTTCTTTCTTTCCTTCTTCCTTCCTTCCTTTCTTCCTTTCTTTCTTTTGTTCCCTCCCCTTTCTCTCCTTCTCCTCCCCCCTTCCCTCCCCTCCCTCCCTTCTTTCCTTCATACACCCTCACCCATACATAACAAATAATTCAAACCAATCAAAGCCTTTTCTTTCAGGTCCACCATCCATCCCTTTATTTTTTCGTTCCTCTCTCTCTCACATTCATTCTCCTCGCTGGGAACTTGGATTGGCAAGACGAAGAAATCCAAGAAAAAGGCCCAAACATTCTTTCGTGCTCATGGATCTCTCCCGGTTGCTCAATCCCCTTGGATCGGATTCTGAACAGGCTCCCTCTTCTCATCCTGGGCCCACAACCACAACCACACAACCCGACACCGGCTCCAACTCTGGCATCAACTCTACTTCAACATTCCACCGTCAGCAACAACAACAACAACAACAACAACAACAACAACAACAACAACAACAACAACAACAACAACACCACCACCACCACCACCAGCAGTACTATCACGACAGCAAAACGGATGGAAGGAATCACGATCGCCAAGAGTTCACCGACTCCATCGGTCCAAAACGCCACGACCTGACAAGCTCGGTCGAGCAATTAGGAGGGTTGGCGACTCTGAACATTGAAGGTGGTCGTCAGAACTACCGCAACCAACAGCTCCCAGCGCGACACGATTATCCATCAGATGGCGGTGGAGGTGAAGGTTATGAGCAGCAGCGCATCGTGGCCCAGCCTAGTCCTTATTCTCGGCCGCCTTGTGAGAGCAACTACTTTTCTCCTGTGGAGGGCGATGATCGAATGGACCAAGATTATCACCACTACCAGCAGCAGCGCCAGCAACACCGCCATCACCACCAGCAGCACATGCGACAAGATCAACAGCAGCAACAACAACTTGAGCAGCAGCAACATGAGCAATTGACGTCGCCGACGACAAAACGCAAATATCATGAAAATTCGTCTACATCATCATTCGCTAAACCTTCTTCATTTGGATTCAACCACCACCACCAACAACAAAATTCGGATGAGCAGGAGAACGATGGGGATGTTGATGAGGAAAAGGGTGGAGGGAGCAGTGGGACAAGTAACAGCAACACTACCAGCAACACCAGCAGTGCTGGTACTGCTTCAGGCAATGGAGGAGGAGGAGGAGGAGGAGGAGGAGGTAACAATGGCAGCAGAAACAGTTGGAGTGCGGGTGAAGCGAAGAGACGACGTTCTTTGCTTGCTCAGTTTCAGGAGTCGGGCGATCTCTCTTCCCTCGGACAGCAGCAGCAACAGAGTTTATTCGGGGACCCGGTTCAGCCACATGATCGCAGGAACAGCGGCAGTGCCAGTGGCATTGGCAGTGGCCACAAGATTGGGGGTAACCCGAGTGAGTCTGGGTCTCATAATACGGCAGCATCATCGTCTTCACCGTCATCATCACCATCCGCATTGTCAGGAACAACATCGGCAAAAATAAAAACACAAGCAGGAACACCAGCAACAGGAACATCAACAAATGTTCCATTGACATTTGAGCGAAGTGGCGACGGAAAGTAAGTTTCTCTTCCTCTCACTCTTTTTACATTTCTACACTTTCCCGTTCCTCTCCATCTCCCTCGCTCCTTCCCTTTTCTTTTTCACCCCTCTCACACCCCTTTTTCTTCATTGCATTTTTCACTTTCGGATTTCTGATCTGAGTGTAACTATATGCTTGGAGTAAAAGAAAAAGTCGTGTATTGAGTGGTGTGCCCGATCCCTCCGATCTTATTCAACGTCACATCCGCGAAAAAGGAAACGAAGTGAATGGAAAATAAGGCGTTCCACCCCCCCCCCCTCTCTTTTCTTTCACTTTTTTTTCTTTCAAGTTTTTTTTCCCCTCTTGGCGAGTATCACCTCGGTTATTGAAGGTGCTAATTAATAATTAATAGGGACAATTGGGCAGAGGCACAACGGAATATGTGATAAGATGTATGTGTAAGAAAAAGGAAAGAAGAAGAAGGGAGACAAGAGAATAACAAAGATGAACTAGCCCGTTTTGTCATAAAACAGGATTTTGATTCTGTTACTCTTCCCTGACTGGCCGAGTTAGGGACAATGCGCGTCAGTCCCTTGTCGTTTAAGGTTGTCGGTGTGTTTTTGGTGTGTGTATGTTACTATGATGTCAACTATCACACTCTTCCTCATCATCACTCTTTTCACTTTGTTCACTACCATTGTTGTTTGTATCACCATCCATCTGCATTATGCAACCCTCCACCAGATTCTCCCCTTTTTTTTAACCCCTAAATTCTCCCTCTCCATCTTCCCCCCCATCCCCCTCCTTTTTTTTTTTTTGTTATCATTGAATAAATGAATTGGAAAATAGGATCCGGTGCACATTTCCTCGATGTGGAAAAGAGTTTTCGAGCGAGTCAAGGCTATCGACACACATCCGCATCCACTCGGGAAAACCTCCCTACCCATGCGACTACCCAGGATGTGCCAAAGCCTTCCACACCGTACGTCCAGTCCATCTTTTTTGTTTTGTTGCGTTGCATTACTTGTATTGCTTTGTTTGTTATGCTTGTTGATTTTTTTTATAGTTCTCTCTCCCTTGTTTACTATATGTGCATGTGTGTCATCGTGCACTAAAAAAGGATTACCTTCCTGCATAAATACGTTATTCTTACAATAGTCATCGTCGTTGTCACACCATCGGGTTGTGCACTCGGATCAAGGCCTGAGACCCTTCGTATGTCGTCATGACCGCTGTGGAGCAACCTATACTCAATTGGCCCGGCTCATCACCCATCAACGCACAGCCCACAGTGGTATGTTCTGTGACCCTGGAATTTTTTTATTCTTCTCACCTCACCTCCATTTCCCTCCCTGTCTCTCTATCTCTCTCATGCCCCGATCCCCACTTCCTCAATGCTTTACAATAACAAACAAACTCCACTAACTCTTTCAATTGAATCTTCATGTCTTGTAGCAACAACAACAACGACGACGACGGGTAAGAACAACACCAAACACAACAACGCTTCGACCGAATCAACAACCGAGGCGACGGGGAACAAGTCAACATCATTATCATCATCATCGTCATCTACGCAAAAGGCCGTGACTAGTCCTACTGGTGCTAGTGGCAGCGGCAGTGGCAGTGGTAGTGCTAGTGCCGTGGAGAACATGAGCAGGACCACGAACAGGGGCACTAGAGCTTCCACCACTGCTACAGCTGGACTTGCGTCGTCTTCTTCGTCTTCCAGACCGCCGCCTTTTCCAGGAACAGGAAGATCCGGAGCACCAGGGGAGGATGGTGAGGATGAGAGCGATGATATGAAGCAGCGCCGTGAGGCTGCCTTGACGATGGCCAGCATCAGGGAACTCGCTGGCGACAACAAGACGGTCACTTCTCCGCCATTAGGGACACGACCGGTTCCACTCTCTCCTCCGGGCTCTGGCCCTGTTTCTCCACAGGACCAGTATTCGCCTCAGGATCGTCGGTTCACCTTTTCGTCTCAACATCAATTACGAGAGCAGGGTCTGCCCGGTTACTCCTCTTCCCGTCGACAATCTCACCCGAACCAGCATCAACAACAAGTTTATAGCCACCAACAGCAGGATTACCCGTACCATCATCAGCAACAGCAGCAACAACGTCATTATGAGTTCGGATCGCAAAGGAGTAGTAGCAATGACATTGACTATGAGTCTGACCGCCCACAACACCACCATCAACTTCACCGCCAGCAATAATAGAGCAAGTAGAATTATTAGGACGAGAACCTTTAAGACGCTCGTCGCGGTTTGACTACCCTAACGACGATAGATCACCTTCTCGATACCGCGACGTAGGGCCATAAGAACGCTACACCTCCTCAAACCCAATTCTGCACTCTTTTTTTTTTTTTTTTTTTTTTTTTTTTTTTCCTTCATCAACCTGTAAAACTCTTCATGCTTTTATACTTTGGGTAATCATTTTGTCTACCTCCATTGTCTCCTTTCCTTCCCCCATCTCCTTCCCTTCATTGTCCCTTCTTTTGTTTTCCCTCTCATTATCCCCTTCCCTTCCTCCTCATTGAATTCTTATCATTGCCATCTTCATTTCCCCCACTCACATTTTTCTTTCTCTCTCTTTCTCTCTCTTTTTCAACCTTCTACCTTTCCCGCCCGTACAACAGCACACCAACCAAAGCACTTCAATAAAATCACAAACTTAGAGTTCTCTTGATGTTTCCTACATCGTGAACGGCATAAAACATCGAAAAGAAATCTTACTAACCATACTTAAAGTCCCATGTTGGGCCCCTTGATTGTGAACAAAACAAGTGGCATTGGCGTCAGATCTGGGTCATCAAGTCCACAATACAAAGCAAAAGAGGATATTATTTCAAGTTGTAACTTTTTACTTCAACCCCATCTCATTGTTCACACACGGTCCAGTCATCGTTTTTCGAATGTTATTTCGATTGATTTTTTTTTTGGGGGTGGTTTTGGTTATAGTACAGAAAACGAAAAGTTGATAAAGATAAGCAGCAAAGAAGGAATGAAGTGAACACGAGAAAGTTGTGAGAAATATGGGAAAAGGAAGATTGTGAATGATTTTGGAGGGACTTGTATGAGAAGGAAACGAATTGCAGAATAAAGAAGGAAAAAATAATAATATATGGAGGACTAGGAGATATGAAAAGACTGCTGTTTTGTGACTATGTGATGTTGATGGTATGGAGTCGTGTGGGGAATCAAACCCGCAACGCGCCACTAAACACTTTATCCTTTGACCCTTACTCAGCCTCCAACCAGACAATCCTGAATGAATGAGTTATTGTGCATGTGAGAAACAGGCCATCCAAAGCGACTGTCTGATATGTCGTCCTGATAGCCCATAATGCGGTCCTGAGAATGGTTTCCTCTAGTACCTCGATATTTGCTGTTAATGTTGGATATTTTTTGTTATTTTGATATAGTTCCTTTGGTAGGTTCCAGTTTGGCCGACGCATTGAGAACATTGCTGAGATGTTTATCCCGCTCCTGCTCCCCTGCCTCAGCACCACAACCTCCTACACCTTCACACTCCCAAACTCTCACACGCCTCCTCCTTCCTCGTTCATTTCCTGTTCGAAATGATCGGAAACGAGATACAACGACAAGAATTAGTCATCATCCTCGTAGCGATCATAGGGTTTGTTCCTCCGTGAGCTGGATCCTTCCCGGTCCCGGTCGGCGCCAGCGCCGCGGAGTCTGCTGCTGCCACGATCCCGATCCTGCGATGCCACCTTCGCTGCCTTGGCCGAAGCGTTCACAGTCTCACAGGCGTCAATCCAGTCATGGTACACGTCCACTGCATGGCTCAGGTCTATTTGAGGTAGGTGCAATCGGGTATTTGGTAAGCGCTTTGTTGGCAATAAAGATGTGGTATGATATCGTGTGCTTGGTTGTAGTAATTGAGGTATGTGCGTAAGTGTTTGTGTGGATCCTATTGAGGTGATATGGCGAAGGTATTTTTTTTTCTTCGTGGAAACACAAAGAGTGTGTGGGAAGTGTAATAGAAGGACGTAGGACAACTTACAGTTGATCGCGCAGGTGTAGTTGACACCACACATTCTGCACTGCAGGACACCGATCTTCTGGTCGAAATCACTATTTCCCCATCGTCAATAAAAAAAGAACTGTTAATCACCTTGACAATCGTTGGCAATCAAGGAGATCCTTGTTTTTATCGCCCGACAACGAGTGATGGTGGAAACGACAGCCAAAGAATAGAAGGAGGACAGTACAGCTTGCAGGAGATCGACTTTTCGTGGAAGCATGAAACACAGTCAAAGGTGGAGTCGAGGGTCTTCTTGACCTTTGCCTGTGGCTTTCTGCTGGACTTTCTCTTTCCCATTGTCGGATGTGTTTATGTGTGTTTGGTGTTGGTGGTGCTTGGATGTGTCAATCGAGAGAGGACAGACGGTCAGAGATTCGTAGGCGAGAGAGGCGTGGACGGAGGGAGGGAAGGAGAAGGATCGAGAAAGTGAGTGAGAAAGTGTGAGTGGAGTGAAGGAAGTGAAGAAGAAAAGGAGCGAGGGAAAAAAGAGAGGAAGAAAAAGAGCGTCTCTTTTAAACGTTCTGGAGACGAGTGTCCAGTGAGTTGTTGAGCGGACACAACATGGAGAAGTGGAGAGCTTCTGTTGCACGTGATGTGGACCCCCCTTTTTTTTTCCCTTTTTCATCTTTTTCACGGATGATGTGTTTGTTGTTTTTTCTATTTCTTTTTTGTTTCCCGCCCCTTCTTCCTCTCTCTTTCACATCCCACCCATACGACCAACAACAACAATAACGCAAGCGAACCACCTGCAACAAACGGACGAGCAACCAACCATAAGGGCCATATCAACACAACCTACAAGGAGATGGTCCACAGACTGGTCTCGCGCCACCCTTGGCGCCAGCACCACCATCCTCGAACAACCACTGCAACAGTGACCTCAACAGCCACTTCACGCCACCATTTTTATTCCATCCTCTCCTCTTCTTCCCCAAAAACAATACGCCCTACACGAGTCCTCCTCACCGCCTCTCTCGTCAATGCACACCACCATGCTTGCGTCGCTCCTACTTCCAGTCGACTGGCATTATATCTGCCTTCTTCAGCGCGCCATTTCCGGTTACTGTCCACCCTTACAGACCCGCGTAAGTTTATCACCCTGTTCTTGTTGTCGATTGTATCCCTTGACGATTGGGAAAAAGGCAATGTATACTAACCCACAAGTCTTTTATACGGATAATACATAGAGCTGAAGAAGAACAAGGTCGATGTGCAGATGCTCCATCCAGACCTGCACAGCAAGGTGTTCCCCACCTCCTCTTCTCTTGCGACGACAACGGTCAACACATCGATGGAACCCACGGCGGACATGGTCAAATACGCTATCGGACATCTGGAAAAGCAAAGCCTCTGGGGCAAGGAAGCCATCCCAGTCCCCAACACCACCTTCGACGTCCCCCCGCTTCGAGGCCCTACCATCGAGGATCACTTTTATAACATTGGAAAGCTTGACTCGGAACGGTATCAGGAATTGGCGGTCACCTTTGCGCGATCGCCTGTCCATTCTCCGCCCAAGACGTGGATTTTCCAGGAGGGGTGGACCCGTTATGGGATGGATGGATCGGTGACGAGGGTAGAGTATCCGAAGGACAAGATGTTGACGTTTGATGTTGAGACGGTCCCGAGTTTGAGCAAGTACCCTGTCATGGCTTGTGCGATCTCTCCCGAGGCTTGGTACGGATGGGTTTCGCCTTGGCTTGTCAACCCTCTCACCAAGGACGGTCGGCAGAATGACTGTCATCTGTTGTCGTTTGGGCCCAGTCGGAACGGGAAAGGCGACGAGCGGATATTAGTCGGTCATAATGTTGGGTATGATCGTGCACGGGTATTGGAGGAGTATTGTCTGGAGCAGAACGGGATGCGGTACCTCGACACCATGAGTCTTCACATTGCTTCGTCAGGACTTTGTACACAACAACGACCCAGCTGGCTCAAATACTCCAAAGCGATCGAGAACTCAGACTCGGCATACGTTGACGCCTTCAAGGCCACCACCGGCAAGTACTTTGACGTCAGCGCCGTTAACAGTCTGCTTCAGGTGGCCAAGTTCCACTGCGGGATCGATATGGACAAGGCACCACGGAATCTTTTGGTCGAGGCGACTTATATCGGACTGATTCAGGATAATTTTCAGAATCTGATGACCTACTGTGGACAGGATGTCGTCGCCACGCATGCGGTCTATCAAAAGACGTTACCAAAGTACCTCGAGACTTGTCCGCATCCAGTCTCGTTTTCGGGGATGCTCCATATGGGGTCGTCGTTTCTCACAGTCAACGAGGGATGGACGGCTTACGTTACTCGCTGCAACAAGATGTACAAGGAGATGGCCGAGAATGTCGAGTCGAAGCTGATGCTGTTGGCCCAGAACGCGCTCGACAACTTTGCAAAGGATCCAGAGTTTTACCAGAATGACCCATGGATCAGCCAGCTGGACTGGAGCATGCCGAAAAAAAGAGAGAGGGCGGGCCAACTCAGGGTCGATGGCACAGGATGGGTGAAGGGCAGGGAACCTAGAGAGATCTGCCAAACCAAAATCCTGCCGGACAAGCCTCAGTGGTACCGAGGACTGTGGAGCCTTGAGGAGAAACGCATCAAGCTCACAACACGCCAACGAGTTGCACCCCTTTTGCTCAAGTTGCAGTGGCAAGGATACCCCCTGGTTCACTCTAAACTTCATGGCTGGACGTTCCGTGTGCCCAGGGAAGATACGTATACGTCAAAGCTGGCCGAGCTAACTTTCCCGGCAGAAAGTGAGGCTGGTTTCCAGGACGGTATCAACATCACGGATTTCCGCTACTATCGACTACCACACAAGTCTGGAGAGGGTACCAATGTCGGCAACCCCCTGGCCAAAGGCTACATCTCTTACTTTGAGGATAATGTCCTGAGCTCCTTTGCTGGTAAAGGAGAAGGGTCGACTGAGGACGGGAGCGGTCAATTGGCACGACAGGCGCTGGATATGAATGCTCAGTGTGCCTACTGGGTCAGTGCTAGGGAACGTATTGAGGACCAGTTTGTTGTCTGGGACAAGGGCGCCGATGGACTGGGCGAGAAGATGAAACTCCCGGAGCGTGAGGGCGAGGGCAAGACCAACGGCATCATTCTCCCGCAGATCATCACCATGGGCACAGTGACTCGACGTGCGGTGGAGAAGACATGGATGACAGCCAGTAACGCGAAGAAGAACAGGATCGGATCCGAGCTGAAGTCGAATGTCGAAGCGCCAGCGGGGTACAAGATTATCGGAGCAGATGTCGATTCGGAGGAGCTGTGGATCTCGAGTCTGATGGGCGATGCGCAGTTCAGGATGCATGGCGCGACGGCTTTAGGGTGGATGACCCTCCAGGGTACCAAGGCAGCCGGAACAGACCTTCACTCCAAGACGGCGAATATTCTGGGCATCTCGCGCGATCAGGCCAAGATCTTCAACTATGGACGTATCTACGGTGCAGGCGTCAAGTTTGCAGCGAGACTGATGCAGCAGTTCAACACGGCGATTGATGCGACCGAGGCCAAAGAGAGAGCGACCAAACTGTACACGGCTACTAAGGGTTCGAGGCAGCTCAGGGCTCCGGAGTACGAGCTGGTGCACGATCGACCCTTCTGGCATGGAGGTTCCGAGAGTTATATGTTCAACAGTCTGGAGCGCACTGCAACCGCCGACGATCCCAGGACACCCGCGTTGGGCTGTGGAATCACGGATGCCTTGAAGCCTAAGCATACAGAGAGCCAGTTCATGACATCGCGAGTGAACTGGGTGGTCCAGTCGTCAGGAGTGGACTACCTGCATATGCTTCTGGTGTCGATGAACTATCTGATCAAGAAGTACGATATCAAGGCGCGGTTCATGCTTTGTGTTCACGACGAGGTTCGGTATATGGTCAAGGAAGATGACTCTGCGCGCGCTACCCTTGCCCTCCAAGTCAGCAACCTCTGGACCCGCGCCATGTTCTCCTACAAACTGGGCATTCACGACCTTCCCCAGGTATCATCTTATCTCTTTTTTTTTTTTTTTTTTTTTTGTTGCCTTTTTTGCTACGTCAATATCGCACTAGTTTACTGACTACTTTTTACCACTAACTTTTCCAATATTTAAATAGTCGGTGGCGTTTTTCTCGGCAGTAGATGTGGACCATGTCTTCCGCAAGGAGGTCAACATGGACTGTCTGACGCCAACTCAACCATACCCAATCCCCCACGGAAAAAGTCTCACCATCGAAGATGTAATCGACCTGACCGATGGTGGGAAGCTCGGACCAGTGGCGCCCGGGTTTGAAGACGCTGCCGAGAACTCGATTCCATTCGCACTCTTGTCCAAGGACCATCAACAACAGATCTTGATGCAACAGGCTCAGCAGAGCTCGCCTGTTATTCAGGAGATCACGGAGGAGCATGGGGGGATGAATGGGTTAGTCAAGACTGCAGCGCAGAATGCAGAGGAGCGGAATTCGATCTTTTTGCAGGCCCAGTCGTTGGCGACGATGAGGGAGATCAAGCTGGCGATCAAGAAGCGGCAGGCTGAGGCCGAGGCTGCGTATCGGGCTCAGGTCGAGGCGGAGAGGAAGAGGCTTGAGGACGCTGAGAGAGCTAGTCGGGGTGATCAGGGTGATGATGGTAGTGGACAGGGTGATGAGGTCGTCAAGGCTGTGGCTACGAAGCGCAAGTCGACCACGACGGCACCAAAGCCGAGGAAGTCGCGTATTGTCCGTGAGGCAGCGCCATTCGCATTCAAGCCCAAAGTGACAAAGGGCTCTTGGGGGCGGGTTATGACCGATGAGGAGCTTCGAGCGGAACTCGCCGAGACTCAGGAGAGGGAGCAGGATCAGCAGCTGCAACATAGTTCAGGACCCAGGGTTGAGAAGGAGATCCCACAGGAAAATGTCGTCAAGGCGACGAGTAAGGTTGAGGAGGTCATCCCCTTTATCGACGACGGCACACCCGAGGATACAGGATTCGCTATCGCTTTCGAGGACGTTGTCTCGGATGAGACTCTCGCCACTGCAAGCTTGGATGACGACTGGACTCGGCAGTCCCAGGAGTGGCTTCAAGATTTTAAGGACTATAAATCCGACTCGCTGTCGGTGGACTTTGGTCGTGCCTCAACCGATTCTGGGCTTCCGTTTGAGTCGGGATATTTGCCTTATATCCCTCCATCGGCTGCTGATTTTGCGCGCGAGACGTCGATTCTGCATGATGCGCCAAATGCCTTTATTTTTGCGGACAGCTTGTCGTCTTATGGTACTTCCCGACGTGCCAATGCTAGTCCTGCCGGTCCCGGATCAAGATCAGGGTCTGTAAGGACCGCCAGTTCTTCAACAAAAGCAGTGGCAGCACCAGCAGCACTAGCAGGGGCGGGAAGGATCTCAAAACCCACCGCCACTACCACGGCACACGCGTCGTCCTCTTTTTCCTACCCCAACTCAAGGCCGAACACAAGCTACAAATCGCAGGCTATACCAGCTCCCATCTTCGCATTAGAATCAACATCGACAACGACCACCGACCATACCCGAAGCAACACCCCAACCTACAAATCCGCTTCTCGTGTAGGAGTCCGGCCATATGAACAGTTCCAGGAGATCCACCGGCAGCAAAAAACGCGCGCCGCGAATATCGATACCGCGGCCATGAGAGGTAGTACTGGTAGTGGTCACAGAAGGTTCGAGTCGTCCACGCCTAGGACTGAAACTGGACACTCCTTCAAAGAAGTCATCCAGCGCGCATCTGATGCCGACTCTGCTGCTGCTACCACCAGAGGAGCGGAGGAAGATCGTGGTAGGGGTGGTGATGGTTCTAGAATGAAGAACGCTTCTAGTTCGTACTCGTCGCGACCACCTTCGCGATCCTCATCGTGGTCGTCTTCTTCAAGGACGACGTCTTCTGCGCAGACGACGACGCCAGGACAGCCGTCGCAGAACCGTGGATTCCCTGGGTCGCGGTAGTCTTGTTTTTTTTTTTGTTCATATCTTTTCTTTATCAGAGTTTTTCGCGTATTTTTCTTTCCTTTTCTTTTCTTTTCTTTTCATTTCCTTTTTTGCTTGTAGATCTTTCGTTGTATTATTTTCTTCTCCTTCCTTGTCGCTCTGTACAGTACAGTCTCTTATGCATCCTTTCATTGTCTTCAACCCGAGTATCTATGAAATCTGTGTATTGAGTAAAAAAAAAAAAAAAAAAAAAAAGGTCTCTAAAAGCGCTTTATATATCTACAAACAGAACTCCCACCTCAGAACAGGCCCTCCGCCTTTGCCTGAACACTAGTCCTATACTTATCCTTGAACATATCCAAATCGACATAACATCCCTTCAAATGTCTCTTCCCCTTTGTCGGATCAAAAGCCGTTCTCGCATGAAGGACCCTCCGGTTCGCAAAAACCATACACTGACCCGGCCTCATCGTGTGTCTATACTGCAGATCTTCCCTCTCAATATACCCCGCAAACTTCTTCAAGGCCCCATAAAACGCGCTCACCTCCTCTGCTGGTAACTCGAGGGGTCCCTGGAAGGGAGGAGCGTAGTTGACGGTGAGAGCGTCGTTGAGAGGGTCGAGGACGATGGTGGGCCGGTTGTAGTGGAGGTGGTGGGCGTCGTTCTTGTAGTGGAAGGTCGTTGGTGTTTTGAGGAGGATTTCATAATCGGCTGGGTGGTTTTCTTTGAGGAGAGAGACGGCTTTGAAAGAGTCCATGAAGATCGATGTGCCGCCGGGGACACTGTTTTCGAGGCTGTGGAGAAGTTGCAGGCCTGGGGGCGCTTCCATGTAACTAGGGTGAGTTTTTTTTTGTTTGCATCGTGGGAGAAAAAATGGGGGAGGGGGGGAGGGAAGGAAGAGTGCGGGGAATAATATGGTTTGTTAGATCCATTTCTGTATTTTTTTTCCATCGACACATCACCAGAAACAACATGAACAAACAAACAAACAAACAGACAGACAAACAAAGAGACTTACAGGAGATCCATATGAAGTCCCAAATTCAAGTTCGTATACGCAACATTCTTCGCATCCGGCACCGACTTGACATCCCAAGTCCGTCCATAGAAAGTATGTCTCAAATGTCCAATCCTCTCTGCAGCATTGCCAACCTCCTGATCCTCTGTCGGAACTCCCTCCAGGAAAAACAGTCCATAATCCTGCAAATGCTTCAATCCCTTCAACAATCCCTCCGGTGTGTTCATGTACTCGTTGTAATCCAACCAGAGGACTTTGGACTTCATGAGCTCAGCGTCCCACAGGATCGGGGCATGGTTCATCCTCGACTCGACGCGGTGCTCCGAGGGGGTCCCACCATAAGCACCCAAGACCATCTCCCAAGGGTAGACAGACTTATGCCCCGGCTGCGACTTTTCTGGCGCCTCCCAATCGCCCACATCCTCCAACCCTTTCGACCACACAACCTCCAACCCCTCCGGCGTACCCTTATAAGAAGTAACCCCGATATCGAGAGGGACCTGTGTAGAAGCGTGGAGCTTTTGACGGGTGGAGGGGTGGATGCATTCGGGGCAGGGGCAGTTATCGCGGAGCCAAAGGGTGTTGAGTTTTGTTGGATGAGAGCGGTGGTATTTGGACTCGGGAGGTGATTGGATCTCGATGGTTGTGTTGTCCTTCAAGTTGACTGTTGGGAGGGAGTCTGAGGTGGACAAAGATGCGGTAGCGGTGGTTGAGGTGGTGTATGTGGTGTGGAAGCTCCTGGCTCCTGCAATTGATGCTGCCCTGCTGTTGTTCAAGATACCCGTTGCCATCTATTAAAAGGAGAACAAAGAAAAGTAAGGGGGTGTTAGCATGGAGGAGTGAGGGCCATGGTTTCAGACTCATTCAAAAAAGCGAGAAAGCGAATGAATGGCAAGGACGCGATTCATGAGTTTTCGGACTTACAGCAGTTCGGGGAGTGAAAGAAGCGAGGCGGGAGGGAGCTGTCCGGGCGACAGTTCTGAGAGCGGTGCCGATAGTCTGCCTGAGCATGGTTGTTGTTTGTGTCGGGTGGCGGTGGTGTTGTAAAGTGTCAAGAAAGAAGGAGAAAAAAGAGAAAGAAGAGGAAAATGTAGACTACGAAGGAAACGATAAATAAAGGCATGCGAGAAAATGGGTCTGCCTTTTGATTGGCCAGATCACTTATTGTTCTCATATGTCACTGTCCCAAAGACCTTTTTCCCCCGCGCTTGAAACAGAAGCGGGCGGGAGAATTGTAGATGTGTTACGCCGAGCGAGTGTGGGTCTTCGTGGAGAGTGAAACATGGACCGAAGAAAAACAAGGGAACTCGCAGATGTATTTGGGAAGGATCGAACAAGAACAGGGACAGGGACAAAGCTAACGGGAATACGAACTCTTGGCAGGATCTCATGAGTCTAGGAATACAGGTACAGGTCTCCCTCCATACAACCTAGGACCAACAGCTGGTTCATTGGCAATATACCAATGCACGAGATCGACGACCGAATCGCTGAGCTCTTGAACTTGGACGTGTATGCCAGCGACTATTGATATTTTTGAAAGAAACATTCATGCGTGAGTGAGAAGACCGCCCTCGCCTCAAGGTGACATACACGGACAGCAATAAAACAAAAACGACAAACTTACGTCGTCGTTGATCGGTGTAAAGGAGATCGAGTTGTTGTGATGCATAGTAATGATCTCGTCCTTGAAGATTTCTAAAGAGACAATCTCGGACGTGCCCCGGATACACTTGATGAGCGCCAATGTGTGGACATTCCATATACACACCATATGGTCCGCAGGTGCCGACGTGATCAGAATATCATTCGTATAAAACTTCATCTGAGTGATCTCACTGTCAGAGGCTCGCCAATTGCCAACAAGGGTCCCTGTCCTCGACTCCAACAAAGAAACGGCACCATTAGAGAACCCAGTCGCAATCAAGGTCTCTGCAGGGTTGGTCGTCACCACCTTGAGTGTGACACCCAAAGAACTAGTCGCCCGCCAGCTGTGTAGACTGAGGTGTGTATGACTGTCCAGGAAAGTAATCGTACTATCCACCAGTCCTGCGACAATGTAGCGCGACCGGTGAATTGGCACCATCGTCACCACTGGCGCCTTTCCTGTATTGAATTGATGTACAGTCTTTCCTGTTTCCGGTTCCCAAAGCTATCACAAAATCGAGAGCAAAAGAAAGCGGTTGTCGTGAGATGATAGGCAAAAGGAAATGGACCCAGTCAAAAAAAAAAAAAAACTCCCCTGAACCAAGATGCTTACATGAATCTGCCCATCACAACTGGCGACAATATCCCCAGTACCGAATGAACCGCCTCCTGTAGCAAAGTGGAGATCATATACAGCTCCACGACGATGTCCATTGTACGTCATTAAACATCCCGATCCGGCATCAGCATATTCTGGATTCTCAATGGTCCGATGGATATCCAAGGACCACAGCTTCACCGTCCGATCTTTCGATCCAGTCGCCAAGATTCGCTGGTACTCGTTTGCACCGACCACCCTGACACCTGACGTGTGTCCTTCAAGGCCTTGAAGTTTCCAGTCATTGAAAGCAAATTGCATCGACTTTGCCATCTCCTCCTGGTTCGTTGACAAGAACCGGTTCCAGTTGCTACATAATCAAAAATTAAACAAGAGAGTTAAGTTATCACATCAAAAATTGAAACTGATAAAATATAGCTTATCAATTGTCGTACCTGAGTTGTTCGAGTCTGGCTGTCGTCTTGGCTTTTCCAGGCGATCCAAAGTTCTGGCGGTTCTTCCGTGCGGGGCCAGAGCCAAGAACGGGTGACATGGATCCAATCGAAAGAATCTCTGTAGGTGACTTGACAGGGTCTTGGCCTCCTGAGGCAGAATCACCTGGCCTGTTATCGCCCGATCCATGGTAATGGGAAGAGGAGTCTTTGCCAGACATGACAAGTCCAATAGTCGATGTCGCGTTTGTGGACGATGCTACCAAGGTGCTCATAGATGTCGACGCAGAAACCGACACCAAAGCCGACGTTGCCGACGTTGCCGTCGGCAGTGAGGACGGTCCACTTCCAGTCGAGTTTGCAGAAGGCGATCGACTCTTGGTAGAATCAAACAACGACAGAGCCTTGGACATGCTGGCAGAAGTTGCTGACCAGAGATCCTTGGTAGAAAACGCTGTCCGTTTGGAGTTGGCAAGATCTTTTGCTTGCTGATCCTTTTGCTGCTGCCAAAACGTCGACGAGGAAGATGTCAAGACAAACTTTCCTTGCGCTGTAATACTTCCCAATGACCGCAGGGGAGAGTTGCCAAATTCTTTGGAATCCAGTCTCGCCGCAATAAGTCTCTCAATCGCATCACTCGCCGGGATCATGCTCTGCATAGCGTCTTGGCCGACACACGAGCACAATTGCCCATAGGCGTACATCATCTACCAGTACAGGTTCACCGCGCGTTAGAAAGCGATCATTGGCAATCCTAACAGTGACGTTGCTTGCTCATAAAAAACGCGTCTCTTACCTGCTCATTGCGCTGCACATCGATGGATGACGAGGCCTTTGTACTGATCTCCTCAATATCGGGGCCAAATCCCGAAAAGTACTTTTGCAAGATTGGAGCGATCTGTTACACAAAGGGGAACAAATTGTTAAGTTACATTCACATTTCACTATGTGACAATTGATGCAGTCTTTCGCCCAGCCAGTACTTACGTGCTTCTCCCAGTCGGGTCTGGTCAACGAGAAACTCAGCTGCAGGATAAAGTCCAATGCGGTTCGACTGACGGCCAATCTTGGACTGCCTTGAGTGTCGGGTCGATTGGAGGGCTTGCGAGGACTTGGCTCAATCAACCTATAGATCAACTCTGACCCACCGTTCCTCAGTTCCGTCACCAACTGCGTGTCGTACATATGTGGTACCAGCTATTCACAAAAAAATATGGGAAAATGTTAGCCCTCGAGAAATAAACTTTAAAGTACGCGTCGCGAATCGCAAAAGTGAGGTATCACGTACAGATCCAAGGAGTCCCAGGAGATTCCTGAGTGTGTTGCTGGTTCTCGCTGTGAATGAAGACGACGCCGAGTCGATCAGGTGCATGATGTGACTGAACTGAACCAGCGCAAAAGTCGACCCAAACTCGTTGGCTATCCCGCTCAAAGTGATCTTCAGAATGGGAAGATACATCGGATCCTTGAACGCCAATCTCGAGAACGGCTTCATGACATGCTTCGAAGTCAATATAGGCCCGATTGAGCGGCTACCGACATGTAGAAGATGCGTAACGCGACTATGTGAGCAGGAAATACATGGTGCATATAATAGCCCGAGGTAACGCGATAGAGATAGGTTGGCTTACCAAATGCCAACAAAGGCCTCGCTGGCGACTCTTCCCAGTCTAGGAACATAGTCAACACCAGCCTTTTTGGCATCTTCTTCAATTGCAGGAACACTGACTGCAATGTTCTCCGGTGCAGCTGTCGAAGATGCCGATGAGCTATCGTCCAATGTGGCCTCGCTCTGGGCATAATCGGCAGTCAGCGAATCGAGGTAGTAAGGGAACAACTGCTTCAGGAACGTGCTTGTACCGAACCGCCGTAAGAACTCGTTGAACACCAACGTGCTGAACATCTCAATCGGTAGGACCGGTCTTGATGTCTACATTGACAATAGGGATGAAAATCAAGTTAGTCGTGCGCGTCATAACAACTTTGTCTCACTTTGTTACGGGCATAGGAACCAATTTGACGTTACCTCAAACATGGCAATTATAGGTTTGAGTAAGAAGGCTTTGGTCCGCTTGATGCCCAGCCGCTGCCCGAGTTTCGGGAACAGTCCAAGTGCTCTCACGCGAGTCTCTTTGTCTGCAAACAGGTATACAAACACAGGCAGCGCTATCTCAAACGTCTCATCTTCGAACAGACATATCCGATCGACCCATTTCGAGGCCAAATCCATTTGAGTCGATTTCGGGCTATATCATATCCAATGGCGCGAAAAAAAAAGATCACAGCGTAAGTCAGACATGTCTCTTCAAAAGCCAAGCCAACTAGTACATTTACACATCAAACCCTTACCAAACGTAGAACATGGACAAGAAGTCGTAGATTTCGCCGATCAATGACGGGACAAACATCTCAATGGTTGGCGACTGGGGCGAAAGCGCAGGTATAGACTTTTGCAGGATGGTATCGATCTTGGGCCGCATTTTCCAGTCACTCATCAACATCGACGTAATAGTCCCACTCACAGCGATCGGCATCTATACAACATACAGATGGTAACACGCAGCTGCTTAGTAAACTGCCGCGTGAAACTCATTCTTTCGTCTTTATCGCAGCTGTTGTAAAGCTAAAAGCTTACCAGCCGAGACTCTGTAAGATCGGCGATGGACACATGAGGCCTGAGGGCCATAGCAATGCTATTGTTGGGGACATCCTCGGCAAGGTAGATCTGCTTGAACAAGTCTCCAAGGCAGTAGACATCCCAACTCTGCATGTACTCGAACGAATCACGCTCCTTCGCAGCGCTGTCGTCGGGCTCGCGGATCGGGGAGTCGGCCAAGATCCGAGATTGAGCCGCGTCGTTGTTCATAAAGTGGTATTTTGATCCAAAATGGAAGGTCTTTTCAAAATTGTCCAGCTCCTCAGTGAATACAGGATCCTGGAGGTCGTTTGAGAGGTCGATGGGCTCCGATTGCAAAAACTGTACCATCGCCTCAGGTCGCGTCGATGCTAGGTTAGCGTCCTGTGTGATCTGGTTGATAGGCAAGAGCAAGTTGTTGGAGGGCGATACGATTGTGAGGGTTGTGTTTGTGATATCACGTTCATGATTATTGTTGATGATGACCGATGTTGGACGAGATGTTGGTTGATGTTGGCGTAAGGATTTTGAGCGAGTAGGTGCTGTCGGGCGGAAGAGTAGGTCAGATACCTTCTCCACAAATTGCGGGCGATCGTTTTGTGGTTTGTAAAAGCTGCGACGTTTTGTGATCTTGGACGCCTTCTCCAGCGCCGTTCGTGCCTTGGCCTGCGACTTGATAAACTCACTATGATTCAAAGAAGGATATAACATGCGTTAGATACAACTACACGCAAAAAAAACCCCCGCCCACATGAACCAAAGTTGTTGCTTGAAAGCTTACGCTTTGGAAAGAGACCAGTTGGAAGCCCGTTTAGGGTGTGGATCTGTAAAGAGCTGGATGATTCCATGCTTCATAAACTCGCTCTGGCCCGGAAACAACGACAGTGCGACATTTTTGGCCTCAATTGCATTAGGGCCAGACAGCTTGTATCCAAAGGTCAAGTCGATCCACTCGTGCAGGTGATTCGAGACATAATCGCTCTCTAGTGCTTCCCGATGAATCCTGATAAAGTCTTCCGGTGTGGCAGCCCATTGAGGCAGGGACATGTCCGGCATGTCCCCATGGATAGATTTGAAGATCGAAGGGTCGGTGTAGAACTCGGGGATACACTCGTCAGGGGTCCACTCGTACAGTCGTCGAATCGAAGAAGGGTATTCGTTGGCCTCGTATTTCGACCGCACAAACTGGCACAGGACGGGGATGGGAATTTGGCGAGCCATGTACACATAGTAGGTGATGTCGGACAAAATGTCGGTGATGTGATGGGGGATAGGGCCGTCAAAGGTCACATCCAATTGTTCGTCGCCCTTGTTGAGACGGAACTTTGTCTTCGTAAAGTCTCGCCATCCTTGATAAATCTCTTTTCCTGTAAAGTCCGTCACCCAAGGGAAGATGGGGTGTACATTCGGATCTCCTTGACGTCGTCCTATGTCCATGAACAAATGCACGTAAATCCTTGTCAGCTGTCAGACACTTCACACAAGGCTGTGATTGCGAGTCGCTTTAAAGAAATTAACTGTGTGTGCAATTATACCTGCGGCATGGTTGAGAATCATCAGATATGTAAAGTTGGATATCTCGCCGCGCGCCCACTTCATGACAGTCGACTCTTCCTGAATGGCTAATAATTACAGATTAAAGATGAATGCGTTAGATATCTGTCCAAAAGAACAACCATCCTGAAAAAGTCAACCGCCACAATACTGACCTTTTGGTATGCCGATAAGAGACCTGTACTCGTTCCTCTCGACCGCCGCAGCGCTGAAAGAATTAGCCGGTCTGTGCGGCACGGAGCACTTGATTCCCGTGAGCGAGATCCAAAGATTTTCATCGATGTAAATGTTGGAAGGGTTGATGTTTCCATGAATGAGCCCACTCTCGTGCAAACCCTTCACTGCCTTCAAAAGCTGGTATACCAAAAAGCCCTTCTTAAGCGAAGTATTGAGGTTTCCGGGGTTGAATCGCAGCATGTCCTGCAGCGTCGTCAATCCTGTGGCTCCTCCTGCACGGTGTGGTGAGAGGCAGTAATGGGCGTCGTCCGACTCGATGATGACGGTTGCTGATGCAATGTTGGAGGGCGGCCGTCGACCCTTGGTATTAGGACTCCTTTCCATCAGGACAAGATGGGTGTTCCTGCGACCATCTTCTTGGGTGATAGGAACGACTCTGTATCGCAGGGTTGTTGGGTATATGGTGTCGAGAACCTGCTCAATTAGACGCTTGTTGCGAGTCCGAGAGTCCTGCCTGCTCTCTCCGCTTGTTTGAATCGACTCGTTGTCAGCTGCACCATCATCGCTCTCGAGGGTAGGACAAAAGGCTTTGTAGTTGGGGTACGCTGGAGCCACTATCCTTACCTCTTCAGATTTGAAAGAAACGCCGTCGTCCGTGATCATGAGTTCCCGGATGTAGTCCTCAGCTGTAATGTTCCAGTCCTTGTTGCTCGATATCGATGTCAATGTCGTGAGTGACTTTTGTTTAGGCCTGCTCAGCCCTACTGACTTTTCCTCTGCTGACTCTGCGAACACTCGCGCCCTATTATGGGCGCCCAAGGAAGCAAGGTCGTATTAATAATCATTCTGTTGGATGACTCTTCGCGAATACGTCCGGCGCGTGGAGATAGATTCATCCATAGGTACAACAGGAAAAACGGTACCTGGTCCAATTGTCCTGCTGTAATGGTTTCGTCTTTGAGATGACGTTGATAAAGACGTTAACCTCGCCAACTCCTGTGGTTGCCGTGCTATTGCTGCTAGCACTCCCATTCCCGTTGCTGGTCCCATTACTATTGCTTCCATTAACTCCTTCTTTGGTAGAGGTGGCATTGCTCTCGTATAGACTTGTCGCGGTGCCGTTATGGAGTTGGTCGAGCCACGACTTTTGTACCTATTGATTTGTCGTAGAAAGAAGTAGTGCGATGTTTCAAAACGTATTAGCGGCGCTTATTATCTCTGCTTTCATTCCACGTTGTTGTTACAAAGTGCTCCTGAGAAGGGTAATAATCAGAGGCTGAAGTATGAACGTACGACGCTGCAAGCAGTGTGGCCGAGGGAAGAGTCGAGAGGGAAGCATGGGAATGCGACATGGAGTTGTAAATCGCGTTCGATGAGTTCTGCCAGTTCGGTTGCGTTGAGTCCTGCGCCGAACATTGTGTGTCTTTTGGTTTCTGTTGGTGGTTGGGTGATGGGTTAATGAGTTATGTTCTTGCTTGTGGAAGGAGTACAAGAAGCGAGGAGTCAGACGGACGAAGGACGGGAGGGAAAAGTTGTCAAGGGAGAGAAAAGGAAAACAAGAAGCAAAAAAAGAAACGCGCGTGCAGGTTCGCTTATGTGTCTGTGTGAGCACCAGGACGTCCGTTCGCTTCCCACGAACATGAAGGTGTCAATTTCAATCGCTAACTCGTGCGCGTGACTGTTCTAGGCATACATTCGAACCTTGAAAAATGCGCGAGAGATAAAGAATAGCACTCCTTGCCATGCCTTTGCATCGTCAACTCTTGCCTCGACCACACCCTCCGTCGATCGAGATTCTACATCAGGAACTAGGACAAGGAAACGTCCAAAGATGAACGCCCTGGTCAACTACGGCACAGATTCGGACTCGGACTCGGACGACGACATCAGTCATGCCCCAACTCACACCACAAAACAGCCAACAAGCATTCAGGCACAGCCAACCGCAAGCAGAAACAAGGAAGACGAGGAGGATGACCCTATTTTTGCCGCATTGAAGGACCTCCAGGACTTTGCTGCGTCCGTCAACGAGAGTGTGTCTGACCCTTCCTCCTCAGACACTGCTGCCATATCTGCTACCGGTACCGGATCAGGAGAACCCATGGAACAGGATCAGGATGAACTCAAGTTCTTGTCGTTCCTTCAAGAAATCGACGCCATCCCCAACCCAGACGACGACCAACAACCTCCTCCTCCACCACCACCACCACCACCATCAGAATCACCAATAATCATCGATAACATACCGCCACCGCCACCTCCTGTACCTTCTTCATCGACCTCAATCCCCCCACCACCTTCAACATCACAAACAGATCCAGTTACAACAACAGAATCAATCCACCAATCCGTCCAAATGATCTACAACCGCCTCTACTACATCTCCCTCCTCCCCTCCGCCTCCACAATATCCCAAGACCTAGAACGGAGGCTATTGGAGTTCGCGATTAGGATAGTTGATTGGAAGAAGGGTGGACTCGAAGAAGCCTACTTCCTGGGACAGGATCTTGCAGATGCCCTGGCTCAGGAAGCCGCTGCTGGAGTCGAAGGCGATGGTACTAAAGACGGCGAGGCTGCAAATCTGCCAGATTTCGGAGGCATTGTGGGGTCGATGATTCAGTATATGTTTCGACTGGAGCAGATGGCGACGCCTAATGGGTGGATGGCAGTTTGGGATGCTGAGGATGAGGCCTATGGGTTCCAACACGTCAGGACTGTAGGTTTCTTTGATTCGTTTTTTCCATCCCCTTGCGGAGCAAAATGTATTTATTTAGAGGTAGTTATTGCTTCTACCATACTCACAAAATGCTTCCGTTTTTTTTTCTCGATGAATATGAAAAACGTAGGGATTGTATTCACCAGTGTACCCATCGACGGACTTGATCACCACTTTGGACCCTCCTGCTCCTACAACGTCAACGCATGGACGGATATCGCCAACGACATACAAGAGCAACAGCTGGAACTATTATTCTTCAACGACAACCTCTACCTCCTCTCCATCGACACACGTACCATCAACCACAACCACAACCACGACAGCGCCAGTATTAAACCCATGGGCAGCACCCGCAACAAACATAGTCACTTCCAGTCCTCAATCCGCAGGATCAGATGGAACCAACAGCCTCGTCCAATCTTCCAGCCTCACCGACAACGCTACCAAAACCTCATCATCCCCAAGTGAGCCAGCCTTCGGAACTGCAAAGAAGAAGAAACGGAAACTTGACGACTCTACATCTACAGCAGCTTCAGGAGACGACGGCTCACTCTTTGACCAATCCATCCACCCCTCACGCCGAGCCGCACTTGTCAAAAATGGAGGCGCTAGTCCTGGCAGTACTGCTAAGGCCTCTTCCTCTTCTTCTTCTTCTTCATCCTCTTCGTCAAAGGTGATGCCCAAGAAACTCGCCAGTCTATTACAAAAATGGAACGAGAAAGATATTGAAATGAGCGACGACGACGATGAGGATGCCGACGATGGCCGTGAGCAAGGACACCAGGATCTGGGTAATAGTCGGACGGGCGCCAATAGTCAAAGTCTTGGAGGTGGAGGTGGCGATTGGCGTGATAGGCGGCAACAGCATCATTACAAGTAGCATTTTTTGTTTTTGTTCTTTTTTTTTTTTTTTTTTTCTCGCATAATACACCACCAAGCATATGAACATAAGACCGATATACTCTTTTTTTTTTTTTTTTTTTTTTTTTTTTTTTTTTGGCACGCTGTGTACCCTTCTGTACGTCTGCATATGATATGCCCATGTGGGTACAGATATTCTTTTTACTGCCCTCGAAGTGTAAGGCTCATTGAGCCCAGCCAACAGCAAAAGACAGGTAGACTCCGGATCTTTCCCCCCCTCGTTCGCACTACCTAAAATGGCATCCCTATCCACGTTCATACCCCGACCACGGATTAACGTTCAAAACAAGGCAAGGACAAACGCACGGAACCGCCCGGACAACATGGCGGGGTAATTTTTCGACGAACGAAAGATGAGCTGCTCTCTTGGCTCTCTTGAGTTTTTTTTTTTTTTTTTTTTTTTTATTTCGAGCGAGAAATGAGAGTAGGGAAGAAGGGAAAGAGAAGAGGAGCGAGTAAGGAAAAAGGGCTGTGAGCATACTCGGAAGCAACAAAGACACAGACCAGGCTTCTCTTTGTTCCCCTCTACTGAACAAAGGCTGAGGGAGGGAGAGGTGCAGCACGAGAGTCAGGGGCGGAATGGCGTTGTCCCTCTCCTGATCCTCCCTTTTTGCCTTCAATTCCGCCCCGTCCAAGCACGTTGTGGGAGTCCCGCAAGTTTCAAAAATAACGCAATCTTGGATGGTGCGATCTTATTAGTGTTCCCCACACACACACACACTAACTAATTTGCGGGAGACGAAAAGAGTTTTTTTTGGAAAAAGGAACAACCTTCAAAGGCGAGAGACAACAAAAGAATTCAGGAAAAAGAATGCCATTCAACGACTTTAACAAGAACAGCAGAGGAGGGGGGGGGGGGGGGGGTTATTATTATGAATGTTTTTATTCGTGCGTCTAAGAAATGTATGTTCAATGAGAGGGGGGAGTGTAAAGAAAACAAAGAGGGGGGATATGTAGTTGTCAATCGATCTAAAGGACGAAAGCACTTTATCCGGATCCACCGGAGTAGGCCTTGCCAAAGAAGATGACCTGGAGCTGATCGTATCCGGACAAGACACCAGCACCGGCGATGGCACGGAGGACGTTGGCACCAGCACCCTTGAAGAGGGACTTGTATCCCTCCTTGCTGACGATCTGCTTGAAGGCATCGAACGAGGAAGAGTACTTGACGGCCTCACCAGAGGTCATCATCATTCTTCTGCGGACGGTATCGACGGGGTAGGAAGCGAGACCAGCCAAGTTGGTGACACCGAATCCGAGAATGAAGGAGGCGAGGAAAGATCCCTGGAGCTTCTCGGGCAACAAGGGCTTGACGGAATCGTAAAGACCGAAGTACCTGTTGAAGGGAGGAGGGGTAAAGTGAGGAGAATGGGGGGTGTTCCGTTAGTGTGATTGTATTGTTGTAGTTTTGATTATGTTGCTGCTGTTATTGTTGTTGTTGCTGTTGTTGTGTCCAGTCCAAGTCCCGTTTGTTCCAAAATTAAACATCAGATCCGTCCCTTGATCCCGTCAACAAAAACAAAAAAAGAGATAACCAACAACAAGAGAACGAGAGCGAGAGTTGCTACTTACAAACCACGGTAGATGATAATACCGAAAGCAGAGAGGGGGAAACCACGGTAGAGACCAGCAACACCATCGGTAGCAATGGTCTTCTTGTAGACATCAATCAAACCGTTGAACTGACGGGAACCACCGTTCTTGCCCTTGGCATCGTTAGCAAGACGGGTACGAGCGTAATCCAAAGAGTAGACAAAGAGAAGGGAGCAGGCACCGGCAGCACCACCGGAGGCGATGTTACCAGCGAACCACTTGCCGTAACCATCACGCTCCTTCTTGAAGTTGAACATGGCCTTGAAGTAATCCTTGAAGGCAAAGTTCAAAGCCTGGGTGGGGAAGTAACGGATGACGTTGGCGGTGTTTCCACGCCAGAGGGGCTTGATACCCTCATCGGCAATGACACGCTTGAAGCAGTCGGAGATACCCTTGTAGGGGTGGGAGAGACGACCGGTCTTGAGCATCTCATCCTGGTTCTGGAGGAGAAGCTTGATACGCTCAATGGGGGCAGCAGCGGTCTTGGAGACGGCGGCGGAAACTCCTCCCTATTATTCATAGGTTTATTGATAAAGGCTTTGTTAGTTGTCGTTGTCCGAGGGATGGTATCCATATCTTATCGGAGGTGTTATGGAGGAGTGTCGGTTGAAGGAAAGAGAGAGTCGTTTATCGGGTGAAGTAGGTAGATCGAGGGAATGTGAGGAGAGAGAGAAAAAGTGGAACAAGGAGGTGTGTCCAAAGTGTGAAGGAATAAGGGATAGTGAAGTGCAATGAAGAACAGCAGGGAGAGGACGACATACCATGAGGAAATCAGCGGCGAAGGCCTTGGCGTCCTTCTGCTTCTTGGGTGCGGCGGCAGACATTGTGTGAGGGAAAGAGAGGGGAGTGGGGTGAAGAAGAAGAAGAAAAAGAAAAAAAAAACGCGGAGGAGGGGGGGACGTTGCGAGTTTTATATCAAAGGAAGTAGCATGGATGTTGAACGGAAATTCAAAAAAGACGGGACTGCGACCGATTGATTGAATGAATGAGAGAGGTCATCAAACAATCAAACAGGCGGAAACAAAAATTTCAAAACTCAGCTCTCTGCTTGACATCTCTTTGTTCCTTCTTCAATGGAAAAAGAGGTCGGAACCATATGCAACTTGGTTAGTAAACAATAAACGCCTCAACAGGGGGCCTTTGTCTTGGTATTCTTCTTGCTCATATCAAACCCCTTTTAAAAAGGGGTCGTGCCAAAGACTGACTGTTGTACTCTACTCTACCCCGGTCTTCCGCACAGGCAAAGCAAACCACAATTCTATTCTCTGCCCTGAATGGCACAGGCACAAGCCATTTCGACAGATGGCTATTATTTTTCTGAAACTCTCTTCCCTAACCATGAAGGTATAATCTTTCCTTGGTCGCAATAATTGATCCGATCTACCCCTCCTCCTTCCATCTTGTATACTGGACATCTTTCTTCCATCACTACTCTTCCCCTCTTCAGAAGATCATACTCAAAAAGTCAAAAAATCGAAAAAAAGAAGCCTTCTCTCGCTCACTCTCCAATGGCACCATCAGTGTCATTGACAGACAACTCCGTACAACCGTTCACCCAAACGGAGCGGGACCAGGCAAAAAAGTCCAGTCCAGTCAGGCTCAAGGGCGGAAAGGAAAAAAAAAAAAGACGGCATCGCATTCAAGAACCGCTCATTTCTCAGCCCATCCAATCACATCCCTCCGGTGCCTGAACCATTCTTTTTCTGAATGTCATGTGATTGGATGGGGGTACTGACACCACCCACTGGTTACACTGGCTAAACTGTTTCGTTATCAAACACGCGTCTAACTAGGGAACTCTACCTGTTTAATGTAACTACGGAAAAGGAGAGATACTAGAGTGCGAAGTAGACACTTCAGATCTCAGCTGAAGGGATCAAGGGCCCAATCGACCCATGACTCTCCCTTCTCAACTCACCCCCCTCGTTACCAGCACAGGGCGAGATCGGCGATCGGACCCCCGAGACAGACGAAGTTCCAACAAACTTGGCCTTGAACAGACTAAACGTCTCCGCCCACGTCCCCGTCTGCGGTCGACTGCTATCGCTGCTACCATTCATTACATAGTTGTCAACACTCAGCCCTGACGGCGACCATCCACCTCGCCCTCTATCACCCGTCATCGTCCCTGACATAGGCCCATTATTGTTGGTGGTACTATAGCTCCGAGACGTCCACAATCCATCAAGACTCAATCCAGAAATACTCGGCGGCTTGTCCTTCTTGAACGTTGCAGATCGAGGTATATACATCGGCGATCGGTGGTCGGTCCCTTCCAAATTATGGTCTAACCGGTCGCTGTTCTGGACACCATCGATCCTGTTGTCCATGTACCCTCCATCGCCACCTCCTCCACCACCTTCTCCTCCATTACCATTGCCATAATCGGACGCTGCATCGTTCATGTTGGCTCCACTGCTGGTGTTGCTGTTATTGTTGGAGGAAGTCCAGGTCCGGAAATCGATACTTCGTCTAGAAGAATGCTGTTGATGCTGTTGGTGTTGATGGTGTTGGTGTTGATGGTGACCGTTGTTGGCAGACTCCTTGGGGTCGGGTGCAGAGACCACATAGTGGAAGGATTCGTTAACGCGTTGGTCCCGGATCACCGTTGCGAGCTGGAGGATTGGTTGAATGTCGACTGGCGGATAGTTCTATTAGCCAGAGACAAGCAAGTGCAAGTAAATGATAGAGTTAAGACATTATTGAACATAGCAAGGACTCAAAGATGGAGAAAAAAAATGAAGGGAGAGAGAGAGATATGATGGTGTTCCATGATGAATTATACCTGCAACAGTTTCACATTATCCGCAAAGTCCCCATCCAACAGATCGGAACGGAGATGGCTAACAGTACCAAATCGCAATATGAAGAAGATGCAGGCAGAAGCTATTAGTACTTCTACTCCATAGAAACAGTAACCAGCACTCTATGCCTCTACTAATCAAGCAGCAACAAAACAAAACTTACCAGACCATTGCACACCCAAAATCTAACAAGAAGTCATAATCCTTCTCAACACCCCCCGTGTCCGCAAGGACAGAATCCCATATACGCCAAACATCCGGTACTTCAAACTCCTGCGTACACAACACGGTCAGCCATCGGAAACTGTAATACTCGGGTGCGATCCCCTTGTCTTCCAGATTTTGCCATAAGTCTTCGTCAAAGTGTCGGAGGCGTAGGTTCATCCTAGCGATGGTCGATCCGATCCCGCTGACTCGGTCTCGGTCTAGAGAACGGACAAAGTGGTCCCGGAAGTGAGCCATTAGGAGATGGAATAGCCAGAATGACTCTGCCTCCGCGTGTGCTATTTCAACAGAACAAAACATAGGTAATTGAGGAATCGGTAAGAATCACATCATTGACGAAACACTAGTAGTCTGAAAGAACAATAGATGACAAGGTTACCTCGGCTGGTTTCGTCGGGGTCGTTGGCGAGGAGGTAGTAGAGTGGGCCAAGGATCTCGTTCATGCCTTGGACATAGCCGACTCCGGGGTTCAGCTTTGCATAGATGAACAAGATCCTCTCAATCGCCTCCCAGTGTAGATCCTGTGGCAACTCATCATCTTCCTCTTCATCATCCTCATCATCACCCTTGTCCTGGCTCTCGCTCTTGCTCCCGTTGCTCTGAAAACTGTAGTCATCATCCCATCGATTCTTCAGCGCAGCTCTCCTGCTGGTCTGCGGATCCTCCATCGTGGGTTCGGGTGAAGATGACAATGGGACATCGATAGGCGAAGCGGCTGTCCCCATGGCTGCTGCTGCCGCCTCTGCAGTTTTCCTCCCATTGCTAAGCAAATCCTTGCGCTTCTTGATCCAGTTCTCCTGAGACCGACTCGCCTGCAGGGTGTGAGGTTGATGTTCGCGAGATCCGAAATCCTGATTGAGATGGGCGACCCTCTTAAACAGAGATCGTCGAGTCGGGATGGGCGAAAAGAGATAGTCCGGCAACGTCGGCTTTTCATCTTCCTCCTCCGAATCGACCAAATTAGAAGCCATTCCTCTCAGCCTGGAGGGAACAGGCGACGAATAGCTGCTCCCAATTCCATTTATGCCGGCGGTGGTGGTGTCGTCAACCGGTGTCCTGAACCCATTAGCAAGTGGAGGAGTCTCAGTCCCGTTCTCCGTATCCTGGCCAGGAATAGGCCAAGAGTCCGGCTCGTTGGCGGTCTTTGGGAATTCCGGTTTCTTCTCTGCCCGTGGCGACCTAAGAGTAACAGTCTGCCGTCGCTTAAGTGTTGGGGTCATAGACCGTGCGATGGGCGATCCCTTTGTCCCGAGGTCGAGGTGAAAGGGCAGTCCTCCCGAGGCAATGCTTATCCGAGGAGTAAGTGGCGATTTTGGCAAGGACCTGGATAGCATGGAGGTGGAATCGTGTGTGTAGTGGTTGGGTATGATGATTTGGGATGTTCCTGTTTCTAGTATTGGGGCAGATTTCGATGACCCTGAAAGAAGGGTGTTGATCATGTTGCTGCTAGTATTATTATGAGTGGCAGTGGTCGTTGCAATTGGAGCCGTGGCTGTGTTGTCTTCATCTGCTTTGGTACTAGTCATGGGTTGTTGTTGCTTAGGCTGCTGCTTGGGTTTCCTGGTCCTGGGTTCGATACTGAGAGGGCAGAGAGGTGAATAAGGGATGGGGAGCTGAAAGAATGCAAAGTCCGGTAGTGTTCTCCGGACATCTTTGTCGATCTGCTCCAGCGTCTTGTTGTCCTGCAAGAAGAGCGACCAGTCCGAATCCTCCCTCTCGTCCTTGATAAAGTCTGCCTCGCCCAGCTCAGGCTCCACGATCAAGTCCTTCACAAAGCTCTGGATATGAGTGTCCACGCAATACCGATGCATAAGCATTGTTGGAAGGGGAGAAAGGACAAGTGGTCAGCGAATTGTTTTTGTTGCTCAAGCCCGTTGTATCTTTCATGTTTCCCTCTTATCCCGTATCGTGCAAGGAGAATAAATTGAGGAGAATGAGAGGGTGGTGGGAGTACAAAAGAGAGTTTTCGTTTCTTTTTGTCTTTGCGGTGATCTGCCAACTTACATAGTAGAGTCGTCGCTGTTCCAATAGCACACTGTCCCATCGTGTCTTGTCCAGGGGTAGGTAGCGAAGTAGAATCTATATGTGAGGACATGGGAGGTATAACTCGTGTTAGAACAAAGGTTGTCAATAAGTCGTCGCTGCTGGTTGGCAGGGTGTCATGATAGCAATTGAGTAAGCGCTATATCATCGCTGAGACGAAGAAGGACGCAGAAAGAAGAGGCAGAGAAGGGCCACTTGCCTTCCAACATGTCTGTCGAAGACCAGGCTTGTCAGGGATGCCTATTGTTATCATTAACAAGGATGCGCAAGGTTGCAGTAGCTTGTGTCAGTCCTATCATTCCGATAGACAAAAATAGCTTGAAAAGGAGCAATGGGTATGACTAGCTTACTTACCTCCGAAGCAGAGTTCCTTGAATTCCTTGAGACTAATGGTCTGGCCGTCGTCTGGGTCCAGATATCTCTCGAATCGGGATATTCTATGCGATGAATGGGCGTGAGTTCTCGATTGTATGGTGTTTATGGTTGCTGGTGAAGTGGAGGGCAAAGTGGCAGGTCCTGATCGAGGCTGAAGTGAAATAATAGCTTTGCAAAAGAACGTAGTTCACAGTGACTGAGTTGGCTACCTTGCGATGTAGGACTCCATGTCGAATGAAAGTGACGAATGAAAGTGACGAATGAATGAATGAATGAATGAATGAATGAATGAATGAATAAAGAGTGAATGAGAGCGTGGAAAAAAGAGAAAGGCAGGGCCAAGGTGGACAAGGTGTGGTGAGAATAAATAAAGAAGGGACGAAGAGGGAAGAAGGAAGAGAGGAAAGAGAAGAAAGAGAGAGAGAGCTGGTTCGCTGTCCAAGTCTCTCTTTCTCCCTCGCTTCCTCTACACATATAAACACGCAGACACATACAAACAATGCATACATTCACATCCACACTCTTCGATTCTCCCTATTCGCTCTCCTTTCTCCTTCGTCTGTCTCCTTTTCTTCCTCTCTTTGTTTGTTGTTGTCAGGACGCACATCTACTCAACACGCAACAATTCCACGTTTTTCCTCCCTCTCACTCTCCTCTCTCATACATATCTCCAATCCCCACTCGTCCTCGACTCTCCTGAAAGAAAACAAAAAAACGTGCATCTTCAGTTGCAATGGCTTGACTGTTGAAGATGTGTATCTGTCAATGTATGCCTTCGTTTCGGTTCGTTTCGTCTTTGCATAGCCCTCTCCCTTTTGACCAATTGAGCGAAATGCGATCTATTTTTTGTTCAGCAAAAGAAGGAAAGGGCAAAGCAAAAATGATAACATGAACGAGAGCCTTCATTCGGCGTGCATTATTAGTATGTACCCATTATTGGGCATTTAGGTCATGGATGTGTTCGACATGGTGTTATTTACCCGTCTCCGCCCAGTATTATTATGTTGAGCAAATTGCTCCCTGAACGGTCAACCGCCCGGCACAGTCCCGTTGGTAAATAGGATCGGGTACGTTTATGGTTGTTGACAAGCCTGTTGTTTGTTTTGCTCCAATGCTTTGAATTAGTAGCAGGACCTGCAAGAAGGAGCTTTGTATCAGTCAGCCTTTTTTAACCTTGAACGCGTTTCTCTGCGCAGATCAGGCACAGTCGCCCACTCAAATAAAGGGGGGGGGGAGAGAGAGAGAGAAAGAAAGAGAGAGAGAGAGAAACCCTTAATCAAAAAATTATGTGCTCTCTCCTTTGCACAGTTGACCCTTTCTTTTCTCTCCTCTCCACAACCGCGAAAACACAACCTGGCCAGGGTCGACTCTTTTCTTTTTTTTTTTTTCAATTCGACGACACGACACGGCAACCAAACACGACAACAAACACAATCGAGACGCGTCCCATCCCTTCTCTTTTTCTCTTTTATTTCTCACAAGCAACACCTTCTCCTCCTCCTCCTCTTCTTCTTCTTCGTCTACTTCGCACACGCTTATACTTTCATCCAGAAGGAATAGCAACACCAGACAGTCTACCCGACAAACAGGAAGAAAACCATCATCAACGTCTCGAATCACTCTCACGACAGCAACAAAAAAACAAACAGCAAATACTCAGCGAAACACTGCCATGGCTAGCGACATCTACACCGCCGTGTACTCGGGAGTCCCCGTCTACGAAGTCATGTGTCGTGGAATCGCCGTGATGAGACGTAAGCAGGACTCGTACCTCAACGCAACACAAATCCTCAAGGTCGCCGGTATCGAAAAGGGACGCCGGACCAAAATTCTCGAACGCGAGATCCTCCCAGGCGAGCACGAGAAGATTCAAGGCGGTTATGGCAAATACCAGGGCACCTGGTAAGTCACTTTTACGTGTTCTTTTTGTTGGAAGTATGTGTGCTCTTTTTGGTACAGAGGCTCGAGCTAACAGCGTTACCTTTTATTTGTTGCGAATAGGGTCCCGTTTCAGAGGGGGAAGGATTTGGCAAAGCAGTACGAGGTCGAACCGTTCTTACGCGCGCTGTTTGAATATGACGTCCTGAAAGGCGAAGTCGACACGGTCACCCCAACAAAGGAAATGGCCCTCATGGCCCAGAAATCAAAGGATATTGCCATCGCCAAAGCAGCAGCCTCGCCCCGACAAAGCCCCGCCAAGCGGGCTCGTAGTTCCTCTGCCAAACCAGGCGCTGCTGGCGGCTCTCAGACATTCAGCACAGCTTCGATGACACCATCACCTCTTCATCCATCCTTCAATGCACCCTCACCGTCTATCCCACCCTCACCCCAGTGGCCTGTCGACAACGCTACGCCAGTCCGTAAGCGGCCCAAGATTCACTCGCCTGCTCAGCGATACGACCGCGACTTTACACCCGAGCAGGAACATGGGCACAACTTACTTCATCAGCAATATCGTCATCAGCAATTTCGCCAGAACGGGAGTGGATCAAGTCTAGCACCACCACCACCACTACCACAACCACAACCAGAGGAGCCACCATTGGAAGGCGCTGAGAGATATCGATCGATCCTGATGGCGATCTTTTTGAATGACGACACGGAGGAGATCCCGCACTTGTTGACGGACCCCACTATCCCTGAGGATCTCGACATCGACCTCGTCATTGACGATCAGGGTCATACTGCCCTTCACTGGGCTGCTGCTCTGGCTCGGATTCAGGTCTTGGAGCTCTTGGTTCAGAAGCATGCGGACGTCCGTCGGGTCAATAACAATGGCGAATCCGCGCTCATCCGCGCTGTTCTGGTGACCAACAACTATGACAAGCAGTCTTTCCCACACCTACTCAGCATCCTCCACAGAGTCATCACAACTGTTGACCACAAGAAAAGGACCTTGTTGCACCATATCGCGATGATGGCTGGAGTGCGGGGTCGTGGGGCAGCGTCAAGGTATTACATGGAGTGTCTTTTGGAATGGATTGCTCGGAATGGAGGGGACTTCTCATCGTTGGTCGATATCCAGGACAAGAACGGAGATACTGCTTTAACGATTGCAGCCCGTGTTGGAGATCGGTACTTGGCGAGGTTCTTGATCGATGTTGGTGCTAATCGGGAGATTGAGAACAAAGTCGGCCTTCGCGCCGGCGACTTTGGTGTCGACGACCTTGAGGTATGCACTCATTTTCACACTTGTCTTTCTACCAAGTGCTTATATGAATATAACCTTATTACCCATGAAGTAATACACGAACTAATTATTTTGCTGTATGCTTCATAAATAGCGTGGCCCATCGGAAGCGCCTTTTGTGCCACGGGCGTTTTCGACAGCACCTCCATCAAAGGAAGAGAATGGCGGGAAACGAGGCAAGGATGTCATGCATGGTAAGTTATCCACGCTGTCACTTTCAAAGTTAAACATATTCATCTTTTCAGCCACGAAATAACATTTTTCTTGTTTTACACAAATGTGAATAGTTGTACAGAAGATGGTGGATGAGTTGGATGTAGAGTTCTCGCAGGAGATTCTGGCGCGACAGGGCCAGCTCAAGGATACCCAATCACTGCTCAGGAATGCGACCCGAGAGCTGACAGAGACGCGAAGGAGTATTATTGACTACAGGTCACAGGCGCAGCAAGTCGCAGAGGCTCAACAAAAGATCAAGAACTTGTCGCTTTCGCTCGAGGAGGAGTCTCAACGGACACGGAGCCACAAGGGATACAACAGCAAACTGCGCCCTCCTTCGGGTGAGGATATCGACCTATTGTTCAATGTCCGGAAACGCACTAATCCTGATGGGATGACGACAACTGGAGCTGTTGAGGTTGGTGGTAGTGGCGAAGATCTAAAGACGCGTGAGAGGATGGCTGAAGATGATTTGGTTCTCTTGCGGTCAAGGGTGTATGCATACCAGAAGAACGACGAGGAGCTGGCACTGGAGTTGGCTGAGACCAAATCCAAGACGTCTGCGAATGAGTTGTTGTGTAAGAAGGTCATTGCGATCTGTTGTAATATCCAGCTGGACAAGGTCGACGAAATGCTTGTCCCGTTGACGCTGGCTGTTGAGAGTGATGGTGCTAGTTTGGATCTGTCGCGTGTTGCTGGGTTCATGAGTCGGGTTAAGCAGCAAGAAGGAATGGGTATCACTGGTTCTGCATCGTCGCTGTCTGGGGCCGTACCTTCTGCTCTGGGACCTTAGTGTAGTCGGGGTTGAGGCCCAAAGGGCGTTTTATATTTCTTGTATCATAATTTTCTTTCTTTGCAATAACAACACCAACGAACCATTGTTCTAAATCCTTGACATCTGCTTTGACCTATCGCTCTTTGCTTTGTAGCCATTCAGGGTGAAGTTTCAGGTATGGGTTGGGACAGTGAAGTTGAGCATCATTTTGATGTTCAGCTTGCAAAAAATTTGGCTCTTTTTCTCTCTCTCTCACTTCTCTTTCTTTCTTCTTCATTTCCGCACACAGAAAACAGAAACACGAACACACATTAACAACACCGTTCATACCCAAACAGCAAACAGCAAACAGTAAAACAGCAAACAAGCATGAACCACCACCTCGACAACAACCACCAACAGTTGCAGCAGCTTCAGAACCGACGTACCTTGACGAACACTCCTGCTACTCGTCATCGCCCCCACGTCCCAAACATCAACAACATCCATGAGAATGAACTAGCAGATGGACGTAATCTTATCCAGGGGATGCTCACCCAGATCAAGGAGGTGTGTGTCCAACGTACACAAGCACTCGAACAAACACAAAAGCAAGCTTATTTTATTTCGTTTGTTTGTCATTCGATAATGCAAACAAAGACAACGTTCACTCACAACCCCTACTTTTCTTATCTCGCATATGTCGTCTTTGATAGCTGTACAAGGATGTGATCACCTTGACAGAGGAGCGCAACCAGCTCAAGATCGACTATGCAGTCCTCCAGAGGGAGACTTCAGACCTCAAACGACAGGTCGCCAACTTTCAAACGATGGAGCAACAGCGTCAGAAGGCCGAGGAGGACAAACGTAAGGTTGCGCCTGTTCAGAGTGCGATGAAGGGGTTGACACTTCACCTTGAAAGCTCACAGGAGCGTGTAACAGGAGAAAGAAGGTGAAGTTGTAAGCTCGGGGACACTCTCGTTGGCCTTCAAGGGTTGCCCTTCGACGCCTCTTTTTTTTTCTTCTCTTTCTATTCCGATGACATTGATACCCTTTGCACTGTTCCCTTTACTCCCTTTCTCTGTTACCCCTCGTGCGTTACTATTCTCCCCTTTGTTCTTCCTGACTAGGCTCATTGCTACTTTTATTGTAAAGACTTTAGTACCTTTGTTCTTCAAAAAAAAAAGAAACTTACAAATAAACCAATCCTTCTGCGAAGTACATACAAAGAGGGAGGTGGGAGGAGGGGAAGGGTGAAGAAAAGAAAGAAAGGAAGAAAGGAAGGAGGAAAGAGGGTGTGAAAGGACGAAGAAGGAAAGAAAGGAGATCCAACTCCAACAACATTGCGGACGAAATTCTCGACCGAGCAAACAAGTGGTAGCCAGCCAGGTCATTGTCCGTTTCCGCGAATTGAAGACCATTGCTCGCTTCACTTTTCGCGTTTTCCTCAATCCTCAATATCCGTATCGCGTCCTGGGAACTTACGGCCAAATCCTATCGCCGCTTTTATGGTGACTCGATTTCATGACACGTGTCCTTACTGGCATTCCAGTCTCCAGTACAGGAACAATCCAGGAAGGTCAAATAAAGTCTTCGCCATTGAGACTTGACAAACCCCTCGAACCAAATTCGAGGCAGTTGAAAATGTGTCCAGAGATCGTCGTCGCCTAGAGCTCAACACAAAATGGACCAAACGAAAATGGGAATCCGCCATTGCCCCCTATTTTCAATTGCCCATAACCCCTGTAAACGGCCCATTTCACAGACCGAAGTGTCATCACGGCAGTCCGAGCTCAAAACCATTTTCAATCGTCTGTTACCCCCAACAGCCACCTTAATCGCCCCCTGCCACATCAAATGCTATCTTAAACTCGGGCTTCTGCCAGTAGAGCAACTCACACCTGGACTTGCCACATTAAACATCGTGGTAATCGGGTCGGTCGTAACAGATTGGTTAGAGTGACCATGATGATCCTGATTGCATACCCGCGCAATTTTTTAGGATGGTCATCCTAATCCTATAGGCCCTTTTGACCTCATCCTCCCAACAACATCAAAAATGGCCAACGGTTGCCAGAGTCAGCCCCCAAGTTGAGAAAGAAAGGCTTTTGTAATAAAAGATGCCCGTGTTTATTCCTTTGAGTCTTATTCCTATAGTACTTTAACTTGGTGTCAGAAGACCTCGCTTCAATGAAAAGTAAGTGTGATCGAATGATCAAGTTATCTTGTCCGTGATATCGTCCATGTCTTGTGCCTGTTTGTATTTGAGGGGAATAGCATCCTGTCATCGCTAAGAAAAACAAAGGAGGAAAAGAAGAGACGCGAGGTTCGGAAGACTCCACTTAACACAAATCCAGTCAGCTCTACCACAACTGCCTCTGTCCCCTCCGTTGGTCCCCATAGACACGATCAAGACAAACAGCGTGGTCGTTTCTCATCTTGGTCCCTGTCCCCTTCGGTACACCGAAATAACCTCTTCAGACCCATTAGCAAGACTTCCCGACGTGTGTTTGCCAAAGAACCTATGAAGCCACACCCTTCTCACATGATACTCGTTGTAATCAGTTTTGATCAAACTCGAATGAGCGGCAAGAGATACCACTTCAACGTGCGAAAAGCGAGCCCTACGATTTTCGAAGCGTGCCAACGATTACAATAGCGCCTCATCAAGGTCGGCTTGACGGACATTCGTCGCCATCCGGTCCCAACAACCCCCTTTCATATTTCAGTCCAGTAGCAGGTGTCTTGCGTGTGGAAATATCAGCGTCGATGTATCTCAATGACACCAGTTTCCGCCAATAGGTCAAGGTATGAGAGGATACCATGGCAGTAATGAGTGCACTTCTGCAGGGTCGGGGTACTCTCCTCTTGTGCTGCTGAATAGTATCGTCGCTGATGATGGTGGATGCTGGCTGTCGCCCTATATCCGAGAAATGAAGGACCTTAGGCGCGTGTAGCAAAATGAAGGTCATGTCGGGGCGAGCAAGGAAAAAAACGAGGTGGTTAGTCAACAGGAACAGGAATGAGCAAACTCACCTCTGGTCATCCCGGCAGACTGATCTACAAGTGATCATTCCCAAGTGATGGTTACTTGATTGGTGGTTTCAGTTTATTTGTCTCAGATTCACACATCATCCAATAACAATGCAAAGAGAAGAGGAAAAGAGAGGTTAGAAAGCCGTTATCAAGCACAAATACATGCAGCGCTACCCTGATAGTCTCCATCCTCCAGCTAATTCCCAGGAGACCTGGAACAAAACAATTACTTAGGGTCATCTTCTTCATTTTGTTCCCTGTCCGTTCAGAGCACCGGTCCACACCCCCCAATTTCGCCCTATCTGACACAGGACAATATCTTAAGTCGCCAGGAACTCCAAAGAAGCAACCTCCTTCACATGGTATATCTCACAGGCACCTTTGACCAAACTCGAATGCGTTGCAAGGGTTACACCACTTCAACGTGAAGGAAATATACATCGAGCAGAATCGAGACAGACAAGTGGTTCCCCCCCGCCGTTGGCAATATTCCACAAACAGCACGTTTTGCAGTCCCTCCAACAAGCCCTCATATGAGGCGTTCTTGTTGATTATACCAAGTCATGGCGCATAGTGGAAGAGTTTGGTACATAGCACAGTTCAAAGACACCAGTTCTTGCAAACTAGCCGATAAAGAAGGATACCACCATGATGGAATTGTATGCAATTAAGAAAGAGTCGAGTACTTTCCTTTGAGGTTCGAGGCCGTGTAGTGTGCTAAAGGATGGCGATGGCAATGGGTAGCGAAAACGAGTGCGGCAGTAGAAAACTAGATTCGAAGGGTAACAATGTCGATTGCAATTGAATGCAACCTTGATTCTGTGAATGGAGCGAGGGATTAGTTAAGTAATGGGTGGAGTGGAGGAGGAATGAGAATAATGAGATGAGAGGGAGGAGAGAGAGAGAAGGCGAAGAAAGGAATAAGAGATAGAGTAGAGAAGGCAAAGGAAGGGAAGATGTAATGGAAGAGGAGAAGGAAAAAGGGGAAGAAGGGGGAAACGCTGGAAGGGCAAGGAGGAAGTAAGAAGAAGAGTGTGGGAACAAAAAGGAGGAAGAAAGATGTAATAATTTTTCAAGGGTGCCGCAGCGGTAGCATGTGACATCGAAGAGACAAACAGGCAAACACAAAGAACAACCCAGCAAAGAAATGGTTATCAATGAAAGGATTTTGTGCAAATGCCACGCTCGCTCAGAAGCTCAGAACCGGTCAACCCAGTTCTGCCAACCACCGATAAACATCGGTCTTGTCAACATCCTGCAATGGTTGGGGATACAGGTACGTCAGTCAAGCCAGTACCATCTTTAAGATCATATGAAGTTCGTCAAAGATCCATGCCTGTCGTCCTACGGAGAGTCCAAGGCGCTGAGGTTGGTAAGTTAGTTTAAGCATCCGATCCTGCCATGAAAGTGTGATCCAAGTCGGGACTTTTGACCGTAAGAGAGCGAAGGTACCGCATCTGGCTAAGTTGCTCATACGTAACTTGCCAAATCCGTTGGCAGTCCTGATGAGTGGCGGCGATGAATGGGTCAATGTCGATCTCAATCCAGAGCTCCTCGACCTGTGGCGCTGGGTTGCTGTCCAATGACGAACGGAAAATAACGGCAATGTTGGTTTGGCTGGACGGGTGGGGAAAAAAATAGAGAGAGAGAGAGTAGCCGAACAAGATTTACGGTACGCTTCTTTTGTAGAAAAAGACACATATGGCCAATGGTAGTCCGAGAAGGCGAGAAAAAGGACAAAAAGGTTATTATTGCTTCGCCCATAAGGATCGATAGTCGTGACGGTGAACCATGTCTGCCTGTTCCTGAGACTCCTCCTCTCTTTGTCTTTCTACGCTGCTATCCTTTCCACGACTCGCCAGCCCTAATCCACCTTAATCATCTCTCTGCAGATTCATCGCCTTCAACAAAAAACAAAGGTGAATGCGGGAACAGGTCATTACTGGTTACTTTTATTCAACCCTCGGTAACATCACCAGCACCCATCACCCACAACCTCAATAACCCTAAAAACCCTCGCCCAAGTGCTGCGTTTTGAGGGGTTGCTTTTGTTCACTCGCCCTCCTCCCTCTCTGTCCTTCTCTTTTTCTCAGAAAGCAGATTAGCCGTGTTTTTTTTTGCAACAAATAAAGAAGCCTGTTTGTGTGTCAAACCGTGTGTGTTGCAGCTGCCATTATTGCCCACTCTATTTCTTTTCTTTTTGTACCAGCTTTATTCTGGCCTCAGTTGCCATGTCGCCTGTCTTCGTCTGCGGTGATGTGCTTGAGGCAGGACCTTGATGCTAGTTTAGTCAAGGACATTCTCCTTGTCTTGTTGTGTAGGCATTACCTTACTCTAGATAGCCACCAGTCTCTCTCTCTCTCTCTCTCTCTCTCTCTCTCTCTCTCTCTCTCTCTCTCTAACTAACTAACTATCTATCTCCCTGTTTTTTTTCCCACCCGGCCGAGTCCTTGTCCAAACCGACATTGCCCTTATTTTTTTTCCATTCGTTATCAGACGAGACTGTTTTTTCTCATGACAGACAGACAGGCAGACAGACATACACACAGACACACAGACAGACAGAGAGTCAGTCAGATAGACAGGCAGACAGAGGGGCAAATAGAGAGTCAGTCCAGATAGACAGACAGAGAGTCAACCAGAGACACAGACACTTGCGCCTCAATGAAAAGTGAAAAGAACCCTCGCGGTATAAAAAACCAACGGCCCTTTCCATTCATGTTTTTCTTTCTTTCCGTTCTTTTCTTTTCTTTTCTTTTCTTTCTTCACCATTCCTCCCCACAATAGCTCTCTTGAGTCTTCCTTACCTTCTTTTAGTCTTCAAAGTTGGATACTGCCATTTACCGTCAGTAAAAGACTCAATTCATTCTCTTTATCAGCACCACTCATATCCTTTCTCTAATTCACCTACAACCCCGCCGTTCATCACTGAACGTCTTCAACTGCTATATTCATCCACCCCCCATTCCCTCATATCCATATTTGCCAATGATGAGTTCTTCATCTTCAACCTCCATCCCTTCATCTTCTACCCCCTCATCACCGCCAATATCGACGCCCACAATTACTTCCGCGACCGCGATGCCGTCAACATCTACCTCCACCCCCAGCCTCTCGACTACAACAGATTCTGGTGTCGGGGTCGGTTTATACTCTCACCGAATGATGACCAGGTCAACGACTCGTGCACTGCTGCCACCCACACTTTCGCCGTCAACATCCGACATGAACGCCATCTCTTTGTCCTGCTCGACCACCAACACATCCGGTTCCTCCCCTTCAGCATCCACAAGCCAGAAAAGAGTTGCCGCCTCTCCCTCGTCCTCTCGTTTGAGCAAGAAACCACGGAAAGTCCGAAGGATCCGCTGCTTCTTTTCGACTTTGTCGTCGCCTGCTCCACGATCACCCACCGAGGTTGAGCCCACAGGATCGACCACAGCTCCCAGACCCACGAGATACAATTTCTATTTCTCGTCCGTCCGACAGGCTGAAGAAGCGCTTTCTCTTTCTCGCCTGCCTTCGAGTATGTCGTCGTCGAGCTCATCATCCATTCAGGGGCCACCACCAGCCGCACCCATCCCACCTCCCGTCGCCACGCGAAGGTACAAATTCTACTTCTCCTCGCTCCTGCAAGTCGACGAGACAGTCATTGCTTCTCCACCACATCCCACTGAGAATTTTTCGGCAGGATCTCCGCCACCACCCACCTCCGAGGATACCCCAGCGCTACCTCCGACTGCCATGCCCGTCGAGCCAGCCCCAGCGCTGCTCCCATCCGCCATGCCAACACGAGTCGTCTTCCTTCCTGAGCTGTTGTCCGAAATTGCCACGCATCTTCGGACGAAGGACCTCGTCCACGCGTCGGAAGTGTCCTGGGACTGGAGGGCTGCAATGATGCCATTTGTCTGGACGTCAATCACACACCGCAAATGGAGATGTCCACAGTTCCGACGCCTGGGTAGTCTTGTCCGCCAAGAGAAGTTCGACGAGCTTCGTGCTCTCCTGCGCCGCGTCGTTGAGGTAGAATGGGGGAGTAACAACGACTCTGGACTTTCATACTCCGAGTTAGTGGTAATCCTGAGGTCCATGCCCAACCTCAAGAAGCTGTCATTGACGACGACCGGCTTGGCCAAGAGAGTGCTGTTGAACCTGCTCAAGGATCCTAGAGAGTTGTTGACGTTAAGCCATCTCCAGTTGGACTTGATCGGGTTTGAGGCAGAGGCAGAGGCAGAGAGTGAAGAGGACGGAGAGGTAGATGAGAGCGAAGAAGAAGGCGAGTTGCAGGAAGTGGAAGGAGGAGAGCCAGTTCCACTGAGTGACCTGTTTAGCAGGTTTGATCAACTTGAGGGGCTCGGACTTGCGGGGTGGTGGTATGCGCCATATCACCACCAGGCAGCAATCGTCGAGGTTGCTGGCCAAGCGCAACAAGAAGAAGCGGTCCAGCCTCAATGGGCGATCAAGAGTCTTCGGATTCCACGGAGTGAACTCGGAATCCTCCGGCGCTGTCCTCACCTCCGGAAGCTGGTCCTGACTGCCAAGCCAACGGATATCCAGGAGACGGCCTTGGAGCCAATTCTCAGCTGCAGACAGCTTGAAGAGTTGGTGTTCGAGGGACCTCTTTCATTCCGGATATCCGACATGGTCAATATGCATGACCGATTGAACTTCCTTACAGCTGTAAGCATTACGTTGGAGAGCGTAGACGAGTTCGATCGGTTGTGGGTGCAGTTCAGGAGGTTTGCGCCTCGACTGAGGTCGCTCAAGCTGGAGGTGCAGAGAGAATTCGATGGCCAAGAGAACACTCTGACTTGGCAGAATACCTTGTGCTTGAACGCAATTCTCTTCTGGCACAGAGAGGTGAGGACGCTTATTCTCAAGGGATTCGCTGTCCAACCTCGAGACTTCTTCGGAGAGGTTGAAGAAGGAGGCGTCATATCCTACAGCAACCCAGCGCCGCAGGTCGAGGAGCTCTGGATTGAGATTTACATCGACCCATTCATCGCAGCCACTCATCAGGACCGCCAACGGATTTGGCAAGCTACATACGAGCAGCTTGGCCAAATGCGGTACCTTCGCTCTCTCACGGTCAAAAGTCGTGACTTGGATCATTCGACCTTGGCAGGATTTGGACGTTTGAACCAACTCACCGACATCAGGCACCTCGGACTCTCCGCAAGTGGACAGGCATGGACCTTTGACGGACTTTACAATGTCGTTAGGGTATTGCCTTGGTTGACGTCCCTGGATCTCCAACCACTGCAGGATATTGACAAGGTCAATGTTCATCAGTGGTTGTCAGAACTAGGTCGACCAGACCTCCGGCTCTGAGCGTCTGAGGACGAGGAGACGGGTCGATTGGGGTCGTTGGGCTGCTTTAGTGTGTTGAGCAAGTTGGAGGAGTTGAGAGGCTATGTTAACGCTGCTTTAGATGAGGGTCGGAAGAGTATGGGCGTCAGGGAAGTAGACTTGGTCTTGAAGCATAGGCCGTCGCTTCCGGTTGCAGAGTTGCTTGCGCTTGGACACGTTCTGTCATCTGGATAATTCCCATCTCCAGAGTGTGCACTGATAGTCAAGCTGACAAGGCCGTCCGCCCTCTTGGTCCTTGATTGGAACTTGATCTTTGGTGGTGGTGTGAAGTGTTGTGAGTTGATGGTTGAAAGCTTCTTGCAAGGTAAACTGGCGGCTGAGTGACAGCATAACGAGTTAGGAATGTCTTTGGAAAGCCTGAACTTGTCAAGAGTCCATAGAGAGCTGCAAGAAAGAGACTAGGCCTGAACTGGGACATATCTACTCCGATGGTTCGATGGTGAACAAGGGGAAGGAGACATGGGCCATGGCCTTTGTAGTAGTAGGAGAGGAGCAGACGGTGGTGAAGGGAACCACTGGAGGATTCGCATCATCGGCGAAAGCGGAACTAATGGGATCGATTGCAGGAGTCATCGTGAGACCACAGGACCAGGACCTCTGCATCCGACTTGACAACCAAACGGTAGTGAAAGAGTTCAGTGAGTTCCTTGTCAATCGGAAACGAGCATCAGTGAGAGAAAAACTGAGGTGCAGGTACGCTGAAGAGAGGGCGGTGATCGCACGGATATACGGTGGACGCACGTGGTCAACAACGGTCGAGTGGGTCAAGGGCCACAGCGAAAATGAATGGAACGGAAAGGCGGATATAGCAGCAAAGGGGGCGTAATCATAAGGCGGGACGGCATGTGAGGTGGACAGAGCCACCCAGGACGAAATCAAATACTCTACGACGATGGCTTGCGTTATCCTCAATCAGAATACGAGACATGTGCTCAAGATGCACACCACCAGACGCTGGAGGGCACTCAGGAAGACCAAGAGATCGATCCAAGACTACAAGGGCACAGATTGGCCTGGCACATACACAGCAACAAACCAGTCAACAACTTTTTCAGTTCACAGCAGGATACACGCCAACGCAGTGATAAGATAACGAAGGTTCATGAAATGTTGCCTACCATGGATATCTTACGCGCCAGGCGTCCAGATCCATACAAGGACGACTTATGCCGAGTGTGTAGTCTAGAGACGGATGATAACGAGCACATCTGGACGTGCTCCAAGAGCACGGACACGCAGGAGGAGCTGTGGGAAGATGCCCTCGACCGAGTCGACGGATAGATAGAGATCACCACACGACTGATCAACAAACAGCGACAGAAGCAGCTCAAACCAGGAAAACAACCACCCCCCGAGACCGTATGGAGGCTACAAAGAACCAGCAAACTCTGCAGGAAGCTGTGGCAGGCGATCAAGCGGCCAGGCGAGGAAGAGGAGAAGAAACCGGAACAACACATCCCGAACGCGTGGACAGTTGGTCACATCTACCGAGGCCTAGTGCCGAAAGCCCTAGCTACACAGTTGATCAAGGTGTTCAAGGACGTAGTAGAGAGCATCATCTAGCATGTGAGCCGCCTCTTTTGTCGATATGTCGAAAAGGAGGTCAGAGAGCAGTTATGGAAGTGTAACCAACAGCATGAAGCGCACACGCACTACCAAGGACTAGAGGGCACAGTGGGCAACGACCCATAAATGGAATCAAATCTATGGGCGGAAACTCCGAGAGGACGAGTGCGTTTATGGGCGAGCCGTAGCAGAACACAGGGAACAGCGGTGCCCAGGCGAGCAGAGCGATACTCGAGTGGCTGACCGAGCAATCATCGACACCCTGCTGGGCCTGAGTCGCATGGATCTTATGGAAAGGAGAGGCAACATGGTCATCAAGGAATTGGAGGAGGAGCACATCTAGATCTCTTGAACGCTTCCCACAAAGCAACAAGGGTCGTTTGGACTCACACGCGTCATCCCAGACCTGGTGAGGACGGGCTGTACAATTCTCATATTCGCTGTACAGTTTAGGATACATTACTGAGTGAGGAGACTATGTGCACGTACGAGGAACACTTAGACAGCTCCACTTTTGGCATCTTTACCTTGACAAAAAAAAATGAAAACCTGAATTTGTCTTCTTTTCTCTGCGTTTTTTTGCACCATCATCAGGCATATATCTATGGGTCCAACGAAACGAACAAGCAAACAAATAAAGTGGAAAATGAAATATTCTGTTCATGCAATGAATATGCTGTCTATGATATGGTAATGCTAAAGAAATGCTAATGATGGTACAATGAAATAAAAAAATTGAAAGAATAACCGAAAGAAAAAAAACCCCCCACCTCCTCAAATATCTCCTCCTTAATCGACACGACGCTTCTTGATGGTGGTCAGGCGGACCTTGTCCTTTGCATACTCCTTGGTCTTGAGCTGACGCTTGCGCGACTTCATCTCGTTCTTCTGGAGACGACGACGGGCCCGGGCCTGGGGGTCGTTCATGGCCTGCATGACGCGCTTCTGCTTGCGCTCGCGACGGACCTCGAGCACGTGCTGGCGGACCTTGTTGTAGGCCTTAAAGTAGTCGGTTGTACCTGCGCGCTTCTGGACCAAGTCCAAAACCTCTGAACCCAGCTTCTTGAGCTCCTCTATTAATATCAAATTACAAGCCAGAAAAAATGTTAGAAAAAGGGTTCGAGGCAGCAAGTTATGAAAAAAAGAAATGAGCAGAGGCAAGACAAAAAACAGCAAATGCATACCGATTTCGGTGCCCTTGGCGGTTTCGTCATTGACGATGCGGTAGATGGGCGAGATAATGGGGATGAGGTATGGCTTGAGCTCGTCCTGGTGAATATGGGTGGTAATGGCAGCCATGCACTGAAAGATGCAGGTCTGCTGGATCACAGACCGGTCGTTATTGTTCCTCATGGCAGCACCGCGCGACAAGAACGAGAGGCGCTTGACCAACCAGTACAGCATTCTCTTGACAGGCTGCTTGGCCTCGGTGGTCTTCTTGCCTTCCTCCTCCTCTCCGTCCTCTTCTTCGGCCTCCTCATCTTCGTCTTCATCATCTTCATTGCTCTCTTCATCGTCCTCCTGCTGGTCAAAAGGAAGAGCATAGAAGACCTTGGCGATAAAGAATAGATTCTTGACAATCTGTCCTCCAAGATCCTTGGACAAGAACTCACTCTTGAGTTGCTCGCACAACATCTGGGCAACAGACTTGATCATCTCGGGTGACAGCACCAAATCCGATGAGGCATCCTTGACAGGGGAACGGGTGACGGGGTCGATACCTGCAAAGAAGGAGCCAAACAGACGAGTGGCCGACAAACGAACCCAGGCGTGAGGGTGGAGCATGTGCTCGCGGATCAAGGGCCACAAGGTGGTCACCTCGCTCGAGTTGATAACATTGGGGAACTGCTTGACCAGCTTGGTGAAGGTGTTGAGGGCATAGTAGCCAACCTCCCACTCGGCATCGAGATCCATCGCATCCTGCTCCTGCTCCTCAAACTTGTCAGCCTCGGCAGCCTGCTCCTGGGCTTCCTGCATGATCTGCAAACTCGACTCGAGCGCAAACTTGAGACGGGGAACCAAAACAGGGATCTGCTTCTTGAAGGCAGGGCCGAAAGCCTCGATGGCCAAACCGTAGACCTGAGAAGCCGCGCGCTGGAGACTGCGCTGCTCGGTCTGGTCGAACCATTTGGCGAGCAAGACATAACTGTTGTCGAGCTTGGGACGGTTCATTCTCTGGAAGAGGGCTTTGATCAACGAACCGGCCATCTCACGACACTTGCTCGAGTCATCGTTGACGAGCTGCATCACCAACGCCAAAAAGAAAAGCTCGACATAGTCCATGAGAATCTCGTCCGCAAACTTCTGGATGATGAAGTGCATCATCTCCATCACCGACTGACGACCGCTCTCAAAGACGTAGCTCAAGTTCTTGACCAAAAAGTTCATCTGGTTGCGGAGACGACCACGACCCTGGGGGTAGTCCAAAAGGAATTGGAGAAGAGCGCGGCGACACTCCTCACGGGCTTGGTGGCTCTGCGAAGTGACCATGATCTCCGAAATGTTCATCATGATATCGTACATCTCGGGAACCACAAACTGGCGGGAAACGATGGAACGGATGAGGGCGAAGGTGGTAGTCTGGCGCTCGGGCTCCTCCAAATCGGGCTTGATCATGTTGAGAAGCATCGTCAGCTGGTCCTCCTTGAGCACAATAACCTTGCTCTCGCGCATGGCGATCGCCAACATCTTGAAGCAGCTCTGGGCAATCTCCGACTTGGTAGAACCCTGAGCCTTGAGAAGAACAAAGGTCTGTTTGATGACAACAGGGAGTCCCTTGTCGAGCGAAGGCAACTTGAGCTTAGCGAGGAGAGACATGATCTTGAGCGACTGCTGGATGACATCGGGGTGCTTGGCAAAGACACCGTTACCGACAACCTTGACAAAGGGGTCCAGGAGGGCCAATTGCTCGGTCGAGCGGACGTCAAACTTGTTGCGGGTCAACGAAGAACGGAAAATGTGAAGACCGAAAGCCACGAAGCGGTGAGCGTTGGCAGGGAAGCAGTCGGTCGACAACTGAGTAGGGCGCTTGGTGTCGACGGTGTAGTTGATCTCCATGCGCGACTTTTGCTTCTTGATCTCCTCCTTAGTCTTGGACAACTCCAGGTTCTGCGAGATCAAACCGTGGCAGAAAATGAGGGTTTCCTTGGTTTCGAAATGGGGGTTGCTGTTCAAACCGGTGGCCAGGCGACGCATGACCTCGTCGACCTTGCGCATCACCTTGACGGCCTCTGACTCGCTCAAGAGTTCCTTGATAGGAATCATGATCAATCCCATGTTCTTGAACTCGATGATGCCGGCCATCAGCTCGAACGAATGGAAGCTGAGGTTGCTCTTGGCTTCCTTCATCTTGCCGGTAATCTCCTCAGTCTCCTTCTCGATACCAGTCTCACCAAAGATATCGTTGATCAAGACGTCGACAATATCCTTGAGACAGTAGTCGAGGTCACCGACCTGCAAAGTGGGCACCAGGTGGGTCAACATGGCGTGGACAGTGAAACCAAGGACGTGGAGCTGGTAACCGCGGAGTAAGGCACCCTTCATCTCCTTTAGGATAAAGTTGAAGTAGCCGGCACCCAAGAACATTGTGATCTTGATTAGGGTATCGCGAGTGGTATCACGGGCCTCCTGCTGACGACTCTTGAGAATCTGGCACACCGAAGTCAACAGGCCAGGAAGGTTGGTGCGGAGGGAGACATCGGGAAGAGCCTTGAGAAGCTTGGTGATGGCCAAAGCGACAGGGACACGGATCATGACACTGGTGTCGTCACGGTTGGTGAGGTAGCGGTGGAGCTCGGGGAGCAACTTCTGGATGACGGTGTCGTGGATGCGTCCGGCAAGGGCAGCGGCAGCCTCGGCGGAAGAAAGCTCAACCTGCATCGATTCGTCGTCCTCATCGGCATCCTCGTCGTTCCCCTCATCCTCTTCTTCAGCCTCCTCCTCAGCTTCCTTCTCAGCCTCAGTCTCGACAGCGTCAGGAGCCTCGCCAATCTGGGGCATAGGGGCCTCCTCCATATCAACGTCACCTTCGGCATCACGACGACGGAGCTTAGAGCCCTCGACATCGGGCATCTCATCATCATCACCTTTGGCCATTCTGCGGTCGACCTTGGGCTTGCTGACGCGTACTCGCTTGTGGACAATGGCGAGGGCCTCCTCGGGCGATACCTCGACATGTTTGATATCAAAGTGGAAGTTGTCGAGGATGGCAATGACGGTACGAACGAGGATCTTCTCCATCTCAGCCTTGCGGGGGATCAGCTTGAGATAAGTCCTCAAAAGCGAATAGTAGGAGCTCCAGGGCAACTGAGAGGCAATGATTCCGAGAGTTGCAACGGTCTCGTTGACCAAGTTGTGGTCCGTGCTCTTGTCCGACTCGAAAATGAAATGGGCGATCAAGGGGGCAAAGATCTGGGTCAAGGTCGATGGGCGGAAGGTTCCCTTGGTGCACTCCTCGGCGAAACGGTTGAGGGCACGGATACGACGATGAAGCTGGATGTGGTAAATGTTGGTGAAGAAGGAAGCCTCCTCGTCACCTCCGACCAACAGGGCCGACATATCCGAGAATTGGACCTGATCGGGGCAACGCTTGACGGCATGGGCAAGGACGGACACAAACTCGAATCGAACCAACTCGATGGGAGACTTGAAGCCCTTCTTGAGACCGGGGTAGATGACGTGGGCCAAGAGTCCCCTGAAGAGCTCGTGTTGGGGATCCTGAGGGTCGAGATCGGCGCACTGGTCAATGAATCGGGTCAAGGCAAAGGTTGAGTTGCTTCGGATAGACATTTCTTCAGGGTCACGAATGTAGAACATCATGTTGTGGAGAACAGGGAGCCACTGACGGTCGTTGAGATCCTTGTAGAGCGAGTTGGTCAACAGGTTGAAGGCGTCCATGCGGCGGTCAAAATCAGGCATATCAATACGGGTAGTCGAGAACGAGTTGAGATCCGCAATGAGGGACGCGGCAGCAGTGAAGGATGAGTCGATCTTGGCGAACGCGTCCATGATGGCCACCAACAACACGCGGCACTCTCTGGACATCAACATTGAGAAGAGGTTGACAATGTTGTTGAAGTATGTGGTGAAGAGGGAACTCTGGGGCGTCAACTCGGGGATAATGGGCATAAAGTTGACAATGATGCGCAAAATGTCGGCCTTGGTGCGCTCAGGGACGACTCTTGGGCTCTTCTTGAGACTGGGGAGCAGAAGGTCGATCAACTTGATAGCCTGAGGACCGTTCTTGACGTAAGTAGCCACCTGGGACAAGATCGAGATTTCCCTCTTGGAGAAGCTGTCCTTGCCAAACTTTGCGTCGCTACTGCCCTTGGTGAGGACGATCTCGAGGTTGTCGAGGAGGCAGTCGGTGTAAGGAATCAAGACCTGGGTCGTCAGGGGCTTCTCAGCGAGATCGTTCTCCTCGAAGCAGTGGCCCAAGATATCCTCACAAATCTCAAGGACCATCGAGATGACAGGATCGCGAACCTTCTTGGCCGACAAGCAGCCGTAAAGCTTCACAAGGACGTCCTTGTTGTAGTTGATGAGGAAGGGGACATACTCCTTGCGACTGGCCCATGTGGAGAAAAGCTCCATGATGGCCGAGGGAGCCTGGGTGCTCTCGATATCCAAGCGACCAACACGTCTGTTCAGGAAGGACTCGAACATGGCGGGGACGTAGGGCTCAAAGTCAAAGCCTGTGTTGGGCAGGCTGAAGAGCTTGGTGATGCGCTTGATACCGAATTGGCGAACATCCTTGAGCTGCTTGATTTGGAGTGTCTCGATCATACCCTCCTCGGCACCGAGCATCGACTGGTCGACCATATCAAGGTTCATGCGCTCCTGGGCCTGGTTGATCATGCAGAGGACAGCAGTCAACAGCTGAGGAATGAAAGGCTTGAGGGTGGTGCCGAGCATCTTGATGACATCCTCCATGATGTTGAGGAAACCGATCTGCTTGCGGATGTGGCCAACCGAGCCACGCTCGGCAGAAGGATCGGTCACAAAGACAAATCTGCTGTCGACGATTCCGGAGGTGCCCATGTCGAAGGGACTGAGCATGAGCGAAACAAAGAAGCCAAGCTCCGTGGGCTTGCATCCTCCGAGGGCGGTCAAGACGGCCTTGCGACGAGCAGACATACCGGCCTTGGCGGACCCCTTGCCCTTTCTCGAAATCATGCAGCCGTAGAGAAGTCTGATGATGATGGGCATGACCTCGTCACGGTGAACTGATCCAATGCTCGAACTCTCGCTGTCGGCAATGATGAAGGTCGACAACTCGTCCCTGAACTTGACGTCATCCAACATGTTCTTGAGGTTGTCATGATATGGAACCAGAGCTGGCAATTTGAACGTAAACAAACAGTTCAAGGCGAGGGTCTGCAGAGGAGCATCTCCGATGGTCAACATGCGCAAGTAAAGCTCGCGCATGGTGGCGCTCTCATAGGTCTGCTTAGGGTTCTTGAACTTGGCGAAAAGGGCCAAGAAGAGGTGAAGGCGCTCCTTAGTATCCTTGGCAGTCTTGGGGAGGACCTTCATCATCTCGACGGCATCTTCCTCCTGTTCATCGTCATCCAGGTCGCGCTCGTCCTTGCGGTTCCATGCTGGCTCATACTCCTCCTTGATGAACGTCAAAAAGACGGAGACGATCTGACGATTGTGAACCTCGGCAATGGAGGGAACCTCAGCCAGGGCCTTCAAGATCAGACTGTAGTAGTTCCAGTAGTCGAGACGGTCAGCGCCGGGAGCATAGACCTTCATAAAGTGCATGATCAAAGCCATGTTCTGCTTGGCGACTTCAGTGAGCTCAAAGGCGGTCTCGTTGGAACGACGGACCTTGCGGAAGTTGGGACAGTCAAAGTTGATTCCTTTCTTCTTGGCCTCTTTGATCTCGGCGCCCAATCCGAGGCGAGCCTGCGCATCATGGTAGTCGGCAATCGCCTGAGCTGACAGACCACTCTCGACCAAAAGCGCTTCGTCTTCGAACCGCTTGATTTCTCCAAACAACAGCTCCCAGAAGGCGTCGGGGTAGATCTCGGCCGTCTTGACAAGGAGCGTCGTGGCATCCGCCCAAAGGGGCTGGAAGTTGATCGTCAAGATACCTGTCAAATTGGTGGCGCAAAACTTAAGTTAGTCTCATGTATATTAAATCGCCGGGTGCAGCGGTCATTGTAACACTGGCGGAAATGAAAAAATGAGCTTACCCAAGCAAAGACGCATGGCGACGGTCTTGTAAAAGTCGTTAACTCTGCCAGATGCAACCATAGTGTGGAGCTTGCGGATCTGCATGGTCTTCTCTCTGTAGTTCTCGACAGTGACCTCGATGGCTTCAATCGCCAAACACTGCCAGAGGATGTCGTTCTGTGGGGCAGACTTTTGCTGAGGATCCTTGTCCTCAAAGGGAATAATGTCGAAGCTGGATAGGATCTCAAGGGTGTGAAGTCTCCGCCTGTGCTGCAACGAGTTGATGTTCTTTTCGAGCTTAGGGTAGAGTTCCCGAAGAGTATCAGTCGAGAAAAGCTTGCCAGAGACATTGCTATCGGCGAGAAAAGCCAAGATGACGAGTGTTAGTTATGCGACTTTGTCGGACCATGAATGAAAATTGACGTGAAAAACGAGCAAATAATTACCTCTGCTTGAGAACGGTGCAGTACTTGCCGACACCACGAAGGACGACCTCGTTGGAACCGTAGTTGTAGAGAGCATCCTTGATGATAACATCCCAGTGGCTGGCAAGGAGCTTGGCTCCAGCTTCGCCCGATCGCTCGCAGATGACAGAGAGGATCTCGATCGTCTCACCCAGGAGGATGTGCAGAGTAGCCATGGCGGATCCCTGGACGAAGGGTCGCTTCTGGAGAGTGATAGACTGGTCCTCCTTTGACAATGCCTGCAACAAAGAGCTGAGCAATTTCATGGTGGTGTCGGTTGTTGAAGCGAAGGGTGAAGAGATGTGGGGGACGATCGAAAGAGCAGCAGTCACCAATGCGATGCGAGGGATAGCACTGCTATCCTTGTCATCTTCCAGAGTGACGTTGCCCAGCATGTCAGCCTCAGCCTTCCAGTCGCATGGCTCAGACAACAATCGCAAAATTCCGTCCACGATGCGCTCAGTGTCCTCCGCGGATGCCTTGGTCGTCTTCTTCTTTGTTGTGAGTGCCTTAGCGAGAGGGAACTTGAGCAATCCATTTTCATCAACCGTTGCGGCAATCATACCGGGTGTCAGGGTAAGGACGTTCGAAGTGAGGAGGGTCGCCAAAAAGACAATGATCTGGCACGAGTTCTGAGCGTTCCAGTGAGCAGCGCAGTACTTGACAATGTGAGGAAGGAGGATTTGGGTGTAGTGGCTCCACTTCAAGTTGATCAAGGAAATCGAGAATGCCAACACAGTAGAGACATCCTATAATTGTGAATGAAATTGTAGGAGCAGGCATTAGCAGAAAGTTCGATTCGGCATTAATACACAACGAACTAGTAATAAAAGATATACGAACCTCGTGCTTGTAAATCGACTCGAGCAAAAGTCCTCCAGGGAAGAGAACGCTCTCCAAGGGCGAGAAGACCAAGACGGAGCTAGAGAGCTTGGCCAGCTCCTGGACAACAACAGCGGGTGCCTTGGCCTGAGGAGCCAGGGTCAATGTCGAAACCTTGATGGCCTTCTCGTAAATCTTGACAAAGTCTATACATGATACACAATACGCATGGAAGGTGTGTTAGGGATCACGCGCTCGAAAAGTAACGATAGATGAAAAGGTGTGGGTAAAAACCATCTTTTCAGCACAACATACCATCGATGCGGTTTCCCTTCCTGACAGAGACACACACATTCAAGAGTGCCATCGACTCTGCAATATTGAGCCATCTCCTCTGAGCATTTTCGGCCGTCACAGCCATGTCGAGACTCGATGTTAACTCTGACAACAGCATCTCGCAAACGCCCTTGAAATGCTCCTTGGTCGAGTAGTGAACCATGAGAACGAGGGTCTTGCAGAGTGTCCTGAAAGTTGCGTTGTCACTCATGCCCTTCTCCGTGACCTCGACATCCTGCTCCTGCTTCAATGCCCTGATAACCTCTCTGAGGACGACATCCACGCCACGATGTTGGAACTGGTTGCCGACGAGCTTGATTGTCTCGAACAACAGCTTGGCCACGCCCTCGACAAAGTCTTCCGTAGGCGTTTCGCGCAGGAGTGTGAGAATATAGGCGATAATAACTTTGAGGTGGTCGACGGGTGCCTTCCTGATAAGAAATGAGAACGACTCTGCTGCAAAGTTGCGGATATATGGCTTTTGTGAGTTGTCCTCGCCGAGCATCGGTGCTAAAAGCCTGTTGTAGATGGAGACAGTGGTTGTTAATAACGTGTAATATGGCTGAGCGTATATAGTGGGTCTGACTTTGACTGCATATATCACATACTTGAAGGTAGGGCAGAGATTCGTCCGCAGTTGTTCCGAGTACTTCTTGAATAGCGAAGCTATGCAGTTGAATGCCCACTAGAAGTGAAAGAGAGGGTGAGTTGGTGAGTACATTGCGCCCTTGTCCGTTATGCCGACGATACGAATGACGCCAGGAGAACAACGATCTGGGATACTTACCTCAATGACCTTGACATCACGAAAGTCGACGAGGGGAAGAATAGCGGTCAAGAGGCGGTCGAAGTATGGGTAGAGTTCGTCATCCAAATCCTTGGAGAGTTGTGTAGTCAGATCGAGGATGGGCTCCAGAGCGAGAACATTTCCTTCGTTCAAGTTCTTGATCAACAGCTCCACTACCTGATCCTTGTGGTAGAGAAGCTGTGGGAGAGTCTGGCAGTAGTTCTTGACGTCGAGAGCGAACCGCACGAAGGGTGCAGACAAGTTCAGCTCCTTCCATCCCTCGAGAGAGTCGTTAAAGAAAGATCCTGTTTCAACTGTCGCATTGTCCTTTTGGCCGACTTGCCGAGTGATCTTGATCTTGAGCTGGTTGACCCGGTTGTTGAAGCTTTGGTACTACAATTCGTTCAGGGGGGAATAAGACAAACAGGTCAGTTTACAAGTTGAAATCATTTGATTGTGACAGAAACTATACATAGACACTAGAAAAAAAGTCTTGCAGCATACCCTGAAACGGTTAGCTCCTTGACCCTCGCTGAGCTCTTTGGCCACCGCGTTTTCCTGCATCCTTGTTATATATTAAGTCTTGTCGTCGTTTTTCCTCCGTGAGAGAGATAGTGCGTGGTTGTAGGAAGATGCGTGGTTTATGAAAGTGCTAAAAGTTGCTGTGTGTGTGAGAGTGAGAAAGAAAGTGTGGATGTATGTATGCTGGAAGGAGGAGGAAGAGGACAATGAGAAGGTGGAAAGGGGAGGAAGGGAAGATGCAAGGAGAAAGAGGATGGGCGGGAGAGGGGAGAAAAGAAGGGTAATGGAATGGAAAAAGAAGACTGAGCAGCTACTTCCCCTTGTTCACTTTTTTCACTTTCACAGCGTCAAAGTACCAAACACCACAAAAAAAAAAAAGAAAGCGAAGGCGACGGTGGCTTGCAAATTGTTGACAATCAATTGATTGTCGCAAAAGACAGTCCTGTTTGATCACGTGCATTACCTCATTGTCAGGGCCACAATTTGATTCTTCCTATGGACTCTCTCGCCTTACTCGCCTCTGCCACCAAGGGGCAAATCGAGAACTATATTGAGCAATACGTGACCCTCGAACCACGGGCCTGGGCTACATGGAGAGGTTGACCACCATCCCCAACCTCATGGATCTTGTCAAGAACTCTTTCTTTCTGACTCTTGCCTTGGAAGCGCTGTCATTCGTCACTGAGGGCAAGCAGGATCTGTCAGCGATCGATATCACTCGAGTCCAGCTCTACGATACATTTGTTGTGCACTGTTGGATGTAAACAAGCGGCGTCTCAAGAGCAACACCCTGTCGGCTAAAGATCGCGTTGTCTTTGATCAGCTTCTAGACGCAGAGTTTACCTCGATGGGTATCAATTACTCGATAATGCTGGCGCTGGCGATCTTTGAGAAACAGGGCGGAAACCCGGTCGTTCTATATACTCACTTCAAGGACAAGAACACATGGCCCGTCAATTTCTTTGGTCCCGATCCAGTTTGCGGCTCCTACGCGAGTCGTCCCCATTGATACGCTTTGGCAGCCTGTTCCGCTTCCTTCATCGATCCATGCAGGAATACTTCTACTCGCGACTTTTGTTTGTATGGTGTAAGACGTCAAACAGATCCGCGAAAGGGTTAAGACCATCAGCAACAGTACGTACTCACAAACACCCACAGACAAACAAACATGTAACAGTTACGAGAAAGGGAGGAGAGAGGAGAAGGGGGGGAAGGGAAGGAGAGGAAGTGAGAGTCAAGTTCAAGGATAATAGAGAGAGTAAAAACAAGAGAAACTGAATAGTGAGAAAAAAAAGAAAAAAAAAGAACGAGAGAGAATAGAGAAAAGGAGAAGTGAGTCTGTCTCTTTATCAGAGTAGTTTATACTCGTAATCGTCTCAGGAGCAAACCGATCTCTAGATATGGATTCTTATGCTAGGGTAGAAAGAGGGATCCATACCAAGGAGGGACAACGATGTGTATGAGTTGACGGCGAGGATGAAAGTGGAGTGCTATGTTGTCTACCTCAATGTTGTCTATCACAATGGTCATGTCCTCTGCTGTTTTCTTTTTACCTTTCTTTTTCTCTGTTAGAGGGAGAGAGACAGCAGCAGTTAGTCCCTCAGTGCGTGTGACGGTCACTAAGGAAAGAACATATCCTTGACCCAACAACAGCGCTCAAAATACCAGCAACTAACAATAGCCAGTTCTCCCTCTCATATCTCCTCATAATACTTCCGCTTCAACTTTTCATCATCCTCACTCTCATCCTCTATCAACTTTTCATTCCTCGTTCACCCATACCACCTTTTTCTTTTGGCCAATTCTCCCTTCCTCTTCTTTCCTTTCTCTCCTCTCTCTCCTCCCCCCTCCTTCCCTTCTACTTATTTTCCCCCATTACATCCTTTCATAACAATCAAAACGCGAAAAAAGCAAGAAAATACCCTTTTCGTTTCCCAGTTCTCTCCTTTCTCAATCGTCACATCCTTCCCCATTCTAGTACCTCCGTCCTTCACTACCCTTTCTTTCTTGTCTCTTCTTATCTTGTTCTATTCCCACGCATAATCCCCTTCTGACCTTGCGTCTTCCCTCCCTCTTCTTGACCTACTTCATTGTCCTTGTCGTCTTCGTATTCGTCTGTTAATATCATTTTCTTTCCTTCTTTTCTTTTCATTTCTTTATTCACTCAACAAAAACAGAAACCAAAAGACAACAAAAAAGCCTCGGTACCAAAAGAAAAGGAAATCATTCATATTTCTTGTACCTCGTTCAGTTCTTTTCACTTTCCACCCTCGCCCTAATTTATCTTCGCCTTCCTGTCTCCTCCCCTTCTTTTCTCTCCTTCCATTTCGGCAACAGCATTCGATCCCCCAATACCAACAGCTCATGAGATAACAGGAGCAGGAGCTCACGGATCTGATACAGGTCTTCGAACAACAAGTTCCCTTGCGCGTACAGGAGTTCAAGAAGCAGTGCCGCCAGGACCAGCATAAGTTCGCCCAGCCTCATCAGCTCCAGCAAAAGCAGTATCAGTTGCTACAACAACAGATCCAACAGGTTCACCTGCAGCAACAACAAGAACTACTGAGATGGGCACTCTTCTGGGAGTATCGCAAGCCAGTCAATAAGGATGAGACAATGCGGCTATCCGTTCCAGGTCTGGATGATGGCGATGAAGATGACGACTAAGTGGACTACTTATGGCGACCTAGTCATACCCTCCTCCTCAAGCAAGGACATCTTAAGCCCGCTGAGCACCTCGAACTATTATCTCTATAACAATAAAACATGGGTAACCACCACTTCTCTTTACAACCCACCAAAAAAGCAAACTCTTAACGCAGAACCGAGATGACGAAAAATGCATGCGATGCGTTATCTGCGGAGTGCTCGAGAGGCATAAACAGTCTTGCATAGAGAAGAAAAACAATGAGACTCGTCTGATGCAGAGCCGTTCTCTTAGCCTATGTAAAAAAAATGTGTTTGTGTTTGTGTTTGTGTTTGTATGTGTTGTTTGTTTACGCGCTAAAGCGCGCGTATGTGAACATGAAAAATATGATGGAATAGCAAGGACTGAATTAAAACTTGGTGTCGCTTTCCTTTTTTATCTTTTTGCAGTTTCCGATTCGTACCCTTCGCCCTTATCCCATTTCCCTCGGTCTCGGATATCAACCCTCCCATCCAATCGGACCATTTGCCAACACACGCGACCAAAACCAACCAAAAGACATCCAAGGGTACAGCAAACTCACCCCTCTTTTTTTCCTAACCGCCTGCTGGACTTGTTTTCTGACATCACAAGCACATTTACAAATGTACAGACATGAGTAAAGAAGACACTGCAAGCAAACGCACTCAAAAAAAGCGCTGGAAGGAAACAGTTCTAGACGGATAAAAAAACAGGTTCTCGAATGGGAGAATTGCTCGCCAGCTACCTCTCAAAGCAGATGGCCTTTTTCGCCTTACCGTTCGTCCACCTACTCTCCCCTTCTCTCACTCTTTGCCTCTTTTTCTCTCTGGGCCAAGGACACTACCTCCCTCTTTCACAACCATGGACAAGAAAAATAAGAAAGAAAGGAGCATAAACAAAAAATGAAAGGTTCTGTGTATTGAGTGGAATATACATTCTAGCATCCCCTCCCTGTGTGCTATCGATGACTCTTTTCTCAGTGACACAGACACAAACAAAAGCAGATATGGTCATATGTAGATATGTAGACGTAGAGAAATAAAGACCATTTGAACATACAAGAGAAAGGCGGGTATGCAACAACCACGACTGTAGTAATCCATACATCCCAAACAAAGGCTAACAAGTGAGGAAATACAAAGACAAGGACATGGTCGAGAGAGCAGTGTTTGATTAATTGGTGATGTTTCTGTGTCAGTGTAGGTTATTCGTCTCAGGAACTAATATTTTACTGTGGCTGTCGATGAAGTAGGAACGGAAGGATCGATCCCAACTATGGACAGGGGTGTGTATATGTATGTGCATGTGTATGTGTTGTAAGTGAGGAATAAGGGTTCATACTCTCAGAGTGAAGAAAAAAAATATGATGTAGCTCTGTGTGCTTCTGCCTTTTTGTCTATCGGTCGCAAGGCGGCTAGACGAAAACCTTCTCTTCTTCCTCCTCACTTCTTTCCTTTCTTCTCCTCTTCCTCCTCTTCCTCCTCACTTCAACTCCATTCGCTTTGCTTTCCTTCCCTACCTCCACTCTCTCTCACTTCTCCAACCACCTCCCTCTTACTCTTTTATTCTCGCTCTCGCCCAAACATACACCTCTTTCCTGCTATTGCTTGCTCTCTTGCTCTGCAACCCAGTACCTCACTACCACACCCACTTCCCTCCCTCACAACACTCAAACACACACACATACAACTTTCCTCTCTCTTCTGGTCCTTTCACCCAGCTCCTACTGCTACTCACCTCTCCCCTCTCCCACCTATACACTCATACACCCCTCTTTATTTCTGTATTGGCACATAGTACCTTCGAGTCCCTCCTCACTCAAGACTTTCTTTCTTCGTCGACGCTGAGCTCATTATTGTTTGCAAGTCGAAATACGAACAGGTACCAAGAACAGCCCTTTTTCCTTTCTCCACTCCGACTAAACACGCCATACCCTACCTCTTGCAAGTAAAGTCAAATCCTGGCAATCTCCCTCCTTTACTTATGCTCAGCTTGCGCCGGCCTACCCACTTCCTCCCTTTCCTTCATACCTTTCATTCCCTTTGTATGTCTACACTACAATGTGTGTGAGTTCTTTGTTTTGACTCCCCCCTCCTTTCCTCGCAATTATATATAATTTTCTTCTGGTTTGCATGTTACGAAGGAAAACAGGCGGTCGCTGTTTATGTAAACTCTGTCGCCTTACAGTCCACGTCCCTCTTTCTTTTGCCCACCCTTTACTTCACCTCTCGTCTTTTTTACCCTGTTTCTCATTCTCGCTCTAACATTATCTCGCCCTTCTTCTTCACAATAACTGCTGAATTGCATAGCTACACTACCCCTTCTTCACCCTCACGAGACACCGTCCTTCTTTTTACAACGCACGCATTCACTCCTCCACCAACAAATACAAAAGCAATGCTCCCACAGTATCACCACCACCGGGGTCATCGCCATAACCACCAACAACCACCTCAGGGCAGCCATGTTGTCGCTTCCCACTCCTCGATTTCCTCTTCCAGCGCGCAACCCACCACGATGTCCACTGGAAGGGAATACGCTAACAAGGAGAATGAGCCAACGGTTACTCTCTTTGACCGCCGCCAAGGTCCATCAAGCAATCTGCGAACTAATGTTCGATCAGACAACCGACACAGCGAGTAAGTATCCAAAGTTTCTTTTGTTTCTGTGATTATAAATGTTCTTTCTCGGGAGGGTGTTGTACGGTGTATCTAATATATCTTCTATCTTCGTCTTTTTCATACGAATAGACCGTGGTACCGCAGCATGCATCTGAGCAAGCCTGCTCCCTCACAGATCCGACCATTCGAGCAGAGGGAGCCAACAGAGGCTGAGGTTCGGTCAGCTCAGTCCTCTTCGCAGTCGCTCCAGGATAATAGCAGCGGTCGACCATCAAAGCGGAGACGTGGAGAGCAATATGGCCCTATGTCACCATTGTCATCGCCCAGTCGCACATCACAGTCTGATCGCCTCGCATTGTCGACCCGCAGAACCTCGGCTGCTCTTGCGCTTTTGAACAGCAGCGGCACTCGTCACGATGGGCCTCAGCCAAAGGTGTTGCTCTTGGATTCGGACTTGTGGGCACAATTCGATGAGCACCAAAATGAGATGATCATAACAACGTCTGGACGCTGCCTCTTCCCTAGCCTCCGCTTCAACGTCTTCAACCTCAATCCCGATGCGTATTATTCATTCTGCCTCGAATTTGAGATGCTCACTCCAAACCGATTCCGGTTCAGCAATGGCGCATGGAAGGCAGTCAGGTCTCCCAAAAACATCGACGATTCCTCTACCGCCATCGCCACCGCCGCATCAGACCACAAGGGCGAGACGTACACACACCCAGACCAACTCAAGCTCGGCAGCCATTGGATGGCCAACCCGATCTCGTTCGCCAAGGCTAAACTCGCCAACAAGGCCAAGTCTCAACCGACAGTCGCCAAGAAAGCTCTCAAGCTCAATTCTATCTCTACCAGCTCCTCCAAACGCAAGGCCGACTCTACTAGCGCAACCAACAGCAACGACGGTCCTGGAAGGTCACACTCTCAGCCCCTCGGAGACAGCCATAATGACACCAACGTGTTTCACATGGAATCATTCCACAAGTACCGCCCCAGGGTCGTATTGACAGAGCTGGCAAAGGACTCCAACGAAATCCTCAGCACGACCGCCTACACATTCGACCTGGCAACTTACATGGCAGTAACAAGATACGAAAACGAGAACGTGAATGACTTGAAAAAGTCGTTCAACCCTCACGCCAGAGCCTTCCGTGAAACCGTCGGAAAGATCCCCGCTAGAGGATTCCATCGCCCTCAAGAATTGCAGAAGCACTCCTCTCTGGTCAACCCCAACTCGAGACTCAGCAAGCGCGCCCGTCCGACTTCGCGACCAAAGGATACTGGCAGTGACTCTGAAGACGTCACAGATCTCGATTATGACCTCTACGAGGAGGAGGAGGTGGACATAAATGCAGATGTGAGCGATTTGGAAGCAATGTGTTCGGTTGATGTCGCTATGACAGGAATACTCAAAAACGACGCCCGTCCCACCTGCCGACTGGGCAAGGACAATAGTGCACTCGTCACCATATCTCTCGGCAAGGACGCTAAGCAAGTCGCCAAGGTTTCGAAACAAACGACACAACAGCACTATGCCCAGCATCGTCAAGTCTCACAGCACGGAGGCGAGATCGACATCCTCCGACCCCACTCACACTTTACCCCCAAAGGCGTCTTTTCGATGGGTCAGCAGTTCTTCTCAGCGCAGAACACTTCCGGCAGCAGCTTCGCGCAATTGGCGCATTTCCATGGAGCAAAGCAGCAGCAGCAGTATCGACAGCGAGAGCCACAGCACCAGTCTCAGTGGACTCCCAGTGGTGGCAGCGGTAGCCAGTACAACAGCTGGAGGGGCGAGCAGCAGAAGAATGCATTCTCTCAACCCCTTTTTTTCGAGAAAGCTTCCAACACCAGACAGGATCGAGGCCATGCACACCTCAGCGACGCCAACCACACCCCTACAATGACCATTCCCCTCTCACCACACATTTCTTCAGTGCCTAACTGGGACGATCAGGCCCACTATGACGACGACTACAACGGGCAAAACGGTTCTGATGGCGATCTCTATAATGGCAGCATCACTGGGACTGTTGAAGCAGAACAGCAAGTGCACTTGGATCGTATCCTCTTTGAAAACGAATGCCTCAAGGCCTTTGTCCGAGAACGCTATGGTAAATACTCTGGCTATGAATGCTTTCATGATATTTTTAACGACCATCTCTCTTGTGAGTTCTTTTTCTGACATACGGTGTACTTTATTCTTTTGCATCAATTGTCTGTAGGTACTGAGGCTGAGTCCGAGATGACAGCCTTTCTGGCCATAGACCAACAACAGTGAACAGAGTGTCGCATATTCAGCGTCTATGGATTATTAAGGAGCGAGATAGTTCGGCTCCGGCCCCATGTATAAAGCCGTAGTCATAGCAGAATAAACAAACCATCTCTTCTTTCTCACTGATCTCAGGCACGCTCCATTTTTCACAGAGCACTCCGTCAGAGAGCCAACAACACGCACATAACCTATACACTATACATACAAATCAAAAAAACAACGGCTCCACATATATGTCATATCATTGAGACACACAAAACAAAAATCCATAGGATACCGTAATCCCTCCAAGGCGACATCAGCATCTATGCCATATTCAAGACTTCATGTCCAAAGCACACATATGTTTTTGATACTCTATTCTCTTATAGTCACTATCATATTTACTCAGTCTCGCTATTCTTTCTCTACCTATTCCACTGACTCTTCTTGGCGCTCGTTCTTCCACAATCAGTTTTCTGTCTTTGCTGTTTGCCAGCTATCCTAAAAAATAAATTCTTAGGTTTATAGGTGTATGAATGAGCGTGTGGGCATTGAACCAAGGGGTTGATCTATGTGCTCCATGTTTATGTTTCGTATTTCTGGAGTACAAGGTGTTTTTAACCTACAGACACATTCACCATTTTTTTTTCTTATCGCGAACATGTACAATGATACTTTGGCGATCCACAAGAACAGCTTTTTTCATTAGCAGAACCGGCTTTACAACTTTCCTGACATTACCACAATGTACCTGGGCGCATTCAAGATTCATCAACATGAGCGAAAACTCTTCAGTGCATAGAAAAGAACGTGAAAATCCAGCATGGCCAAAGTCACCTTCACAGATGCATTTTTTATCCCAAACGAACAACTCTTTTTCTGAACCAAAGATGGGTCAAGAGCATCCGCGCAAAAATGACATTATTATGTTATCTTGATACCGCAATAGGTCAAACTACAATCCATACCTCGATATCGCTCAGGTTCTTTTAGTCATCAACATCGTAGTTACAACATGATGTTCAAAAATGAGTGGGCTGGTGACTTTTTGGAAACAGTGTGTCAACGCTGTTGGAGGATGAAGAAGTCGAACATCCGTCGGTGAATGGCCAGTAACATCAGCGCATGCTTGAGGTCATTTTTCTTCAAATCGAAATGGCTGAAATGGAAAGGGTTTATGAACACAATGATGGATACGAAAGATGGGAAAAGTGGGACGGTTACTATTACAACGACGATCAGCGATATTTAGAAGGAAACCACCAAACAAATTAAAAGCACAAGCACCACCAAAATGACATTTCGAGTGAAAATATAAAAATGAATGAAGGAATGAAAATGAGCGCGTTCGTTTGTCTCTGTCCGAACTGAGTTCCTGGCTCAAGACGAGTCGTCGCCATTCGACATTGTCAACAAAACAATTGACAGCCGTACATTTCCACTCAACGTTCGACTAGGACACCATTAATTCCCGGTCATCCTTTCCTTTTCCATTGTGGCTAGCCGTCGCATACCCCTGACACTACCGAACAAGGCCAGGTCGTTGCTCCTCAGCGCCCACCATGATGTGGTTCAGATGTAATCCCTTGACCAGCAATAGGAAGACTTTCAGCGATTGATGGACATCATTTCAAGATGGTCGCACATTCTCAAGTTCAGAGAACAAAAAATAAGGCGAACGAAAACATAGACCGATATCCTGCTGTAGCGCCATGTCATTGAAAAACTCGCCACCTACAGTAGTGCTGTCAACGAAAACAATAACAGAACCATATGACCATGTATCGATAACACCAACAACGTCTGGTGCAGTAAAGCAGTAGTAGACAGATTTCTTTAAACTCCATCCGCACCTTCAACATAAGCTCCTCCAATAACCCCGACAAGAACAACAAGCCAAGCCAAATATGAATGTTAATGTATGTCTTTATTGTTCGTACTACGCTAATGGCTAAGCTAGTAGACCCGCCGTTAGTCAATGCCACTCCTCCGTCCCCTGGAAGAGAGAGAGAGAGAGAGGGCATCGTCCAGGGCACACCACGAGGAGGTCGCGGGTCAAGGTAGTGCCCCAACAAAAACAGCTCCTCCAAGCGCCTCCAAAAGGGGGTTGGCTTGAAGGAATTAGAAAAACAAACCCGGGCTTAGAATTCCGCCGAAGGCGTCCTTCCTTCGCCCTCAACGACGACGACAGTTTGGCGAGGGGTACCGAACACACGGACTGAAGGGCATTCCAGCGGCCGCGTGGGCCCGGGTCCTCTTTTTTCTCCACGGCCCCAGAGCAGAGCACACGTAGTCTCTGCCTGGAACCGCCGCACGTTGGTGTTAGTACTCCTGTTTGTCGTGTTTGTCCTCTTGTTGATTGTCGAGTTGTTGTCGGGTTGTCGAGTTGTTGTCGGTTTGTTGTTGCTTGTCGGTTTGTTGTCGGGTTGTCGGTTTGTTGTTGCTTGTCGTGTTTTTGTCGATGGTGGTTGTTGGTGGTTGTTGGTGGTGGTTGTCGGTGGTGGTTGTCGATGGTGGTTGTTGAGGGTGTCGATGGTGTCGGTGTTGTCGGTGGTGGTTGTCGATGGTGTCGATGGTGTCGGTGATGTCGGTGGTGTCGGTGGTGTCGATGGCGGTGGGTCGATAAGAAGAAAAGAAAGAAAAAAAGAAGGAAGAGGGAGAGAGGGAAGCATTGTGTACCCACTCAGTCCTTCTTCCTCTGTTCTCTGCCAAGCCATCGATGACTTCATGTCCGTCTCTCTCCTCTCTCTCTCTCTCTCTCTCTCTCTCTCTCTCTCTCTCTCCCTGTCCAATCATCCAAAGGGAAAAGAAGGCGGTGGAAAGGAGAGGAAAAACTGGTTGGTCGAGAGAGAGCACGCACATGCTTTTTTTTCGAAAAAACGCCGAGGCCCCCCTTGGGATAATGGAGTCATTATGCAAACGTATGCCTGTTGCATGAGAACATATCCACTGAGTCCTTTCCCTCCATCGCCACCATCACGAGGTTTTCTTAGGCTGTTTTTGCTTGTTAGCTTGCCTGGGTTCGGCTGAATCGTATCTTTCTTCAGAGCCTTCGCCTTTCGCCGTCAAATTATGCTCGAGTAATGGAATGAGAGTCTAAGAGAAAATGCATGCATGTGTTGTCAGAAAGGAACGGGATAAGTATAAGGGGATGAAGGATTGCGATCGACGCATCAAAGTGAAATGCGAGACAAGATGGAAAAAAGAAAAGTACGAACTGTCATTCCCTCATCTATCAGCACTGCCCGATTCCCTTCGATACCTTATCTCTTATAATCTTTTTCGTGTCCCTATTCCTCACATGCTCAGCTATGACATCATGCTTGTTTGTTTGATGGTCGTAATGGAGAGGTGGGTTGGGTTGGTCGACAGATTGGGGGGATAGGTATGTTACTCCCTCTTCCATTGTTTTCCTTCTCTCAAGGTCTTGTGGGTTGGCCTTCAATCGAAAGAGGTTCATCCGAACCCAGGCAAGCTAACAAGCAAAAACAGCCTAAGAAAACCTCGTGATGGTGGCGATGGAGGGAAAGGACTCAGTGGATATGTTCTCATGCAACAGGCATACGTTTGCATAATGACTCCATTATCCCAAGGGGGGCCTCGGCGTTTTTTCGAAAAAAAAGCATGTGCGTGCTCTCTCTCGACCAACCAGTTTTTCCTCTCCTTTCCACCGCCTTCTTTTCCCTTTGGATGATTGGACAGGGAGAGAGAGAGAGAGAGAGAGAGAGAGAGAGAGAGAGAGAGAGACGGACATGAAGTCATCGATGGCTTGGCAGAGAACAGAGGAAGAAGGACTGAGTGGGTACACAATGCTTCCCTCTCTCCCTCTTCCTTCTTTTTTTCTTTCTTTTCTTCTTATCGACCCACCGCCATCGACACCACCGACACCACCGACATCACCGACACCATCGACACCATCGACAACCACCACCGACAACACCGACACCATCGACACCCTCAACAACCACCATCGACAACCACCACCGACAACCACCACCAACAACCACCAACAACCACCATCGACAAAAACACGACAAGCAACAACAAACCGACAACCCGACAACAAACCGACAAGCAACAACAAACCGACAACAACTCGACAACCCGACAACAACTCGACAATCAACAAGAGGACAAACACGACAAACAGGAGTACTAACACCAACGTGCGGCGGTTCCAGGCAGAGACTACGTGTGCTCTGCTCTGGGGCCGTGGAGAAAAAAGAGGACCCGGGCCCACGCGGCCGCTGGAATGCCCTTCAGTCCGTGTGTTCGGTACCCCTCGCCAAACTGTCGTCGTCGTTGAGGGCGAAGGAAGGACGCCTTCGGCGGAATTCTAAGCCCGGGTTTGTTTTTCTAATTCCTTCAAGCCAACCCCCTTTTGGAGGCGCTTGGAGGAGCTGTTTTTGTTGGGGCACTACCTTGACCCGCGACCTCCTCGTGGTGTGCCCTGGACGATGCCCTCTCTCTCTCTCTCTCTTCCAGGGGACGGAGGAGTGGCATTGACTAACGGCGGGTCTACTAGCTTAGCCATTAGCGTAGTACGAACAATAAAGACATACATTAACATTCATATTTGGCTTGGCTTGTTGTTCTTGTCGGGGTTATTGGAGGAGCTTATGTTGAAGGTGCGGATGGAGTTTAAAGAAATCTGTCTACTACTGCTTTACTGCACCAGACGTTGTTGGTGTTATCGATACATGGTCATATGGTTCTGTTATTGTTTTCGTTGACAGCACTACTGTAGGTGGCGAGTTTTTCAATGACATGGCGCTACAGCAGGATATCGGTCTATGTTTTCGTTCGCCTTATTTTTTGTTCTCTGAACTTGAGAATGTGCGACCATCTTGAAATGATGTCCATCAATCGCTGAAAGTCTTCCTATTGCTGGTCAAGGGATTACATCTGAACCACATCATGGTGGGCGCTGAGGAGCAACGACCTGGCCTTGTTCGGTAGTGTCAGGGGTATGCGACGGCTAGCCACAATGGAAAAGGAAAGGATGACCGGGAATTAATGGTGTCCTAGTCGAACGTTGAGTGGAAATGTACGGCTGTCAATTGTTTTGTTGACAATGTCGAATGGCGACGACTCGTCTTGAGCCAGGAACTCAGTTCGGACAGAGACAAACGAACGCGCTCATTTTCATTCCTTCATTCATTTTTATATTTTCACTCGAAATGTCATTTTGGTGGTGCTTGTGCTTTTGTTTGTGGTTTCCTTTTAAATATTTCTGATCGTCGTTGTTGTCTGCCTGGATTCAGTTGAATCTCACTCGATTAAAGGCCAACTCACAAGGTCCTGAGGGAATAAAAACAGTGGAAAGGGAGGAGTAACCTATCTATCCCTCTCATGCTGTCGACCGACTCAATCCACTTCTCCATCACGACCATCAAACAAACAACCACAACAACTTTTGACGCACGACCTAACAATACTCTCAAGGAGCAATAACATGAATGTATACAACTGTCCACCTTTCTTCAATTCCCCTTCCTCTCCTTGTGTTTACATTAACAACAGACTAAACAGTGGCATCATGGTATCCGGGATGTTCATCTAAAAAGGCACAATTGACTGCAGAAGCAGCAGAAAGAGCTGTTTCAGCTGCACGTACATCTTGAGCGTCGGCTCTGGCACCAACACCGGCGGGAATAGCTTACCAAATATCAGTATCACTCATCCTGCAACAACACCATCGACAAGCAATAGTCTCTAAGAAAGTAGCAAAAACAACAGATTGTAGAACACAGCAATAAAATGCCATGTACTTGCAACGTCTTATCGATAAGCAGTACCGTCCGGCCCCTGCAGTTGAAAGCCTTCAAACCCCAGTGCCAACATCATCCCAATAATCTCTGAAAACACCAATTACGGGAATTACTTCCAGCGACAGTTCAAACCTGGCGGCTATTCGCAGTAGCAATGGGACCGTTTGTATTAGCATCAGAAGGGGATGCAGTTTTGGCAACAAAAGCGAATGCTCCAAACTTCATCATGATCATGTAAGGAAAAAAAGCGATCGTCTCTCGGAGATTTCGATCAAGTACTTCGATTTGTTTGTGAGTGTTGCTAGGAACACGACGAACCAGTTCAATCAAACGAAAAGACGGCAGATGAAGAAAAGAGATTTTGCCATTCTATCGTACTCCTTGCACTACGTCCATGTACAACGAACCGTACGTACTTCTTATCTTAATAAGACCCGAAGGCGACATTACAATCCTCATTCTCAATATTTATGTTCGTTATTTACAATGCTCATATCCCTTTCACAGAACGCTCTCACCGTTCAAATCGTCCATCTGAGCACACCAATCGCCCCATTTTTCCACTTTACAGTGGATGTTTTTGTATGAAAAGTCACTTGATCTAATCTCGCCGCCCTCATGTTATGTCAAGCACACGGATGACAAACATTTGCCACATACTAAAGAGTCCAAAACGTTCCACTACATCATCGAGAGCGAAAACTTCCTAAATGAAAAACGTTCTGGCATAAAAAAACGTCGAATTCAAATGACTGATCGCGCCCGCATCTCTTAATAGTTTCATCCAGCAGGGCGAGCCAAAAGGAAAAAAAGAACTGAAGCAAATCGATATCTGGAGTCCTTCTTTTTTCGTATGCAACGAGGTGTCACACAGCCAAACAAGCGGATAATATCCCCCATTAAACACCGGCGACCGGCATACATATCGGGACCAGTAAAAGCAAAAAAAGGGTCCAAAAAACCCTCTATGAACGAACTCAAAAACATCACATCATGACACCTCCTACTATTGCTTTTTCAATATCGCAAATAAAAACGGGACGCCAACGCCACAATTTTAACATTGGCATTGGCTCAGTATTAGTTCCCTTCTAACGAAAAAGAGTTATCGCTTGGAAGAATAAAGGTCATCGTCTCTTCACTTGCTTTTTATTTGCTACTGGACGACGCAAACAGCCCAAAAGAATCCTCTGAAAATGAATATGAAAGCGAGTCACCGTGGGAGAACTTGAAAATCAGATCTCCACTGTCGACTTGGTCTCGATCCCTGCTGATGCCACAGTTCAACAACAGCAACAACAGCTGCATGCGCTCCTGGTTCCCCTCCAAGAGTATGCCATGTCCGTTATCCGTGTCATCAAGCCACTCCGCAACTCCTGCAGAAGCAAGTCGTTCATGGTCAATGCTCGTCTGATGAAAGATGTCAAGCACGCTACGGTACACAAAAGCATTGACAAGCTGATCCAGGCTACCGGATGCGTCGATCGCTGTACCCCTGGCAAGGTCAGACCACTCTTCGTGGTTGGCGATGGATATTTCTGTGCACGAAAAGAGCCAGCCCTCCTCCACATTGACTTCTTGAAACTGCTGAGGAAGAAGATGCTATTTTTATTAACGTGCGTACTGCCCCTTTTTTAAAGTCATTGCTGGCACGAAAGGATAGAGGATTACGAAAGAGCAGAATTGGCGTCGTCTTGTTTTGACATAGTTTTTTCTAATTCTTCATTTGACATCCTCAATTATGTTTTCTTTTTTCGCTTGCTCCTTTTAATACTCAAGTTGACCTCTTTTTCTCGAGAAGCCTTTATACCAGCTTAAAGGATGAAGGAACTCGGATGTGCATATCTGAGAAACACATCATTATGTGCAACAAAAAATTCCTTTTGTCCTGCATCGTCTACTGCTCTCAAGCCCAAGATTAAAGTTGCCACCAATTTTTTCAATTGGCTTCGCCAAAATTTTCGTGGTGCTCTCATTTCGATCTTATCTTCACCCAGTTAAATCAATGCGTCATGGATTCTCGCAGTAACATTCCTACAACTGGAAGTTAACTTAACATCACACACTGACCTAATTCAGCCCTTTTGTTCAAAAATTATCTGCGAACATACAGGTTATTAAATACAAAAAAATGAACTATGAAGACTGGACAAGGCCCACAAACCTCTCAACCGGACCCCTTCCACCATCACCACCACCCGCCGTTGTCGTCGCAATAATCTCCTCCTCGCAAGCTGTGGCTGTCCACCTCCCTTCCCCCCCTCCAACCTGCTCCAAAAGCGCCTTCAAAACCTTACCCGCCTGCATCTTCGGAAACTGAGTCTAATCCAGTGTGACCAAAACATTCTCATCCCAGACCAACACATGAATCACATCGGAGTTCTGTTCCTTTAACCAGTTACGGCCTTCTTCGAATAAAACTCCTGATCCTGAATATTATAATCCAACTACAACCATGACGCGACTGTTGAGGATGACTCATGCAGCGACGACTATAGCCCTCCCCAGGTCATTCCCGAGGAAGCCAGCCTGTCTCAGCGCACAATGAGCCGCAGGTTTTGGTCAGTACACCATAACAGCGCCAGAAGAATTGCCTCGTCTCAAGAGGCTGCCTCCTCGCCTACCTCATCGCAAGACTTTTCCTCAACCGAGGAGTTCAGTCGAGAGAGAACTAGAAATATCTTAAACAAGGGTTTCTCGACAGTATTCCACCCTACGTGAAAACGCATGGGACTCGCTCACTTGCCTCGATCAGGCCATTCTCATTAAGATGGAGAAGACTACTCTGCGAAGAATTCACACTAATGATAGACATTGTCAAGTTACAAATGCATTAAAAGCAAGAAAAGCAACAAAAATATCAAAAGCAAAAATAAATATAAAAATGTTTATTTGTGCTCTATAGTCGGTCTCCTATAGCCGAATTCGTCCCCATCGCAGTACCTCAGTTCAATTTGGTGCTGTGGAGTAGTACGGCTGCCAAACGCACACATCTCGAATTTGAACATTGACGGGCATGTGCATTCCATGTCATTGACCATCGACACCGGGCCCCTTGCAGACAAATTTTTGTGTGCAGCACATATACGTTCACTCAAACCAAATCGCTCAACATCTTTTCAACATCTGAAACGACAAAAGCAAAGCAAGCAAATTCTTTTTTTTACTTTTGTACAAAATGGTGGCCAGCTCGCTGCGTCGTTCCTCTATATTACAGTCCAACCATCATCTCGCCCATCCCCTCCATATCCTCATACTGGTTGGTCAAGAAATCCAACTCCTCGGGGTTATCCTGAATGGCCTGGTACAGATGATGCGGTACCAGCAGCTTATCAGATACCTTTTTGCCACTCGACCCGGACCCCCCTGCCTTCTCCACCTCCGTCTCATCATCAGAGGCATTCAACGAGTCCAGCTCCATCATGATCGACTCGGGCCCCCTCTCAGCCTCAGCCTCGGCACGATGAATCTTGACCGCCTTGGACAGGATGCTTCCCAAAAAGGCCTTGGTCGCCTGAACCAAGAGTCCACCCACCACTGCACGTTGGGCCATCGACTCGGGCACTCTGTCCTGCCCTGGGTTATTCAGTAACCGCTCCTGCTCTTGGTCCCTTTCCCTCAGCCCACTGCGGGATCCTCCAGTGCCTGCACCGGCCCCCCCATCAAGCGACAAAGTCTTCAATTTGAGCTCATCCATCACAGACAAAACCCAATCAATCTCAGACCTCCGACACTTGTACACCTCCATCTTCTGGAACGCCTCCGTCAGTTGCTCAGCCTTGGTCCTCTGAGCAGGTGTGAGCGCAAGTGTAGAGTTGGGGTCGACGTCGGTGCCAACATTGATGCTGTCAGGCTGAGGCCATTCACTGTCTCCGATATCAAGATCCATAGCAGAGTCAAACGGCTGCTGCGTCTCCATGTTCATCCTGTCAAGAGCAGAGATCGGCCGTCCAGTCGCATCCACAATCCCGCAGTTCTTCAGCATGTCCAGCGCAAACTTGTTCTTGGACCGACCCGTCAACAGTGAGAGCCACAGCCGATCCTCCTCATTCATCTCCTTGACTGCATGGTATCTGGGGTGGTGAGGGCAATTGGTGATTCTCTGACCAGTTTCCTCGTTCAACAGCACCGGTTCGGAAACTGTGCCTGCAACCCCCAAAGCGCCGTCACGATGCTGCTTCCAGAGGGATCCACATGCCTTGCAGTAGAAAAGAGTCGTCTCCTTGGCCTTGGTCTTCCTCGTCAACCCCTCATCCACCGAGGCAGCCCTGACAGTATCCACAATTGCACTGCTTCCATTTTGTGCTCGGGATCCACTGTCGCCAGCTGCTCCTGAACGGCCAGCGCCGGATCCTGAGAGTGTTTTCTGTAATTCTTGTTCGTCTTCATCAGCACCGTCAGCCATTGCAACTTCAGCAGCAGAGTCTAAGATCAAGTTGTTGCGAGTGCCAGACCTCTTGGACCGAGTAGGGAATGACACAGCAGCCAAGAATGTCGTGTTCCTGTCCAGTTCCAAATCTACATGTCGCTCCCTTCCATGCACCTGCCTTCCACAATGCGTTGGATCCAGCTGCGTGTGCGCACAAAAAACCAGTATGAACAGGTTAGCGAACAAAACAAAAGAAAGTTCCAATCCAAAAGAATCGATATAAACACGCAACTTACAGCTAAGCGGTGGTAGACTTCGACGGGTTTGTTGCGTTCATCTTGGAAGAATAGGCGCACCTTGATCTGCGTCTCGCCCCAGGCATATCGACTCAGATGAAATGGTGCCTCGGACACCGTGACAACATGGTTGGGCTTATAACTCTCATGCAGATGGAACTCGACCTTGGCAATGTAGGCCGTAATGTCCTCGGGTTTGGGGGTACCGTCCACATAGATCATCCACTTGTAGGGGAAGTCTTTCAGGCGAGGATCGCGCTTTTCCTCTGGTAGATACTTGGACACATTACCGACTACGACGCGCCTCTTGACATAGAATCTGGACCCGACAGTATCCAGTGGGGCCGGCACTCCCCCTTGAATAGCGTTTGCTCCAAATGAAATGATTGGTGGTTGCATCAGGTGTTGTTGTGGTTGTGGTTGTAGTTGTAGCTGTGGTTGTGGTTGTGGCTGTGGTTGCGGTTGTGGCTGTGGTGGGGCAGCAGCAGGCGTAACCTGAACAGGCTTGGGGGCGACAATGACTGGGGTAGGTGGAGTCGAGACAGCAGGAATAGTAATGTTCTCGCCAGGTGTCCGTCGTGCTGATACTGGTTGAATCGCTAGGACTGTCCGAGAATCCACTACCGGAGGGAATCCTGAAATTGGCGATGAGGGTCCAGAAACATCATTCTCGCTCATCAATGGGTGGAGGTTCGGGCTGTTTGCTCGTGAGCTGGCGGCACTCGACATTCTGCTGTCTGGCATAGAGAACGTGGATCCTGGTACTGTTCGGATAGATGAACTGAGTCCAGATGTGTTGATGGGTGGGGCCTGGGGTGTCTGTCCCCCATTAACGATAACGGGTGAGGCTCCTTGGTTCACGCTGCCATATTTCCTCATTGGGCCCTTGCCAGCAGTATGTCTCTGAGGCGCCTCGCTACTACTCTCCTCTTCCGAGCCATCACTGTCTGATTCGTTCGCAGGTTGAGAACCCGACTTGCCCTTTTGTGGTCGTACGAGGCTGAGTGCGAGAGAAGACCGCCGCCGTTTGCCAGCACCCAGTCCATTTTCACCACCAGAGGCCACTCCTGAAGTATCTGATTCGTCCTCGGTTCCTGCGTTGGATGACGAGTTGATCGATGCTGCGCTGTTTTTCCGTGGCGGTTGCGGAAAGTCTGTTGCTGAGCGTTTGTTCCTTGCTCGTCCATCTTCCGATTCCAAATCCACATCCTCGTCATATGTCTTGATCGTTGGCTATGAGTGCAATATCGAAATGCGAATTTGTGAATATTTCGATTGAGGAAGGGAGGTACATGATGCTCTTGTTTGAAAACGATGGTCCATACCTTGGGAAAGTCCTGTTGTCCTTGTTGCCCATCGCCAACGCCCAAGGAACTAAAGACGACCTTGGTCCTGCAAGGGTGATCGTGAGGCACTTCGCTCGATGGCTAGATGATTCAAAAGGAAACAGAAAAAAATTGATCGGTGAGACTGCTGACACACGGACTAACATCCAGGGGTCATGATCCTGACGAGGTATCGGGATGTTTCCGCTGTTCTTTCACTTACGACGACAATCCCGCAGAAGCGTACGCCCTCCTCTGTATTCTTGAACACTTGCTTGTGCGAAAGACGCATATGATTGACTAGACCCTGAATGCTTCCAAAATCATATCGCTCACACCGTGGACAACCCAGTCTAGATTATTGTCAAATACAGAGACGGGGGAATGCAAAGTTAGCATAAGATCACGCTGCATCGTGGATGCTTCCTGACTGCGGTTGGATGAGACAACACGCAAAGGTGTCCAATGAGTTGCTGTGTACCTGACAAAGTGTCCATCAGCGCGGACGGCATAGAGCGCCTCGGGTTGTCGCAGATCCCGTCCATAGTAAGCTGTCGCCCTCCTTGAGCTCTGTCGTTGACTGGCATATGGGTTCTGTTGTAAGCTGGGGTTCCCGAGCGTGCGCGATATTGTCGAGTTTCCAAACGGTGCACCCTGTCGTTCTATTCATAGCCACACAAGAAAAATAAAAATACCTTTGTCAGTTGATTGATCACCGTGATGAACACTTTCCACCGACTGAAGAAAAAAAGGATGTAGCGTTGCATGTACCACTGAGGATGGCGTGCCGAAGGTCCTCGAGCATGCGTTCTGCCTTGGCGAGCTCCTGTGCGATGGAGGCACCTTCAGCATGGCGAAGGAGAATCTCGAGGTCGAACTGATGGTCGATGATGTCGACGACTTTTTGACGCGTCGCTGCAGTCCTGGGATCAACCTGTTGTTGTTGTTGTTGTGAAGGATGCTGTTGTTCTGAGCCAGGGGTTATTGGTGTTTCGGGAGTGGTCATTGTGATGTCGATTGAGGATTCTGTTGGAGTAGTGACCACGATGCCGTTGGTGTCGTTCCCTGCCTGCAAGGACATTCCTGGTTGCGGCACAGAGGTATGAAGCGAGAGTGTGTTTGCGTGTGAGTGTGAGACGACAAAGCATAAAAAATGCAGACAAAGACACCACAGGATTGCACATGTCTCACGTGACAAATGAAAGAAAAAGGGCTTCGACCACCCTGTGCTTCTCGCCTTGTTTGCTTTAATACAACTTGGTACTGCACCCAATATCTCAATCCTAGCATTGTTTGTGAACAGGTGCCGATGTTCAAGACTTGCCTGAAAATACGAGGGGCCAGTTTGGTCATGGTTGCCAGGGAGGTCAGGCACGGGGTTGTTGGCAGGGACCAAGAGTTGCCACCAACTCCAATTTCAATTTCATGGATTGTCGTGACTGCCAGAACCAAGTAAACAACCAAGTGCTTTTTCTTTTTTTTTTGACTTGCCTGCAGTTCACACACCTCCCCCTCCATTCAACTCTCCATCACAACCACCACATCGCACAATGTCGCCACCAAAGAAGAACGCACCCCCTAAGGGCGCCAAGATAGCAAAGGTAGCAAAAGGAACCAAGAAGCAACCCCACAGCGTCACTCGCCATAACTACTCTAAGAAGCCCACTGCTGTCCAGACTCAAGTCTCCAAGAAGGCACAGTCCGCCGCTATCAAGGAGAAGGAGGCTCAGGACAAGACCCAATCCCCCTCTGTTGTCGCCAAAGCTGCACCTTCTTCCAACTGGAAAAACCTCATCAAAGTGAGTGTCTTATTACCGGAATTAGTTGGACTTGCACGCCGACGTAAAATTGACAGGAGGCTAGGACTAACCAAGCTGTTTTTTTAATTGTTCTTTTGTAGACGATTAAGCCTGCTCCCCGTAAAACTATACCCGTCACCAAGGCCCCCGCAAAACGGTCGCACGCAGAACTCTCAGATGAAGAGGACGATGAGGAAGACGAAGAGGGCACTCCTAATGCTAAGGCCACCAAAATGGATCTCGCTTCGGGAACAAAGCACGACACAACACAACTCTGGTTTGATGACATTTCAAAGGACGACCTCGAGAAGGCATACGGAAAGGCAGGAAAGAAGCTGGATTATGACCCCACCGACACAGGAAAGCACAAGTGAGTTCACCTCAATTGTCTTTTTCGATTGAATGATTCTCGTAGTCCTTTTTGGCATGTCCCAACCAAATATCAGCAGCATGAGCAAAGCGGTGTACTGACAACACGGTTGTTTTCAACAACTCAATTTTAGGATTGGAAAGTACGTCGGAATCGATTGTGAGATGGTGGGTGTCGGACCAGAAGGAACACAGTCAGCGCTGGCACGAGTCTCTATCGTCAATTACTATGGAGTCAATATTCTGGATCTCTTTGTTCGCCCTCAGGAGTTTGTCACCGACTTCCGTACAGCCGTCAGTGGTATCACCCCCAAGCATCTCTTCAAAGCCGTTGAGTTCAAGGACGCCCAAAAGCAAGTCGCCGACATTATCGAAGACAAGATTGTGGTCGGACACGCTGTGCACAACGATTTCAAAGCCCTGATGTTGGATCACCCCCAGCGTCTGATCCGTGATACTTCCCGCTACGCACCCTTCAGAGCCTTGACCAAGGGAAACACTCCTTCGTTGAAGAGATTGGCATTGGAGATTCTGGGCATCAGGATTCAGGACGGTTCCCATTCTTCGGTTGAGGATGCACGGATAACAATTTTGTTGTACAGGAAACATAAAGAGGCTTGGGATTCTTCATTGGCACTCAAGGCGAAAAGGCGCGTCCAGAAGGCTACCACAACCCAGAAGAAGGTTGTCGCCAAGTAGTTCATATTTATCCTGCATTCTCATTAAACCACTCCATTTGCATATCCAGCATTTTCTTAGTTGCTTTGACCTTCTAAATGATCTATCCTCCTGTGTCGTTGTCTGAGGTGTAATGGGCTGCTGTGTCGTTTTTATTCTATCAACTGGACGCCATTTAAGCGATTCCTATCCTCCTGGCCATGCGCCTGTACTGAGCAGCTGCGAGCTTTCTCTTTCGCCACATCATAAGAATTCCTGAAAACAGCGCCATGAACACATTCGACGACTATTTGTCAAGGTGGAAAAGGAGAACGGCATGAGAACTAAGGCATATCGATTCAGGCCAAGAGGGTGAAAACAAAAACAGCGTTCTCTCTCCAACGGAAATACAAAATTGCTGAAGTGTCATACCAGGAAATGGGCGAACCGTCTAGCTTCGACTGCCTTGACACGCAAACAGGAGTGGTATGTAGGGAGGCGAATCTTGAGTTCTTCGTTCTCGTCATTCTTGGGGTCGTCGTATTTGCACTCTATCCTCTGGCGGTTGTGAGTGTCCTTGCATGAGTCTTCCGTTTTCTGGTAAATAAGAAATTGAGACATCAATACACTTTGTCAGTCGGTATTTCCAGTTTGGGTGGCAATCATCGATATGCACACTCAGAATCCTGATAATCCCTGCAATGGAAATGAACTCCTTACGACTTGAAGAGCACTGCAGGCCAGACATTCTCCGATGGTAATGCAAGTGTATGGTGGATTTGCTGTATCTGGTACACCTTGCGGGAATCGTTTGGCGAGGTTATTGACGGAAAGTGGCGCGTAGGGTGTTGTTGGACCAGATGATAAACAGAGGACAGTTGTTGCACTATATGGTTATCGAAGGGGATATGGTTGTTAGTTTGGGCTGCTTTGAATTTGAAGAACTCTTTGGCAAGGTTGTGGGATGAAAAGGAGGGTCTGGGAGATGTCGATGGTTTCATTACAGAGAGAGTCCGCAGAGGAGGGCTAGGATGAGCACGGAAAATGACGGCCGTGCACCGTTATGTATTATTGATGGTCGCATCGGATGCTGTTGAGGAGGATGGAGAGAAGGAAGCGTGAACGTGGCAAGAATAGTGAGTAGCCAAGAAAAGCACATGCACAGTGCGCTTCCAAACGGTCGAAAAAAAAGAGTCACGTGTAGGATCCTCAGTGTTTATTTTGCACTCCCGCGAGAAGGCATTCGCTGATCTCTTCACAACAACATTACTCCTCTCTCCATTCAACCATGTCCAAGAAGGCCCCCGCCGCTGCTTCTTCGCTCCTCCGCCTGGTCGTCCCCGCCGGAAAGGCTACCCCCTCGCCCCCCATCGGACCCGCTCTCGGTCAGCGTGGAGTCAAGTCGATGGATTTCTGTAAACAGTTCAACGACAGGACCAAGAACGTCGACGTCGGAACCCCTCTCCCCGTCATTATCACTGTCAAGGGCGACCGTACATTTACCTTTGTCACCAAATCCCCTCCTACCTCGTTCTTCCTCAAGCGCGCTGCCGGAATTGAGAAGGGAGGTACTAACATTGGCAAGGAGCACCCCTTTGTCGGCAAGGTCAACCTGAAGCAGGTCTACGAGATTGCAAAGATCAAGCAGGCGGACGATGGCATGGGACACTTGTCGCTCAAGGGAATCTGTGCCGGAGTCATCGGAAGTGCCAAGTCCATGGGCATCGAGGTCGTCGCATAAGGAGGATATCTTGGTTGAACGAGCCTTTTTCTGTTCTTTTCTTCGTGGATCAGGATCACAGCAACAACAGCAACACTCATACACCCACCACACTCACACCCAATTGTACAATAATAGACCATCTTTTCTCTTTTTATTTTCTTTCTTCAATACAAAACCCACTATCCATCATTCTATGACATGTCGCGAGTCGCGAACACACTGCCTTGTCGAACATGGGCGCATTTACAGCAGGAATATCGGATAGACATACCGTTGTGTGGCTTGTGCTGTTTGTTTGATCATGTTCATTTTCAGGGCAGGTTCTCACTCCGTCGTCCGTCATAGTGTGTGCGGACAAAGAGTGAGCCTTTGTCGACCTTTTTTTTTTTTTTTGTGCGTTCTATTTGCCCCTCCGCCTTTTCACTTTTCCGAGATCTTCTTTTCTTCATTCTCTTCTTCTTCTCTTCTCCATTCCTCCGAACTCATTCACCACCTACTCCCGTTCCGTCAACCCCTTTCCGGACAAGCCGAATCTCACATCAACAACAACAGAGCACAAATATAATGTCGCCAGGAAAGGATACCTCAGCTGCCAGCCCACCTCCCGGCTGCCCTATGCACCAAGCCAACGCTACGCCTGCACCCGCACCTCCCAAGCCAGCACCACCACCAGGCTGCCCTATGCACCAGGACGCCACACCCCTCAACCCTGATAACAACATTCCTGCCCTGGCCCAGTCCCCCTTCCCCGACCAAGAGATACCCCTCCCCACCGAGCGAGTCATTTCCTCGATCCCCCGCGCAAAGACCGAGGACGACTCCAAGTGGGAGTACCCCTCCCCCCAGCAGTTCTATAACGCCCTTCGTCGTAAAGGATGGGAGACTCCCGAGAATGCGATCGAGACCATGGTCGATATTCATAACTGGATGAACGAGGAGGCTTGGGCTGAGGTCATGAAGTGGGAGAAGGAGTACTCTGGGTGCGTCTCTTATCTTCGTTTTGTTGGTTTGGAGTGTGTGGACTGGAGTTTTTGCGAAGTGCTCATTGAAAGGTTGTCTGTGCTAACCTGGTTGTACTTGTTCAATTGAATGCGTGAATAGTACCTGCTGCGATCCCAAGTTGCTCCGTTTCCAGGGTCGTCCTCAGGAACTTAGCCCAAAGGCCAGGATTATGAGCTTCTTCGGGTACGTTCAACGTCCTATGTCGTCGTTCTTTCAGCGTATTTCGCAATAATGGACAAGCAATAGCAATGGAGCGCCACATACGGGCAACATGAGCGATTGAAAAACTAACACACGTTGTACCCTCTGCGCAACTGGTTCATTATAATAGTGCTCCCAAGCCTTTCGATCGCCACGACTGGGTTATTGACCGGTGCGGCAAGGAGGTTCGCTATGTGATCGACTACTACGGAGGCGAGGACGATGTCGTCAACGATGTCCCCGTCTTCCACTTGGACGTCAGACCTGCGTTGGACTCTGTCGAGAGCGCCATGGATCGTCTCAAGTTTGGCGTCCGTGAAGCCTTTGCCCGCTTCAAGGGAGAGGATGCCCAGGCTTCCACCAAGACCGCTTAAACCGCCTTTCTTTTCACCAGCGCCTTTTTTTTCCTTGTTCATATTCGGGAAAGAAAGAGAGTTGCGGCAACCATCAACAAACTAAACAACCCACCACCACTGTAACAATCATGTAGACATAGAACCCTTTCATCTCAATAACAGCATTTATATTTTTAATCCACACTTCTTCTTTTGGTGTTACAGGTGACGAAGGGATATGGCAAGAAGATTGGAGCATGGAGGGTCCACAAAAGGAGGGACTTGCAAGGGAAGCTTGGAGACCCATTTTTCATTCCAATCGATACCGCTTCATTTTTTTCTTTCTTTGTACTGTTTTTTCTCTTTCTTTGTACTGTTTTTTCTCTAAACCGTTCGCGTTTTGCCTCCCGTTCCTGAAGAGCAATTGACGTTCCCTGTTCACTTTCGTCATCAACTACTCAAGGAGGGGAGCAACTTTTAATTTTCTTTGAATGAAAGAAAGAGTGCACATCAAGCCTTAAGATGGGACATTGCGGATACTTGTTCCAAAGAATGTATCTCGATTTGTAAAAAGGAACATGCTCGCTTTGCCCGATTCGAAAAAAACAAAGAATCAAGAACCCCTTAACGAAATGTGAATTAGTGAGCAACAGGCAATCAGAACTATGGGGGGTATTTGATCACCGCCACAGGAGCGGTTTGGTCGAATCCCTCTCAAACTTATCCCAAGAAAATGTAATTGAACGATACATGGGCGGGACACCAACCGGGAGGGCGAAGAGACTGGCCAAGGATAAGGCTACAACAAACCGATGCATCCATCGGAACATCACAGACAACACACATCTATCCATCCGACAGAACGACATATCCGGAACCGCTCGGTTTTATGGTGCCACCGGTATCTTTTCTGGACTTTGGTGGTTTTGGTTGGGGAACTTATGATGGATGGCGGAGAGGGTCTGGCTCAAGAGTGGGACCATGAGGGGGATGACTGGATCTGGTCATCAGTCGGTCTACCTGTCTGTCCGCCTACCAACACCTGCAGGAAATATGATGTTAGTAGAGGAGAGAGGGGGGAATCCATCGTCTATTAGACTGGAAGGATGATCTCCTCTGGTGCCTTACGGACAACACAGGAAGAACCCTACATCAAATCACCACCTGCCCAAGGAGAACCCAACATCAACCACAGCAGACTCCAACAAACACACGCGACATACAGCAGCTCCTTCCAACAGGTGTAATCCCCCCCACCACTTCCCTCGCCAAACAGCAACAGCCACAAACCTATATCAGGGGCACATACTAGTTTGAGAAATTGATATCTAACCAACAACTCCCTTTCGCTTTCTGTCCCCCTTCAGCAAAATGGGTCGCCGTCCAGCTCGCTGCTACAGATACCAGAAGAACAAGGCTTACCCTAAGTCGCGTTTCTGCCGTGGTGTCCCTGGTTAGTCTCTCCCCTTTTTCAAGTCAACTACCCTTTACTCTGAAAGACTGCCGTTCTCCTGTCAGGACTACCGATCCAACTCCAACAACAACGCAACAACACAGTAGCACGGGAGCTCTTCAGTTTACAGCAACAACGCTTCGGAAACACCCCCGTCAGCTGTGACGAAGCAATGCTTCGAGGGATTGGGCGTTGGCAAAAGAATTCAGCGAGTGCACGTTGTTATGACAGATGCGCAGCAACTGTAGGACCCAGGAACGACATGAGGAGGAATGATAATCGGACAGTGCTTTTGCGCAGAAAACTATGGCCGTTAAATGAAGAGCGAACGCAGAAGACGACTACGCCCAATTCAGGAGCATTTACCTTCTCTCTCAGGAAACACCCACCTCTACCTTTGTTTGGCGACAGAACAAAAACGACTGACCATCTCGGAAATACGTACACACACAATTTAGACCCCAAGATCCGCATCTACGATTTGGGTCGTAAGAAGGCCGGTGTTGACGAGTTCCCTCTCTGCGTCCACTTGCTCTGCGACGAGAAGCAGCAGATCTCTTCCGAGGCCCTCGAGGCTGGTCGCATTTGCGCTAACAAGTACATCTCCAAGACCTCCGGAAAGGATTCCTTCCACATGCGTGTCCGTCTCCACCCCTTCCACGTTCTCCGTATCAACAAGATGTTGTCCTGTGCCGGTGCTGATCGTCTTCAGACCGGTATGCGTGGTGCCTACGGTAAGCCCAACGGTACCGCTGCCCGTGTCAACATCGGACAGGTCATCTTCTCGATCCGTTGCAAGGACAACAACAAGGCCATCGTCATCGAGGCTCTCCGTCGTGCCAAGTTCAAGTTCGCCGGTCGCCAGAAGATCATCGTCTCCAAGAAGTGGGGCTTCACCAAGCTCTCTCGCGAGGACTATGTCATCGAGCGTGCTGCTGGCCGTCTCCAGCCCGATGGCTGCTACGTCAAGTACTTGAACGAGAAGGGTCCCCTCGCCAGCTACTTCAAGAAGACCCTCCGTGCCCTTTAAAAATCTTTTCTGATTTTTCGGGATACAAAAACAAATCGTTCTTTACAGTAAAAATAACAATATAACTTCCTTGTTGTGTTTTTTTTTTTTTTTTGGCAGCTCTTGGTGATATTTGAATGATGTTGTTTGTTGAGGAGAGAGTGAGTGAGAGCGTGAAAGATGTTAAAGAGGACAATTGGATGAGATGCAGGGATCTACGGTTGACTCAATTGTCTTTGAGACATGCAGGTTTGTAGGAGCAGGGCAAAGTCAAATTTGCTCAGGTACAGTTCCTGGCGTACCCCTCTTCGCACTTCAATCCAGTTCGAGGAAAGACAAGAAGGTTGCCCCCTCCCTAATCACTTGTTTTTCCGTGTGCATCCGCCTACCTCACTTTTTTTTTTTTTTTTTCATCTCCCTCTCTGTCTTTGTGCCAATCTTCAATCTTCCTTACCGCCCGATTGAAACCAGTCATTGTTTCAAGAAGAAGCAAAATTAGAAACGATTCATAAACAACAATCCTTCTCTTCTCCTTCACGTATCGGTATCCATACTTCATGTTTAATCTCTATCATTCCCTTTTTTCTTGCCAACTACCATAAATACAGAAAGATCCAAGTTACTCGAGTTCCTCGGCATTAAGTGCATCCAGCTGAGACTTGAGTTCCATGATCTTGAGACCAATCTTGCGTTGAACATCCAGCTTCTGGGCATCGTCCAGGTCTTGGAGGAGGACATTATAAGCGTCCAGGGTCTCCTGTACGGCCTCGCGGGCGGTTTCTTTGTCGTCGTTGTAGTATACCGATCCGCGTGCCTCCTCAGCGTATTCCAACTAAAATCAATTCCAGACACGAAAAAAAAAAAAATGCGGGTTGGGCAAAGAAGGGGTGAGTGTGAGAAAAATATGGGTGATTTTTTTTTTTTTTTTTTTTTTGTCTGCAGAGTTTCGATCGAAGGTGTGACAGTACCTCATCGCGGGCGACCATGAAGAGATCCGTGATATTCTGGACACCCTTGTCAACATCCGCACTATTGGCCGCGAACAGGATCCGTGAGGGAGAAACAAACGTTCTGCTCTGGTACTGTTGGTACTGCTGTGCAATGACTGCGCGGTTGCTGCTGGTGTTGTAAAGCGAGGTGAGAATGGCAGTGGTTTGTTGCTGGCGTTGGAGCGTCGATGCCATACGATTAATGCTGGTTGCTCCGAGGCGGAAGAGTGGCGCCCTCCTGGGGATGGTGGTCTTGGTGATGAATCCTCTGACGGCCTGCATTGTTGATGTGTTATGGAATGGGAGATCTGTTTTGAGGATAAAGAGGGGGTGAAAGAGAAAAGAAGCAGAAAAAGGAAATTATAAAAATTAGGGTTGCCTTGCCCTGCTGGGCAAATTGATCTTGAGGAGCAATTGACAGATCTACATCGACGTCACATAGAAAACCTGCAAGAAGACTGTTCCTGACTCAGGAACACCTTGGTTATGCAGCTTCCTCAGATCAGCACTCAATCTTCAATGGTATCATGTTGTTCTTTTTAATCGCAAGCGCGCAAGAAAAAAAAAGGTGTCTAAACTGCCCTAATGTTCAGGGCGAGGCAAAAACATCTGTGTGCGGAACCTGCCGCCATCCAAACGAAACAAAACAAGGCCTCCTCTGCCTACTGCATGACAGAGACCCAGAGCTCGTCCGAAACTTCCAGAGGGATCAATCCTGTGCCGAGTCGCTCGTCAATCAGGTACAGCCCCATGCAGAATTGCGCTTTGTTCAGTCGTCCAGCATTATCAATATCCACCAAATCCCTATGCACATAATGAGAAAGGAAGCGTACAAGTTAGGACTGTGGAAGATAGAAAGAACAGCTAAGACCCGAATGCAATTGAAAGCAACCAGCACTCTTAACAACATACCAGATCTGTGCAAGAGTAGGCGAGTCCAGTCGACTTCGCACATAGATCGCGTGAACCTTGGCGCCTACGATCGTGCAAAAGGTCGAAATAAAAAAAACGTGTTAATTTCAAAAGCCACTTTCATCCAAAAAATGCCTTGATCAGTAACTTCAACACAACATATTGCTTACCTTCGAGGTACTCGCCCTTGCAGACGAATCGGAAGAGCTCCTCGTAGCGACGTCGGGCATCCCGCGCGATCCCAACCCTTTCGGCCGCATTAACGTCTGGCAAGCGAGTTGGAGGGATGGCAGCTCCTCGAGCATTCCATGACGTAGTCTTCTTTCCTGTATGGCTGTTGTCATGCCATGACAATGCGTCCTTAAGAATGGATGTACTCGATGCAGGGTCGTTCCACGTCTTCACATCATGGCCTGCGACTGCCTTAGCGACCTGATGATCCTGCTGAATCTGCGCCGAGATGTCATCCTGGCGCGCTGAGGCGTCGTCTATGGGAGTAGAGAAAGGACGCTGACCGGCATCCCGATGAAGTTTTGACAATGGTGAATTTTGCAATGTTGCTGCGGGTGCAAAGGCTGAGGGTGAAGTTGGGATAGTGTTGGATCGTGCAGGCAGAGGTGGTGGCCGGAAATCATCCTGAGCAAGTGCAGCAGGTCTGGCTGCAATAGTTGGTGCAGATTGGCTTGCTGGGAAATAGGATCCTGCCGTTGCTGTTGTCGCCCTGGATCCAACTGAGTTCAACTTGACGCCGAATGCCGAGCCCAGAGGTCCGCTTTGGTTTTCAACGTCCTGGTGGGCAGGTTGAGCCGCTCCTGCTGCGCCTGTCGTAGCAGATCTTGAGAGACCACCGAGATTGCTCTTTGCTACTGGTGAGGCGCCAACTGTTGAAATTAATGCTGATCTGGAAGGTAATGGCAATGGTTGGCTATTCCTGTTGATGGCTGGGAGTGTAGGGAGATCAGACGCACTAGCCCTAGCAGCCACTGGGCTGAATCGCACTGGACCAGCTACACCATTGGATCCTGCGCTACCAGGTGTCGATGGTCCTGTATTCCTGGTAGGAAGTTTTGGAGGGGTCGACATGGCCTGACGCTCAGACGCAATTGGCTTTGCACCAGCAGGGGTCGTAGGACCAACGTTCTTCTCGTCTACCGGACTGAAGGCTTTTGATGTCCTTGCAGATCGAGGTCTGGAAAACGTCGTCAGCTTGGGAACAGGTACCGCCGCATCCGGAACCTGATAGGTGTGCTTACGATCCGTGTCTGTTTTTGACGTGGCTGGCGACAATCCTGAATCGACAGAGCTCGCCGTCGAAGTTCTGGGTGGGAGTGCCGGCCTGGGTGCCGCCGAGGGGGGGCTACGTGCTGCTTGGCTTGACATTGACAGAGCAGCCATGCGATCCCGTGCCGACAATCCCGCTCCAGAAGTCGCAGCCTTTTCCTGAGTCAGGCTTGCTTCGTGCATAGTGTTGCTTCTCTTGGGAAGTGCTGGCGGTCCTGACATGGCTCTACCGAAATCGGAACCCTGGGTATCCGGAGATGAAGCTCCACTGTCCCTAGGAGCTCCGTACATGGATCGCGATCCAAGTCCCGGAAGGCCGACTTTTGTGGCTCCAGCAACAGGTCCAACCCTGTTTGTCGTGTTTGCTAGAGCATCAATTGGCGGCACTGGTTTAGTTCCTGATGGTTGAGTTTGCCTAGCTGGGAGTTGACGTTTGGATGCCTCGACTACTGGAGTGACGCCGATGGCCTTGGTTGCTGGAGGAGTCCTAGAGGGGAGCTGTGGTGGGAGTTGTTGTTGGACAGGCGTCTGATTGTAGCAGGTGTCAGTGCCAAGTGTTCCTATGGAATCAAACCAGCATAATTGAATTCAAACGACACAGGTCAAGGTAGGGCAAGGCAATTACTTCTACTCGGATGAGTTCCACATAGTTGTCAGGAAACAAGCCTTCTTCTCCTGTACGCTCTAGTCGTCCATGTAGCCATCCAGCCTCTGACGTTTCCCGGACTATGACAGTTTTTAGATGAAAAAGGACAGGAGGAATCAGGGGGTCAGTTGTTCAAAAGTCGACAACGGATAAAAAAAGGCGAAAGTTACATCTAGGTTATGCATTTCAAGCAAAGCAGAGCCATTTTTGTTCCTTTACCATCGGTCAGAATGTCGCCTTCGAGAAAGGTCAGCTCAGATTCCTCGTCGCCATGGCAATCGAAAATGGCCTTTGCCTGAAGTGCCTGGACCATGGTTGGCGAAGCTTGTGTCGTTTCTTGTGCGAAGGAATGTGTGGGCTGATGGAGTGTGAAGTTGATGTCGTGTGGTGGGTGTTTTTAATTTGATGAGGGCTGTGCGAGAGGGAGAGCTAGAGACAAAAAAAGTTGCCTTTGCGAGAGTGAAGGGTGATAGTGTTGTGTGATGGGGATAGCAAGCAAGGGATGGGTGGGATGGCAGGGCTGTTGAGAGAGCGAAGGGGAGTAAAGAAGAGGAAAAAAGTCAACAGGTGGTTTATGTACAATGATGGCCGTTGTGTGCTGCAGCCATTGGTTTGGATATGGTGCACATCTAATAATAATAAAATTCAGGACTTGCATACACTCGCACCGATCCATCCTCCTTCCTCTGTCAATTGCAGTCTAACCTCTAATATTGTTCAGTGCAAGGTGGACTGAAAGGGAGTCGTTGTTACCTACCTTTTTTCCTTCCATGAAGACCGTGTTTTTATGTCTGATGTTTTTATTGTTAACGATGCAAACAACCTTCTTCTCTTTATTTTTGAACACCTGGCAAAGTGAAATGGCCCGTGAAAGGCTAAAGGGGCGGATCATTGCTGCTGGATTGACCCTGCATCCATGTTCTAGGCATGATGCTCCTTCTGGAACTTGTTGCGAAAGTGCAAGAAGCACGACTCGAACAGATCACGATCCTCGCCCACTGTCCAGGTGAACTCGATTGTATGCGAATCCTGAGCTGGTGTTGCAGCACACTGGGAAGTACTGGGCGATTGAACCTCTGGAGTAGTAGGCGGGGGAGCCAAAGTGACCCGAATATCAAACTCGAGGACCACCAGTGCCAACACACTGTCTGTCACCTCCTTTGCCGTTTTGGATCCCGTTTTGTCTCCATCCTTGCTGGCGCTTACTCTAGCGAGAGCTCTACGAGCAGCTCGCGACCACGTATTTCTCTCAGCCATGCAATGAAGCATTCGTACTGTCGTTGACTCTGTCTCCGAACCAGTAGTGCCTGAACGATGCTGGATCAAAAGCCCATCGAGTATAGCCTCGGTGCTGTGTAGTATGGATTCTACAGAAGATTTCTCGCATTGAAACGAAAGAATCGTTTTTGGCGGCGTCAGCTTGACCATCTTGTTCGAAATGTGTTGCATCGATGCCTAGTAAATTATGTCACATTCATTCCCTGTTAGCTTAAGAATGACCACCATTCGGGCGAATAACAAAATGACGAAGGGCGGGCAGACATACCCGTGAGGCGTGCGCGTTTCCATGCGACCAGGCAATGGCCCAGCGACTCGTCCGGCCTTGCCGAAATGTGGTCAGTGTGTAGTTGAGAATCTAGGGTCAAACGAAAAATAAGCTTAGTCTGCGTTGAATCGTCCAGAAAGACATTCGGCCCACTCCATCACAGTCAATGTCAATGACAAATTGCTACCTTCTTTTCTTTGAGATATGCAATGACCCTATCGACAGAGCCGCGCTTGCCTAGCATACTCGTGTACCAACTATTAGGAATGAGGGTTGCTGTTAGTGTTTCCTTTGACGTATTGTGAGCTTGGTGGCATATAGCAAATAATCGCCATGTTTCCTTCGCACACTAACACTTACCGTATCCGCTGACCGTGGACGATACTCTCAGTCACCATTTGCTTGACAAACTGGGTCTCTCCTCCAGTAGTAATCATCTCGTTAGTGGTACCCTTGCAGACTGCTGATGGCTGACCCTCTTTGCCCTCGAGACTGTCTTGAATATCTTGCTCGTCCTTGTAGAATGGAGGGTTGCACATGCAAAAATCATATCTATCAAATATAGTAGATCAGAGACGCGTCAGATGAAGAGAATATCATGTTTAAAGTATACGCGTATGGTTCAAAGTTAATACCTCTGTTCGGGATCTTTGAACAGGATGGCGGGAAAGGTGTCTGTTGAGCTGTTCTTGATGATCTTGATGGCATTGTCGAGATGGTTTCTTTTGATGTTGGACTCGGCGAACGATATGGAACGATCGTCGATGTCTATGTGCATCCAGGATGGTTGATTGTGAGTTGGTCGCTTGTATTGAGCTCGCTGTGTAGCGATGAGTTGATGCGAACGGATTTCTTTACCTGTTGCCACTATTCTCCAATTCTTGTTCCTCGAGCATCCAAGAAGAGGGTAGATACAAGATGCACCCGTGCCACTAGAAAAACGAAGGCAGCGGCAACAAATGTCAGGTGCTGATGAATAGAATGGAGTACAGCATATAGTGCAGGTGCGATAGATGTTACATACATGTCGATGCCATGGATCTCTTTGGTGGATTCGTTGTCGAGGAGGTCCTCGATCCAGCAGACGTAGTTGAGGCGATTGGGGATCTGTTTCAAAGCGAATAATTAACGTGATTAGTGCCTTTTGATTCCTTTGAGTTTTACAGCAAGCATGAAGGCGTAGTTGAATTGACTTACAGGTGGACACAGCGAGTCGAGAGGGATATCTAGGTCGATTGAAAAGTCCTTCTTGAGGAGACAGTAAGTCAATTCTCGCAGGGCGGACGGGTCTTGGAAGTTGATTATCCCTTTTGTCTCTGCGCCAGAGCTCCCTTTCGACGACTTTGAATTCTTCTTTACTGTCACACTACGATAAACACAGGAGGTGGTTCATATTTAGTTCTTGGTTCTGCTCATTCGTTCTTTTTGTATATGTGGAAGTGTGAATGCAAAAGGAAGAGGGAAAAGGACTAACAAGGGTGCGAGAGAAGGGTAGAGTTGTGCGAGGGCGACAAAGTTGGGTGGGTTGTCGAAGTAGGGGTTGTTGGGGTGCATTCCTGTCTCTGCTAGTTTTCGTTTTGACATTGTGAATGTAAATGTGAATGTGAAAAAGGGATCAAAGGTTGAATGTGGAGTGTAAAGGAGAAAGAGCATTTCAACTAGCGAAAAAAATAAAATAAAAATCAATTGACTTTGGCGAAGGAGACGCGTTGCTGCGTGTGCAATAGAGGCAATAATATTCAACGGCGGATCTTCTTCACCTTCGCCTTCTCTTTGCTCTGTGCACCCTCACACGAGCCAACCATAGGGACCAAGAGTCTACCTAGTACAAGTACTTAGTTCTCCTCTACTCCTTCAAATCCTAGCCATCACTCTCTCCTTTGTCTCTAATATTGATTTTGATACGATCCCAGGCACCATCACTGATCACATTATTTGTCTCACGGTGTGAGGCACCGCTGAACAAATGTAAAAAAACCGGAGTAAAATAGATTCACTGACAACAGCCTCTCTCTCTTTCTCTCCACTTCCAGCTCGAATGGCCTTGGCTAAGGACAATCGCAATAAGCAAGGCAATAGGGAAAGCATAGGAGTATAAAGGATCAAATAAGAGAGCGAGAGAGGCAATTGGCAGTGGAAGAAAGGAGGGAAGATTGGACTGGAGCAGTCCTTAGTTTTGAGTATGTTACATTGGTCCCTTTTCTTCTCCCTCCCCAACGTTTCCTCCCTTTTAATTTTCTCTTTCTCTCACTTTCGTTCACGCCTTCTCACTCTCTCTCTCCACCTTTTGTCTCCACTCTCCTGTTCAAACACATTCACTTCTTCTCGCTTCCTGCACCATCCTTCATTCATCTCACATTCGCCTCCATTCCTAACAACCGCATCACAAACGCTCTCAGCGCCAAAGTCGACACCCCATGCGTGTCTCATTCTCGCCAGCTCCGGTCGAGCCCTCCACCAACAAAAAGGAGATATGGGCTTGGTACAGCTACGCCTTTGCCAGCGAAGCCTACGTTGTCGTATGTACCCTTCACTTCACTTGTTCCTTTCCACTTTCCACACCATCGCTTTATACAACCAAGGCATTCAATTCACTATTCACCCCACTCACGTAACATAGGTCGCCCTCACAAGCTTTATTCCTATCACTCTGGAGACACTCGCATCCCAAGAAGGACACCTTTACGGAACAAACGAACCCTGTGTCGCCAAACCCGGTAATGCTACGACAACTGGAGCACTCCAGGAGAGCGAACGGCCGCGGTGTATGATATCCTTTGGACACATTGAGGTCGATACCGCTTCTTTTGTCATGTACCTCACATCTCTTGCCGTTCTACTCCAGGTATGCAAGAGAGATTTGGCAATGATCACGGGTTTGTGTGCTCGGACAATTCGGCTCATACTCATTTTTTTTGTATTCAAGGCCTTGACGGTTGTATCAATTAGTTCTATGGCCGACCATGGATCATATCGTAAGAAACAGCTCGTTGTATTCTCGGCACTCGGATCGGTTGCGACAATGCTTATCGGAGCCATGCCCTACGTCTGGATGGCAGGCGCATTGAGTGTGATCGCCAACGTCTCCTTTGGTGCAGGAATTGTCTGCTTCAATGCCTACCTGCCTCTGTTGGTCCGCAATATCGAGCAACTACGGCTCAACCGGGAGAGGTTGGCCAGAATTGAGAGGGAGATTGAGGGAGATACTGAGCAGCGACAGGCGGACAGGAGAAGTGGCGATGATCCCGCTAGTCTGGCACTGGCAGACCGGATAGGTGTCACAGAGGTGGCTGCAGCGTTGGAGGAAGAGGAAGGAGATAGAAGAGGGTCCGACGAGCCACTGGTAACAGGACAACAAGTAACCGACAATAGCCTTGAGCAAAAGAGGAAGCTGAGCTCAGAGATTTCAGAGCAACTGAACGAGGAGAAAAGTCAACTCATGGGCCAGATCAGTGCTCGAGGATTCGCGAGTGGGTACTTTGGAGGGATTCTTCTGCTTCTTGTCTGTCTCTACATCTCGTACCTCGATAAGTCCTCTATGTGGTCGCTCAAGTTTGGAATCTTTCTCTCGGGTCTGTGGTGGTGTTTGTTTGCGGGTCTGGCTGGTGTCTGGTTGAAGGAGAGACCGGGGCGAGAGCTGATTCTGAGTGACCGGGATCGGAAACGGGGATCTCTCTGGGTGGCTTCTCGATATGTTGTCTACTCCTGGAACCGAGTCGGTGGCACCATTGTCCAGGCCCGCAAGCTACCGAATGCATTTGCGTTCTTGATTTCGTGGTTTTTTCTCTCGGACGGTTACACCAGCATTGCGAATGTCGCGGTCTTATTTGCAAAGACCTCCCTCCGGTTATCCCAGACCTTGCTGATCCTGCTATCGCTCGTGGTTCCAATTTGTGCGTTGATTGGTACCCTGGCGTTCCCTCGCCTCCAGAAAGCGCTTGGGTATGACCAAAAGCAGATGGTGATGCTCCTGTTGATCCTATTGGTCATGGTGCCGGTGTACGGTACTCTGGGGTTGATCTTGCCCTTTTGGCCCAAGCTTTCGTCTGCAAAGGAGCTCTTTGCCCTGGCTTCCTACTATGGTTTTCTCATTGGAGCCGTCCAAAGGTAAGAAGTCATTGATTGGCAATTGAAACCTGTTGGATGTGAGAGAGAAAACGAGGGTTTATTAACGACAACTACACACTCGCAATAATGGAACAAATAGCTTTTGTAGGTCAATGTTTGCAGACCTGGTACCCAAGGGACGAGAATCCGAGTTTTTCGGTCTGTATGCTATCACAGACAAGGGAAGCAGCTGGCTCGGACCATTGGCGATTGCAGCGATCACGGATGCGACACAAGAGATCCGGTATGCGTTTATTTTCCTGTTGGTGTTGTTGAGTCTCCCGATCCCGATCATCTACTTTGGCGTGGATATGCACCAGGGTCGATTGGATGCCGAGAAGGCGAGCCAAGAATTGTTGCAGAGTCAAGAAGCACATACCGACCGTGGGAGTACCGACGAGGACGAACGAGAGCGGCTTCTCTCCACCGTTTAGAAAAAGAGAACGGCAACAACGGCAGTTATTTAAATGAAAAACAAAGTTTTTTTTTCTTATTTGACCGAAGCGCACGTTCCACATGACCTCACATCGAATGAACGAAGGAAGAGGAAGGCTGGATCGAAAAGAAAGATTTCGTGGGGCCCCAGGCTTCCCTTTTATGGGTGTATCTCCGGATGACAAAGCTAGAGTAGAGGAACGACGTATGTTCAAGTTTTTTGTTATCTCGGGAAGACGGGATGAATGGAATGGGCGGGGAAACAGAAGGTATTTATGCATTTTCTCCTTTCTTTCTCCAACAACCAATTTCGATTGGATTGTTGAGCCAAAAAGGAAAAACCATAAGGCCTTCAAGGAAGGAGGGCGCAGTGGTCATCATTCATTTTTAGTTGTTGTTGGTTGGTGTGCCGACAGTACTTCTTTCTTGTTGTTTGTTTACGTTTTGTTCAATTGTTGTTGTTTACGTTGGGTGCAAGGGGTATTCTTGTTTCGAAGGCATGGCCATGGCCATGGGGTGAGAGCATATGGCAGTCACAATTGGTGCTTGATAGGTGGGAGCCATATGGTTAGAGCTTGGAAGGAGCTGCATGATCGCATCACCCACAGGTTGGACCTAGTCCCTTCTTTCCTCCCGCCATACCTGTCCTTCCTTTACAGCACATAGACACGCACACAGCTCACAGACTTTATTCATTTCACACACAATAATTCATCCATACCCCATCCTCTTACTCTCACTCTCACTCTCACTCTCACCCTCCTACTTTATCGCAGCACTGACAGTGCCGAGTTCCCTGCTCGTTCTTTCTTTCTTTCTCATCCTTTCTGGCCGGGGTTCCTCTTGATTTCAAATCAACCACAACTACTGACCCAACAACAACAACAACAACAACAGCAGCAACAACAACCATCCGGATCACTTGCTCCACCTCCTCGACAGATAACTTGCTTGGTTTCCCCCTTTGGTTCACATCCGCCTCCACCTCACCCCACCCATACACCTGTCCTTTTTTTTCGATTTCTTTCGATCGCTTTCTATCTTCCATATAATATCCTCCTTTTCTTCCTCTTCCTCCTCTTCTTCCTCTCCCTCCCTTCACTCACTGCACTCCCTCTACTCTTTCCCTTTTCAGCAACGCTTCTTCTTCTTCTTGCACTTGCCCTGTTCTCTTTACCTTTCGTCCTTTTGTTTCCCGTCACACATACACACCCATACTTTGTCCGCCCTGTTTCCTTCGATAAGCCGTCACTCACACCCACACTCTCGACGCGCCTTATTTTTCTTTCACCCCTTTGACTTTCCCTTCTCTTCTTTTCTTCTTTTTTGTCTTCTTTCGTCCATCCCCCTTTCTCTTCTTTTGTTGTCCGGATTCATTCTCTCTCTTTCTCTCTCTCTCTCACCCATCCTTACACCTTCATACATTCCACACCATCAAACAGCGAGTTTGGACTCTATAACCGCAGCAACTACTCCTACTTCTACACTCTACAACTACACTCTTCAACAAAGTCAACAACCCGCTACCATCATGGAGGTACAGACACAACTCATGAAATAAAACGGGACTATCCACACGTCATGGTCAAACACAAAAAAAACAACACGGACGCCTAACCCTTAGATCTTAAATCTCGACTACCATTCACACATTCTCCTTCTACTAGAGTATTCTCGACTTTAGCCGTGATCTTGATATCGGCCTCTTTGACCGTGTCGTCCAGGCCTTCTTCAGCGCCGGACCTGATGTAAGTCTCTCTTATACTCTCGATCGATTGCAGCGCAAAAATAAGTGTCTGCCTTGTGACCCACACACACACACACGTCCGGACCCAAGGGGGCTATCGAGGGGAACCGCACACACTCGAAAAGCCTTGCGTTGACCCTTCGCTTCTACTGCAATAATAATAACAACAACAACAACATACCACGAAACGCAAAGCACGAATGAATCTAGAATCCACAGGAGACCGCAAAATGTAATTCACAAACAACAACCGACATACACACACACACTCTATTCGTGGGAGTTTCTTCAACCGATCTTTCTTTGTTTCTTTCCACGGCCTCATCGAACAACAAAAGTGGCAAGCAACGACACGCACACATACACATGAACACAGCAAAAACAGGAAACAATTCCCATACACACACAAAAAAAGTGACCTGAGTCCGCGACCGGACCGCCTCGCCTCCCTCCCCCCGCCTTGCAGTAACAAGCTTTACGGGTCTTATTGACGAAACTGAAGAGAGTGTGCATGCATAACAACCACCCGACCTTTGCACTAACCCGATGTCACTATTGCCCCCCCTTTTTTGTTTTGTCTCGTCGTTTAGCACAAACATGCCCAGGCCATCTTGACCGAGTTCCAGGAGAACCCCGACGCATGGAGACGTGTGGATGCCATTCTGGACAAGTCTACCGATCTCAACTCCAAGGTAACGATGCGTGAGAGAGACTCGGCTGCGTCAGTCACAACCGAGGCGTTTTTCTTACTTTTTATTGTTCTGGAAGCAAAAGCAACAACAACGGTGTCTGTGCAAACGTGTTTGCTCTCCTGAATCCTGCATTCTTTACTCACTATGCATCCTTGTTCTACTTTATCTATCGAATCTTCGACACGGAAACCATATTTAGTTCATCGCCCTCAATGTCCTGGAGAAGCTTGTCCAGACGCGGTGGAAGATGCTTCCCCCAGAGCAGTGCCAAGGTACGCAATGTGATTCCGCAACCACAAGGGCCATCATCGGGAAAGCCATATTGGGGACAAGAGACTGGGGGGCAAATGAGTCCAGGACGTGGAGCAGGAAACAGGAGACAGGACATGTGGGGCGGCATACGTTGTCGCTCAGAATTGAGGCGCATACGTTATCGTTGATCGAAGAAGTGTATAGAGTGAAAGGGAATGATCAATACAAGGAAGTTGTGGCTAATCATGTTTTTGGATATTTCTTTTGATGCGAATAGGAATTCGCAACTACACTGTAGGCTTGATCGTCAAGCTGTCATCGGATGAGGCTACTCTTCAGCAACAAAAGACTCTTCTCGGCAAGCTCAACATGGTCCTCGTCCAGGTACCGTCAACGAAACAATTACATCTGCTCTGAACTTGCACAAAGTGGACTTAGCTTCAGGACATCATTGGGACCAATCCATGTTCTGACTCGTACTACTCGCTTTTCATACCCTGTTATAGATCTTGAAGCAGGAATGGCCCCACGCCTGGCCCAACTTCATCCCAGAGATTGTGGTGTCAAGTAAATCCAACTTGTCCTTGTGCGAGAACAACATGGTCATTCTCAAATTGTTGAGGTATGGATTATTTTGCCACCAATTTTTTACTGTTTCCATCCTTCTATGTTGACCCCTTTCTTTGCAGTACCGGAATGCATGCTCACTCTTACCCTTCACCTTGAATGGCATATAGTGAGGAGATTTTCGACTACTCCGCTGAGCAGATGACCCAAGTCAAGACCAAGAACCTCAAGAACTCGATGTGCCACGAGTTCTCCGAGATTTTCCAGCTCTGCAGTGAAGTCTTGGAGAAGGCCAACAAGGTCTCTTTGATCAAGGCCACTCTCAACACCCTCCTTCGTTTCCTCAACTGGATCCCCCTCGGCTATATCTTTGAGACATCCATTGTTGAGAACTTGCGCACAAGAGTAAGTGTCATATTTACAGGGAAAAAAAAGAGTTCACGACATGTTGTTGTTTAGCTTTGTTGGTGTTTTTTATGCAACATATACCTAATCAACTTTGCTTGCCCTGTTGTATTTACGCTTGATAGTTCTTGGAGGTTCCTCAGTTCCGCAATGTCACTCTCCGCTGCTTGACTGAGATCGGAAGTTTGACTGTTGCCGCCGACTACAACGACAAGTTTGTCATCCTTTTCAACATCGTGATGACCTCTGTCGCAAAGACCATCCCCATCGGAGCTAGTAAGTACCTTGTTGTCATTTTCGTTCAATGGAGTACTGGCGGCAAAGGACGACAAAAGCGACTACTTGCAAACACTTTACTGACTGCCTCGTTCATTTTAACACTTTCCTTTTGTAGACATTGCCGAGATGTACGAGAATGCCAACGACGATGAGCAGCAGTATATTCAGAACTTGGCATTGTTCTTGACCGGTTTCTTGGGAGTCCACTTGAAGGTAACAAAAACCACCTGGATCTCGCACTCTTCTATACTTATACTGGACAGTTTAATTGACTTGCACTTTCTTGCTACTATTACAATATACTAGCTTGTCGAGAACCCTCAGAACCGCGAGGTGTTGTTGGTTGCTCACCAGTACTTGCTCAAGATCTCTCAGGTCGAGGAGCGCGAGATCTTCAAGATTTGCTTGGAGTACTGGGCCAAGTTGGTGGCAGAGCTTTACGAGGAGATCCAGCAGCTCCCCGTCATGGAGTTGCCTTTGTTGAACCTCGGCGCCGGTGGAATGATGCAGTCTGCTTCTGGAAACGTCTCTCTCCGTAAGAGCTTCTATACCGAGATTCTCGCCCGTCTCCGTGTTGTTATGATCGAGCGTATGGTCAAGCCCGAAGAGGTAAGGCGCAAACCAGTCGGATGATAATGTGGCCTGTTGTTACCTTTTCATTTGCGTTTGAAACTATTCCTAAGATGGCTCTCATGTTGTGAAATTTAATAGGTCTTGATTGTGGAGAACGATGAGGGAGAGATTGTTCGCGAGGTCATGAAGGAGAGTGACACCATCACCTTGTACAAGAGCATGCGCGAGGTCCTCGTCTACTTGACCCATCTGGACTGCCAGAACACCGAGCAGATTATGTCGGACAAGTTGACCAAGCAGGTCGACGGATCGGAATGGTCCTGGGGAAACCTCAACCAGCTCTGCTGGGCCATCGGTTCCATCTCTGGTGCCATGAGTAAGTCATTTCCTCCCTTTGGTTGCATTTTGCAGGTGTCTTGATATTGTTCACACTGGGGTTCCTCTTCAATCGACTAATGTCCTGCCATGTTTTCCCCATTTTTGTAGACGAGGATGCAGAAAAGAGATTCTTGGTGACCGTTATCAAGGAGCTTTTGGGACTTTGCGAGATGAAGCGCGGCAAGGACAACAAGGCCGTCGTCGCCTCCAACATCATGTACATTGTCGGACAGTACCCTCGCTTCTTGAAGGCTCATTGGAAGTTCTTGAAGACTGTGGTGAACAAGCTCTTCGAATTCATGCACGAGACTCATGATGGAGTTCAAGATATGGCTTGCGATACTTTCATCAAGATTTCGCAAAAGTGCAGACGCCACTTTGTCTTGCAGCAGTCGCAGGAGGTCATGCCATTCATCGACGAGATCCTCAACACCCTCGACAAGATCACCAGCGACCTCTCACCCGCCCAAATCCACACCTTCTACGAGGCCATCGGTTACATGATTTCGGCCCAGCCCAACCGTGCCGCCCAGGAGCGTCTGATCGCCAAGGCCATGCAGGCTCCCAACCAGTACTGGGACACCATCATGCAACAGGCTAATCAGAGCTTGGAGAACCTCGATAGCCCAGATAACCTGAAGGTCTTGGCCAGCGTCTTGAAGACCAACGTTGCTGCTTGCGGATCGATCGGACCTGGTTTCTTCTCCCAGCTTGGTCGCATCTATCTCGACCTCTTGGGTGTCTATAAGGCCGTCAGTCAGTTGATCTCTGAGAGTGTCGTGAAGCAGGGCCCCGTTGCTCTCCGTACCCCCCGTGTCCGTCAGATGCGCACTGTCAAGAAGGAGGTCTTGCGTTTGATTGAGACCTACGTCAACAAGGCCGATGATCTGACCGAGGTCACCCAGAAAGTCATTCCTGGTGTTCTCGAGGCCGTCTTGGGCGACTACCAGCGCAACGTCGAGCCTGCCCGTGACGCAGAGGTCCTTAGTGTCATGAGCACCATTGTCACCAAGCTTGGGGTAAGCATGACGCCCTTTCTTCGCCACTATGTACTCACTTGTTGCCTCAGGATGCAGCAGTGATTCAGCAGTTTTTGTCAGTTTGATTGGATATGATGCTAACGTTTCTATTGTCTTTCCACTCTTTGATAGTCGCTGTTGAACGACCGTATCCCCATTATTCTGGAATCAGTGTTCGATGTCACCTTGAACATGATCAACAAGGACTTTTCAGAGTACCCTGATCACCGTGTTGGATTCTTCAAGCTTGTCCGCGCCATCTCCCAGAGCTGCTTCCCAGGTAAACACCTCTTTTCTTTCACTCATTCTTGCTATCAATGATTGTGACCGACAAGATGCTAAAGCTATTATTACTTGCATTTCTATTCTATAGCGCTGATGAAGCTCCCCCCCGCACAGCTCAAGTTAATTATGGACAGTGTTGTTTGGGCGTTCAAGCACACGATGCGTGATATTGCCGATACTGGATTGAGCATCTGCTTGGATATGATCAACAACTTTACCGCCAGCGACCCCGCCATTGCCCAGGCCTTCTACCAGGCCTACTTCTTGAACCTCTTGAACGATGTCTTCTATGTCTTGACCGACAACAACCACAAGAGCGGCTTCAAGCTTCAGAGTCAGGTTCTTGCCCGTATGTTCTACTTGGTTGAGACCGGAGCTGTCCAGGCACCACTGTTCACACCCGCGCAGGCACAGGAGATGAACGATCCCAACCTGACCAACGCCTCGTTCCTGAGGAACTACATGGTCAACCTCCTCCAAAACGCCTTCCCCCACGTGCAACCAACACAAGTGCGGTCATTCACGATGGCGCTCTTCGAGACTAACCGAGATCCCAACAAGTTCAAGCTTCATTTGCGTGATTTCTTGATCCAGCTGACCGAGTTTGGTTCTACGGAGACTGAACAGAACGAGTTGTACTTGGATGAGCGTGAGGCAGAAGTTGAGGCCAAGCGCAAGAGCGACCGGGAGGCGGCCCTCAGGATCCCCGGTCTTGTCAAGCCCTCGGATTTGCCCACCATGGACGAGGACGATTAAATCAATGCCCTGGAAAGGACACGACACAATGGACGACAGCAGCATTGCATGGAAGATACGCCAAACGTCAACAAAGCAAAGAATCTTTACAAAAATAATTACCATTGCCGATCTCTTCTCTTGTTCGTTTCTTTTTTTTTCTTTCTTCAGTTTATGTTCATCTATGCCCTTGGGGTATCTTTTTCAAGCCCACGAAATAACACGCGAACTTTGCGCACCTTCTCTTCACTCTACTATTTTCTTCTTTGCTTTTGTTACAAATAAACGTACATATCTTTTATCTTTATTTTCATGCCTTGTTGTTCTAATTCATGGTTGGATGGATGTGCAGTATGCCTTTTTGGAGAGTTTACCCTCGTTCTAGTGGATGGTATTGCCGCTGCAGAACTGCACAATGACAAGAAAAAAAAATGCCCGAATGAGGGACATTTTCTACAGGTCTTCTTTCCTTTCCTTTCCTTTCCTTGTCTTCATCATTCTCGCGTGTTGCATCCATTTAGGTCAACAATGGTTAGTTTTTAGGAATCATGATCCGCCTCGAGGTTTTTATTTTTTGCCAATTAGCTCAAAGTATCGTTATTCATATTCGCGTTTTCTTTATGTATGGTAGCATCGGCGATTAGCTTGACAAACACGCATTCATGACCTAACCACGGATCATTTACCAAGGCAGAAAACCAAGTCGTGGCGGACCATTTTTTTTTCATGCGACCGCACGCGCTTGAACCAAAGGCCAAGCAACTGGGGTAGTATGTATGCCTCATTTGCCTTCCTCCTTACCTTATTTCCCTTGACTCATATCTTTACGACGTGTCTGAATTGTGCATATGCTTACCCAGCCAATCGGGGGGGGGAAGAAAAAAAAATGCAACGTTTTGTGAAAGCGCCATTTCGCAGTTTGCGAATGGTGCAGGGAGGAAGGAAGGGGAGGGAAGGATTTTCTTCGTTTTACAGGATATGCCGAATTATTTTTCCACCCGTTTTTCTCAGACAGGCAAGATTTATCCGCCTCTATTCTGTGAACAATGGAAAGGTACGTGTGTGTGTGAGAGAGAGAGAGATCTACGATCCAGTCCGACATGGATATAAAAGCAAGACATGTTCAAATTGATCGTCCGCACATTTTTTTCTTCTTTGTTTTTCTCTCTTCACAAACCTCCTGCCTCGTTCATTCTTACCCAACAGCATAAATCAATTGATACTTCTTCTATCTCTGTCTTTCTCCCCCAATCCTCATAAAACAATACCAACAAACAAAAAATGGCTAGCATTAGCATGCCTCGCCTCTCATTTTCACCACTCCTCCGCGCCCTGACGGCCGTCCTCCTCGTCTCGACCCTGACCTCTGCCCTTGTTGTCCCTCGTGTCGAGCAGCATACCTTTAGTTCCGTGACCCCATCGTCATCGTCGGTGTCGACGACATGGACTGAGGAGGAGCAAGTGGACCCGACGGGTAGGGCGTTCCCTAGGTTGAAGAACGATTTGATCCTGAGGGCTGCGAGGGGCGAGGAGACGGAGAGGGTTCCTGTGTGGGTTATGCGGCAAGCTGGGCGGTACCTTCCTGGTAAGTTTTTTTTTTTTTTTTTTTTTTTTTCTCTTTTGGTTGGTTTTTAGTGGTTGTGGTTTGTGGTTGTGGAGGTGTTGGGTTTGTTGGGTGGTCGTTTGTTGTTGGTGGCGTGTGGGAGGAGCGGATGGACCTTGGCGAAAAAAAAAAGAGGAGGAATGAGGAATGTAATGTGGGTCAATAAAAAGTTCGGGCAAGCAAGATCTGCCCCGTTGGGAAGTGAAAAAAAAAGCGGAAGTAGTGGACGGACAAAGAAAAATGACATCTCGAGTTATTTGTGCGAATGAGCCAAGGGGAATGTGTGTCAAGGAATAACAGCACAGTACAGTAAACACATATTAACACGCATACACCCTCCCCATTCATTCTTCCCCTGCCTGCAAATAGAGTTCCGCAAGGTCAGGGAAGAACACGAATTCTTCGAAATCGTCCGGTCCCCTGAACTGGCCACAATAGTAACCCTTCAACCCGTCGACCGCTACAATAACCTCCTCGACGCCGCTATCATCTTTTCCGACATCCTTGTCGTCCCCCAGGCACTCGGTCTTGTGGTAGAGATGCTCCCCGGGAAGGGACCTTCCTTCCCCAACCCATTGGCGTCACCGGAGGATATGAAGAGGTTGAAGAAGAAGGTGGATGTGCATAGGGAGTTGCAGTATGTGTTTGATGCGATTACGATGACGAGACATGCATTGGAGGGGAGGGTACCGTTGATTGGGTTCTCTGGTGCTCCCTGGACTCTGATGGTACGTCGTATTACTTTTAACTGCTGCATGTTGTCAATACTGACTTGGCTATTCACGGATTCTCTGCACCTTACATCTGGTAACTAAAAAATCGCGTTCCAATCAACGAAAAATGTCTAATAGGCATACATGGTGGAGGGAGGAGGGAGCAAGACGTTCTCAAAGGCCAAGACATGGATCTTCCAGCACCCTAAAGAATCCCATGAACTCTTGCAAATAATCACGGACGTCTCCGTCGACTACCTCGTCGCCCAAGTCCACGCCGGAGCGCAGATGCTCCAAATTTTTGAATCCTGGGCCGGAGAACTTGGCCCCAACGAGTTTGAGAAATTCTCTCTCCCGTACCTCATTCAAATCGCGCGTCGCGTCAAAGCAGAGTTAGGACCTGAGAAGGCAGTGCCCATGGCGGTGTTCGCAAAGGGCGCCTGGTTCGCGTTACACAAGTTGTCAGATCCTTCTTCTGGGTTTGATGTGGTCTCATTGGATTGGAGTCATACCCCTGCGGGTGCCAAGGGTGTGAGTCGTGGAAGGGTGACGTTGCAGGGGAACTTGGACCCAACTGTGCTTTTGAGAGGGGAGGATGCGATTGTTAAAGAAACCGAGAAGATGGTTCGAGGTTTCTTTGGTGGTGCTGATGGTGGAAAGAAATATATTGCGAATTTGGGACATGGGATCCTGCCGGATGTGTCAGTGGATGCGATGGAGGTTTTCTTGAAGACTGTTCATCGCGTGGGGCGAGAGGTTGCTGCCGAGGGGTGGAATGAGGCTGAAGGTGAGGGTGAGGGTGAGGCTGAATTGTAGATGATAGATGGTGGCGACATTTCGTCCTTTGTGTTACCCGTTCATTTTGTCGAGATACAACTCAATTCATCAAATACATATTAACCACACTTTTTACTATGAACTTGGATCGAGACCTCATCGATGAAGGGCAAGGATGAAACGGAAGGTGGGACCGATTGCTGAAATTGAAGTAATAATTAGGGTGCTTGGACCTTCTTTTCTTCGCGCTTGTCCTGTGCAAACGTTGGTACTTAAGTATGGCTGGGAACTAACGAGAGTTTCTTATTATTAACTTTCGACGGTCATTAGGACGTCGGAGGGCTGGGAACTCGAGGGGGTGCATTATGCGCATCACTTGGGCGTCCATGACAAAGGTTTCGCTCATACAGCTCTTAGACGCATGATTATGAGACAAAGATGGCGCTGAAACTTCTACATGTCTACTTGCATGTGGGCGTATGGATGCTGCTTGTTGGTTGGACGAGTAAAGCGAAAAAAGGTGGGGAATCGAGAGCAAAAAGAAGCCACTTTGCAACCTTCGGCCTTTGCCGTAGCAACTTTATGTACTGTACTTACTGCATGTCTATGTGTATGTGTGCTTTTGCTGGTCAGGGATGGGCTCTTGCAAATTTTGTTGACAAGCACAACCCCCAATTGGCTGACCACAGACAGCCACAGAATGCTGTCTTCGGTCGAGTTCAAGTGAAGGAAGGAAAGAAGTGGCACATGGGGCAAGAGTGGAAAAAGGAGAACGAGGAAAAGAAGAAAAATGCTCTCAAAATAGGTCGTTGACTATCAGTGGTCAGGGTGGACGAGCGAGAGATCGAGATGTCCGGTGAGATAGGGACCATTTCCAGGGCGCAATGCAAAGAGACAAGGGATTGTTCTCGACTCTCTATTCTGTCCAAACACCACCGGTTGCTTGTTTATCATCGCCACTTCTTCTTGCTTTCGTTTATTTTCTCTCTCTTCTCTTTCTCTTCTTTACCCCTCCCTCTCTCTAGATTGTCTCCTCCTCCTTCTCCTTCCCCTCAACTCCAACGCGGCACCCCGTCTGGCGCAGAGATAGACAGTCAACAAACGCCTTCTCTTTGCTGCCTTCTAAAGGCAATTTGTACATCCATTCATTCATACTCAACCCAAGTAACAGCCCTTCACCACTTCACCCCCTCACTTGCAAGCGAAAGACTCTCGTCCTTTTCACTTCATCTATCAAGCCCATTGGCTTCTTCCCTTGTTTTTCTTCCCTTGTTTTTCTTCCCTTCTCACCTCTTACTTCGCCCTTCCCTTCTCCTCTACTCCTCTCCTCCTCCTTTGTTCAGCTCCGTCTTTCAACTTAAACACGCATCAGAACACTATCTGCTCTTTTCTTTTCTTTTCTTCCCTCTCTTTTATACATAATCCACCAAACAACCCATCATGGCGCGAGGATACCTCGAACTCCAAGACGACCCCAAGGAAGAAGAATTCAAAGGCTTCTCCGCCTCCACCCCCGCCTCCCCTTCCTCTTCCTCCTCGTCTCCTCCTCGCTCACGCGTCCCCTCCGGCAACAGCAACCGCAGCAACAACAACAATGGCTCGAAGGAACATGCAGAAGTCGAGATGGACGACCTGTTGTTGACACCACCCCAGACCGGGCTCACACACGAACAGGCAGCTCAACGGTTGAAGACTTTTGGACCAAATCAGTTGGTCGAGGTCAAGGTTAACCAGCTGTTGAAGTTTTTGAGCTATTTTGTCGGGCCCATTGCGTTCTTGATTGAGGCTGCTTGTATCGTCTCTGCTATCGTCAAGGTAAAAGGAGTGTATTTTTTTTTTGCTTTTTCGTTTTTGTTGGTGTTTGAGTTGACCCAGAGTAACACGCACCAAGGAATGAGGGAGTGAGAGAGGCGGCAAGGCTGGGTTATTTTTAACCCTATTTTTTGGGCGTGCACGTACGTATAAAAAGCACAAGGAAAGGAGCATGCACGACCCTGAGTAACATCTGGACTAACGGGACAAACGGGGGGAAAAGGAAAAGTGGCTATGACAAACAGCCTGACACGGGGGACCGTCAAAGAGTGTGGCAGTGGAAAGGGAAAGAGGCGTATTGTATGTACGCACTGTGACCGCAGACAACGGCGCACCTTATTTGTCACATGGTCAGGATCGCTGTTGTTGCTGGTATTCTTTTTTGTGGGCAGTACTCATGGATGGGTGGATGCACAAGATGCACCAGGACCACAGTTACAGCAACAAATCAAAGACGGCGTCATTGTTGGACGTAATTTATTTTGGTTATCTTTGCGTTGGTAGTCTCGTCTAGCTTGAGATGGGTCAACTCTTTAACAACACGTACACGTGCACATCCATATGCAAAACCAACAACAAGACAAGATGCTAAAAACAGCCCTTATCTCAATAATAATAGGACTGGTTCAACTTCTTTACGATTCTCGGCCTCTTGTTCTTGAACGCGGTCATTGGATACTTTGAAGAAGCCAGAGCAGAGTCCGCGGTCGAAGCCCTCCGCCAAACCCTGGCTCTCAAGACCCGCTGTTGGCGCGAGGGGCAACTTCAGGAAATCGACACCACCCTCTTGGTCCCCGGAGATATCATTGTCCTCCGCTTGGGGGATATCGTCCCCGCTGATGGTCGTCTTTTGGGCATCGATGCTTCGGGTGCGCGCACGGATGGAGAACTTCTTGTCGACCAGTCGTCTTTGACGGGTGAATCGTTTGCGGTGTCGAAGAAGAAGGGCGAGGAGGTGTTTTCGTCGACGGTTGTGAAGCAGGGTCAGCAGAGGGCGATTGTTACAAAGACTGGAAGTGATACGTATATCGGCAAGGCAGCGCATTTGATTGCCAACACGGCAAGCGAGGGGCATTTCCAGAAGGTCATCAATCGGATCGGAAACTTTTTGGTGCTCTTTACTTTGCTCTTGACGATCATCATCATTGTCGTCCAGTATATCACCTACCGTGATGACTCTGTCCGGGGACAGGTTCTGAACATTCTTGGACCGGTCATGATTTTGGCCATCTCGGCTATCCCCATCGGTCTCCCTTCTGTCATGGCCGTCACTATGGCTGTCGGTGCCCGTGGTCTGGCTGCCAAGCAGGTCATTGTCAAGCGTCTTGCGGCCGTCGAGGAAATGTCGGCCCTTTCTGTACTTTGCTCCGACAAGACTGGCACCTTGACCCTCAACGAGTTGACGTTTGATGAACCTTACCTCGCCGAGGGTTACACCCCCCAGGACCTGTTGTTGTACTCTTACCTCGCCTCGGAGTTTGGCGCAAACGATCCTATCGAGTTGGCTGTCCGTCAGGCCGCCGAGTGGCAGGTTCCTATCCTCCGCAACCGTCCCGCTGGGTCCAGCAAGGTTCCTGGGTATGAAATCAGCAACTTTATCCCCTTCAACCCCAGCTCCAAGTACACACAGGCGACTGTTCGGGATATCAGCAACGAAGTCACGTACAAGGTCGCTAAGGGTGCCCCCCAGGTTATCATTCAGTTGGTTGGTGGTAGCGATGCGGCTGTTAGGGCGTACACGACGATGGCTCAGCGTGGATTGCGTGCGCTTGGTGTTGCTAGGACGCTTGCGGGAACTGACAAGTGGACTTTGGTCGGATTGGCGGCCATGTTGGACCCTCCTCGCCCGGATTCGGAGCAGACGATTCAGCGGTGCCAGACGATGGGTATTACGGTCAAGATGGTGACGGGAGATCAACAGATCATTGCCAAGGAGGTCTCGCGTCGTTTGGGTCTAGGCCGTGTTATCTTGGATGCTTCTCACCTGGCGGACGGGTTGCTTACGGAGGAACAGCGGTCGGATCGGTTCTACCGTGCTGACGGATTCGCAGAGGTCACACCGGAGCACAAGTTCAGGATTGTCGATGCCCTCCAGCAACGCGGACTCCTCGTCGGCATGACGGGTGATGGAGTCAACGACGCCCCCGCGCTCAAGAAGGCTAATGTCGGAATTGCAGTCCATGGATGTACGGATGCTGCGCGGTCTGCGGCCGATATCGTCCTTTTAGCCCCCGGTCTGTCGACGATTGTTGATGGTATTTTGGCCTCGCGGGCGATCTTCCAGCGGATGCGGTCGTATGCGTTGTATCGTATAACGTCGACGGTGCATTTCTTGATGTTCTTCTTTGTGGTCATCTTGGTCTATGACTGGTCTTTGCCTGCCAAGCTATTGATTCTTATCTGTGTCCTGAACGATCTTGCCACCCTTGTCATCGCCGTCGACAACGCCCAAGTATGCCTTCTTTCCATTCTTGAATGTGTTTGATCAGTTTATACTGAGACTTTTAAACCTTTTTCTGATCAACTTGACCAATGTCCCTAACCACTTCATCGCCCTGGCCCCTTTCCATTCAACCAAAAATAGATCTCAAAGTTGCCAGACAAGTGGCGAGTCGGCCAACTAATCTTCCTCTCCTGCTTCCTTGGCATCCTCCTCACCGGTCTCTCCTTTGGCCACTTCTTCTACTTTTGGAAAGTCAAGGGCTACTATCCCTACCCAACCGCAGAAACCGACTCCCCCGTAGTCGACCGGTCCCTTGAATCCATCATGTACCTCCACATCTCCTCCGCTCCCCATTTCCTTATTTTCTCAACGAGATTGACGGGATACTTTTGGGAGAGCATGCCAAGTATCTGGTTCACGATCGTCATCCTCGGCACCCAGGTCATCGCATTGTTGATGGTCATCTTTGGATGGCTCACCCCCGCCGTCCCCGCCACCCAGGCCCTCGCAGTCTTTGGTGTCTCCCTCGTCTCCTGTGTGGTCCTGGACGTTATCAAAGTCCAGGTCTTCAAATTCTGGACCCTAGGCTCCCACTCCCTTTCCTGCGCACCCTGCGGAGGAAGAAGGAAAATGCTTCTGGATCGCAAGCGAGTTGAAAGGAACCAGAAGCGGGTTTGGAGGAGTATCCATAAAGGCCCAGAGGCAATTGTTGCAAAGACGAGGGTATTGCTGGCGATTGGGAGCGGCGGGAGCAAGATCCCGCAGTCGATGATGGACGATATTTCTTGGGATCGCCATGGTGGTAGTCTGTAAACCTTCAGGCGAAGGCGATTCCTCCCCCCCCCCTCACTTTTCTGACATTTCTTTGTCCATTTACTTTGTAAAAAAAAAACATTCCTTTTCTCTCCTTTGTTCATACTACTTTCGTCCTTGTCAAATATCCCTTTTCTATATCCCTTTCCCCCCACCTTCTTACCCTTCTTCATTTTTACACCTGGATGAGTTCACCTCCAATACTTCAAACCAAAAAAATAAATACACTTCTCCGCAATGTCCAACACCATTCGGGTTTAAACAACAACATCAAATCAAGAACCGTTTATGAAAGGTCAAATCTATGAAGAAGGAATAGTGATACCCTTGAGACGAGCAACCCACTTGAAGACAACAATCTCAAGCTCCATCTGGCCAGGGATATCCTCATCCCCAACCGCCAAAACGTACGGCAACACGGGCGCGCCAGGGATAACAATCGACACCTGGTGAGGCTCCAACGACGCACCACCGTTCGGCACTGCTCCGGCACCCTGCGAAACCGACACCGGCGACTCTGCCTCTGCAGTAGCGGTAGCATCAACAGAGCTATCCTGTTCCTGCTGCTCCAGTTGCTGCTGCTGCATCTGCTGCAAAGCCATCAGCAGCCCTGCCTCACTCATCCTCAACGCCTTGATCAAAGACCGAATACTGGGTGTTGGCTCAATCGCCAAGGAGCCCAAACAAGTATCAACAAAGTACCCCAAGTCCATACTCAACTGGTTGACACCAGCCTCCGAGAGTCGACTCAAGTAATGCTGCTTTTTGGCGTTGGCCGTCACACCACCAACGGGGGAAGACGACGGGACGGGCGACGATGTGGGACCTCCGAACCGGTTCCTCTGTTGTTGTTGTTGAGATGCCATGGTGGCAGAAGAAGGTGTTATCGGTGAGGATGTAAACTCGCCGAGATTGGGGTCATAAAGGCGCTCGATAATCGTATGCATCGCGGCCCGAGAGAGCGACGTGATCCAGCGATGCATCACCGCTAAATCATCCTCATCCTCCAATGACTCCCCTCCATCGTCATCACCCTCTCCCTTAGACTTATTGTCGGCCGACCCAACTCCAAGATCCTGATCCGCATCCAGGCTCTTCTCTCCAGATCCATCGCCTCCCTCGGCAAACATAGACTCCTGCTGGTTCTGGAGCTCCAAGGGTCGATCCGCATATGGTAACGAAAGGATCCCGAACCTCAGACCAGGGTCTCCCTCATACGTTCCAAATGTTAACGGCAACGCTAACAACTGCCTCAGCAGCTCCTCCATGTAATCACTAGGACTGGACCGGAACTTGATCACATCCGTCCGTGTGCCTCCCATTGTCGACTGATGCACCCTCCGCGCAACCTTATCGCTGAGTCCACCAGGCTCGTCAACCCCCTCGGTCCAGCAAGGAAGCAACGCCAGATCTGCCAATGGTCGCGACAGAGGAATGTAAACAGAATCGAAAATAAACCGCTGACAGAGCTTTGTCAACTGAACTGCGCGTTGGTGACTCTGCAAGAACAGGTGGTAAGGCTTGGGGTCTAATCCAAGATCTGTCTCTGCCGAAATCTGGTCCTTGGGTGTCGTTTCGTCCTTTAGGCTCGACTTTTTGACAATCTCCAGAATCTCGGAGAGGCGGAAACTGTTCAAGTTGGACTGCTGAAGGAGGGCGATCGAGGCGTTGGGTGGTTGGATAGCTGTTGCAGACTTGAGTCCCGACACTGACGATCCTTGGTCGACTGAAAGGTGACCTCCGTCCTGGTAGTTGCTTTGGTCCATATTAACAAACTCCTCAACGCCCCGAAGCGCCTTCTTGGTCTTGACATCCAGCTGGTCCAACCTCTGACAGAGCTGTTTACACAAAACCATCAACCGACAGCCCATCTGGAAGAGTCTCTGGTCCTGCTCATGCACATCCTCATCCCAACCATCCGAATCCGTGTCCTCTGCAGAATCCGAAAGCTGGTTGTCGTACTTGGAGCCCTGTCGAGAGTGTGACCCGTACTCGTTCTGTTTGGCGGTGGCGACAGCGGTAATTTTGTTTCCATTTGCATCCACTTGCAGTCCCGACCTCTGGCGGCACTCGGCCAAGATCTCAGAGTAGCGATCCATAATGTCCTTGAAGAACCCAGTGAGTCCATCCAACAGTCCTGGAGCTCCGAAACCATGAGTCAATCTCATACACCGACCAATCGCTCCTTCGGCCAGGTTGAAGGCAAGGGCGTTGGTATTCGTCATGATCTTGACCAGATGCGAGCTGCTCTTGGCGATTCCTCTGCTCCTTGTTACAGGGTCCAGGTAAGGTGCCATCGCAGGTACCGATGTCGTCAGCAGCGCCCTCAAATGTGCTCCCTCTAGCTTGCCATAGTTCCGCTGGTAGCCCATAAAAGGTTCGTAGAGAACATATGCCCACTCGTGAGGATCTTGGAATGACTTGAGATCGATGTTTTTGTCCTGAATGAACGACGCCCGGTTGCCCTTGCCGTCCCTGGAGCCATCAGGCACGACCAGACTTCCTGCTCTTGACCGGTTCCCGCTGTGCTCCCGCTGGTTTCCGACGAGGGGTTGAGAAACAATGCGCTCCATCCTAGTGCCAAAGGCCTCAGTTGCCATGAAAGCCGAGATCAGAACAGGAAGTCCCCCCTCATCGCCCTGAGACTTTGTAACCTGCTGGAGGGCCACCTGCATGTTGGGGTCGATGTGTGAGAAAATGTCGTGGACAAGACCGTGGATGGTGGCCGAGGGGTCCGAAAAGATGCTGGTGATCCAAGCAAACTCGTCGTGCAGCATACTGGATGCATCCTTGTAGAAAGTCTGGAGGGAGGCGGTGAAATCCTTCGAGTCGGCGGTGGCGGTGGTAGGAGTGCCTGGTCTGCCTGACCCGCCTGGTCGGAGACCAAGATTCAGTGCTAGTGTTAACCGCTTCCACTGCTCTAACAGAGGTGCGCGTCGTTGCGAGATGTAGAAGTCCTGGAACTTTTCCTGACGCCCGATGAGACCGAAGACCTTGATCAGGTCTTGACAGGCAGCGGTATCCTTCTGGTCTAGCGCTTCCTTGACTTTGCCCATGACCTGCTGCTCCAGTTGATCCTTGAGGGAGAGCAAGAGAGTCATGCGATCGCCTTCGACGTTGGTGTTCTTGTAAACGACAAGTGACCGCTCGGCTTCCGAAAGTCTTGTGGCAGCCCTGGTGAAGTCGCCCTTGGCCAAGATATCCTTTGCCTCTGCCTCGAGATTTCTCCAGTTCTCAGCCTCGCGAAGAGCAGAATGTGTGGCCTCCATGCGAGTCTTGACCAGATCCAGGTACTTGAGACGATCCAGAGCCTGAACGGTATCGTTAGAGTCGACGGTGTTGATGTCTCCTCTGACAAGACGGATGCCCTCCTGAAGCGCTCTTGTCTCCTGGCGCAACTGGTCGAGCTCGTGGGTCAGACGCGGGAGAAGCTTGACCATATCCTGAGTTGCGGACGATAGGGCTGCTGAAGTCTGACCAGCGAGTAGGTGCAGTTTTGTGAGGTGTGTAGTCGCGTGTTGGGTCAAGATTGTTGTCTGACTTTTGGATGTTGTTGATCCTGCTGCTGGTCCTGCAGTTTGCCGACTTGATGGTGGCGTCGCTGAGCTGCTCGAGGAAGTGTCTTCGACTCCGTCCTTCTCATCTATAGGGTGAACAAATATATATCTATGATATTAATAACGCGTATTAATGCTTTCAACGACATTGTCGCGCTTCAGGTCCAAGGTCAACTTACCGAGGACAGGGTCGAGTGCAGGTGTCTGAAGAAGGTCGAGTGAAGCGTCCAAAGATGCGTCACCATTGTCTCCCGCGACAGATGAGGCGGAAGACCTTACACCCTTGATGCCGCTGAGGGATGGCGAGACCGGCGTTGATGAGGAGTTGTTTGTTGTAGTGGATGAAGTTGGTTCAGACTGACGAGGAACGGTGGTGAGGATGTTGTTGATCCATGCTTTGACGTCAAAGTCGGGCGCAGTGAAGGCGGGGTCGACAGCGGGGAGACCTTGGACAGCTTGTGCCCCTGACAACTGTGAGTGGTGGGTCTGGGGTCTTGCCGGCGCGGGCATCTTTGTATTGAGTCTGATGAAAAGGATGTGGCAGGAAGGGAGTGGAGGAGGATGAGAAGGGGATGGGCGAGAGAAGCAAGAAGAGTGGAGTGAACAAAATTAGAGCGTGAGAGCAGGACTGTGTCCTTTTTTGAGTTGAAGTCACGAACGGAACTTGAAGTAGGAGAGCTAAACGACAAAGTACATCGTTCCTTACTTCAACAATCCAGCTCACGCCATGTCAACGACAGCCATTGCACTGGGAGTCGCCATCGCCACTCCCATCCTAATCAAGACACTCGCAGGATCAAAAGGACCCACAAGGGCAAAGACCATCCCTCACGCAGACGAACGAGTTGTCATCATCGGAGCCAGCTCAGGAATCGGGTCTGAACTCGCTCGTATATATGCCGGTCGACACGCGCACGTCGTCATGGTCGCCCGCAGGATGGAACTCCTTCAGCAATTGATTCATGAGCTTTCTTCAACTGCTAGCTCAATCCATGCTATCCAAGGAGATGTCACCTTGCCCGAGGATGTCCGCAGGATCACGCTCGAGTCCTTAAAGGCTCTCAACGGCAAAGTCGACACACTCATCATTTGTGCCGGCATTATCTCCGTCCTGCCCTTTGCTGAACTCGCAGGCATCGACTCTGCGAAAACAACTACATCCGAATCTGACTACAGCCATCTCCTGCCTACCGACTCTGACAAGGCCCTGGAGGCTTCGATCAGGATCATGAACGTCAACTACCACGCACCTCTCAACCTCGCCAGCCATTTCCTCCCCGCACTTACACAGACCAGCGCTGCTGGCAACATCATCGTCGTCTCATCCATGGCAGGTAAGATCGGCGCCCCTACTCGGTCGATCTACTCTGCGAGCAAACATGCCGCCCAGGGGTTCTTTGACGCTTTGGGCATGGAAGTCGAGCGGACAGGAGTTCATGTCGGGATCGTCTCTCCAGGAACAGTCGCCACCGACCTTCGCCAGTCCGCTGTGGATCTCCCCACAGCTGAGGCAACATCATCGACAAGTCCAGCAGCTCCAGTCAAAGTGGCGGGAACTAAAAAGGGCGCGATGACGGCCAAGGCGTGTGCGGAGGGAATTGTTCGAGGATCTGATTTGCGCCAACACGAAGTCATTATGCCGTGGTTCTACCATGTCAGTCTTGTTCTTCAGATTGTGAGCCCTAGTTTGGTACGATGGCTCGCCAAGAAAAAGTACGGCTACCTGTAGATCCTTTTCGTACCTTTTGTTCTGTAACAATAACATACCACCAACATCAACATCTTAAAGCAAAGAAAGTCGTTAGCCCCTGCTTCGCCCGAGAAGTGTGTGCTGTTCCCGTCTAATTGGTAGAGATCATATTACGAAATTCCAAAAGAAACCATGACTGGCAAAAATCAAAAAGGCGGAACTTCTTTCTATTCTTCCAACCTTCACTCTCGCCCTCCTTTTCACTCGTTTATTCATCTCTCAACTCTTGGACACAAACGATGAATGCAAACCCGCTCAGCGCAAAGCTGACAAAGCTCCTCGCGAGCTCTCTCGATGACCCAAAACTCAGGACTTCCCTCACTGCCCTCTCAGAGTTCTACACCGTCAATGCTGTCAACTCGCGACACAACCTCAGGGGCGATATCGAACGACGAGGCACCGAAGTCAACTACCAGTTCCTCCAGGAGCTGGAGAAAGTCAACATCGTAAAGCACACTCATTTTTATTCTTCTCATTCGACTTGCCAGAAAGGAGGTTTTCAAAGAGGCGGGAGGTCATCATCTCACGCGACTGTTTAACTCATCATCTAACCCTTCAATCACTTTGGCCATGGACGTTGTAGCAATTCCTGGAACTGGAGGCCGAGATGAACGAAATGAACTCGCTTTGTCAGGAGATGCAGGACCGCCTGAACTTGGCGAATGACAAGACCGTCACCTTGCTCGAGCAGACTGACGCTCTTCGGGAACAGAGGTACGACTCGCTCTTTCAAAGAAGAGGTTACCAAACTTATTTGTGCCGTGAAGAGCGCACGAACGACTGACCTCAAGTCCTTCTGTTCTTTCGACTGAACTATAGCAACATTTGTGCGGTGCGGCAGACTATCTTGGAGGCGTTTCTGGACCGATTTACATTGTCAGAGTCAGAGATTACGATCTTGTGCTCGACTGCTATGGATGTCACGCCTGCCTTCTTTGACGCGCTGGAGCACCTCGAAAACATTCACGCCGACTGCAACGCGCTTTTGATCACAGAGCACCAGCGAGCAGGGTATGTTCATTCGTGAGAGCGTCACCGGTATTTCCATTGAGCAACCACCATGACTACTTTGAACCGCCTTGCATAACCTCTACATTATTTGTCGTTGAATTATCTAAACAGATTGGAGATCATGGACTCGATGAGAACGTATCGTAGTATTTCATACGAAAAGCTGTTCAGGTGGATGCAAAATGAATGCAGGACAATGAGCCGACCAGACGGGATGATGGAAGTTCGGGAGGTTACCAAGAAGGCGATCCAAGCACTCAAGCAGGATGATCAATTCTTCAGATTGATTCTGGAGGAATTAGTCCATGTGCGACGCAACGCTATCCTTAGATCATTCATCGATGCCTTGACGAGAGGAGGACCTGGCGGCACACCACGACCGATCGAACTGCATGCTCACGACCCCCTGCGATACATTGGAGACATGTTGGCATGGATCCATCAGACTGTGGCGAGTGAACGTGAGTTTTTGGAGAGCGTTCTGAGCAGCGAGCGAAAGAAGCGGGATCGTGGACATGTTGAGATCAAGTTGCCCAAGGCCAGCCCATTGCGGCTTGTCGAGAGCGATGCTACAGATGCAGAGATTGTTGACTCGCTTCTGGACAAGAACCTCGAAGGAACCGCACGACCACTCAAGGTGAGTTTCAGGACAATTTGGACCCCTGGAGGAAAGTCGTGATACAGGGCATACGTTTGACGCCAATCGCATTTTTAATTTAATAGTCGCGAGTGGAGCAGGTGCTGGTTTCTCAGGCAAACGCCATCACAGCATTCAAGATCTCCAACCTCATCAAGTTCTACTCTTCGACAATCGAGAAGGCCCTCGGAACAGAGGCAACCCTTTCGAAAACGTTGCACGAAATCTCGGACGCGTCGATGCAAGTGTTCTTTGACGCGATCGGAAAACAATCAGCAGATCTCTTACGTCGACCCGACTCTCCAGGAACAGATCTCGGACCACCTCCAGCCATGAAGGAAACTGTGCTTCAACTCAAGGAGATCATGAAATCTTTCGACACGTCCTTTGTCCAGGTCGATGAGGGTAACAAGGACTTTGCACCCATCCTGAGTGCCGTGATTGATCCTCTTTTCCAGATGTGTGAGATTGGCGCCGCCCACTTGAGTGCCTTCAACAGAGCCATCTACATGATGAACTGTCTTCACTATGTCCAGGTAGGATTCTCGTGTCGTTGGATGTGCAGCTAGCTTGTTGAGCGCTATGTCTGGCGTCCTTTTCTGACCATCTTTTTCTGTCTTAAATTTATTATATTATAGTCGGCGCTCGTATACCCATTCACAAAGCACAAGGTGGAAGACCTTGAGAAGCAAGTTCAGGACTATGTCGACACGGTTGTCGATGAGCAGGTTAGTAGCAGCACCAATTACTCTTGGCTAGAACATGTTGGTGGGCCAAGGTCTTCTATCTAACTTTGCACCTCTTTCTCTTTGTTATATAGCATATTGTGTTGTTGAAGCAGTCTGGCATTGCACCAATAATACAGGCCATGGAAACCAAGGATGAGAAGGTAAGGCATTCGACTGTCGTCGATTACAATGGTTGATCCCGTGCTCAATACCAATTGAACTAACACGAACTTTGCTTATGAAAATACATAGACGCCATTATCGTCGGTACCAGGCATGGATGCAATGTCAATCTCGGCAATCTTATCGCGTCTGGACCACTTTTTGGGATCGGTGACCTTGGATCTGTCGTCGTGGCTGTCCAAGATTGTGTCGTCGAGGCTGGCCAAAACGATTAGTACACAGAACGTGAGGATGTTTGTGGATGCATACCGGCGCCTGTGCCAGGCCGTTGAGGACCCTAAGAACCAGTACGAGTTCCCAGCTACAATCCTAGTGCGCACCGCAGACGACGTAGAGGATCTCCTAGTCGACTAGATTCTAAAGCGGCAAAAAAAATTAGATGTAAAAAATGTGCCTTGTCATTTCCTGTGGCTGAGCGAGTTTTATGTTTTGGTTCATTTTTTGTGTCTCTTGCTGGGCAAAAGGCATTGGGCTTGTTCTTCCATTGTTCTGCCTACTCTGTTCTTTCACGACTGTTCACTTCTCTCGCATCGGGATTTTGCATTCAACTCTCAGCAACCCTCATCAAGGACGAACGACACGAACGAGTTTGTTTTCTCAGGATACAAGCAAGGGGATCTCATCAGACCACCACCAACATCACAAAGCCCTTTTCTCTCTTTCCCTTCTCTACATAACATATCAATAAAATGTCTCGCGGCGGTGGACGTGGAGGCGGACGCGGAGGCGGACGTGGCGGTGGACGCGGCGGAGGAGTGCCAGGTATTCAGACCTTCGGGCCTGACGCTATCCAAGCAACCTTCAAGAACCCTGGCGAAACGTACCCTGTAAGCAGCTTCCTCTTTGAATGGCTGTGGAGATAACAAGGCCTCTTGTTGACACTGGATCATTTCCTTGGATCAGGATAACAAGGAAGGAAGATCATGGCTGACAGTTATCACGTTTGTTGTTGAAACGGAATAGGATATCATCTTGCCAGTTGCAAGGCCACCCACAGACGAGGAAGGAGAGATGTACATTGCCATGAAAAAGCTGCAGGAGACGTTATATTCGAGCCCATACTACCTCACAGAACCCAGGAAGCCCGGTGGTAAGGACATCAGGAAACTTGTGGACACTTTTTTTTTGTCATTTCTGACGGCATTGGGAACGTACGATTGAACGTGGAGAGGATCAGATATAGAAGTAGTGATTAATGGATGTCTTTGTTCTTTTATTGTAGCCATTACGAGGTACACGGATCGGTACCATCAGGACCATGCAGCAAAGAGACCCAAGCTGGACACTATCAAGTCAAGTAAGCATTCAACGTGGGCGCGAGAGGAAAGCGTTCTTTGGGCGAGGCTGAAGAGTCATAGCGGATACGTTTTGGATCTGACTGCGGCGGAAATTTATTGTTGGCACTAACATACATTCTCCATCCCTCTTCCTTGTGGCACCGATAGACAAGTCTTTTTTCCCTGATGAACTCCACTCGATTCTGGATCCCAAGACTATCACCAGTACGTGGAATGGACTACTTAGTGTTTTCGGGACATGAACAGGACTTGCTGGAGGCTGAGCAGTGCTGTACCATGCCAACACTTTGTGAATACTGACATCTTCGCACTTTGCTTACTACATCCGTTCTAGAAAAAAGAACGGTCAACCAAAAGTACGATATTAGCAAGATCGACGAGAACGAGGACGATGGCGAGGCAGAGATCGACCCCGAGACTGGCTTGCCCAAGAAGACTGTAAGTCGCCTTGCTGTATGTTGCTTTGAACGTGCCTGTGTGTGTGTGTTCGTTATCCTCTTTGCTGACGCGATTTCTTTTCTTATCCTTACGACTTGATAGGGCGATGGCGAGGATGGACTGGAAGAGGAAGAGTACGAGGACGAGGAAGACGAAGACGACAACGATTATGGCGAGAGCCATTTTGATAACGGAGAAGGAGACGACGATGATGGTGACGATGGTGATGGCGGTGATTACTAGTGCGGAGGGTAGCATTTCTTTGACGACGCATAATACAACATTTTCTCTTTTTGCATATCACACAACACCACCTACTGGAGTTCTGGACGCGCACAAGTAATGATCCGCTAAAAAAAAATTGCCACCAAAATATTTCCGCTTCCTTTACTACTGTGTGACTGGTTCGCACACCTTTCCACACTTCGGGTCCTCGTCCACGAGTTTCCGCTGCTGATCAACCTTTTCAACTTTTCCTCTCACACCCTTTGAAGAAATGCTCCGCGGATGGAAAGTTGACTCTTATCTCCGCGCAGGAGGCAAGGCCCGCACACTTTCAGGATGCAGCATCACCACTTCCAGCACTAAAAGCAATGGACGAGTCTGCCAGATCCATCAGCTACTCCCTCGTGCCTCATTCCTCCTCAGCAACACCAAAGCTACTACCGGACACAACTCGCACGCGAACGCGTATGCTTATGCGCAGCTCCGGTACCTTCGTCAAATGACGACCCCGGAGCTGAGGAAAGAGTTTACAGAGTTCTTTGTGAAGGAGCAAGGACATACGTCCGTCAAGAGCTCAAGTTTGATCCCTCATAACGACAAGTCGTTGATGTTTACCAACGCAGGTACCGTCTTCACGCAGGAGTCGATTGAGGATTACTCAAATTGATATGGAAAGACAAGACAAGTCAAAGTTGATGCATATTATATTGACACATTTTTTTTTCTACAACTCCTAGGTATGGTGCAGTTTAAGGAGTACTTCAGGAACCCAGCAGTATCCCCCTTCAAACAGGCGACCAGTATTCAAAAATGCATGCGCGCAGGAGGAAAGCACAACGACCTGGATAATGTCGGATACACACCCAGGCATCATACCTTTTTTGAGATGTTGGGCAACTTTTCTTTCGGAGAGTACTCCAAGAGTAAGGCTATCCGGATGGCATGGAGATTCTTGACGGAGGTCGTCAAGATGCCCAAGGACCGTCTCCGTGTAACGTAAGGCCTTATTTGCAGAGTCGTTTTTAGATGGCATGACTGTGCTACGGACAGGATCGATGACCTAAAGGTCAGTGATTGACATCCTTCTTTGTGACAAACAACTAGGGTGCTGGCGTCAGATCAGGAATCATATGAACTCTGGAGGGATCAGGAAGGGGTGCCGGAGGACAGGATCATCCGCAGTGGTGCCGAAGACAACTTCTGGACCATGGGAGAAGGAGCAGGACCCTGTGGACCCTGTACCGAGATTTTTTGGGATACACTGGACGATAGCCTTGGCGAGGACCGGTGGCTCGAGATCTGGAACTTAGTCTTTATGCAGCACTACAGGAATGACCAGGGCGAGTTGGAGAACTTGCCGATTGTGTGTGTGGATACTGGAATGGGACTAGAGAGACTGGCGGCGGTCGTACAGAGCAAGGAGAATAACTTTGAGACGGATGTGTTTGCACCTATGTTTGAGGGGCTGCATAAGATCATGACCGAAGCCGGCATTGAGGTAGACGTTGGAGAGTGGAACGTACAGGTTGTTAATGTAAAATTTCCGGGAGCTTGACTCGGGACGCGTGCCCTAACTCAAACACTTTCTGTTTACAGTCGTCCCAGGATATCAACGCCACACCTCACAAGAAGATCATTGTCGACCACCTCCGTGCCATGAGTTTTCTTATTGCGGACGGAGTCATCCCCAGGTAACTATCGATGCCCTTAACCATATATGCCGGGATGAGATGCCGCGGAACACTATTTAATAACGGAATGTTATCATCATTTTTCGTTTCTAGCAACGTTGGACGCGGATATGTTCTCAGGAGAATCATTAGACGCGCTCTCCGCTCTGGAAACCAGCTTGGATTCACAAGTACGTCTCTCTCTCTTGTTGCAATTGAAATCGAAGATGTGGACGCAGCTGGATCGCATCGTCAGGACAGGACTGACAAACGAATATTATTATGAAACCTCGTATCTAGAGCCATTCATGACGGAATTATACCCGTATCTCCTGGAGTCATTCAATGACGGATCTTATCCTGACATGGTGGCTAGACAGGAGCCCATTAAGGACGTCATTCGTCAGGAGGAGGAGATCTTTATGAGTACATTGTCCAAGGGTCTCGCACTGTTGGAACCTGTCTTCAAGCAGAAAGATCTCGCTGGTGCCAAGCAAGTCCCTGCTGACATTGCGTTCAAGTTGTACGACACCTTCGGATTCCCCTTGGATCTCACTCTCCTGATTGCAGAAGAGCGTGGATGGACGGTTGATTTGGCTGCTGTCGAGGCATTAAAGCAGAAGCAGAGGGAGCAGGGTCGGGCATCATGGAAGGCAGGAACTAGTCTGGTGCTTGCCAAGGCGCAAGAGTGGAAGGAGCAGGGCATCTTCCCTACCTTCTCTGGATACCACCGTGACATGTTGACAGGCCAATCTTCGACCGTCCTGGCAGCTCAAAGCACGGATGACGGCACAGGAGACATGATTTTGTCGATTGAGCCTTGTCCGTTCTATGGTCTTGGAGGTGGACAGAGCCCTGATACGGGATCGATCACGTTGGCTAATGGAAGCGAATGGCGCGTTGTTGACGTGTTTTCGCCCTATGAGCGTGGTTTGGCGATCCGTGTGCAGGCTGTTGCTGAGGAGATTGCATTGGAGGAGGATCTTTTGTGCATGCACAAGGGATTTAAGTTGACTACGTTTGTTGACGCCAAGCGGAGAGAGGGGGTTGCGGCGCATCATAGCGCTACCCATCTGTTGAACGCTGCCTTGAGAAAGACACTAGGAAAGGTCATCATGCAAGCCGGTAAGTATCCCTGTATTTGTTTCATTTGCTATTGTTAGAACTGCGTTGGACGTGAAATAATCTCTAACGATGCTGGTCTCCTTGATGACTTGTAGGATCCCTGGTGGAACCTGAGCGCCTTCGCTTCGACTTTACACATGGAAAGCCCATTGACCAGAACCAGATCAGGGAGATTGAGGACTGGATCAACTCTACTGCGCTTCAGAGCGTGCAGCCCGTGATCAAAGTACGATTAGCAAACTTGACATATCATTGGCGAACGGATATTAAAAAAGGCTGTTTGACTGACGCATGCTCTTGTATCTTTTCTCTGCCTGTAGGAATACCCACTTCAGAAGGCAATTGACATGGGGTCAATAGCTGTGTTCTCTGAAAAGTATGGCGAGGTGGTCCGTGTCGTCGACGTAAGTTTTATTTTGAAGTCTCGACTTTGTATTAACCCAAGTGGACTTTCCACAGTGTGATGATTCTAACCCAACCCATTTTACATTTTCACGACTATTTTAGTTCCCCAAGGTGTCGATGGAGTTGTGCGGAGGCACCCATGTGGAAGACCTTTCCAAGATCTACCCCTTCAAGATCCTGTCAGAGGGATCTGTTGCTGCTGGTACGTACTCTGGCATGACTGGATCGAAAATGAATGCTAGCGATACAAGGTACAAGAGTCACAACATATCTGACGTGGTTGACGCACTTCGTATTGATGATTAGGCACGAGGAGGATTGAGGCGGCAGTAGGAAAGGCAGCATCACAGTTCTTGATTGAACAAGATCGCATGGTGTCAAGACTGAACCTGGACCTGAAGTCCTATGCCACCAGTGCGGGAAACGGACTAGACCTCAAAGTCAACAAGATGAAAGACCATGTCTCTGACATCTCACGGCAGTACGCCCGCCTCCTTGAAAAACTGGTCAAGACCCCCGCTACCCCTGTCTCTCAGGGAACCATCGACCTCGGCGCATCCTTGAACCCTGCAGGAATGAACGGGATCCCAGTAAAAGTGCACCAGTTGGATTCCGATATTCAGGATCAGGAGTTTTATTCGAAGAAGGCCAACTGGTTGAAGGAACAGGACCCCGAGTCGATGCATGTGTTGGTCTGGGATGAGAATGTTTTGGTCACGCTGGATCAGAAGCAGTTCCCGAAGATGCATGCGGGTAAGGTTTTGAAGGCGCTTTTGGAGCAGGTTGGAGGAGGGAAGGGAGGTGGACAGCCGCAGCTTGCGAGGGGGAAGATTATTGCGACGACAACAGGGGGTGGTGGTGATGGTGGAAGGAGTCCGGCTGAGAGGTTTGTGGATCTTGTCCAGTCTTCATAGTTCATCTTTTTACATTTAAAAACCTGTGTCTCACAGATGATTTTTGAACGAAAGGGCTGAATTAGGTTAGTGTATGATGTTAAGTTAACTTTCAGTTGTCAGTGTGTATGATGGGCTGTTACTGCGAATGTCCACGGTGCATTGATTTGACTGGGTGAAGATAAGATTGAGATGAGAGCACCACGAAAATTGTCACGAAACCAATTGAAAAAATTGGTGGCAACTTTAATCTTGGGCTTGAGAGCAGTAGACGATGCAGGGGAGGAAAATCTTTTGTCTTTCGTAGGTCTGGACAAATGGAATATTTTGTTGTACATAATGATGTGTTTCTCAGATATGCACATCCGAGTTCCTTTATCCTTTACGCTGGTGTAAAGGCTTCTCGAGAAAAAAGGGTTCAGCTTGAGCATCAAAAGGACCAGAAGGATAGATAGGTTACTCCTTCCTTTTCATCGTTTTTTATTCACTCAGGATCTTGTGTGTTGGCTTTTAATCGAGTGAGATTCAACTGAATCCAGGCAGACATCAACGACGACCAGCGATATTTAGAAGGAAACCACCAAACAAATTAAAAGCACAAGCACCACACCAAAATGGCATTTCGAGTGAAAATATAAAAATGAATGAATGAATGAAAACGAGCGCGTTCGTTTGTCTCTGTCCGAACTGAGTTCCTTGCTCAAGACGAGTCGTCGCTATTCGGCATTGTCAACAAAACAATTGACAGCCGTACATTTCCACTCAACGTTCGACTAGGACACTATTAATTCCCGGTCATCCTTTCCTTTTCCATTGTGGCTAGCCGTTGCATACCCCTGACACTACCGAACAAGGCCAGGTCGTTGCTCCTCAGCGCCCACCATGATGTGGTTCAGATGTAATCCCTTGACCAACAATAGGAATATTTTCAGCGATTGGAGGACATCATTTCAAGATGGTCGCACATTCTCAAGTTCAGAGAACAAAAAATAAGGCGAACGAAAACATAAACCGATATCCTGCTGTAGCGCCATGTCATTGAAAACTCGCCACCTACAGTAGTGCTGTCAACGAAAACAATAACAGCATCATATGACCATGTATCGATAACACCAACAACGTCTGGTGCAGTAAAGCAGTAGTAGACAGATTTCTTTAAACTCCATCCGCACCTTCAACATAAGCTCCTGCAATAACCCCGACAAGAACAACAAGCCAAGCCAAATATGAATGTTAATGTATGTCTTTATTGTTCGTACTACGCTAATGGCTAAGCTAGTAGACCCGCCGTTAGTCAATGCCACTCCTCCGTCCCCTGGAAGAGAGAGAGAGAGAGAGAGGGCATCGTCCAGGGCACACCACGAGGAGGTCGCGGGTCAAGGTAGTGCCCCAACAAAAACAGCTCCTCCAAGCGCTTCCAAAAGGGGGTTGGCTTGAAGGAATTAGAAAAACAAACCCGGGCTTAGAATTCCGCCGAAGGCGTCCTTCCTTCGCCCTCAACGACGACGACAGTTTGGCGAGGGGTACCGAACACACGGACTGAAGGGCATTCCAGCGGCCGCGTGGGCCCGGGTCCTCTTTTTTCTCCACGGCCCCAGAGCAGAGCACACGTAGTCTCTGCCTGGAACCGCCGCACGTTGGTGTTAGTACTCCTGTTTTTCGTGTTTGTCCTCTTGTTGATTGTCGAGTTGTTGTCGGGTTGTCGAGTTGTTGTCGGGTTGTCGAGTTGTTGTCGGTTTGTTGTTGCTTGTCGGTTGTGTCGATGGTGGTTGTTGTCGGTTGTTGTTGCTTGTCGGGTTGTTGTCGGGTTGTCGGTTTGTTGTTGCTTGTCGTGTTTTTGTCGATGGTGGTTGTTGAGGGTGTCGATGGTGTCGGTGTTGTCGGTGGTGGTTGTCGGTGGTGGTTGTCGATGGTGGTTGTCGATGGTGTCGATGGTGTCGGTGGTGTCGATGGTGTCGATGGTGTCGGTGGTGTCGGTGGGTTGATAAGAAGAAAAGAAAGAAAAAAAGAAGGAAGAGGAGAGAGGGAAGCATTGTGTACCCACTCAGTCCTTCTTTCTCTGTTCTCTGCCAAGCCACCGGTGACCTCATGTCCGTCTGTCTCTCTCTCTCTCTCTCTCTCTCTCTGTCCAATCATCCAAAGGGAAAAGAAGGCGGTGGAAAGGAGAGGAAAAACTGGTTGGTCGAGAGAGAGCACGCACAAGCTTTTTTTTTCGGAAAAACGCCGAGACCCCCCTTGGGATAATGGAGTCATTATGCAAACGTATGCCTGCTGCATGAGAACATATCCACTGAGTCCTTTCCCTCCATCGCCACCATCACGAGGTTTTCTTAGGCTGTTTTTGCTTGTTAGCTTCGCCTGGGTTCGGCTGAATCGTATCTTTCTTCCGAGCCTTCGCCTTTCGCCATCGAATAATGTTCGAGTAATGGAAATAGTCTAAGAGAAAACGCAAGTATGTGTTGCCAGAAAGGAACGGGATAAGTATAAGGGGATGAAGGATGGCGATCGACGCATCAAAGTGAAATGCGAGACAAGATGGAAAAAAGAAAAGTACGAACTGTCATTCCCTCATCTATCAGCACTGCCCGATTCCCTTCGATACCTTATCTCTTATAATCTTTTTCGTGTCCCTATTCCTCACATGCTCAGCTATGACATCATGCTTGTTTGTTTGATGGTCGTAATGGAGAGGTGGGTTGGGTTGGTCGACAGATTGGGGGGATAGGTATGTTACTCCCTCTTCCATTGTTTTCCTTCTCTCAAGGTCTTGTGGGTTGGCCTTCAATCGAAAGAGATTCATCCGAACCCAGGCAAGCTAACAAGCAAAAACAGCCTAAGAAAACCTCGTGATGGTGGCGATGGAGGGAAAGGACTCAGTGGATATGTTCTCATGCAACAGGCATACGTTTGCATAATGACTCCATTATCCCAAGGGGGGCCTCGGCGTTTTTTCGAAAAAAAAGCATGTGCGTGCTCTCTCTCGACCAACCAGTTTTTCCTCTCCTTTCCACCGCCTTCTTTTCCCTTTGGATGATTGGACAGGGAGAGAGAGAGAGAGAGAGAGAGAGAGAGAGAGAGAGAGAGAGAGACGGACATGAAGTCATCGATGGCTTGGCAGAGAACAGAGGAAGAAGGACTGAGTGGGTACACAATGCTTCCCTCTCTCCCTCTTCCTTCTTTTTTTCTTTCTTTTCTTCTTATCGACCCACCGCCATCGACACCACCGACACCACCGACATCACCGACACCATCGACACCATCGACAACCACCACCGACAACACCGACACCATCGACACCCTCAACAACCACCATCGACAACCACCACCGACAACCACCACCAACAACCACCAACAACCACCATCGACAAAAACACGACAAGCAACAACAAACCGACAACCCGACAACAAACCGACAAGCAACAACAAACCGACAACAACTCGACAACCCGACAACAACTCGACAATCAACAAGAGGACAAACACGACAAACAGGAGTACTAACACCAACGTGCGGCGGTTCCAGGCAGAGACTACGTGTGCTCTGCTCTGGGGCCGTGGAGAAAAAAGAGGACCCGGGCCCACGCGGCCGCTGGAATGCCCTTCAGTCCGTGTGTTCGGTACCCCTCGCCAAACTGTCGTCGTCGTTGAGGGCGAAGGAAGGACGCCTTCGGCGGAATTCTAAGCCCGGGTTTGTTTTTCTAATTCCTTCAAGCCAACCCCCTTTTGGAGGCGCTTGGAGGAGCTGTTTTTGTTGGGGCACTACCTTGACCCGCGACCTCCTCGTGGTGTGCCCTGGACGATGCCCTCTCTCTCTCTCTCTCTTCCAGGGGACGGAGGAGTGGCATTGACTAACGGCGGGTCTACTAGCTTAGCCATTAGCGTAGTACGAACAATAAAGACATACATTAACATTCATATTTGGCTTGGCTTGTTGTTCTTGTCGGGGTTATTGGAGGAGCTTATGTTGAAGGTGCGGATGGAGTTTAAAGAAATCTGTCTACTACTGCTTTACTGCACCAGACGTTGTTGGTGTTATCGATACATGGTCATATGGTTCTGTTATTGTTTTCGTTGACAGCACTACTGTAGGTGGCGAGTTTTTCAATGACATGGCGCTACAGCAGGATATCGGTCTATGTTTTCGTTCGCCTTATTTTTTGTTCTCTGAACTTGAGAATGTGCGACCATCTTGAAATGATGTCCATCAATCGCTGAAAGTCTTCCTATTGCTGGTCAAGGGATTACATCTGAACCACATCATGGTGGGCGCTGAGGAGCAACGACCTGGCCTTGTTCGGTAGTGTCAGGGGTATGCGACGGCTAGCCACAATGGAAAAGGAAAGGATGACCGGGAATTAATGGTGTCCTAGTCGAACGTTGAGTGGAAATGTACGGCTGTCAATTGTTTTGTTGACAATGTCGAATGGCGACGACTCGTCTTGAGCCAGGAACTCAGTTCGGACAGAGACAAACGAACGCGCTCATTTTCATTCCTTCATTCATTTTTATATTTTCACTCGAAATGTCATTTTGGTGGTGCTTGTGCTTTTAATTTGTTTGGTGGTTTCCTTCTAAATATCGCTGATCGTCGTTGTAATAGTAACCGTCCCACTTTTCCCATCTTTCGTATCCATCATTGTGTTCATAAACCCTTTCCATTTCAGCCATTTCGATTTGAAGAAAAATGACCTCAAGCATGCGCTGATGTTACTGGCCATTCACCGACGGATGTTCGACTTCTTCATCCTCCAACAGCGTTGACACACTGTTTCCAAAAAGTCACCAGCCCACTCATTTTTGAACATCATGTTGTAACTACGATGTTGATGACTAAAAGAACCTGAGCGATATCGAGGTATGGATTGTAGTTTGACCTATTGCGGTATCAAGATAACATAATAATGTCATTTTTGCGCGGATGCTCTTGACCCATCTTTGGTTCAGAAAAAGAGTTGTTCGTTTGGGATAAAAAATGCATCTGTGAAGGTGACTTTGGCCATGCTGGATTTTCACGTTCTTTT